TGGATACCGTAGGTACTGCACTTCAAAGTTCACGTGATCGTCTCGAGGTGGGTATGTACATACAGCGGGTAGTTATGCCTCGGTATGTCCTTACACTACATACGGGTATGAAATGATCGGGCCCCTTGCTGGGCCAAGCAAATGCACCGTGATGTATATACAAACATAGAAGATATCATATGTACAATACAATACAATACATGCAACTGATCAAGTGGGAGCTGAAAATCCTCGCCCGCCCTATATATACGGCTACATGCAGTGGATAGTTAGATCATAAGCCCAGGATCAGCGGCGCGGCACGGGTACTCCCCCGCTGAGTCGCCGAGTCGCTGACCGCCTACAGCATAACATCAGCAAAACATCCTTCCGGTCGATCGATTGAAACTTATTCGTATGTAGAGTATTGTAGTATTGTACATAGCCAGGGCGAGCAGTGGAGTCACGAGTGAGGCATGTACATGCGGAGCAGTGGAGGGTCGTCTAGACTCCAGACTCTAGACTCCAGATTCCAGAGTCTAGACAAGACAAGGAAGGAAAGAAAGCCCCCCCCTCCCCCGCGCGCTCCACACACGCACATACTTAGGATAGGCCCTTATCATGTGGTATATAGAAACCTAGTAGGTACGCGTAAGTCCTGCAGCTTCCCTTCCGTGAGGCTGGGCCGCTGGGGGAGTGGATTGGCATTGCCATTGGCATTGCCATTCATTGCTCTGCCTTATCGACTGCACCGACTTCCAACCTAGCGCGGAGATCGGGTCTGGTCGGTTATATAGGCTGCAGATGCCCAGCCGTGCCCAGAGATATTCAGCGGGGTTTTCCCGGGTTGGAGCGGTGTTTTGTGCGAGGAGCTGGCTTGGACGGTACTTGTACATAGATACGCGGGCGATTGTTTTGTTGCGAGTGACGACGACGACGACGATGACGGTGGTGGGGGCTGGCTCGTCCGCCGGCTACGGCTCCGGCTTGTCCAGCAGAGTTGTAACTATCCTGGTCCTGGAGGGTTGCTGCCAGAGCAATATCTAGATAAACGAAGGCATGCTTTTCGCCGTTTCCGCGCAAGCAGCAAGCGACGAGTGCGTAAGTGCATTGTCGCTATATATCGCTTGTCTTTTTTTAGCGGGGAGATCCCTCCGATAATCGATGTGCATGGCGAATGCTGGCTGGCCAGTGGCCACAGTTAACCGCCAGCCACAGGGGGGAAACATTCATACCATAAATGGAAACTAACATAGTTACCGATACTTGTGCACGCAGAACGGCAGTCGGCTGTTGTGGGGCCTCATAGCTTCTTTAGTTCTGGCTTGAGCGTTTCAGGACGATTGAGGCATTGTGTTCACGCGTCGTTTCTCTCGGCGTCCGCCTAAGCTCCCAGTGGAGAAATATGTATTGCCGCTGGTGAACGCAATCGGTCTCCAGGGTTTCCCGGCAGGCGGGTGGATTGTGCATGTAGAGTCCTGACCCACTCGAGGCTCGGCGCTCGACGCTCCACAGCAGAGTAGATACCAGTAGTACCGGCAGCGGTGATCGCGGTCTCGCTCCGAAGCTATGTATGCATCGGACCGTGTCCTTGGCGGGCGCCGGGGGTGACAGAGGTGGCGAAGAACGAGAACGAGGTAAGATACGGTAGGTACGGTAGGTATGTCTTGTAGGCACGAGGTTGTACTCGAGGGCAGGAGCATTCATCGCGACGCATCAATCCACCGCTCCGTTCGACCGAGCATCCATTGCACTGCTCTGCATCCATCCATCGATCGTTGCGTTTATTCGAGCATCCAGCCGTGCTGGCGATAATGTAGAGTCGGAACGGAGGATCGTGGAGGATCGAAGGAGGTTGGTTTAACGTTGAGCACATCGGCTTGGCGGCAAAGCACTCGTCGTCACAGGATGCGTTGACCGCGTTGAGTTTCACGGGAACGGCCGAGCTAGCGACAGAACAGACAACCCTTTCCGGCGAAGTCCGGCGAAGCGATGCAGGTCGCTGCATAGATACCGCGACTAGTACTGGAAGCTCTAACGGAAGCAAGCACGCACATAAGCCCTGGAAGCTGTGGAGCTTGGAGGAGGGGCGGGCGACCGTGCGGAGTGAGTGAGTGAGGGAGTGCAGCGTGATGGTGAGTAAACTCAGTAGAGTCCTCCACCGGTAGATGGCGGACATTCTGTACCCTTTGCTCGAATAAGTTCTCGACTGACCATGAAAGGGGGCGGTCGGCTGCGGTGGCCCAGTCAACGATGGAGACCCGCACATGTTCGTTAGGAGTCAGAGAATGATACCGTACCGGTAGTTCCCGGTAGGGAGTTTTCCCGTCCTCGCTTCACGAATCACAACCGACGGGTCTATGCACGGATGGAACCAGTGAATCAGCTTCCCTTCCGTGGCGGCCGCAACGTGCGACCTTGGTTATGGACGGTACAATACCTATGCACAAGCCAAACTTTCGTCCACTGGGTATACACAGATCTCAACGAAAAGCAATGATTGGCCTCCCGGTTGGGGGAAAAGGAGGGCGTAGGGGGTGGGGGGTCACCATGAAACAGTAGCGGCTGACCGCTGAAGGCAAAGGTCGTGGATCTTGGAGTTCGCTCGCTGGAACTCGCAGGCAGTTGGTTGCCATAGGCAGGCAAGGGATGCGCTGCCAGGTATGGTAGTTGATCCAGTGCTGCGCCGCTGCCGATGTCTCTCTCTCTGCCCTTCCGCGTGGCCCTTCGTGACTGTGATGAGTAGGTATTTGTGATTGCTTGTCCGGACGGCCAGGAAGGTGCAATTTCCAACTGATCCCAGATTCCCAGGAGTCTGTCGTCCGGTGGGCGAACCGAGATGATTTCTCAGCGAGAAAACTTTTTCGTTGCAGGAGGAGGAGGAAGAGTGAGTCGGCAATGAAACATAGCATAAGATGCAATTTCGCCCGGGTCCATGGTAAGCCCTTGCAAGAACCCTGGATCTCATTGGGTATTCGTCACACAAACCGAAAACACCTCTCTGAAGCTCAAATCTCACCGTGTGCAGTCAAGAATCAAGATAGCCGCCTACAGGCCGCGGTAGATGCAAATGTTCTTTTTCTTTGCTTTTCCCTTCCTTCCAATAAACCTTGCACGATGCGGCCCGCGAGATATATCCTGCCCATACTCATCATAAGCAGAGAATGCCGTATTTCGAAGAAGCAAAAGAAAAAAGGAAAGAAAGGAAGGAAGAAAAAAGGAACAAACTTGTCTCCTCCCCTGCCTTTCTGTCTCCTCCCCCCCCCCCAGCTACATAGCTGTTAGCTATTGGCCACGATGCGCCCCTTTGAGAGGGTACGCACAGACGTTGGCCATGGATCTTACCGAGAGGGAAAAAAGTTCCTGTGAGAAAGCAATTATGCGGGCAAGCTGGTGGGAGGAAGACGAGCGAGCCAGCTCGAGCAGATAGGCACCTACGGTGGTGCAGGTGGTACATATAACGGGGAGGCCGCCCTCTAGAGCTGCGCAGCTCTTTTGGAGACGATCATCATCATCACCACGGTCTTTCGGCTGCCTGCCCGGCCTTGTTCCCGAACTGCATTGTTGCACACCCACATCGACGACACGCACGTCGACATCATCGTCGTACCTCCCCCCCTCCATTACCTAGTACATACCCGTTTCCCTCGGATCGTTCCGAGCTTCTTGGCTTTGGATTCAGCTCGAAAACACCCGCACCAATAGCATTAGTGGTGTCGTCAGTGTGTCCCATCTATCATACATCCAGGCCAGCTATTTGGTCCAGCAAACATCTCCAACTCGCTCTCGGTTCAATCCTATAAACAAACCGCCACCGCTCCCTATTTCGTGTCAGGTACATACATGCATTCTGGATCTTCACGGGTTCCATCGTCTGCGAGATTAAAGAGTACCTTACCTGAAGCCTTTCCCGTTGGCTTCGATAGTTTCCGCGCAGTTGCTGATTGTCGATGCGTCTGTCCAGCATGAAGCGAAGTTTCACCCAAACACTCGTGAACGCCACTTTGGCGGTGGTCACAGCTCCCCGCAAAGTCTACAATGCGGCCTGCGCAGATGTACAGAAGACAAAGAGGACCCTGAAGACAGCCATCGCATTGACTTCGGCCATTGCCCTCACCCTTCCCCCAGTACTGTCCGACTTTCACGGGCAGAACCCATTCTTACTAGGCACAATCGTACGTAGCCCCTCTTCCCAGCACCATTTCCGACTCTTTTTTCTTTTTTGGTAAAGATGGAAATATGAAATTTGCCTACGGCCTGATGGCCCCTGTAGTGCGTCCCCGTGAGCTTACTCTCTCCTTAGGCCATTTACCTCTTTCCCGTAAAGACAGTCGGCGGTCAACTCTTTGGGACTTTCATTGGTTTGTCCGGTATCATGCTCGGACTCGCATACGCCAATCTTTGCCTATTTCTCGCCAGCTTCATCCAGAACGAAGATGACTTTCACATCCATGCTCCGCGACGAGCCTTCCTGTGGTGTGCATTGACTGTCGGAGCCTTTGGATGTGGATACATCCGTTCCAAGATCAGCAGGAGCTACCTGGCAATCAACTTCTTCATGCTCGTGAACATGTTCGCCTTGATCCGAGGGATCAACCACTTCGGCACCCAGTTCCATGTGTTCTTCTTCGTCATGTTCTTCGGTGCGTGCGTCAGTCTTCTCGTCAGCGTTGTGTTCTGGCCCGAGGACCGAGGTGGAACTCTGAAGAGGGAAGCGATCAAGGGAATCGGCGAGGTCAAGGCCGTGGTTGCTTCTGTGCGGTTGACTATGACCTCCGGAGGCTCCGAGGAGGTCGCCATTGCCGGTATCAAGTCCGCTGAAGCCGCTTTGGCGACCAGTTTGCACGAAGCCAACTATGAAATTAGCTTTGCCAGAGTCGATTCGAGCTATCTGATGCCACTCGAACGGTGCATGTGCCGTCTGATCTCGGCCGTTCGCGTTCTCAATGCGTCGGTCCGGAGGAGGCGTCGGGTCCACCCAGGAGATCCCCTGAACCATTACACCAAGGACACCAACAGCACCAACACTCGACAAACCATGGATGCGGTCCTTGCCAATGCTCTGGAACTTCTGGACGCCACGATCGGCCGGATGGAAGATGTCTACAATGGCACCCCATCACCGCTCCTGGACCATGCTGGCTTCGTACGGGAAGTCGACGAGCTCTGCAAGTGTCTCAGCGACGATGTAACGGCTAGATCTGTGGTAGACCACCGAGACCTCGAGAATGCTGCCTTCACGGACCAGATCAATACCACGGTTCTCGATATCCTGGACATCTGCAAGGACATGGCTCGCGCCGTCACCATCATCGAGCCCATCCAGAGTCGTATCCGATTCGTGCTTCCCCGTAAGCTCCGCCGAAACGAGTTTGAGAACAGCGAGCCGCGTGGCGTGGCGTTTGCAGATAAAGGACGGTCCGATGCAATTTCGAGATTCGACGCCATGTCCAGGGGACGTTCCATGATGGCTTCCGACGAGGCATACCTTCTCTTCTTGGACTCGACCACGGTACTCCATCGGGCGGGTATCTGGATCTCGGAGAAACTCCTTGCCATGCATCACTCGAGGCACGCCAAGTACGCTTTCAAATTCACCGTTGTCATGAGCATTCTGGCTCTTCCCGCTTACATTGACAACTGGTATATCTGGTACGACTCGATGCGTGCCCAGCTGGCAATGATTTCGGCCATGGTGGCGATGGAAACAACTAGGGGAATGACATTCCGAACGGCGGGTATGAAACTGTTGGGGGCGGCGAGTGGTGGCATCACTGCCTTTGTGGTGGTGGAGGCATCCCAAGGTCATCTTGCGGTGTCGATTACACTGACGAGTCTCGTCGGAATTTTGATCGGATGGCTTGTACTCCACCCAGTGTTCAGTAAGTCGGGGACCGTCTTCGCCCTGGCGTACAATTTGATCCTGGGTGTCGCCACCATCTTTCCCGAGCAAGGTCCCGTACATTACGCCCTTGGACGGCGCCTCGCAACCCTCCCCGTTGGCTTGCTGGTCGCAACGTTTGTCCACCTGACGCTGTTTCCGTACCACGCCCGCGAGGAAATGGTGAAGAGTCTCGGTTCGTCGCTCGACTGGCTCCACCATCTCCTCTTCGCCATCGAGGCTTCGGAGGAACACCCCAGCCTACAGCAGAAATTCGATGCGATGGTGCAGAAGGCCAGCAACCGTGTCGGCTTCGCAAAAGGCCTGCTCCCCGCAACCCACTACGAGATATCACTGGGAGGACACTGGCCCTACAAACGCTTCGAATGCATCGTCGAGAAGATAATTGACCTGATGGACATCATCGTCGGCGAAGTACCGGCCGATCCAGTCCTAGCCATCCACCTCCTGCGCTCGACCGCCTGCGAGCGAGTGCGGACCAAACTCCTGGGCTCACTCTGCAACGACCTCCTCGTGACCTCGCACACGCTTTCCGCGCGGCTATTCATGCCTCGGCACGAGAGCATGTCGACACTAGTGATGCAAGAGTACATCGACTCGCTGCTGCACCAAGCGCGGCGCGAGAACGGTGGCGCGGGGAAGAACTACGTCGACATCGGCCGCCTCGCCGACCTCGTCAGCGAAATGAGCTTCCTCCGCGAAGAGGTCGATCAGCTCACCGCCGAAACCCAGTGTCCCAAGAACGGCCTCCTCCCGCACCTCAGCTTTCATATACGGAAGAGCAGGCCTGGCACCCCCTCGACGTCGAGGAGTAGAAGTAGAGCGGCGAGTCCGGCTACCCCTAGGATTCGAAGCAGAGTCACGAGTCCCTCGGCACCTAGAGGAAGAAGTAGACCTCCAAGCCCTATCGAGTTTGCGCTCAGTAGGAGTAGAGCCCCCAGTTTGATTGGCACGGATGAGGAGGATATTGAAGAGACGAAGATCGTGGGTGATGAGAATGTTTGACTCTAGTTCTATTTTTTTCTCCCTTTTTTTTATTTTCTTTCCTAGTATCTCTTTCTTTCTTTGTTCTCTTGGATTCGATAACGGCCTATTCATTATCTTGCTTTTGGTTTTGGTTTGGGATTTATCATTTATGACCTGGGAAGGGACGGGGATGGGGACGGGGTTGGCGTATTATATACCATTGATTTCGGGATGATTTTCTTTTTCTTTCTATTGTTCTTTCTTGCTATATCTTGTTCTTGGTTTTTCGATTCGTTCGGGAGTACGGTATCGGTATTGGATAGATGGATCATGGCTGGGAGCAATGGGCATTAAGAGGGTAGCGGGTGTGGCGGGTTTCTTTGTTTCCTTGTTTTTCTGGTACTGGTAGTTTGGTAATGGGCATTAGGTACGCATTTATGGTCATGATCGCAGTTATATTATCTTGAGGGTGATCGCACTTGACATCTGTTGCGATTTATGTCCTCTAATTGGATACCCAACGACCGACTTGATTTTTGTATGGTGTAGCACTCCGGGAGTGAGGCCTTATCTATGCCCTGCATGACAGAAAAATATGAAAGCGCCTCGCTAGCTCAATCGGTAGAGCGTAAGACTCTTAATCTTAAGGCTGCGGGTTCGACCCCCGCGTGGGGCTTTCTTCTTTTGACTTTTGGTTGTTGTCCTGGTGCTGGTGCTGATGGTTGATGGGTGAAGGGTGAAGTGAAGGGTTTGCAGTGGGCGGGGGGCCGTGCGCCGTGTGCCGGTGGGCTGGTGTGCGGGCTTTCCGTCTATGGACTCCCTGTATGGTATCCCGCCCCACCACGGTATACCGTTAGCAAACGTCCGTCTCTGACTTTCGGACTCTTGGACTCTTGGATCTCCAACCGCGTTTCGCGCCAGACCAGGCTGGTCAGCGAGCTATGGAACTGCCGTAGGTAGCAACCAACCAAGCAAGGGACCGCCCGTAGCGCTGCAACTCTCCGTTCCATCGACTGGCTCGTCAGTGCCGATTACGGGCGGCTACGTGAATGCGAACGCCCTCCCTTTGGCACTCCCTTCGGCACTCCCTTCTGCGGTCCCTTTGGCGGTCCGGGGCGAAGTCCGCAGACGGTCGGACAGACGGTCAGTCGGTATCATCTCTTCCCGCGCACCGCGAGAGCATTTCCGCCGCGCACTGTGGGCTGTGAGCTCGCTGTGAGGCTCCCGGGTATCCTCTAGATACCTCTACACCTCCCCCACCCCGCCCGTAAACCCACCCAAGCCGAGTGATCCCCAGCGCACCGGCTTGCTGGTCGATGGCTTGATGGTACCGTAGCTTCCACATCCACATCTACATCTACATCGCCGTCTCCGGGCCGGCCGATCAGCGCGCCACATATATACGCATACGCATAAAGCTTGCCCTTGTACCCCGCCCCCCACTGACGCAGGGCTAGGGAAGTATCATACATAGAAGGTTGCGGGAACGTGTGGGGGCTGGGTTTGCGCTGGTGGTACCTGCATAAATCCCTCGTTGCACCGTACCGTGGGTACTGCAGTGCGCAATCACATCACAACGCATCACAACACACCGCATCACGTCGCCTCCCATCGCATCCCTCCCAAATCAATCTCTAGTCTTCCTTCCTTTATGTATAGTATAAGATGAACCACCCAGTGGCCTATGTATTGTGAGAGTTACATAGAACATAGAGTAGGTAGAAAGAAAGAAAGAAAAGAAGAAAGGGAAAAAAAAACGAACGAGAGACACTAAGTAACTATAAAAAAACAGCACGGGCATATCTATGGCACAATATCCCCCAGGGTAGTAGAGTAGAGTACGTCTGATCTGATCTATCTATCCACGGACGGACGGGGAACTGAACTGAACTGAACTACATGACCGCTTCCACGAAAGAAGGCGAGATAGATACACGGAAGAGGAAGAGACAAGACAGAGAAATATACGGCTACGGCTACGGCAATCCAGACCTTGACATCACATTTCGCCTCCCCTGCCGCGACCAATGACTCCGATGGGGCCCGGGGCGTACTCGAACGCGGAGCTGTGGCGGTTCGTGATCGGCTCGAAGGCGGACATTGAGCTTGTGTGGCCGAGTTCGGAGAGGTTGGTGATGACGCTGCCGTCGGAGAAGATGCTCATGGAGCGTTCACGGGACGAGTGGAGGTTCGGGGTGGAGTGGGCGTCGTGCGGGATCATGCCGAAGGGAAGCATTATGTTGGCGGATCCGTGGGCAGAGCTAGGCAGCGGCATCTCGGCAGCGATCTGCTGGAGTGCCGCGTTCTGCGCGTAGTAATCCCCCCAGTTCTCGTGAGACCGCACCGCATACTCGTTGATGCGCGCTTCGAGACGCTGGATGGCTCCCAGGTACTCCGACTCGACCGCCTGGCGGTGCATTTCAGCAGCTTCGCGCTCGGCCTGTCTCCTCTCCTTGGTGTCGGACCCCTCCGAATTCTCCGAGTCCAGTTTCCCAAGGTCCACGCGGAGCTTGGTGAGACGGGCCATCATCTTCTCCTTCTTGGCAGCAAGAGATGCGACCTCCGACTCGACGGCGGACGCCTGACGATCGGCGTTCGCTTTGTCCTCCGCGGCTTTGGCTTGAGCGGTTGAAAGACGGCGTTTCTCTGCCTGCCACTGTTTCTTCTTTGCTTCCCACTCGGGCTTCATCTTATCCGGAAGATTCTGCAGATCTTTCATCTGTATCGACATTTGCTCCGCCTCTTCCTCGGCACGCTTGATCGATTCCCTCAGAGCTAGGTTGCGACGGAATGCCCGTTCCTCGCCGCGGTCATTGCCAATCAATCCCCGATGTTTCTCGATCTCTTTTCGAATCTCACTGAGCGCCGTCTTGTGAGCCTTTCTGATCGATTTGAGGTTGCCTTTGGTTTCAGCGAGGCTCGAGTTGGCTTGTGCGAGCGAATGCAGTAGCGTCGTGACTGGAGAGAGCGGCCTCGATGGCTGTTGCTGATGCTTGGCGGTTGGAGCGGCGGAAGCTTGATTCGTTAGCCTAGGAATCCTCCAAGAACTACCGTCACCAATCTTACCTTGTGCAGGTAGTGTACATGCACTCGTGCCGTAGAACACCACCCCACCACCCGTCTTCACGAACTCGAAATCGTATTCCGTCGATCCCGTCAGACCGGTCACTTCCACGGTCCACTCATCCTCCCCACTCGCGGCAGCAGTGACAACATCTCCATTGACCTCGCCAATACTATTAGCCCGGCGTGCCAGAGGAAATATCTCTGTTTGGGGCCAAACTATCCCATTGACGCGAACGAAAAACGGCAGGCTTGAATCCCTTCCAACCGAATCAATCCCTCCATTCACCACACACCCCAACTTATCATCCCCTTTTAATCCGCCCGCCAACCCCACCACGAACCCGACCTCAGTGGACCCAATCTTCGTTATCCACACACTACCCTCCTCGCCCCCGGCCGGAGGTTCATTAGAAGCAGTCCCCGCACCTCCAACGCTAGTATTCGAAGCCTCGGAAGACAACTGGGTTCGCTCCACTTCCTTCGCGATATGTATTACTGCACTAGCCATTGTAGCCCACAGTGGTTGATTACTTCGAATGCTCTGAACTTGAATTTTCTTTTTCCGTTTGCCGCCGTTCACGGAATTGGACCGTTCCAGCATCGGCGTCGACGGGGCACCAGCGGCCGCCTCCGGATCCTTGTCTTTTTGTTTGGTTGAGCCATCCTTTGCATTTCCCGGTAGGGAGCCTGATGACGTGTCAACGGTTTCGGGCCTTCGTATCAGCCAGCGCCTGGTAGCCTTCATCGCTGCTTGCGCCACGATATGGATAGCGAAGAAGGTGCGGATCCAGCCGGCATTGTCGACACGGCCCGTCAGCAGATGGGAAACCCTTCCCCCTCCCCCTTGGCGGGCCGGTTGTATGCTGTCCCAAGCATCCGACAAGCGGAAGCGGCCTTGAACAACCTTGACTCCGCTCATGACTCCCGCACACACCGCCACGTTCCGTAGACTGTCGCCGGTAGAATTACCAGCACCCAGAGTGATTGCGATGATGGCTTGCGCGAAGTCGACGAGAAAGTTCCACGCAACCGGCCAGAGGAAGAGCGAAACCGAAGCCAAGATACAATCTGCAAACATGATTGTAAGTAGCGACGGCGATCCGTTGGAGCCCTGAAGTAACAGATTCGTGAAGGAGGGCATCGAAACAGTGGTGGACAGGCTGAAAAGTGTTGTTGACGGTGGTACGAAAGTTTGCACGAAAAAAAGGAAATGAACGACGGTCAATATCGTTGGGGGTATTTGTAGAAAGATGATGAGAAGCGTGATTGTATCCAGAAGCGGGAACGAAGACAGAACAGTGGCTACAGAAGTATCTGACGACCGTCCGCCTGACGGGGTGAGGTCAATCTTCTGATGGTCGCTAGTAGAGCCATTCATCCCCTCCCCAAAGCTGCTGTCACCATCCTCCCCTAAGCAGTCGTAGAACCGCTGCCCTTTCCACCCGTTTGTAATGTCCATGTTCGCCGTTCCATTTGAAGTCGAGTGGAACTGAGCCGCCGCCGCCGACACCTCCTGAATCGCGGGCTGACTCGTGGACGTTGCTGTTGCCGCGAGCGAGGACGCGTTGCTCGAAGCCCGTGAGCGGAACGGGCGTTTCGAAGTGACAAGGCCGTTGTGGGTGTTGGGGCTGTTCGAATGCAGGCCCTGACGCTTTGACGAAGAGCCTGTGGATCCTCGCGGCATCGGAAGCCGGTGTTTGCGTAGTGATCAAACCCCGTCCGAACGTGCCCGTCCGAGACGTGGGCTAGAAGAGAAGGGCGGGAGAATCCAGCGGGATTGGCGAGGCGTGTCGCGGGGCAAAACGGTTGCCGAGTCGGAGAGCGATCGACGTGGTTGCGAGGGAGGTGAGGGAACGCGAGCGGCTGTGTCCAGGTGGCGGGACAGTCAGCGCGGCCAATTTAAGAGGTGGTTACCTCCAGTTGCGGCAGAGTGACTTGAGTAGTGTATCGTGTGCTCGTACGTGTGTTGTGGTTGATATTTGAGACCGGGAGTACTTTCAGGGTGTTGGGAAGGGAAGGGAGATGGAGGGTGGGCTGCAGTTGTGAGTGGGACAAAAGTCAGTCAGCAAGCGTTGGTTTTTCGGTCAGCGGAGCGATCTGCAGACAAGCAGGCCGGGCACCACTACCACTGTACTCTACTCTAGTAGGTGCTAGGCCTGCAAGCAGCCTAGGGTGCTCTACTCATCCAACATGCGAATCTCTACATATCTACGTACACGGCCGGCGGCTGAGGAGAAGAATTGCGACTGAACGCCTGTTGGTAAGAGAGGTAGGTGCATTGCAAATCTCTCTACACGACCGGCGGCTGAGGAGAAGAATTGCGACTGCACGACGGTTGGTAAGAGAGGTAGGTAAGTACATAACATTGGAGAACTCCGCATGGAGAGAATGGACGGACAATCAGTATGCTGACTTTGCCGCCAGGACAGTCCTCTACCTATCGTTGGTTACGGCTACATGCGCTCTGGATCGTCCCGGCATACATGAAGAAGAAGCACGGTCTTCCGCTCTGTTTACCCAGATCGCAACCCTAGGAACGAGAGCAGAATGCGGTGTACTACATCATCATCACCCTGCCTGGCGGCCTGGCCAGAAGGCTGGCTATGTACCTACTTGTTCACCGGCTGACTGCAGCCTGACTGGCAGGCTAGCATTCTTCCTGTCCCTTCGTCTTCATCGTGGGACTGCCAAGTGCAACCTCTTCTTTTCTCCGCGCAAGAACAATGGGCCTGGGCTCGGTCAACGCAAATCTCGTCGCCTCTTTATTCTCACCAGGGTTGTTCTTATGGAGAAAAGACACATCTTTATTCTCACCGGGATTGTTCTTGTGGAGAAAAGACATGGCATGGATGGATGAATGCGCACACATCATCACAAGGTACACCACGGTGTCGTCCTGCTGTCAGCCAGCCAGTTGCGGTTATCGATTAAAGTCCAAGGCCAATCGACCAAGCAATTCCGCTGCATCCAACGTGAAGAGACAGTTTGGTTTCCCCGCATCCCACCAGCTCAGACTCCACTCCAATCTGCTCCCCGGCCGATCACCTCCGAAAGGGATCATATCTCCGAGGTTAAGAAGACAACTCCTCTCCTTCTGCCCGCGGTTCGACACCTATCCACCTATCCGACGATGGAGCAACGGAGCCGGATAGTCCAAAAACGACGGCAAATGGGTAGGTACATCAAGGCTGACAGGTTCTTGAAGCCTTGTGCAATACAGCACATCCCACGAATTACTGGGCACCCGCATGCGATCCACCTCGAATTTTGTGCAGCCGCGCGGCGCGGGACGTGGGGCGCGTTCAACCCCGCTGTCTACATGCATGTCCGTTCACCTCACCTATCTCTCAACCCCGCTTTCATACGGGCAGGCAGCAGGCGAGACAAAAGAGAAAAAAAGGCGAGCTCCATATGCACCTCCAAAGCTTGTCTTGTCAGTCGATACTTACTTTGCCCTGGCCGTCCGTGTTCGCTTGCCCCGCCCGCCACCGTGCGGGCAGCAGAACTGCCACTTCGTCATATTAATATCCGGTCGATCAGTGTTACTAATGGACAAAACCCGGAGACGAAATGTAGAACGTTTATGCACACAGGACAAGACATGTCAACAGTGGTGCCACGTCACTCCGGTTCACGACATAATTTATGTAATGAGGGAGAAACTTCTTCATCTTTATCTCGTTCTCGCATATGACCGAAAACATAAACATAAAATAAATTTCACGACCTCGCTAACTACGAACGTTTTTCGGGTCAGGATCTAGAGTAGGGTCACGCTGAACACACGCTCTACATATCTCCCCGCGCTGGGATGTCAATCAATGACGCCAAAGGAAAAGTCGCATGAGTTTTAGAGTACATCATACCTGCTTATTCCCGGCAGGCCGATAATCAATCTCAAGCAGACTGCCAGATCGAGAACCGAGAACCGACGGTAGTGCCGACGGACTAGGATCTGGGCGGACGTGACGGTGGGTTGATGAAATATAGGTTGATCGTAGGAAGAACAGAGTGACGGCGTGTGAAGTAGGTCTGCGGGCCCACCGTAGTGTAAATACAGGAGATACATGGACAGAGTTCTATACCAGTTATTGGTAGAGTGAACCTGCCACGCTGTCTCCCGATGGTGTGTTGTGCTCCGGATGTCGCAAGCCGTGCCACTGTTCTATGCATCGTCAACCACCACAGGTGCAAAATCGTGAGAGCGACAGCGGTGGATCGGACCAATGGGCAATCAGAGGAATTGCGCTTTCTGACCCCGCACAGAGCAGAGAGTATGACAGGTGAGAAAATGCCCCTCTTCAGCAGACATCATGATCACTTATCAGCGATATGCAGATGGCTTTCTAAAGAATCATGACAATCGGTCTCCAAAGTCTAGAGCCCAATATCGCGCCATCTGCGGGATCGATAGCAGAGTACATCCTCCGGGGTTTCTTGTCAACGAACATATAGAGTAGTCGTGCGCTCGATGTAGGCATACCCCTTCATACGCGGATGCGGGAGGAGTTGAAACTTGACACCCCGCACTGCATCGCGTGGACTCCCCCGGATGGGATTATCCGGACTGTAGGAGGCACATACTTATGAACACTCACGGGGAGGTGTGCCTAAGGGGAAGAAGTGGCATGTCTTCCATCTCGCGATCAAGACCCGTGTTACCAGTCTATTCTCTTGGCTATTGCTTCGAGTATCCAGTGAATAAAAGAGCGAGGGTGCCCAGTTCGGAGTTTCTCCTCCCAAGTTTCGTATCCGAGTGATTCATAGTGACTTGTAGTTCACCCGGCTCAAATAACACAGATTCTGATGAAACGTGAGTTCGGTAGCCGGCTCCACCCAATCCGACTGTATGACCTCGCGTATGGTTGCGCATAACCTCCGTCGAAATTCCTATTTCCGATCAGTTTGTGTGTAAGCAACACCGCCCAGCATTCGTCACGATAGATAGGGCTGACACCGGCACTAGGCCTAGGTACCTAAGTGTCCTTACTTACATAATCACCCCGTCGCTTCAATCGTTCCAGCAGAAGAAACTCACTTTCGCGGGTTGCGCGTCGATGAGGCGGAGCGTGCTTGGCTCTATGGCTTGTGACGGGTGAGGCGAAAGAAAAGAAGAGTGAGATGTGGATCAACAGGACCAGCTTGGCGCCTGGCGCCAACGGAAGCCGGGATTCCCGGCCTGCGGCGAAATCTTTAGCCCGAGGGATGATGCCGCGCAGCCGTGGACGGAGAAACTGCCCTATCCGCACGGTTAGAGGGAGTGCCTCGGAGAGGAGAGTCGAGGCTCGTGGTTTACGTTTGCGCTCAGCCGCCTCGTTAAATTCGCTCACTGAGGATTAATCGAACTTGGCGTCTCAAGAGGTTCCTGTAAATGCGGCTCGGCGGCCCTTGACAAACGTGTGAACATTTGCCATGATGGTTGTGGCGGAGTGCAAATGGCTTGGGCAAGTGCGTCATCGGATGTAGGAAAGCGAGAAAACGGGTCCATACCAAGCCGACCTCTCTATACTCGTCGTCTCGGCGGGAGCTTAGTCGTTAGCCATTCCAAAGCCCCTCTCTCCACCGAACTCTCTTCCTAGATCAGCTACAAGTCCCATTCACGCTCATCTCCATCGCTTCTATCCCTTCAACCACCACCCTACCTACATCCCACTTTCGCTACTACTGCACATCATCATAGCTTTGTTCTCGGCCGTCCGAACTCCCACAAACACAGCAAACCCGCCTAGCATGAGTTGGAAAGGCTTCTCGCGGGGTGTCGTGAGGGTGAGATCCGGATCGGAGGCTTTCCGTGGCCGCAGGACCAACTGACCACTTTTCTCTGCAGGCACCCCAGTCGATAAAACAGAAGTTCAACTTGGTATGCGTCGATGCCGGCCCAGAACTCCCGTCGTCACTCCGATTAACGACTTTGTAGGGCGACAACACGAAGGACCCAGTGTACCTGGACGCTGAGCGACGATTCCAAGAACTAGAAACAGTGAGTGGGATCCAGGCCATCCGCCGATCGGCCCGGGAGGCTCTAACATCCGGCGCTTCAGGAAACAAAAAAATTACATGACGAGTCGAAGAGGTAGAGTTTGAACACGGTTCGATTTCGTGGGGTAGCCGTTGGCTGACTTGGCTTTGTCGCAGGTACTTCGATGCCATCAATGGTACGCATTCCTACACACGAGCCGCCGCGCCGCGGCACGCACGCCCAATCGTCGTCCCTCGTCGCTAACGAACAGTACCTATGCAGGCATGCTGGACCATCAGATCGAGTTTTCCAATGCAATAGCCGACATCTACAAGCCCATCTCGGGGCGGATGTCGGATCCCACGTCTTTCAAAGACGAGGGCAATCCGGAGGGAATACGGGCGTGCGATGAGTACAAGGAGATTGTTACCGATCTCAAGGCGACGCTCGCTCCGGAGTTGGAGATGATCGAGACTCGGGTTATTCGGCCGGCGGACGAATTGACGGAGGTCATCAAGGCGATCCGGAAGACGGCGTTAAAGCGCCAGCACAAACAGCTCGACTACGATCGACACCGGGCGACGCAGAAAAAGCTGCAGGAGAAGAAGGAGAAGACCGTAAAGGATGAGAAGGCCATGTACAAGGCCGAGGCGGATGTCGAGCTGGCAACTCAGGAATTCAACTATTACAACGAACTGCTCAAGACGGAACTGCCGAAATTGTTCACGCTGGAGCGAGAGTTCATCAAACCGCTGTTCCTAAGCTTCTATTACATGCAGCTCAACATCTTTTACACTCTCCACGAGAAGATGCAGGCGATCAACATCGGATACTTCGACCTTGTGAGCGACATTGAAGGCCTTTTCGAGAAGAAGCGCGGGGACGTTCAGGAACGGGCCGAAGCCCTGATGATCACAAAGTTCAGAACGCAGGGCCATAAGATGAAGCTGAGCGCTAAATTCAACAAATTCGGGAAAGAGGAGGAAGCTACCGCAGGCCGCCGCCCGGCATCGATGGATTCTGTCCGCCCCGTTCTGAGAGAGACCGATACCCCTCCACCGCCATACAGCGCAGCAACAAAACCCACGGGTCTCCTGGCAGGCACCAAAACTGCGTTATCCGTTCCTGGTAGCGCCGGTGTTGCAAGGAGTAATTCCACCGGGAGCAATTGGGGCGCCGCGGCAGCAGCCAAAAAGAAGCCGGCGCCGCCACCGCCGAAGCCGAAGCCTAAGAACCTCAGCGTCGAGTCCGAAAAAGCGACAGCTTTGTACGATTTCGAGGCGCAAGCCGACGGAGATCTAAGTTTCTCTGCCGGCGACATCATTGATATCGTAAAACGGACCAGTAACGTCAACGAGTGGTGGACCGGGAAGCTGCACGGAAAGCAAGGGCAGTTCCCTGGTAACTACGTGAAGATGAATTGATTCCATCATTCCCTTTCTTCCTTTTCTTCTTCTCCCATTCCTCCTTTGGTGGTTTAGAGCCGGGGAGGGTAGGTCTGTGTTTCTTGCAAGCCTTCCGCTTTCACATTACTCTCTGGGTCGGGTGTCTACGCGTTGTTTGTTTTCTGCAATTGAATGTTGCGTTTTTGGATTGTTTTGGGCTTTTCTCGAGCTCTCCTTTTCTCTGGGTGTGACTGGTTCGTTTGCTTCTTCTTTCCGTCCTTCATTTGATCGTGTATTTGAAGAATGTAGGTAGAGTATGTTCGCCTTGCTCCGCTGTATGTATTCTAGGTTGTTGTTTAGGGTAGGTGGATTCCAAAGGTTATACTTTTTTTTACAGTTCTCAACTTGTCTCCGTTCATTGGCTTCGCTGCGAGTGTACATATGGTTGATCGATCCTCCCTGAAGATGTCTTACGTGAGAGAGAACATCAATGTATTGTCGCATACGGCCTGTCTAGACTACGGCGACCAGATGTCTCATGTTCCGTGTATCCGCAGACCATCGAAGGCCAATCTTGCGTGATAGCCTGTGATCAGAATGCGGGGATCGGAGGGGCTCTAGCTCTTGGCAGCTTAGCTATGGACATCCTTGAAGTGCATAGAGCTCCACACACCACACCACCAATCAACGAAACATCACGTCTCTTCACACCCGCGGCCTTGATGACCACCCCTCGACCAGCCGGCGGCCCGCCACCGCAAGTGCTACAATGGTTGCACCGTGTTATCGCTCCCGTTAGCCAACCAGTTCACCACTACCCACAAGCCCAGCTGACATGGCCCCTACCTGCAGGAGTATCAAGATCCGCAGCGAACCTACAGCGACGTCGCAAACACGCTCGCGAACCTCCCCACGCTCGCGCCACGGACGAGTGTTTACAGTACGTCGCGTCTTCGTCGGGATTATCGCAGGGCAACTTCTGATACGTCGCAGCACATGAAAACGGAAAGCCGGAGCTGCTCGTCCATCTCTTCGGCACACTACCGGTGCTCTTCCGTGGCGCGACATATAACATCCCGATTTCGATATGGGTCCCGCACTCGTACCCGAAGCAGCCACCGATACCTTTTGTCACGCCCGCGAAGGACATGCTCATCCGCCCCGGCAATCACGTTGATCTGGCGGGGAAATGCTATCACCCGTATCTGGCAAATTGGGTTCACTACTCGGATGTGAGCTGAATGAGGTCGGGAGGGCGGGAGGGCAGGGAATGGGCACTGACTGCGGTTAGAGATCGAACATTGTCGACCTGTGTGATGTCCTACGGGGTGTGTTTGGGCGGGAGCCACCGGTTATGGCTAAGCAGCCGGAGCAACAACCTGCTGCTCCGAAGGAACCTCCGCCGTTACCACCATTGCCGTCTGAACTGGCCACGAAGAGCTCCCCGCCCCAAACCCGACAGTCCCTGCCGGTTCCGCCCCCTGTGCCGCCGCTACCGAAGGAATTGGCTGCACATGAGGATGCACGAAGATACTCTGTTCAATCTATGCCGCCGCCGGTTCCCCACCAACAGCCTCCGCCTCCGCCGCCGCCCCCGAAGCCCCCCGTCGCCGGTAGAGCTGGCACACCTTCCCAGCAGTATGCTACACCACCGATGGAATACAGAGGTGTACCACCCCCGGGATCCCCACAAGTGCAAGGCCGGCCTATGCACCACCCCCAACAGCCTCTTCCCCCTCCGCCGCCGCAGCCGCAGCATGGCTCTCCACCTCCGCCGCCAAAACCGCAAATGTTTTCCTCAGCACGGCCCCCCTCATACCAAGGATACCCACCCCAGTATCCACAACCACAACCACCTACCCCGAAACCCGCTCCGCCAAACGATCTCCTCGACTCACCCTCCCCGGCATTAACACCCCTTCCCTTACACCCACCGCCACCACCTCCCAACCCCGAAAAATCGCACCTGCTAGCGCGCATCGGCGCCGCCCTCCACACCCTTGCCGAAACCTCGCACTCCCAAACCTCCTCGGCACTCTCCGGCGCCTCAGCGCAGCGCACGGCGCTACAGGCGGCACTCCTCCAGCTCGAGCGCGAAGCCCATGAGCTCCGCCACATCAACGGCGTCTGCAACAGCGACGCGGAAATCCTGCGTGAGAGAATAGCCATGGCCGAAGCGGTGATCCAGGATTGTCGGACGCGCGAGCTGCCAGACGTGGATGCAATGGTTGTGGCCGGAAGCGTGGTCGAGACCCAACTGTACGAGCTCGTCGCGGAGGAAATGGCAATCGAAGATACTATCTATGTACTCAGCAAGGCGCTGGACCGGGAGAGGATCACGCTCGAGGTGTTTTTGAAGGTAAGTTTCCGCCCCCCCACCATATGTGGGTGTAGCGAGGAGTGAAGCTGATAGGCCCGGATAGCATGCTCGCACGTTGGCTAGAGAACAGTTCATGAAGAAGGCGTTGATTCAGAAGATTTCGGAGGAGTTGGGGATTGATTCGCTGTTTGACCATACTCGTGTGCAGCCTATGTAAGACTATTACGGCGTGCTTTTTTCTCCGGTTTTGGTTTTCCGTCGACAGTCAGCCCAATTCGTTGGCTCGGGATGATAACCGTGTCTCCTACTCCTACTCTTGGTAAAGTTGGAGATTGGGTGAAGGCGGAGGTAGACAGGGCGGGAAATGTCAGTGATGCGCTGTGAACAGGCGTCGTTTTGTGTGCCGTGAACAGGCGTCGTTTTGTGTGCCGTGAATTCCGCGGCGTTTAGGAGTATCTATGTTGTTGGTTGTAACAATTGCGCCATGTGTGATATCAATCAGCCACCAAAGCATTTGTCTTATTCTCTAGGATACAGCTAGAATAAAATGAAGGCGTTGGTATGTATCGAAAATTGATGTCTGCCACTAGGCTACACGTAGGAGAAAGAGGTCCCACATAACATCTTTGTGTAGGTACACCGGAGAATGTTCTCAACGGCCCAAACAGGTCCTAAATACCCAGCACACGCCCCGACCACGTCTTGCTGCAATGTAGGCACACGTATCTATTGCAAAGTAGTTACCGGCCGGTAACGAACACGCAGTAAGGACCACTAGGTACCTACGGCACTCAATCGCACGAATTTACAAGTATTGCGCGGTAGGTAGTTATCTTCCTGCACTGAGGGGTACCGATCCAGCCAGACGTAACGGTCACGACCGGCGGGCTATATACACTTTGATGGTACGGCAGCGTAGGTGCTAGTAGCTCAGTACCGCTCGGTGCAGTGCGATGTCCGCGTCGCCGTCTCACCGCATACCGTTCGGTACCGCTGATGCCGCGGAACAGCATAGGTAGTGCTCCCGAATAACATTCGGTGTGGTGCTACTGCACCGGTTGTCTCCGCATGACCTCACACCGCACACCGCACGCTGTACGGGCCCGTATGTACAGACCGCGTCCACAGGCGGGATTTCCGCCAGCGGCATTCACCCTGGTGGTATTCCGGGATTGTAGAGTAACGACATAGTCATTACTTGTAATCCGACAGCCCGCCAGACTACATAGGTAGGTACGCAAACTACCACGTAGCTCAAGAAGCTTCAGACGTCGCCCGTTTCTACATACATGCACCAAGAGTGACCATTTCCGCCAACAGATGTCCTTCGGGAGTATAATTTCTATGCATATGTACGCCGGAAAGCCTGCTTGGGCCTAGAGTCGCGAAACCATCCACAACCGGCCGACCTACGGCGCCGCGAACAAAACGAGTGATATGCAGTGGATGATTGTAATCAGCTTCCTTCTTCCATTTCCTTTCCTTCCTTTCATACTTCACCGTCCATTCACTGAACACTTCACCGAGCACCTAGAAGACAACGTTTTTGCAAGCGATTAACACGAACAACGACAACGACAACCATGTCGTCCTCACCCCCCACCAAAACCGCGCCCCCCTCGCCGCCCACGCTCGCGCCGCCCAAGTTCGCGCCTCACTCGAGCATCAGCGAGAAGCCAGCGAAACCGAAGCAGAGCACGCCCTTACCCCCATCAAGACCGCACCACCATCGCCGCCATCGCCACCCAACAAGACGGCGCCGCCCTCGCCGCCCCAGCTCGCGCCGCCCTCGGGCATCAACAAGAAGCCCAAGAAGCCCAAGAAGCCCAAGAAGCCCAAGAAGCCCAAGAAGCCCAAGAAGCCCAAGAAGCCCAAGAAGCCCAAGAAGCCCAAGAAGCCGAAGAAGATCCCGCGCGACCCGCTCCTCAAGCGCCCGCAGTCGCCGGCGGCCGAGTGGATCCGCAGTCGCTCCCCGACGACGACGAGATCGACAAGCGCATCGGCGTGGGCGAGAACGAGAAGCTACGCGCCGAGCTTGAGGCGCGCAAGAAGCAGGTGCGCTGGGCCGTCCAGCGGTGCTATGACCTCGAGCATAAGTACCACGTCCCCAAGGAGGACAGGATCTACCGCATGAGGAAGGACGGGAGGTATAGACCCACCAAGGCTGAGAGGATTATCATGTTCAAGACGGGGGGTGGAGGGGGGAGGAGGTGGAGGAGGAGTTGGAGGAGAAGCAGGAGGAGAAGGGGGAGAAGGAGGGGTGGGTGTACAAAATGCCCGGAATGTGGGTTGATTAGAGAGAGAGTGAGAGAGATGAAGAGAGGGAGATAGAGAGAGAACATCAATTCATTGTCGCATGCGGCCTTACTAGACTATGATGACTCCAATCTTCCCGACCTTTCCTACCAGCTCTGTAGGGTAGAGAGAAAGCCCGATCGCCTCCTGGGTACTCTAATTCCCTTTGCTGAAGTGCGCCGAGAGCCAAAACGAGTGATGTGCTATGGACGGCAGTAATCTGACGATTCTTGACGCTAGCGCGAGAGGAGGTATTCCACTGTCACAAGACTGAATGGCCTTAGCAGCCGCCATTCACTCTGACCCCAAAGCTCATTTCTCTCCGCCCCACCGACCCACCAAACCACTGCGTCCGTCTTTTCCTTCCCTTTCCTTTCCTTTCCTTCCCACCATCCTACCACCGAACACTTCACGGACAACTCTCAACACAAGCGTCGAACAACAACAATAACGACAACAACAACATGACACCCATACCACTCACCAAGATCGCGCCCCCATCGCCGCCCAAGCTGCCACGGCCCTCGGGCATCCTCAAGACGACGAAGCCGAAGGCGAAGACTGCCGCCGCCGCCATCACCATCAAGGCCGCCACCATCAAGACCATCAAGACCACCACCTCCACCGCCACCACTGCCGCTACCGACGTGATGCTCGACACGCTCATAGAGCGCCTTGAGTCATTCGGGGCCGAGCCGATACCAGCGCAGCGCATGCTCGAGTCCCTCGTGGACGAGAGTGCGATCGACGACCGCATCGAGATGGCTGAGAACGAGATGCTGCGCTACGAGCTAAAGGAGCGGCAGAAGCAGCTGCGCTGGGCCATCCAGCGCAGCATGTATCTGGAGCGGAAATACGAGGTCGGCAACAAGGACAGATCCTACCGTTATCGTTCGGTGAAGAAGGGAAGAGCGGCTAAGATCATTGCGGCCAAGATGGGGGCGGGAGGAGATGAGGAGAAGGAGGAGAAGGAGGAGGAGGAGTGGGAGCCGGAGTACAAGATGCCCGGTTCGTGGGTAGATTAGACGGATAGGAAATGGGAAATTGAATTGAGCGAATCATGACTTGTGACCCACCGTGGTAGTTGTAGAGTAACGACACCAGCCTATGTATAAGTGTAGAAAATTGAGCTATTGTATTAAAAGTAAAAACCTATACTCAGGGCCTCGGGCGATCGTCTCGTGGCATCACCACCACCTACATATGGTCAGTGGAACTTACCGTACTCGGTGGATTTACTGGCTCTCCCGTAGAGTAGATCTTGGTCTCACAGAAGGTGGGTATCAAGGTCCGTTGGGGCGGACATTGTTTGACTCTGGGTCTCGGGAAAGCTCTACCACCAGGGCCTGTTGCTGCGCCGCTGCCTACTAACTAATTTTACAAAGAAAAAACATAATCACACTCATTGCGCACACCCTGGGCAAACCCAGCACCGTGCCGGGCACTCTTGTTCGGCTCCAGATGCGGTTGACCTACTCCAATACCCTTTGCCGAAGTGCGCCGAGAGCCACAACGAGTGATGTGCTATGGATAGCCGAAATCCGACGATGTTTCACACTAGTGCGGGAGGAGATTCCACTCTCGCAAGTCTGAATGACTTCAAATGGTCCAGCAGCTACCAGACGCCATTCAGTCTGACCTCAGAGCTCATTTTTCTCCGCCCCACGAACCCACCAACCCACGGCTTCCGTCTTTCCTTTCCTTTCCTTTCCTTCCTTTCCTACCTTCCATCCACCGAACACTTCACGGACAACTCCACACAAGCGATCAATAACAACGACAACAATAAACCATGTCGTCGAGACACCCCACCAAGACCACGCCCCCCTCACCGCCAAAGCTCGCGCAGCCTGCGGGCATCCTCAAGAAGACGAAGACGTCGAAGAAGACTCCCGGCGACACCAAGGCCGCCACTACCACCACCGCCGCCCCCTCCCGCCGCGCCCCACGAGCACCCGCAGTCCCCAGCGGCCGAGTCCATACGCGCGCGGCGTATGCTCGAGTCGCTAGAGGACGACCACTCGATCGACCAGCGTACCAGCGTCAGTGAGAACGTGCTGCTGTTGGTAGAGCTCAAAGAGCGCCACCAGCAGGTACGCTGGGCGCTCCAGTGGTGTCTAGACCTGGAGAAGAAGTATGATGTCCCCGACGAGGACAGGATCTACCGCCCGCGTCCGCTCAAGAGGGGGAAGGGGTATACCCCCACCAAGGCCACCAGAATCGTTGTTGTGAAAATGAGGGAAAGGAAGAGAGAGGAGGGGGAGAAGGAGAAGGAGGGGGAGGGGGAGGAGAAGGAGAAGGAGGTCAAAGTGAAGAAGGTGAAGTGGGCTTTGGTCTCGCAGACTCCCAGCGAGATCTGAGAGGTGGTGTTTCGTGATGTTTTTTGGCTGAATAATCACGTGCCACGAATAATAAATACGGATTTTGACGAGGATGATTCAGTTGGATCAGCGACAATTCACGGTAAGCCTCACATCAGCAAGGGTGCGCCCTGCTCACATTTTACTGCGCTGTACTGATAGGTAATGACGAGTACTGACCGGTACCGCTGGCTTTCTGCTGTTAGACAACCGTACTGTCTGGTACCGGACACACAGTACTTAGGGACTATCGCCGCGTGTTACTTGCGGCGGAGACTGTCAGCAGAAATGTGAATAGTATGATACTGAGGTAACGCTCAGTATTGCTCTGTACCGACTGGTACCGCTATCGCCGCATCGCCGGGAGTAATACTGACCAGTACTACATGCGGCCGGGGCGGGCAGGAAACTGGAGGTGGTACAGGTCCGTAACCTTCAGTACTGCTCTGTACCGAGTGGTACAATCATTGTCCACACCCTCTGCAAATGCAATACGTCGCCGGGAACTCCTGTTCGGCTCCAGATGCGGTCGACCTACTCCTTTTTTTTTGGTTCATCAGTAATTGCTTGCGACATACCTATGTAGATCATGGTAACATATGACACACTCCGGTTCCATGCCACTGCCGAACCATATTATCAACATGCTTTTTTTCGGTTCATTCTGTTGGAGTATGAGCCGTCCGGAAGCGGTCTATGACCGCCCAGCTATGCTGAGGGACCAGAGCAATGTTGGCAGTCTACAGCAATGTTGGCAGTCTACAGCAATGTTGGCAGTCTACAGCAACGTTGGCAGTCTACAGCAATGTTGGCAGTCTACAGCAATGTTGGCAGTCTACAGCAATGTTGGCAGACAGCTGCAATGTTGGCAGATGGCGGCGGCAATGTGGGCAGAGAAAGCATGAGCGAGTTCAGTCGTCTGCACGCTGTGGGAGGGTCCGAAATTCTGTATATATAGAGGACCCCCGGTCCGGCGAGACTGGAATACAAGACAACAATCAGCGATTACATCTTCTACTTCTAACACATTCATTGATTGTATGCGACCTATCTAGATCATGGCAATATCATATACCCGTGCACCCCCCCGTTTCCACGCCACTGTTCAACCCAACTTTCATCAGGCGGTCCGATGTGGCTTTTCACTGCCCTCCGCCATGGCTTTTACCGCCAAAATGTGGGCGCTCCACGCAGAGGCAGAGCGAGGAAGAGGCAACGTCCGTCTCCTCGCCAATTATACCCATAATTCCCTTTGCTAGGTGAGCAGAGCGAGTGATATACTATGATTAGCCGTAATCCGACGATGCTTCACGCTAGCGCGGGAGGTATCCCAATCTCGCAAGACTGAATGGCTTCAATCTCTCCAGCAGCTGCCAGCCGCCATTACTCTGACCACAGACCTCATTTTTCTCTGCCTCACCAAACCACTGCTTCCTTCTTCCCTTTCCTTTCCTTCCTTCCTTTCCCACCATCCATCCAATACCTCCTCACACAAGCGTTCAACCACAACCACAACCACAACAACAACAACAACAACAACAACAACAACAACAACAACAACAACAACAACAGCAACAACAACAACAACAACAACAACAGCAACAACAACAACAGCAACAACAACAACAGCAACAACAACAACAGCAACAACAACAACAGCAACAACAATCATGTCGCCGAAGCAACCCACCAAGTTCGCACCCTTCTCGCTGCCCAAGCTTTTACGGCCCTCGGGCATTCTCAAGAAGACTCAGCCAAAGAAGTCTCCCGCCACCACCACCACAAAGACCACCACCAAGACCACCACCACCACCGCCCAGACCACCGCCCAGACCACCACCGCCACCACTACCACCTTGGTCACCACCGCCACCGACCCGCCCTCCCCGCTCCCCGAGCGCCCGCAGCCCCCCACGGCGGAGTCAATGCTTGCGCAACGCATTCGCGAGTCGCTAGTGGACGACCACTCGATCGACCAGCGTATCAGCGTCGATGAGAACGAGCAGCTGCTGGACGAGCTCACGGAGCGCCAGCAGCAGATACGCTGGGCGATCGAGTGGTGCATCGGCCTGGAGAACAGGTACGACGTTCCCAACGGGGACAGAATTTACCGTCCGCGTCCGCTCAAGAGGGGGAGGGGTTATTCCCCCAGCAAGGCCGCCAGGATCATTATGGTGAAGATGTGGGAGAGGGAGGAGGAGGAGGAAGAGATCTTCCTGTTTTATTTCGCATGCAGCCCATCTAAAGTTCGTGGGTGGATTAGAGGGATAGCAAATTGAAGATTAAATCGAGCGAATCATGACTTGTGATCTACCGTGGTGGATGTAACGAACCCGAGCATACATTGTGCAAGTACATAATCCATGGTCTCCGTAGTCGCCGCGGGCTCTACTATACTAGTATACCTACCTACGCATCGTCCGCCGTGACCGTCCGCTGCGATACCTTCTGGTAAGCTACCAAGTTCCGATAAACAGGACGACAGGCGATAGCTTCTATGGAACTACAGTATACGGTGCCGTAGTACCTGTAGCGAACAGAGTAACGGAACGAGTAACACACCGACTTCCAACCACACCCTAAGCCTTTGGAGCCGAGCTCTGAGCCTGGCATTTTCCCTCTCGAGCGCGACGATGCGCAGTCCCCGCACCTCTATTATGCCGTTCAGGAAGTCCTCCCACTCCTCCTCGGAATACTGGGAATCATCGGGTGCTACCCCATCCTCCGCCTCCTCCTCCGCCTCCTCCTCCTCCTCCTCATCCTCCTCCTCCTCCCTAGACGCCAGCCCGCTTTGCTGCGTGGATGCCTCACCGTGACGTTCCGCCTCCTCCTCCGTCCCCGGCTCCTGCTCGTCGCCACCGTCCTCGGAGTCAACTGACTCTACCGTCGGCTGTCGCCGTGCAACTTTGCGCGACGATGACGACGACCGGTACGGGACGCTGCGCTTCTTCTTCTTTTCCCCAAGCGACGTCCGGGTCGAGGCGGGTGACATTCCGAGCGCTGTTATGTGTGCTGGAAAGGCTGGGAAGCCTGGGAAGCTTAGAAAGGCGTGAGGAGATGTGGGGGGATGTGGGCTCAGGGATGCAAAGTAGTTGGTGGAGGGTTGCTGTCAGAGTGGGGGAAGTGCGGTTTCTTTATATACGCACATAGGTGCGGTGCCCACATAGCTAAATAAGCACCTTTTTTCGTAGAGGGCTGCTGGTCGCGGGGATTCATGGCTTATCCACAGCTTTCTAGACAGCGCAGCTACAGCTACACAATCACCGGCCTGCGAAGGACTTGACCACCGCGCACTTGGACTCGGAAATGATCTACCAGGCACCTCCTCATACCAATGAAGCCATCCTGCTACGAGTAACCGGTTTCATGAATGTGTGTACGCCACCGCGCAAGTTGGCCGTCACGTAGATAAACTTCACAGCTCGTCCACGTGGAGGCCAGTCGGAGAGGCTTGGATGACATTCTGTGGATATCGAAAAACTAGTGGCAGCCGGACAATCCATACAGGGCGTAAAGAGACGCTCTAGCAGACTAGCACTCTGTAATAGTAGGGTAGCACGTTATAGTGAGGGAGGGGGAGGACGGAGACATCAGTACTTTGGGCTCGCAAGTAGTTTCTATTATCCATGTTTCGCGGCTTTCGAAGATGTTGTCAAACCATCCGAGATAATCATAACTTTCATCCTCCTCGATTCCACATCTCCAACCCTTCGACATACTCCCTTCCAAGGTGTATCCATATCCTTCATCCTTCCATCTTGTCGTTTGGGCGGTGCGGAAGTTCGGAGATCGTACGAAGAGAAGATGCGGTAGAGGGAGAGAGAGTTGCAGAACAGGAGTCTCGACTCTCAATATTGTATTGGCTATCTGACTTGATGAAGATACGAAAGAACAGGCAACATGAGCGGTTTATAGAATAAAACAGGAGATACAGAGGCATACAGTCCCCCGACATCTGTCTTCCATCCTTGAACTATGTCGTTCTACATTATGCGTCATGCCTTTGGGTTCGCCCGGCTGTGTTGACGCATATACATAGTAGGTAGTTCTTCACATCTCTTAACCAGATACCTTCCACCTCCCGCATGTACAAAAGTGCAATGATTGCCAGTGTCGAGGCGTGCTCGGAATAACGGCCACTCAATCGGTTGAACCCCGTTTCTTTTTGCCCGATGATCCATCGGTTTCGTGCGTGGGCCCGTGGGGCTTCCCATCTTTTCTGACCATTTGCGGTGTGCTCCTTTAGGTAGTGGACGCTCTTGTTGCCCACGCCTATATATCCAGACCCAAAAATGAAAGGGAAGGAGCTATGTAAAGAACAGAGCAAGATGGATTGGATTGGTGATCGTGTATATATGCAGATGGAATGACGGCAAGAAAGGAAAGAGAAGTAGGTACCTAAGCTCTTGAGTGCTACTCCATTACTATGTGGCGACTTCCTGAGGTGTGAGGAGGCCAAGCTCCCGGGGGCACGAGCCAAGGCGCGAAGGCACGTGGGATCTGCGGAAATGGGTTGACGAACCGTCGAGGTGATGAAAAGGGTTGCGAGAAAACATGAGGGAGATGAAGAAGGTTTGAAAGAAGCTTGAAGAATTGACAGAAAGGTTCAATTCGGGTTATCAGACAAGAAGAACAATAAGAAGATGATGAAGAGGGGAAAGAAGAGCTCTCCTCCCTAAGCTCTCGGCTTGGACGTCCGCCAAGGCGCCAAGGCGTCCAGCCCTGACAGCCGAGTGTCAAGGAGCGAAGCTCACGCACCGGGTGTCTAGATAATGTTTGGAGACTGGCTTACTGCGCAGGATGCTAGAAATGGGGCGAGAGACTCGTGAAGGAGGCCGAAGCTGAAGTTTGATGGGTAAGTTGCTGGTGAGGTTCTATTCTTGCTACAAGGTTCTGTTCTAAAGGGAAGCCTTCTCGTCTTCTCCCGAAACCGTCTTGGCAACCATGACAGGTCCCCCGCCTCCGAAAGCTCGGACCCCGAGCTAATTCGCTCACTTTGGCCATCATCTGACAAAAGACACATTCCGCCATCGTACAGGTATTTTAAACATTTCCTCGTGCTCTTCCGCCTTCGACGCTTGCCACCTCGATCGTCTGCTCTCCGTCTTCCTTCACTTGCCAAGACGTCGCCTTTCCGTGCGACGCCCCCGCGGAAGACCGGAGAACTCCCGGGATTGCTGAGTGACCCGTGAAGACTCGGAACGGTGAGCCGCCGAGGTGCTGTCGGAGTCGGCCCACGGCCCACGCTTGACACTTCCCGGCCTTGGCGCACGTGATCTGGCTTCTTGCCTTGTCGGTAGGCCTGATAGGTTCATCGATGATAGAGCTGAAACTTCGAATGATGCGGCTCTGTCAGTAGGTTGATCAACAACCCTCGTAAAGAAAACAGCTCCTTTTCAATTGTGAAGGCGGCTTGCTTGTCACTGGGACTCGAAGAGCAGGCCGCAAAGGTTTGCTGACACACCGTGTGAAGCGACGGATCCACCCCTTGCAAACACACGGATACAGTCTGCGTTATATTGCCCAGCCTATCTGGAGATCGCGTTGTAAGGCACCCAACCGGCCGCGACCAACATCTGGGTGAGGGCGAGTGCTACCAAGGGGCCGGACAGTGATAGGCGGTTTTGGTACACCTAGCGTTGTGCAAGGCTACCGCTAGCGGCCACAGGCATTCCGTCGAGGGGCCATCGGAACGGGCTTCGTTGCTCGGGCGTAAGGGAAGTTTCTGCCTCGCATCCATTAGGAACTGTTGAAATATACGGGTAGACAGATGATGATATTCTATTTGATACAGAAGAAAAACCTATCGTCTGCGGCGAAGGCCTCTATTTAATAATGAGAGGCCACCTAAGGTTGGCCGCCGAACAAAGTTGGCCGCTCATCAGAGTTCGCCGGACCCGCTCATCAGAGTTTGCCGCCGCGTAACCATATGCTCGTCGATGGTCCATCGTGGCCGTCAAGACTTTTCCACCGCCGAACCGTCTTTAGATCCTGCAAAGGTGTGATATGCTGAGCGTAGTAGAGCAGAAGGTGACGGTTCCAAGGCCAATGAAGTATTCGAGCTGGGAGAGCGTGGCTGGGAACGGTATTCCAGCGACTGCGCCGCCTATTGCTTCCGTGGTCGTCAGTCCGAGTCTGTCGACGAGGTAACCAAGCCGTCAGGGAACAGAGCTCACGGGCCGAGTAGATAAGGTTTGGAATAGGCTTACTGCACTGGAAAAGCTAGAGGTTTGTCTGGCAGTCGCAACCAGAACCTCCCTGGTTGCTGCTGCTGCCTCAGGGATTACTGGTGCACGCGGGACAGTCTTTCATGTCTTTCGTGCGGCCTGGCCGGAGTCCCGCTCACCTTTCTGTGAGTTGGGCGAAGGTCCGCGTCTGCATCTAGACGTATCGTGCCTGCCCCCACATATGGAGCACTTATCCTCCTTCACGAAGTTTGCCAAGTAGGTGTTCGACTCGTTGTGAACCTGCTTCCAGAACTCGTCTTCGTCTGATGTCAGGGTGATCCTGGATCGCAAGGCGGTTGGCTCGATAGCATTGCGGATCTCACTGCACATCAGATTCCATGATGTGAAACCAGACCGTCTGGCCAGTGTCCTAGATTTGCTCTTGAAAGCGAGATTTGCCAATTGTAGAAAATAGCAGAAACACAACAGTAAACTTGGAAAACGTACGGTCACGACACAGAAATCGAAACGAGAAGAGAACGGCGAGCCCCCTTAGATAAGAGTGAGCGGCGAAAACGCAACGTTTGGCCGCCCGCATCAGGTTGGCTCGACGACGATGTCAACAAACAGAAACAATCACTACAAAACCAATTGGTCTCAACAGGTCTGGGAAGGTCTAGCCTCAAAAACAGAGAAGTCCACCCAGGTCTGCCCAAGTCTAGTCGTGTCCAACCAAGCACCAGTCATGTCCCACCAAGCACCAGTCGTGTCCCACAATCTTGGCGAGCCGCCCCATGCCGTCAGAAACTGGTCTCACTCGGGTCACACCGTCGATCAGGCTGGACACAGCCCTCCGCCGCACCCCGCGCGTGTCAAGTCATGCTCGTCCCTTCAATTCCCTCGGTAGGTATCCGGGAGGAGAGCAAGGCTCAATGGGTAAGTAAGATGTATGGATTACCTAAAGTATAGGTATTCCAAGCCCTTCTGCTCATCGGATCCAATGCCGCGCGTCCGCACCAGTGCTGCTGCTCCCGCGCTGCTCACCGCAAGAATCGACCGATTATGCTATGCGAGTAGCTCTACAGTACAGCGATCCTATCGGCCCAGTGCCAACATCGTTCGCCCTCCTGAGTCCCTCCTGCTCCCTCCTGCTCCCTACCGCTGGGAATCGGCGGAACGTGTGGAACCACCACCACCACCACCACCACCACCAGCACCACCACCGCTACCATCGTCACACCGTGCTCGAAGTTCTAACGAGTGATCCTGCACACCCCACCCCCCCCCCCGCACGTCCCCCGCCCCCGCCACCCACCACCCGGGGTGCATTACCATTACAAAACGGAACAGAGTGTGTTCCCTCGAGATCATGTGGGTCTACTGTAACTCTATGCGGTAGTAGGAGCGTAAAATGCTAGAGCTCACTCGCCCATGTTTCCATGATTGAGTGACATATCATGATGGCCAGTGAGGGCCTTGTATGTAGCTCCTCCGATATCTCCATCTCTTTCATTACTACAGTAGCAAAAAGTAGGGTGCGATTGATACGGGGTGAATACTTACCCTCTAGCACTCCAGATGCTGCGTGCGTAATTGACTGACCGGACGGACGAAGAGGAAGATGCATTGATTGCATGCGACCCATATCTGGGTCATGGTAATACCGTATACACACACCGTTTCCTCGTCCACTTTCAAACCCGACCTCAATCCCCCCCGCAGCCCCCAGTCGCCCCTAAAAATTATTCGGAAGATTCTCACAATTGGTGGATGGAACTGCCTATAGTAGTCGAGTGAGAGATCACGATTCACGTGTAGACCCTACAAAACACATTTCATATCGAATCGTCCCATTGAGGTAGGTAGGTCCCATTATGAAGTTCAGGAGTTTTGTTTGTTCCCAAATCTACTCCGAAATGAACCGGAAGACTATAATCAAGCCCCTATGTAATCAAGCCGAACTTGCAAAACCCGCAACAGAAAAAGAAGAAAAAAACCAAGCAGAGGTTAAGAAGATGAAGAGAAAAAAAAAGGAACCAGAAATAAACCACCACCACCACCACCACCACCATCTCCAGCACCAGCAGCACCAGCAGCACATGTCATCATCATCTCCATTTTTTATCCGGCATCCACGAATCCACGGGGGCAGCACATATTAATTAATACACAACCGCCTTCTGCGCGGACTCGACCAACTTGACAGCATCATCGTAAGCCTCCTTGAAGCCCTCCTCAGGAGCGACCTCCTTGCCCTTCTTCCCGGCACCAGCCCCGGGCATGACCATGACGACACTAGTGGGGCGCTTGGTGGCGCCGGCAGCACCGAGCTCGGCACGGCTGGAGACAAAGATGTAGGGGATTCCGTGGTCCTCGCAGAGCACGGGGATGTGCGAGATGACGTCCATGGGCGAGATGTCGGCGGCAAGGACGACCAGCCCGTTCGACGGCGTTGACGTGCCTGCCGTCGCCGCGGGCGACTTGCGCAAAGCTTTTACTACCTCCTTCACGCCGCGCTTGAGACACTTGTTTTTCGCGCCTGAAAAAAACGTCAGCACGCACATAAAGCAACGAATTGACCCCGCATTCCTCCCCCGCATTCCTCCCCCAATCCACACATCCACCCACCACTCGCACGGGAGGGGATCACGTACCCTTCTTGACACACTTGAGCACCTTCTTCGTAGCCTTCTCATTGGCAAGAGGCTGCGCGAAGGGGACGATGAGCTCGTCGTGAATTTGCGGCACGGCACCGACGACATCGACGGACTCAGCGACGCCCCTGACCTCGACCGAGACCTCAGACTTCTTCTCGAGGGCGTCGAGCAGTGCGGACGCCGCGTCGGCAGTCACAGCCGCCGCCTTGCTGCTCTTCTTCTCCTTCTTCTCCTTCTTGTCCTTCTTGCTCACACGGTTGGAGCCGTCCGAGACTGGGTCCTCGAGTTTCGCGGACTTGTCCTTCTTCTCCTTCTTCTCCTTGCGCTCTTTGGCCATTGCTGCGATTGTGTGTAAGTGTGTGTGGGTGGGTGAGTGGGCGGGTCGAGGGAAGAGTGCGGGTGGAAGGAGTCGCGAGTGCTTTTGGTTGGTTGGTTGGTGGACGAGCGGTGGTGGTGGGTTGACGTTGGGATCTGTCGCAAAAAACTTTCGACGCCTGCGGTCCGCTCTAGTTAGCTTTTTTTGCCAGGTCCGCGCTAGCGCGTGGCTTGGCCCGTCCCCAGTCCCCCAGTCCCCAGTCCCCAGTTGCGGCTCCGCCCTGGTGGGTGGCTCAGTCGCTGCTGCATCGATTCGCACTCTTGCAAGCAACGTTGCGACAGAGCACATGCCTCTTAAGGGAAACTCCGGACCGCCCATTCGATATAGAGAGGATATGTACCGGTAACTTGGATCCTTACCGTACTCACCGTACTTGAGCACTTGAGCACTTGCATAAGACAGTTCCCGACATCACCAAAGGTTTCATCACCAGCCCGCCACCCAGCCAGCCATCCAGCCATCCAGCCCAGCGGCCCAGCCCATGCATCGAAACCACCCTGTACACGATGCAATGCAATCCCCCTAACTTTTCCGTGCCTGCAATTATTGACGTGGCCGTTTCACGATGCGAAGCGAGACGGAGACGCAAATAATCATGTGAATCTCATATCACCTTGTAACTATGATGATGATGGACAATGAGACAGACAGAATCCCTTCTCTCGTGATGGTTGGTAGAGCAGTGGGGCATAGGTATGATATGTAGGTTACAAGCTTGATTATGTTGCCCAAGTACCCATAGTTGACTGAGGAATAACAACAGAGGTAAACGCAAAAAAACAAAGATAATACTCATGCCCGCATGGGCTTCTCATAGAAATATAAAAAACCCCAAGTTCCCAGTTTGCAGAGCCGAACCAAAAAGAGAAAGAAAAAACACAACCACGTGCGGGAACGACAGACCGAACAGATAAGACAGAAACACCACAACGAGGGCTGGCGCAGAACTCCGTTAAAAAAAAGAACAAAAAATAGCCCGTCAAAAACAAAAAACAAACCCCGTCCCAACGGTGATGATGATGCATGCCCCCATACTGATAAAATAAAAACATGTGAAGAGTAAAAATATCATAAACGATTCCGATGATGAGGCGGGGGTATTCGTGATCGACATCTGCAAAGCAGCAAAGGTATCAAAATCAAAACACAGCCGACCGTCAGCATAAATGAGAGTACGAAAACAAACTCCGTAACGCGTGGAAAACAAAAACCCGCGTTTCGAGTACTTGTGTACTTGGTACCCTAAGCACCCAAGCCAACAAAGACCCCCCTCGTCCAACCCGCTCGGGGTACGTAAAGTAGATAATCGATAGAATCAAATGGGTGTGTAGAAGACAAGGATCGCTCCGACAAAGGCAGCAGCCCTATGGGTCGAGGTCTGAGTGTGTTGACACGAGAAAGCGACTATTCTTCCTCCTCTTCTTCTTCATCTTCGAGAGCGTTTTCGTTGTCATCGATCTCGTCTTCCTCCTCGTCCTCATCCTCGCGCTCGTCATCTTCATCGGAAGATTCGTCGCGGTGGGCCATGATGTTGTTATGGTTGGCTTCGGCCGAATTCAGCGCTTCCTCCCAGATGGTCTCCAGATCCAGATCGCCCCTCTTCTCGCCTCCGCAGACACTCCACCGTTTGCGCTTGTCGGCAGCACCCCACCTTGGCAGCCCCCGATCGAAATCGACACTCCGCCGCCGCCGACTGGGGCTACCGTCGTCCTCGTCCTCATTCTCCAATTTCGCCGCCTTGCGCTCCATCGCTTCCCTCAATTCCGCCTCGACGGCCTCCTGCTCGGCATCGGGCGAATCGGGTATCGTCTCGAGACTCGATATCGAGGGCGACCGCGATCGGATGGAAGTGGGCGTGCTTGGCGACGACGACGAAGCGGACGGTGGGTACATCATCTCGTTCACGAGGAACGACGGTGGGCTCGGAGCTCTAGGCGAGAACGACGATCCAGGGTAGTAGCCGTTCCTGGCGCCTGCTGGCGTCAGAGAGCTGGCATAGACGCGAGTTGGCGATGCACTCCGCGGTACGCCGACGAGGAAGGAGCTACGGTGAGTTGCGGGTGGTGTTGTGGGAGTTGGTGGAGTCATGGTGAGTGCCAGTTGGATTTTACCCTCGGGGATAACCAGCGGCAAGCTCGTGGAGCGAAGTAACGGGGGGGCGTATTCTCGCCGACGTCGGGGGATTGTGGGTGTTGGCGATGGTGGGGCGAGCGATGGGATGTATGAGGGGGGGAAGGTCATCGTCGCGGACGCAGACTTGGATCGGCCGTGTCCTCGAGTCGTTACGAAGAAGCGTTTCCTTGGAGGCGATGCTGCGCGGGGCGGTTTGATTGGTGATCGGGGAGAGGATTTGAGCGAAGCAGGGAAGTCCATCTGGGATGGGCGTACAGCCAATGGAGACGGGCGAGCAGCCGGCGGCAACGGCTTCGCCTCGGGGATTGGCGGAGGGGGGGACGAAAAGCAAGTTGAGTGAGGCATCGCTGCACGAATGTTCGTTTTGGACGAGAGTAGTGTGGTTCCTGGATGAGAGGGAGTTCTGTATAGTGCGTACAATGCAGCCGCACGTAATGGGCGGTGATTATCGATGATGAGGGGGGAGGTGAGAGTATGTATTTTTATTTATTTTTTGCTTTGTCGACGATGGAAGGATAGAAGGTGGTTAAGAACGTAGAGTAAGTAAGGTACTCTACTTGGGTAGGAGGTATCTGAAAGGCCAGAGTTCGTATGGTGGCGTTCGGGGGTTCGGTTTCACGGGCGCTTCTGTTCTCGTTCGCTCTCAGGCTCGGTTGGGGGTGGGGATGGGGAGGGGAGGGGGGGGGGGGGTTTAGTTGTAGAGTAGGTATAGTATGGTTGGCGCTGGTTGGCTTCGGAGGGGGGGGCCAGGCCTGCACAGTTGCGCGCAAACAAGGAGAAAGATGGAGAGAATGACGCTCAGGTCCGGATACTGAACCTTTTCCAGCTCTAGGGGGGTAGAGTGGTAGAGGGTAGCTGGAGTAGGTAACTCAGAGTTCGAATCGAATCGAAAAAGCAAGAGAGCGCGGGGGGGGAGGGGGCGGCAACTAAATGCTTCCCAACGATGAGCTGCGGTGCGGTCTCGACTTTTGCTGTTCTGACTGACCGATGCAGTCCGTAGTCTGCGTAGGGCGGAAGGTTGCGCGGATATACGTCTCGTCTCGTAGATATGCCGACGGGCGTTGCTTCGGTCCAGGTTGTTTGAGGCAGCGCAATAGAGTGACGTGCCTGTTGGTTGGTTGGAGTGACACCCGAGCCTCTGGAGGATGTAGTGCGTGCAGCGCCGCCCAACAGACAAACAAACCCGTGTGTTGACGAATAGCGGTCGAACGAAGCGACGGCAGTGGCTGAGATGGGGCTGTGTACGTGATGAGGATAACTATGGCGATCGAGCAAACCGAAGGGAGGCCGCGCGAGAGTTGAAGATATGCGTGATGGAGGGGATTCCGCGCGGTGAGTCTTGTCTTGCCGGAAGATATGGGAGGACGAGGAGTAGGAGGAGGACGAGGAGTAGGACGAGGAAGACGAGGAAGACGAGGAGGATGTAGTAGTAGTACCTTGTAGGTGGTGGTGGTGGGGGGGGGGGGGGGGGCGTGTGCGTGCTCGTGCTTCTTTTTCTTTCTCTTCCCCCTGCTGACTCTGGTAGAATTCAAAGCTCTTCTAATACAAGAGTATATCCGTCCTCTTCTCTGCTCTTGCCTTGCCGAGTGGCTCCTTTCTGTTATTCCTTTTCCGTGGAATGACTACCGTAATCTCCTGACCAGTGAATGAGTCTATTCGGCGGTTGTTGGTGTTGGTTGGCGGTGATCGATAGAGTTGCTGGGCAGTGGGGGGGAGTGGACAAGTGCTCCTGGCCTGTCCACGGGAGAGAGAACGCGAGAGAGAGAGCGAGACAGAGAGACAGAGAGAGCATGGACCCGTGGCGCACGCGGGCCCGTCACGACGGCCAAGAAGGAAAAAAACATGCCATAAGGGGAGACTTCACAGAGGCGAAGTTGCAGGGCGGACCCTGAATGCATGTCCGTCCCCCTTGGCCGGGCAGTTGAGTTCAGCACACACAGCGACGATCAACTTCTCTCACCGTATACGGGGAATGAATATCTACTGGACCAGAATGCAAAGAAAGGCGCGATGATTCGTCTCTAGCCCTTCGGACCTCGTGTTTGCTATAGTAGAGCAGGTATCAATCTACATAGTTGCCTGAATATGTGGCCAACGGAAGGTGGAGAGAAGAAAGCCTTGGTGGAAATCTGGAAATGAGAAGCTGCGACCGCCAGCCAAACAGAATCGAGAGGACCCCGGTGGCGCGCTCCGATCGGACTTTTCTCGTCCAAGGTCTGTCAGTCTGTCTGACGTTGGAAAAAAGGCCAAGCATCAGAACAAACCGCACCGTACCGTACGGTACCTGTCGCAACGCCCCTCCACAGGAACGACGGAAGCTGGAAAAACGCCGCAATAGGTAGGCTGTTGGACTGGGGGTGGGAAAATACCTACATGAGTACGTACAGAGTCTGCAGTGCAGCTCCCGCTCTAGAGCTGCAGTGCGATGAGATGCATACGGGCGAAGAGGAATCAGGACGCGGCCGTGGCTAGACTCCTCCTGAGGACTCCTCCTCCTCCTCCTCCTCCTTGAGAGAGAGAGTCCACCACCCACCCACTCACCCCCTGCGGTTCCGAACCACACACACACAGTCACGACATCGATCCTCGGTAAGTCGATGGGGCTAATCGGGGGGAGCGTCTGGAGGTGCTCGTGGCTGGAAGGAAACAACGGGCTGTGGGCGGTCCGGAGAGATGCCCCATGGTGGGTGGCCGACGCAGCAGACCCTATGGCGTGCTACCTACAGTACAAACCTACTTAGTAGCCGCGCGCGGCAATCACAAGCGCTACACATTCGGGAAATCTCAGGGTGAACAGCAGAGCAGAGCCTTCGTTGCGCTGTGGCTACTATGTCGTACACACCCATGCCACACTCTACATGGTGATGTGTCTGCTCACTCTGGAATGCTCGTGCCGCCCACCGCCGTCCACCGCCGCCGCTTCGGGATAAGCCATCCTGTAGATATGTACGCTTTTTCCATGCACTCCAGGCGCCGTGGTACTGTGCTGGTACATACATAGATCGGTCTCGTTGGAACTTGGGTACCTATGGAGAGGGGAAAGCAAGATGGATAGAACCGCTATGTATGTACTCAGGCACCCCATTGAGTACATAGAGTACATAGAGTGCTGGTCCGTGGGTGGAGAACATGGGGACCGATAACTACTGACAAGTCTTACATACATACCGTATCCCCCGCGGACTAATTTGTGGGGCCCCAGACGGGAGCGTGCATCCCATCCCACACGGCCAGTTCATGTGGACAGCCGCGCTTCACACGATAAGACGGTGAGTCGCGATCGAGTACTACATTACATACCACCTATAGCTACCCAGTACTTATCGCGACACGACTTTGAAGTTTGAACGAGTTAACTTCACGCCAACGATCGCACAATACCTACGGTATGTGGTATGCGGTATGTACATACGCATGAGAGAAACAAATAAGTCATCAAGCCCCCCGTCAAGGACCTATCAACGACCTGGCTACTCCAGAGCATGAACTCTCTACATAACGCCGCTCTATCGCGCCGACGCAGATACGTTATTTATGCAGGTATATAAAAGAAGCTGTATGGAATGTCCGTCGAATCTTGGAGGATTGAAGCCTTGAAGGGCCAAAATTGGCGCACGTAGTCAACCTTGCCCCGTGGGAGGTGCCTTATTTATAAGGATGATTTGTTTTGCTGCGCCCAAGCTGTCTCTTTTTTCTTCTCGCTGGGAGATACATGTCACGGTTGATGTACCCTTCCCACCGCTTGCCTTCGTGATCGGTTCGAATCTCACTTGGAGTTCCGAATGACTGTACACAGTGGACCGGAGAGCCCAAGTTTCCGTTTTCCCTGGGGATGTATGCATACCCTCCTGCTTGCTTCCCTTCGTGATTGGTTCGGATCTCACTTGGAGCCCCAAGTTTCCGTCTTCCGCGGGGATAACCATTGACCGCACTGCCGGGACTGCCCGCACTGCCGGGACTGCCCGCACTGCCCAGTGCCCATAAAGTACATACCGGTAGTCTGCAGGGCTCAAAGAGCCGAAGAGTCGAAGAGTCGAAGAGACGAAGCAGGAGCAGATGTTCACGCCTACATACTAGTAGGTATTACTAACCGTTGATTGTCAATCCCTGGCAATGATCGTCGGGGTCCATGCTTATGTGTGTACCAGTGCTCCTCGGCCGCCAACCGGTAGTTATCTAGAGCACCTAGAGTAGGAACAGTCCGACAACGCAGATGGCGACTCGAGATCCGAGACTCGTCGTGGAAAGAAAGTATGCCGGAATCGTTCAACTTCTCGATCAGTCACCCAGTCACCCAGTCACCCAGTCACCAGGCCCGACTCCTCCCTCAGCACGAATCACGACACATCGGGTAATCTAGCCCGAGATCCTTCGAGACGAATAGAGTACACACCATACCCCCGCTGAGGACCGCGTCGAAACGGTGCCTGCTGTACTCGAGTACATATGTAGTTGCGGCGTTGCTGTCGGTGGTGGTGGTGGTGGTGGTGGTGGTGGTGGTGGTGGTGGTGGCGTGAGGAGGAGGGGTTTGGCCGCTGGCGGGATGGACGTTACCACAACCAGGAATGTCAGGATGCAGCTCGCGTATCTACCCTAGCCTCTGGAGGTTTGACGGGGGGTGCGTTTCGGAAGCGCCCCCGTCCACGCCCACGCACAGGCCACAGGAGCCAAAGTGCCCTGTGCAGCGTAGTCTCCAGTCCGAGTCCGAGTCCGAGTTCGAAATCTCTGCCCTGCCCACCGGCTCGAGAGTCGAAACCGACTTATGTATGTGTGTATATATGTGGGTGAAAAACATGCACGCTGCCTGCACTCTGCACAGTTGAGCCCTGTGCTACTGCCGTCTCCTTGTTCTGATTCTTCTTCATCTGGCAGGCCGAACCTCCAGGCGGGCGCGGAGATCGGGGGGAGTGGGGGAAAGACGTTGCGCTACCTTAGAGTAAGAGCTCGCCCTATCCAGATACCCCACTTCTCCGCAGCCCGCCGTTTCCTTCCACCGCGGATGGTAGGTACCCCATGCCCTGCCATGCCCACCTGGGGGGTTCGATATGTTTCCCCGCCCTCCAACACGTGTTCGGCGAGGAGCGAGGTGAAACGGCGGCTATCATACTTCGTTTTTTTCTTTTTCTTTTTGCCGTAACCCCCTAGAAAGGTTTGCCCCAAACATTCGGGTCAAGAGACCCCGTTGATGGGTGGGTAGATGGGTGGGTGGGTCGGTGGGTGGGTCGGTGGGTGGCCTTGGTGGGTGGGTGTGCAACTGTGTCGAGTCGAGGGGAGTCGAAATTCGTATCCCGGATTCACCACACCCTCCGAGTACTCTGCTCCTGCTTCATACAGCAGTTCGTGTTCATGTTCATGTTCAGCAGACCCTGCATGTGCGTGGGATGGAGGGAGGGATGGAGAGAGGGAGGGAGAGGGGGGGGAGTAAGCCCTGCACTTGTTGATGCGGGTGAGGCAAGCGATTGATTGATTGTTGTTTCGGCGATAAGATTAGATCGAAACATACTTAATCAGCCAGCGTGATATCGACCAACCGACGGACGTTCCACAGTCCACGGTCCAGAGTCCAAGACATGCTGTGCAGTGTGTTCAAGTTCAGCTGAGCGGCGGGAGCTGTGACTCGAGGCGCACGGAGGGTGGGATGACTCGATACCTATCGTGTTACACGATCGATATCGGCATCGCTAGGTATCTATCGCCGGGGGAACCTGCTGCTATGTAGGACTGTATATATGGGGTACTGGGTACAAGTTACGCAGCTGGAGGTATGTACCTACCCAACTGTCCGTGGTTCGTACAATCGTGGACAAGAGTGAGACACCGTCTACCATCGCCACCTCTACGATCCCCCATCCGCACCAAGTTTGCGAGCCGAAACCCTTACATGCGGTATGTAGCTAGGAATCGTCAGACTCGACGTTGTAATACGACGTATATATGCATACGTTGAAATGTCGATCTGTTTTATGCATGCGAGTTCGCCTGAACCGGTCCGTGCCCGTACAGGCAATCGTGAAGATACCTACCTAGGCTACAGTGACAGCATAAGTAGATTAATGGCGAAGAGGAACTTGTTACTTGGGTCCTGGATTTAACCATTTCACAGCGAGCCAACAGCCAAATCACGGGGAGTGAACTGTGATATAAATGTGGCGTCGTGGCCAACCACCTCCACACTCCACACAACGGTGCTATATAGGCAATTCCAGTCGTGCATAAACCCTGCGCCACACCCACATACGAGTGATACCCATGAATCCACTGCTCTATCTACCACTGCCCAATGTCCATGGACCAGTTCGACCCAGCAAGCCTTACCAGCAGCGCTGGCCACAGAAACCCCCCGTGCTCGATCTCGGTCACAGTACGGCTAGCTGCTGTATTTCCAGCATGGAAGCAAAACAAAAAAGAATTGATGCACCAAACCCGGATTGAACGGGTGACCTTCAGATTACCCCGGATTAATGGAATTGAACCGAATCGCTTCAGTCTGACGCTCTCCCAACTGAGCTATTGGTGCTACTTGTGTGTGAAACGTCAGCTGTACACTTATGAGTTAACCTATGCGATGGCACAAATACAGCTGTCTGCCAGCCAGTCACGCACAGGTATTCGGTTCTGATATCTGATATCTCATCTCTGGATTATGGGTGATCATGGAAGACAATAATTACACTACGGATAGACACATGTGGGTTAACTCGAGTAATGGATAGGAATTCCTCAAAACGCCGCCGCTTCGCGCATCGATATCCGCATGCACTCGTCCGAGCTCAGCCCGGAAATCGTCCACTGCGCTCGCACCAGCTGCCACGAGTCCCAGTCCAGCTCCATTCCTTTTCCCGTGCAGGCATCGGTCGCGTCCTGCGCTACTACGTGCATAAATGTATGCATCAGCACGACTGTGAGGGAGGAGGAGAGGAGTGGAGATGGGGTGAAGGGGAGGAGGGGAGGACTTACGGCCGAAGAACCATGCGGTGTATCCCTCCGCCAGCAGCTGGAGGGTATTAATCGCGTCGTCGGTAATCTCCTCCACCTGGCCTAGATCGTGCGCTCCCTGTGCGCTCCCATCCGTCTCAACGGTCCGCGCCCTGAACCCCGCTGCATCCTCGGCGCTCCCATTCCCATTCCCATCCACCCCTAGCTCCAGCTCCTCAGCGGTATGATACCGTTCCTCGAGTACATCATCCATTACCTCTTCGACCAGATCCGCCCACTCCGCCCTTCCCACGGCCAACTGCGTCCCCTCGCCGCCGCGATCAAACTTCGTAAACAACTCCAGCACCCACTTCGCATCCTCGCGCTCCTGTAGTAACCCCTCGAGCCGCCCCTGGTAGCCTGCTAGCTCGGCTGCGAAATCGTCCGCCCAGAAGTGCGCCTGCTCCCGTGCCGTGCGCGGAAACAGGTGCGGCGAGAGCCCGAGCGCGTGTAGCGAGCTGATCTGCCGGGACATGTGGGATGTGAGGGATTGGATTGTTAAGGGTATGGGCTGGTGGAGTGGGAGTGCTTGTAGTGTGGAGATTGCCGAGGAGAGGGCGTGCGAGGTCGAGGTTAGTGTGCGGGTAAGCAGGATGATGTGGGAGAGGCCGAGGAGGGTGTAGGTTGATGGTTGCGGTCGGTGGTACTTGGATGGCGGCGATTTGGTGCGGGCCATAGGTATCTGACTTTTTGGACTGGCTGTGGGTGGCCGACTCGACAGCGAGATAATCGCTGGTGGGGTTACATTTATATGCCGTTTCCCCCCATCCTTCCTTTCTCCCGCCCTCGTCAGCCAGATGCACTCCTATACCTTCACTTACAGTACGTCGTGTTTGCAAGCCGAGTGGTATGTAGTTTGCTCTTTGCTGCTATCCTCGGCCGTAAAACGCGACTTCCATTGTTCCTCGAGTCTTGAATGACGCATCGAATGCCAACCCTAAAAATGACCCAATGGTACTTCCATCACATCGACAAGGCCACCGGAAGCCAGCCCCCGGTTCTGAACGTCGAAGGAATTCCCATGTAAAAGTGTTGGATAAAAAGACAATCTCGATGCTTATGATGTTCAATTACGGTGCAATCTCCCCGGACCGGAGGTCCTCTATATACAGGATCTCGAGTCCCTCCCATAGATCATGGGATAGCATACCGATGACGATGTGCGCTGATACATTGTCCGCCAGCATTGCTGTGGACTGCCAGAATTGCTGCGACCGTCATCGAGACATTCCAGAGTCCGAACGCGCAACTCTTCCAGCATTTCTGCGACCGTCGAGACATTCCGGCCGCCCAACTCTGACAAGAAGTACCACCAAGGCACCACCAATATCCCACGATATTGATGATGTAAGTAGTGGGGTAGGTAGCTGAAACATGCATTCCGTCTCATCCCGTCTCGTCCCATCTCATCCTATCAATCCCACTGCAGATATCCGTAGTGTGCCAACGTGGAGCCTAGGTGGGGTAGGAGTCTGGGGAAGTCGATGCCGTGGCGGCAGGCGAACGGGGAGCCAGGGTGCAAGACTCGAGATAAACCTCCGCTTAGCTCTGGCCTGTTTGTATGGTGGGGTGGTGGGGTGGTGGGGCAGGTGAGACATTCTTCCCGGCAGAATGTCAAAATTTCGGGTTGCCGAGTGCGGTTTGATGCTCTAAGTCGGCAACCAGGATACTTGCAGCCGGAAGAAAAGTGCTCCCGGAACTCGTGGCTGGTTCTTCGATTGAAGTATCTAGCAAAATAGAATTCCATGTAGCACCGGAATTCACCGACGTTCATCTGCCTCGCGGGCGTCCGTCGTTGTTCATCGAGTCACAGGACAGCCGGGCCACATGGTCTCGAGACTCGGGGGACAACCGCACTAAAAGAGAACCATCAAGCAAGGGCTGCTGTCAGCGCCTCCAATCGCGAGGCGAAACACCCGTTATCGAGAATGGACGAGATATAATGTGTACGGTTTGATATTGGCATGGAGCTATAAGTGCACTCAGTGTCACTCACCCACGAGTTGCGGGGTCGGGTTGGAGTGCATCTCCATCCGTTTCATCATGTTTGCCATCGCAAACATCCGTCCACACCGCTGTCAACGAGTATCTTCCGCGACCATGAGCTAGCAGGGGAAACAGCGGCATCAGATAGGTTTTGTCACCACAGGCCCCTGCGGTCGTCCAGTGCTGGTATTCGAAGCCCTGGACCCATTTGAGTGCCGACGCCCGTTATTGTGCGACGCCTGAGACGCCTTGGTCGAACTATCGCGAACCCTATTATCCCTTTCTTCCAGGACTCCGAGCCATGATCCATCCGTCCAGACTGTGGAGAACCAATAGGTAGTCTCGTGAAATCGTCCGTCTCAGTCCTTTATCTTTGCCCACGACGATTCAGTCTGCAATCGTCCCATCCAAGATCGGAGTAGGCAGGTTAGCATAAATCCAACGGAGCCTAGAATGCGAATGGCGAATGTGTCGAAATCAATGGGGCGCGCTGGGAAAACAAATTCAACCACTCGAATCAATCGATTTGATAGCGCTTATTCACAAGGACCCCCGAACCTCGTGGTCATCTACTGCTGATTCCTGCTGGAAGAACGTCTTCCAACTGGGGAAATCATTCCTAGCTGTCCATTGTCGGTATCGATCACTGAGGAGGACGAGACGGGCTGCAAAGAAGCTAGGTAGTGTCCTTCCCTCCAAAAGTTCGCCAGTGATAGGTATGTAGATGTATAAACGGACGTGAATGATCCTGTGAGGTGCCTGCATCGTTGTCCGTAGCGAAACGCAGTAATCATCAGTCCCGTCGCCAAAGCCCATTCCCAGTCCGCACTTAGTAGGTACGGGACGACGATGTTCTCTCGACGAAGAATGTCGTCTCTGGTTAGTGGCGCTTAACCCACCTCTGGGTGCTGTTAGTTTCGTTCCAGCTAGTGGCGGCGGCGCGGTAGCGCTAAGTTCCCATCGTCGCCCATAACTGCCGCCGCGAAGGCATCGATATCCCTCAACTCCCAAACCGATGATCTTAGGGTGGGTTTATAGTGTTTCGAGTAGATGCGGGTAGTGTTCCAAGCCATCTGTCATATACTCCTCGAGACAAGCGACCAAGTACTTTGGAGGTACTGCCCGCAATCGAAGGGAATGGTCCGCAAGTTGCCATACACCCATCCCCCCACTCCTCAAGTCACCGATGGCATCGGCGAAGGCAAGGTCCGGACTCTGCCCATCGACCACCGTCCCCTGGCTGTAATATAACAACATTGATTATGACTTGGCCAGCAAGCATATCAGAGCATGACCCCGCTGGGAGGTGGCTTCCTTTAGACGGGAGGTAGGCCCCTTACAAACGCTCCGACAGCATGTGATTCCGAAGCCTGGGGGAGATTTGCAAGAGCATGGCCCCGCTCGCATCTCGTTACCACTGTCAGTTGGTATGTATCGAAAGAAGCCGTGAACCACGGGTAAAAATTTGCGCCGAACTTTTGCTCGGCAGAAGTGCATGAGTACCTAGTGGAAGTGAAGCCCCCACCGCGGCAGAGGTCCGGTCTTTGACCTTCGTTCACCGTGTTGACAAAGTCAGCGGAACATTTCTATCCGGGCCGCTAGGTACGGTATTTGGAAGGATTACTAGGGGAAGGAATGAAGTGGCATAGGGGCTTATGGAGAGTAGCCTTCTCGGCAGCGGTGGTGGTAGTGGTGGTCATGGTGGTGGCAGTGGGTGGCGTGGTGGTGGTGGCATCACGGCGGGGGAACCGATCCCCTCCCAACCCCTCCCCACCTATTAAGGGCGATCAGCGTGTCCATCCACTGAAGGGGAGGAGTAGGAAGCCATCACATTTGTTCTCCTCTCTAGAGGGACCGTCAATGACGCGCTGCGGCATTGTAATATGCATGGTGCGTCCGGACACCGACGGCTTCGCCAAACATACCATCAATCGGTGTAAGTGGTATAGAGTGGATAGCCCGATCAACGGCATACCATCGATAGGTATTTCCCCTCTCTCTGCGCTGCATCGAGCCGTCAGCCATTCCGGTGCGAACCTGGTCGTCCATTCAGCATGAAGCAGCACACCTTAAATTCGCTGCTATCAAAATCTCATAGATAAGGCAGAGTACCGTACCGTACCGATTCCGTAGTTAATCGAGAACTTTGCCGTGGATCAAGCAGAACACAGGGTCGGTCTGCAGCGGGGGCAGTTCTCGATACCCATGCCATGGTTAATGGGAATTCCCACAAAGGAGGCAGAGGCAGTTCGAGACCGAAGTAAAGCGGCGGCGGCAAACGAATCCGACCCGATGCTGTGCCATTGCATCATGATCCATGAGTAATGCCATCCTTCGTTGTTGTCGTTGTCGTTAATGTTGTTTGTTGGACCGCTACCTGCCACTCTAGTTAATACCGTAGTGACCGTCAACAGCTAATCAGGTTCGGTCGCACTTTGCCCGATCGAATTCCCTCTGCGCTTTCCCCCCTCCCCCCCGAAGATTTTGTGTATATTTTTCCTCAACTAACGGTCCTCAGGGCTGATTTTCGCTGCAAGCCAATCCGGTATTTCCTTTCTCCACACCGCCCGGGCTCGGTCCCTGCCTCCGAAGTCTTGATTGAGTAGTTGCGGGAAGCGATCGCGACACTCGTTACGCTCGAGAAGCGTACGAGAACAGGAAAATCGTCATGACATCCCTGGTTGTCTGAATCTCGAGTATCGCTGCATGATTTGTATACAGCAAGGGAAAGAAAAGAAAAAAGAAAAAAAGAAGAAAGAAAAAAAAAGAATTCTGCAGTTGAGGAGGAGGACCCTGGATGACGACGTCACAGCCTGCATTAGTTAGCTACGGTACTCTAAAGTTGGTGGTTTCCTGCTCAGCACAGCACCAGCAAGATCGCTCCTCCCCCCTCCCCACCCCACACCGACTTGCAGCGAACCAACCCAAGCCCGAGCGGTTGGAAACCAACATCCTCTCGAGTCTCGATTGGACAATCCGAACGAATGTCGAATGTCGAATGTTGCTATGCTATGTAGAGTGGTATGCGTTGAGACTTCTCCAGCCAGCCAGCCGCAGGCCCGCAGCTGCACTCGACAACGATCGGTAGCGAATTTATCGATTCTGTCGCTTCCTGGGTGTCCGTGCTTTGCGGCCTGCATCACCCAAACATACATGCATACCCATTCGCAGACTGTTCGCGACCGACTTCAGAGTTCAGGTCGCGACGTGGTGAGAGGGGCGAGGAGGACGAGGGGGGGGAGGCGAGGCGATTGATCCGAGATCCCGTGTCACGGTCGAGCGAGCGAGTTTCCATGTGCTGGTCCCCCCTCAGGGGGGGTCGGGGTGGAGGGGCAGGGAGTGCCTTGGCGGGTTGGGTTGCGAAAGTTCGATCGGCACGCTGGGGGAACTCTGATCTCTCTTACAGAATTCGCCGGACCGGCCAAAGAAGAATCCTGCTTCTTTGAGGGGCGTCCTACCGGTGGTACCGGTGCTATGTACGCGTCCAAGCACTCGTATTCTGCGAGCCCCAGTGCCCCACAGCTTGTCAGCTCATGATTAAATAAATAAAAACACCCAGCCGGCCGGCTTGGAGGACCTCTACTGAATGTGTAGAGCACCATCCGAAAGCCAAGGACTTGCTTACCCACCCAAGCAAGTCCGCATCCTCTAAACGCGGCAAACGACGAGTTAGGAAAATGGCACACACGGAAAAAAGTGGTGATCGTGTCCGTATGTATGCAAACGATCATCGCGTTTAGTTAGCACAGTAACCGGCCGTGGCATGTACTACCTTGTATGTAGAAATGATACTCTACCTGTCATATCCAACGTGGATGCATGGCAGAATGGCAGCATGGCCGCGGGATGATGGATGGTGGATGTTGGATCACCAGACAAATGTGATGTATCATGTAAGTAATTTTCAGGCCTCACCTCATCAGACTGTGGACATCCTCGTCTAGCACCCCACCCTCCCCGCGGAGCCTGAACTCTGAAGCAGTACGACTCACGAGTGGATCCGGCGCATCGTCCACTGCATAAATATGTAGGGGGGGGCATGGGCGATATGTATGTATGTATGTCTGAGTACAAACAATTGGGACGAAACGTTGAACCGTTGAACCGTCGTTGCCGAGCACTACAGCGAGTGATGTAGAGGCGAAGGGGGAGAAGGACGACGACGACGACGAGGCACGTACCTAGAGTATCATAATTATGTGTCAGATGCGTTCTTCTCTTCTGTTCTCGGGTCAGGAGCTCCGCGGAGTCAGTCCAGATATCTCGGATTCACGCCCACGTCGGTTTTGATGATTTGATCCCCTGTCAGACCAGGACCTAGTGTAGGTAGAAAAGTAAGATCAGCAACTGGGACGGTGAAGAAACGAGGGGTAGAGTAGGTAAAATTTAGGTATGTACTCAGTTGATCGTAAGACTGGGAGCGACATCTACTGCCATACACAGTAGTTGTTATACGGTAGTACTCAGTTAAACCTAGGACTGAACTCAGACGTCGACCGATTATGTAAAAGAAAAGCTGGCGCTCCGACACTCGTATCCAAAATCTCTCCAGTGATAGTTACCCACCGGTATATTACATACCACCACTCGTCGGAGTCCCGGCGCTCCATGCGTACGTGAGCACAGCTTGCCAACGTCGGTGCGTTGCCTAGATATATGCGGTACCGTACTTACTCATAGTAAACGCGGAAGCTGTGTCCTCGAGGTCGGTCGTTCGGTTGGCGCAGTGCGCTTGAAAGCGGCAGCGAGCCTTGCTTCATGGGCCAGCACGCTGCACACATGGTTGCGAAAGGCAAAGCCATCGGTCGTGCGGTGTGCAGTGTGCACGCCGGGGAAATAGTAGCTAAATGGTAGCTAAGGTAAGCAGCCCGTACCCATTCTCCTATTAGTAGAAAATACCGGCGATATCGAGATTCGATACAAAGGTACATCGATATAAGTCCTGGGACTTGAGGTACATGGGAACATACATACCTACAAGTCGTCTCGTATCCATCAAACTTCCAGGTACATATTTTCATATGTATTCCACGAACCACCCATTCCACCGCCGCAGGTGCCCATGCCCATGAGTGCCCCACCATTTCGGCCGCCGTCGTATGATCCACAGGTATCACCGCAACCCCCGCCCTCCGCAGTCATGCTATTCTAAGTTTCCATAGTTGGAGATGGCATGGCATGGCATGCAGGTATGGGACGAGAGACAGACAGACTTCCTATGATACATATGTTGGTACACCATACGATAGGTCCGTAGGTAGCAGCCAACGCGCGGGGCGTCGGTGGAGACGGTATGTAAAGCCGCACGTAGGTTTTCTAGGTATCGAACACTTCTTTCCGGCGAGATGCAGATGGAAATGCGCGGTGGGATCTCTGTTCAGTCGAGAGAGAGAGAGAGAGAGAGAGAAAGAGTGAGAGAGGTAGCGCGGGGGGCGCTGCAGCGGCAACAAGGGGCAACTCGGATTTCGAATGCCTGATGATCATGCCGACTTCATCTCTTTCCCCACTCTTGGAGGGCAGGACTTCGTCGTGCTAGGACAGGAGCCCTCCCCCCATGCCATGCCCTGGGCTCATTGGCCAGTGGCCACCGGTGGTGAACTGCGCTGGTCGGTCGGCGTGGACTTGAGCGCTAATTACGATTAATGGACTGGACACTGGACAGAATAGTTACAGCCCCCCATACGATACCATCAATGGCGCCGCCAGAATACCTATGCCCCCCATACGATACAACCGGGCTGCATTTGCGATATTCCAATTGCTGTTCGGCGATGGACGCGCGCACTGCACGGTCCCATGGAAGGAGGGATGGCACCCGAGTGTGTATGTAGCAGTCGGTCCCACCCACCGTGGCCGCCTTCGGGAAATTTCCCCACACTTTCGTCCTCTGCTGCTGCTATGTACCAGCATTCGACATATCGTCCATCCACATCCGAGACTCTGGAGGTATGTATGTGCCTTGGCGCCACCACCGCCGCGTTCTTCCGGCACAGAGGAGAACAACTCCCGAGCCCCACGAACAGCAGTGCGCTTGCTTCCTTCTCTCTTTGCACTAACTATCCAGCTAGGACCGACCCGTCCGCGGAGCTGATAGGTATAACTAACTCAGTAGGTAGTAGTGTACGAAGATACCTGGTCGATGTTCGTATCTATCCGTCCGCGGAACGATTATGTTCGCATTCGCAGGGACAAGGAGGATAGGGAGTTTAGGCGAATAACTGAGTACTTACCTACCGTACCGTATCACAGATAGGAAGGAAGGTGGTCCGAGAAGGAGCCCCCGATAGTAGAGGGTGAGAAAGGCAGAAGAAGGCAGGATCTCGAGCGAGCAACGTGCCCTGCCGATGATCCCATGGCTGCATGTTTCTCACCTCTTCTGTCTTCCTGTCTGTCTGCCTGCGCCCTCCCTCTCTCTCTCCCTCCATTCCCTCCTTGGCCTCTTTCCTTTCTTTTCTTTTCTTTTCTGCCTGCACAAGCGTAAGCAGCTTGGTCTCAAATTTCCCGCGCAGGCAGCAAAACCCACACACACACACGACGACCCAACCCAATCGCCGGCGACGAACCCTTGTGGTTGTGGGGTGTGTGTTCCGGAAGGGAACCTCGCCATCATTCGGTGGGCTCTCTCTCTCTGGCTCTACCTGTGCCTCTGTCTTTTTTTTTGCCTCTGCCTTTGTCCTTTCTTCTTTCCTTTTGTTCGCGTGTGTTGTGTTGTTTGTTTTGTCAAACACAGCTATTTACGAAATTTACTTGCCTATGGCTATTACCCCACAGTTTCGGATCGCAACGGGCACGGTTGTTTTCGAAAGGAGGAAAAAGCACAACAGCGGGCATGATATGAAGTAGCATTCGAATCAGAATAAAAAATTCAGTTGGATCGATTGAGGGAAATAGAGGACTTCTGGCTGGCTGGTTGGCTTGCTGGATGGCAGCTGGCTGTCGGCCTCGCGTCGTGATAATCTGGGGTGCATAGCATAGCATAGCATATGCTATTTACACTTTTTCTCCTACATACACACATACATATTCTGCACAGCTCACAGAAACGGACGCACCCGTCTGGCTGTCTGTCTGGCTGGCTGGCCGGCTGGCTCGTTCGTTCGTTCGTTCGCCCTCTCAGGCTCTCACCCATGGGCCTGCTCTTTCTGCTTCTCGCCCCCAACAACTACAAGAATAGAAAAAGAAAAGAAAGAGAGAGAGAAAAAAAACTACTATCGTGAGTTGTCGTCCGTGTGGTGTTTGCCCCCTCCCCCCTCCCCAGCCAGGCCCTCCGCCCCGTTCGCTTACAGGACAGGATACCGTAGAGGTAGAGTACTATACCTAGAGCACTCTACGTATACTACCGGTATCTCTCCTATCTACCGCCTCCCACCACGCGATTGGTCGGAACTGTGGTATCGTGAGAATCACGGACGGACGTCTCCCCTCCGTCCGTTGCCTCCCTGCTCCCCTGGCCCTGGCTCCTGGCCCCGACTCCGACCCCTTCGTCATTCGTGAAAGTGAGACTCAAGCGAGAGGGCCTGGATTCGAACCGCCAACCAGTTACTTGGTGAGACCTACTTACCACCTACAAACCTACCTGGGTATGATGGGTAGAGTAACATAGAGTAGTACCGGTCCGGCTAACCCCACCCCAGTCTCCCGTCCGTACTCTACTTTACTCTATGGATTCATCCATCACTTAGACACGCACGCTTAAACCCGTGGCTGGCGAGCGGAGCGCTCGCTCAGCTTATGGATTGCCGCGGAGGCTCTACTCTATGCGACGTGGAATATCTAGGCATACGGTAGACACATACATGGGATGGAATCCTCGGGCCGGCCGGACATCATCATCATCATCACCACCCATGGTTCCGTCTTTCCCTTTCCCCCCGCCCCGCCCCCATGAAAAAGAGCTCGACTTGCTTTTTGTATAGAGTACTCGCACGTAGAGTAGGTATCTAGAGTACAGCTCGTAACTACGTACGGGCCTACGGCCATCAGCGTCTCCGACTTTGACCGTCTGGCCTGGGCTCAGCAGCTGGAGGTACTACCTACCACTCTACCTAGTAGAACACTCCGCATGGTGACTTCATAGGTAGGGAGGTAGGCATAGGTAGACGGTAGCCCATCGCCTCACCTCACCTCGCCTTCAAAGAAGTTCTAAGTTCTCACCGCTCTGAGGCTCTGAAGCTCCAAGCCGTGCCGATTGGACAGTTCGCCAATCCCCCCCCTCTCCTCTCGAGTCTTGACGCTATGGCTACTGGCCGCTGGCCAGATCCTCCCCCCGCCCCGCAATCTAGATTCTGGATTCTGCAATCTGGATTCTGCAGCACTGTTTTCGGTTCTCCTCGATCAAAAGAAAGCATCTGTGTACCAGGGGGGGGGGGGGGGGGTATCGTTCGTTTTTCCGCCTCTCCCCCGCGCGCGCGCCTCAGACTCGCAGACAGACTCCACAGACACTGATACAGCATACAGATACAGCATACAGACACCTTATGCACCAGCAACTATAGCAACTATCGTTAGTACAGTCCGCGAGCGGATATGTACCGCACGTACTAGCATAACTGTACTAGATATATGTAGATACACACCGATTTTGCTTTTCTGCCTGCTGCCTTCTTTTCGCGCGTGTGTGGATGTGTATGCGTGCGGGTGTGCGGTGTGTAGATATTTGTGGGTGTGTGCGGGTGCGGGATAGCTATCCATCCACCTATCCACCTATCCGTGTCATCCGTTTCATCCGTGTAGTTTGGACGAACGGACGGCCAGGCGATAAACATTGTGGAACATCGTTTCTTTTGCTCACGTTCATCCGATCCTTAACATCAAGCACAACCCGGACTACAAGCACAACACCCAGCGGCAGTGGGGTTGACGTTCTACGTTTCTTCGTGCATCGGCATTTTTTTTGTTTTCCTCTCCGTTTCTTTTCCTCTCCTTTCCTTTTCCCGTTCGTTTTCCTTTTCCCCAGGCTGAGATGGACGCTCGTCTACCACCGTTGTAGTCGTCGCTGCCGTCGTATGTAGTCGTGAAGCGAATGTCGGTGGTTTTCAGTTGAGGCAATTATGTACGTACGTGCGTGCGTGTATACTTGCTCGATGTGTATGGCAGGTATGTATGGTATGCACCGTATGTACCGTGGTTGCTTACGTGCCTACATACTTGCCCACCGCGGTCGTCGTGCTGCCCCTGCTGCTGCTGGGGGTACTCTAGGGAGGCGGGGGCGGAGAGGCGACGGGGGGTGCATCGTGAGTTCCAGGTCCAGCTCCGGCTCTGTTTAGGTCCAGCGAGCTGTGCTCTCCATCTACCGGGCCGGGGGGCGGGCGGGCGGGCGGACAAGCGCTGGTGCTTGTGCAGGTTCTGGTGCTGGCGCGGGCACTGGTGAAGTCACGATGTCGTGTGTCGTGTGTCGGTCGTGTGTCGGTCGTGTGGACTCTGGAGTTGTGGAGTTGCGTGTCCGTAGTCGACTTGTAGTTACCTGGGTAGAACAGCAGAATACCGGTACCAGTAGCAGAGTACCACCTATAGCACTATCCACTGGCAGAAACCAAGGTCTTCTGCTATAGACTCTAGGCTCTACATAGACTCCAGAGTACGTAGTACCTACCGTAGGTCCGTAGGTAAATCTCACGATGATTTCAAGGCCTCAACTCCCCCCCTCGCACCTCGCACTTCCAAGTTCCCACTTCCCACCTCTCACCTCCCCCAGACCGGACTGGACCGCTACAACCAGGACCTGAACCAGAACCAGAACAAAACCAGAACCAGAACCAGAGCAACACCCCACAACCACATCCCCACAACCACATCTCCCCCCAAAAAGCACAAGCACAAGGCAAGGCAAGAAAGAAAGTTAGAACCCAACAAGAACCCAACCCAACAAGAGCAAAAAACAAACACTCACCTCTCCTCTCCTCTACCCTACTCCCATCTAGAGTAACTACTGCTCAACTGCGGCAATGGTGCAGCTACATAGATGCGAAACCCAAACCCCCCCTCCCAAAAAAAGTAAAAAGTATCGCTGCACCCCACAGTCCACATCCACAGTCCCCAGCACAGTCCCCAGTCCCCAGCACAGTCCCCAGTCCCCAGCACAGCACTGTTGCGTCGCGCGGTGCGGAGGGTGAGGTGAGGTGCGTGATCACCTGCCTGCCCAGCTGCCTGCCCTGCTGCTTGCTGCTTGCTCTCTTTTCTCTCTGTATGACGATGCACCAGCCCACGCACGCAGCCCCATCCGCCCCTCCCCTCCCCTCCCCAGCTCTCCCCACTGCCCCGGTCCATGCTCACGGTTTATGCACAGAGTTTTGCTTTTGCTTCTTCTTTGGTTTCGTTCTTCAGGATATATTCCGCTCTGTATATACAAACAAGAGGTATAGGTACTCTAGGTACTTCGTATCGTACGCACACTACATACAACATGCACTCCATGCAGCTCGTACGTAGGGATACCGGTACCGGTATATGACCGAGAAGAAACGAAATGAAACGGTACGGTATGTATTGTACGCCGTAAAATAATCGAAAGCAAGTAGGTATGATGGAGCTCCGCGCCGACTCCCACCCCCATCGGAAAACACAGACACAGACACAGACACAGACATCTTAAGACAGACACAGACATGGCCACAGACAGACAGACAGGCTTTCCAACCACTTTCCAACCAAAAACAAGAAAAGAACAAAAGAGGAAACCAAGTAGACCGAGATATTCGAAGGAAAACAAATAAAAACAGGACCCCTTGAACCCCATTCCCGTCATGCAGTTACAAAGTTAGTAACAAGAAGAAGAAGAAGAGGAAGAAACGGAACGCGGAACGTGAAACCAAAAAAAAAGATATCCGATCCCCCCCACCCCCATGCAAAAAATAAATAATTGAACCCCGTTAGGTATGCAACAACGAATGTGAATGTACACAGCAGCCACGAGGAGAGAACTCGACCCGTACCGCAACAAGTAAAGCAAAGACGACGAACGACAAGAACTCCTCGAGCATCAAAGCGGACAAGCGGACAAGCAGACAGACAGGCACCAAGCTTCGTGCTATGACCGCTGGCTCTGCGCAACGTACACCAGTCGCTCGCCGAGGTCGTGGCCGGTGAAGTAGCTTCCATCCTTCTCCTGCTCCAGCATCAAGGGAGTGACAGGCCCGCCGGGGCTGCCGAGCGGGATCAGTCGTGGGCTCATGGGGCCCGTGCTGAGGAGGTGTGCTGGGATTCCGTTCGCGCGGGTCGCCGAGGTGATGATTTCGCGCTGGTGGAGCTGCAGCTTCTGCTGTGTGCTCAGCGAGTGGGCGTAGTTCTGGTGCGAGTAGCCGTGGTGGTGCGAGTAGTTCGGGGGTGTCGATGTTGTCGATGATGCGCCCGAGGACGTCGCTGTGGGGAGCATTGACAGTGTGAGGTTCGCTGAAGGCTTGGTGCGTGGTGTCGACGAGGAGCCGGAGGCGGTGGTGGGCATCAGTGATGGTGGGGCGATGGTCGAGGTCAAGATCAGAGGCGACGGAGGGCGCTCGGAGGAATACAGGCGCATTGGGTACAACGACATCTTGGACGTGGGATGGTTGGAGTTGTGGTTGTGGTTGGGGTTTGGGTTGTGGTCGAGGGATTGAGGCTCGTGGGGATCCGGCTGGTGTTGATGGTCGGTTGAATGCTGCTGGTCTGGTCTACGAGGAGGGAATGCGAGCGTGTCGGCAAAGCAGTCGGCACGATGAGGTTTATGGCTTAGTGTCTGTGTGTGTGTCTGTGTCTGAGGATGAGGGCCGGTATTCTTATGAGCGACGGCGGAGGTATTTGACTGAGTGGTGGTCAGGGAAGAGGAAGAGGAGGTTGAGGAGGTTGAGGATGGAAGTGAGGACTGCGAGTCGGAACGAGGGCCGGGCATCGTGAGCTTTTGAAGCGGAGTGGGAACTGTTTTTGTGTGGGTGGTGGCACTGTGCTTTTGGTGGGTGGGTGAGTTTCTGGAGCCAGCGTCATTTGGGTGAAGCGTTGGGTTGAAGCGACGCTACTGTAGAGGTTGGGTCACCGTAGTCAGCAGCTTTCCTTCCCTTCTTTTTTTTGTTCCCCCTCGTCGGTAGCGTAACACCCCGGTGCCCAGGGAAAAGAGCAACCAACCCAAATCCCGAAAGGGAAAAAAAACAGTGGGTTATGTGAGTAGAGTAGGGTGGGCAAGGGTGGAGGTGTGTAGGAGCACAGACTTCTGCAGCTGCTGGACGAGAAAAAAAAGAAAGGAGGAGAGCGTGAGCGTGCGCGCATAGGACGGACGCGGCGAGAGGGATGATCCAGATAGAGACATTAGAGGCAGAGAGACACACAAACACACACACATTCACACACACATAGAGAGGGACAGTGGTGGCATCTCCACATGATAATCGAGATAGGTAGGCGTGGTGGGCACATAGGTAGCATTCGGAGATACATCGCTCGCCACAGTGGATGACTGGCAGGAGCTATGCTATAGGACGGGTATGGCAAGGGAGAGGGGCCGGCGGGCACCAAGTGATGGGGTGCAGTAGTAGCAGCAGCAGCAGCAGCCATTTCCCTCTCCTCGGCCATCATGGCAATAGCCGTATGCAGGTGCAATATGGGACCGCGGTGGAAAGGGTTCGCTCGCGAAAGCGAGTTGTGACCGGTCAGGTCTCTACTCATCCGCCATCACTCTGCATCGTTTGGAGACCGTTGTCGGCCGGTGTTAATTAAGCACTGCACCATAGAGCGCCTGGAACGAGAGATGAGGGGCGAGAATTTGCGATGCTGGTGGCTTCGGCTGGCGAAGATCTGGAGGCGGTAGCGGTAGTGCTTCCGGCGCCGGGACAAATTGTAGTCTTGCTGGTGGTGGTGGTTGTGATGATGATGACAACTTTCTCGATGGTATCGATGATGCTAACTAATACTGTCATGGGTACGTGTTACATGGTACCAGCCAGCCGGGGGTGGTGGTGGTGGTGGTATGTAGTGGTGGTATGTAGTGGTGGTATGTAGTGGTGGTGGTAGGTGGTGGTGGTAGCGGTACCGGTGGTGGTGGTGGTGGTGATGATGATGATGGTGGATGAGAGCATGATGGTAGCTCGCAGCTTGCAGGCGAATCCAAGCGACCAATAGACGACGCCGTCCAGGGCTTCTCCCGTCGTCAAAAACAAAGCACAGGGGCGAGCGCTACGTTTAGACATCACCGCGCTCGTGACCTTGCCCGAAACGCTCCGAACATCTTCCAGGCCCCGGGCCCGCCCCGTCCGTTCTCATCTCCCCTCTCTACTCTGCCCTCCCGCCCCTCCTTACGCCTCCCCCGTATCAACCTACCTGTACTGGACGTGCATGCCCTCTTCAGCCCTCGACGACACTTCCGAACCCCTCAGTAAAATTAGCTTCCGCCTTCCATCCCTCTAGCCAACGAACGGAGCGGCGGATGCGTGTATCTGTGGTGCTGCGCAACCGCCGCTCCCTCATGCTCAGTGAACGAATGATCACCGGAGATGCCGCTGCGGTTCTGTATTCTGCTCCACTTTACAAATCCCTCGCCCCAGTCGGAGCATGCAGCTGCGGTGGTTATCGCCATTAATCCGCGGACGGCAGTGACAACGCCGAGTTCGATACCGGTGACGCGCAATGTGCATTACTTTTCCCTCTTACCCCTCTTCGCGCCTTGGTTCTTTTCCCTGGCCGAAGAGCGACGTCGAAGATGTTGACTTCCCGGACAGGGTATATGTACAGAGGAGTACTCTACTTACTGAGTTACCGGGTGTCAAGTAGCGACCAAGTTCCAACTCCATCTGCTACATACACGGAGCCGTAATTTTCAATCAACCAACAACGAAAAAAAATAGTCCCTGCAGCAAGCCTGCCAGCCCACGTCGCCAGTCAGGGGACTGCCCGTGGGCGTCCAAGGAACAGAGACTCGAGATCTGGACAGCAAGCCACAAGCGAAGGCACCCGCTGCCAGTACTGTACGGTAGGTAGTTACGGCTAACCGCCGGCCGTTGGTTGGAGGCAAAGATCTGGGATGGGGCATCTAGAGCTGGTGAGAAATGAAAAAGAGGGATCGGGTAATTTCTCAGTGCGGGTATCGACGTCATTGTCCCTCGAGATGCGGTGTGCAGTTACATGCTGCGTGTCACTCCCGCGTGCACACTGAGATTGCTGGAATGACGTGAGCTTGATCTGGCGCGTGCATCCGATGTTATCTTATCTCGGATAGCCTATATCGTGCGGCTCTGCATCTGTGCGGCCCTTCCGCATAATCAAGGGCTAAGGGCTTAGGGTGCGGTCGGCAAGGGTGGCGTGAGGCGGCTCGCAGAACGTGGACGGCTTGGCTATCAGCACTAAGGCCGATGCGGCGAGGCAAGGGACGCGGCCATGGGTGACACAGCACTAATATGGGAAAAGTGGACTGATCGATGATGGCGGCGGTTGATGATCTCTCAGTGGTGGCCTACCGGGATGCACGAGAATAGAGAGCCGCCCGCCAAACGAACCATCAGTGCTCACTGCCGGTACCGAAAATCTTCTGCCGTCGACGACGATATCCAGAGGGATACAAAACAGAGAGAGACACTGAGAGATACGCGCGAAAGAAAGACACCATAGTGGTTGGCAGGAACGGAAAGAAGTTCGGCCTTTTGCTTCGCGAAACAACCCGGATCCCCACCACCAGCACCCTTTACACGTCCACCTTTCCCACCTTCCGCCTCTTCCCGCCCCGCCCCTGCCGCCGCCGTCGACCTTGCCGCGACCATCAGGCGAGCAGGCAGTGCAAAACCTCTCAGCTTGTCAGTCATTCCGTCGAATCGGTCGGTCAGAGCTCTCCGTCGCCACCACCTGAGTGTCGTTCAGTAAACTATCGCTGGAATTCCCGATTCGCCATTCCTGCACGCCCGTTGTCGTCGCTCGTCCACCTAGTAGCTGTCAGTCACCGGCAGAGCTGTTGCTATCGTTCGTTCGTCGTCCGCCGTTCGCGTGTGATCTAGCTTGACGATGTTTATATGCTAATTTGTTCATGCGCAGAAACGTAAAGCCCCCCCTCAAAAAAAGGAAGCGAAGAGGAGAGCTTGAGGGGAATTCAATTGATACTTGTATCCCTGAGCATTGGCCGAGTAAGCCAGCACCTGAGCGAGGAACACCCCAAGATATAAGTGCACGCTTATACTTATAACTTCCCCACCAGTTCAGCTCCTGCACGACATCCTCGTATTATCTCCAGTTGAGGTTTCAGTGGAATCGCATCCGTATCCGCCTCTTGGGCTGAACTCGTGTGTGGTGGCGAGCCACTATCGGCGCCTCTTCTCGGTCCCCGGACGTTGTCACGGAAAGAAAAAAACATCGAACCATCATCACGCCAGATCCTCCAACATCCTTGTACCCTCTCTCGCTACGTCTCGCACCTCACGCAACCCTCAGCCCACCGCTCTGACCATTCACAACCAAAATACCTTCCCGCAAAAGGCCCAACAGCTTCCCATTCCCCCCACCCCGCTCCGCCTAGCCAATACTTACTCACGCAAGTGTTCGATTCTGTCAGGCCATTTCACCGTGTGCGCTTGCAGTTCCTGCGTGATCCTGCTATACTATCTGGCTGACGGTCTCCTCATCTTGAAATCCGTTTCTTGCTTTCCCCTCAAAAGAACCCCTATCCGTTCAGGATGGAGCAACAACAAGCACTCGATTACAATTCCTGCGCGCAGTTTCTGGCCAGACTGGACGCTGACGCACAACCCGAACCTCACCACAACAGCTTGACCTCATCGGACTCTCCCGTGGGTGATTCTTCAGGTATCTCGCCTTTCAACTCGGCTTCTCCTCCCGGCCTTTCTTCGGGCTCAGTGACATCACATTCTCCCGAGTCCCTTCGGTTCGAGTGGGACCCTACCGATACCTCTGCGTTTTTCGAAAACATCAGTGGCGCTGCCGGCATTCTTCCAGACGGTGGTACCTGGGATCCGTTGATACTTCCTGAGCAAGTTGGCGTTTCCCCCATGAGCGACTACATCAAGGTCGAGAACGAGCAGTCCCCAGTCGGTTATTTTGGAGAATCCGGGGATCCTCAGGGAACGATTTCTCCTGGCAGGTCTTTGCTTGATCCAACTGCACAGACTGCATTCGAGGGAGGCCCTTATTCCTTCCCGAAGGACGGTGACGCACTGTTCAACTTCGCTGCATACAACAACCAACCTCCTTCCAGGCAAGACTCGGGCGACTTTTCTCCCATGATGTGGAGGACTCAGACACAGCAACGAGATGACTTCCAGTCTCAGACTCCGGAATGGCAGCAACAAATTCCGCAACCACAACAGCAGCAACCGCAGCAGATGCGGCCACACCAACTCCCTCCAACCCCCCAGCACCAACAACAGCAACAACAGCAACAACAACAGCAACAACAACAGACCTCTCAACGACAGTCCCCCCTCCATCAGAGTGTTTCACCCCCTCACTCTGCCAGCAGTCCCGACTCTCGGGATGGATCCGTTAGCGATGATGGTGCCCCTATCGCACCTCGGACCAAGAAGCGAAAAACGAGTTCCGAGGAGGGCACCGAAGGCCAGCAGTCGGCTACGGGAACTAGTGGTGGCCGTAGACAACCGAAGAAGACGGCTCATAACATGATCGAGAAACGGTATCGGACAAACTTGAACGACAAGATTGCCGCCCTTCGGGATTCCGTCCCATCCCTCCGAGTGATGGCCGGAACCGCCCGGCTCGGAGAAGACGACGAAGAAGAGGACCTGGAAGGGCTGGCCCCGGCTCACAAGCTCAACAAAGCCACTGTCCTTGCCAAGGCCACCGAATATATCCGCCATCTGGAGAAGAGGAATAAGCGGCTGCTGGAGGAGAACGATCAGTTGAAGAACAGGTTGAATGCCTTCGAGAAGCTGGCAACGATGGGTGGGATGGGTCTGCAGCATCAGCCCGGGCAGCATCCGGGTCGAGGTGGACAGGCTGGTGGGCCTGGTGGTGGGTTGATGAGTCGGTTGATGGTGGGTAGTTTGGCGGGTCTGATGGTTGCCGGCGGGTTGCGGTCGCATGAGGGTAGCTCGCATCATCAGTTGGCTGCTTTCCCCCTCCCCATCCAGTGGTTGGGTGTTGGCGCTCCTGCTGCCGATACACATATCATGTGGTTGATAGCCAAGCTGCTCCTCCTCTTCACTGCGATCCTTTACGTTGTCGTCCCCGGATACTTTGACGCCAAAGAGGCCCCCGAGAATGCCAAAGCCGTACGCAATCCGAATGTTTCAGCCGCCCCTTCGCTCGCCTCGCCCCTTAAGGATCGTTCCCATGCATGGCTTACCGCTATCCAGACCGTTTGGGTTCCTCGTCACTCCGTTACACTCGAGCTCGCCGCACTCGGCTTGAAGGCAACCAAGTTGAGTCTTCGAAGGATGATTGGATGGGAGAGGTATCGCATGATCACTGGTATGACTGATGAGGACGAAGCCGCACGCATCAAGTCGTGGACCATTGCTCTTGATGCCCAGCTTGCTGGTGGCGACCTTTCCGTCAACCATTCACGTCTCTTGCTTACCCTCCTGGCCTCGTGGACCCTTCCCGCCACCCCGGCTCGTCTGATGCTGAACTCTTTGCACATTCGGGTTCTCTTCTTTGATCTTGGAAGCCACCTCCAACTCTTTGCCGAAAAGTTCTCCAACTTTTACTGGACCGAGGCTCGGAAAGCACACGACAAGGCTGTCGCCGAGAACGATCCTTCCACCGAGCAACTTCCCGAGAACCTATTCCAGCTTTTGCAACTCGATCCCTCGGATGTCTTTGACCCACTGATCGTGGAGAAGGCATACGACCTTGCGCACAACAACATCCCCCAGACCACCTCGGACGAAGGCATGGACAGTGTTGTCAAGGACGCCGCCATTGGCTCGCCTTTGGATGCCCTTGCCGCCTGGCACTCGAGTCTCCTTCTCCAAGGCGTCTTGGTTGCCAGCCTGAAGACCAACCCCTCGGCTTCCCTCGTCAGACGCATCCAGACCGATCTGGATACCGCCCTCCGCATCACTCCCCTCTCCAGCGCCGTGCAACTACGTGCCCTCACTGCCAAGGCGGTTCTCGTCGACGAAGGCGGTGAGAAGTACCTTTGCGAGGCCATCAAGATTTTCGAGGAGGATATGAATTCTCGTGAACGGGAGCTCAACCAGAAGCCTGGCTCGTCTCAAGTCGCCGTCACGCCCATCAACACCGCAATTACCACCACCACCGATATCCGTGTGTCGCTTCGTTGCGGAATGGCCTTGGCACTTATGAGGAAGGGCGCTCGTGACCAGGCCACCCGTCTATTCAGCGATCTCGACTGGCAGCGCCAGGCCGACAAGAATGGTCTCGGTTTCCTCGGCTTCGTCGCTGCTTGGAAGACTCTGACTACTTTCGTGCGTTGGGATGAGGACTGGGCGACGGACGCCGGGGAGAGTGTCGACCGTGCCGCCGCAATGCTGCGAATCTGGGTTAGCGATAAGAGGATTCAGAAGCTCGATGTTTCGCGGGGCGATTGCAAGCGTGTCGTCGACTTTTGCAGCAAGTTGCAGAAGAAGCTGGCCGGACTCGAGGAGACGGATGGTGATGATGGATATGTGAGCGGGGAGTTGGAGTCGGTGACACCGACACAGTCAAATCCGGAAGGCGAGCTCGTATAAGGTCTCCTCTCGTTCTTGTTCCGTTTTCCTTCCGTTTCTTTGCCTCTTTTCTTTTTTATACCTCCTTTCATTTTTTATACCAAAAATCGTCTTCTGGGTTTCTTCGATTTCTCGCGTTCATACACATTATGGTATACCATCTTTACGCGCTGCGTTTTTGTGTTCTTGATGGCCGACTGTTGTAATATACATTACATTTCTTGGGACGGCATTCTTCTAGAATATGGTACTTAAGATTAGGTTCTCTTGCAATGTTTTTTGTTTCTTTCGATTCTCCTCGGTTTTCATACCCCAGCAGGTTTGGCTTTTTCCTTTTCCAGGTTTTTTTTTCTTCCTCGAGATGGGACGAGTGAGTGGATGTGCGCAGCAGCAGCAGCAGTGGAGTCACTGGAGTGTGATGATGAAGTCATGAAAGGCGCACAAGCACAAAAGGGAAGTGTTACACATCGTGGGGGGCTGTTTGCTTTGCTTTACTTTTTTTGTTTTTTTACTTTTTTTTGTGTGTTGTTTTTTTGACTTGCGCGTGGGAAAAGGCGGGAATTATTTTGCGTTTCATGTTGGGTTCTGGGGTTTTTTCTTGCTATCTATATGTCAGTGTTTGATTGTCTTCGATCTCTAAAGTCTCTACTTACTGAATCATCATCATCATCATCATCATCACCAACTTCGTCTGATCCATATGGCTTTTTATACATGACGTTTGCTGAGGTGCAAAAAGACGGCTTCCTACGTACTACCTACATGTTCACCATATACTCGGCTCTCATTGATGGCCGCCCGGCCGGCTGGCCTTCTGTCGGCGGCCCCATGTGCTCGTACAATGCAAACTGCTGCTGTTCTAGCCGGCGAGTTGCCGGTGAGTCGCCGGTTGATCAGGCACCTGGATTCCAGCGCCATACAGCCTCTCCCGTGCTCGTGCAAGGTGCAGAAAGGACAGAGGACAAACTTCCCCACAGAATCTATCTGATCCAGTACCGTATGCCAGCCAGCCAGCCAGCCAGGCAGTCACCGACTCGGTGCGGAGGTAACTGGCAACAGTGGCCCCGGGATATAACACCCCACCGGTTCCCCGGTTCCCCGCCGGTTCTTCGCTATGAAAGCCCTCCCTCCACAGTATCGAACCAAACAGCTTCTCTCCTCGGACCTCTCCAGCCACTGGTCCTCTACGGTATCACTTGCCTCGACTCCACAGCTACCTATACCATAGCATCAACAATGCCACCACCACGATGTTTCCCCCGGCACCCAACCCCCTTCTCGTTCGAGAGTCATTCCCCATATTCCCCATACTTTTTAACTTTCTCCCCATCCCCGTCTCCCTCCCCGTCCCCCTCCCCCTCATCATCACCCTCCTGCGGCGTTACCCCCCTCCCCTTCATTCCCGTTTATGGAACAGATCGCTGCAGCTGCTGCGGCAGCGGCAGCGGCGGCGGTGAGCGCGGCGGTGGGTTCCAGTCCGGGTCCTTCACGGAATGAGAACGAGAATGGGACGCCGAGGCCGAGGGCGGGGGCGGAGGCGGACTGGTCGGTTCTGAAGAACGCCGTCGCTATGTTTGCCGAGGAGACGGGCGCTAGGCGGCGGCCGCAACCGCGGCTGAAGGGGGAGGACGAGGTGGTGGGGGAGGGCGAGATGGTGGGGGAGGAGGAGGAGACGGACAGGGAGGCGGAGGCGGGGGCGGGCGTGGGGAGCAATAGCTATGATCGTGGGGGTGGGTCCGCCGGCGGCAGCGACGTCCAGTTTCGCGAGGAGGGCAGAGGACTCGGGGATCATGGACGGCTTGGACGGTCTGGACGGTCCGCTTCTATGACCGGCGGACATGGCCCGATGACGTCACAATATATCAAACCCGAGTTGGAGTTGGAATTGGAGGGCAGAGGACTCAGCGATCATGGACGGCCTGGACGGCCTGGACGGTCCGCTTCTGTGACCGACGCACATGACCCGATGACGGCCCAATATATCAAACCCGAGTTGGAGTTGGAATTGGAGGACAATAGGAAATCTCCGGTGGCGTACCTCATCATCAGTTCGGCTTCGGCGTCGGAGTCCGGCGATAATGACAACGCGGATGTGGTGGTCGCACGTACTGCAGAACAAGAAACGGATCAGAAGAAGGGAATGGACATGTTATTGGCGGCTGCCGCGGAGGCTCGTGAGTGGACGCCTGTCAACAGTTTTAGGCCCGGAAACGGGAGATCTACCCCCGCGAGTACACCCACCGCGAGTACACCTTCCACGAGTACATCTACCGCCGCCACTGCTAGAACCCATGGCTGGACGCCTGTCAACAGCTCCCCACTCGACTCTGGCAGCTCATTCACTGCGGCCAGCACACCGCCCACAGGCACCGCGATTTCCGTGTTGATCCCGCAAGTCGCAGGACAATCCCCAGCCGCCAATGCTACGGCCCCTCAACCCCAACCTCAACCAATCACTCCGCTGCCGAAATTCTTCAACATCCCGACGATTCTGCGCAGCGCCCCATTCGGCGCGGTTCTCACCGCCCAGCGCATCCTGATCACGCACGGCCTCGTCCAGCTCTTCGATCTCCCGCTGTGCGGTGCGCAGGCCACGACGCTGACCACCGACCTCAGGCGCATCTTCCTCCTGCACGCCGAGACGCTCGACCGCGCCGCCGCCTTCTCGCGGCAGATATCGATCCCGGGGTCGCAGAGCGAGCGGTTTCGGCAGGATGCGGTGATGCACGACTGGAATAGCTTTAAGGAGCTCAGGAGGGGATTTGAGATCGTAGTGGAGCTGAGGAGCGAGGCGGAGTGGGTCAGGCAGTCTTGGGGCGGGTTTGGGCGCGAGGATGTGGTGGAGGGGGAGGTTGCGGTTGAGGATGAGGACGGGGAGGGGGACGAGGAGGTCGGGCTGCCAGAGTGGGCCGCGGAGTTGCTGGGCAGGGAGGAAGTCCCATGGGCTCCTGATGCGGTGGAGACGCTGGTCGTCGCCGCGGAGGGGTGGGCCGCTAGGTGGTTGTTCCGTAAGCCCCCCCCCCTCCTCCTCCTCCTTCTCCTCCTCCACCCGCCTACATACCCTAGGTAATTCTCTCAATACTAAACATCCAAGCAGTCAACCAGGAAGCCGCCAACCGGGAAACGAAGCGCCAGCGCGCCAAGGACGAGAACGAGGAAGAGGAAAAAGATGTTTGGTCTCCGAATCGCCTTCGGAGGTCGCCCAAGAAAGCGAAGAGCGAGAAGTTGGAGGAGGATGTGACGGAGGGATGGATGCCTGTGGTGTGGTGATGCGGATATCTTGAGGGTCTGTTGGTTTTAGGGTGCATCATTAAGGCCGGGTTTCTGCTTCGATTATATATTCTACACATGAATTACTATCTAGGTACCTGAGTACCTATTGCTTTTAATGATCCAGCGAGTGTGAACGTCATGGAAGGGGACACAAGTGAACAACCAGCTCCAGTTCCATTGGCCTTATTGATATAGCCACGGGTGCAGAAGGATGGAACTGTGAACATCTGGGGAGCCCAGACTGTTGTTCGGTTACATGTAAGTAGCGCGCCGCGGCTAGCAGAAGCATTAGAGCGTGTAGATAGAGAAGAGTTGCTCGGAGACAGTCTCGGATGTATGTGTCGGAGCTCAATCGGAGACTGCGGAATCCCTGCTGCACATTATCTACAAATAGCCGAACAAGGCCCGATATGACTGATGGAAAAATCAAGTTCCACCCGGCCAACATATTCAAGGTATCATACCTATCGCTAACTAGCAGTACCTACGCTCAGAAGCTCCCTCTCCTTCATCCACAACCACATACACACGATGTCTTCACGGGCGCGAACCCTCCTCCTCCCCAGTCTCTACGCTGTCAGACTCGGACCTGCTCGGAGACAGTTCTCGGCCATCGGCAGGAGCAGCTACGATGGCGTCTACAAGGAGCTGCAGATCATGAAGCTGAAGATGCCTTGGTTGCAAGCTCTCGCGGAGGCGAAAGCTGCTCCCGCGTCTGCTGCCGCGACCACGGCGCCGCAGGAGAAGAAGGAATTAGTGCCCAAGAGGATGAGCGATAGCTACCACGAGCTGGTCTGTCCCTCTATCTATCCGAGCTCTCTCTATCTCTCTCTCTTTGCGATCAGGGGTGCTAAGTGGGCGAGGGGGATAGGTTCTTCCACTGGCGAACGACCAATGGCTGGTGGATACCTACATCAACTCGTCCGGCAACCTCCGGCTGGGCGCGCTGTTCCAGGACTTGGACGCGCTTGCGGGCGTCATCTCGTACAAGCACACGGGCGAGGGCATCACGATCGTCACGGCAGCTGTCGACAGGATCTCGATCATCAACCCGCTCGACGAGTGGTGCGACCTCCACCTCAGCGGGTATGTGAGCTACGTGGGGTCCTCGTCGATGGAGGTGTCGCTCGAGGCGCGCAGGGTCGACACGAAAAGCAATAAGCCGGTGCCCGGGCAGGAGGGGCTGCTGCTGACGTGTGCGTTCACAATGGTCGCGAGAGATCCGGCGACGAAGAAGGCGATTGCGGTGAATCCGCTGCTGGTCGAGACGGCGGAGGAGAAGGAGATCTTCCGGCGCGGCGAGGCGTACAAGTGCTCGAAGAAGGCGCTGGCAAAGGTCGATCTGGCGAAGCAGACGCCGAACGATGAAGAGTCGGATCTGATCCACCAGATGTGGATGGAGCAGTCGAAGTACAAGGACCCGCTAAACGCCGCGACGAAGCCCGAGAATACCATCTACATGTCCACAACCACAATACAAAGCACTATGATCATGCAGCCGCAGTTCAGAAATCGACATCAGCTCATGATATTTGGTGGCTATTTGATGCGGCAGACCATGGAATTGGCGTTCTGCTGCTGCTCGGCTTTCGCACACACCAGGCCTACGTTCGTATCGCTGGATCCCAGCACGTTCCTGGCTCCGGTGCCGGTCGGGAGTATATTATATCTGACGGCGACGGTGGCGTACACCGAGCCCGGCTCGAAAGGGGGCAGTAGAGTCCAGGTGCGCGTGCAGAGTAAGGTGAGGGATGTCGAGCACGGAAAGGTCGTCGAGACCGGTGTGTTCAATTACACGTTCTATGTCGATAAGGACCTGCAGGTGATGCCGGTCACGTACTCGGAATTTGTATGCTTCCCCTTCCCCTCCCTTCATAGATGGACTACGCTGATGTTTGTCGGTAGATCGACTACATCGATGCTAGACGTAGGGCGAAGCAGATCGCACAGATTGCGGCGGATGATGGCACTAAGAAGAGGGTTACCGAGTAGTATCTGGTGTAATTTGTTCGTGTTAAATTCTGCAAGGGTCTTTCCTTTTAATACCATAGCTCAATTGTTCATACTTTCTACTTGTACATATGCTGAGATCGTTACATCCACCACGGTGACTCACAAGTCATGATTCGCTTAATTCAATATTCAATTTGCTATCCCTCTAATCTACCCACGAACCGGGCGTCTTGTATTTTGGCTCCTCCTCCTCCTCCTCCTCCCTCTCCCACATCTTAACCATTATGGTTCTGGCGGCCTTGCTGGGGGAATACCCCCTGCCCCTCTTGAGCGGACGCGGGCGGTACATCCTGTCCCCGTTGGGAACATCGTACTTATCTTCAAGGCCGATGCACCACTCGATAGCCCAGCGTATCTGCTGCTGGCGCTCCGTGAGCTCGTCCAGCAGCATCTCGTTCTCGTCGACGCTGATACGCTGGTCGATCGAGTGGTCGTCCACCAGCGACTCTAGAATGCGTCGCGCAAGGGTCGATTCGGCCGAGGGGGACTGGGGGCGCTCGGGGAGAGGGGCGGACGGGACGGCGGCGGTGCTGATGGTGGTGTCGGTGGTGGTGACGGTGGTGCTCTTGATGGTTGTGGTGGTGGCGGGAGACTCCTTTGGCTGAGTCTTCTTGATGATGCCCGAGGACCGTGACAGCTTGGGCGGCGAGGAGGGCGTGAGCTTGGTGGGTTGCTTCGGCGACATAATTGTTGTTGTCAATGTTATTGTTAATCGCTTGTGTGGAGAGTGCGAGAGGTGTTCTGCGGATGGATGGTGGGAAGAGAAGGAAGGAAGGAAAGGAAAGGGAAGACGGAAGTAGTGGGTTGGTGGGACGGAGAAAATTCAGCTCCAAGGTCAGAGTGAATGGTGGCTGGGAGCTGCTGGAACGAATGACGCCATTCAGTCTTGCGAGAGTGGGATACCCTCCGCGCTAGCGTGAAGCATCGTCGGATTACTGCTATCCATAGCACATCACTCGTTGTGGCTCTCGGCGCATTTCAGGAAAGAGAATTAGAGTACCAGATAGGTCGACCACTTGTGGAAGGTTTTGTTACTCTAGGCTGAAGCAACGGTTCTCCGCCTATACATGCGTAGAGATTGTTTTCCCGGCGATATCGCAGACGATTAGACTATTTACGACTATTTGAGACCCATCGAGATGCGTCCTGTCGGACAAACCCACCTACCAATGATACCTCCTGGGGACCAAGGTAGCCAGTACGTATGTGAGCGGCGATATGCACCGAGCAAGTTCTACTGGTGATGTCACGAGACGGCGGCAATGGCCCGAGTACCTAAGTACCTACCCAATTTTGGTCTGCTGTCTACATAGCCGCGGAGCCGGCACTGGACGGGAAAGTACTCTAGACTTCGGCGCACAATCAATCATTGATCATTCCGGCTCAGGGTGTATGGGCATGGGCAGTGTAAGTTTTTCCTAGGGCTCATGGATCTTTCCAACCCGTTTCGGTTGTTGTGTATACCTGGTATCTGTTGGCCGCTGGCGAAATAGTCGCCTTGGGTGTAAGTACCTATGTAGAAACGGGCGCCGTCTAAAGCATGTTGAGCTGGGTACATCATAATTTACCTGTGTGGTCTGTACGGCGGGCATTATCGGACTACAGACCACACGTAACTACGATACACCCTCGGCATACCACCAGAGTGAAATTTGAATTCCGCTGCCGGAATGCCGCCTGCGAGCGCGTCCTGTACATACTACATACGGACCCGTACGGTGTGCGGCGTGCGGTCATGCGGAGACACCGGTGCAGCAGCACCTCACCGAGTGCTATTGGGGAGGCACTAACTATGCTGTTCCGCGGCGACACCGGTACCGAACAGATTGCGGCAGACGATGGCACCAGGGAGAGGGTTACTGAGTAGAATCCGGTGTAATCCCTTCATATTAAATCCTACTAGGGCCTTTACTTTTGAATACCATAGCTCAATTGCACTCCATACTTGTACATATGCTAGGTTTCGTTACATCTACCACGGTGGATCGGAAGTCGTGATTCGCTCAATTTAATCATCAATTTGCTATCTCTCTAATCAAACCACGAGCCGGGCATCGTGTACTCCGGCTCCCGCTCCTTCTCCTCCTTCTCCTCTCTCCTCCCGCACCCATCTTGACCGCAATGATCTTGGCCGCCCTTCCCTTCTTCAACGCACGATAGCGGTAGGATTTTTCCTGGTTGACGGCCTCGTACTTGCGCTCGAGATACATGCAGCGCTGGATGGCTCAGCGCAGCTGTTTCTGGCGCCCCTTGAGCTCGTAGCACAGCATCGAATTCTCCGCCATCTCGATCTGCTCGTCGATCTCGCCCTCGTTGGCGAGCGACGAGAGCATGCGCTGCGATGGTACCGGCTCCGCCCCGAAGGACTCGAGGCGCTCTATCAGAGTGTCGAACATGGCGTTGTCGGCCTTGACGGTGGTAGCGGTGGTGACGGTGAAGGTGGAGGAGGTGGTGGTGGCGGTCTTGATAGTGGCGGCCTTGATAGTCGTGGCGGCGGCGGGAGTCTTGGGCTTCGGCTTCGTCGTCTTGAGGATTCCCGAGGGCCGTGACAGCTTGGGCGGCAAGGAGGGCGCGAACTCGGTGGGTGGTTTTGGCGACATGATTGTTGTTGTCGTTGTTGGTGTTATTGATCGCGCGTGTGAAGACTTTGGTGAAGTGTTCAGTAGCTGGATGGTGGGAAGGAAAGGAAGGAAAGGAAAGGAAAGAAATAAAAGACGGAAGCAGTGGGTTGGTGGGCTGCTGGGGTGGAGAACTGTGAGTACTGAGGTCACAGTGAATTGGGGCTGCTGGAGCCATTCAGTCTTGCGAGACTGGAATACCTCCCGCGCTAGCGTGAAGCATCGTGGGATTACTGCCAACCACGGCACATCACTCGCTTTGTTCTCGGTGCACTTCTGAATGCGGGAATTAGAGTACCTAGGAGTCTATAGGGCTTTCTCTCTACCCGCAGTGCTGGCAGGAAAGGTTGGGAAGTTGATAGCCGCCATAGTCTAGTATCGCCGCATGCGACAATAGGTAGATTGATGTTCTCTCTATGGTTCCTAGGTCCACCGCTTGTGGACGGTTTCGCTACTCACGAGTAGCCTGAAGCAAACTTTTCGGCCCTATACATAGAGGATATATTCTTGCTGGATACCTATATCATATCGAAGAAAATATGTAAGACCCTGTGTACGACTTCGAGACCCGTCGAAGAGCGTCCCAACGGACAAACCTAGGTATGCACCCTTGATACCTACCTTCTGAGGACCAAGGTCGACTCTACAGGAGGGGCCAGTACGTATTCATCGAGTGAGCTCCACTGGCCGTATGGAGATGGTGTCGATGCCACGAGACAGCGGCAATCGCCCGAGGCCCCGCATAGTTCCTTACTTTTCGGCAAACGTCTAAAATGCCATAGTTTATTCGGCGTTTCAAACCCACCACCACTCAAACACCCGTATGGCGGAGCGAGAGGAGGAGCTTTCGGTGAGAGGAGAAAGTGAAGGAGGACTCCTGTCGGCGGGAGAGAAACGAATGTAGTCAGCAGTGGGCATAAACGATGGCTGCCGTGGCGGGGTCTTCTTCTTCTTCTTCTTCTCACTGGATCATGTATAGAATAGACGATCAACCACTATCTCCTCTTTCTCCTTGTGTATTCTCCTTCTCTCAAGCCGCCGCTTTTCGGCCTGGAGAGGCATTGGCGAAAGGGTCCTCGCGAAAGCATGGTAGAGAATTGGGCCGTTCAATAATCATCCTTCGAGGGTGGGAGTTAGCTATCAAATAGTTTGACTTCTTAGGCATCAACCTCTGAGATAGAGTAGGTATCGAGGACCGCACAAAGCAGTACCAGCACCCGGCGGTGACCTATCCCCACCAAAAACAGCAGTCGGAAAAACTATGGAATTTTAGACTATATTGCTGAAAACTATTGGGATTTTAGACGTTCGCCATTACTTTAATACCACAGCCCAGTTGTCTATACTTGTACATATGTTGGGGTCTTTACATCCACCACGGTGGATCAAAAGTCAGGATTCGCGTATTTCAATCTTCAATTTAAAAATTCTCTAGTCTACCCACATTCCGGGCATTTGATATTCCCACTCCTCCTCTTTCTCCTCTTCCTTCTTCTCAATCTCCTCCTTCTTCTCCTTCTCCTCGTTCTCCTCGTCGTCCTCATTCTCCTCGTCCTCCTCGTCCTCGTCGTCCTCCTCCACTCCCCAACCCCCCGTCTTGACCATCATGATCCTAGCGGCCTTGGTGGGGGTATACCCCCTCCCCTTCTTCAGCCTACGGAGGCGGCACATCCTGTCCTCGCTGGCGACATCGTACTTTTTCTCCAGGTACATGCACCGGTGCATCGCCCAGAGTATCTGTTTCTGGCGCTGCTTGAGTTCCACCAGCAGCTTTGCGTTCTCGCTAAAGCTGGTACGCTGGTCGACCTGGTGGTCCTCCGCGAGAGACTCCAGAATGCGCCACGCGCGTATAGACTCGGCGGCTGGTGACTGTGGGCGCTCGAGGATGGGGTCGGGCGGGGCGGTGGTGGTGGGGGCCTTGGTGGCGGTGGTGGTGGTCTTGCTGGTGGGAGACGTCTTCTTCGACTCCTTCGACTTCTTGCGGATGCCCGCGGGCTGCGCGAGCTTGGGTGGTGAGGGGGGTGCGGTCTTCGTGGGGGGTTGGGGAGACATTGTTGTTATTGTGATTGTTGTGGTTGTCGTTGCTGTGGATCGCTTCTGTGAAGAGTCGTTGGTGAAGTGGGAAAGGAAAGAAAGGAAAGGAAAGACGGAAGCCGCGGGTTGGTGGGTTGGTGGGGTGGAGAACTGTGAGTACTGAGGTCACAGTGAATTAGGGCTGCTGGAGCCATTCAGTCTTGCGAGACTGGAATACCTCCTCCCGCGCTAGCGTGAAGCATCGTCGGATTACGGCTATCCACAATGTATCACTCGCTTCGTTCTCGTTGTACTTCTGCATGGGGGAATTTGAGTACCTAGGTTTCCTCTCTCCCACTGTTGTGGACAGATGAATGCCAGGGGCCACTGAGGAAGTTTCAGAGAGTGAGGTATCCGAGTGGGAGCTCAGGGAGCGGGAAGAAAGGGAGGCAGAGCTGAGGCGAGAGGAAAAGGAGGGTCCTGGGGTCGAGGGGCCGGGATCACTGCCGCTGTTCCTCTCCACACCTTCGTTCATGTCATACCCTGATGACGAGGCAGGAGGTGGGGCGTAGTAGGGAGAGGGAGTAGAAGATGTCTTTTCCCGGGGTCATTTCTTTGGTGCGCTCTATCTTCATTGCTGGGACAGACTGGGGCGGAGGGTAGGGACAGCCACATTGGGCCACTGGATGAAAGTAAGGTTGGGCAGTCGCGTGGAACCGGTAACGCAGTGGACGGCTACGGCGGACGATACGTTTATGTAGGTAGAGCCAGTGGATATTATGGAGACCACGGACTATGTACTTGCAGAATGTATGCTGGGGTTCGTTACATCCACCACGGTGGATCACAAGTCATGATTCGCTCAATTCAATCTTCAATTTGCTATCCCTCTAATCCACCCACGAACCAGGCATTTTGTACTCCTTCTCCTTCTCCTTCTCCTGCTCCACCTTCTCCTCCTTCTCTCCTCCTGCCCCATATTAACCATACGGTCCTAGCCGCCCTACCCTTCTTCAACGCACGATACCGGTAGGACTTTTCCTGGCTGGTGGCCTCATATTTCCTCTCCAGATACATGCAGCGCTGGATTGTCCAGCGCAACTGCTTCTGGCACTCTATGAGCGAGTCGAACATGGCCTGGGTGGCCTCGGTAGTGGAGGTGTCCGGAGACCTCTTCTCCGGCTTCGGAAACATACCGGTAGGACTTGTCCTGGCTGGCGACCTCGTGCTTCCTCTCCAAATACATGCAGTGCTGGATTGCCCAGCGCAGCAGCTTCTGCCGCTCCATTCGGTCAGTGCGCAGCTTCTCGTTCTCCGCCATCTCGATCCGCTCGTCGATCGCGCTCTCGGCCCGAAGGACTGCAGGCGCTCGATGAGCGTGTCGAACATGGTGTCGCTGGTGGCGGTGGCGGGAGACTTCTTCTCCGGCTTCGGCTTCGTCTTCTTGACGATGCCTGTGGGCTGCGAAAGCTTGCGCGGCGAGGGGGGTCGCGGCGACATTGTTTATTGTTGTCATCCTTTTTCTTGTTGTCGTCCTCGCTATTGTTGTCTTCCTCGTTATTGCTGTTGTCCGACAGTTATCGTTGATCGTTTGTATGGAGAGTTGTCTGTGAAGTGTTTGGTGGATGGATGGTGGGAAGGAAAGGGAAGGGAAGGGAAAGACGTAAGCTGTGGGTTGATGGATTGATGGGGTCGAGAAAAATGAGCCCTAAGCCTTCTAGTTTTGCGAGAGTGGGCGCGCTAGCGTGAAGCAATTATCAGTAAAATCCAGCTTTGCCTCAATCGTCGGATTACGGCCAACCATAGCAGATCACTCGCTCTGCTCTCGCTTACTCCTCCTCTTTTCACCCCCGCCAGGGGGTATCTGGGGTCCGCCGTCGCCGTCGCCATGTCCGAGGTTTGGCTCAGGAGTTCTGGTTTGTCTTCTAGGCCGAGGGGGGATACACACCCTCCAACCTGCGTCCGAGCTCGTGAGAAAACCCAGGACAAACGTACTACAGTCCTCTCTCGCGAGGAGTTCCTTGATCTTGAACCTTTCCTTTTTCCGGCCCGTGGCTTTCCGGAACCTCATACACAGAGCTTTCTGTTCGTTCTTCCACTGTGGGATCTGGGGGCTAGACTCAATTCGTTCGCCTCGACGTTGAAATGTCCTCTATTGCTACTTTTATGTTCGTCTGGTCTGTCGTTCAACACACGTGACATCAGGCATTATCACCACCGCAGGCATTATTACTTCAACATCGTGGAGATACTTTGAGGTTGTTCGGCCTGAAGAACACAGGCCGCTTTCTTTTCTTGTTGTTTTCAGTCTCACCAGTTGCCCGTACCCGTGGGAGGTCTCTCAGTACGCATCTTTGACGCCATTGGAGATGTGATCTACCTATTGGACGATAGGATCGTTTAGTAAATGTGAATACTATTGTCTACCGTGGTGAGGGATGTGATAAGATAAGATACGACGGGAGCAGATGGTAGATTAGATGCAAGATTTGGGGAGTATGATCGGATGACGTTCGAAGAAGGATAACACTAGAGGTGATCGAGTTAGTCTAGAGTAATTAGAGCAGCCCATGATATGGAGGTCTGAGCGTGAGTTAGAATAACAGCTTCATCATCCTACTCATCTTTCCTGCGTGTCCGCCTCATGCGTACATCACATACCTTGCGACATGCCGTATAGTTACTCTAGAGTGGGTGGGGCTCTTTTTGCACATGGAGATCATCCGAGCTAGAGTACCTCGAAGCGATATTCCAGAATCCATTGAGCTTACCGCGATGCCCATTGGCGCCACTCCGCCCAACGGTCAGCAGTTCGAGCACCACAACACCTCCCTGTTTCCGAAGTCTGATCGCACGGAATCACTTATTACTCCATACGATATCGAGCACGAATGAACAAGGCAAATAATTCAATTCCGGCGAATCCGGTAACACGTATTATACAATTATCATACATCTACACCCTCAATCGAGGCTCTCCTCACCCAGTCCCCCAAAGCTGTTTCCCTCCTCTCCGGTGTTGTCTCCACCGAGATGCATCGCCTTCTTACGCATGTTCAAATCAGCCTCCCTTGCCGGATCTTCCTCACTGCCCATTGCCGTGGTCGTGTTCGTATCCTTGCTGATCTTGCTCCAGTCCACATCCTCCGCCGACTCGCCCACCTTCCCCGTCTGCTTGACTCCCAATCCCGAAAACGCATTGGGATTGGTCGAGGTGTTCAAGGGCGCCTCTTTTCCGCCGTGTGACGAACCACCACCACCGACCGCACCAGCACCACCACCACCACCGCCGCCGTGAGATTTCGCGTGCGACCCCGCGTCACCCTTCTTCTTCGCATCCGAAGTGCTTGTGTGCTTCCCGTGGGAGCCCGCGCTATGCGTGGAGCCCCTCGCGCCGCTATCGTGCTCCATCTCCGTCTGCGTGCCCTTACCATGGGGTCCGATGCCGCCGCCCAACGCCGCCTGCTGCGTCTGCTTCCCTCCGCCCAAGGTCCCCGTCTGCCCGGTCTTCCTCTTGACATCGTCGGCGGGCTTTCCGAGGGCCTCGGCCGTGCGCGACTCCGGCTTCTTGCCGTCGTACGTAGTAACCTTTCCGCCGCCGTGGGGATCCGCCGCGAATGTGCTGCCCGATCCCGTGGACCCGGAGATCCCCGCCGAGTTCGGGCCCTTGGCGAAGTCCCCGCCTGAGCGCATCGACTCGGCCGCGAGAGAGTCTTTGGCTACCGGGCCTGCGTGCTCCGCTTTGATGTCGTCTGTGTGCTTCGAGCTTACTTTCTTTCCGTGGGTGGGATTGGTCTGGCATCGATGGCGTTAGTCGGGGCTTCGTCTGGTGCAGCGGCAGCAACAGAAGCGGCGAAGGCGGGCTTGGGATCGGGAGGGAAGGAAATGCTGGCAAAGGGGATGGGGCGGTGCGGCCGGTTCTGGCGGAGGTAGTGTCGCGGCGCATAGTAGCTGTGATCACTGACTGTGCGGGACATAGTGGCATATATATGCTCGTGAAGGATTGGGGTATGCGCTGTGTGCTTTCTCAAAGAGGAGGGAGTAGTGTTGATGCGGAAAGAATCGAATACTCGCGGACCCGAGAGGGGTATAAATGGGAAACAGAGAGCTCGGAGAAAGAGGACCATACCTTCTGATGCGGCGACATTTTGTCGTTGGATGGTTCGATATCGATATCGGTATATAAGTATAGTGCGCAGAGTAGGTCGAGTATGTACTAGTATGTAGGTGCAGTTCGATGAATCGTATGATAGTGGAGTATGTGCTTCAGATATAGGGGGAGAAAATGGAACGATTCCGGCGAGACGGAGCTTCCACCATTTTTATACATACAGGCGGGCGGACCCCCCGCGAGGACGAGGGCAAAGGATTTCGACACTGTGATGTCACGGTGATTCGTTTCTTACGAGAACGAATCGTGTGTGTACGTGTGTGCCTGGGCATGTGTGGTTACATCAACGATCATCATCTGTATACTTTGCTCTACAGTTGCGCCCACCGTCCGAGGAATGATTAACGCGGGCTGCGGGTTGGGGGCGTACACGATCATCATCGAACTCCGCCACCCCCCCGGCAGAGGCAAAAACCAGAACACATCTCGAAATTCCCTGCGGGAGCAGCAGGGCGGGCAAAGTTGGAGGACGAACGATAGTACTAATATACCGGTAGTAGGTACTTTACTCGCTCATCCAACAGAGATGTAGCCAACGCCGGAATCACCAGCCCACAGCCCAAGTTTTTTGTCGCGGTAAAAAAAACTTATAAAAACTGAACGAGGCAGGCGGACGGGTCGGAAAGATTATATATGAGATACTATATCGAAATCTTCTCGGGTGCCTACGCCTACGCGAAGAGTTGACCGGGTTGGTGGGTGGCTGATACCTACGGCAGATATGGCTGTGGCGCTCCGCTGGCCAGCCGCCACACATATCCAGGTCCTCCGGGGAAGTGCACGCCGAGCGAGACATTTTCAGATTTGTAGTTTATGTACATTAATTACACACCTCAGAGGCCTCGGTTTGTAGGTACATAGGTGCAAGGAGGTATTTTATACCATATGGCATGTCTGCCATTTCCAGTCGTTGGCTTCCGGTCGTTGGCTTCCGCTCCAGCACTCTCGGGCCGATCAGGTACGCCAACAAGTCCTGCACCGAGGGTGGCGCAGTACTGGTCCGTACCCTGTGTGCCCGGTCACGTGTAGCCTTACATAATACGCGACCGCGGTCCGCAACACCATGCCGTAAAACACGCTTGTTGCCCGAGCTATATCGCACCGCGTGTCTATGTAGATAACTACCACGCGATCGATTGCACCGAGCGGCTGCCTACCGATCAGATGTTTGAACTTCTCGCTCATGGGGGTTTCGATGTCGCGGGCGGGCTGGGCGTTGAACTTTGAAGCATGCAGTCGGTTCTAGGTATGATAGTTAGTACGAGTGTCGGATGAGAACTGGGGCCACCACAAAGTCTTAGCGAAGAGGAACGGACTACCCGCGCCGATCCATGGGCTGTCCTGGTGTGTGGCTGATTAGCGTTCCGTGGGCACTTGGGATGGGAGATAGTTAGTCGATCGAATGGGCGCCAACGCGAGCACAGGGGAAGGGGGGGTAAGACAAGGCAATCTACTCTGGAGTATCTCAGTAAACTACCCGCCGGGGATTATCCTGCAGCGGACGGTCCGCAGTGCGAGGCTTTTACTATACAGCACTATCAATGGTCGGCCTATGCATGATTAGGTATTCCTGCAGTATCACGGGGTTGTATCCTCAAGATGTTCCACTAGCCTTTCCGTAATCCAAGCGGGTGGATCCGGCTCGGAACATCAGCGGAGGGGGACTTTGTGCGGTCGAGAGGCATGTTGTCGGCCTTATGCCTTATGGATGTGTCGTTTGTTCACTGGGTATCACTCGAGCATTCCCGTGGTTGACAGGAGGCCAAGTACTGAATGAGCTGTTCCTGGCACATTTGTGCTGATTAAGCGCTGCAGAGGCCGGTGTTGCACTGCAGCTACACACTTCTTCATTGCAGGTCAGCTCCACAACGACCTGTGTTTCTTCCCTCGCAAACGCGACCTCCTGTACGTCTTACAGAGATAGCAAGCAACGCACTATACGGGGCCTTGAATACTACCGGCAGACCCGACAGCTGTTATGCCACCTGCGGCGCCGCCGGCATCTTCGAAGGCCGCTCGTCCAAGGCGGCCAGAAACCTTCCGGGCCGGCGGAATACGGAGAAGTACCACCACCACCGGCGACCTGATTGCAGCGCTTTCCGCAGAACTCACCGACGAGGAGCGAGATATCGAGATCGAGGCCAGCATCGTCCCTTCCTGTGACAGGACAGAGGACACCAACATCGCTCTGCTATGCTTCAAGCCTAATCCTCCCGCGTACTTGAGCCCGCTGTACAACGGAAATAACGATACTACCAAGGTCCTTACCACAGTCGGCCTCCTGAGCTTCGATAAGAGCTTTTTGGGACTCCCCCAGCTCTACCCCACGCCCCCAAGACGTGAAATCACAGCCGAGTAAGCTGCATTCAAGCCTCATATCCGGTTCCGAACGAGCCCTTACGTTGATATATGTACCTAGCATTATCGCGGTGACAGGGCTCGACGGCCATGCTTATGGCTCGTGGCGATCGAAGACCGAGCCCGTGATGTGGCTACGCGACTAATTCTCCGAGGACCTTCGGTCCTGTAGAACGACGATCTATGGCTACAACTCAAAGATTGCGGACTACACCTCTGGACTTTTGAAGAACATCAAGAGGGCCCGGACAAAAAAAGTGGGTGTCCTAGAACTCCAAATGTTGGCACATATAATAACTGTGGTGGACGCCTAGGAAAGAAAATGGCCAATCATATTCATTGGCCATAGTTTTGGCGGCACACTCATAACCCAAGTAACTAACGACGCGTTTGGAAAACTGCTGAATGGAAATCCTAACCGCACAGAGCTTGGTAATTGCATCCGAGGAAAAGTTGCGTGATATTGAGACCTATTCCATATATGAAGCTACACGAGCTTTGATATTCTTCGCCACGCCACATCGGGGATTATCGACAGAAGACATCCTCGGCATGGTCGATGCCGAAAAGCAGAACGAAAGAGCCTGTCTGGTGAGATCTATCGACAAAAATTCAGAAGTTCTCCAGTCGCGGTTGCACGATTTCACCAAATTCGCGTCACGTTTCAGGATATTCAGCTTCTACGAGCAGAAGACGAAGACAAGGACCCGGAAACTAGTCAAGGCGCGTATCGCAGATCTCGAATTCATGCGATGGGCACGACACTTACGGGCTCCAGGGTCCAAATGGCACTTACGGCAGAACGGGCGACTTCATTGTCCCGGTTGATGCCGATTCAGCCTTGCTTGGCCTACCGAGGGGAATAGAGACCAGAATTGTGGTCGATGAAGACCATACGACGATAGTCAAGTTCAACGGCAAACACCGCACGTACAGGCTTACGATTTCGTACTTTTGGGACTTGACGGATGGATGGCTTCTCGACCATGCTGGATACAACCCCAAATATCCCGCAACCAGTGCAACGGAAGCCCTGCCTTGGGCAATTGGCAGCGGTGACTTGCGACTCGTCAAGTTGCTCCTGAACAACGGCGCCAACCTGAGATTTCCCATGGACGGCAAGACTTGATTGTTCCTAGCCGCTCAGCACGGGAAAGCAGCCGACTTGGCAGCTCATGTCGGGCACGAAACTACCGTGCGGTTGCTTCTTACTGAGGGAGCGAAGCTCCTAACAAAACCTAACGACGGACGGACTTCGCTGCACCTTGCAGCCATGAACGGAAACGAGGTCGTACGGCGGTTGCTCGACAAGGGAACGGAGATCGAGGCCCGGGGTCGTGAAGGCCGGATGCCACTACACCTAGCATCTTCATTCGGTCAAGAAGCTACCGTACGGTTCCTTCTCGAAAAAAGAGTCGAGATCGAGGCGCGAAGAAAGGATGACGACTGGACGGCACTGCATGTAGCAGATCATTTCGGCCACAAAGCCACCGTGCAGCTGCTTCTCAGCAAGGGGGCGAAGATCGAAGCTCGACAGAAGGACGCCTGTAGGGCGCTGCACCTGGCGGCTCAAGCCGGACATGTGGCGACTGTGCGGCTGCTTCTGGATAAGGGAGCGGAGATCAAGGCCCGGGGATACCAAGGCCGGACGGCGCTCTAATTGGCAGCTCAGGAGGGAAAAAAAACTATCGTCTGGTTACTTCTTAACAAAGGTGCCGAGATCGAGGCGCAGGGAAAGGACAACCAGACAGCCCTGCACCTGGCAGCTCGCTTCGGGCACGAATCCACCGTGCGGCTACTTCTAGATAGTGGAGCGAACCTCAAGGCAAGACTTAACGACGGGCGGACGGCACTGCACTTGGCAGCCATGAACGGGCACGAGACCACCATGCGGCAGTTGCTAGGGAAGGGAGCCGAAGTAGAGACCCAGGGTAACGAAGGCCGGAGGCTGCTACACCTGGCAGCTCAGTTTAGACAAGGAGCCGCCGTGCAGCTACTTCTCGACATGGGAGCGGATATTGAGGCGCGGGGGAGAGACCACTGGACGGCGCTGCACCTGGCAGCTCACTTCGGTCACGAAGCCATCGTGCGGCTGCTTCTCGGCAAGGGGGCGGATATCGAGGCCTGACAGAAAGATGACTGGACAGCGCTGCACCTGGCAGCTTGATCGGGACGCGAGGCCACCGTACAGCTACTTCTGAACAAAGGAGCAAAGTTCATGGCGAGAGGTCCCGCCGGGCGGACATTACACATTGCCGCCATGAAGGGGCACGGGTCGACCGTCCGGCTGTTGCTCAACGAGGGAGCGTATATCGAGGCTCACAGCAAGGAAGGCTGGACGGCGCTGCATCTAGCCGCCCACTTCGGGCACGAAGTCACCGTGCGGCTGCTCCTCGACATGGGAGCGGAACTGACGGTAAACCCTCGGGACGGGCGGACGGCGTTGCACCTGGCAGCCATGAATGTGCATGGGTCTACCGTCTAGTTGCTGCTCAATAACGGAGCGGAGATCGAGACACGGGACAGGCGAGACCGGACGGCGTTGCACTCGGCGGCTCAGTTCGGGCACGAAGCTACTGTGCAGCATCTTCTCGACAAGCGAGCGCAGATCGAGGCACGGGACAACGACGGCAGGACGTCCCTACACCTGGCAGCTCACTTCGGACATGACGTTACCGTACGTCTGCTTCTCGATAGAGGGGCAAGGCCTATGGGCAAAACCGGGGAGGGAAATGCTGTCCTACAGCTAGCACAAGAAAGGCGCACGAAGCGGTATTGAGGCACCTCTATTAAGTGCCTATCAGGCCCGCCCAGTCTATACACAATAAGTAAGCGCGCTTTCATACTTCCTAACCAAGTAGCCATCACTGAGAGCGATAAATGATGCAGCCACCAACAGTTGAAGTCCTCCCGGGCGGCTTGACGACGAAGATAACAGCGATTTCCATCTTTTTACACTGAGTCTGGGAGGGTGGAGACGGGTTGGTGGGCGTGCACATATCGACAGAGTGATGTTTTTGTATGTACATCAAAGTTTTGCGTGCCTGTCGCTTTTTCTCTGCGATGCATTTTAGGGCCCGTTTGGATGGCCTCAGTTTTAGCGAAAACTGTCAGTTTTTCGAGAAACTGAGCAAACAAAACTGTAACCCCGTTTGGATGGCACAAAAATTTATAAAAAAAAAAACTGAAACTGTGCGGCTCCGGCCATGAAACGGGAACTGACCTCTGGAGGTCTTTTCTTCACCACCACTCAGTACCGCATTTTGACTTCAACCATGAACTCCCCTTACGGGGAAGAGAAAAAGCGTGGCTTTGTACAATGTGTCTATTATTAAAGTTCTGGCGAAGCCTATTCTTCAGGCTTATGGCTGAGTATACTGAGAACTGCCAAACACTCTGTTCACCTCATGGTTTTCCGGAAACTGAAACTAGACAGTATTTGGTGTCTCGGCGGGGAACTGAATTTCGCTCTAAAACTGTAACTGAAAACTGAGGCCATCCAAAGTCCAAATGGGCCCTAAGGTATCATACTTGGACATTATCTTCTCATTGCCCACTGTTTCTCGCCCCCTGAGACACGAATCGTTGAAAACACGCGGCTGCACAAGGACTGGATACACTTCAACAAACCCATGTGCATTTTCTACTGTGGTTCGAGTCACCATGGTTAATTCATCGAAGCCAATATTAGTTGGAGCACGTGATGTCACTCGCCCATGATGTCACTCGCCCATGATGTCACTCGCCCATGGTGCACTTTAAGAAGCGCCTCAAGACATGGCTGAAGCAATTGGACAGCGGCGCGGAAATGGAGTAGGTGTGTGTGTGTCTTGCCATCATCTAGAGAGGTCGTGTGCAATCAATGATTAAACTGAAGAAAAAAACCCCTCTGTGAGTGGCTAGAAGGCATGGCCATCGGCGAGGATTGCATCACGTGTAAACCGACGGCGATATGATATTTCCGTACCGAGACAGAAGAATCAGCAGCAGGTAGAGTGGAGATTTGAGGTGAAGACAACCGAAATCCCAACGCCACCGCCATACACGCATCCCACAGTGATTGAACAAAATCCGTCATGAGCTCAAGAATTTTTGGCATTCGTAGCAACGTTGCCAGCATTTGTAAAGTGTAAACCGTATGTACGTACACACAAACCGTCTCCCGCCGTAAACCAACGCTTATGAAAACAAGGAAATCGTATCGACGTACCCATCTCATATCGTCATAAAGCTGGCCGAAAAGAGTATCTCCGCCTCAACCTGAAGAGAAAAAATCACCTTCCAAAGAGGAAGAGAACCGAAAAAGAAACACATCAAGCATCGAGAAAAGAAAAGACAAAGACAAAGCAAGTCTGAAAAACAATTCATTACCACCCGAGAACATGAAACAGAAACAATGGAAACAGAACTGAACACATTATCGCTCTATTAAAAGGTAGATTAGACCTGGTCGTCGCCGCGAGACATGGGCCTCTTCTCCATAGTGGTGGTTCGAGATCCCATGCTGGTCCGCGTCATGGTTCGAGCCATGGTGAAGAATCCCTGGCGGAGACTGAGCGAGGCGTCCTTCTTGATTCTGTCCGACTCTCCGCCGTTGAACCATCCGTAGTAGCGCTTGAGGAACTTCCAGATCTCGACACCGACTATGAAGACAGGGATACCCGCCACAGCGAGTGCCCATTCCCAAGTGATGCCGGTGTGGCGGAGCACCTTCCTGTTCAGTCCGGGGATGTAGATGACGGGGAAGACCGAGAAGAAAGGGATGATGACGGCCCAGAACAGGAACTTGTTGTCATAGATCTATGCCAAAGTTAGCAAACATGAATACCAAACGGGGGGCTAGAACCGTAGTAACTTACGTCCTTGAAGAAGGGGAACTTGGAATCAGTCTGGTAAGGGTTCAATCTGAACATGCTGCGGCGAAGGCTCTTGAATTCCCAAGAAGAGAACAGAATGAGCCAAGTCAACTGGGCGAATACAGCTGCACGAGCACGGAAGACTGTGTCGCACTGGGGCGAATAGTAAGAGTTGCAGTCCTCGCCGAGTTCACCGCCTCCGGCACCATACACAACACAAACGAACGTGAGTAGAGTGCAGGTTCCCATGATGAAACCGTAAACCACCATATCAGCAACGATCTGCCAAGTGAAGACACCCGTCTTGATGTTATGCGGCGGACGTCTCATGATTTCGGATGACGGTTTCTCTTTTCCAAGACCAAAGGCAGGGAACGAACTCGTGAGCATATTGATCCACAGAACCTGAAGCGGAGCGAGCGGGAAGACCGAAAGTCCATTCCTATCCTGGAAGGCCAAACCGATGACCAAGAGAATCACCTCGCCGACGTTGGAGACCAGCAGATGAAGGACGAACTTTTGAATGTTGTCGAACATCCTTCTGCCTTCCTCCACGGCTTTGACGATACTGGAAAAGTTGTCATCGGTGAGAACTAGATCGGCTGCCGATTTCGCGACGTCGGACCCTCCCTCGCCCATAGCAATACCAACATCGGCACGCTTCAAAGATGGCGCATCGTTGACACCATCACCTGTCATGGCAACGTATCGGCCGCGGCGGTTGAGAGCCTCAATCATGCGGACCTTGGTGCTCGGAGCGCAACGTGCGATAACGAAGGGCAATGTGGGCAGATCGTCGATTTGATCATCCGTAAGCGCATCGAAATCCATGGCAGTCATGCACATAGCCATCGCAACGTCTGCAGGCAAGTTGCCAAAGTCCTTAGGGATGATTCCGATCTCACGAGCGATAGCCCGAGCAGTTCCGGGGTGATCGCCAGTAAGCATGTGAACCTGGATACCGGCGGTTGTGCAATTCTGGACAGCCTCTTTGGATTCGAGACGGGGAGGATCGTACAGCCCAGCAAGTCCGAGCAGGGTGAGTTTGCACTCAACATCCTCGCGGGGATACTCGGCCCATTCGTGGGAGCTCTTGGGAGAATCGACGACACGCCTAGCAATGGCCAACACACGGAGGCCCTGGTCGGCGAGGAGGGTCATCTGTCGGGTGACTTCGTCCTTCTTCTCCTGGGTCATGGGCTGAATACCATCACCGAATCCGATGTCGTCACAGAGATCGATGATCCTCTCGACTGCTCCTTTGGTGAAGATGATCTGCTTTCCACCGTTCGGCTCCTGGAAGACCACAGACATTCTCTTGACGGTCGAATCGAAACCGTACTCTGCGAGTTCCTTCCATCCGCCCTGCTCGACGAGCTTCTTGCGGCCGAAATCAAAACGATGGGCGAAAACTTGAAGAGCAATCTCGGTTGGATCTCCACTCGCCTGCCAGGCATTCTCCTTCTCGTCGAAGCGTACGCTGGCAAGATTGCAAAGAGAAGTCGAGTGCAAGAAAGCCTCGAGTTCGGGAACGATCTCGGGATGTTCTCCATCTTGGCCCTGGGCTTCCGGCACCGGCTCTTGGGCGGGGACTTCGTTCGGGCGGTCCCTGATTTCCGGCTCGTCCGCAAACGTCAGAGCCAAGGCGGATCGCTCCTGATCACGGCGAGTTCGCTTCTCCTGGTACTCTCGCTCGATGGCTTCGGCGTCTTCAACAGGTGCGGCGCCAAGTGTAACGAAGCCAGATTTGGGGTTGGTGGCCGAGTTGTTGCGCTCGACACTGTAGATACCGATCTCGGGAATCCAGATTTTGCGTGCGACCATCTTTCCCTGGGTAAGGGTACCAGTCTTGTCCGAGCAAATGTTGGTGACACCGCCTAGCGCCTCGAGGGCATCGAGTTTCCGGACAATAACGTTGTTCTTGGCCATCTTCTTCATTCCAACGGCCATGGTGATGGTGAGAACGGCGATTAGGGACTCGGGAATAATGGCGATACCTAAATGTTGTCAATAAACCTCATAATCCTCCGAAGAATCATGATTACTCACCTAGCGAAATGGCGTAAATCTGCACCTCGTGTGTAACATTGAACTTGTTCACGGCGAACACGATGATTGCGAGCAGGAGAGCGCAACCGAACAGAACATAAGCAAGCTTGGCCAACTTTCTCTGCAAAGGCGTTCCCTCGGTGAGACCAAGGAACTTTCCGATGCCATCCCAAGCCCTCAAAGCAGAACCTTTGATAGGGTTCCACTTGTTCTTCTTGGGGTCAACGGAGCGGTTCGGCTTTTTGGGCTTCCTGTGCATCGCCGCAGCAATTGCACCCATCTCGGTACCCATTCCAGTGCTGACAACGATACCTCGGGCACGTCCCTTGGTGACCTCGGTTCCAGAGAAAGCCATGTTGATCCTGTCACCAACACTCTGCTCTCCCTCGATAGCCTCGATGTCCTTGATGACGGGGATGGGCTCGCCGGTGAGGATAGCTTCGAGAGCTGCGAAGTTGTAGGCTTCGAAAATTCGAATATCCGCGGGCACGATATCGCCGGTGGTTAATTGGATGATGTCACCGGGGACCACCGGGCCACTCGGTATGGTTTTGACGTCGATGTCGCCGTTACGGAGGACGGCCGCGCTAGGGCTCGAAAGACTGCGCAAACCATCCACGGTTTTCTCACTGATCGAGACGTCAGCAAGATGATTGTCAGTAGCACGAAAGAATGTTGCACATACGCGTTGTACTCCTGCCAGAATCCAATGGCGACATTAAGACATATAACTCCTGTGATGACGCCACCCTCGATGTAGTCGCTGGTGCCGTAGGATAGTGCCATCGCAAAGAAAAGCACTCTGATGGGGGAAGATGTTAGTCAAAGATGAAGGGAATGATGCCGACGAGTCGGTTCGAGAAAGAGGGTACTAACAGAATCCTAAACGGTATCAAGTCAGTGTCCACGTTTCAATCGATAAGCTGCCACCTACACGCCCGAGCGGGAGACCTACATTGCATTGGCCACCTGCTTGACGAGGATTTTCAACGGCGAGATGGCGCCGTCTCCGTCGAGCTTGTTCTCGCCATATTTTGCGAAGTTCTCGTCGACTTGTTGCTGGGTTAATCCTTTCTCGATGTTCGTGCCCAGCTCATCCGCAACCTGCTGCCACGAAAGCTGGTACGGAGGCTTCGAAAAGGTTGGAGCGGTTGTGGTTTTCTCGCCAGCCATGTCTGTCCATTGGGGTATGAGATTAGGCTTCTTTCACAAGGAGGGGGATGTGCGGAGTATTTATAAGGACCTACCAAACTCTGTTCCGTTGTTGTGCTTCGGTGATGGGGTGACGGCATTCGAAAAGAATGGATTGATAACAACCGTTAAGCTCCCCGCTAGCAACTCTGGTTTACTACATACCTTGGCCATGCAACCTACTCTACCTACTTTAACTTACTCCCCCACCGATGTGACCGCCGAGACCTGGCCCGCCGAGACCTGGCCCGTCAACTAGTGCACCAATAAGCAGCTGTGCACTCACAGAGGGCCAGCTCGGCGAGCACGGCGGCTCCATGACGGCCGGTACTGCCCTCCACCATCCACGCATGTCAGTGAGTACCGACCCACTCACAATACTCACCCGGTTACACTTCGATGACTGCCCCCAATAGCGACATCGCAGAGACGAATACAATGCCCTCCAGTGGTTGGAAGCGGCGTTTCTTCCGACGAGCACATTGAAATCGGGCAAGCGACGGATCCGTCCACAGAAATAATCAAGTGTGCACTCGTCCGTCATCCACTGCTGCTCCTTCACAAAATCTCGAAGACAGCCAAGACGTCCAAGACACTCCAAGCCAATGTCCTATGCGACTTATCAATACTTCACCGGCATCCTATCCACCCGCCACCAGCAATCACCGCTTGGCAGGCAGGTTTTTGGCCGCGATTGCGATCCGAACCGTGGCCTTCGGTAATCCCAAGAGTTTTATCGTCTCGGCGTGAGCTTGGCCGCCTCGACCCGCGTCATGGTTCTCGTCGGCGCTGACAGGTTGCACTTGCCACCTGCTCGAAAGGCGGCGGGTGGGTCCTACCTATCGTTCTCGAAAGCTCCGGACGCCGAGCGAACAGGACTAAAAGTCTCTCCTACATAGTACATATGTCGAGCACTTTACTTATCTCTCTTCCGTCTTCCAACAGGTTCGAAGGCGGAAGCCGTCGGTCGTTCGACGAGCGATGAGCAATAACGCTGTCCCGTGATACCGGTTAAGTGCCCGCTAGCAGCACACTATTGGTGCGAGCCCGTCTTGGCCGCCGTCTTGGCCGCCGGGATCGTTGTCGCCATTCGGGAGATGATATGCGAATACGCGCTTCAAAGATTATTTTTTGCCTTGGGACTTCGGTGAGTTCATTTGGTTGTGCAGGGTCTCCGCTTTATCCTACTGTTGCACGCTCAATTGTCCGTGGAGATGGGATCTTGCCGCGGCCGTCTGCGCTGGGGACTCGTTCACGAGGCTCTTCGACCGGACGACGTCAAGAGTTGTGGTTGGCGGCTAAGACCAACCAATCTCAGCTGCGCGCTTGACCGTGGGTTGCAACCGTTTTGGCTGGTCAACTTTCAATGTGCCCGGCAGCAAGCCAACCAACCGGCGAATAACATGATTGAAGACCACCGTGAACTGCAAAAACTATGCCTGTTCAAGCAACCTTTTACTCGTACTCTTCTAGGGTATCTTCCTGCATCCCCAAGGTACTCTAGCGGACTTCTTTTCGACTTAGACCGGCTTTCCCCGAGGCCGCCCCCCGCTAAGTCCTGCGAACAAACTCCTCGCATAACTAACTTACCACTGCACCCCTTCGCTCTTACTCGGGAATTCTCGAACTCAAAATAACGTCGGCAGTTCCAGTCAACTACTATTGACTTATTCAAACCATCCGAACCACGGGGGGATTTGAGGAGTGATCAATGTCTTACGGAGTCATGGTCCACTCTAGAGTCTAGACCCCCAACATTTACCTTCCGAGCCGAGCATATGGGGAGGTTGGACGTTCTTTTCCCCCATGCTTTCATTCTTGTTCTCGTTAAAGTTTGCCACTTGATTTGGGAGCGCTAGAGTTAGAGGCTTCCCGGTTTCCGAACATCAATGCGAGCTGTCCTTTCACATGATCATGGCGATCGATGACCAGTGTGTGACAGGTTTCGTCATACCCGACGGCGGTTCATTACATACACCAGCCGTCATCCGGAATTTCTACCAAGATCTTCGCCACTTCAGACCCTCGGAAATATTAAGTTATCTGATCATGGATCACCCCCCTTCCCTACGCGTTCAGCTGATGGACGACTCTAAATCGTAACTCTAATATGGGAAGATAAGAGAAAGGTTAAATACAGACTACATTCCATGCTTGGCCAATGCCGCTCACTATGTATCACCAGCAAAATGACAGACATGTCCGCACTTATTCTGGATGTCTGCTAAAAGAACTGAGACCGCCTAGAGTCGAGCGGGTAAGACAGCTCCTGTCCGTGCGGTATTCGGTGATCCGCCGCCACCGCTAATACTCAGCCCATGGAATACAAATTTGCTTTTAGACAGTCTTTGCGAATCTTTCAACACGAAAGCGCCTCGCTAGCTCAATCGGTAGAGCGTAAGACTCTTAATCTTAAGGCTGCGGGTTCGACCCCCGCGTGGGGCTTTCATTTTTGGCTTTGAAAGCCTCACTACCGGTATTTTACGTACCTACACCATCTCATCTGCTTCGGCCTACCCTTTGTACCGATTCCGTCCAATTACGCGGTGGTGGCTCCGTTCAAATACGTAGTCGGGGAAGGTGCTTCTAACCTGGACATGCTTTATCCGTCTGGTTTCCGCATGCTCGGCGCTCGCGGACCACGGTCTGAAGACCGCCGTAGGTTTTCTTCTAGCGCCCCAAACCATAAATACATAACCTGGCCCCCGTGGTTCCTACTAGAAATACCACTCGTGGAGTCCTATACATATAGGAGTCAAAAGACAAGCCAAGGACCTCTTTTCTGGCTCTTCTTTGGCACACTCTATGGACGGCACCGACCAGGACATGCAGAGAATATTTTTTAACAACTCGAAGTTCAAGGGGTGGTTCGCAACCTTTGTACTGGTAGTGTTACAGTCCGGGAAACCAGAGTCCCGGTTCGGAGCCAGGAGCGAAAAACAGTACCCGCCCGGGGCCGCTGGGGACCTGGTTACGTAAGGGATGTGATGAGGTGCCGACCCCGACAAGTGCACTGGCCTAGGTAAGCTCCAGTCGGGCTCGGACTCCGAAGCAGCTGTGGGTTTTTGGGAGGTGGGACCGGCGAGTGCATATTTCTTTACGCCTTGTGTGTATGAGGCATGTACTGGTGCCCCATCCCGAACGCCTGAAGCAGATGTATTATATATACTTAGACAATTTCACAGGGGGTTCATCAACCGATACCTACGGTAGTGTCATCCGGGGAAGTTCCGTTGCCGGGGACGGAGGGAGGGAGGGAAGTATACAGGCTCGCGCTCGCAATCTCACGTAAGTAAGTGCGTAAAAGACGTGATCGGAGGCCGACCCGGCACACAGCCAAGACCGAACCGAGACCGAGACCGAGTCTGAGTCTGAGTCGCCCCGCATTATGTAATTTACCCCGACTCCCAAGATCTCTCACATGCACACTCGGGACCTGGCACCCGTACGTGCATACGGAACATCAAGGAGACGGGTTACGTAACAAATTCATCGATCCCATACACACGTGCGTACCTATGCATGTAGGTAGATATGCACGGTGCAGATGTGGTGGTTGTGGGATGTGGGGAGAAGATCTGGATCGCGGGATGTATATAGAGTCTGTCTACATATGATAGGTAGGTACTCGTCGGGGCATATTAGAGCGTTGGGGTTCTATGTAGGTATATACATACCAGATCAGATCACCAAAATCTACCTTGGCCTCGATCGTCGGATTATGGCCAACCATAGCACATCACTCGCTTCGTTCTCGGCGTGCTCCAGCGAGCGGGAATTACCTGGGTAGGTAGGTCGACCGCTTGTGGACGGTTCAAGCTTTTTGGTATATGTATGGGGATTGTATTCCCGGCGGATAGTTATCGAAGACAATAAGACTCTATGTAACTTTTCGAGTCCCATAGGTAGTCGAAAAGTGTCCCAATGGACAAACCTATGCACTGACCGTATGGAGGTGGTGGTGATGCCCCGCATATAACGAGTTCACCTCAATGCACCAACCCAAATTGAACAGGTGACCTTCTGATTATATATCCTAGATGAATCGAATTGACCGAGTTACTGCAGTCTGACGCACTCCTATGGCACTGCACCTGGCGGCGGGATTCGGGAATAAGTCCATCAATCGTACGGCTGCTCCTCGAATATAAACGACAAATGTGCGGCGATCGACGCTGGGAAGGAGGGTGATTCGACTGTATGTACAAGTTATGTACTATATCTGCCAACTCGGAGCAGCCACGAGGCAATCGCGAGGCTGCTGCTACATACCGAGTACAGACAGCCGGGGACGCATGGTGAAAACTGGACGTGTGATGTTTACGTCACTTTCATACTCATTTCGCCGATAACTAGATTCCGTCTGCTCATATGAGTTATCGTATAGGTTCCGACCTCCTTTTCAGTGCAAAATATGATCTGACACGTAGAGAAAGAAAATTTAAAATCGGTGTCATGAGTTACTAGTAGGTAGGTACATGACTACTGCCACCGAGTGACGGAGAGTGATATGATATCACTCCCTAGTAGGTACATAGCTCTCCCAACTCCCGCATCCCTTCGGCTACATATCCTTGTCCCATATTTACAGCGGTAGGCACACTCGATGGGCTCTTCTATGTAGCTTCTATCCTCTCTATTGACGCGGTGCCAGAAACCATTTGCTATCTCCATACCGATGAGAAAGTAGACGCGAGTCTTCTCCGCCGGGCCGCCTTTGCCGCGAAGGAATAACAAGCAAGGCAGTGTCCGCTGTCAAGAGTACCCATGCTTGCAATACTATCTATCTATCTGTCGCGCCCAGTGGCAGCGCGACGGAGCGTCCGCTCGTACTCTGGGACCGACCGTCGATCTCCGGACGTCTAAATTTCATAAGGTTGAGTAATAACTACCATCACGTGTCGGTGTGAATGTCATCGCGTCTGTGTCGAAAGCGATTGTATCTAAAAATCATGTGATCTGCGTCTAATATTCGAGGACCACACACGACCGTGGTCAACCGCAGTCCTTCCGGTCCTGACATGGCTGGGACCGATTAGATCGGACGGACCGTGCCGGACGTTGAACAGCGCCTTCGTACACGTGTAGAGTACGTGCGCTGTGGCTGCTAAATGAGACCTGGAGTATTTTCCGGTGTCGAAAGGGAAGAATGAGTGAGGTTATTGGGGGTAGTGGGTTCGGAGACATAGTAGCCTCTGAGGGTAAAGACTCCTGCGGGCCGTGGTAAGAGACGGGATCTGGTTCGGCAGTCGCCCGAGAGTGCTGCGCACCTGACTTACTCTACTCCAGCCTTGTTGTTCAGCTTATGCGACAACCCCGCGTTTTTGCTTTTAGCTTAAACCCAAAGTCGAGTACACTCTGCCACGATCGTCTTTCCCCACGGAGAGAAGTGTTCACTTCGGAGAGAAACGTTTCGCACACAGCCACGCCTAGCCGAAACAATAACTGAGAGAAGACGCCCATCCTCAACTTCTAAGGAAAGAATCGCCGCCGACGGTAAAGAGCCTCACGAGCGGCAAGGAACACTGGCCGCTCTTGCACAGTGACGGAACACGTACTGCGGGCGGCTAGGCAGACAGCGCCGACACTTGCGACGACTCCATCGATGCTACCACAAAGTGCGAAAACCACTCACGCAAGGCGGCCAGAAACCTTTCGGGCCGCGGGTATACGCAGAGGTACCACGGTTGGAGACTTGAAAGCAGCCCTTTCCGCTAGGTTTACCAACGATGAGAGGGACATGATCGAGATCGAGGCTAGCATCGTCCCATCCTGTGACGCGACAGATGACGCCGTCACCGCTCTATTGTGCTTCAAGCCTAAAGCTCCCGCCTACTTGGACCCACTGTACAGAGACTTTGACGACACCCAGATCGATACCGAAGTCGGCCACTTGAACTTCGACAAGAACTTCTTTGGGTTCACCCAGCTCTATCCCACACCCACCGGGCACAAGATCACAGCGGAGTAAGTGGCGATGTCCTCTTATATCAATTCCGGTCATGTACTTATTCACGTTGAGATAGCATCATCGCTGTAACGGGGCTTGACGGCCATGCTTATGGCTCGTGGCGATCAAAGACCGAACCCGTCCGGATGTGGTTGCGAGACTTCTTCTCGGAGGACCCCCCAACATGTAGGACAATGATCTATGGTTACGACTCCAAGTTGGGGAGTGTGAGTATTCATACCGTTCAGGACTACACCTCCGGGCTTTTGGAGGATATAAGAATGGCACGGACAAGTGAAGTGAGTGTTCCAGAACGTCCGATATCCACCTATATTTAGCTAATATATTGTGACCGACATCTAGGAAAGGGAGCAGCCGATTATCTTCATTGGTCATAGTTTTGGAGGCATACTCATAACCCAGGTAACCGACGGCTTGTGGAGAATAGTTCCTACTCACTGGAATCAGCTAACGAGCATCCTTACACTGCGCAGAGCTTGTTAATAGGATCCGAGGAACAGTTCGGTGACATCGAGGCTTATTCGATATATGAAGCTACCCGGGCCTTGATATTCTTCGCCACACCCCATCGTGGACTATCGACAGAAAGTATTCTCAGCTTGATCGATGTAGAAAAGCACAGCGAAAAAGTCGCCCTGATGGAATCGATCGATAGGAACTTGGAAGTCCTGCAGTCGCAGCTACAGAGCTTCATCGAAATCGCGCTCCGTTTCAGGATATTAAGCTTCTACGAGCAAAAGAAGACCAAAAGGCTGGTCCAGGTGAGCTTCATCACATCTTACATATTACCACGCGATGACACAACACTTACTTTCTAGGGTCTAAATGGGACTTGGGCTAGAACCGGTGATTTCACTGTTCCGGTTGCTACTAGTTCAGCCCTGCTCGATCTATCCAGGAAGATAGAAACGAGAGTTCCAGTCAATGAAGATCACTCGACAATAGTCAAGTTAAACAGCAAACACAATCGAACATACAGGTCTACAATTTCGTACATGTGGAACTTGACGGATGGTTAGCTTCTCACCAACTCTGGATATAACCCTCAAGACCCTTCAAACAGTGCGATGAAGGTGCTACGCGGAGCGATTACGATCAGTCATTTGCGACTCATCAAGCTTCTTCTGAAGAATGGCGCCGATCCGGACTGTTCCACGGATGGCATGGCTGCTTTGCACCTGGCCGCTCAGCACGGGCACGTAACAATCCTGTTGGTGCTTTTATAAAACGGGGCAAAGATTGAAGCCCAAGAGAACAATGAATGGACGGTGCTACATGTGGCGGCTCAACACGGGCACGAAGCCATCGTGCGGCTGCTTCTCGACAAGGGAGCCAAGAGTTTACGGAATGCCCTGCAGGCGACGGCTGACAACGGGCACGAAGCCACAGTGAAACCGATTCTTGCCAAAAAGGGGACGAACGAGGACTGAACCAAGAAACATGCGACTGCCCTTGGCTTAGCAGAAACGAACGGACATAGGGCGTTAGTTGAGCTCTAATAAGTACTCATTAGGTCCACCCGGTTTAGATATGCGGCGAATGATTTGGTCTCTTATGCTTTAGTTAGTTCACTCGTTACTGAAAGCGAATGATGTTGTAATTACATACCTAGTTGCAAATAAGTGGGGACGTTTGGTGTAATAGGGTAGCCATGATTGCCAGGACAAGTCCGTTTTGCAATCTTTTCGGAATATGATGATGCCGAGGCGGATGCAGGTGCGAGCATAGGTAGATCAGATGAAGCGATTTCATCTACATCAGCGTTTTGTAGGTTTGTTATGTACTTTCCCTCCATGAAGGTGGAATACGTAAAGATCGTCCTCTCATCAGTAGTTATGCACGATATTTACAGCCAACAGCAACAGTGGTACCCACGCTAAGATTATGTGGCCCTGTGTTATCCCGTCACTCGGCGAGCTCAAGCGTCAACGTCACGATTCCAAGGGCACATTGATGATTGGCAAGACAGTGCGCAGCCGCCCCGATTCGGTACTTAACAGCCATAGCGTAGGAAGGTATGCTACATTACAACCTCCCCCGAGTTCTACATTGACCTGTCAAAACGGAAGTAGGTAGTTACCTAATGTATGTACCTAATGTACCAAGTAATGTCATTCACGGGTTGTTATTCCAGAAAGAAAGCTGCCTCTAAACGTGCCTTCTAGGTCTCAATGTATAGACATAATGTTTCCACTGTCGAGAATGAGAGTGGTGGACCCAGCGCCGCCGCCGCCGCCGCCGGAAGAGGATCATGAGCGATAACTCGCTTAGCTGGGAATCTTGGTGCGCCAAAAAGTGGGCACCGAGAACTGATTATTTTTTCCGCAACGATGGGTAGAACTCATCGTCACCGTGCCGCTGCGCCGTAGGGAGTCATTCGCTCCACAGCATAGAGTTACGACTGTCATCACGTGTGGGCAGAGTGAGAGGCCGGCGCGAGACAAGGTACCTAGAACATGGATTCGAGCGCCAAAAGGTTGGTAACGAAGGAAGAACAACTCCATCGGCAGATCTAGGTACCGCACTGGTTGCGCCGCGTGATGGTCTCTGAATGTTGATATATATGTCTTCCGGTCGTGGGCAGTTACAGGCTGAAGTTTTGGAACCGGCCGCTAGCGAAATCAAGGAGGAACATCTACATACGGAAAACAGTATATCACTAATCGCCAGACAAACAGGCAGCGGTTATGGTGCCTCACAAGCGGCAAGGGAAACGGGCGGCTCTTTCACAGTGGTGCGCACGCGGCTGTCCGACGGTGGACGTCGGCACCCTTAGCGACGCGTTACGTGCACACGCCGAGCGGGCGCCAGAGCCGGGGCTTTTAGGGCAATCAGCCACGATAACTGTTACGAAGTCTCCGACGCTATGAACATAAGTACCAGCAAACTCGACAGCCGTACATAGCAACGTCTCCAACGCTGCCGGAAACTACTTACCTAGTGACAATATCTAGTTTATCCCCACTAAACCTATATACTCTACAGCACGCATGAGTCAGGGTAAACAGCTCATTGGGATTTGCTGACGAGTAACTGCGAGCGAAAGAAGACCAAGAAGCTAGACATGTACCTACCTGTAGTCGAGATGAGCTTCATCGCGGATCTTGGATAATGCTATCTAGGTACGTGGTCGACAGAATCTAGAGTCTAAATGGCACTTGGGGCAGAACCGGCGACTTCACCCCAACGGCAAGTGAGCACGGCCGCACCACCAGCCATAAACTTCCAGCTCGATAGCACTCTGTGCGGTACCTATCAGGTGGCCGTGCTGGTGTGGTTTTGGGCAATTCGTCAGGCGCTCCGAAGAATCTAAAGCACCTACCGGTCAGTGTCACCCCATAGGCCCAGATGGCCGCCGGGCAACGACCGCAACTGGGTGCTGGAGAGCTAGGTATCACAGAGGATCACTCACTTCCACCGCTGCCAGATCCAAGTTCTACACTGAATGGCTCCATCGTGTAGTAGCCTATGTACCAGTTATCAGTGATCGCCAAGGAGCATGTCGTCAACCTCATGATGCGGAGACGCCCGTGCACTGAACCTTGCTCCATTGATCGAAACCTGTTGCTCCCAGGTAACTATCTTTTACCTTTTATGGAAGCCAGTAACGTGACCGCGTGCCACGACACGAGCCCATCGCTTCTTTGCACTTGAGTCGCGAGCTTCACGTTAACGTCGCATACCTACCTCCTACCTAGTACGGTACCAGGTAGGTATTTGTCGTGAGGCCTTCCGCGAACATTGAACCCCGGATTCGTGGGACAGTCAGTGAAGACAATCCCGCCTGGAATGTCCATCCGAGACTCCACGCCTTGCGCTGTGTCGTGCGGATCGATCGTCGGCAGCACAGAGTTCGGAGCGGGATGGAGCCCGCTCACGCTCACGTGGTATGACGCAACCATCCACGCACCCGATCGTGCACGGATGCCGTCGCTGTCTCACCGTTGAACCCCTCGCAGAACGCGTCTTCCACCTGCACTTGAAACAGGCAGTGTCGATCAGCTAGAATCCCAACTCGAGATTTTTCGTCCGTCCGGATTGCGGCTCCGACCGCCAATGGTGCTTCTGTACCCACCTAATGCTGGAGATACTTCTATGTGTACCCGTTAACTATAGCTAGTATTCCCACCACCGATCGAGAATCCGAACGCGCTCCTCCGCACGCAACGCTCCTGAGCCCCGGATTCGTTTCGCGAAGACCGACGGATCCCGGGACACACTGCATCTGCGATGATGTACGGACCGAACGTATGGGACCTCGTCCTTGTCCGCGTACCTCGCATCGCACGGCAACAACGCAGCTGCTAAGAGTACATGCATCCGCGCACGACCGGCGGAGTTCAACCGGTAGGCTCACGAGTCACGAGCATACAGCAGGATCTGCCGGTACGGTACCGGAAGGAACACAACAGCAGTCGAGCTGCAGAACACAACCATAACTACGTGCAAGCATGGTGATGGGAGCGCCAACCAGGTGCGGAATTCGAAACCACCGTCCGGTGAAGTGCAGCTTGTGCGATGCGGACGGAATCCCCATGCGTTCTGAATAGAGTACCGGTATACATAATACATACCACGGTCCACGGTCCACCGTCCACGCGCAGCAGGGAATGTCTCTGTGCAATTGGAAAGTGCGATTGGTACGCAACGTGCAGGTGCAATGGTAGGGCGAGTCTGCGTTGCGAGCGCCCAGTCGTTAGAGCATAGTTACATGATAGTATCATAAGAAACTCCTCGAAATTCTCATATTCACGGCACGTAAACACCCCGGATCTCCACGGGTAGGTGGAGTGTATGCTCGCCGTAGCATACCAGAATCCAGATAGAGTAGGTGTCGATGCCGGGCTGGTGCATGCCCTCCACTTGAAGGCGTGTCTAGTCGTAACACGTAAAGTATATGAAGGCGTGCAAAAGCCCTCGCCGCTGCACGCCCATCTCCTGAAGGAACGTGGAGTCCTCCTTCCATCGCACAGACGTGTAAAATCGACCGCCGCGTGGAACGCCTCACAGCCCGCCGCCATCAGGGTGCCCGAAAAGCCACTGTTCAAAACCGCGCGGCAGTGGCGTACACTCACGTCGATATCCATGATCCATCTCCTAGGTATCCGATCATCTACTCGCAAGGCTCGGAGCTTAACCGGTTTGTCAGCCAAAGGATGATCTGATAAACAGATATCGGAGACTTGGATGTACTACCTAGTAGTTAACTCCGCGCGCCGACTCTCAAACAGGTGTCTACCGAGTGATGCTTTGGATTGTTTTCTGTTTCATCATACCTACTCGCATTCAGTACATCTAGACTATGGGGCGCATAGTTTTCAAGCCGTGTCCACAGTCCAGATAGCTGGCTGGTGTGGCAAACCGTGGCCTCCGCCCTGGGTAAAAGTGATACACTGAGTCTACCTATCCAACTTCCAAAGCTCCAGGGCCCGAGCTGGGCCTACCGAGCGAAGCTAAAGTTCCGAGAGCACACCACGGGTACTCATGTACTGTGTCCGAGTGATGTACAAAGTGCCGATGCGTGCTGTCAACATGTCGCTGAGGCGGAGATACGGTAGGTAGTGATGTTGTATTACTTTGTGTCGAGGATGAGTGGCTACCGTGGGGATGGAACTTCGTATAGAATGCACAACCGCTCTGCACTCATAGTTCTACGGACTCAATGCTAGGTACCATGTAGAGTACATACCTCTAATATCCCGACTCCCTACTAGAATGTCCCGGCGTCTACAACCCTCGTCTCGCCGTATCCAATTCACCTCCACCTGAAGAAGAGGTTGACGTCCGTATGCTCCGAGTAGGTAGGTCTCCACCCGTCTCCGCATCCTGGACGTCTGCTTCCTATTCCCAACCCTCCCCCGCACCTCCGCACCTCCGCGCTTTCTGGCTCCTTCTCGTCTTATTCAGCACCGATGGTTGTCGGAATGGTGAGCGGTTTACGCGTCGTCGATTCGCCGCCATCAAAGCTCATCGCTAACTACCGAAGCTCTGGCCGCAAGTGGGTAAGAATCCAATCCCACGTGCCGTCGCTATCGCCGTCGCCGCTGCGGTCGCTGTCAGGCGCAGCAGGATCCCAGACGGAAAAACACAAGTGAGGCAAATTGAGCGCAAGTTGCCGCTGCGCTTGTGGTTCATGTGGTCGTGTGGTGTGGTGGCTAACCAGTTACCCATCACAAGTCAGCCCCCCAATTGAAAACCAGCGCCCATCTCTAGAGTCTAGCACCCGCCGCCCTGGGTCTGGAGAGTGCTATATGTGGAAGAGTCGGTCCAGAGTTGGTTTTGTCCGGGGGATCTCAATTCGGTGGCGCACACACATCCTGCCTACTCTCCTCCGAAACCGATACCTACCTCTACCTGCCTACCTGCTTCTCTACTCACCGCCTACTCACCACCTACTCACCTACATCCTTACTCATCTTCCTACATCATCTACAAGTGAGTAGCAGAAGAAGAAGTATTTAGACTGGCTGTGCCTGGAATCTTGACATTCCTTCATTGAAGGAGGTTTTCCAGTTCGTATCCAACTACTCTGCTGTTGCCGCCCCCGCGCTCAGACCTCCAGCATTCTTCTGAACCTCCTTCGATTCCCAGCACCCGACAACACCACACACACACTCCCCCATCACGTCACGGCGCGGCGTTTCGAGACGAACCGGCTGAACACCACGATCCACGACTCCTACAGCGACAACCACCATGACAACAATGGGCGACCCGCCCAGCGGTTCTCCGCCTCTAAATGATGTCAGCTCATCGCCGATACTGCGCTACACTCGCTACTACTACCCGCTAGTACTGTTCCTCTTCTTTACCATCTCCCTCGGCGTCTGGGGAATAGCAACGTCGGAATCGTCGAAACCGACGCCGCCGCCAGTAAACGGTATCTACGAGAATGGACGGGCGTCGAAAAAGAAGGAGCGCAAACCGTCGGGGCCGACGCTGTTCAGGCGACTCGCAGCGCGCTTTCCGGGCGGAATACAGCAGCAGGAGGCGTCGGATGTGCGGCGATTGGGCGATCTGCGCAAGGCATTCATGAACTGGCTGTTGGGAGGTGTTTTGGCCACGCTTATGGCGAATGCTACGAACGTCATCGTGCACACACTGCTGGACCACAGCTGGTGGTGCGGCAAGGACTATGTGGTACGCGACAATCTGTCTTTTGGGGGGCGGCGGGGGGGTTCTCTTTGAGAACTGGTTGCGAATCTGTTACCACTGGTGTTTGCGTGCGCGTGCTGACTTGTGCGGTGTGCGTGTCTTTTTCGCTAGATTTCCAACATCGCCCGCTTCTTTACGTACGCGCTACTCCTGATCTCGCAGATCGATGCCCGGCTGAATCCTACCTTTCCGCATTTCTTCACCTGGATGCTTGGGCTCGCTGGTGAGATTCTGTTGGTGGTGGCAAGGATCACGGCATACAAGGCGCACCAACAGAAGAAACACCCGGGAGGAAAGCACCAAATCAAATGGGGATCCTATGAGATCGTGGATATCTCGATCGACATGCTACGGACTTGCATCCTGCTAATCCTGATCGTCACGTACCTTGCTCTGATTGTGATCCCCAGTCCGGTTTCCCAGCGGGGTGATGCGGAGGAGACAACCGGGCTGCTTGCGAACGGAAACGGCACCGAATCCGACGGCGAACAACCAGCGTACGGCTCAATCCCCTCCAAAAAGAACGGGCTTTCGGAATCAAAAGTCCCCGCTGGATGGGGGCGGAGAACAAATGTTGGGAAGCAAAGCTGGTGGGAGTACCTAAGAGGCTATGCTATTTTCTTCCCCTACTTGTGGCCCAGCAAGGATCGGCGGTTACAGATCGTGATGATTCTCTGCTTCATCTTGGTAACGCTTCAGCGCGGAATCAATGTCGCGGTGCCTCACCAGTTGGGGCGGGTGACGGATATTCTCAGTGGCGAGGATGGCCCGCGTAAGTGCAGCAATCAATCTGTGTGGCGAACAATTTCAGCTGACGAACCCTCTAGCGCGTCTTCCATGGGACCAGATTCTGTTGTACATCATGTACCGGTTCCTACAGGGTAATATGGGTTTGCTCGGCGCGGCTCGAAGCGCCCTCTGGATACCGATCGGCCAGTACTCGTACCAGGCGCTTTCGACGTCGGCTTTCGAGCACGTCCATTCGCTGTCCTTGGATTTCCATCTGGGAAAGAAGACGGGAGAGGTTCTCAGCGCTCTCAGCAAAGGTAATGCGATCAACAATTTCCTGGAGCAAGTGACATTCCAGGTCGTACCAATGCTGGTGGATTTAGCCGTGGCTGTTGCATATTTCATGATCAAGTTTGATGCGTAAGGGACACTACCACACCACCGTCAACATCGAGGTCAATCGTGCTGACAAGGGAGGTTTAGGTACTATGCCCTCATCGTCGCCATTGTTACATTTGTGTATCTCTACCTCACTGTGCGCCTGGCACAATGGCGTGCCGATATCCGTCGCGAGATGGTCAACATGTCACGAGAGGAGGACGCAGTCAAGAACGACTCCATGATTGCGTACGAGACGGTCAAATACTTCAATGCCGAAGATTATGAATTCGGACGATACAGGAATGCGGTCAGAGCATACCAGAAGGCTGAGTACAGGGTGCTCCTGTCGCTTAACGTCATGAACGTCTCGCAGAACGTCGTCTTCACCCTCGGATTGCTGATAGCCTGCTTCCTCGCCGCCTACCAAGTAAACCAGGGAGATATCAAGGTTGGAAGATTCGTGGCACTATTGACATACCTTGCCCAGCTGCAGGTGAGACAGCTCGTTGGATCTTGTGCGATGTAACGGTCCGTAGGTGCTGACGCAGATTCGGTGGATAGGGTCCGCTCAATTTCTTCGGCACGTTTTACCGCAGCATCCAGTCTTCTATGATCAACTCGGAACGCATGCTGGAACTGGTAAGTGCCGACCTGACTGCTGTTTTACTTACTGGGACATTTCGGTTGACATCTTATCTAGTTCAAAGAGCAGCCAACCGTCGTCGACAAGCCAGGAACCAAGAAATTGGACGTCTGCAACGGCGAAATCCGGTTCAGGGACGTCGAGTTTTCCTACGACAACCGCAAGCAGGCCCTCAAAGGACTCGATTTTCTCTGCAAGCCCGGAACTACCACGGCATTCGTCGGAGAGTCTGGTGGAGGAAAGACCACTATTCTTCGATTGCTCTTTAGGTTCTACGCAGCGCAAGCAGGCTCCATTGAGGTTGACGGCCACAACGTCGAAGATATCACGATCAATTCGCTGCGAGAGCACATTGGCGTGGTACCTCAAGACACCGTGCTGTTCAACGAAACCATCATGTACAACTTGAGATACGCGAATCCCGAGGTCACGGACGAGATGGTATATGACGCCTGCAGAGCCGCCAGTATCCACGACAAGATCCTTACGTTTTCGGACGGATACAATACTCGTGTGGGAGAGCGTGGACTTCGGCTTTCCGGAGGAGAGAAGCAGCGTGTCGCCATTGCGCGCACCATTCTCAAGAACCCCAAGATTATTCTTCTGGACGAGGCGACTGCGGCTCTGGATTCGGAGACGGAGCAGCACATCCAGGCTGCACTTAAGGAGCTTGCCAAGGGCCGCACCATGCTCGTTATCGCCCATCGCCTTTCTACCATCATCGCCGCGGATCAGATCCTCTGCATTCACGAAGGCAAAGTCGCCGAGGCCGGCTCGCACGACGAATTAATAGCCCTCAACGGACGGTACAAGGGCATGTGGAGCAAGCAGATCCGGGCACAAAAGGTTGAGAAGGCGAAAGCGCGTCTGGAGGAGAGCCCTGACACACCGATGATCTCCTCCACGTCATCGTCGGTGTCGGGCGACAACGGCTCAGAGCGGGCCATCCCAGACGGCCAGAACACGGCGGGCGCCGCACCAGCCATGGAACCCACCGAGATCACGCCGGCCACTAGAGACGCCGAGGATGTGTTTGATAACCTGCCGTCGGGCGCGTCTACTCCCGGTAATGGAGGGGAGTCGTCATCCGCGGGACTTAAAAGGAGCGGCAGCGGCGCGTCCATCGAGAAGGGGCGCTGGAGCGCAAAAGGTCTGAGGAAAGCCCTCGGCAAGAAGGGTGGCATCTTGCACAAGCGCGGTCCTAGCACCGACGCATAATCCCCATAAAGATACGCACACGACGATAATGATTGACGACGTGATGGGCTAGAGTTAGGAAGCCCGATTATTTTTACACAAAAGCGTGAGAATGGGGGTGGTGGATGAGAGGGGGGATATTACATTGAGTACCTAGGATCGGCTGGCTGGCTAGAGGTGATTTGTAATTGAGGTTATTCAATTCGCATCCCGGTCGGTTACGTACGTACGTAGTCCGTTCGTCTTTATTGTGCGGTCCTCTCTCTCTCTCTTCCTTTGTGTAATCTCACGTGGCGGGTGTGTGCTCGGTGATGGAGGATGGAGGATGCAGGATGGAGGATGCAGGATGGAGGATGGGAATTTTGCTTCTATGGGCGTAGGGGTTTGGGGGCTCTGGATACCTGTCGATTGTTTATCTGTCATTGTTTTTTTTTTTTTTTGAGCGGAGGGTGGAGGGCAGTCAGTCAGTACTCGTACATAGCATATACCATTTAGTTAGGACCTTTTTTAGTATTACAACACGGAAACAGTGGAGCATGATCAAGACCAGACGCCGTCGCTTCAACCATGGGACGTAAGTCATCGTTATCCACAACCACGGTTTTCGTCGGAAGTTGCAGGTTGTATTTTCTCACCGCCATCCTCTACCATAGTTCGTTGCCAGCCATCCTATCGCCCTTGCCGGAAGGCTACAAAGTCCAGGCGTCCGAAGGAGCGATGAACTGGATCCTGGCCGAGTGACGAAGCTGCCGTAACTAGTCGTAGTCACATAATATCACTCGGCCAAGTAGGTAATCGATCGTTTTCCCTATGTACCGTCGAAGATACTTTCGCCATACCTAGTCTAGAGAGGCTGCATGCGAAATCAAACAGGAAGATCTCTCTCTCTCTTTCCGTCGAAGATATAGCCCTTCCACCTTACTGCCGGTAGTTATCTAATGCAGCCGTGTTGAAGGGTTGAAGGCTTGAAGGCTTGAAGCAGAGTTTTGTGATTCGGTTGATCCACTGAATCAATGATCGACTACACGGGTTCACGCGATGAAATCGCCTCTGCTCTTCTTGATCCGCCGGTTCCGCTTTTGCGCGCGCACCATCTACCGTGGCGGCGTTCTATAGCTACTATCGCACTGCCGGGGTCGCTCCGGCCGATCGGAGCTACAGAATGTAGCTCTTTCTCCCACCTCGCCCCCGCGACATCCCGAACACCGCCGCCATCGCCGCCCGGCTTCGCAAGACATCAGGTACATATATTGGCAGCAGGTGGTTACCCGAGCGAGAGGGGAATGAAAAAAACTCTCGTACTATCCTGTTGTATGTATGTACGGCGAGTCGGCGACTTGCGTGGAAATTGAATTATGACAGCGCACTCGGTGGCCGATCGGCTTGGTGCCGGTCCCGATCCTAGCCCAGGCCCGGTCCCGGCGCAGGCTCGCAAGCACCTGCCTAGGCTTCAGGGTTCTTCCAGCCGAAGACGTGGTGTCGGGGTACTGCCCCGCCTATCAGTACATATATACCGGTACGTCCAGTGGAGGAGGACAAGGACGAGGACGAAGCGCCGCCGCCGACGCACGCGGGAACACCCCATCAAAGGCTGCACGCGCTGAGTGGAAGCACCGAGTGGAAGCTTCAAGCGCCAGTAGAAAATCCAGCAGAAAATCCTGCGGGCAGAGATTCGGAAAAGGAGACGGGGAGGACATCCTAGAATTACGGGTCCCGCCGTCCCGAAGGTCGCTGTGGAAGATGCAGCAGCCTGCGGGTGAGGTGGTCGGTTGGGTGGGAGCTCGGTCGCTGCGGAAGATGCAGTAGTCTGCGGGTGAGGTGGCTGGCCGGGTGGGAGCTCCGCGAGCGTGAAGAGAGACAGGCGAAGAGAAGGCGAGAAGAGGTCCCACGCCCCCCGAGTGGTATCTCCTGGTGAAGAGGTAACCAGTGAATCCACCAAAGGCAGCGTCCTGCGGATGTAGGCATGCCACTTTTGCGAGGGCTCTTTGCCAATGCCTCTCTAGGCCTGACGAGAAAGGAGGTGTACACAGAGGAGAGAGAGGATATTGGGGGGTTTGCCGTCTATTTGATAGGTTATCAAGAAAGAAGAAGAAGAAGACCCCCGCTTTCCCACCAACGTTGATTCCCACCAACGTTGATGCCCACTACTAACCACATTGGGTTTCTCCCGCCGACAGGTGTTCTCCTTCACTTCCTCCTCTCCCCGAAAGCTCCTCCCCTCCCCGACAGCTCCTCCATCACTTCCTCCTCTCACCGACAACTCATCTTCACACCAAAAATTCCTCCTCCTCTCGCTAACAGTTCCTTCTTCACTCAGCTATACCACAATGGGCTGACGTGATCTCAGTGCATCTATAGTACATACCGGACTGGAAACTTGATTGTACCGTGGGGTTATTGTCGGTATTTTTATTGCTAGGGGCATAGTTACGCTGGATGTTGATCCCCCGCGACGCGAGATAATGCTAACAGAAGGCAGAAAGGGGAGATCTGGAGAGGATAGGGCTCCTGCAGGCCAAACTGCCGCTCGAATTTTGCAGGCTACCGGGTCGTGGCCTGAAGTAGCGAGTGATCGGACATGTACTGGCATCGCGATGACACTTGTCTTGTCTCCCGCTGACAGGTCGTACATGCGCCGTTGACCTATCCCGACGACGTTACCTGTACTGATTCCTGCGACCCGGAGGTAAGGAAGTGAAGCATCACAGTCGAGATCCCGAAGTATCCACACATGGCGAGTCCAGGTGACAAGGGAGCGTTCGCAACTCTTATGAGTTACCACGGAGCCTCGAGAGCTCATTTATGATTTGACGCGCACTGGACGGCGGGGTCGAGCTACCTATTGGACCGACGTTAGCAGTCCGTCCCCGAGCACGAGTCAGACTGCGACGGTCAGCCGGCTCAGCAGTCCGTTCCCGACCCCCGGCTCCGACTTCGCACGTCGACCGAGTTCTTACTTGCAAGCGCACGGGCTCTCACTCGCGCAGATTGCGCCGAGGCGAATGGTATTTGCTATTTCATTTTCTACGGTGATTACTACGGCAATTCCATCAGCAATGGGTTGACTACGTAGGTATGTGCTTGTAGAGGGACATCCGTCCGCCGGCGCTCGCTCCGTCCACCGGCGGGGGAAACCAATCGCCAAGTCTTCGTCGATGTTCACGGCGCACCCGCGCGCGATTGGACAGGTGTGGATATCGGTGCCGTCGATAACACCCCCGCAAGGCAGGGCCGTACCTATCTACCTCGCTAGGAAGGAAAACAACTCAATTCTTCGCCCCCTTAGGTAGTTATCTCGAGTCTCCCCTCCGTCCAGTCTTTGGTTCTCTATCTCTCTCTCGTTCTTCCATTCGCAGCCCGTCCGACTCCGCAGAGCCTACATACGTAGCAAGCAGCCCACTAACTAGCGCAGATCCCGGGTTTCGACGTTCGTCGCAGCCGCGTCGCGGATTGGACGATAGCCATCTAGCTGTGCGCACTGCTGAACGATACGATCGCCTCCGTCCGGCCACTACTCCAGTTACTGGCTGGAGAACGCCGCTAAAATATAAAAGCGAGCGAGCACAAGCATGGGCACGGGCACCACCACGATCACGAGCACGAGCACGGGGACTGGCACGGGCAAATGGGCAACGTCGTCGTCGTGGTCGTCGCAAGGGCAGGTGCGGGGTTTGCAGTACCTATGTATGTACGTACATGTACCGGCACGTACGTGGGGTAAAACGAACTGGGGCCGCGCCAGGCTGAAACGGACGAGTCACAGTGGGTGTTTGGAGATGCGCCGGCTGGGCTGGGCTGGCGGGGAAAAAATATGCATGTGTGTACATACTTTTTTTTGGCTAACGCGCTGGCACGACAGGTAAAGAAAGCTCCGCGGCGTGATCACTCACTCACTCGAGGGAATAGTTTTACCCCGCAGTCAGTTCACTGGACCCACGGGCCCGCATGACGAGGGAAAAGACGGAAAAGCACCCCGCGTGCACTCAATTGAGCCCTGTACGGTTGCGGTTCTCCGGGCGGGCAGAGAGGGGAGTGCGACTGCGTGCTTTCACCTCGTCTGGTTTCGGGGTGCGATGTTCTTTCGTCCTATGATACACCGCCCCACCAACACCAAATATCTGGCAGTGGGATATCTGTATCGCTGTGGGATGAGCTAGATTCTAGCTCCATGCCTGAGATATTATGTCTGCGCTATCGATATTGTATCGCCAGGTGGAATAGATTCGGTATGTAGGTGCTCTACAAACCAAATCGTGCTGCGTTGCGGTGCGTTGCGGTGCGTTGCGGAAACGGACGGGATGGACGGCGACAAGAATAACAACAAAAATAGCCTACCAGCCAGCCACCACGTTGATGACGGACTCCGGCCCAGCATCATGGCCATCTCTTTTATACATACTTACCTACCTACGTGCGTTAGGGTAGGTACACGTTTTGTGGATCATACCGTACCGTGCTGGATGTTTCGGTATTTGTATCTACATAGTGGCAAGTGCGGATTTCGAACCCGACCGCTGAGATATGGTGAAGTACTTATGTAAAGTAAAAACGAGGCAACCAAGTCCCGTAGATATATTGCCTCGTAGTATGACGCAGCCAGCAGCCGATTCCGCTCGTTCAATAGGCACAGCGAAACCCAATCGTCACCACCACCACCACCACCAAGGAGAGTGGTTATTATAGGTAGTAGGGTCCCGAAACAAAGAGAGGATGATCATAATGATCTGCCCTGCCCTGCCAGGCTGCCAGCGTATGCTATGCTATGCTATGTACGAAGGGGTAGGTAGGTTTTGATATTACATTACACTACCTATAGTAGTACCTACTGAAGCCCATCATGCGTGAGATCACCGATGGTCATGGCTCCTGGCTCCCCCGTATATTGGGGCAACATAGGTGAAAGGGAACTACCTATCGAAAATCAGGGTGGGTGGGGTGTTTGTATGTAGACGGTAGTAGAGTAGTATAGTAGTAATAGTAGGTATCGCGGAATGGAAAAGCTTGTGGTTGTCATCTAGGATTCTGGGTACGTGGATATATCATATCATATGCAGTGGGCCAACCGTTACAGCCCACGGTTGTACTATTGCTTGTAATTTGCCCCCGAGTCCCTCCACAGAATACCGTTCCTTTCTGATATCTCAAACAGCATGGCTGGCCGCTACTATATAGTAGAGATGGGAAAGCTGAAACAACCGCCCAAGGAGGAGGATGAGGAGGAGGGGGCTTCGATCGTTCAATCAATCGACTGAAACCCGACAAACAAAACTCCCCCGTTGCGTTAGACGTGGCCGATATCCCGTTTCCTACTACTGCAAGGTCCTCTGCCACACGACGAGTAGATGTATCGTATTGTACATAGGTAGAGTAAGTAGAGTAGGTAGAGTATATAGAGTATATGAATGCAATATCTAAGACCGCAGACCGCAGATCGAGTAGCTCAAGCCCACCACCTTCCGCCACCGACTCCTCAGACGGAGGCCCCACCTACCTACCTACTCTACTTTACCTGCTTTACCCCTCTAGTTTCCCAGGAAACTCGTTGCAGCAGCTAGGCTTGCACCTGCCTGTTTGTCTGCCTACCTGCCTCCAGACTTTCAATCAGCATCCATCCGATACATAAAACCTAGGTAGGTAGGTAAGCCTCCAGTCCAATCAGCACTCATGCGTAACCCAATCGCCCACGAGCTCCGACTCTCTGAGATCCTGGGCTGAGCTGACGGGTGGCGGAAGGAGGTTTGTTTTGGCCCCTTGGGTTGGGTGGGTGGGTTGGATTGGGTTGGGTAATACTGGTAGAGCGAAGAACTCGAGGGGCCAGCCGTGTGGTGACAAGTGTTGCACGGTTGCACGTATGCATATCTACACACGATGATACGAATGGGATGGGAGTGGATGGGATGGGATGGGAGTGGAGTGGAGTGGAGTGGAGTGGAGTGGATACTTTACTGTACTTGCTTATGTGGACTTGTGTGGAATGGCAATGGTAATCGCAAGGTAGAGTACTATCTACTACTCTAGTAGAGCACCTACTATAGAGTACCTACACTCCTATGTAGGTCTTCTCCTCATTCAAACGGCCCAGGCTGCAACTCACGCCGATTACCCGAGCCTGCGCCCCAGCCCCAGCCCGAGCCCGATTCCAAGTCCAAGTCCAAGTCCAAGCCCGAGCCTGCGCCCGAGCCTGGCCATAAGGCTGACGATTGGCGAAGGAACAGTGTTATAATTCCGCAGCCATATGTATGAAGCATGTACGACGGCGGATGGCAGATCCCGCATCCCCGCTCGAAGGCAAACCATCCAACCCACCAACCCACCAACCCACCAACCCTCGCAATCGCGCTCTCATAAAATGACAGCAGAGAGTTGGATGTTTTGTTTTTTTGTTTTCCGACTCCTACGTACTATATATAATATCAGCGGAGACCGGACCATGCTGCGAAATCGGCGATTCAAGTTCTCTACCAGCTCCACCAGCTCCACCAGCTCTCCACCGCTCCACCACCGTTCTCTCCGATTCGAGGCGGGGAATTGACGGCCAAGGGTTTCTGTTTGTCGTGGAAGGGATGAAGGAAGGAAGAAAGGCAGAAAGTGACGACCAAGGGTAACTGCCTATCCCGCTCGCTGTGGAAGGAAAGAAGGAAAGGTCAAATACAGAATGTATTGTAGTTACCCGTGCCAGTACCGTACGAAGCGCAAAGCCATCGACAACACGCGGCAAGTTCTGTTGCGGAGCCCCGCACGCCTGTAGTACTCGTACATAGATGATACACAATCACGTGGGCCTGGTCTGATGATCATGCCGCTGCTCTGCGCTCCTCTCCATGCCCGCGCGCCGCGGGGTAACTTCACACACATCATATGTACATACATATCTCACACCTACATCTTGCTTAAGGTTATGTGTGTGTGTGCGTTCGGCCGTTTGACGTCCCCGCCCGTCGGAGAAATGTGAGCCTAAATCAGCCCATGCCAATTCATTTCCACGATCCACGATCCATGCCCACCAAGCCCATGGACAGACGGAAAAAAGTAACACCATTTTCGAGCTCTTCCATGTTCCGAGGCGGATAGGATCGATCCAGGTCATGCAAGGAAGCGGCCGGGCGGGCCGGCTGCAGTATCTACTAGTAGGGGGGAGTCTCGGGTGCTTCCGAGAAAACAGGCAGGCAAACGTCAGCCTGGCGCCGGAAGCCTTGGCTCTAATCCCGATTGTGGAATTCTGCGCTCGAGCGGCGGCGGGCGGCGGATGGCGGGCAGCGGCGGTGGTGGTCGCGACAGCGCGAATAGAACATCCTCGGCGGTTCGGTCGTCGTCGTTGTCGCGGGGGAGGAGGCTATCGGTATCGGCAGGGAGACGTCAGATGTCGCACTCGCGCATGAAAGCCGCGGGAGAGTCAAGACTCAAGACAACTATGTATAACCAGGAGGCTCTCATCACTGCGGCTCAAGCCAGCGGAGCCGGAATTCGGCGCTGGCGATGCTGCACGCACGGACGCCAGCCAACACCCAGTTCCCAGGTAGTTCCCAGTTCCTAGCCTCATGTACCGGGTGAAGCCGGGGTGCAAGTGGGCGCGGGGTTAGCGTTTCACACGTCTCCCACCCCATCCCTCATCCCGAGTCCCCTCCCGAAACGAAACGAAATGGCCGCACATGTGGCGCGACACCGCCAGACACCGCCAGACACCGCGAGACTAATCGACTGACCAGCGACCTTCCGACCGTCCGACCGACCGACGGCGCAGAGAAAAGAAAAACCGGGCATCAGCCACGCGACTAGGCTACGGAAAAAAATTCTCCTCCTCCGACACGCTCGCCCGTTGCCTGGTCATAGGTACATACCGTAGTTGCATACCGTAGCCTTTCCGCGGCCACCCCTGCCCTGTGCATGTGCTTGTCCCTGCCCCGGTGCCTGGTCGTCGTCGTCGTCGGAAGGTTCGCAGCTCGATAGGCTTCGATTCGCGGGCGAAAAAAGAAGGTTAGCTTTTTTTTCGCACCCGATACACGCAAAATAGCTATCCGCGCGCGCATCGATGCCCGCGGGGGGGGGGGGGGGGGGATCACCACGATTTCGCGTGTAACTTCTCTGCTCTGCTGGGCGGGAAAAAAACGGATATGTACTGTGTGTATGTATGATACATACCGTCACGATACCGTCACGATACCGGTAAGTTACCGGTACGTTACCGTTCGCTTCATGATCACGGCATGATCACGGCATGACCACGTCGGTGCACATGATGCAGTGACTACATTTGTACTGACTACGACCAAACTTTCAGTGGGGGTGGGGGGTGTTCTTCTAATCCGGACCAGACGGTGCGTGTGCGTGTCTCTGGAGCACGTATGTGTGTATGTATGCAGTACCCGCTACCGCCACCTCTACCCGCTACCGTTACAGCTACCGGCACCGGTACCAGCATTCTATGTACGAGTACTATGATAGGCTCGTCGGGCGTCGGTCGGGCGTCAAGGCCTTGATGATTCGTCCGGGAAGCTGTATGTGGACTACATTGAACGTCATGCATCCCACCACCCACCAACCAACCCGCGCCTCTCACTCGCTCGCGAGTCGCGACTGACCGGAGGTGGCCCCCCCGCCGCCGCCGTAGGTGGTTATCGCCAATGAGCGGCGCCTACGGACCTACGGTGCCGGGTGCTGCACGGGGAACGATAGATACGGTACTTGGAGGTTACGGTACGGCTGTTGGAACTTGGGCGAGACCGTTGGCACCACACAGAAAGCTCACAGTTCAAAGTTTTTCCATCCCATGCCCACCCCATGCCCACCATGCCCACCCACCGTACCCCCCGCCAGCGGCCAGGGCTGAGGATGGATTCTGGATGGATTGGTCAATCACGGGTATATAGATGCCCCGGTTGTGTACGGTATGTAGATCAGGCTTTTAGGTGTTTTTTATTTTTCCGTGATTACCTACCTGGATGACCGTGGTCCGTGGTCCGTGGTTGTGGTTGTGGTAGGTATACCAGTAGGTAGTAGAGTAGAGGGCTCGTGGTCAGCTTATTCGGAGGGAGGGAGGGAGGGCTCAGGGAGGCTCCATGGATATGGGATATGGATATGGATATGGATATAAACAACCAAATGAGCTGGTGATTGACAAATTTGACAAATTGACATTTGAAGCGCCTCTGGAATACTCATCGGAACCACACGACCTGGATTACTCTAGAGGAGTGATGACAGCAGAGCACAGTCAAACATGACGAGCACGCAGGATGGATGAATAGTTATCGACAAAGTTCAAACCATTACTCGCCCAACTATTACCACAACGTCCCAACGGGCTCAGTGTGAAACGTGATTACTCCCAGACTCCCAACACAACCTCACGCCTTAGGCCTTGAGCCTTGGAGTAGCACACCAGCGGCCAGCCGCGACTTGGATCTACTCTATTTATGCGTAAACTCGAAAGGACACATGTGACAAGACCTGGGCGGAACAATATCGGAATCCATGTCCTCTTGCCCGCATATTAATTCACAATCTCCTTTCGCGAGAAATCCTACTCGAAACCTCCACGCCGTGACGTTCGCACGCCAGGTACCGTGGGCGCGCATGTTGCGGCTGGTGTCGTCGTCGGGAATGCGAGGGCTGGAATAATCCGCGGTTCCGAGTTCCGAGTGCTTCAGACTTCAGTTGGGTACTCCGGAACGCAAGCCGGTAGTTACCTACTCATGTCCGGGTCTATTGGGACGATACCCATGATTCCACCGAGACCGAGACCGGAGTCGACGACTGCGGCTCCCGAGTCCCGATTCTACCCACCGCCACGGTTCAGGTTCAGGTTCAGGTTCGGCTTCAGGTTCGGCTTCAGGTTCAGCGAGCCGTTCGCGTCCGGAGAGAGAGCTCTCCTCCCCCTACCACCAGCAGTGGTCTTTCGAGACCCATTCGTTGGCCCCACGGTGGCCGTGGTATCGAAGATGACGACGGCCCCTTCCTCCAGGTTTCAGAACTCGGCTCGCGCCATATGTAGGCAACCAACGGCCAAGCCTCGCTGGTTTTTTTCTTCGGTGAACCCACGAACCGGCTCTTCCCTTTCGTGAGCGCCGGCGCGGGAATCTGCAAGCTAGAATCCTTCCCTTCCCGATTCTAGATACATAGAAGGAGATCTTTGTCGGGCATTGGATCGGCGAAGGGTAGGCACCTCTACATACGGTACGGTGACGGTGACGGTGACGAGGAGCACTCCGAGGAGAACGTTCGATGACGTTGTTCGGGAAGAAGAAGACAGCTAGATAAAGCCCAAGCTTCCGCCGCCGTCGTCGTCGTCGTGGTCGTCGATGCAGCTGGGCTTGGCGAACCTGCATAAGTGTGTAAGTAAGAGCCCGTGTCTGCCTCAGCCCGACACGGTTAGCGGTTTCGGGTGGAGTCCGACTGTCCGAGTCGAGGTTTCCGAAGGCTTGTGCAGATCGTGAAGATATTTTGAAGCACAGGGCTGGCTGTGCACAGTAGTGTTGGTGGGTTTGGTGGGTTTGGATTACTCTGGAGTCTGCTGGAACTGTCGTGACGTCCCGTACGGCGTACGATGCTCTAATTCACGCCGCGCTCGACATTGTTCCGTAGCATAGCCAGCCGAGCGTTCAGCGTTCCTTTGTCTGGAATGAGTATCATGGAAGGCGCGAGGCCGGAGAGAAAAGAAAGCTCACGACCGCCGCAAGGTATATTTTGCCTAGCCCCATCCAGCCATCCAGCATCCCAGACTCCCAGTAAACTTTTTTCTTTTTCATTTTAGCCTTTCCGACTCGCCTGTCCCAACTCGCCTGACACATCGGCATCCGTCGAACCACCTGGCAGGCAGGCTGGCACCGACCGACGCCCGGTCGTTTCCCATCCGGTCGTTTCCCACCCGTTCGTTTCCCATCCGGTCGTTTCCCATCCGTTATCGCCCGCATGCTCCGAGGATCGAGCCCTCTTCCCCCGAAACTCGTGCTCGGCGGGGAGAGAAGCTATCCAAGCTGCCAAAACTGGCAACTAACTCCGGAGGAACACTCTGTGCTTTTTTTTTTTTGCGAGATGGTTAGAGTAGAGTACATGCCCGTCTGACAGATCACGGCTTCGCCAAGAATGGAATGCGAAAAACTGAAGAAAAAAACAACAAACGATTGTGCTTATGCGCGACGATTGGTGACGACTTCTTCTGGGGAGTTCAGTTCACTAAGCAGCAGTCGAAGAAGTTGCACCCCCAACTGGGCCACCACAGTGGGGAATCCCACATCTCACCGCCGCCCAGTACCGTACGTACCCGGAGTAGGTAGTTACTCTAGAGTACCCAGGTAGTTAGTAGTTAGATAGAATCGACTGTGGTGCTGTGCTGTGTTGTGTTGTGTCGTGTCGTGTTCGCCGCTGCGCTGAGCAGCCAGCCAATCTCAGCACAACGTTCGGTCAACCACCACGCCGCCAATGCTCTTCGCTGTTTCTGCCTGCCTGTGCATCATGTACCTACCTGCCTCATACCTGCCTACACACATACCTAAACTACTGACTACTGCCCATTGTCTCCCACGTTTTGGTTTGTTCGTATCGCTGTGCTGCTGAGGCGTGAACACGGGGTGGGGGGAGTCCCACTAGGTATCGTCGAGTCGTCGAGTCGGAGTGAAGCCTGAAGCCTGAAGCCTTGGGGGGGTCGGTTCTATTGGGAAACCCGTTTGTTCTGAATCACAGCGAAGAAGAAAGCCCCGAGTCCTTCGATGAAAAATTTTACGTTCCTACACCCCGCCTCGGTGGGAGGGCCCATCCACGCATTCCCGTTCACCTATTCGCCAAACCAACACAAAGGCCAGCGTTATTCGGCACGCACTGACTGCACTGCACTCGACGACCCTCCGACCGACCGACGTTTCCCAGCAATCGCAGGAAAGGCAAGAAAGAAGAAAAAAACTCCTCCACTGCTCCACTGCTCCACTCCTCGACTCCTCTTCCACGTATCCTGCAGCGGGGTGCGTGCTGAACCGGGAGTGCTGGGAGTGCTGGAATGCTGGGAATGCTGGGAGTGCTGCTGGTGGGTTAGTTACGTGGCTGCGTGTGGGCCGGTCGTCGATTCGTCGGACGAACCGACTTCTCACGATAGGTAGGCAGAGTAGGTTACAGGTGTGTAGGTATGCGACCAGGGCCAACACCGGCCGTATGAGAGCAAGTACCGCAGACGCGATACCGCCATGACCGCGTTGGTTTCTGGACAGGGTATGTAGGGGAGGGGCGAGGGGCGAGGGGCGAGGGAGCGAAGGGAGAGACGGGGAAGGGAGGGACGGGTATCCCGCTGTGCTTCTTCGCTCGGTTGCCGGTTTATGGACGGTGATATGATCTGTACGATATGGGGGAGGGGGCCTGTGGGGGGTTCTTTGGAGAAGACGGCACTTGGCCGCGGGAGGAGGGATAGGAAGTAGCCAAGTACTTGGGTAGATATGTGGGATCTCGTCGTCAACCCACAATACGGCATCACTACCACGACTATCTGCTACTACCACTACGGCACTGCTACCACTCCTCCTCCAGATGCGTGCTGACTACGACTATCCACATTCTCCTCCCACGATGCCTGCTGACTACGACTATCTTCACACTCCCCCCACGATGCCTGCTACGACTCCCCTCTCCTCCTCGACACACCGTACTCTATTAGTCCACTCTATCCACTCTACTCTATTTCCCATCCCACTCGCTCTGGCACTCGGCGCTACCTAACGGGTCGGGGCCGGGAGTGAGGGTCGCACAGATGATTTGCGGTCGGCGGGCTGCGGGCTGCGCTGCGCTGCTGCGACGCAACGTACGAGCGCCCTAGCGATGCGCGAACAACTGGCTCCCGATGTCTTCCTTTATATCCATCCCTCCCCGGAATATCCTCAACCCATACCACCTCGCTCCACTTCGCTCCCCCGTCCGCTCACGAAAATCCATCTTCCGCGTCCTGGATAAATACCCCGAGCCCGCCCCCCCTCGCCACTGCCTCTTTTTCTGAACAGTTAGCCAGACCAGCAAGACCAGCCAGACCCAGCCAGACCCAGCCAGCCGATAACCCGATCCCGCACAGACATATCCACCCAGTCAAAGCTCCCACTTACCCATCCCGCCAGACCAACAATTGCCATCTCACCCGAACACATCCTAGCCCGAGTCTGCCACTGAAAGCTCGGATTCACCTGCCCTGCATAACCACCTGAGACACCACCCCCCCTCCCCCCAGCCCTGCTGCTTCAACTCATAAGCCTCCCGCCCACCATGTCCAACGCAATGAAAAAGCTCAAGCTCCTCCACCACCTGACGGCTGCTTCAGCCTCGCACCCTCCCACTCACTCACCTGCCGCTGCTCAGCCCACCCCCCAACAACAACACCACCAGCAACAGCAGTTCCCAACACCACCCGCCTCACCCGTGTCTCCCCAGGCCACTCCCACGAGACACCAATACAATCCGCACGCACACTATACAGATGTTCTGCGGTCGGCACGCGCAGCACTACACACTCTACACGCCTCGCAACCTTCCTACACAAACACAACACATCCCCCTCCACCTCCTCCCAGCCACAACATCAACACCAACAACATGGGCCGACAGACTACACAGTGCCTGCTTCCAGGCGGATTCATGATCCTGACACCCGCTTCTTCCTACGACAACACTCCCGGCCTCTGCGTACCCGCGAGCCCACCGCCCACCAGCATGGCCATCAACCACAACCATCACGGCTCGCCGATGCAGAACTCCTCCGTACCGAGGGGAAACACCACCATCTACTCTTCACGACCACCACCTGCCGCCTCGCCATCGCCGAAGCCGAGCTCGTCCTACCAACACCTGCGGGAACAGTCGAGGTCTCGCTCCAAGCCTCCCGCTAGGCCACGCCAGAAGCTCACCAAGGAGGCCGTCTCCAAGGTCAGCGGGGACTCGCGGGAAGCACGGTGGGAACGGGTCTTGGGCTACCTTCGTGAGCAGAGGGCCAACACTCTTCCCGCTGCTGCTGCTGCTGCCGCTTCCCCCGCCTCCGCCGGCACATGGTCCAACTACGGTTCTCCCTCGGGGACCCCACCGTCGAAGAAGACCATCGATCGCAAACGCCGCGCCGAGCAGATCGCACTCATCGACGCGCGAAACCGCGTGCTCGATACCATCGACCTGCAGGAACAGGAGCTACGATCCTGCTGGTCCGGCGGTTCCGGCGGCACCAACGGTGTCGACGAGTTCATGTGGAGCGAGGACGAGGACGACGACATCATGCCGGCGCCCAAGGGACCCCCGCCACAAAAGATCCTGCCCGAAGGATACCTTGGAAGCACTAGTGGTCGCGGCAGTGGCGAAATCAACAACGACGAGGGCATCTTTGAATGCGAGATGCAGATCGACGAATACCTCCAGCAGCCACCCACACGACTCAGCACTCCGAGCAATCAGGACCGCAAACGTGCCCGTCCCAGAAGCACTCCCGAGGAGCTCGCTTTTCAGAGGATGTGGGGCAAGAGGATCGTCGAGGAGATGCCTGCTCTCTGTCGCGAAAGTGAATTGGAGGGCGGACTTGGCCGGCTGATGGGAAGAAGAATGTCGGCCGCGTACTAGAGCGGGAGACAGGATTATTGTAAATACTGGAGGAGGGTATGATGCAGATGCACGGATTCTCGTCTATCGAGAAGGCCTTTGTTGCACGCATGGGAGGACCGGGTTGTTTATTGTTTCTTTTCTTTTCTTTTGTCCATACCTTACTTATACACTTGGGGGCGCGTGGGGCGTTTTTTCTTCTTCTTGTTTTCTTTCGAGCACTGGCTGGTTTTGTTTTTTAATCACTTCCTTTGGGGTTTCTGGAAGGGGAGAGTCGGTTCGTGTTGCGGGTTTTGGGTTCGGGTTTTGGGTTTTGGGGTGTCCTTTTTTATTATTATTATTGTTTTTTCTTCCTCCCATCATGTTTTCGGGGGGAAGTCTCCTCTCTACTACTCTACTTGCTCTCTCTCTCTCTGCTCCAGATCATCACTTTACCGACTACCTCATACTCTAGAATAGAATCGCGGGGGTTGCAAAAAAAAAAATTTGAGAACAAAGAAAAGAATCTTTCTGACATCTGACATCTTGTGCGGTGATCTTGTTTCTTCCGGTGATGGTAGAGAGGCAGCGTCTATGGGTCTGTGGGTTTGTGGGTTTGTGGGTTTGTGGAACCTGCTCTTTTGCTATGCGCGCATATCTGGCAATAATGAACGTCGAAGGGTGAACACCGGCAAAGGTCGCCGCCAAACCCGTCCGCCTGCCAGACAGCCAGCAAGCCCCTTATTGCTCAGGTCAGCTCAGCCCTATCTTTCGGTTACCTAGATACTCATTTGGCAAGAGTACATATGTATCAACCAAGTAGGTACTTCGGTACTGGTAGGTATAATCTTTGAGGGTTTTCCCGACAAGATCGGAATCATTTCCGGAGTCCGGATCCTGGTAGAATATCGGCGGCCTGTCCTACATACTTGTCTACATATCTGTTTTGGCCGCGAGTGGATGGGAATCATGGGATTCCCAGGGGGCTGGGACTGACAGGTTGTTATCTACCTATCTGTAGTATCGCATATCGCATATCTGTGTATAGGAACTGGACATCGCCGCGCCCTGAAAAGTGTCCTGAGGGGTATCCTGAAAGTATTCTGAATGGTTCCCTGACAGGTATGTATCCTACGTCCTGAAAGGTGCCCTGAAAGGTGCCCTGAAAGGTGCCCTGAAAGGTGCCCTGAGACCTCGCCCTGAAAGGCATCCTGAGACCTCACCCTAGCCCTCGCCCTCACCCTCGGTGCTTCAAAGTTCATCCCTTTCACAGTCAGAGTCACGCTCAGACATCCATACGGATACCCATACGGATATATATGGCATACCCATACGGAACGTATGCTACTATACACATATCCATTGTCCGAGCAGAACGCTGATCGATCAGGACGAGGATCGGGACGAGCCTCGAGGAATGGACGAAGGAAGGGCCCGTCGACCTGGAGGCTGGCAGGCCGGTAGGCTCCAGTACATCAGGCTCAAAGATCCTCCGCTGGTGGGATACCTACCTACATAGGTAGGCGTAGCAGAGTCCACTTACCCTCACCCTCGCCCTCGCCCGTGCGAGGTGCGAGTTGCATATCACCAACGCCTTCCGAGGGCTCAAAAACTCGGCCCCGGGGGCCACGTTATATATGCACCTCCCTCCGGTCCTAACAGCCATAGCCACACCAAGCTTTTCCGCCTGGACCACGGATACGGCGGGAAAGAAAGCAGAAGAAAACATCCCGCATCATTCCGTCGCCGCCGCTGCCTAGAAACTCTCGAAGCCGATACCGTCCCGCTGTGGCCTGTGGCGGCCGATAACTGTGGCGCGCATCACGCATCACGCATCACTATCACGCATCAACGGTGTACCTATGTACAAGTACCAGAGCGGGGCTTACCTTATCTCAGTAAATGGTAGTAGTGGCAGTGCTGGTGGTAGTGATTCACAAGTCAGCACGATCGCAATATATCGCACATGTCTAGAGCGGCAAAGTACTCTACTATATATACGTGACGTGCTTGCGTGCATATGTATATGAGCTGACATGTGTGTCGCAGGTCCGCAGCGGATACATGTACATGTACATATGATGTATGATGTATGATGTTTCCAGCGGCGACGCATACGTACCTAAGGTACGTAGGTATGTACCCCGCTCGACCACTCGACCTCGCGATGGGATGGACCGTGGACGGGGAGGCGGGGGCGGGGTGCCGGGCACGGGCAAGATGAGTGCAACGTTGTGCGTGATGGTGCGGAGTAGGTACCTATATATCCTGTTTAGCTACGGATATTGTCCGCACCGATACAGTCCGCGCCGATACAGTACAGTGCACTGCCTCGCCTTGCCTTGTATGTACAGACTGTACATATCGATCGTGCGGGGCGGGGAGAGGAGGGCGAAGCAGCGCGACATAGCCGGACGGTATATACGGTATATACGGTATACATATATCCGCAAAGGCAGTGGGGGGACGGCTATGGGCGATCGAGCAGCTAGGTAGCACATGCTCGGATCTCGATATAGTAGTGGCGGAGGTCTGAAGGTGTGGAACGAGTGAGTTTCAGCGCAGTAGAGCTGCCACGTTGCGGGCTAACACGGAGTATCTACCGTACATATAGCCGAAGTGGAGGTGGACGTGGACGGGGGGAGGGGAGAGGGTTAATATCACCGCTGCAGAGACTAGAGGAGAGCCGGCGGATGGCCGGCGGAGGTTACTTAGCTACCTACGAGTGATCAAACGTGCAACTCAGCGGGCGGCTAGGAAGTCCGCTAGTTGCTACCTACATACTCTAGAGTAGATAATTGTCAGTCCGGAGGCAAAAACCCACTGGGCATCGAAGTTCCAGAGATCGGAAAGCACAAACTCGAAACCCGACACCATTGCACAGCACGCAGCCACACATACATGCTTCACAAAGTCCAGCCACGGCAAACCAACACGCAAGGCCTCGCTAGCTCAATCGGTAGAGCGTAAGACTCTTAATCTTAAGGCTGCGGGTTCGACCCCCGCGTGGGGCTTTCATCTTTTGCTTTTGCTTCCCTCCCATTATCTTTTCCATGGTGGCTTAAAGCTTTTGCCTCCAAGGGTTGTCAGTGGTGGACAAACCATTAACCAGAGCCCAGTATGTAGCGGGCGAGGCCGGAAGAACTTTTTTCCTACAGAAATTTTGCCCCTGGCCAGCCAGTGGCGCTATGTGCATACGTGGCTTGGGCTTGGGCTGGGGCTTGCGGGAACGAGGATGGAAGACGGCAATTTGCAAGGAAGAACGGAGACCCATAACTGCATAGACGCCGTCAACGGCTGCCGAGAGATATATATGTATCATACACGCGGATCCACCCACCCGTAACTAATCGCCCGTGATTCCTCGGGCTGAAGATTTTTCCGGGCCCATGAACCTAGATTTCGAATTTTACATGTATTCACGTAGGGTACGTATGCAGGTACCGGTGGAGGCCGCAAATATTTCTCCGAATTTGATGACGTAGGTTCGTTGGGCCGGAAACCCCGAGAGAGATGACGCACGGCGAAGACGTGGTACGGCGGTACTTGCCTTTTTTTTGAGCTTGCGAGCTACCTATCTAGTCCTTGTCCACCGTCCAGCCCGACCTTGACAGACGGCCCTACATGGCTTCCGCTGGCCTTTCCCCGACGATGTGTACTTACATGTACATACTTGGAACGCAGCAAAGAAACAAAGCTATCTACCTCCTATGTATGTAAGAAAAAATAAGGTCCACTCACCCCCTCGTACATACGCATATCGAGTACCTACCATACATCGTCTCCAGCCGTGTTATCTTGCCGTACCGTATGCCAGCTCCCGTTCTCGACGTAAAGCGAAAACCGCATGGTACAGTTATTTCCGGCGACCATATATAGGCCAGAAGAGGCTCTCCACATTATACGCCTCTGCCAACGCACTTCCAATTCTCGGCCGCCATCTTCACCGGTGGCCGAGGGCTCGTATATACCTATGTAATTGTTGTCACTCGGCGATCACTCAGTGCTTTTCTACCTACACTCACTTGGTCGGGCAAGCCGTCTGGCCATACGTGCTGATACGGTACCCAAGTACCTTGCGACACTCCGTTTCACCCGTTTCTATCCCTCGTCTCCGTCTCGATTCGTCCAAACCCTTCGTTTTGGGGTTTTGGTCATTGCTTGCTTGCTTGCTTGCTTGCTTGCTTGCGTCCTATACAGATCGTGGCAATGGCCACTCCGTTTCCGTGTCCACTGTCCACTGTCCACTGTCCAACCAGACTTTCGTTGGATGGCCAGACGTGGCTTCCTTGCAGAGCACACCAAGGAAATAAAGCTAGGAAATACAAATTCCGCTCCTCACCCGCTTCATTCCCTGCCTCTTTGTCAGGAGATGACATGAAGCATGGTGTGAGCTCGGTTTCTCAATCCCACCGCCCTGCTCCTCTCCGCCGCTCAAACCCTTCCATCCTCCAGCGCAGCTAGTACGCACACACGAGTGATGGCTCATGTACCCCTTTTTTCATATTCGAGCCTCCAAAGCCTCGCTAGCTCAATCGGTAGAGCGTCAGACTCTTAATCTGAAGGTTGCGGGTTCGACCCCCGCGTGGGGCTGTCTGTGGACAGCTCAGCTGTTGCTTTTGCTTTTGTTTTTGTTGTTGGTCTGGGCGTGGTGAAATTTTTGCTCCCATCCATGTCACTCTGTGCCGTCCCGTTAGCCGTGCTGGGAGGCTCGGATGCGATATCCACTGCCCACTGCCAGCCCTTGGGCACTGGCACCGGAATTTTCACTGTCACTGCCACTGCCACTACCCTACGCAGCCGGACCAGACTCTACGGACCGAAACGGCGATTCGACTACGGGATTACCTACCAACCTAGTAGGCAGAGTATATACGGTATGTAGGTATTCCACCAGTACGCGCAGCCCATCCCCCATCCCATATGTGCAATGAAAAGCCCTCCGCCGCACCGATCCAGACCCCTGCTGCTGCCTCCCCGTCATCGAGTTTGCATATATGTACCTACGTTTGTTATTGATAGCGACTGAATGGATGAATTACAGTATGTGTATTATGTCTAGAGAAGGGAGGCTGTAGCCTCGAGCCTAGGAAAGAGGCGAAAGCCTGTGCCAACGATGACAACGTATCGAGTGAGATATTATAGCATCGTTTCCAACCAATAACCCGAGTGAGAGTCCATGGATCCTTTTGCGCACCTCCCGGCATAAAGCCTCGCTAGCTCAATCGGTAGAGCGTCAGACTCTTAATCTGAAGGTTGCGGGTTCGACCCCCGCGTGGGGCTGTCTCTGGAGACAGCTCGGCTGTTGCTTTTGTTTATGTTTTTGTTTTGGTCTGGGCGTGGTGAAGTTTTTTGCTCCCACCCATGTCACGCTGTGCCGTCCCGTGGGCCGTGCTGAGCGACTCGCATACGACATCCCACTGCTAGCCCTTGGGTATTCTGCTGCTGCTGCTGCGTTCCCACCACTGCTCACACGCGCCCGTCTCCGACCGATCTCCCACCGGGCCACCGGTCCCACAGCTCCTGCCACCGACCACTCAGCGCCGCCTACTCTCGACCGCTCCGTGGTCCATATATCTCGATCACGTCCTATGCTACAGACAGCGGAAACCAGCCTGGGCCGTCTGCTCGACGAGGAAAAGCTCTTCGTTTCTGTCGATAACCAGGCCTCGCAAGCCCGCGGGTGCTGGACAGTGGACAGTGGTACCAGGCTGCTCTGGTCGGCGTGCTCCAACACCTCCCAGCAAGCACGCGCTTTTCCAACGGCGAATCCCTGTCCTCTGGAGGCCACAATCCAGCCCGGAGCCGGATCGGATTCCGCACTGTTGAAGTATCAGCGGTCAGCGGGTGAGATCCCATGACCCCACGACCGAAGTACCGTACCCATCCCATCCCCGCAAGCTGCAGCGGACCGTGAGCGAGTGAGTGGGTGAGTGATCGCCGATGACCACGTCCACCCGTCAGCACCCGCATCCGCATCCGCATCCGCATCCGCATCCGCATCCGCATCCGCATCCGCCCCTCCGCATCCGCCCCTCAGCATCTGCCCCTCCACGCGCCGTCGTCGGCTCCTACATAATCTACTCTAGTTCCAGCCAGCAGTGCGCACAGACCAACCGGCAGTGGAGCGCCGTTGCATACATACCGCATACATACTAGGGTCCCGTTACTCTACCTAAGTACCTACCTAGGCAGTTGATCCTGGCGTGTGATTTTCGCTGTTGCGTATGTATATGTGTATTTGTGTATGCCGATGCCGTCCCTAGCGGGCGGATAAGTCCCTACATACTACCCTACTACCTTACTACCCTACTACCTTACTACCCTACTACCCTGCGGCCACGGCGATCACGATAAGCAAGCAAGAAACTGGGGGAAGGGAGAAGGGGGAAGGGGGGGAAGGGGAGGGGGCGCACATTTATGTACATACGGCACCCATCCCCCGTGCGGATTGCCGGGTATCCATATCATATCCATATCATATCAACGGTCGCAGCCGCAGCCAACCATCCCACTCCGTGGCCTAGCCTGGACTCAGCTCTGGTCTGGGTGGTACTCCATCCGCGGCCGCTCTCGACCGGCCAACAGGCCAACATGAACAAGGTCTGCAGTGCAGGCCACCTATGTACAGGGCAGTGAGATAGATAAAGCAGTGCGGTTTGGAATAAGAACTGGCCACAATATGACTCCAGTGTCTGGCATCGATAGCCGCTGCCGTGGTGCGGCTGGCAACCCACAATCTGGATTTTGAACCCCCTCCGGCGGACACAAGTCCGGAGGTTTTTTTTTTTTCAGACAGGCAACAGAGAACTAAGGTGCAGTGTGAAGATTATTTCTACTCTTCCAAATTCCAATTTGCATCCGTCCCCCGTGTTCTAATATATATACAATGCACACGGAGCTGGACGGACAGTCAACACAAGTTATAATACAAGACAACAAACGGAAACAAAAGCATAACTCCAGGCCTATGCATCTAAAGTGATTACCCTCCAAACCGGAAGAGAGCGCAAAAGAAAGAGACAAAAGAAAGAGAGACAAAAGAAAGAGGGACAAAAGAAAAGAGGGACAAAAAAATATAGACAAGTCCGGCTGAAAAACACCCAAAGAATGAGACTCCAACAAAACAAATCGTAACAGAATCGTCAGTTCGTGAGAGCGATTTAAGCCATGCGACACAAAGGAAACAACGCAATACAAAGATTTCAAGCACCAGGCGCACCATATTTATGTTGTAAAAGCCGAAAAGAAAGAAAACCCGCCAATCTAGAGTATCCCGCCAATGTAAAACCGAAAGACCAGGAAATGAACCAAAAAGAAAGAAAGAAAGCCGCAATTTGTACGCCAAAGGAAAACAAGCAAGCAAAATGAAGAATGGGTTAAAAAAAGTATGAAGATCAATATGAATAAACGAAAGGGATGGGCAACGACTCAGAAAAGTGGTGATGTGAACAAAGCCGAGGATGTAGAATCCTGCTCGCCTTGTCCTAGAAGGAAAACAGACCAGACCTCTTTTTCGGGATCGGATAGACCACGAGCGCTGCTGCAAAGAGACCGACGGTAGTACCGATTGCCACCTGGACCATCGAAAACCCGAATTCGAACATGATGGAGGTTCCGGATATCGGAGTCGACACGGAGTTCTTCAGGATTGCATCAGCCCCTTCGAGGCCGGCAAGCAGCGAGCCTTGGGCAGCGAGCCCACTAGGCACTTGCACGAAGATCGCCGGAAGCATGGCCGCGAAAGCCAACCCATGTCCCACTCTGGAGTAGAGATTGCCGAGTACACCCACGGTGAATGCACCCAGCCCGTTGGCGATTTGAGGCTGTGCGACGAATCGCTGACTCGAAAAGTAGTTGACCACGTATCCGGCAAGTGCGATACCCACCATCACTGGGGCCTGGCGCCACCGTGCTTGGTTCACAAGGAGTAAACACAAAGCGAATGCCCCGACCCAGAGAGAATTGTACCGCCAATCGAAGGGGTTTTGACAGGTTGTAGCAGAGGTGGCGTTTTTGTCAACGAGGCCGTAAAGTGCTGAGCCGATGGTGATACCGAAGCCGAGGAACAAAGAGTAAATGATGGCGTAGAACATGCGGACCGAGCCAGCCACAATATTCTTCGACTGCAGTTCGAGGGATCCACACACTTTTAAAAGTCAGTATTGCAACAGAAAAGTATTGGCTCGAAGCAACTTACAGATGATGTACCCGGGCAAGATCAGGGCAATAGACGCCTGGGCGAGCGCGGAAAAGCAAAACGTGTTCCCTCCGTTGATGGAGCCGAACATTCTGGCGAAGAAGCTCGTAATGATTGCAGCTGATATCTCGAAAACGTTGGAGTAGAGCTCGGATCTCGGTGCCAGAATGAGCTGCAAGAAGCCCAGCATGCATCCAAGCAAGAACAAGACCGGGATGTCCATGGGACCCGCCTTGAAACCGAAAGGACCAACCGTAGCACTGGCGATTCCGTAGATGAATACCTGTACCCAAGGACTGCGTAGTGGTTTTCTGTTGATGATGTCGTCCAGTCTTCCGATAGCCTCTTCGACTCCGATACAGTCATGTATAACCTCCTTGTATACCAGATGACAATCGTGTAGCTTCGCCATATCGAGGCCTTGCGCGGTACGCACGATTTGCATCTCCGAGGTGTGGGTCGACTGGTCCCCGAAACTCATGATCATGCAGCCCGGGATGTAGAGGAATTGAGCATCGATTTGAAGGACTCTCGATGTCATCTTCAATGCCTCTGTATAATTTGTTAGTAACTATTGCAAGCGGCTGAGTGGAACGGGCCGGATCCTTACCCTCCATTCTGTGCGTAGGGGCACCGTAGAGCATGAGCGCTCTGCAAATTTTGATGATGTACTTCTGTCGTTGGAGCAGCGAAGCAATGTGGACGGTGATCTGATGAATGCTCTGTTAGTTGCATTCGAAAAGAGGAAAAACATACGACGTACCCGTGTCTCTTCTTCAAAGGTATTCGACCTAGGAATACTCTTGAATTTGTCGATTATACCACCGCTATGGGGTCGATGCTTCAGTTTCGGCCGGTTAACCCTTGCCGCTGTGCCTGCTGCACCACCCGCAGTAGCCGCAGTCTGCGCGCCTGTAGCCGCCAGAAAACTGCCGAGCGAGGTCGAAGAAGTGTTGGCACTCTTTGTGTACCATTTCGGCGTTGTGCGACCAGACTGCGAGGAGATACTCGGGGCGGCCGAGTGATGTCCGTTAAGCGGTCGTGACTCCTGCCCATCCTGATGGTACAACTTGAGCAAGTTGCCCAACACACCACCGTGCAAATGATCGGGCTTCGGAATGTAATCCGCATGCCTACGGTCCATGGGTGTGTTGTATCCAGAGGGCAAAGTTTCGTAGACTGGTTGCTCTTCGACAGCAGGCCGACGGAATCGATCCGCAATTCGTCCTCCTCGCCGGGTGTGCTGTCTGACAAGCTCCTGGGCTTCCCTGGTAGCTACCAGCCCAGGTCCCGATTTCTGCGTATCCTGGCCCGGACTCCCACCAACTGTTGCTGTTTTTGTTTCGTCCGAGATGTCGAATGTGGGGATATCGTCAACAGCAACAGCACCACCCGAATGGCCGGCACCGACGGCATACGGACTCAAAACTGGCGAGTTACGGGCTGAGGTCGGCGCAGAATAGCTTCCTCCATACTTTGACATCCGCTGTTGGGGGGACATGACACTCCGTGGAGTGAAGGTGTCATACTTCTCATTTATCTCGTCGTCATCCTCAACTTTCGCCTTCTTGTATGCAAAGCTTTTCGGCGGAACAGTGACTGGAGTTCCTGGGGTTCCGGGAGTGCTGGCTCCCGAGATTGGACCCGGAGAATCGGGAAAGTACGCAACCTCGATTCGTGGCGGTGGAGAAGAAGTTGAAGTTCTCAATTGAGGTGTGGGATAATATTGGACCGAATCGCCGGTAGGATAGGGACTGAGATCGAAGGCGGTCCTGTTTCCCAATAAATCTAGAGTTTCTCCGGGACCGAATCGCACTCCTCGTCCACCACCACCAGCGGAATTCGGTCGACTGGCATCGGGACTCGATACATGTGAGTGTTCATTCGAGTTCTGAGGAGTATCGGCGTAATCGAGGAAGGGGTTTCCGGCCGCCCCGTTAGGGGAGGAATCGGCGGCCATTAATGGCAGCTTTCGGACGGACGGACGAGCTCTGAAGATAAGGTGAAGGGAGATTGATGCTTTTTTTATTTTTGGTACAGATTTAGTTGTACTCGAACAGTGGTAGATGGAGCGGTCGAAAAATAGCCAAGGAGTATGCGAAGGTCAATGGCTTGGTGAATGTTGTATCGAAGATGGGATGGCCACCAGGAGGAGAAGGATAGCGGTGGTGGGGGGGGGGGGGGGGGCGTGCGTAGGGGACAGTCTGTTTTTTGCCAGTCAGATGTAGTCCCTGAAAATGGAAGTATGACGTCTCGCCCTACGGCCCAGAATGGCCGAGGCAGGAACAGGCTATTACAAACGGCAACAGAAAGTTTGAAAACGGAAATAGGGTATAGGATGATGGGGATGAATTTGCGGTTGATTTTTAATGCGGACGAAGGCGAACCGATAGGGTTTACTCACCACTATAGTGTATGTATGCGCGGGAGAAAGTACTTTTTTCGACGATCCGAGATATGGAGAAGTGGTGGCGGAAGGCAGTTGATGTGGAGAACAGCCCGAGCTAGAACATGTACTCTGACTATACGACTATAGTAGATTACAGGTAGGGCGAGAGGGGAAGAGAGCAGAGGTCGACGAGTATGTTAGGGGGGTGGAGGGAATAAGAGAGAGGAAAGGAGGAGAAGAGGCGGGGACTTTGGTCACTTCGGCCTTTTTCTAGCAGCAGATAGCAAAGGTGCACACACGCATAGCGGTCGGTGGTGGTGGTGGTCAGTAACTAGACCTCCTCCTCTCAACAGCTCCACCCACCCACCCACCAACCAACCCATCTACCCACGGGCGGCTTACCCACCCGCCGGGGGGTGTTACGCACATCAGACAGCGATCGCTCCGTCCGTCGCCGTCGCCGTCGCCGTCTAGCGTCTCATCAGGGCTTTTCCCGCAGTCTGCCAGCAGCCGGAGCCAGGCGTGCAAGGTTGGGGCAGTGGACGGTTATCTACTAGTCGGTCGGAGACAGTGCTCGCAACTAGCGACTTTATATCTGCAGGGAAGCCTGACAGACAGCAGATTCGAATCCAGGGACGGTGTTACACTCGAACTCCCGGACCTCACGCACGCAGCAGAACAGTGCGCCCCACGAAATCTGGCCGCGTCGGAGCGATGAGGGATGGTGTTGTCCAATGGGTGCCGACATCAGCGTGGCGATGGCGAATTCGAGCTCGCTGCTGATTTTGCCGACCGCAAGCCGCTATCTGCGGATTTTCCGGCTCCTCTCCTGTCTACCGGTACTAGTAGAGTACATCCGAGGATCGAACGTTCAAGACTGCCCTCGAGCAAGGACGAAAAAGATCTGGCGAGTTCCAGTCGGCTCTCTCAGCGCTGAGCACAGAGCACGGAGCACAGAGAGAAGGTTCTCTACCCTAAAGCCATAGCGTGCTTCTATTTTGTCTCGCAGACGAGCAAAATTTAGAGTAGCTCACGATCGGCGGTCGCTAAGCAAGGAAAAGACCGGCAGTGTTCGACTCGACTCTACACAGCACAGGGGGCGTGTGTGCGCGAAGTACAAGTGCCTCATACGGTTGGTGGTAGTTCAGCGTAATGTTCTCCAGCAGTCAGACTTCGCCTCCGAAACATTTCGAGATGAACGTGGATGGATGGGTGGATGCATGGCTTCGATCGATTGGACGGACGACGTTGAGGATTGCGTCGCTATTGTTTCATCCAACGGCCCGAATGGAAAGAAGGAAGAAAAACGTGAAAAAAGCAAATATCGTGCAGCATCTGCCCTGCCTGCCTGCCTGCCTGCACGTTGTCCAAAGACATGCACATACCCGATACCCTTCCGATACGATAGCCACTGCCACGAGCTCGCACATCTCCCGTCGAATTTGTACCACCTCGCAATCGCATCCCAAGTTCTGCAGCAACGTGGTGCTCGATGTGGGCACTTGCTGCCGAGAACGACATTCTCGATCGAGCCGCCTCCAGTGTGGAAGCGACCTGGTAAGCAGGTACAAGAATCGTTGCTCTGGCCGATGCCCAACTGTGCCCTGCTCCCGTCCACGTCCAGAGTCCCCGTTCCCTCCTTCATCTCCCCTGTGAACCCGACTCACTCGCCGACTCATGGGCTCGCGGTCTCTCATCCCTCTCTCATCTGTCGCGCCAGCAGCTTCATGAAACACGCCATGCCTGTGGGCGTAGGGAGTCTTCCGGAAGTGGCTCCAGGTAGTTATTCGTTGAGACTTGCACCTATGCACTTTGCTGATTGAATGTCGTCGGCGGAGCGAGTATGATGAATCCCGGAAGGCTCGGAGCGAGAAAGGTGCTGAATGTTTCCATTTCTCGCGTAGGCATATACCTAGCAGACGGAGAGCCCGAGTCGGGTATCCACCAGAGAGCTCCAACGGATGGCTCGAGGACACCTGATTCGCTCGTCGGGAATCGCAGAGCTGATGAACTTATGTACCTGTACAGGTTGGTTCCTTGCTCGGCGCCCGAATATAGTAGCATCTCGGATTTGCTCGATTTTCATCCCAGCCCTCGCCTCCAAAGTTCCGGGAAAGGTTCCAGAACGCTGCAATTCTGCTCGCCTGTTGGACGGCAAGCCGCTAACGAGAGCTTCCTGCCTTCCTCTGCGAGGAAAGGAAAAACATAATTCCCGCCGCCGGGCACGGGCCGCCGTAGCGTCGCGACAGATCGAGCAAGTCCACACAGACGAGCCGGCCGCGGATGGATATACGTACATGCTCTATCTCTCGACTTCCTGCTATCTATCTTGTCCTATCACCACTCCCATGTGCGGACTCAACCGCACGCTCTCAGGCTCCCAGGCTCTCTCAGGCTCCCAGCACATCTTTGGACGAATCATCCGGTGTCCTCTGGGATCGCGTCAGTCCTCGCCTCGGATTCGAGAGGATCATGAAGCAACCTCCATGCACTCGTTGGAGATAAGGCTGGATATCTTTTCCTCTGCTGGGACGGCCAGCCGCAGTACATACCGTATGTAGCTATCAGTCACCAACTGCGGTGGCCCCACCTCCGTTAATCTGCGTGTCGTGGTGTAGATATACAACCACACCACACAGCTCAGCCCATAGAGCCCGCCCTCCGTCGTGGTTGCCGGGAACAATTGGCGGGTTCGATATCAAGCCGCTCGGCAAAATAATCATCGTGAAGTCTTGCATCGCTGGGTTTAGAGTGGAAGATACCGCACTCTACTCTAGACACTTGCCGACCGAAACAACCTCAAGCTCTAGAGGACCGGAGCATGCTATGCACGGAAAGAAAGAAAAAAATAGAAGAAAAAAATTCTTCTGGGAGGTCAAAGCTTCAACGGCTATGCTGCATTGCATGCATGGAACGTTCCTCGATTTATCAGGTTTTGCGACCCCACAAACTCTACAAATCACCCCTTATGGATGTAGACCAAACATGAAGAAGTTTTCACTCGGGGGCTGCCGGCGTGTACCTACTAAGCTAGGGATGCACTCTACGGTGCTATATCTCCGTCAATCAGCTTACTCTGAGAGCATGTCTGCTTAATCGCGCGCCAGCAAGTGGTGGTGGGCAGTTGAGTTGAGTTGACTCTTCGAAGAATCCTCCCTCAAGCTCTTATCACCCAGGTACCTTCTCACTTACCTATGCATGTGGCTTCGCCACAGCAATCGATCCGGTCTCCATCCGCCGCGCACTCGCCCATCCATTCCTTGCACTCAGTAAGAATGCGAACCGACAGACTGGCAACGACAGCTGAGAGATTGCGAAGGGACTAGGTAGAGTCGCAGACTTGCAGACTCGCAGGGACAGAGATATCACCCAAACCTCGTCCACCGGGGCCATCCCGGCCGGGCCGTAGGAGGTGAGGTTATGTATGGGGCCCCTAAACGCGCATGTACTTGCGACGCTCAAGATGGAATTTTCACAGGAATCCGACAGGACATTCATGGTACTCTCGAGAGGCTCTAGGTACCAACCATGCAAGTCACTGCTGGCTGCCAGACTGCCAGCAACAGGGTGCGACTCGTGTGTCCATACACATACAGGTACTTAGCTCTCTTGTATCTAGACGCGAGCCCAAAGAAAAAACCGTGAACAGCGAATCTTCAATTGTGTTCGCTCTAGTACTCCAGGTATGTACTCCATGTACTCTAGAGTAGTTAGCGGACAGCACTGACCCGCAACTAACCAGTCGGAGCAGCCCATCTGTCTGTCGGGGCGGGGCATCCCTCTGTCTCTGTCCCTGCCTCTGTCTCTGTCCCTGTCTCTGTCTCTGTGTCTCTCGGAGGTCGAATCTCTAACATCATCTCGTATGGCCGATCATTATCTCATGGGTCTCACCGTCTCACACTTCGGTCCCAATCACCGGCGGGTACGACGACGTGGTTGACCACAAGGTACCTACGCTACTTTGACATACATGCGGTTCTGTCTCCGCAGTGCACCTCGTCGTCTTTAAAACAGACGCGTCACCGTCACTGTCACCGCTGCTTTGTACTCGGGTGTAAGGGTAAGTGCTGCCTCACCGGTTTTTCCCCCATACAGCTTAGCATTTCCCCCCCATACAACTTAGTCACAACCACTCACTCATTTTATTGTATCCGGCTTAGTGCACTCCTAATGTAGACTAGTGCTTATTTGCGCTTATAATTCGTAATAGTGGTGAGGCACCACTTATTGACAGCTCCTGGTACGTTGTCTGAGGCTCCGAGCTCGTCGGTCATGGCCCACGGTCCGCCAGTACATGCTCCAGTGCCCCAGTGCCCCAGTTAATCACCGTATGTACTGGTAAGTACCCTATGTAGGTACCTATGCTCATCCCGCAAACGGCTATGACTAGTATAGAGTGCTATGGTAGAGTACATACACAAGTGGGAACTCCTCCGCAATCCATTCCTCCGCACTCCTCTTACATAGGTAGCTGCGGCGGCGAGCTGTGGCAAGCAGCAGTAGCGGCGGCAGCGGCGTAGTTATGACTAAGGGTGAATCAACCATATCTCGCCTCTCCCTCTCCCTCCCACGCACATCCGGAAAACAAGCACATCCATCTATATACATAGAGTACATATCTCGGGAATCGGGGGAACACAACGCCTCTTCCGCCGTGAGCTTCCCGGAGCGAGGCGGGACAGGGCGGGACACAGCAGCCGCGCCGTGCAGATCTTTCCGATCTTGATATGTAGAGTACATGGCTGCACTGCAGCCCCCCTCGCACTGCACTGTGTGGTCTGCGGATCTCTTCGGCGATTGTCGTATCGGGATTGATCCGTGATGTGTGTGGAAACACAGGAACAGGAACAGGAACACACGCAGAAACACGCACAGAAACAAAACACGGGACATGGGATGAAAGATAAACACGGGAAGTGCCGTTCGTTTCGTTTCGTTTTTCGTTTCCATCGATCGGAGGCGTGCCCGCCCGCCCGCCACCTTCCGCTTCCGTTTCCGCACCCGAACCCGCACCTGCAGCCGCACGGTTCTGGATGACGACGACGCTGGTTGCAATAACCGGATTTCGAGAGCTGGTTGATCTGATGGCTGATCTGATCGGATCGAGTGACGTTAGGTGCTGTTTCTTTTTTTGGTTTTATTTCGGGAGGCGATGGGAGGTGGGTTGAAGGTTCGTCCCTAGATTTGGATTTGGCTCAGTGCCACAGATCGCCGTTACAGTTCCACAACGGCAGGCACGCTGCATCTGCCATCCAGATTCCAACGTTTCCTTCCCGTATGTACCCAGAAATAGCTGCACATCCCGATTCCCGCGATTATCTGTCAGACTGTCACTGTCAGGTCATTGCATCATCGCAGCATCGCTATATCGAGATCGATATGTATCTACATACAACATCCGTAATCTCGAGTGCAGCCTCAGAGTGCAGCCTCAAAGTGCAGACTCCAGACTCCAGACTCGAGAGTATGTGTTGAAAGTTGAAACTCAACCGCCCGGCGCCACACATGCAGCGTGCAGCGTGCGTAAAGTGCGTAACGTGCGGATGCACTCGGCGACATGTCACTGTCGCAATATCGCATCCGTAAGAACTTGGAAGGGCCTCCTAAAACCTGGTTTCGGGTATTTGCATTCTTACGTATTCTACGTAGCTTTGGTTGGATATGCGAGCGTTTAACTATGACGCTCCGAGACTGAGTTACTCCACTCTCTAGCGGAGCTCTAGTGGAGCGGAGAGAGGGCGGGGGCAGGGGCGGGGGCGGGGGAACTGAGCGCACAAGCGCGGTGGGGGTTGGGGGTTACCTAGGGTTACTGGTTAGTTAGTGAGAGCGGGGAAGAAGCGGCGATCCCTTAGTTAGAGTACATAGCCGGAACGGAGATGAGTGGGTGGAGATTGCTAGAGTAGTAGCAGTAGCAGCCAGTCATATAGCGGCCGCCAAGAGAGACATATCATGGTGTCGTGGCGCAATGGTAGCGCGTTGGCTTCCGGTGCTTTAAGCGGCTGTCTGCCAAAGGCTGCAGGTTCGAGTCCTGCCGATATCGCTTTTGTGTCCTTCCAAAAATTATTCTTTTGTACTTATGGTGGAGAGGGATGCGTTTTGTTCGGGAAGGTTGTCTAGCTGTGCTGTGAACGAGTGATCCGTGTATGTATCATGTCGTAGACTCATGGATAGGCACGTGCTTATCATCGCTTTCGAAGTTAACGAAGATAGATGGTTCAACTGCTGTATAGTGAAGGGGGGTGAAAAATACGCTTTTTGACCGTACCGATACGCCAAAAAGCGTATTTTTTACCCCCCCTTCACTATACAGTATGCACCTGCTATAGATACCTACATACTTTCAGGAATCCGAAATAGTTTTATTCTATTCTGTGTGTTTTCAAACAAATACGTTTTCAGCTAAAACAGCTATGTCCAAAAGTCTGGAACACCTCCGTGTATGTAGCGGCGACACAGTACGCCCATCCATCCCCGATATAAATGTCCCCGTCCAACTAGGTACCCCGGTGGGTATACTAGCACTGTTGACTTTGCGATCGAGCGTGTGTGCGTGGGGGGAAGTGACGCGTCCGCGGGACAACAGCCTCGAGGGCCTACTACTACTATTGGTAGTAGTAGTAGTAGTTATCCATCCCCTTGAGGCTTGGCCGGTGGTTGTGGCCCCTGAGCTCAAGCCGATGAGACGCATCGCGATCCGTGGGCGATCCGTGGGCGATCCCAAGGGGGTTGTACGCGTACTCTACTCGGTCGCGGTTGCATTGGGGGACTCGCGCACCTACTTACACAGCAAGAGAGAGTTGGGACTCGCTGATCGGGCTCGGCGGGGATCATTGATATCACTCGGTTTGTGGGTATGGTTGGAAACGTGAGAGCTGGGTGAGTGGCGGTCCGGAGGAAATCCAGGCCAGAGACCTTGTAGGAGCGGACAGCGCCTTCGAACAACGGCTAGTTACCTTCATAAACCCGAGCGGACAGAGGAGATGATGCTACTCGACGAAGCTGGAGCACTGGATTGCACGGTCACCAGGGACGAGGAAATCGCAGCCTATGATACAGAATGCGCGGCAATCTCCCGAGCAGTGTAGGCAGCCGTTGACAGGCGGCACACCCTCGATGGTAGCCAGCAGAAGGATGACTCACGATGCACCTGGCCCCGGCCAAAAGTACGCCATTCAGGCACGGAAGCACATCGTTACTCTTCACCGAAGAGAGCCCAAGATCACCATGGAGATCAGATGGTGCCCAGCACACAAAGGTGTCCCTGGAACGGAAAGGCCGACGAATGGGTCAAACTAGCAACCGACAACCCCATCGCTCGCGGAGTAGAGGGCACCCGCTACCTGATCCGGTACGGAACCAGGCCGTTGCCACACACTCCGTCACTCGCATACCTGAGGCGAGGCATCATGGAAAGGAAGTGGAAAGATGCCAAAATATGGGCCGAGTTACTAACAAGAAGTACCGGTTCAGCAGAAAAGTTGACCAGAAACCGGACCCGGTCCCAGCCATGGCCTCCAAGCGCCTGGCTTCGAGGTTCTATCGGCAGAAAACACTGTGGGCACAGGTCCGGAAGGAGACAGGGAGAGGCAAGGATCGCTTCAAGATCCAAGACCTCTTCGCAGGCAAACGGTGTAGCCAGGCCATTCTATATTTCCTCTCCACCACTGATGTGGCAGACGGATGCCAGAGGCTGGTGAGGAAGATACAGCGAGCAGTGTTCTCCATCGTCCGGGCGGGATAGACGGTCTAAACCTGGGACGGACGGTTGCAGAATCCGTCCGTCAGGTCTGAGCCTGTGACGAACGGAACCGTCCCCGTCCTCCACCGTCGGCCGTCCAAGTCACGTAAATATGATTCAGCTGATTGATGATTTCTTAGAACCGATATCCTACACACCACCGCGTCAGTTCATCCCTCACCGTCCCACAAGCTGTGAAAAGCAGCAGTATTCTGACTCGGGCGCCTTATGTGCGGCTCCCGGCCCTATCACAGCGCTCTAGGCACTATATCTCACTCGGACTCCCAAGGTCCACGCCCGAAATCAGGTTTTTGCCCAATGCTTGGCGGACGGCCGTCGACGGTCGTCCTGCGCAGTCCGTCTCGTCCGTCCGCTAAAATAACCGTGGCCGTCACGTCCTCGTCCGAGGCCTAGGACGGACGGACCGGACGATGGAGAACACTAGCAGCGAGCGAGGTATCCGAGTGGGAGCTCAGGAGCTCAAGGAGCGGGAAGAGAGAGCGGCGGAGCTGAGGCGAGAGGAGGAGGACACCGCTGGGGTTGAGGAACCGGAATTACTCCCGTTGTTCCTCCCCACACCTTCTTTCATGGCATCCCTAATGAAGAGGTGGAAGTAGGGAGAGGGAGCGGAAGATTTCTTTTCTTAGTGTTATTTCTTTGGTGCGCGCATACACCGTCGAGACAGACTGGGGAGGAGGGCAGAGAAAGCCACATCGTGCCGCTCGATGAAAGCTGGGTTGGAAAGTGGTGTGGAAACGGAGGGGAGGGGGGGGGGTGCACGGGTAGATATTGCCATGATCTACTTAGGTCGCAAGCAATTACTGCTTAAATAAAAAAAAAAGGATGAGTGGCGGTAAACGCTCTGCTCAGATCAATGCATGGGTACCGTATCTCAGTGTTAGATCCTAAACGGCCCCGTTTAGCCCGCAGGTTCCTGCGCTCTAGCGAGTGAGTGAGTGACGAATAGTGAGAATAGCCTACGGGTGCTCGGTCCGATGTTGGATTTCAAGACAAGATGTCGTTTGGATCCAAAGCTTGGTGAGCGGGGGGCTACTACTGGCTACCATCAATTGAATTTTAGCTCAAATACTTCCTTTTTTAGTTCCTTCCATCCAAGGTGTCGTGGCGCAATGGTAGCGCGTTGGCTTCCGGTGCTTTAAGCGGCTGTCTGCCAAAGGCTGCAGGTTCGAGTCCTGCCGATATCGTTTTGTCTCCACTCCCCCCCTCACCCTCACGGTGGGGGAGGGGTCCCAATTTTTGTTTTTATGTACTGGTCGACGTCTCACCCGCTGGGTGGGCACGGGGCTGCGGCTGGGACGGGACAGTTCCACGTGGATATTCTCCGACCCCGCTGTCCCGAAGGGCCGGACTACATATGTTTCACTCGTGCACCGTGGATCGTGATGGATGGTACGCCCACGATAACCGTTGGATCCTACTCCCTCGACTATTCACAGTTTACTCAACGCTCCGTTTGCAGACCACGTCCCCCGCCACCCAGGAAGGAAGGTACCCCACTACCCACCCACAACAGACATCCACCAGTCGAAAACCCAAAAGCCTCGCGTTTGCTATCTACGATTTAAGCCATACATAGGCCGTAGGTCGCCATGATCGAGTGTGCGGATGGAGAGAGTTGAGAACGAGAGGATTGAGAACGAGTGGTTTACGCAGTCAGAATGGATTCCGCACGGAGGCGATACTATTCACTGCTGATCATCCAGTCCGAACTTCGGGGGCACTCGGTAACTACGGCAGGCTCGGAATAACCGGTGGCTCTCGCTGGTCTACGGCGGGCTACTCTACGGCGGACTGCCGAACCCACACCCACTCCTGCATCTCGATGGTGACCGTGAACAGTGAACAGTAGAGCGCAAGACATCACTTCCCCCATCCCCCTCATCCCCCCGAGAGGAGCTACACGATCTTGGTGTTGGAGCTTGGAACTCCCCAATTTTCGGAAAATGAGTAACATCAGATTGAAACCAAACGCAGACCGCACCACAAACCCTCCAATCTCGGATGGAATGGGCAGGAGATATGCTACAAAGCCAACGGACGGGAATTGAAAGAGCGAGAGCGGGAACGTGGGTGGGACGAGTACGGGACGACGGCAAGGACTGGGACATGGACTGCGAGGTATGTACCCCACAATATTGTTTGCATGCACGATGGATCATGATGGCTGGATGGAAGGATGGGATATAAATCGTTCTCCAATCAACTCCATTCCCCCCTCCCGCATGACTGACAGCAAGCAAAAAAAAAAGAGAGATAAACCCCGAACAAAAAACTCCATAGTTACTTTATCATTTCCACATCCGCATCCCCACTTCCTCGTTCTCATATAGCACTTGCAATGACAATGGACAATGAAGAAAGCACATCATCCTCCTCCTTGACCTCCCATCTCCCCGCAATTGAACATTGTAATGTCTGTTCGAAACAAGACTTTTTTTTTTCTCGTGAACCCCGCCAAAAGTCCCGAAATTCGTTTATAGACGAGGGAAAAAAAAACCCTCCAAACCCTCCATCCTTCCCCCAGAGAGAGTATCCCCTTCCACAACTTGAACCAGCCCCAGACCCGCCAGTTTCTTCGCAATTTGAACCAATTCCACAGAGAAAACCCCACAATAAAGGAAATAAAGGATGAGAAGAAGAGACTGCACGAATCAGAGACATGGAACTTGGGTTGCAATGAACAGCCAAAACCAGAGTACAAAGTACAAGGGCCAAAAGAATAGAATATAAAACCAGTCAAAAACACAAAACTCGTATCCCTTGGCCCCGACACCCAATGAACTCACGGAAAAGAAAAGAGAAAAGAAAAGAAACAGAAAAATGCAGGCTAAACAATGAAAGCAGCTGAAATTCCACTCGGGAAAGTATCAAAGAGGATGCACAGAATTAGGTAGATGCAGTATGCAGTCGACAGACTTCCTTTCCCATGGTCATCAAAGTGTAAATGGTCGTGACATTTAGAAGAGTGCGCTCTTTCTCTTATCACCCGACACACTGAGAACTAGACCTGGGGCCTTCAATCCACCGGCTCCCTTGGAACTTAGTCTGCTCTTGACAGATCCCTCATCGGCGCTCGAGTTGTTTAGCTCGTACTCGCGGAGGCTCTGTCGGCTATTACGGCCTGCAGATGATCCGACGCTATCGGTTTCCTCGAACGCAAACGCCTCGTGCTCCGAAACAGGGGTCATGGTTCCTCCAGCCGAGATTGTGCCAGAAGTCGACCTCGCCGAGCGACGCTCGATGCCGGCAGACACCAATCGGGAGATGGCACGGCGGCGTTGACGCGTAGCAAAGTTCTTGCTGCCCTCATCCTTCGAAGTTGGCTTTGCCTTGAGCTCTTCGATCGATGGAGGTCCGCGAGGCTGGCGCATCGGGTGGGTTCCACTGGCATGGCCAGGTCCGAAAGTAGCCGTCATCGGGGTCTGGGGCAGTCTGGGAACCGACGACTTGGGCGCATCCGCAATCTCGACACCGTTGATGGAAGTGCACGTCGAAAGGGAACTAGCCTTCCGGTGTCCTCTCCTGAATCCGGCGGCAGCTGATGAGTTGGAAGCGGAGGCGCCGTTCGACTGCTGAAGGTTGAGCTTGGGCGGGGAACGAGACCGGCTGTTAGCGCGGCCGTTACCCATCGACAGACCAGTATTGGATGGCTGCTCAATCGGCGTAGGAGGACTGATCTCAACCTGGGTAATCATCTGCTGCTGTTGAGCCTGCTGCTGCGCGTGCTGTTGCTGCTGCTGCTGATATTGCTGTTGCTGCTGGAGCTGTTGAAGTTGGTGGAGCTGGTGGAGCTGCTGAAGCTGCTGCTGTTGAGCCTGCTGTTGAGCCTGCTGTTGAGCCTGCTGTTGAGCCTGCTGTTGCTGCTGTTGCTGTTGAGCGTACGTGCTAATGTTCTGCGCCTGAGAATACTGCTGGTAGGAATTGTTGTTGAGCTGTCCGTAAATCCCGTTTCCGTAGATGCCACCCAGTCCCATTCCTGGACTCATCGGAGGAGTAGCCGAATATCCAACACCGGACTGCATCTGCAGCTGAGCGAGCTGCTGCTGCAATTGCTGGACCTTCTGAGCAGCGGCCAGCTGTTGCTGCACATGGGCAAAGTATGCATTCTGAGCCATCATGATCTGCATCTGGTGATAGGCCTCCTGGTCGTACTCGTCGTCGACATCCTCATTGTTGAGCTGAATGGCAGGGGAGGAGGACGAGGGGGGAGTCGGCAGCCTCTGCTGGGTCTGATGACTCAGGCCGCTCTGGTTGTATCCGTTCGAAGGAGCAGAAATACCAGTGTATCTGGAATTGTCATAACCGTGTTCGGCGATAGTAGGGGTGGGGACTGTAGGGGTCTTGGGAGCCGTCCTGAGACCCGCAAGGAGGGCCGATCTAGCAGTCCGTGGCGTCGGAACCGGCTGACTCCCAGGCGTATCGACGTTGGAGAGAGGAACAGAGATATTTCGCAGGTGAGAGCCCTTGCCCCTCGAACCGAACGAAGCGGAGGTGTTCTGATGGAAGTTGTTGTAAGTCATTTGTGCAAGCCCGCCTGCGTCCATGCTCTATAGTCCAATAACAGACGGGTGGGGTGGTGTCGGTGGTGGGCGACGGAAGAGAAAGGGCCAATTAGGTAGTTTCGAATGCGTAATCCGGAAGGGTGTTTCCTAGCAAGAAAACCTGTTTACCAAATAGGATGTATTTGCAAAGTGACGAGTTCTGACCGAAAGCAGTGAGTTTGTTGATTAAAGCGTTGAAGGAAAAAAAAAGTAGCACACCAAAGAACGAGAGCCTTGTCTCTGTTCTGTTCTGTTCTGTTCCGTGGTTGTTTAGGCTGGCCAAATGGTGGAGGTGGGCTGGACGAGTGGATTCTTATATCGAACTTTGTCGGGAAGGACCAAGCGCGAGGAAAGACTAGACGAGGCTGACCGAAGGGACCGTTTCGGATGCTGCTACTGATACCGGGGGGTTTTTGTTGTTGAGGAAGGGAGGATTTTGCGCGAGATAAAGACGGTTATGAGCTGGCAACCGAGGAAGACGAGACGACGGGCGGAAGATGGTAAACTTCTTCAAAGAGTTGCGACGCGACCGAAGCGAGCCTTTCTTTAAGGAACGGGGTGGACAAGGGGTGTTGTGTATGGTATTGCTGGGGGAAAGAAGGATGCGATGCGTCGTCTTGTTGTTATTCTTCTCGTCGACGACTTGATTATTCCAGAATTCGAGTTTTTGTTGCGGTTTGGTGATCGGTAATGGGGAGGGTTTGAGCGTGCTCAGCACGGAAGGAAGGCGAGACGAGACAGACGAGACAGATAGAGTGAACAGCGGGGGGGGGAAGGGATATGATGTGCGTGGGGAGAGGTAGCGAGGGCGATGTGAGATTGCGGCGATTGCTTGACGAGCGGCGGATTGAATTAAGGGGCGGTGGTGGGTGCGTAGACCACTCTGGAGGATGCTGTTGTACTGTACTGACTGAGAAAGACTGCTGCCAGGCGGGAGAGGGCGGGGGGCGGGGGGTGGGGGGGAGGGAGGGAAAGGAATAACAAGGGAAGATCGAGAAGAAGTTGGTTTCGAGAGTGGAAGAAGAAGGGAGGGAGGGAGAGAAGGGAAGAGGAGTAAGAGGAAGGGAGGAGGGAGAGGGGAGGGAGGGATGGGCCTGGGGTGGTGGTGGAGGAGGGTTTGGGTCTGGGGTAAGGATGTGGTTCAGGATTATTGGGAGGCAACAGATTTCGAGGGGGTAAACAGCCACAGTGCAGCGATCATTCCAGCAGGCGGTCCAGTCAGCCAGCGAAAACGCTGCCAAAGCTACATATCCACGCAAACCCGCACAGGGAGAAGAAGTGTGATGTCCTTAGTTACGGCAACTCTGCTCTGCGCGTACCGTGAATCGCCCTAGAGCATTCTAGAGGAGAGTCCTTATCCCATGCTACAGCAAGCAAACTGCTAACTAATGCGCGGTCGAGAAAAAGGGAGCTTCTCGACTCATTTTCTGGCCCCCCTTGGCACCGCTTTCTGGACCCCTCGCGGTGATGCGTAGCCGCCGGCCTCACGACAACCCTAGTCATATCGCAAACATCAAGCATGGTGTGGGGATCCGGGCTGGACGAGAAGCCCGATTGATGGAGTTCGTCGGGCTTGAGGAGAGGTAAGATGTAGAGGTAGTTACCTCAGCCGCTGCCGCCATCGCGATGCCTTCCATCCGCTGAGCTGTGAAGGTGAGTGGCCAATAAAGTTCGTGATTAGGATTACGGCTACGAAAAGTGCGAATACACTCTGCAGTTACGCGGGCGCCACCCGCCCCACCTCTCAGTAGAGTAGGTACACTGCACCCCGAGGATGGAGAATAGTAACTACATGATCGCCAACGCGCCCGTCAAAGTTTGCAATGCACTGTTCTCCACCGTCAATAGGTACTACAGCACCGTATCCCCGTACCCGTACCTGACAGTTCATATCCTCTCGATACGCTGCGGACAAACAACTGAGAAGACTACTAGTATGATACTGCTACCTGTTCGCGAGCTTGCTGCCTCTATTACGAGCTTCGACGATTCTACATATAATAGAACAGTATCGTAGACCCCAAGATTCACAAGAAAGCCGCCGGCTTCCAATAAGGCACGCATATCTGCACCACCAAAGGCATCAGCCCCACAAGCCGCGCCCCAGATTCCCATAGCACAGTATATCCCGTCCTATCCTCGACCGTGCTCCCAATCGCAAGAGCGCGCATATGTAGAACCAAGCCAATCGAACCGCACTGAACCGAACCGTCCCGTCCGCGTACCTATCCCGTCATACCATCCGATACAGATGCTTCACTGTCCACCCATCGTGATCAGCACGGATCGCAACCCCGCTCTCGCGCGCGAAAAGGAGTGAGTCCACGAACATTCCAGCGTCTCCTGCGCGGTCTCTGGCAGCTCCTCGATGACCACGCCGGGCCTTCCAGCAACCCGCGAAAACGGCGGGATAACCGTGTGCGGCGCCACTACCGTGCCGTCCTCGATCCGTACGCAGTCTTTGATGATAGTGAATTTCCCCTGGTCGCAGAGTTGTGAGTCCCCCTACTACTAAGAAAGAGAGCGGGGGAGGAGCGGGGGGCGGGGGGAGGGGGGAGGGGGGAGGGGGAGAGTACAATCACCGCGCCAGCACCGATATGCACAAAGTTCCCCACCATGGCCGCTTCGACGACCGCGCCCTCGCCGACAAAAACATGGTCGCCCAGTTTCATGGGGTAAAAACTAAACACACTTTCCGGCTCGCGCATCATCAGCCCACCTCCCCCAGTCCCGCCTCCCCTCCCCCTCCCCACCTCCACCTGCACCTGCACCCCCCAAGAACCATTCACTCACTCACCCACGATGCGTCTTCCCCGGCGGCCTCAGCACACAGCTCTTAGCAAAGAAGCAGTACCTGCCGACGGCGATAGCGACATTCCCATGCTGGCCCGGTGCGCCCGCGCGTCGCAAGTCTCCACGGATCGTGCAGTCCGCCTGGATTATCGTCTTTCCGCCCAGAATGATGTTCTGCGACCCGAGGATGTTCGACTTACGTGATACCTTGTTACCAGTGTCCGTCTCGATGTATTCGCCTTTGGCTTGCTTGGGCGGCATGGTTGCGGTGGGGGGCTGTAGGGGTGCGCGTGTAGTGGGTGCTGGGTGCGGGTGCTGGGTGCTGCGAGCTGCGAGCCTGGAGCTTGAGATGGTGGGCGGGTAGCTATGTGCTATGTGTGTGGAAGGTGGAGAGGGACAAGGGGTCGTGAACATGGAAGCACTGAGCAGCGCTACCACGAGGAGATAGCTACTAGTGCTGGTAGCAGCCATTCGACGTCGACCACATGCAGAAGCCGAGATCGCAGCATATAGCACAGAGTATCAACCTATGCAAAACCACAAAGCCCATCCCGTTCTGCCCGCGTGCCGGTATGGTACTCCTCATTCACGGTGATTCATCGTATGTGGTGGTGGGGAAAGCTACACCTTCGAACGCTCCCATCCGCTTCACCTCAAGGCTCAATGCGCCCACATCACGGTCATCCCCAATTCCCCAATGGGCCAATTCCCCATGGTTCATCACTCAAGATCTAAAAATACCCCCCCTACCTGCCCCCCCCGTCACTCTGGAGTCTTTAATCTATCAATCGCCTGATGTTGATCTCCATACATACTCTACATAGAAACCCGCAACCAGCAACCCGCAACCAGCATGTGCACGATTTGGGATTGCGGTTTTCAGTTTACGGTCTGCGGTCTGCAGTCTGCGGTTTGCGGTTTCAACAACGAATTGCCTACCTATGTATTTCCCACAACTACTACTGCAGCTGTTATGCAGATAGAGTATGTAGTAACCGAGCCGCGGGCGCGGGCACGCGGGCGGAACCTCGGTGCCAGGCTCAGGGTTCCTGCATGCGGGGGTTGACGGTAGGGACTCTGGATGGGTACATAGGCGGTAAAGCGACATCGCAACTTCGCAAGGACATGTCCTAGAATACCTATCGATCGGGCACCTACGGTACGGTATTCTGCGAGTGACGAGCGACGAGCATTGCAACGGATCTGGACCGCCGACAAAGGGACAAACGACGTCTCCGTCCGCAGGCGAGGTGGAAAGGTGGCGGAGTGACGAGACGACGGAGATAGCCCGCCCCCGTCCCCCTCCCCTCCGCCCCCGCCCCCTTGGTCGGTCTTTCACGGAGAAGTCACAACAAGGAAGCTCCTCGTGGCTTCGAAGGGCTCAACTTGCCTATGCAGAGGAGTACATACATAACCGAATGTCGAAGAACGAGGAGACGAGGAGGAGGTTGATTGTATCGTGTCGTTGGGAATAGGTAAGTACCGGTATGATATGCATACGGAGAGCAACGTGGGCCTCATTCGGGCCGATAGTTAACCACCTATTCCCAGCGTTTGGAGCGGCAAAGCGTCCCCTATCATACCTATGATACCTATGATACTTCCACGGTCAATGAGGCTGTGCAGTGCCAAAGGGATATCCACCTTCTCTATGTATTGTACGTACGGTAGAGTACTCTACGTCGCTAGATCCGAATTTCTCCACTCCACATACAGCAAGAAGAAGGGGTGATCTCGAGTTGATTATGTTTCAGAAGCGCCCTAGGGGGGTTTCGTGTGTATGGGTATGTAGATGGATACATCATATGTATGCAGATGACAGGGCATAGGCAGGGGTGGTAAGTAACTTATCATGAAGTTACACACATATGACCATGGGAGGATGTCCTAACTAGTTCCGCAGGGCACTGTTAACTAGTACTCACGTTAGACGCTCGGGAGAGAGGCATCGAGGGGATAAATTGTAAATTGTGTATCTACATGTCTATACAGAGCTAGGTAGTGTGCTGTAACTACAGTGGAGATGTGGAGATGGCAGGAGTGATAGGTACGTAACTACATGTGTAGTCGATGGACGATGATGAAAGTAGCATATGTAGATGACTGCTCAGAGCAGTAGGTATCTACCGGAGGAGGGGGGGCTGAGCCTTGATATTTCGTTGTAAAAACATCAGCCCAACATATGTAACTCATGTGGTTCACTAGGCTCTTGAAGACTATCCGCGTGCGTGGTGCATACGTACAAAGGCACGCGAGACCTGCGTACTAGAAAAGACACTTTTATTTGGCGTAACTAGACGTGCGTGCGGCGTGTGGCGTGCGCCCGCGGTCAGTCAGTCAGTCGGGCGTGCATGTGCGCGCGAAGAGTCTGGAGTGATCACGGAGTGGGCACGAGTGGGCGCGGGGTGAGGCAGTCAGAATAGTGTCTGAGCGGAGCGTCAGGAGTCAGGAGGAGGTGGAGGATGAGGAGGAGTGAGAGGAGGAGTGAGAGGAGGAGTGAGAGGAGTGAGAGAGTATGCAAGGGAGTGCGCGCCGCAGGCGGGCAGCGACGTGATCTGCGCAGGTGCATAATGTGAGTCGGGTGGATAAGGTCCCTGGACGCTTGCAATGAAGCATTAGATATCACTCCGTGTAAGCAGGCAGGTGTTCGGGTCGGAAAGTGTATGCAGTGACCATAGGCGTCTCTCCGGCTTGGGTGGAGGGGCGGAGAGCAATGGAGATTCGGAACCCACATCGACCCCGCGGGCCGCGGCCAGCGGTCGGAGATGTACCGCACATAACTGCTGTGATCTGATAAGGTCGAATGCAATGATTATTAAACAAACCAAAACCAAAACCAAAAACTCCGCCCGGCCCGGCTGCTGATATTTCCGGCCTTCTGTCTTCCGATAACGCCATCATGCGGCAATCCTTTTGCCCGAGAATTCCGAGAATTCCGAGAATTCCGAGATCCGTGTTCCCGACTGAAGTCGTCGAAATTGGAAATATGCGGTACATACATCCTGACGTATGTAGAGCTTTCAAGCACTTGCTCGGATGAAAGTAAGTGACAGATGCTGCCAATAAGTCATCATCACGTTGACGAACAATGATACGGGAGACAAGTGATGATCTATGACCAGATCGAATGGGTGGAAAACATTCATGCCTCTCCGGAGTCCGCCAGACTTCCACTCAATATTCCGCTACCGTCTCTCCATCAATAACAGCTTGCAGTCTCGCAAGAACACTCTCCACCAATGTATCTGGCATTTCTTCTGGACAACTCGAACTCAACCCAACCGATCACAATCACAATGCCTCGTTATCCGATGCTCATCCCCCATATATATCTCGCCCAACTCCGTCGTCTAGCCCGCCGTATCTTTTAGCATGCCCTGTACCGTATGTCCCACAGCGCTATCCTCTTCCGCCCCGAAGGTTACCGGTACATAAATATCCAGCGATCCGGGCCGGTACTTGCCTGTATGGAGGGCTCCCCCACCAGCTCGGCACAGTACATCTTCGGATATGCATTCGTGGTACAAGCCCTCTGGTACTGAAGCTGCGCTACCTACTCGTAGACATCTGTCTGTCACCCGCGGCAGCACACGACATGTTCCTCCCCCTTAGGTAAAATAGGTAGCGGTCTCGTGGGTGGGTAGGCGGTGCTATTCGTCTGATGTCGCAGTGGAACGCTATTGACTGTGCCGAAGGTGGTGGTGCCGTGCCGGTGCTTCTCCCCGCCTTCTTGACGGTAGCGCCGGGGTACGAAACGAGAACCCAACGTCCATGTATTCCCCAAAGACTCCGGCCGGCCATACATAGGAGTAAAGACTTCCGGCCACCGATCCAAGCTGCCGGGCACAATTGGCTCCCAGCTCCTCCAGGCTCCCCACAATATTTACACACCGGTCGGAATCCATTTTTAGAGCTTGAGCGTGGTTATCTCTGACGGCGCACTGCAGTCGCCGGTTACTGCTTTAACCTCCTCCTCCTCCTCCTTCCTTGTATTGACGTTCAGGTGGTCAGTTGGCTTCATTAATGACCTAGGTATACCGCCGAAGACCGTCCTCTCTCCCCGCAATTTCCATTGCTGACGGCGAACGCAAGACTTTGCTCCGCGCCTCTTCGTATGATATGATATGGATCCTCTAGTTCCGATCGAATGTTTATTTAAAGTGAGCCTGGGTATGATCTCATTGGACTAATTACGATGTCCCTGTAAAGACCGGTCAGTGGAGGGCCGCCATTCAAATGTGTTCGGACCTTACCTATGCTGCACCGAAGCGACACCGGCAGGGTGTCGGTATATACATAGAAAAAGACGCCTGTCCAGGACACGACAGCAGTGTTAGCGAACGCGAGAAGTACTATAAGGTGCGCACGACCTCTCCGCTGGGGGCTGGACCAGCCCGTCCAGTAAAGGATAGGACCTCTCTTGTTGGTGTTTGGCGAGAATGTCGGTGCAATAGTCGCTGCACTGAGCAGGTAGGTAGGTACGTCCTTTGGGGAATGGACAGCCCTCCCGCGAGAAACGACAGTGGTGGTGGCAGTGGATCCGGACTCCGGAGTGGAGACGACGGTGATTCCTGGTAGTTGACGTAGGTATCCGGAAAGGCCGTAACTAGCTGCGCATGCCACAATCGGGCCGGGTACATAGCAATCACCGCTTCTTCCGAGTTGAGAGCACCCATACGAGTAGAGCTTTGATTTGGACTGGATATCTTGCATCTTGGAGTATAGCCAGCTATCGATTCCCCATGCAAAGCCGTAAGTTCGTCTTGTATGTAAAGATTTCAGACCAGTGCCTAACGACCAGCCCATGTATGTGCCTATCTACAACCGAAGCGTTGGAGAGTGCCTGTATGCGTACCTCTTCCACCGTTCGGTGCAGTGACCCTGCCTGCAAATTATGTGGCCTGTAATAGGCCGACGATCAGGCACCATATCTGCTGCGAGGTTGCATACAACAGTGACGTCCTGTGTTTACATCACCAACCCAGCCAAAACGTGGGCTTACGGCGTACCAATAATGCGATGTGCACGGATAATAGCACTCGGTGCCATATATTTTTACCTCACTTCTTGTTCTATGTAGTATGCACATATTGTATGCCGCACTGTAGGGCACTATGCAGGTAGGTATCTGGATATATATGGCCTTTGTGGTGATGTCTAGCGTTTATAAAGGTACATATGCCGTAGATATACCAGTGCGGTCTGTCCGAAAGCCTGTGGGATCCGAAGATCTCTCAAAAACCAATAAGCCCGTGGCATTTTCAAAGCACGCGAGTAGGCGGTCTGTTTGATGAAGCTGCCGTAGAAAAGACTCGAAAAATGGAACAACAGGCGGATTCTGGGGCCAAGGGTGCAGAAATGGGTTCCGTTATCTTTGTGACAACGTATGTATCTGGAAGTATTTATATGTGCCTGTGGCTATGCATTCCGGGATGGAAACAAGCGTCTTCCTAGTGGGTTTCGGGGTGTGCTATCTTGATTGTATGGCGGAGGGAGCCATAAAGAACCACGCGGCGTCGTCGCAAAGCATATCGTCAACATGTGGGGGGGGGAGGGCCTCTATTTGACCGAGGCGCCACCATGTGCACGTAATGCTCCCACGCGTGACCAAGTGCTGTAGGTAGGGACCCCTTAGCGCCAACGCGTCCACCTCCACACCTCACCTCCCCCGCATCACCCATCACAATGTCCCGCAAACTCGACCCCTCAATCTACACGACTAAGTCTGCCTTCCTCTCGAACCAAGTGCGCATCCTTAGCATAGTACCCACGCCACCGCAGCACTGGCGCGAGAACCTGTCCGCAGCGGACGACGAGCACGGCGACATTAGCGACGCGGTGGTCAAGAATGTTCTGTACAAGCTATCGATCGTCGCGCGGAAACACCACAACCTGGTGTATTCCGCGCAGACCCTGCGGCATATCGCGGAGCAGGTTGATGCGCTTTACTGGAGTGCTACCGAGGGCGCTGAGGGGGAGGTGGGCGCCGAGGTCGCTGTGCTGAAGGCTGGCGTCGACCTGAGGCTGAGCGAGTGAGCCCTCCTCCGCTCTCTCCCGCCACATCCGCGCGACCGCTGACACGTGGGGATAGGAATATCGATGCTCTCCCAGAGAGCTATCCGCACGAGGACGGGGAGTCGGAAGAGGACCTGGAGAAGTACCAGGTCCTCCGGGCTCGTCTGATGGACGCCAGCGGCGTGCTGGAAGTGCAGAGACAGAAGAGGGACCACTACAAGCGGCTGAGAGATATGATGAGGCCGTTTGAGAATCCGGTTGAGAACGTCCAGCCGAATCTGGTTACCAGGGATGGCGAGCTGAATGCAGAACTGGAGAGAACGAGGATGTTGGCAACGGTGTTAGCCATACAGCTCGAGAGGGCGGGGATTAGGCTACCGCCGACGGAGGGGCAGGATGATGAAGCGATGGACGATGGCGGGGAGGACGATGACGAAGAAGAAGAAGAGGAGGAGGAGGAGGAGGAAGAGGAAAGGAAGAGGGAGGAGCGGTTCAAAGTGATAATGGGAAGGAAGTAGTGATGCTTCATATTCTGTATTCTATACTGCGGCGTTTCGGAGTTTCAGTCATTTTTTCTTTGGATACTACACCTCATGAATGGTAAAATTCCTGGGACACAGCCGGTGACGTTTGAGTTTAATCGTTCTATTCGTCTGCCGCTCAACGGATTGCGACAAATCAAAGACCTTTGACTCGCATCTTGAACTCAATTCACGTTTATGCACAAACCCAATTACAACCACCTCTTTCGAATAACCTCCTCGTATCCTCTTCCACCACATCCACTCCGTTCCTCTCCTTCTCTCCGCAATGGATTCATCTGAGGCGCCCAACCCCACAATATCTGGCTCCACCGCCCTCCCGCCGTTACTTACTCGTCGTCAATATATCACTCGACGCGTCTTGGCACGGCAACCGCCGGTGATCGGCCCTCGCCCCCAGCCAAATCGCGGTGCGCCTCCAGCTCGAATCCTGGCGCCAGTCGCGACTACCCCCGAGAACAACCCACTACAATATCAGCAACCAGCACCACCACCACCACATCCACCACCAGCACCACTACTACCACCACCACGCTACCTCCAGCGTCCGAACCCGGAAAAAGACGAAGACGAGAGATATCCCTTGCCCGCAGCCAATATGTTTCCCACGGGCGCCGGCCACCAGCTGGATCTGAACCACCTGTGGCAGCAGGTACAGGAGCTGTCGGCGGTGCTCGCTGCAAACAGGGAGAGCACTGTGGGGCTGGTCAAGAAGGCGGATGAGATTCGGGTTCGTTTCCATCTTGGGGGTGCGGCGTAAGACGGTGTGGGGGGAAGCTAATGGAGTGCGACAGCATAGAGGTGGCGATCCGGCGGATGCGGCGGCGTGCCTAGTCAATGGAAACGGTACCGGCTCGGGTTCTATACCCACGCCGCGAGAGCTCTACCTCGAAGAGCAGAATAAAATGCTACAGGAAGAGATTACACAGTTGCGGGGGGAGAACGAGGACCTTGGATTGCTGGCGCAGGACTACGAGACGGTGCTGGAGAAGGTGTTGGAAGGGCTGCGGATATACGCTGTTTGTCTCCCATCTCCCCCTCTCCCTCTCCCCCCAGTTTAATGACTGACGGATGGCGGGTGTAGCACGAACACAGCATCGCGACGATAAACATCCACTCCTCATACACCAACCAGCTCAACAATGAGCGCGCACAGAACGCGGCGCTGCGACAGCGGGAGATCGATAACAACGCGCGACTGACGACTCTCAGCCAGTTACTGCGCGAGGCGTATCAACTGGAGACGGTGCTCGAGCCGGATATCGTCATTGAGCGGCTGAAGGCCGAGAATGTGGCGCTGAGAACGGCGCTGGGTGTTGAAGAGGATCCGGATTGTACCGAGGAGGTGGATTGATCGAGGTGAGGGGAGGGGAGGGAGGGGGTTTTGTTTTTTTAGGCGCCGCACACCAGCGTTTGTTTGTTCGTTCACTACAGATGATGTTTGTCACATTGTGATTTGTTACCATAATGAATACCACCATCTATGTACTTTCCATACCCAACTACATACAATCTCCTCTCTTTGCATTGTTATGTTTCCCGCTGGCAAAGAAATCGGTATATACAGGGGGTTTTGTGTTGTGCTGACTCTGCGTTAGAGTACCGTACTGCCCTATGGGTACACGCCCGTAGGCCGGATGTGGATGGGGGGATGGCCATAGTACTTTTCCGAGGCCGAGCTTCGGATTCGCCTTGCATATCTGGCCAGAAGTGAGGGGAAACTCGATTTCCGAGACGCCGACCAGTCGAGATTACAAGAACCATTATTCACCGGATTTTGGCGGAGTGGTGGCGGCGATACGCACAACGTGTCACTCGGTCGGGATCTAAGTTTTCGAGCCTGCCGGGATTGATGCCTCCTGTGGGGCTCCTTCTCCCTGATAAATACATACTTCAAAGCAACAGTAACTATATATGTCTACTATCGGAACAAAAACAAAGACCGGCGTTAAACGGCAGGACTATACCAAGCCGACGAACTGCCCTGATATATATAAATCGAAAGCTTGGGACGACAGGCGCGGAGGAAGGAAGCACAGTGGAGCAGAAATCAAATGCAGGAGCCGGGGACCTGGGGTCCCGAAATCTGCTCAGAGCGCCCAGTCTGACACCTACAACCTTCCAGACTGCCTAGCATCAAGCCCAGAGCGCATCGGACGTGGTGTGAACTTCAACCTATGAGTTCGACCGTTCCCACCCGGTCTGAAGCTGTGCGGTCACCTTCCAGCCCCGCGCAGCTGTCGTCTGGCCCGTGCCGTATGCTTAATCCCTCGTGTACATAGGCGGTCGAAGCCTTACCGTCAACAAATCTTGTTTGCTTTACTCAAAAGCTAATACACAAAAGCATACAGATACAAAAATCAAAAAACTACGGTACCAGGGATTCCCGCATGGTCAGCCAGTGCGGTACTAACATGGCGATACCATGCTTAACTAGGGCCGAGCGGACGGGAAGCCGTGTGTTCATGGTTCTATGACCGTAGCTGTTAGTTGTGCTCGGCGAGAACTTATGACCAGTAAGGTGGTTCGAGCCACGCAGCTACCCACGATGAGGACGGGTTGCCGGAAAACTGGAGGACTGGAGACTGCCAGACAGACCAGAAATGTTCGCAACACCGGGTCCCGAGGTCACATCGACTTTACCATGCCGTCCGTGATGGGGGTATGCTCCAGCGCAACCGCTCACCTATACTAACTGCACCTTCCAGTCAACTCCACCTTCCACCTCCGTTTACGGCGGCGGGAGCAGACTGTACACGTGGTGGTTCAATAGTACCTATTCGAAGCCCAAGCGACAAAGTGGATTAGGCTGGAGGGAACCACATCCCCGCTGGTGGCCTCGCTCGACCACCGACAAGCATCCGCCCCCATGGGAATGCACACAAAACAAACGGCATCACATACATCTACCGACACACGTGCGATGGCAGCAAAAAACGATATCGGCAGGACTCGAACCTGCAGCCTTTGGCAGACAGCCGCTTGAAGCACCGGAAGCCAACGCGCTACCATTGCGCCACGACACCAATTGATATCTGTTGAGTCAGTCAAGACAATACGAGGTGGAATTTCAAGTAGGAAAGGCGGAGAATAGGCGGTCATCATTATGAACGGCGTGGGTGTACCTAGCTTTACCATGGTATCTATGCACATGCTGTCGTTATAATATGGTATGTACATATCTCCTTCAATGGTCCCAACAGTCTATCGACATACGCCTGGCAATCTTATGGTCCTATTCTGTGTACCGCTCTTGGGCGTGAGCCAGAATGGATTAGGGCACACGGAGTTGGGCTCGGAGGCCAAGGTGTTGAACAACCGGAACAGACTATTATAGGGAACACAGACTTCCTGACATGTATCATATGTGAGTTTGATCTGTCTTGCTGAACTCTATTCAATGACATTTATCGTTGGTCCGCTCAACAACTCGTATTTTTGCACCCAACTTCCAGTTCCATCCATGTGCCGCACTCGAGTGATATTGTTCTCATACTGTTGTTACCGAATGATTCATCAGGGATTACTCAGAGAGATAGTTACATCGTTGAAACCGATTCATGGGTTGATCTCGCATCATGGCACTGTTTATTGGGGCGAATATCAACGCGCTGTATAAGACACATTCCCCATATCGCTCTCAAAACCCAAACCCAGAAGAACGTGAAAAAAAAGCAGAAAGGAGGAAAGAAACAGTCATGTGGAATGGAACACGGCGAAAGGAAGGTAACTATACTAATTACACAAACGCTTCATCTAGCCTAGTCTATTCGTCGCTGTCTGTGTCGTAATCGAAAGGATCCGGTAACGGCGCATCATCGGCTCCGTCGTCGTCCTCAGCGTTGAGGATGTTGACTGCCGCTTCAGCACCACCAATCTCTTCCACAGCGCTGCCTGCAGCTGCGGCGCCGGCGACGGCACCAGCTGGCTGCGTCACCGATTTTCGGCTCTTCACCTCCATCAACTGGACTTCCTCGTTTGGTCGGCGGTCTAGAAGCAACAGGACACCACCAGTAGGCTACAGGAATATTAGCGTCCGTTCCAAATTTATGGAATATGAAGTGTATGACATACCTTTTTGACGGGTTCGTACCGGCCGTCTTCCAAGAAGGCGATGTACCTCAACTGTTCTGGCAATACTCGCGACAGATTGGTGAGCTCGTACCCGACCTTCTCCTTCTCGATCCGCTTCTTCTTGTCACCCTCGCCCTCCTTCTTTTCACCTTCTACTTCCTTCTTGTCACCCTCGCCCTCCTTGGTCTCCTCGTCTACATCCATCTTCTCCTCTGCCGAGGGACCGGGAGTGGCTGGTGTTGATGTGGTGGGCTCGACGTCCATCGCCTCGCCATCACCCTTGGCCACCGCAGCCTCCTTCGCGGCCTTCTCCTTCTCTGCGCGCTTAGCCCGTTGCTGTGCCTTAGCAGTTGTTGAGAGGACCGCAGTAGTTAGCTCCTCGGTTTTCTTGGTGGCTGACTCCTCGACCTTCGGCGGGTAGTCGAACAAAGAGGGTCTAGTGCTGGACCAGAATTTGAAATCGGGGATCTATCAAGTAGTCAATATATGCACTAACCCACACAAAGACGAAGGACCTTACATTCAAATCCTCATCCAGACCGATGAGACCGGTAGGGGTGAAGGACAGAGTCAAAAAGTGGGTCAATGGGAACCAATACCAGTATTGAGTGAATACAGCCATTCCAACGATTGCAGGAACGTTCAAACTACCAGTGGGAGTCTGCAGACCAATGGTAACATTCCGGCCACCTGCATCGATGATACCCAGCGCCAACGCGGCACCGAACTTTGCCATCGCGTCCTCGTGCTTGTCGGCAACCATGGTCTCGAACGTTTTCCGAATGTGAGGAACCTTGGGGTTCATCTGTTCGTTCTGCTGGACAAGAATCATGGCCATCGAAATGAGGGCACCTTGTCGCACAAAGTCGGTAGGGTCCTTGATCATGGGCTCCAGGAGGTCAATGGCTTCGTCGAGTCCCGTACCGGCGCAAGCGATACCAAGGGCCATTGAGGCACCGTATCGGACATGGGGGTTGTAACTCTCACTCAGCAGCTCGACCATCCGGGGAACCGCGCTCGGTTTCCGGAAGAGAATGAAACCCAAACTCATCACGGACACGCGACGAACATCATCGTTGACATCACTGACGGCAACGTGAAGCAGTTTCCTGATGGCCTTGTTGCTTCCAGTTCCGCAGTATGCCAGGGCGATGGTCATGATACCACCGTAGCGCAAAATGGGGTCCTGACCGTCAAGCAAGGTGTTGATAAGCTCGTCGGCAGCTTCCTGACGTCCGAACATGATCAAAGCCATGCCGAGTGACAGACCGCGGATGATCTTCTCGTGTTGCGTATCGCGCGTGTACTGCATCATGTCTTCTATGGCGCCCATATTACCGGTGCCCAACATGATCAATCCCATCGCCAGACCGATCGCCTCTCCGGCAACGGCGGAGTCGCTCCATAGGATATTCTTCAACTCTTCGTAAATCGCCGAGTTTCCGGTGGCCATACCAGCGACACCGAGTCCAAGAGCGCCACCGTGCTGCACAATTTCGTCTTGGGTGGCATTGAACTGCTTTCTCAGGAACTCGAGAACATCAGTACCATGGTTGGCGTAGATCAATCCCAAACCATACAAACTTCCACCTTGCGAGTACGGGGAGCCGTTAGAGACACCCTCTTGCGGCAGGTATGGCTGCAGAAGCTTCATTCCCTGGCTAAGGTTTCCCTTGTGAATCACACCCAATGCAGCGGTAGCCGTAAATTTGGACCAGTTGACAGCTTTACTAAGCCAGTCAAGGTTGTCCCGGAAAAACTTATCCACCATCGTACCGGAGTGCATAAAGGCGTTAGCGAAAGTAAGAGCTGTATGGAAAATCGATGTGCGCGCCTCAAGGCAATCTTTGATTTTGTTGAGGATTTGCATGTCCGTCCTGTTGTTCCTGTACAGGAACTCGAGGGAAAGCTCTATGCTCTTGGTTCCGCGGAGGATCTGTCGGATGGCCCGGTAGTGCTTCGTGCTCTTGGAATCTTCAGTTGAATCCGTAGCCACAGTGTCACTGCCGGCAGTGGCTGCTGCGCTGTCTGGCTCATCCGAATCGGCACCCGGTAGGTCGGCCATGACCTTTTGGAGGAATTCTTGGGTTGCGGAGGTGTCCAAATCAAAGGCGATCTGGTAGGCCACAAGCAACGACTTTGAGTCTTCCTTTTGTACCAGATCCGACAGAATCTTCGCCGCCAGTGCCGTGTCGTTCAGATGTATGACGCACTTGCTGATGGAAAAGTAGTCAGGTGAAGGAAGGGCGAGGAAGAGCTTGACGAGGAGGCGCAGAAGCTATTCAAGTTGTCAGTGATAACCGATCCATACGACCTGCAAGGTGGCGACATACCCGTTCCCTCAGTCCTACCTCCTGCACCTCTCCCATAGCAATGTGCAGCACATATTCCATCAGTTCCACCGCCATGTCCGTCTGCTCCTCATCCTCGTCCAAATCTCGCTGCCCCGCAAGTGTGATTCCCTCCTCCACCACGTCTAGTCGCCGCGCCTCGATCGCTATGCCAATCGCCGGTTTGTAATCTTCATTCTGGTAGCAACTGCGGAACAGTCGCTCAACAATGTCCTGTAATCTGGGATCCACCGGTGTAGGTTCTTCCGAAGTAGTGGTAGTCTGATCCACCGTGCCATGTTGCAGCACATCGTTCTTCGTAGTTACGGAAATGTATTCTTCGATGAATTTTGCTGTTCCCGGGAGTCAGCAGCAATTCACCGGAACGGCCGGGGGAGGAGGAGGAGGGATGAAATACAGATTATCGTCTCTACGTACTCCTCTTGCGAAGAGATGTCGAACAGCTCACCCGCACCAAGGGCAAACATCATGGACTCTTCGTATTCGCCGAGGTGGTAGTAAACTTTCGAAGCTACGAGGGCGGCGAGCTTTCGCTGTTTGAACGACTCATCTTCGTAGAGGATCTCACTAAACCCGGCACAAGCAATTAGTCGTAATTCACAAAGCTCTTGGGTCCGGAAAAGACCCCGCCATAGAACGCGGCGGTAAAGATGCTAACGATGGAGGCGATCCATAGCGCGGCAGCATGGAGGGGTAGGTGGGACTCGGCAGCAAACAAGTAACGCACATCTTTGAAACCTCATCTGCAATCTCCGCCCAGAACTGATGAACATGATTGTCCAGCTGCTGGAGGGCGAAGCATCTGAGCTGCTGGTCGGGTTCGTCGAGGAGACCGATGAGACCGGCGGCGGAAGTCAAGCCGGGCATTGCTGCTGTCTGGCGATCTCCGGAGTATTGATTATGTCGGGGTTTCGTTATCGATGGGCTGTGAGATCGACACGGATGATGGAAAGATGGATTCCGGAGGTATCTGGATGGAGAGGTGAAGCTTAGGATGATGGAAGTTGATGGTGGTGGGTTGGAGGACTTCGGGTTATGGTAAGCTGCGCGTGTATGTAATGCTTCTTGTCGCACTGATGCGGCTCAACAGCCAAGACGTTCTGGAGACAACTCACCAACTGCGTAATCTTAGGAGCTCTATGCATCGAAGACGTCACTGCACATGAGAGTGAGAATATGTGAAAAATGTAACTAGAGCATGAATTGAAAGAACTATTATCCTCTATCTACCAGGTAACCTCGTCTATCACGCTCTTCTTCTCCACGCCCAGGATGCTGTCGTGCATCTGCACTCCGTCGAGTAAAGACTTCGCGATGTTCACAGCCCCACTAGTCAGATACCGCTCCGAGAACCCACTGTTGATCTTCAGCTTTAGTAGCTCCCTCAACTCGGCCTTCCAGGCACCCACGTCCGCCTTGGACACGTTGGCTGCCTTCTCCCTCTTCACCTTGCCTCGCTGGCCCTTCTTCCCAACTTTCAGATTGCTAAACTCATCGCTATCATAGTCAACGCCGAGCTCATCCGCAGCTGTCTTGAGCCAATCGTTCTCCTTGCTCTTCTTCGCCTTCTCCACCGTGCTATCAGAGACCTTTTTGGCAAGGGTTGCGCGCCGCTTGAGACGGTCTACAAGTTTTCGGTCGACATCGAAACTTTTCATGGCGTACTTTCCGGTGCTTTTGCCGTCTTCCTCGTGGACTTTACCAACCAGGCGCCGAACACCCAACACTTCCTCCGGAGAACAGAGCAGAATACTGATTCCTCGTGCGTCCGATCTGGCAGTTCTTCCGGAGCGGTGCACGTACATGTCCGCAGTACGGGGCAAATGGTAGTGGATCACCATCTCGACACCCTTGATATCGAGACCGCGGGCTGCGACATCTGTGGCAATGAGGATGGAATTGGGGCTGGATGGTGATGAGAAGCGTTCCAGATTTCGCATGCGTGCCTTCTGAATCATGTTGGAATGCAGCGGGTTGACTGGAAGGTTTAGTTCGGACAGAAACGGCGCAAGACGTTTTACGGAGGATATCGAGTTGGTGAATACAAGAGTCCGGCAGGGATATCTTAAAAGAAGATAGTAGAGGTACAAATCCTATACGGCAAACCAGTCAGTACAAAAGCCCCCGGGCTACTCGGGCTACTCTGAGGTAAAATACCTTCTCCATAGCTCCGCACTCGATGATGCCCTCTCGCAACCTCGACGCCATCTGTCCAACCGGGTTTGCATCGACAAACTTTGGTGTCGCCTCCCTGAAGTTGAGCTTCTTCAGAAGATAGGCCAAACTCTCGGTATTATCCATCAAATCTCCTCCGGCACTCTCCGTCGCCCAACTTTTCTTGCCAGGTTTGGCCGTCAACTTCTGTTGCAATCCCTGGTGGAATGTCGCCGAGAAAACTAGCGTTTGCCGTTTTGGAGTAGGGAGCTTCTTCTTGCTGGGCTTTTTCCTCTGAAACTCGGCAGCATCCAGGTCCTCATTCTCAGCTTCCTCTTCGCCATCAATCTCCGACTCGTCTCTTTCACGCTGAAGAAGGTCGAGAAGCTCTTCCACCTCCTTGTAGTGTCCCTCTTGCAACAGCCGATCCGCCTCATCCACCACCAAGAACTTTAGCCCTTGCTTGAGCTTTTCCATCCAGCCTGTGCCTTCACTGACAACCTCCCACAGGCGACCTGGTGTAGCTACGATCACATCCGCACCGGTGCCCTGCTCCAGCTGTCTCTGTTGTTTCTGTAGCGACAGTCCACCCGTGAGGGTCACAACCGTGAAATCCGGCACACACACAGCTAATTCCCTGAGATGGTCGCTAAGCTGTTTGGCAAGCTCACGAGTCGGCGACAGAACCAGCGCCATAGGAAGTCTCACGGTCCGTTTCTTCTGGTCGGCGTTTACGAGCTCAGTCGATGCGGCACCGGACTTCAGGAATGTTTCGAGGATGGGAATGCCGAACGCGAGCGTCTTTCCGGAACCGGTGCTTGCTTTTCCGATCACATCGTGGCCGGCAAGAATGTGGGGGATAGCGGCGGACTGAATAGGCGTTGGGGAGGCGAACTTGAGCTTCGAGAGGGCGCGGAGGGTCGGGGGCGAGAGATTGAGGGCTTCCCATTCGGGAAGGTCGACTGAGCGCGGGATCGTCAGCATTGCCGTACAGCGCACCAGCAAAAGGAACCATCATTACCGTCTTCCTCGTCGGACTCATCTGGACGGTCCTCCAGAAGTGAACCGAACTGATTCTCGAGCTTCCCCTTTGCCACCAATCGTTGGGCCTTTTTGTCTTTGGCCTTCGCATCGTTTTTCTTCTTGTCGCCCTTCTTGGGTTCCTTTTTCTCGTACTGTGCAGTCTGCGCTTCCCCTTCCGTAACTTCCTGCTCAGCATCACTGATCCCACCCCACTCTTCCGCTTCATCCTCTGATCCGTCATTGTCGTCGCCATCTTCGGGAGCGGCGGCCACCTTGCGCGCGGGTTTCGACTTCTTCGTCTTCTTCACTGGCTTCTTACCCCTCAACTGCTATCGTCAGTGCTTCGAACTCCCAGCTATATCTTCAAGGAACCACCTACCTGGAACTCGACCGCGCCCTTCTCGTTCGCGACCACATCCACACCATCGATCTCCTCGAGCCCAAAGAACCCCTCCACGTCGTCGAGGCGATCCGGCATCTTCACCTCCTTCCATTGCAGCTCGTCGATGCGCAGCTTCGCCTTCTTTGCGGTTTTCGGCGCCTCGGCTTCACGCCCTCGCTTCTTGTTTGGCATCGTGGTTGTCTTCATCTCTGTTGTCGTCGTTCGTCGTCGCCGTTGTCGATCAGTTCTCACTCTACGGCAAAAAAAAATTAGTTTACGTGCCCGTCCGAGGCTAGATTAACCCTAACCCACGGCACTTACCGGGATATTATCACATGATTCACATCGGCCTTGATAGTCTCAATAGGAACATCAAGCACCCACTCTTGGTAGTTATACCGAGCCGCCCACAAGCTACAAGCCTACAACCTGCCTGGGATCGCACTTGGAAGTATTCGCAACTACACTCCCGCCGAAAACCAAGTCGGAGGTCGGCCACAGCACACAAACAACGACGGCCATCACTCGAACGCCCACACACATACCAACATGCCGCACCTTACCACCGCCGCCGCCACCGCCTACGCCTATGTGAGCAGGTACATATACACTCACTCACTCACTAATAGAATCCGCTACGTTCACTCCATTAACGGCCCCGCTACCTTGAGCGCCACAAGATCTCGGCGCCGCTGGGCGCCCAGAACAGAGTACGCAATCCGGCGGCTGAACCACGGCCACATTTCGCATCCCCCCGCCCCCCCGCCCCCGGGGCGAGACACGGAGATGCGGGCTGGACTGGCCCCTGGTTTGGATGCGGGGGGTTGCGGGGGGTGCGGTGATTTGTGGGGTGGGCGGGGGTCAGGCGACTGCGACAACGACGACGACGACGATGACCCGCCGGAGGAAAACGGATACCCTTGGAAGATAACTACCCCAGAGACGAGGGCCCGGTTCCAAGACCACTACAGACCTACTTAGGTGCCTACATACATACTCGTCGACGGTCGTCGTCGCTGCGTCCCCTGTGCCCGCCAGCCAGCCAGTCTCGCCAGAGATCCTACCCAAGCTTGTATGCCCTTACATATGGTACGGTAGGTAGCAGCCGTACGTACATATCCAAACTCTGCAAGACTGCAACCGCAACGGGGGTGGACTCTGGAGCAACGGTGCACTGGGATCCGGGATCTTTCGACGACACCATTACTACCTAGTAAAAGGTGCGAAGCCCGCCGGGGAGGGGGGCCAGTAGGGTACTTACCTCATGTAGGTACCTGACTGGGCAGACCGGAGCGCTGTTGCTGCTCGACCAGCAGGTCGCCAAGCATACCCAAGTATGTAGGTATTTACTCGCCGTTCTGATCCTCGGAGGAGGTGAAAATATGCAGGTAACATCGGCGGGGGACGGGTCCGGGGGAAGTCAGAACTTTTCTTCACGAGAACCGCGAGGCCCTGGCGTTTGCCGGTGGAGGGAGGGGCTTGGTCTACCCATCCCACCCCATCATCATGACTTTTTGGCGGAGCCGATCGAGACGGACGTATGCACACCTAGCATAGCAAACAGGCATTGGAGGCGGGGAGGGGGGGGGGGGGGGGGGTGAGAGGGAGAGGGGAAGGGGACGGGGAGGGGGGAGACCATCGATCGGATTACAGGTATTCGTTACGGTGACGATCCTGTTTTTTTTGCGCACGTCGAGGGATCATGGAAGGTGACCGACCTATCTAACTACATACACCGAAACGCACATATAGTTCGTGCTTCATGCTTATCTGCCAGGACCGGACGGGATAAGGGCGGGAAAGTTGATGGTGGAGAACAGGTACATGAAGTAGTAGTAGTAGTCGTAATTGGTTGATCTGGGCAGCCTACGACGTCCATCGTCGACTCTGGAGGTTGAACGACGAATGCATCTTTTCAATCGTGGGCAGGCAGGAGGAACGAGAACGTTCATGCATGAAGAAGGAAAGAACCACCGCCCAACCCAACCCAACCCAACCCATCCACATATCGGCTAGCCCTTCTAGTCCCCCCTGCCCTGCCCAGTGCCCGTCCAGACTCCAGACTCCAGACCGCTCCTTTGGCCGCTGGCGCGGATCCTTTTCGTCCATGGGATGGGCCATGTACTACGAGTGACGAGGCCCGCCCCCGGAAAAACCGCAGCATTCCCCACAAAGGACCAGTGTGAAACCCAGCCAACCAGCCAAACCCCCCCAACCCAAACCCAACCCAAACCCCGCATGTTCGTGCGGGACATACGGTACCGTACTCTACCTACCGTCAGTTGGTAGTTATACAGCGTTTCGCTCCGTATGTACGGTATGGTATGGTACACACACACCCTCGCTTTTCTCTCCGAGCCACCCCCCCTCCTCCTCCTTCCTCAAGAGAATAATACCAATGATTTCAGTCCACGGACTATATCGGGACGGGACGGAAAATGACAAGACCGGTCACAGACTCACCGTACTCACACCGTACTCACACCGTACTCACAGCATGGGAAATAGGAAATACATAGGGCACTAAGAAGGGGTACAAAGGTAGAGGTAGCCGATTCTGGCCGCGGCCTCCTTCTCGTCGTCCTCGTCGTCCTCCTCGTCCTCTTCCTCACTTCCTCCGACGCCCCCCCTTCCCGCGGCATGTCTGTCTGTTCGATTGGTTGCATGAAATCAACAGGGGCATGGCACGCATAAAAGAAAAGGAAAAGAAAAGGAACGGAGAGGAACCCCTCCGGGCCTCCATACGATATCTCCATATCGTTTCCGTTAACTACGGACCTCGGGTACTACCGAATCCCGAAAGATCCTTCAAGATCCCTTCTATGTAGTTACGCACATATATGTACGAGTGAGTGAGTGGCGGGTGGTGAGGATGACCACCACACTTTCCTTCCCTTCTCTTCTCTTCTCTCCCTGGGAATCCGGCAGGCAGGCAAGGTGGTTATGCGCGTCAGCACCTTACGATTGGGATTGTGAGTTGACAGACAGACACAGGCAGACCGACAGAGAGACAGGCAGACCCGACAGACATCCGACTGACCAACCAGACAACACGGAATTTCCGGTGCATGTTGTGAGTGCGAATGTCGGCGTGTGTGTGTTCACTAGCGTGTGTGAGTGAGCGTGTGAATGTGTGTGTGGGGAAGGCGACTGGCCGGGGGTGTGGTTGCTTAGTTTTCCACTAGCAGTTAGCCCCCCGTTTCCGAGAGGCTTGCATGAACCACTCCCACTTCCTTTCCTTTTCCCTTCCCTTCCTTTTCCTTTTCCTTCGCCTTTCCTGTGCCTTTCCTTTTTTTTTTTTTTTTTTTGCTTTGCGTGCGTGAGACACCGACGGGGACGACAGAGACTCCACAGTGATGATTGCACACACGCCGTTAGTTATCTCCGGCCGGCACACTTCGTTCATTCGTTTTTTTTTTCTTTTCTTTTCAGGCGAGAGAGCTTCGGCTCTTTTTTGGGGGCCGTTCGGTACCGTATTCGTACTTGCTTAAGTAGAGTACATGGCGGGAACGAGATTGGGGTCGGCAAGGTAAGGTGAGGCAAGACAAGGCCAGAGCCACGGCCGGCGAGTGGATGACTGTGAGTGCGAGACTACGAGGGGATGACTGCGAGGGGATGACTGCGCAGCGTTTGCCACGGTTGATGTGAAGGTCTATAACGACGGCCCCTGAATGTGGTGGATGGAGACTGGCATTTGTCATCCGGTACTGGCACAATTGCCGTACCTTTGTAACAACGATGAGGAGATACCTTATGCCGTCCTAAAAACTTGTACCTATATCCCCAAGATGACGGACGGCACTTTCCTGGCTGGCTGGCTGGCTATCCATCGTCGACGGGACCATGGATGCGGAGTGGCGAATCTCCTCCCTCACGTTCTCTCACGTTCTTCGCTTCCAGAATAGTGGTGATGGTGGTGAACGACGTCCACATGGCATCATGCTGTGCTCTGCTCAGGTGTGATGTGCTGTGCTGTGGGTATGGATGGATCAGAGATCCATAGATCGTCAACAGTCAACTTCTCAGTGAAACGGGCGGTGATGCTGGAAAAGGAGGTGGACGTAAACTGTGACATTTTAAGGACTCGAGTACTCGAGTACAGTACGCTGCGTAGGGTCGCCAGCCAGCCAGCCCCGGAGAGATCATCCCGGCCCAGGCAGGCAGGCAGGCGACGTCAGTTTGAACTTTGGCGAGTGCGAGAATGCCAGCCAGGCTCCAGGCGCAGGTGCGTGCAAACTCCTGCGCTACAGAGAGTAGCATAGAGTGCTCTACATACATCCTATGATGGCCCCCGATTAGGTACTGGTACCAAATTAATCAGCTTTTTTGGGAAATAAAACACCCTCTCCCCAGCAACCAATGCTTCTGCCTCAGTGCCTGCCTGCTATCTTTCAATGTTCATGGATTAATTACTCTCTCCAGAATGATTAGCAGCCAGGTGTGAATCATGATGTCTTCGCTGTTTGGTATGTATGATAGGTGTCGCCCCTCCGGATGACTATGCAGACTGCCTATACAACGACCGTACCGCCATGTGTGTTATCACTAATACTGACTTGACCCATGTTGCAAAAACGAACATGCATTTGCAGCAAGGGAAAAGGCGAGTTTATGATTTATCACCACGGTAGAACTGGAGAACTACTGGCCCAGCCCAATTTCGAAGAATACCCAAGTGCATACGTGCATACGTGCATACGGTACCGGTAGAGTACTTGGTTAATCCGGTGTTTTGGTCAACAAGCAGTAAGCCCATAGGCCCATAGGTAGGATTCATTCCGTCTTCTTCACCAAAACACCGCATCAACAGATCGAATACCCACCTTATTTGCGCATCTTATGTCGGAATGATCATTGATGAAGTCAAGACGTACGTACGTAAGGTCCTGGATCGCCGAAAGACTGGACGTCGATGAATCACGATACACGCACCTGCCAGGTTGCCATCGGGAACATCGTACCACAAAAATAGCTCATACGGCATCGTGCGAGTGTCGAGTGCCCACCGTCGACGTACCGTGTGATGTTGACCGCCGATTCCACGACTCCCCACCACCGCCGCCGCTCCACGGCTCCTCGACGTCATGCCTCGAAATGCGTTGATCAGAAACTCTTCCCCCGAACAAGAGCAAGAGCAAGAGCAACCCGTGCCGTAAATGGCAATAGTGTAGGCGGTCTTTTGGGATTTCGATACCTATGCATACCTACTGGAGCCTTCCTCCGGCGACCTCGATTTGCTCCCTCCTTCGTCAACCTTCGTCAGCCTTCCGTCAACCGCAGGTCCGCAGCGTTCGCCTCCATCTCCATCTCCTTAACGCCTCCATGGGAAGATTTTCCCGTCTTGGGGCGCCACTTGGAGACTGCCAATGACGCCCATCCATCACAAAAATCATAGCAGTCCTCTGGATCAGTGGTGTCGAAATCAGAGTCACGAGTCACGAGTCGGGCTCAGAGTCGTTTGCCTCGCCCGCGCCTGGGGCTTCCAGATCATACCCTCCCCACCCCTCTCCTTACTGTCGGCAGAATCTTCTGGCTTCCTAGCGATCGTGGTAACGTTTGATGGTGTAGTGGAGCGTGGTGATAATGGAAGTTATATCAAAGTGCGATTTTTTCGATGTTTACAAAGTAGCCATGTACCAAAAGTACATACCCAGGCAGGTAGTTACTCCGGACTGCTCAGTGCGGCTTGCTCAGGCCTGTGGCGACGACGCCAGCGGCCAACGGCCAGATTAGACGAGACCCCGGATTTGTGCTGAACGTTCGATTACTAGGTGGGTGTTCCCTTTCGAGCTGAGATGTGCCGTACGATTTCCAAAGAAGGCCGACTTTCCCCACAGTGTGATCAGCCCACCTCCAACCCACACTTTGTTCCCCACATGTCAATCCATTCGGGTGTCATGGAATCGCGATCCCAACCAACAGCAGAAGCAGCAGCAGAAGCAGCAGCAGCAGAAGCAGCAGCAGCAGAAGCAGCAGCAGCAGAAGCAGCAGCAGCAGAAGCAGCAAGAACGTGCGTACATAAGTAACGGTGGGATGATCCCTGGGGAGGGGAGAGGGGGGAGGCTTGGGTATAGTGCACTTCCTGGTCCGCTCGTCACGCCCGTAGCGCATGACATCTCGCCTCCGGTTTTCTGTCGTGATGGAGGGGGGTTCGGGTTCGATCATCACCATCACCACCATCATCATCGACAAGTGGAAACCGGTCTCGTTCACCCACTTCCTTCGCATCATCCTGATTGAGAGCTAGGAAAAATCCGGAGGTAGGTGCGACACCAGCCGGATCGGTGTGTGCGTGGTGATGTAGGAGGCTTCCGGAGCAGATCAATGGAAGATTCGAACCATGGGGAGACGAGATGGGGATTGGGGAATGCGAACTGGGAAGCAGGATCTAGTGTGGCGCGCAACAGCTGTCGCAGATGGCCATGGGGGATGGGAGAGAAGGAGCAGGCGATGCCAAGGGGTTGCTCCCCTCCAGAATCCGAATGTTTATACGCGGCCTCGCGGTCAGCGGGCAGAAACAGCTCGTGTGTGATATAGGTGCTACAGGCCCGTGGAATTGCTCCATGGTATGGGGGCCGAAGAGGAAGGCGGGGGAGAATGCGTAGAGTGAGCCTAGAGTATGGACGAGGAAATGGAAGGAAGGCCGTTGTGTTTTTTCCCCATAGATTTTTTTTAATTTTCAATTTGATTGACAGAGCAGCATGGATGGGCGACTCACCAGCGCCGTGTTATTGGAAGTGTCGATCCAGATATCGATGGGGGATGCTAGAGCGAATCGCGATGAAATGGGAAAGCGAAAAGGAAGAGAAAAAAAAGCGAGCCACCGGCCAAGCTGCACTAGCCAGCCAACGGTTTGCCTTCGCTCGGCGAGATCTGGAGATATGGGGAAGACCAGCCAGGAAGGGAAGGGAGAGTCGAGTTGCGGGGAAAAGCGCCAGTGGTGGCCAGGCCGGAAGAGGCATGATGGCTGTGGATCCAGAGCCACAGCCAGTGGCCACGGAGGGGAAGGGGAGTACCTAAGCCACGACAAGCGTGTCCACTGTCCATGGGCGGCGACGGTGCGAAGGAGAAACTTGTTGAGGCGGGGCGTGTTGAGTGCGGCCCGGCCACATCGGCCACATCGACCAAAACACACGACACACGACACACGCTGGACTTCCATCGGTCTTTCTCTCTCTCTCCCTCTCTCTCTCTCTCTCGGGTAGCTTCGTGTGCTCGGCTGTAGATGTGTTCGGGACGAGCGACGTGGGAAGATGAGATGCCATGGCGGAGGCGAGATTGCCTGCTCCAATTTGCCGTGGCCGTGATAGTTACTCTACTATGGTACCGGTACATTTCTACTCTACAAAGAGGACGTCGAGCACCAGAGGCTGCGGCGCTTGTCTCGTCGAGCCGTACACAGCCAGTACTGACTTACCTAAGGTACTGTACTCTACCTAAACGCAAGTACCGTGTTTTAGCCAGATAATCGCCACGTACTCTACATACTACACACGAGGCAGGAACCCGCAGAGTCCCTACCTACTCTACACGGAGATAGCCACAGGCAGAGCCCTTCCTTTCCGTCTCCGCCGCAACAGAGCATGGCCGGAAGGGACCCGTTTCCAACCCGAATCCACACGGCTGGATCCAGCGTTACCGTGTCGCACTCAGACGAGAGCGAAAGGATGCATATGTAGGCAGGCAGTTGGAGTGACTGTCGACTCCATCATCATGGAGTTACGGTATTCGAGCGCATGGAGGGGTTGGGATCAGTACCTAGGCTGCTCTGGATACCGTATCGTTGGAGCAGTTGGGTAGCTTGTCTCACCCACATCCCTCGATGTGCAATTCCCTGTGCCCAACCCCAAAGTGCATGGATCACCACCACCCCAGTTCCTTAGCTGGAGTCGAGTAAAACGTCCACCATCCCCCCCTCCCCCCCCAGCGTGACCGTCCTCTTGCTCCACCACCCCCAAGTTCGTTCTTTAAGAACACCACGGAGCCCTGTTTGCTGCATCTGCAGAAAGGAAGTCCACAATTCGGTCGTTGGCGCCATCGAAAACACCACCCTGACCACCCCCAGCCCTCACCCAACCACCACCATCACCACCACCACCATCACCATCACCACCATTACTACCCACCATACGCACACAAACGACAACTACCCATCACCATCCGACTGCTACTACCAAAAAAATCTTCTCGGGTGCTGTCAAGCTACACTGTCATCCCGTCTGTTGGCTGTCTCTCGTCCGTAAAAAAAAATCTTAGTCGTCAACACCCAGTCCCGTATCGACACCTCGGCCTTCCGTCTCGGATGCTCGTCAAACCGATCCATCAACGCAACATCCGGTGATCAGCCTCGTACGGAATCCATCGTGCTTCGCGACAACTATACGCATCAGTACCCTACGTAAACAAAAACCGATCGGAAGGAGAACCTTCATCCACACACCGCAACCATGCCGGGAATCATTCCCATGAAACTCATCAAGTGCGGATCGTCGCAGACGCGTATCGCACAGGCGTGCGATCGCTGCCGCTCAAAGAAGATACGCTGCGACGGCGTGCGTCCGTGTTGCTCGCAGTGCGCCAACGTCGGCTTCGAGTGTAAGACCTCGGACAAGTTGTCGCGGAGAGCTTTCCCCAGGGGCTACACTGAGAGCTTAGAGGAGAGAGTCAGATGTTTGGAGAGGGAGGTTAGGGAGTTGAAGGATTTGCTCGATGCAAAGGATGAACAGCTCGAAATGATCTCGAAAATACACTCGTTCTCGCCGTATTCGCCACCGGCGAGCAATGCGTCCGGGACGATGCGCGGAGCGAGGAAGAGTCCCGAGAGCTTGGCGTCCGCGAGAAGTGGGAGTGTGGAAGGGGATGAAATGCTTACGATTGCCGAGCCGACGGGATTAATCAGTATGGATGGTCGCGACGGAATGTACATGGGTGCTTCGAGCGGAACGACATTCGTGGGTATGGGCCCTTGCTCAAGCGCGAAAATATGTCAATCATTGGTGGCGAGGGCTAAAGAAACGTCTCTACAGATACCGTAAAACAGCGGATGAAGGAGGCTGGACGTTATACAGTGGAGTTCGAAACCGAGAGATTTTTTCAGGGGCAGTCGTCGTCCATCACAGAAGCGGATGCTATGTTGCAGCCAGATGCCATCAAGCCTCCACCGAGGTTGTTGTCGGATCGCTTGCTCGTTTCTTACTTCCAGGAGTACCATCCTTTGTTCCCCGTACTTCACAGGCCGACCTTCTTGTCGACATACGAGAAGTTGGTTGCAGATTCCGACACAGCGGCTCTTCCTCCTCACGATGTTGCAAAACTGTTCTTGGTCTTTGCCATTTCACTACAACAGCACGAGGTATGTGACTCCAGTGCAGGTGATGTTATGCATCGTTGTTGACTCTGTTTCAGCCAGGGAATAGTGTGGATCAGCAGTCGTTCGATTTCCAGTGGCAGCGAGCGCTAGATTCGGTCTTGACCCAAACGTCGATCAATACTCTCCAGTGTTTGGTTTTGGCACAACTCTACTGCTCTGCTAGGGGTGATTATTCCAAGCTGCTTCACTACAAGAATCTCGCTGTCGGCATCGCATTGAGAATGGGATTAAATCATAGCCAGCGCAAATTCGCACTCGGTGCTCTCAGGGGTGAAATGAGGAAACGAGCCTTCTGGTGTGTCTACACCGTTGACGTGTAAGTCTTGTCTACCCCGCTATTTTATTTTATCATTTTTTTTCCACGCTTCTAACGCAGGTGCTACTCCTAGATTCTCAGCTGCGATGCTTGGTTTGCCCAAGCTCCTAAGGGAGGAGGAGATTGATGCCGAATACCCGTCCGACATTGACGACGAATATGTCTCGGAAGAGGGCTTCTTGCCGACGCTTCCCGGCGACTCGACCAAGATCTCAAGCGCCTTGGCACTCTTCCGTTGTTCTCGGGTGCTGGCACAAGTTCTCGACGTGGAGTATTCGACCTCGACATCACACGAGTTGAGCTACGGCAAGCTTAGGGATTTGGAGGAGGAACTCGATGCCTGGAAAGTCGGCTTGGCCCCACATCTTCGGCTGGAGTTTGTCAACGGCTCTCCTGCCACTAATATCGTCCACAGTCGTTCGCCCTTATTGGTAAGCCCAACTTCCGTATGTTTTCCGGTGTACATGTTACTCATTCTCATCTTAGGTCTTTGCGTACCACTACATCCGTACGTTGATCCATAGGCCGATCGTAGGATCGTGCTACCCGCATCACTCCTCGTCGGCACTACTCGCCATCAGAGCTTCCAGCAAATGCATTGTCCAGATCATGGATCTCCTCACCGAGAGAGGTTTGGGCTTTGCCTTCTGCTTGAACAAGGCGCAAGTCCTGCTCCTCGCCGGATTCTCATTCCTTTACAGTGCGGTAGATTCGCAACGGGATGGATTGTTGGCCAAAGAGAACCAGAAACTGGTTTCCTTGGTTCTGGGCGAGATGCAGAGTGGTTCGCCTAGTCTGGCACAAACCTTCGGAGCCGTCGCTTCATCGGTTGTCAACATCTTCGAACCGCAGAGTCCTGTCCAAGTCGCCAAATCAGAACAAGCGGTGTCTCCCATGTCGACATCGAGTCGCCCCTCGACGTCCCCAGAGTTGCAGCACTCCACAGTCCGGAGAGCGATTTCATCCGTTTCCGCAAAGATTAAGCGTTCACCTTCCATTAGCAACGCCGCTAGGAGATTATCGCTTTCCCAGGATTTCGGTGCCTCTACGAATGTGCACAGTCTAGCCAATCCAGACAGATTAATGTCGGCATCCCTGACGGATCTTCCCTGTACTTCTCGTGTCCGGTCTATGCATCATCAGCAGTTGTCATCACAACCGGTGAGATCTGCGGCACCCCAGAGCCGACATTCCGTCACGTACGAAAGCTCACCCCTCGACTTCCTGTGGTCGCTTGAGGCTGCACAGCAGAGTATGGCCTCAGGGAATGTCCCACCATCCTCTGCAGATGCAGCCGTTGCCGTGTCTGGCGACGACTGGGAACGTATGCTGGCCATGATGGATGCCAACCACGCTGTACACATCTACGGCGACGGCAGCCCACCAGACGGCCCGGGCTTCGAGAACAAAGTCAGAATCCCCACTGGCGAAGGATTCCACTCGGGAGAATTCGATTCGCTGAGCGAAGAAAGTGACGAGGCACCTCGTCGGATGTCGGAGGCGTTTACCGATGGGGGAGCAGCCGGGAGACTCGGCGACTTCCTGGCTCCCATGATGGGTGCCGGTGGGACGGGAGGTGGCCAACAGCAAGTCCTGGTCGATATCGACGATCGATGGATATAGTCCATCATCTGTACTTTGCTTTTTTTTCCCCTTTTTTCCTTCCGTGGGTTTGTGGGGTTTTGGCCTGCTTCATGCGTTCACTTCTTCTTGTTATTCTTCTACTACTTATTTTTTTTACTTGTATGGATCGTTTTGGTTTGGTTTCATCTTTTCATCTTTTTCATGTGTTTATTTTTGTTGTCTTTCTGGGGTTTAGGTGCTGTGGATATTGGGGGCGGCGGGGGCGGGCTGGTTGGGTTTTTTGGTTTCCCGTTATCATGTTTTCATTATTCCTGCGTGCTGTAGCAACTTTGAAAGCATCTATTTCATCATTATGCCCCTAGCCTACATACCGTACCGTACCTACGCCGTTGTATGTTATGTTGCATATCCCTCGAGTCAAGAGAAACCGTGACGACAGTTTTTTTTACATCATCGTACCGGTATATATGCATACATGATAGGTATAATATATACAAGTGCTTCTTCGCGTCGGCAGTGGCTTGCACAGTGCAGTGCACGGTGCACGGTGCAATGCAGTGTCTTTATTTCGCTTGCTTGCCTTGCGTATGCGTTTCTTTTTCTGTATCCGTTACGCCGAGATGTCGAAAAGAAAGCATGAAGCACGAAGGTGAAGGGAATAAACCGGGTACAGGGCTCGCTGCGGAATGGTGATGCTGCAGAATGGCGATTCGGTGTACTTAGTGCAATTCTCCAGGACAGAAGTCTATGTAATCCGTTCGTTCGTCTGATGCGAATCACTGTTGTTTTTTCGTATTTTGTTTTTTTGTTTTTTTGTGGGGGAGGGGGCGGAGGGGGCGGAGGGGGTGGGTGCAGCTATTGAGAAACCAGGACGACCCGACCCGACATCTTCCTTCGATCCAGTCGTCTCGTCTCGTGGTCCGTAGATTCCCATCCCATCCCATCCCTCCTCCCTCCTCCCTCCTTACCTTGCCTTTCCTTTTGTCTACGTACGTACGGGATACGGGATGTGGGATACGTACTTTACCACTTTACCTTTCCACATTACCTTTCCGCTCCGCTCGTCCGGCGCGCTCCCCCCCTCACTCCCCTCGCCCCTCCCCCAGCCCGTGAGACATGGACAGGGCTCTGGGAATCGACAGGATGGGAATCGACAGGACTGCACAGGACACGACAGGACAGGACGGGGCAGGACATACATACGCACGGTAGGTAGGTACTGTGTCACTCTGCTGTGGCCTGCGCGCAGCCGTACATATGTGGGTAGGTAGAGCAGGTATGTATGTAGCTGGTCAGATTTTATCCTGCGATCGGAGGAGTGTGCAGTACACTCGGGGTACTGCGGTCCTAAATCCCCTCTCCCCATGGGGGAAGGGAACGAGGGAGGGATGGAGGGATAGAGGGAGACGGGGTGTGGGGTTTGGGGGTTTGGGGTTTGTGGGGAAGCGGAGGATGGATGATGGATGGAAGGATGCGGAGGATGCGGAGGCGCAAGGGGGTGGGGGCGGGAACGTAGATAAGTAACATATGGTTGCGGAGGCATATGGCTGGGGAGGCATACCGTACCGTACGGCTCGGATAGCATGGAATCAACAGGCTAAATGCCGATCGTGGTGCTGGTGCCGGTGCTGTGCTGCTCCTTGTGCTGGTGCTGGTTCGTTCTTTTTTTCGTTTTCGGTTTCGAGTTGTGCGTGTGCGTGTGCGTTTTTGTGCCTGGTCGTTGGGGATGGGAATATGGGGACATCATGGGAATATGGGGGAGGGACGATGGGTTGAGGTTTCATCCTAGGCCTCGTGTGCTCATCGCGTGGAGAATGCGTGGCGACTGGCGAGACGAGACGGGCGCGCAGGTCCTTCAGCCCTGCGAGTGCACAGTGCACACGGCTACCTACTATGTATGGGTATTCGCACCTACCCCTTCGAATGACCGAATGACCGCCGTTTGTATGGGGAGGCCTCACTCGCCCCCGCCGCCGCCTACACTGGTGACAGCCGAGGCTGGTTGCTATACTTTGATACCTGAGCACCCTATTTATACTCGGCTCCAAGGTGATCTCTACACAGTGCAGTGTGCGCAGTGCAGAGCCGAACTCCCGCACTTAATACCACACACGCGGCTGACGCGGCTACAACAGTCTCGAAGCGGAAGTTCTTGACACACGCAAGTCATATGGCATCACTCCTGATCGACGCCGGGTTTGGATGTCCATCTAGATATCACTTATACAAAACAGCGTGGACTGTATGCGAGATAAAATGATGTTCTCTCTCTACACACTTAGGTAGACAGAATGGGAGCCCGGGCCGATGAGCAACAGATTATATTAAGATAGATCAATCTCCCCGTCTGCATCCATGGCATCTGCGCTTTGGAGGTCTCGCTGCGGATGAGGTTCTGGAGATTGGGATTGTTGCTGCTGGGAGAGGTACTCTTGTACCTTAGGATGCTCCAGGAGTGCGCTTTCCTGGATCTTGTTAGCGATATGTACGGGCGGTGATTGCGGACAACGGAAGAATCTATCTACCTCCTCCGCCAACGTCTCCGCCGCCTTCAACAGTAGTGTCTCCTCCAGCTCCCTCAGCCTGGTACCGACACTCCACATCTGCGGCCTACACTCCACTCCCTCCTCCTCCTCGAGTGCATGTCTTCCCCCCAGCAACCTTGAAAGCGCATCCTCAACGGCCGCCTTAACAGTCGCCACAACGCGCAGCTCAAAAATCTCACACATCTCCTTCCCTTTCAGCAACTCCTGCACCCTCCTCGGTCTAGCCACGAGGTCCAATTCTTCCCCATCCAGCAGAACTTGCAATTTCCGCCCGCCATCATTCATCTGCAGCAGCTGAAATTCGAGTCCATCTTCCTCATTGGTGACTGCAAGGTACGCCCACTCGCTCTCCCATTGCACCTTATCCTCGCCTGTAGTTTCAGAGATCTTCACACCGCGCGGAGAAGCCGGCGCCCACACCATCTCCTTCGCCCGCGCCAGCGGATCGTCCTCAGAGCACTGCAGAGGCAGCAGCATGCCTCCAGCACCGCCCATCCCCTCGGGAATGAACCCATAAGCGAACACGAACTCGGCCGCGCTCTTAGCCGAATCCGAGTAGTCAATACAGACCTCGTCTCCGCTCGTGCACTCCATCCCCGGGCGGAGACGGAGCACGACGTCCTCTCCCTCAACGGCAAAGTAAGCGCTAGCCCTCCCCGCTTCCGCATGATTCGCGAAATCCAGAATCGGCACCAGCGCCGCGCCGTGGCCGGGCAGCTCGAGCGATCGCGACCGGTACACCGAGTCGGCGTAAACCCAGTTTTCGAGCGTGAGACCGTCGTCATCCCACCACGCCTTCTGTGCCCACGCCAGCTCGGCGGTGGCGGCGCGGAATGTGGAAAACTCGGCCGCGAGCGTGCGCGACTTTGCCGCGATCGCCGCGGAGAGCGATGTGCCCGGCAGCAGTGCGAGCTCGGTGGCTGTCCACGTCGTCGGCAGCGGGATCGTGCGGGGCAGGTATTGCGTGTATCTTTGTTCCTCGATCGCTCGTGAGTCGACTGTGGATGGTGAGGAGGGGCAGAGGAACTCACTCGCACCACGCGTCCCGCTCCCCCGCAACGAGCCCGGCGGCCGTGCTCATTCGCAGCAGGAGGAAGATCATCGCCGCGATGCGCGGGTTGTGAGCGAGGGCGCCGGCGGCGGAAAGCGCATCGTGGAGGTGGCGGTCGGATTTGGAAGCGGCTTCGATGGTGGCGTGGGATAGGACCAGTGTGGGCGAGACGCGGAGGAGCGGTTTAGTGGGGTCGTGTGCGGACGTGAATGTCAGGGCTACGCCGAGGTCGATGGGTGCGCCGCCGAGGTGCACGGGGGAAATCCCATTGAGCGCTATGGAGTGGAAGTGGAGGAATTGCGGGAGGGAGGATATGGGGAGTGGCGGGATGTGCATGGTGATATATACCAGTTATGTAGTTGTGGTGCGGGGTGCATTGGCGGGGTGAGGTCAATTGCATCTGCACATCCATGATCCATACATGGGATTTGGGTTCGTCGGCACAATTCATGCCCACTCTATTCTGCAGCTAGACTCTTCTGCAGAAGCCAATGGAGCTCCTAGATACGCGCAGCTAAGTTTCACGAGTGACATCGCGTGCCTGGACAGTGACGTTCACAATAGCTCCAGTTGCTGTCTCCACAGCCTCGACAGCCATCCGACACATACCAGTTCACTGGGGTGTCACTCCCAAGGCACAAGTGACCAGACGAAAGCAAGCCCCTCGGTAAAGCATACGCACATCCACCGCCGCCGATCACCGACGACGTCATACCCCGTAATCGGCAACACCAAGCAACATAAAACCCGCCTCCGAAAGAAGCAACCATCTCCTTCATCCATAACACAACACTCGAAACCCGACCATACATACCAAACAACCACCGCAATAATCACAATGCTGCCCACAACCGTCGCCCGCGCCGCTCCCCGCATCTCTACCCGCCTCGTGGTCGCCCAGCAGATCCGGTACTATAACCCACAGACCAAGTCGCCGCCTATAACCTACGAGAAGGGCCACGAGCTTGACGTACAATCGCATTCGAGTAAGCAGGCCATGCGGGAGCGCAGCGCCGCCGACGGCGGCGAGAAGGGCATTAAGAAGGACCCTAAGGAGGGACACCCTAAGGCTCCTGAGCCCGTGATCGGAATGCAGGATGAGCGGGGCCATCGCAGTGAGTCCTTCCTCAAAGCTGTGAGACCGCGGAGGCGAATGATAACTAATTGGGCTGCAGATTCGAATTAGGAGCATGGAGATGGGATAGATGAAAGACAACGGAGAACATGAGATACACATCGCTCTTGTGCACTTGTTCTTGTCTATGCGTTGCATTTCAGCTAGAATAATAACTACAATTTTCATGATTCTTCTGCTGTCGTATTATGCTCGACCAACCTTAAATGATAATATCTGGAGATCGTCAGTTCGAGTAAACAGGGAGGAGTGTGTCTGTGCTTACGTCGTTCTTCCCCACCTCGACAATCTCGTCTTCTGCCACTCGTACACCTCCTGCACCTTCTATATATGCTATCGGTACATCTCCCATGATTTTCCGTGCCGCATCCCGCACTGTAGAATTCCTGCAAATATTTTAGCAAGTATCAACTGTTAGATTGATATCGATAACTCACTTTCCAACCAACACACAATCCCGAAACACGGTGGTATTACCAGCTGCTCCAGAGCCGAAACTGTGAATATGCCTTACCGGAAACACCGGAACGAGACCTAACAGCTTCGCCGCCCTAGACAGCACCTCTACGACACCCGTGGATCCGAATCGATATAGCACCATATCTTTCATATTCTCAATCCTCTGCTTGAGCTTCTCGTCCAGCTCCTTCAACCCACCACCGTCCGGATCACCATCGGCAATTAGATCTTCTCTAGTATCCACAAACTCACTGCCCTCCTCGTAGCGCACGTAGCCTTGCTTGGCGAGTTTCCGCAAGAACACCTCCGTAATTGCAGAGCACAGCACGATGGACTGTGGATCCTGCTTTTTTGCGATCTTGGCAATGTTCTTGTCTGCGTCCGGGTGGTCGATCTTGTTGAGCGCAATGACGGTGGGGAACTTCTCGTCGATGAAGGCGTTCACCACAGCCTCGACCGTATCGTTGTCCCATGTCTCCAAAGCACTCTTGAGTCCCATCTTATCAAGGAACCGCGCGACAATCGTAGACGTGGCTCCGTATCCCGAGAACTGTCCTTGAAGCGTATCCACCGCATTCGACTCTGCTCCCTATCAGCTCACCCCTCCACACCCCAACCTAGGTAGGTAGGTAGGGGAACCTACTCGTCGCAATATGCCTCCTCCGAATACTACCCCACTTGTCCATGAGATTGCCGAGCACCCATCTGACAATCTCGCCGCGCAACCAGACAATATCCTCGCTGGGGTCATAACCGCGAGTCGCCTTCCCCTCAGCATCCGTAGTCCCACTCACATCGACGACATGCACGAGCGCATCCGCATGTCTAAGATCATCCAAGAATTTATTCCCCAGACCACGGCCCTCGTGGGCGCCGGGTACCAGTCCCGCAACGTCAAGCAGCTCGATCGGAACGCTCCGCTTGCCGTTCTTGCAGCTGCCGTAGTTGGGCTTGCAGTGCTCCTGCTTATTGAAGCGCGCGCATGCACAGTCCTGTAGATTCGCTCCGCGTAAGCTGCTGCGCCAATGTCGTGATGTGCACCACTAGGGAGGACACACGATTTGTAAATACCCGACGGCGCGTTGCGGATCGATCGTGGTGAACCTGTGGTGGGAAAAACTCAAGCTCAGAAACTCGGATTCTTTCTGTGGGGACTAGCAGCTATGTATTCGAGGAGGAGCGCTCACGGAAAGTTGCCTATATATCGCCGTATGTCAGCTCCGCCGTTAGGACCGAGTGGGTTCGGCGCACTCACCAACCTTTGAGCTGGCGTCGGTCAGCGAGTTGAGGGTTGTTGATTTGCCGCTGGACGGCTTGCCGACTAGGCCGATTAGTGGATCACGAGGCATTTTGGTGTTTTTTTAGGTGTTGTACGCGGTTGAGGTGGAAGGAAACGCGAGTCGTGATGGTGGGGTTGGCTGCAAAAACTGAAGCACCGCTGTAACTACTCGAGGCAGGAGTTCCCCGCGATTATTACCCGGCGCCGTTGCGGCGGCGTTCAGGTTCCGTGTGCTGAGCTGTGATGCGAGCCAGATGTCCACAACCAAAACGTTGAAAATTGAAACCTATGGGCCACTACCGGTATAACGCACAAGTTCACCTAAAGTTCCTGTGATATCACTAGGACCTAGGCACAAACAAAAGCTCGGACTATGTACATACTTCATATATCGGGGGAAAAAAGCAAAAGCAATAGCTTTTTGAAAAAAAAACTACGGTACCAGGGATTCCCGCATGGTCACCCACTACAGTAGAGTACCTACTAAGTTCTAACTTGGCGATAGGTATTCAAGGCTCTATGGCCGTGGAGTAGTTAGCTGTTGACTGTGTTGACTGTGTTGATCGAGCGTTTATGTATGACTCGAGCGATTGATAAAAGTAATTACGTGCTATGACTGACTGTGGCGGGGGAAGGTCAGCTGATGGAAGGAAGGTGTTGACTCCAGCCTTTCACTTTTAGCCCCCGTATGGACAGGTAGAACCTTGCCATATTTAACCCTGAGTCCGGGGCGCGCTATCCGTTGAGAATCGAGAATCGAGATACACCCCCGGCCCCTGGACAGTACCATACATAGTAGTCACCCATTGTACGACAGCAGTTCAGGCGGACGTTTGAGGAGCCGGTAAGTAAGCAAGTAGAATACGTAGGAGTCCGCCATCTGTTCAGGGGAGGAGCAAGACCGAGACTTTTCAGCCTTCGGATGAAAGGCCAGATCTACTACGTCTGCAGTCTCGGCCGTATCTATGTATTGTCATCACAGTGCCCTCAGCCGTGTTGGCGCCGATGTCTACAGGGTAGTTAATGGGTAACTACGGTATCACTCGAAATCTGTCAGTGATGGTTGATGAACCGGCCCCGCACTATATATCTGTTGCCGCCGCTGCACGGAGTATGTAGCGCCTTCACGGATGGTTACTGCCCATCGGCTGCAGCCTGCAGCACTCGTTCTTGCGGCGTGCCTGAGATACCGGGATCCCGTCGGCTCGATCGAGAGTCGGTCGAGGGAAGAAAGCGAGCGCCAAAGATATATATAATCGACGCTTAAGGCTGAATTCCCAGCTCGAAGTGGACAGCTGTTCACTACTCTAGTCTCTAGTCCACTCTACGTCCGCATGCGTGGTTCACTGTTCAGCCGTCACCGGTAATCCGTGTGGATTGTGCATTTGCATTAGATACCGGTAGAGTACTGCCTACTCCATGCTCCATGCGGTCAGAGATGTACCGGTCCATCTATGTATACATACTCGCGGAGTCGGCGCCGCTCAAGTGAGGGGTTACCTACCAATGTGTAGCTACCGGTAGGTATGGACATTGTGCAAGTACCGTAGAAGATGGGATAGAGGCATCAGAGCATCTGGCACTGGCAGCCTGGCTGCGCCCACTTTCGAATTAGCAACAGAGTGCGAATTTTTGTGGAACGTTACAACATACGGCGGTGGGCACATCTACGGGCGAGGTGAGGTGAGGGACAGGTGGTGGGGGGGCAGTTTAGGCGCGCTACGCGCGCGGTGGGGTTTTGGCGATGCGGTGGCCAACTGGCCAGTACGGATTGCAGTAATGGGATTAGTGCGGTTTCCCCAGATCTCGTGTCGTCACTGCAAAGCTGTGGGCGGCGCGTGCGGGCAGGGGAGGGGGTGTGGGTAGGGCACGGCTCGTGGAAGACAAGCGGAAAACGGAGCACAAGCATCAGGGTGGTTGTGATTATGCTCTAGTACGAGTAACAGGTAAGAAGACTACCGTACCATCCTGGCCCGATCGCACTCAAAAAAACTGTGGGGTGAGAGACAGCGGCGGAACGAGCGACTTCCGGTCCGGTCCAATGTTACGCGGTCGGGCCGAGTTGCCACTGCACTGACACCATGCTGAAGGGGTAGGGGAAGAGGCAATTCTTGAGCCGACACGTGATGGCGGCTGGGCTGGCTGGGCTGACTCTGCTCTCCGTCTTTCCGGTCTTGTCGTGATCGTCGGTGACGGCTGCATTACGTATCGTACTAGTGCAGACTCGCCCGCCGGAACGGCAGAAACATGGCGCCGGTATGTAGCGTTGGGATGTTGAGTTCGAGACTGTTGAGATGAAACGAGGACGGCGCACTCTGCGGGTGGGTGTCAACACGTGAGGTGAGAGCCTACCATATTGTTAGCACGATAGCAGAAAGGGGAGGGGAAGGGAAGAAGTCCGGTCGCACCGACTGGCGAACATTCGCGATTTACCCGCAAGAAGGAGGAGAAGTTAGAATCCACTGAAGTTGGGCACTCTACTGGTACTCTACCAGTGCATGTTTCGGTGTCGCCACCCGTATATACGTCGGCTTACTTTTTTCTTTCGTTCTTTCATACGAACCACACTGTGGGGTCGAGGATTGATTGGGATTGGCCTGTCTAGGCGCCGTAAGAGCCTCAGCAAGGTACCAGAGCAACCATGCTGCACGTCGATCTCCACTTGGCTCTGTAAGCGGACGGATGGTGGGGTGGGCGACGGGTGTGGGTGTTGTGGTGGGTTGCATGAAGTGCAATTTAAAATCGCTGCGGAATTTCGCGACGATGATTGTTTGGAGCGAGAAAGGCAGAGTCAGGAGGAGGAGGAGGAGGAGGAGGAGATGGAGGAGGAGGATGAGGAGGGGGAGAAGAAGGAGAAGGAGAAGGGGGGTCTCGGAATGCTATTGTAAATACTTCTTATTTCCCCCCACCAATCTGCTCAACCTGGCGATTAACTACGCCTCGCACTCGCCTATTCATCCTGACTTCGGGAACGAGTGTGTGCGACGCACGGTGAGGTTCGTTTCGGCTGGTCGACATGCCGTGGGCTGAGTTGAGTGAGCTAGCTTCTGGGCTGTCCGACTATGGATTTGCTCTTTCTGCCGATGGCCACGGATACTCGGCTGGATGGGTGAATTGATTTCCGGACAGCCAGGCAGCGACCATGTAGATTCTACTTGGTAGTACGATGGTCGTGATGATGATGATGACGGTTATGATGATTATGATGATTATGATTATGACAATGACAATGATGGTTATGTTGATGATGGTTACGTTGATTATGGTTATGGTGATGATATTGTTGTTGTTGTTGCTGCTGTTATTGTTGTTGATGTTGATGTTGTTGATATTGATATTGATGTTGATGTTGATGTTGATGTTGATGTTGATGTTGATGTTGATGTTGATGTTGATGTTGATGTTGACGATGATGATGATGATGACGACGATCCGTGGTGGATGGTGCCCCATCTACTTTGCGGCTGTAGGCCAGGAATCGAGATGCTGCCGTAGGCTGCTGCTCTTGGCCGAGGAACCGGAGGCTGAAGCGTACCCGGCGTGATCATCAACTACCACCATGAACCCCCCTCGCCTGGTAGCATTCTGGGATTCTGGTTGGGTGTCCTTTGGCGCGCATTCTCGCTCGACTAGTATGACCGTCCTCATTCTCCTGGCGCCGCTGCTGCTGCTGGTTCAAGGAGGCCTGAGCGAAGCAAAATAGTTAAGTACCTCAACCACGCTGCCGCTGCTGCCTTTGCTGTGCTCTTCCGCGATAGGAACTCCAAATTCCCTCCTTCTTCCCTCTTCCATCGTGGTCCTGTACCTGCCTCGCCTACAAAGCACCACCACGAACGACGAAACCGAAGACGCCGAAGACGAAGCACATAACCCATCATTGAGCTTGCGAACTTTGCTCTCTAGCCTTTTTACCCGTGCCATAATACCTCTCTGCAGCACACCGGCTGCAACCACACGTCGAACCCCCCGACTCCACAACGTCTTCACGACTCACCTAGCCGGTCTTCCGTTTGCTGTCTGTTCACTCACGCTACGTTGCGTTACGTTGCCTGCAGTATAGTACCTTCCCGAGTCCTACGTACTCTACGGATCCGGCTCGCGAAAAAGATAGCATACCTATCAGAACCAGCCCGCTGCCTTTCCCGTTCCGTCCGTCTTCCTCTTCCCGCTCGCCGTCTCCTGCGGATTTCCTCCGCCTCTTCTTCTCATCTTCTGTTTAAATACCATCCTCCCTCCGTCGACCGCAATCCGTCCGGATCCGCTTCACGACACGCGCATCCCATCCTCGCGGCAAAAAAGAACCAAGATCGGTCCGAGCCATCCGATCCACCCCGCTCCGTTCAAAACTCATCTCGATTCTGCCTTGCCGTCTTTGCGTTCGGCGTGTGCCAGAGGTGATTGGACTGTAAAAGTCGATTGGCGACGATCATTTCTATCGTTTCCATTATTAAGTATTTGTCGCCGACATTCAGCAAAAAAACACATCTGCCTGCCTGCCTACTTTGATCCTGCAGCCCTGCAGCAAAAGTAGTGTGTCTATCAAGGGGAAAACCGGTTTTGCCGCGTTAAAGCTGACCGACGCTTTTAACTGGTCGCCGAGATGGTGTTGCTGAGAATCCCCTCCCTCGTTCACGGACGACCCAAGAACACTTCCCCAATCTCCAGCCGCTCCGGGTCACCGAAAGCAATGAACGACAGCTCCCTCCTCCTCAAAGTCTCTGTAAACCAGGTATATTCTCCAATCGTCCAGCGGCAAAAAAGAACAAAACAATGACCCCACGAGGAACTCTTGACTGATTCGAATTTCTTTGTGTCGTAGGGTCGGAACTTGGCCCCTAAGGACAAGAACGGTTTCAGCGACCCTGTACGCACCCGCTTTACCCCGCACCTCGCAACGAGAACAACAATTGACATCAACAGTATCTCGTTGTACATTGGAGCGACTACAGCTTCCAGACGGAAGCTCGACCAAAGACCCTTAATCCGGAATGGAACGACACCTTTGATATGCCGCTGAGCGGTGCGGATGGCCTCGCCATGAAGTGCGTGTGCTGGGATAAGGACCTGTTCGGAAGGGTTTGCTCATCTAGCTCAGGAGGAGAAGGAGAAGGTCGGGAAAGCTTTCTAACTCGCTGTCCAGGACTATATGGGGGAATTTGAGGTTTCTCTGGACGACGTGTTTGCGGGGGGTAGAATCTCGGAGGTGCGCACTACCTGTGGCGGTAGCTATCCATCCATGGGTTCGCATTGCTGATATTGCGACCACTACTACAGACGAGGTGGTTCCCATTGAAGTCGAGCCGGAAGAAGGCGGGCGTTTCTGGAGAGATTCAGCTCACTTTGGTGCTGGTCGACACCGCCAACGAGGAAGCCACCACATCCGAGATCTACGCGCAGTGGACCGCGTTCGCGAGAGGCTTCATGGCTCAATCTTCCCCGCCAGACTCTATAAATGAGGACCCGCTGTCGCGCGATTTAGGCTCCAACGAAGATGATGACAGCAGCCCAAGCCCCGGAGAGGACGATGTTTTATCGATGGACAAGCCTCAGGGGGCCAAGCACACGAAGCACAAATCCAAGGGCAAGGGCCATGTTTATCAGTTTAGCAGTGGCTCGGATGTCGTGGGTGTCATCTTTTTGGAGATTTCGTCCATCACCGACTTGCCTCCAGAGAGGAACGGTAAGGATCTGACTCCCCCCAAAGCTAACCTGGAGTGTGCGAGAGGAAGTGGGCTAATTCGGTCGAAGTTACGCGTACTGGGTTTGATATGGACCCGTTCGTGGTCGTATCGCTCGGAAAGAAGACCTTCCGCACACGGCACATCCGGCATTGCCTCAACCCCATTTACGACGAGAAGATGTTGTTTCAGGTTCTCCGCCACGAACAGAAGTACTCTCTCAGCTTTGCCGTGGTCGACAGGGACAAGTTCTCGTCCAACGACTTCGTTGCCGAGACCACATTCCCTTTGCAGGAAATCATTGCTACGCAGCCAGCCGCAGACCCTGAAACCGGCTTATACTACTTCTCAGAGCCATCCGAGGACCAGGGCCCGCCTAGCCCTCAGCCAGGCATCGTACACTCGAACACCGGAAGCAAGTCCAGGTTCCGCCTACCATTGTCACGCTCCGCATCCGGGACGAGTCTTGCTCCTTCCACGAAACGACCAGAACTCGCCCACCGCACGTCGGCCAAGTCGCTCCGCACCATGACCGGCGGAATGGAGCCAACTGGCGCAGAAGATAACACCCTTGTTCCCCCGAACCCCAACCGAGCGATCCCCACGGACAACATTGAATACGAGCTCACACCTTTTTCGATCCCCCTTCCTTTGAAGAACAAGGAGCGGTGGGAGGACAAGCACAAGCCCGAACTTCGCTTCAAGGTGAAGTACGTCCCTTACCCTGCCCTCCGCCAGCAGTTCTGGAGGCACATGTTGCGCCAGTATGACTCGGACGACAGCGGCATGATCAGCCGTGTGGAGCTCACCACAATGCTGGACACCATCGGCTCGACATTGCACGAGAGCACCATCACCTCGTTCTTTGAGAGGTTCAGGGAGAGAAACGGCGCCGAGGATGTAGAATCCGCCGAGTTGACGGTCGACCAAGCCGTAATCTGCTTGGAAGACCAACTCACGGCGCTTTCCAAGAACCAGGGACCCGTAGACCTAGAATCCGAGCCCCCAACGCCTAGCTTCGGGAGCAGAAACCCCTCGGTGCTTTCCTTCCAACAGCAGCCCGTGCTGGGCCTTGCGGGAGAAGAAGGCCACGTACTGGCGGATGAGGACCCGAACGGCAAGTCGGAGGAGCACGTTATCCAGATCAGGGAGTGCCCATTGTGTCACCAGCCGCGCATGAATAAGCGATCGGAGATGGATATAGTGACACATCTGGCCACCTGTGCATCTCAGGATTGGCGTCAGGTCGACAAGCTGGTCATGGGTGGATTTGTTACCTCCAGCCAGGCTCAGCGGAAGTGGTACTCCAAGGTAGGCCGACAATGCTTAGCTACGTAGGTGGTTTTCCTAACATTTGCATAGGTGATTTCCAAAGTTTCATACGGAGGATACAAGTTGGGAGCCAATTCTGCGAACATCCTTGTGCAGGACAGGATCACGGGTCAAATCCAAGAGGAGCGCATGAGTGTATACGTTCGTCTCGGTATCCGGCTGCTCTACAAGGGTCTCGGTGGAAGCAGTATGGAGAAGAAAAGGAGTAAGTTCACTGTGCCATTCGTGATTAGGATGTGGCACTAACGGCGAGCAGTTCGGAAACTCTTGTACTCGCTGAGTGTTAAGCAAGGTAAAAAATTCGATAACCCTGCTTCGGCGAGAGATATCAAGGGCTTTATTGCGTTCCATCAACTCAACCTCGACGAGGTTCTCTTGCCTTTGGAGGATTTCAAGACGTAAGTCGGATCTTTGTCCTTTCGTGTCTATTCGGTGTGTTGATCATTTTGATAGGTTCAATGAGTTCTTCTACCGGAAGCTAAAGCCCGATGCTCGGCCTTGCTCGGCCCCTGAAAACCCCAAGGTTATCGTGTCCCCCGCGGATTGTCGGTCCATCGTTTTCAACAAATTGGACGATGCCACTCGTATCTGGATCAAGGGTCGCGAATTCAGCATCGCGAGACTCCTCGGTGATGCCTACCCCGAGGACGCCAAACGGTTTGAGAAGGGAGGGTTGGGAATCTTCCGATTGGCGCCGCAGGATTACCACCGATTCCATTGTCCAGTGGACGGTATCATGGGAGAACCTAAGCTCATCAAGGGCGAGTACTACACGGTGAACCCCATGGCTATCCGTTCCGCGTAAGTCCATCATCTACCCTCAATGCGAGCATCCTGTTAACATGAATTATAGTCTGGATGTCTACGGTGAAAACGTCCGCGTTCTTGTTCCCTTCGATTCGGTTGAGCACGGACGTGTAATGGCGGTTTGCGTAGGCGCAATGATGGTGGGTAGCACCGTGATTACTGCGAAGCCTGGCCCAGTATCTCGAACAGACGAGTTTGGTTACTTCCAGTTTGGTGGAAGTACCATCGTTCTCCTGTTTGAGCCCGGCAGGATGGTGTTTGATGGTGACCTCGTCGACAACTCCAACGGCGCGCTAGAAACGCTGGTTCGGGTGGGGATGTCGATTGGTCACAGTCCCGGAATGCCCGCGGTTGAGGAGCGGAAGGAGAATGTTACGCAAGAGGATCTGGCGGATGCTAGACGGAGGATTGGAGGCAGTTTGGCGCCGACGGCGCCGTAGATTTTGCGTTGCAAGTATTTGAGTTGTGTACTTGAACCAACATGGCATGAGCAGAGAAAGGTCTTTTCAACAAGGGTTTATGTGTTTTTTTTTTCTTCGGCTCTTTTTTTTGGCTTTACTTTACTGTATTCAAAGGGGGGAGGGGGGCAAGGGATACCAACGTTTTGTTTGCTGTTGACTTGCGGCTGCTATTTACGAGTGTTTTTTTTCTTCTTGATTCTTCGGTATTTGAGTGGGTTTATGAGCAATGCTCGCAATGGCACTCTATGGGCAATGAGTTAGGATGACATGAGATGAGTGGGTTTCAACTGAACTTTTGAACACATAATTACGATTAAGAGTTGTTTTGATGCTATTCGTGAGGTTATAGCTGGCACGGCTTGTTAAGGATGAATGTAGCCTTTTGAGATGCCATTGAGAGAGTGTGTGAGGGAGAGAACACCAATTTATTTCTCATACTGCCTTGCTGGACTACGGCGAACCAAACCTTTCCTACACTTTGGCATTCCAGAGAGACAATATCGATTTACTACCTATCACATACAACCTTGCCAGACTATGACGACCACAAATCCGACCTTTCCTATCAGCTCCGCCTTTGAGATTCAGAGAGAGAGAACATCGACATATTCTCGCACACGGGGCCGCCTTTGAGATTCCAAACCACACAGCCATAGTCGCAACACTGACCATTCGAGTGAGAAGCAGTGCCTCCCACCGTTATGCACGCGGCCCGAGCCACGCCAAGCCACTATGCGTTCCGCACCCCCAACACAAACAAAAACAACAAGGGGCAGCAGCGGCATCGCAACCAACACGCGACTGCTCGGACGACGGGTAACACTCCTCCTCCTCCCCGCCTCCTCAATCAATCCAGGCTTTCTCCCTTATCACATTGTCCGCCTATCTGCCCGCCTGCCCGCCCCCCCTCCCCGCTCCTCCGCCCCCGCCGCCGCCTGACTTCGTCGTCGTCGCGTCGTGTCTCCTCCCGTAACCGAAGAAAGAAAGCGTTGTTGTTGAGCCGCGTCCTCCCCATCGCAACCGTCAACAAACTAAACAACGCCCGCCCGACCCTACCCAACCACCCAACCACCCGCCCACCCACCGCCAGCAACCACAGGTACAAGCCATTGCGCGCGCTCAAAGAACGCACGAGATAGACGACGAGAACCCACGTCACCTGCGCGCCGAATGCAGGTAGCACAGCGACCGCTCCCCGTCCACGCACAGCAGCAGCAGCCATCACCTCACACGCACACGCACACGATGCCCGCGGCAACAACCAAGCGGAAAAGCAAAGCGGCGGGCCTCGACGTGGTCGAGAACGGCATCGGCGGCGGGAAGGAGAATAGTAGTGTGGTGCTGCCGCGGAAGAAGCGGGACACTGCGGCTGGGAATGGGAGTGGGGAGAAGAAACCGGCAAAGGTCAGTGAGACACGAGAGCGCGTTTTTTTTAGTGTTTTTTTTCTCTTGCTTTCTTCCTGCCTTGCTCTTGCGGGATGATAAGGTAGCTGATGAGGGGGACAGAAACGGAAGAAGGATCTGGATACCGATGGGGACTTTCAGTTCCGGAGGAGGAAGTCCACACGGTTAGCGACGCGCGCCGAGGCGGCTGCGGGTGCGAGTGAGGATGCGACGGTGATAGCTACGCCCGAGGAATTGGCGGCCCCCGCAACGACGGCAAGGACGCAAAGGAAGGCGGTGGCGAGTGTGGTCCCAGAGACGCCAGTGGTCAGAGCGAAGCCGGTGTCATTACCATTGGACTCGCCGACACCCCCGCCGCCGCGCGCGACAAGGAAGAAGAAGGAGAAGAGAAGGGAGGAGAATGGGGATGCGGTGATGGTTGAGAAGCCGGCATCCCCGCCGCTTGCACCTACGACTCGATCCAGGAAGCCTGATAAGAGACGGCGGAATGAGAAGACGGCTGGCGCGGCGACGGCGGTGTCGGCGTCGGTGTCGGAACATGATGCGTCCGTCGATGACTCGTATTCGAGGAAGATACAGCTTCCGACTTCGGATACTCCAATGCAGAGAAGGAATCAGGAGCTACGAAAGGGATCCGGCGCGGAAGGTTCAAGCCGGAGACGGTCGAGTTTAGGCATGAGGGGTCGTCGAGCTTCCTCCATGATGCAGAGCGGTTTAGTGGGTATGACATAATCCGAACTCATCCTGTCACTCGGGAGCAGAGACATCTGACATTTTTTATTTTTCTGCAGCTGCTCCACACGGCGAAATTTCACACGAAGAGTTCTACAAACACATTGGGTCCGATGAGATGGAAAACACAAGGATGAAGCAGCTTCTCGTGTGGTGCGGTCGAAGGGCATTGGACAGTCTCGGGGATGCACCACCGGTACCACCGCCGTCGCAAGGGAGTAGCGGCGGTGTGGACCAGAGTGCACGTCATATCGGTAGGTATTGGCTCGATTTATATCTGCTGGGACAGCTGGCTGACCACCTGGTTTCGTTGTGTTGCAGCACGGGTGATAGCTGAAAGTGTGGTCAAGGAGATCTCGACCAACGGAGCGTTGTCGACATGGTTCACACGGGTAAGCGTTACATCTACCGTCTCTTCCCGTCTCCTATCTGAGCCTGTAAAGCGATTTGCGATCTGGAATCGAATCAACTGACCACAAAAAACGTTGCTCCGACAGGCAAACTCACCGGCTTCTGCAGCGATCAAGAAACCCAACCCGAAGAACGAGGAGAACCAGACAAAAGAGAAGGAGCTTCTAGCCCAGTTAGAGTCGTACGTCTATGCGCTCCATCTGTTTTTTTTTCTTTCTCCCGCGTAACCTCCCTCCCTCCCGACACGTTTGATTACCCAACGCTTGTGCAAGACAAGCGCACCTGTACAACCGCACAGTGCATGCAGGATTCAACGGGCTTCCCACTCAGCTCCGATCTGCTGCATGAAGCAAAGGGCAGATAACCCAGATTTCATCCCTGCTGTCTCACTCACGTGTCCTCGACTACTCTGCTACTCGCCGCCCGCAACGCGAAGCTAACGAGACGAATCGTGCAGACTCGATACCGAATGCAGCACCTGGAAAGCGCTTCGCGCACTCGACAAGCCGGACTTCCCCTTGCTACCAGCAGAAGGCGATGACGATCACACGGCGTTACTTCGCCCCGCGGAGCGTGCTTTTGCCGAAGCACGTCGAAGCGGGGACGATGTCATCGCCGCAGCAAAACGCCTCGTAAAACAGCAAACCACAGACATCGAATTCGATATGGATCGGTTCGCGGACAGCGTGCACCGCCTTCAGATTTACGGCGATGCGGCTGATCGATTAGCGGGTCAGGTTCTCGTCGGAGCTGGCGAGGCGGTTAGAAGGAACGACGCGATTGTAAAGAAGACGGTCGGAACCGATGGTTTACCCTTACAAGAAGTGCTACGGTCCATATCGAACACCTCTCACCACCACCTCCACGCTGCATCGTGATGTCACCCCGCATGGAATCGAGTCGGTCACAGGGTCACCAAGGAGAAGGATTGGGGATCTGGGAAAGTTTATCGGAAGCGGGCGTGGTTATCTCGTCTTGGGTCGCCGGGGTCGGGAGGGGAGGCTGGGACTTGCTTTGGAGGATTTTTGCTTTTTTGAAATTCAACCTGGCTACTTGACTTGCGCATGCTGCTTCTTCTTTTTTTATTTGCTTTCTCGGGTGAAATTTGCGGGTTTTTTTTTTCTTGCTTCTTTCCTTTTCCTTTCGATTGGGGCGTACTCTATACTTGTATTTTCGTGTCGTCGCGGTGTTTTATTTTTCCTCCGCTTTTGCTTTTGCTTTTTTTGTGCTGGAGGGTTACAATTATGCCGTGTCGTGGTGTGTGTGTGTATGTGTGTGTGTGCTTGCACGATGCTTCCCAATCCCCCGCCCGCCGCCCGCCCGCTGTGGGAATGAACGCACGGAATGGAGTTACATATCATTCAAAGAAGGAACACTTTACCGTTATGTTTTGTATGCATACCTGCTCGGCTCGAGATGGGAGGGGGCTTGTACAAAGTGTCAGAGTCGTGAGCGAGCCTGAACTGTGAACTGTGAACTGTGAAGGCATATCAATTCTCCATCCGGCGTTGGGCATCATGCATCAGGCGTCAGGCATCAGGCATCAAGCGTCATGAGTACCGAGTAGCAACGAGTCTCGCGAGCGTCGTCGTCAAGTTTGAGTTTGAGTTTGAGTGAGGTGTGGTGATATTTAAACACCGGACGTTCTGGGCCATGGGCGGTGGGGAGCTATTATTGCGTACGCCGCGGATTGATGGGATGGGACGTCCACGGAACGGAACGGGATGTTTCTCTGGTTTGGGTGGGAGAGATAGAGGAAGGAGGGGGAGGGAGGGAGGGTAGATCTTCCGGCGCTCCGGAATCTGGATTATGTTTCTGTTTCCGTTTCTCCCTCTGTTTCTCCTTCTCGTTCATGCTCCTCGGTCCATGCGGATTGAGAGTGAGATTGGGATTGAGATTGAACGTGAATGATCAATTGAAAGTGAACGTGAATGACAGGTGACAGGTGAAAGGTTTCCTCGCCCCTCCCCCTCCCACCAAGTACTCTGGAAACCTAGAAATCTGGAGACTTGGGAAACCTGGAAATCTGGACCCTTTTTAAATAATAAAAGAATGGTGTTTCTCTCTCTCTCTCTCTCAACGGGCGCGCGATTTCGGGATTACGGGACCCGTATACCTGGGTGACTGGGTGATTGGGTGATTGGGTGATTGGGTTAGATCTGGAATTCTAGGGGCGATAGAGTACATACGTTTTAACGGACCTATCAAGTAATGTACGGTAGATATAGTTACTCTAGAATACTGCGGTACTTTTCTACGTACGCAGTTTACAGTTTACATACAGTGTACACCGCACCGCACTGCTCGCACCTGCCACGGGTGGTATCAGTGTCAATGTCGATGTCGATGTTGTACTCTACTTTACTACTCTATTCTAAAGTACCGGTATAGGTAAGGGACTGTGGGGCCGGAGCGTTAGCTGTCACCGTCACCTCACCGTCCCATCACCCGTCACCGTCCCGTGCCGTCACATGTCGTCAAATGATTAGATATTTTTATTTTTATTTTTAGGGTGGCTGATCATTGATGGACGGGTGACGATCACGGAATATCACGCCTTGTTCGTTCGTTCGTCGTTGCCGTCATAGTGTCGAGTTGTGTACTACGTCCTGCGTACTCCGTAGAGTATGGATTCTCGGGCGAATGTGCATGTGTGCTTGTACTCTACCTATACTCCGCAAATTGCAATACTACAATTGCAACCCCGTCGCTGCCGCCATAGTTACTACGGGGCCGCGGTGACAGCTGCACCACACAGTACCGCACCGAGTATGATGTTGTACACGTACTGCGCCGCCGCCGCCGCCGCTTGCGCCGCAAGCGAGGGTGACTGGTGACTGGAGATTGGAGTAGCTAGGTCCAGGTACTTACGCTACGCCTTACACCTTACTTACACATTCATTTACACATGGATACCTTACACATTTACATTTACACATGGATACCTGCCTTCATCTCCCTCCCTCACTCCCTCGCTGGGGCATCCTCACACCGTCGAACTGACCACATCCTACGCAAACGGAGTCACGCGCCGGCCGGCAGTGTCAACTCGTCACCATCAATTCGTCAACCATCAACCCGTCAAAGTTGGGGAAGGAAGGAAGAAAAGAAAGATTTTTCGTTCCATCTCTTCCTTTACGCACATGCCGAGCGGCCCGGTCGGTGCCCACTGCCAATCAGTGTTTGTGGAGTATGTACGTTTGCGGAGTATGTACATACATATATAACGCAGAACGCAGAACGCAGAACGCAACACAGACCAGCGAGATGTCGATCCTCCGCCGATTCCGATCCTGAGAATCTCAGATTCGCTTAGATAGGTACTTACCTATAACTAGGTACGCGGCGAGCATGACGCAGTGGCAGTCGCAGTGGCAGTGGTAGTCGCAGAAGCAGAAGCAGTCGCCGCTGCCGGATGTGATGTGGATGTGATGAGTCGGTTTTTATGGTTTTTGTGGTATTTCTGGAAAGTTGCGGGTCGGGCGGTGTAGGAGGGGGAGCAGGATGGGGATGCGGAGGAGGAGGAGGAGAATACGGTAAAAGGTGCTTTACATAAATACACATACACAAGTGCATACACAAGTACAAGTACATACACAAGTGCATACACAAGTGCATACACAAGTGCATACACAAGTGCATACACAAGTGCATACACAAGTATGCATGTATGTATTCCCGAAGTCCAATACCCGAAGCCCAATGCCCGATGTCCAATATCAGCTGTCCAGTTCCGCGACAGCATATTTCATTTCGTTCATTTTGTTCGTCCCGTTCCGTTCCAATTCAATTCATTTCAATTCGTTTCCTTTCGCGTCTGTCCGTGTCTGTCGCGACTCGCACGGGCAGCTACCGTACTTTCAAGTCTCCACTCTCCACTCTCCACTCTCCATAGTTATATAAATCTACCTTTGTATATGCAGGGTGTGATACCTAGATGGCTGGAGTCAGTAGAGTATTGGTGTGGGTGTGTCGCTGGTACGATCGATATAGTGGAGAACCCGTCGGTGCCCTCGATACCTCGATACGGCAACTGGCTGTCCCAGACTCCGCACTCTCCGCACTCTGGATACATAGGTATATATTCTGGTATGTACTCTATGCACCAACTCTGTCGTTCCACTTTTCTCCAGCCAGCCAGACACATGGAATCACTCGGCGTTACTAGTACTGACCAGTGACCACCCCCATCGGCCTCATCAGGCAGGAGGTAGATACTCTACTCTACTCTGGGTATGTATGTATGTACTCGACATATCATCGTCCCTCCATCTGCCCCTGTCCGCCCGGTGGTACATACCGCCAATCATACCGACCGTGCAACACACCGCTACCCACTCTATCGATCGGGGAATCGATATCAGATGTCATCCATCGAATCGGCAGGGCAGGGGAAGGGGGAGGGGAGGGGAAGGGGAGGGAGGGGGGCAGTGTGGATGTGGATGGATGAATGGATGGATGGATGGATGATGGATGCGTGAGTAGAGTACTCTATGTACATATGCAGAGTGGGTACTAGAGTACCTACTACCGACTAGGTAGGGAGTGGTATTGAGCAGCAGCAGCAGCAGCGAATTAGATATTATTTTTTCGTCACTTTGTAGTTATGTAGGGGGGGGGGAGGGGGGAAGGAGGGACACCGAATCGGTCACGGTTCACGGTTCACGATGAATGGAAGGAAGGATTCTGAATCTGATTCCGATTCTGGTTCTGATTCTGTTCTTCCTGCGCGCACGCCGGACTGGGAGCACCCCTGATGCTGCTGCTCACAGGTCGATGGGGAGTTTTTGTGTATGCTGTCTCAAGTCTCGATCTCGCAGCGACACGAGGGCTAGTTCCGGAGGCGATGTTATGTTACATACATACGGGGAGGGAGGGGACCGGCTGGCGGTTGTGTTGTGTTATGTGTGGGTGTGTGTGTATGTGCGAGCGAGCTACATCGAGAGGGTGGGGGGAGGGGGGGCTGGTAGAGTGGGTGGGTAGGTGATTACCGGGGAGAGAGGCGGGGCTGATGATGACGATGGTTCTGCTCGTTTTTGTTGCCCTGCTGCTGGCTGGAAAGCGAATCTGAGATCTCGAATGAGTGAGAGCGCGGTGGGTACATGTGGCATATGAGATCCATGGACAGCTGGCCCCGGACAGCGATGGGGGGGCCTACCTACCCTATAAGCGTAGCCGATAATGATCTGACTCGGTTCCGTCTCACCTCACCCTCCCTCATGGGAGAGACAGCGAGCATCGTGCAGAGCTTGAGGCGGAGCTTGGGCTTCATTCCCGAGCTTCAGCTTCACCGAACAGCGCCTCCCATAGGTAAGTTTGTAAATACCTAGGTGGAATCGGTAGGGCCCTCCGTCGGGATTTTTTTCATTCTTTTCGCTGGAATGGTTCTCTTTCGGGACCTTAGTCATCGCGGTGCGCACTCTCACTCAGCCCCTGACCTGACTTGGTGGTTTCGATTGGATTCATTCGTTCGGTCATTCGTTCGGTCATTCGTTCGGTCATTCGTTCGGTCATTCGTTCGGTCATTCGTTCGGTCATTCGTTCGGTCGGGTCGGTCGGTCGGTCGGTCGTCGCACGTTCGTGGTCCTGGATCTTCTCCTCGCGCCCCACTCTCTCCCATCGCTGGTGCTGCTGGTGCTGGTGCTGCACAGTGCAGGCATCGAGTTCAGAAGTGGCCTGATCAGATGGCGGCCTGGGTGTTTTTAGGTTTTGGCCGTGGACCCTTGTCCGAGCCATGGAGCAGCCCCCGGTCATTTGGGGGCACGGCTGGGGCGTCAAGCGAGAGCCAGATGGAAATTTGGGCGCAGGGATGCTCTTATTCGCTCACAAGCTTTGGCGGCTGTGCGGCACTGGAGGGAGGGAGGGGAAGGGAGGGAGGGGAGTGGGAATGGGGGGAAGAGGCCTTCTAGAAGAGGGTCCTGCCAAGCGCATGGAGATTGCCGCATAGGCAAGTACCGTAGTTGACTGTAGCTCTTTTCCGGGCAGTGACCCGTGGCGATACGATACCACGAAGCAAGCTGGCGATGTTGGGGAGTTGTGGTGGTGGTGATGATGACGATGATGGAGTGCAGCAGGTATCATAGGTATGTAGACCCGATGAAACGGTACTCTCCGTAGCTGAGCACCGCTGGCTGGCTGGCTCGCTCGGTTGGTTGGTTGGTTGTTCGGTTGGTTGGTATGTAGTACTCTGCCAGAAGCATGTGGGTTACCCCGTGCACCCAACGTGCAAAGTGCAAGATGGATGGATACGGACGGTACAGTCACTCGGTGTACACACATTCACGGTACACTACCTACATGTGCAGTGCAGTGTGCAGATCATCCTCGAAATGGGTAGCCTGGACAGAACAGTCGAGGGAGCAGAAAAAGGGCGTGAACTTTGTGAGGCACCAGCCGCCCGTAGTGCACTGTTGGCTAGCACGCAACTACAACGGAGACGCGGAAGCCACACACCACACACCCACATCACACTCACACTCAGACACACAGACACCCGCTCACACGCACGAGTGCACGAGCGTACGTCCAGGAGAGGAAGGGGAACGGACCCGGATCGAGGCCATCGGAAAGCTTCCTGGACCGGATCGCTGCTAACCAATCTCTGTTGGCTGCGGTGTTGGAAGCGGACGGGAAGCCGAGTGGCTGACAGTGCCTGCTAACCACCTATAGATACTGTACCATACACACATACCGCCATCCCCACGATGACATGCACGGGCAAGCCTCATTTCGCGGAAGAGGCCGGTGAAACACCGTGTTTCAATCTTATATAAGCCGGCACCTTCACTTTACCGCGAGCTCGGGTTCCCGTCGTATGTATGTACGTGCTGGCGGCGCTCTTCCGTGCATACACGGTAAGTACCGGTAGGTATCTACTCAGCCAGCCAGGGAGCTGAGAGACGGACGGGGAGGGAGCGAACGAACGGGCGAACCACGGTAAATCATACTCACTACTCAGCCAGGGAGCTGGGCGAACGGGCGAACGGACGGACGGACCAACGAACGGAAGTTGCGGAAGCCGTCGAGGCTGCCGGATCTCCTCCACCAAAAAAACGAAAACCCAAAACTGCCGCTTGCCGAGGCCGCCCTCTGCCCCCCGTCCCCCCGTGTCCCGCCCCCCGCGAACGAATCTCCGCATCTCACTCCGGCGTTGCCCCGGAGGCTGGCCTGGCTGGCGTGTGTGGCGACTCCAGCTGACGGTGGCGGATCGGATCCGGCTGGGGCAGAACGTTTCTGGGAGTTTTCGGCTCGCGAGTCGCGAAGCAGCAGCAGCAAAAGCCCAAGGGGTTCGTTCCTTGGTTGCACCGCACTCCACTCCACTCCACCCTCTCCGGTGGGTTAGGGACCGAGGATCCGTCCCGGGTTTGGGATCGGCGGTTTCGGACGGAGATGTGCGAGCGCGCGAATGCAGCCGCCAAGAGTGCGGCGCGGTATGGTATCCATCAATCATGGCAGATTGGATTGGTCGAGGAGTAGAAACAGGAGTAGAAGCAGGAGGAGAAGGAGAGACCGCATTGGCGCCCGCTTAGTCACGGCCTCTAGTTGAACACAATGGGCGCGCGCAGCGCGCGCAGCGCGCTTGAGCCCTCAAAAGACCACATCGCCGAGCCGGCGGCCCATCTATCACACACACAACACCCCACGGTCCCACCGCCGCATATCTCGTGTGTAAATTACGTACGTACCAGTACGTGCGTGAATGGGCCCCGCACAGCAGCAGCTGCTGCTGCTGCTGCTCCGGCAGTTGGGCTGGTGCAGCATATCCGGATTCGTAGCGACCTCCGCATTTTTTTGGTCCCGGGAGTTCGGTATACCCCCCCGTGGAGTGGAGGGAGGGCATGTATGGAGCACGGGGGGCAAACACGGCTTATCCGCCCTCTATTATGTATCCCCCCCTCCTCCTCCCCCCCCCCGGAATGCCGATGCTCGCTCGCTCGGCCATAAACAAACGCGCACTCATTAAAAAAAAAGAAGGGGAAGGGAAAAGAAGAAATGAGCAATCGGAGCCGGAATCGGGAATCCGGCAATTGGTTAATCTCAAATCTCGGATTGACCTACCTTGGAGTGGCGATGGTTATATACCGTACCTACTCTACCTACGTCACGCAGATAGGTACCCATCATACATACATGTGTAGATACAGTGGGTAATGTAGAGATGTCCTGCACGACCGGACGTTGAGCCCCATTCCCGTCAAGGGGGCCGGGGCATGCGCACGAGAGAAGAGCGGGGTCCAGAGACATCGCATCTGAAGAGGTTAAAAGAGATCTTTTATCCCGCTTCCTTGCACTTGTTGGGTCGGACGCCCCAGATCCCGCAAAGTGACAAATCCACCACGATACGATAGGGAGGTACATATTGGTACGATGCACCGTAACCGTTGGATCGTATTGCAAGCGATACGGACTAACCAGCTGTTGCGATGGTAGGTACCAGGTACTTAGGTAAGTACCTACTTCTTACTTACATCCTACCTCCCTACAGGCTACCTACTTCCCTACCTACCCACCCGAAGGTTCGGTGAGCGCTGTGATGAGTGATCCTTGAATGATGGACCGTCCGTGACGACGATTCGCTGGCCCTGCCGGGCCACACGCCAATCCAAGTCGGCATACCTAGGAAAGTACCTGCCCAGGGAAGGAGGGAAGGAGGGAGGGGAGGGAACAAGATCGTACGTTTTTTTCCCCCCAGGTCCTTTCCCATAGACACAGACCTCAGCCGATTTCCTCGTATCCTCCTTCCATGCATATGTACCCTGCCCGTCCAATGCCCATTCTTGGTCATTCAGGTCATTCAGCTCCCTACCGGGCGTGCCGGATCTATATGTAACCACTAACCAGCAGTATGTATCTACTCTAGGTATCTAACCAATGATCAATGATCAATCCATCGACGAGTGCGGGCGACCAGATATAATCTAGATCTTCAGCCGACGGAACGAGGAGAGCGCGCTTCTCCAGATATAATCTAGATCTTCGGCCGGGAGCGGAGCGGAGGGGAGGGGAGGTACGATGACCCAGTTACCGGCTGGAAGAGCTTGTTTGCTTGGAATGCGGCGATAGCGACGTCACTCCGGTGAAGGGATCGGATCGGATCGTCTCTGTCGCTCGCGAACGCTCAAAGCGACGCAGCGAGTCGACGATTGTGAATTGCAATTGCAATTGGTGCGGTGGTGGTGGTGGTGGTGGAATACTCTGCTCGGTACAGGTACACAAGATAACTATATCTTGAGCTGAGCTGACTCACTGAGCCTGAGCTGAGCTGAGCCCAAGGAAACTGGAAGATACCCAATGCGTACATAAAAAGAACAAGCCCGCAAGCGAATACCTGAGTACTGACATACCGGTCTCACAGAATCTCACAAAATCTCCTAGTGTTTCTATTGGTGATGTTTCTTACCCATTGGATGATTCTGATTATATGTCTCCGAAAAGTCGCCGAGCAGTTCCGTTGCATGCCTGATTCCTTATGGCAGTCTCAACGGATTCCGCTTTGGAGAAGGTACTATAGATATCGAGTACCGGCTTCTGGATGTCACTTCCATGTCGATCTTATGTACTTTTAGAGGGTTTGGGGGGAAGGAGGTTTGGGTGGGATAGGATGGGAGCGAGGGCAAGGAGACGGAAATTTGTTGGACGTCGGGGACGTCTTTTTCTCCATCTCTCTCCCTCTTGATGTAGGTTGCCTGATCGAGCAAGACCACCATCGACTGGCACTGGCTGCACGCCCCCTGCTTTGAGATGGAACCTGTCTGGCTATGCACGCCCAAGTTGCCCAACAGAAACTCGATGATGCATGTAATGCAGCACCGAGGTTGTCGCTTTAGATATCGGTACCGGTACCGGCATCACACACATCTCGGACATGAAGCGCGAGAGGGGAAGGCCTACCTGCTATACATAGGAGGTGATTGCAAGGGGAGTAGAGTATCCAGATGTAGTAAGAGTGCGTAGAGTAAGTGAGATACCTAGTAGGCACGTCCCGAGCCGCCGCCGCCGCTGTCGCCGCCGCTGTCAGGAGGGACTGTCAGGCAGACAGGAGGGAGAGACTGTCAGGACTCAGGAGGGAGTCTGTTCGTGCGTGCGTGCTAGTAGTGCGTGCGTGCGAACGTGCCCGGGTGGGTCGCCTGCGCCGTAACCCTAGGCCGCGAATTGGGCCGCAACTTGGGCCGCAACCTGACTGGACTCCTTCTGCTTCCGCTCCGATTTGATTTGAATCGACTCGACAGGGTTCTGCGAATACCGGTTATCTAGGTACTCTAGAGTGGAGTCTGGAGCAATGATGGCTATCTGGGCTCGGATCTGGTGAGCATCGGAGCTTTTGAAACGATAGCGGGAAGGCTTGATTGCCCCATTCGCAGCTGCTGCCGCTGCCGCATTGCATCGGATTGGGGCAGGGGAGGGGGGGGGGGGGCGGCTCGAGTTGAGTTGGGCGGAGTGTTGGTGGTCCGGGGGGACTCCAGATGAGGAAGAGGAAGAGGATGAGGAAGAAGAAGGGCTGAACTCCAAGTCTCCAACTCCAGCTGTCAGCCGTACCTACCCAGGTACTCTTCTTACCGGGTACCGTGGCAGATGCGGAGGATGCGGAGAAAATCACAAAAACAACAAAAACAACAACAGAAGCAACATCCGTCCGGACTCCGCGGCGATAACACGATTGATGTGTTTTTCGGGAGGAAATTCGGATACGATTGAGTGGAGGAGGATCCATCCATACCTGTGTGCGAGTATGGTACCGTCGAACGCACAGTTACATGATGGTTATTGGCCGGCTACATTCGCCGAGAAGACGAGGGGAGTGCAAATGTGCAAGTGTTGTATCCAGTGCGGCTGCGCTTCCCAAGTTCCCAAGTTCCCAAGTTCCCAAGTTCCCAAGTTCCCAAGTTCCCAAGTTCCCAAGTTCCCAAGTTCCCATTACGTCCGTCCATCAGATGTAGTTACATAGACCGCAATATACGGTAACCACTACAGTAGTATGATACGCGTGGGCGATGGAGATGAAGGCGGCGCATCTGGAGTAACCACTCTAACCACTCTATACTCTACTAGCATCTACCGGCAAACTGCGGCTTCATCATTCATGGCAAACCAGTGCTGTCTGTTCGGTAATTAGAGTGTGTAACCGTACATATGTCTGTGTATGAACGATCACCCCCCTCCCCCGCGCCCGGATAGAGTAAGCACACAACGGCCGGCCTGGTTTATTCTTGTTCTTGTTCTTTCTTGCCAGCAGCCAGATCAACGTTGGATCTGCACAGAGTACCTACTCTACCGGTACTATATAGAGTAGTAACTAAGCCCAAAGTATGGTACCCATTCCCTCCCATACGATGTACGATGCGTGGAGTACTTTATGCTGCTGTGGGAGCGGATAACTACTAGTACATGAGTCCAACATCCATCATTTGAAGGGGGCGTTGTCTATCATCGGTATGATACCGTAAGTGCCTACTCTACACCAACCTACCTAGAATACCTGCATACATACATAACACTAGATCGTTCTCCAACGTTCCGCTATCCACGGTCCCTCCACCAGGCCCCGCCAGGCCAGGCCGGGCCGGACCAGGTCAGGGCCAGGGCCAGGTGTGGCACTGTAGAAGGGACTCTACTCTCTATCATAGCACTCCCCTCCGGCCCTCTTCCTGACCCTTTCTTAAGTCTTGACCGTGACGGACTCGGAGCAGCCAGCTGCCAGCCATGCACAGCAGCTATCTACCTGGCTAACTGGCTAAGTAGAGCACCTCACCTGCTACATCGGACGTGAGTCCTGGCCCCACGCTGCTGCGTCGCTGCCCCCCGACCCCTCCCCCCTCTCGCGAACTGACTGGCCACAGAACAGCCAGCCCTCCGGGATTCCTCTGGGATTCGCGTGGTGCGTGGTGCGTGGTGTGTGGTCCGTCCGTCTGTCACGTCAAAACCGCTCGATCTTTCCCTTTCCCCCCCACCCCCCATCCCTACAATTGACAAACGTCAGGCGTAAACGGGTTAGAGTAGAAGGAGGTATCTAAGATGGTTCCGCGCTGGAGTTGCTGGGCGTAAATTGGTACATCGTTAGTTAGCTGGGCGCTCCAGTGGAGACCTTGGTTACCTGCCTAGCATGTGTAACAGTTGTGGAGTGCTCGCTCGCCACCGGTTAGTTGTGTATCTAGACTCCATGGAGAGCAGCTGGAGCAGGAGTGTAGATATGCGGCATGCCAAAACCCTCGATCGGTGCCCACGCCAAGAGATCGTTCGGAACGCCTCTCGGTTCTTCCTGCCTCTGAGATTCTGCACTCGAGTAGAGTGCTAACCACATCGATCCGACCGGCTCCCTGTTTGGAACGTCTGCCCGTCATGCTGCCCGTGGGGCTTGATATCGGCCCATCTCTGCCGACCGGTGTCGTTTTCGTCGTCAGTCGTCGTCGTCGTCGACGCTGTCCTACATGGAGTACCGATATGTATCCAACAGGCCTTCTTTACTTCTTTACTTCCTTTCTTCTTTTACTTCTTTCCTTCCACTTCCTTCCTTCCTTACCTCCGTACCTCCGTACTTCCTTCTCTCCTTCCACTCCATCGCGCATCCAACGAGAACAGAAGAAGAAGGAAAAACTCGTTGCGGACTTACGGTGTCGATGGAAAAGTTCTGCTTCTCCGCCTGGATCGCCTATGTGCCAATGAGCAACTCCCCAGCCAGCAACAGCGGCGGCGGCGGCTGTGGCATACGTAAGCACGTATGTGTGTCTATATATGCACATATCTGCCGTATGTGCTAAACTCTTCATACGCATCGTCGCATCGTCGCATTCTAGACTGTGAGTCTGTGTCTGTCTGCCCCACTCGAGACGAGAAAACATCATCAGCAGCAGCCACGAGGAAAAAAATAGCAGTGCGTCGCGGGATGCGATACGCTCTTCGTCTCGTTCTTCAATTCTGCTGTGGGTGTTGTGGGTGTTGTGTCTCACCCGTGCATAACATAACTATCCCTGGCTCAAGAATCAAGATGCATGCTGGCATAAGATGCTGCCCGCTGGCGTAGATGAGTGGTGGTGAGCACTGCGAGTCTGCGAGGAAGGGGAGGGAAGTCGGTCTCGTCTCGGGTGTTTCCCTCTTCCTTTGAGTCTGGTCCGTGGTTGGGCTGGTTGGCGAGCTGCGAGCTGGTGCTACGAGCTGAGTGCTGAGCGCTGAGCACCGAGTGCTATCTAGTGGCCCCGCCGGCACCATGGAGTCGTCGACGGGAAGCCGTTCGAACTTCGCCGTTTGGTGATCCTCATTCCTTCTGGGTATTCCTTCAATTCCCAATTCCCCATACATATACATAAACATGTAAGTACTGCCTGCCTGCCTGCCCAGCGCCTGCCAGTCACTCGTATATTCTTCTAGTTACATACATCCTACATAGTCCTCATGTATGTACTCTACTTACATCTTATGTACGCAACGCACGCAGCCTCGACCGCCGCCGCTGCATGCGCTCAGACGAGCAGCCACAATTCGCAATCCACAATCCACAATCAACTGCGACGGCTGGATATGTAGCCGCCCAGCTTCCGCACCTTCCTTCCCCCGCGCACGCAGACATATTATACACCTCCAACTAGGCAGTTACCCAACTTCCCATCCCAACTACGGTACTCCTTACCCGTGATTTGGATCCCCAAGTTGTACTGTATGTATGTGCATACATACCCCATGAACCCGTCGACATGGGACGGATCTACATGCTCACCCAGCTTCGAACGGCAGAAGAGAGGGAGGATTGACATCCCGACCCCACAAGATTGCTTACTCCCCCCTCCCCTCCTTCTCTTTCCACACCACGAAGGGCAAGGAAAGGGGGTAGAGTAGAGTAGAGTAGAGTAAGTATCGGAGCCTGAAGCAGGATAGGATAGTTATGTAGGTAGAGTAGCTACCTGGGTAGTTAGGGTCAAAAAGCAAATCGACGATGCGTCTTTCACCGATTGCTGCTGCTGCTGGTGGTGGTGGTGCTCCTGGTGGTGTTGCTGTAGCTGTTGCGTGCCGTCCGCTCACTTTTTTTCGGGCATATACGGTTGGTACGGTCTCTGGGCTAGCGAAAAAAACATGTGGCGCATCTGGATTCTGGATTCTCACAACCATCCATCTGGCTTCCTCTGCTCTTCTCGGCGCTGCTCTGCTCGGATCTTCCAATGGCGGAAAGATCAGGGCCTTAACTTATATGGTAACTTAACTTATATGGGTACTCTACTCTACTCTACTCTATCCGCCTTGGTTCTAGACGCCTCCGCGAGAGGAGAGGAGAGGGATTGTCCGCTGTTTTATCTTGTCTCGTCTCGACCGACCGGGTCCTTTAGATACATATTTGGTCTCGGTGTTAACTTGGGGTCTCAGTCGCTACTGGTAGGGTAGAGTTGGACTGCGCTGGACTGGACTGGACCGGACCGGTTGGTGACCGACCCCCCCCCCCCCCCAGGTGCCATACCTCGATACCGGTAATTGCTTCTTTCCCCGCATAAAAGTTATTAGTTATGTATCCAGATATGTAAGTACCAAGTACCAATCTATGTCTCTGTCCGCTGGATTCCCGCTGGGTTCCCGCTGGGTTCCCGACTTTCGATGGATATAACTAGAGCAGTAGTAGTGCTGGAGCGGACTCCGATCGAGAGAGAGAGAGCTCGAAGCGTGGAACAGAGCTTGGAACAGAGCTAGGCACTACATAGAAGTTGGCTTCTCCTTTCGTTCAGCTGGCAACCATCGCCCCAATTCGTGCCCGATCTATAGCACTGCATAGCAAGCTTGCGCTCGGCCTTGTCCGTAAACTGTCCGTCGTCTCGCCGGTGGTCTCATCCGACGACGACGACGACGACGACGACGAAGTGAAGCTGTGAGCGCAGGACAGGAGAGCGGCGCGGGATCGTGGTGGGCTGGCGGGTAGTCCGTCCGTCGTAGATGTCGAATTCTGAGGTGTAAACACGGAGTTGAGCTGTGGGAAGTACTCTATCATGGTCTGTATATAAAGAGGACTGTGTATGAAGGAAGTGACGGATGGGAGAAACAAAAGAAACTAAAGAATCAACAGAAACAAAAGAAACATAAGAAAGCTGTGAGCGCCAGGATAGGCAGTTCCCGGGCGGTTTATGTACGATTATTATTATTATCTCGCAGGCCGGGATAGGGAGATCTTACCCAGGCTTGGGTGGAAGTGCCTTGCTATGTATGCTATGGGTGTATGTATGTGTGATATGTATGTGTGATATGTATGTGTGTACTCCAGAGCACCCAAGTGGTTACATACTCGCTCCAGTTCAGTGGACTACCCAGCAGAGCATAGCTGCCGTTCATCTCGTCGGCTCGCTCTGGAAGTGTCTTGGATCTCGGTGGCACCGTGAAAAGAACCCGATGGCAAAGGGTGTGGAGGGGCATTGTGGCCCATGGACGCTGCATAGGCGTTAGGGGCAAAAAAAACCAATCTGCTCCCACCAGCATCACCATCTCGATCCCTTTTTCCCGGGTACTACTCTACCCCTCGGCCGCCGCCACCCCTTCTACCCCTCTCTAGAGTACCCACACAATCTACTCCATGTATCTCTGCATATGTAGGCCGGCTCTCTATTCTTTTCCCAGCAGTTAGCGGGCCACACGAACGAACGAGCGAACGAACCAACGAACGAAAAAACCAACGAACCACGACGCAGGCGATTGCTCCTATCCTCCCTCACACCTTACTCCAAACCCGCCCGCCACGCCCTCCTCCTCCTCTTCTTCGGCCACTCAAAACCCTTTCGTGTCCGTGTCACATTGTTGCGGACCTAGCTGCTCCTAACTAAGGACGAGTACTCCCACCACCTACGTAGACAGAAGTGTGCCCTTCGCGACATCGGCATTCACCCAGCCGCCGCCGCCCCGAAAAGAAAGAAAGAAAGAAAGAAAGAAAGAAAGAAAGAAAAAACGCCTCCTTTGCCCTCAGCTTCTTTCTTCTCTCTTCCTCTTCGTCTTTGCCCTTGGCTTGCTCGTGCCTGTCTGCACTGCGCTGCCCGTCTCCTTCGTGTCTGCTGTTGCGTGTCGCGAGTCTCGACACCGACGTCCGGTCAGTGCGGAATAAAAAAGACTTGGCTCTTCGTAACGTGTACCTACTATACTTCGAGTCTATAGTTACCGCCGTCGGTGGAGGGCAACGGACGATTGCCGTGTTTGTCTGGCTGCGGCCAGCCTGTCTGTCTGTCTGTCCGTCTGCCTGCCGTCTGGCTGACTGGCTCCCTCGCTGGCTGGCTCGCTGGGATCTGGGGTGGGTTGTGTGAGCTTGCTGGGTATTATTGCAGACCGCCACATTCTTTTCCTGCGATCCGATCCATTTCATCCACATCGTCCACCAATCTCCCGAGTTATCTGAACCCGTCGCCCGGGAACCTAGCAAGCAAGCAAGCAAGCAAGCAAAAGCAGGCAAGCAGAGCAAAGCCACGCAGAGCAGAGCAACCAAGCAAGCAGCGAAGGAACCTTGACGGGCTGTGTGTGTGTGCTCACCTTTTTTGTCGAATCGGGCCTTCACGCACCCCTCCTGATCGATCCCATTCTCAACTCAACCTCTCTCTTGCCTGCTCCTCCCCCCCTCCCCCTCCCTCTCCCGTCTCCGCTCAGCACACCCAAAACTGCCTGCCTCTGCTTTTCCCGCTCCTGGGCCCACCGTACCGCTCTCCGCTACTTACTCGATTATCGATATCTCTCCTGCGGCTCCCTAACACCCCCCATCCCCCCCCCCCCCCACCACCTCCCGCATTTCCTAATTCACTACCCGTCCGCTGCCAGCCTCGCCACTCCTTCTCACTCGCGGCAGTCGTCCACTGCCATTATTCCTTGTTTTTTTTTGGGCGCAGTTCGTGGCCTGCGGCATCCGAAACTAAGAAGCTCCCGGAAAGGATACCGAGTCGGCGCGTCGACACACCGTGGACAAGATCTGTCCACGATCCTGGACTTAAGCGGCCGTCAGCATATCGATCCACCCATACACACCTGTCTAGTCAACCGAGAGTGATAACTCTCCCTCCCCTCCCACTCCCACCATCACCTACCACCATCCCGGAGTGCTTTGGCATTGCCGCCCCCGTCCAGTACATAGATAGTCTCCACCCTCCCGCGCGAAGTGACGGTGTTGTTTTTTTCCCTTGCCGCCCTACCATCGCTAGGACGACATAGATTCGGTAGCTACACCACCACACCACCCAAGGTTCACCTCAACGTCAACGATAGCTTCCATCCCCGAGGACCTTGCCCACCGGAAAGACTCGCTGTGCCCCCCCCCATTCAACTCGACAATCGAAAAGAAAAAAAAAGTCTGCGCATTGTTTGCACCAGCTTGCAACAGCTTGCAACAACAATAACGCCACGCACCACCACCACCACCACCACCAAGAAGGATCAGGATCAGGGTCAGGACCCCAGGACGTCCTCTTCTTGCACAATAGAAAAACGGAATCACACCGCACGAAAACGATAAAATCCTTCACCATAACTTCTTTTACGAAACCACCGTCACCTCCTTTGTCTCCCGCCCCAGGCATGGAGTCATCGGAAATCCGAAGGCAGAGGTACGTTTATCGCAACCCCCCACACACATATGATTGATCTTTCCTTCCCGCCCCCGCATGAGGAGGAGGTATGGAGGAGGAAGTAGAGAGGAAGAGGTGGTGAAGGAAGAGGAGTAGGAGTAGGAGGAAGAGGGGTCTCAACTCACCTCGGATGCGCTTGAGCTTGAGTATGATAGGGTCTCGGACCAGGCTAATTCCTTTCTTGTAGCGAAGCCTTGCCATCCATCAACTATGCAGAGTACGAACGTGCCGCAAGGGATGGAGCTCAATATCATCAGCGGCATGCTTCGAACCCTCGGCCAAGCTTGTCCGCCGCCTCTCCCATAAGCCCGACAACGATGTTTGGGCCTTTACCCCTCCAGAGCTATCCGCAGCAGCCGACAAATGGCATCCACACGCCCCCCGAATCACGTAGGACCTCCGATGACGTGCCACCACCGCCACCGCCGCCACCGAGTAGACAGTCCCTTCCGTCTCTACATGAAGCGCTCTACGAGAAAGGAGGATCGTTTTCGGCGCCACAGACACCGCCCATTGGATCCGGGTCCTTCTCTATTCCGCAGCCTCGGACGAACTCGATATCAAACTCGATGTCTCGAGGCGGGCCTTCGGAACCTGGGCTGCAATCGCATCCCCCTAGCCAGCCACTGACACCTCATGGTTACGTTCCTGCTTCGCAGCCTTCTGCTCATGCTCCCCAGATTCCTCCCCCGCCAATGCCCACACATAGCCACGAACCGCCGTACGGCCGCCACGACAGCCAAAGCAATGGTCGCTCGCTGCCACCAAACCCATACTCGCAAGCGCAGCCCCCTCCTCCTACCATGCCGCCGATGCATCCTTCGGAGTCGTACCAACCACCACCGCCGCCGCCGCAGTCGCAATCAGCCCCGCCGCACCACTCGCAGTCGCCGCCTTATCAGTCGCATCCGCATTACCAACATGCTCCTCCTCCCAGCCAGGCGCCGCCATCACATTACCAGCCTTCAGCTCCATTCGGCAATGGCTCCGCTCCACCACCGCCGCCACAGCAGTCGACACAATACCCGCCATACTCACAAGCGTCGCATCACCACCATCACCATCACCATCAACAACAACACCCAGCGCCAGCGCCGCCTTCAGCTCCTCAACCGCAAAATCAGCCTCCATATCAGCCGCAGCACGCTCAACAGCAGCCGCAACCGCAACCGCAACAGTCTGGATATCCGTTTCCGCCACCCCAGACGGAGGCACCAAAAGGCATCAAACGTCCGAGCGGATATGGCAGCGCTATCGAGAGGGCACTTTCGATATCCACATTAAGACGCGACATGGAAGCGGTATGCACACCTTGACATCGGATATTATCCGAACATGGCCGCTGACACTTTCCGACAGATTAAAGAACATGCGGCGCGGATATATCATATCGTTGACCAGTACCAGATGCTAAGCGCTGGAGGGCAACAACCATACCCTGGCGGGCTGCACGCATCGCTGAGCGAGTTCAACGAAGCGCTACAGCGCTCGCACAGAACTACGGAGGCTCTCAACAATTGCCATCAGGTTTTCCAGGATCTCTCCAACAGGGAAGTTGCGGAGCAGAACAACCACAAGATGAGCGTCGTTCATACGTCAGAGTATGGCACGGATGATGGGCAAGCTTATCAGGATGATAATCGGTCAAACGGGTCGCAACAACCGGAGAAGAAGATGAGGCGAGGCGTAAGTGGTCAGATTTACCCGTTATCACATTTTTCGGCTAACCCTTTTGAATAGCGAGCTGCTCCTCCCGGTCGTTGTCACAGTTGCCACAGAGCGGAGACTCCGGAATGGCGGCGAGGCCCTGATGGTGCCCGAACATTGTGCAATGCTTGTGGATTGCGTACGTATTCCTGTATATCTCGAATATTTGGGCCCACAAACTAACGAATCTGCCATCGTACAGACTACGCCAAGCTTACGCGAAAGCTCAGTAAAAACCCGGCCGGGCCTGGAGCCCTGGCAGCCCGCAAACCGAATTCACCTCTTCCATGATGACACGGCTTGCGCATCATTTGACGAACGAAGAGAAATTTGCTTGGGGTTTTGGATTCTCTCCCCAGCTCGCCAGGTGCTGCACTTGGGGAATCTACTTGCTTGTTCATTCATTCATCATGGGGTTTTCTTTCGGAGTGGGGTTAGGGGATGGGGCGTTTTTCATGATTATGGTCAATCTTCTTTTTTATTTCCCTTTTTTTATTTATCCGAGCGTGTTCTACTACTGTCTGCAGTTAAAAGGTTGTGGTTTTTTCCCCGTACATTTCTGCCTTTATTTCATCCAGGAGTTGACAGCATCGTTCTGCTTATTCGCTTTTGGGGTCTCAACTTTTTTTTCCAACCATTTTTTTTCTCGTTAGCTTATAGCGTGGATTATGTGCACCTTCGCTATTCTACTCATCACCGTTACAACATTGATTGCTGCGTCTCTTCTCTTCTCTTCTTTCTTTCTTCTTTTTCTATTTTCTATTTTCATTTTCAAAAGAGGGTTTCTTTTTGGATTTCTGATTTTTTTTATATCATACTTCGAATTGGGTACTGTTGCAGTTTTTCCCACTTTTCACTTTCTTTCTTTTCACTCTTTCTTTTCTTTTCCCTCATCTTTCTTTCTTTCTTTCTTCTTTCTTTTTTTGATTACTTTTCTGGGCTCGGGTTTACCTGCATGCATGCGTGTGGTCATGGCGGATTCATTGAGCTTTTTCTCTGTTCTTTCGATTCTTTCGATTCTTTCTTTTTGGTGTGGGTATGTTTTCTTTCTTTCTTCACGGGGTTTTGAGGATTGGGATTGGGATGGGGGTGGGATGGGGATGGGATGGGATTGGATGGGGGTGGGGCATTGTTGCAGCAGGAGGTGGGAGGAGGTGTTTTCTACCACTGGAAGAGTCGGGGTACTCGGGGTTTTCATAGGTATAAAAATCCTCATTTTTTTCTCTTGAGATTTGATCTTCTTGAGAGTTGAGCTTCTTGAGCTGGTACTATAAGGTGAGGGTGGGGAGTGCATTTTATCAAAAGTGATGGGGGCCTGGGGTTTATGGGGTTCTTTTATTTCCTTCATTTTCTTCCCTTCCTTCTTTTTTTTTCATTTTCTTCATTTTCTTTTGATACTCGCAGTTCGAGTGGCCGTCCGGCGTCTATACTAGGTATACTGTACTACTTAGGTATGAAAAGAACTCGATACGAGAACTGTGGTCTATGGCTACTGGTCACGAGTGCTTCTTCCTTGGGTACATACGGTAGTTACCGGGGATATTCGATTCGATACTTATGGCAAAATTATGCCTTCCTTCTTCTTTGGACTTTACCGGGGAATCAATTTCAATATCGATCTCAAAACGGAGATTGGGGGGGGGATAAGGATTGGAATTACGCCTACCGTCAAGGGCCCACCGTCAGGGAAGTCAGGAGGAAAGGGAAGGGCATACCTACTCTACCGTCAGGGAAGGAGAGAAGTGTAGGAAGGCCCAAGTGACCAAGTAACCAACTTCCAAGTGACCAAGTGAAAGAAGTGAAGGGAAGGGGAGGGAAAGAAGGGTCCGTGTGCGATCATCTACGATCTGGATCTGAGATGTAAGTGATCCGATGCCCGGCAGCCGCGATTAGTGCCGCGATGGGGCTGGGGCTGGGCCGCTGCTGGGGTATGGTGGGTATGTGTACCTACTCTACCTAGCATAAATGTAGTTGCGTCCTGCCAGACGAACATGGACGGGTTAGGACGGGAGAAGGGAAGGAGGGAGGAGGGGAAGGGTTCGAGATCGAGTTGGAGTTGGCTAGACGTAAGGGACGGTTCGTAGATGTGGTCTGTGGTCTGTGGCAGTAGCAGCAGCAGTGCGAAGACAAAGACGAGATCATCGGTTCCAGCCAGCTGGCGGATTTCGTTCTCTACGGGATGCTCGCGGGGAGGCTAGAGCATGTACTTACTCTACATAGGGCTCGGCCACGCTTGTATCGTATCGTATCGTATCGTATTGTGGATCGTCTGCTACTGCTACTGCTGGATGCCTAGTTTGTAACTTGGCAGTTGGTATGTAGACGAACCAACATAACCAACGCAACCCACATACAAAAGTTCCCAAAAGCACCCACCGAGCTGAGCTCCCCATCTGAGCTGAACTGGGTTGAATAGAATTGAGCTGGACAGAGCTGAACAGAACAGAACAGAACAGATTCGAATTGAGCTAAACAGGACAGAACAGGACAGAACAGTGCTGAGCTGAATACATAGAGCTGGACAGATCAGACGAGCTCAGAACCGAACAGAACCCGCTAAAGCCCAGCTCAAGCCCACGGCTCCACCCACCACCCACCTACACAACAAGCGGGCCCGGGGGGGCGGGGAGTATCTGGTGGCCTTCCTGCACTTCCATCGCTACTCACCTCCTACTCACCTCCCACCTCCTACCGATATTACATGCGTTGTTGGTGGGTGGATAGTCAGTTAGTGGATGGTCAGTTGGTGGATTATCAGTTGGTGGAGGGCTGTTGGGCCGTGGAGGCCTTCTGCTAGCACTATATCTAGCATCTAGTATACTATGATAGTGTATAGTAGGCAGTAGATGACGATGACGACGTCGCTGCTCGTCTGCTCGTCTGCTGCTGCTGCTGCTGCTGCTGTTGCTGTCTGTGAACTCCCCCACCCCCCACGCACCTCCGAGACGTCGACGGACGGAGGACGGACGAACTGACCGCTTGTACAGTACTTGTACACCTCACACTGCCGGCGAAACCTGGTCCCCTCCGCCGACGTGGACGGACTAGTTGGACACACCAAGTTGAGTAAATTGAGTATAGCACCACCGAGATGGATCATGTATGTACTCTACTTATGTATGATCTGGCCCGGCGGGGCGATTCACTATGTATGTACAGGACCCTACACAACTGTTCCCGTCACGAGTGAAAGAGTGGTCCAGGCCAGGTTCTCTCCACTCTCCACACCTAAGCTGAGCACAGTACTGGCTGAGCAGAGCAGACATGCAACATACCAGCTGGCTGGCTGGCTGGCTGGCTGGCTGTCTTACTCTTACATTGTCACTAACTATACTCTACATAGTACTCTAGTATGATACCGGGTGCTCCGCTGGTCAGTTGTAGGTAGGTCATAGGTCATAGGTGGGTAGGTCATAGGTAGGCCACCTATTCGCACTATAGTACCGGGATATGTGGAGGACTTCGGAGGGGTATTCCAGCCATGTCTTGCCTGTCTGCTCGGTCTCGTTCATTCATGTCTCAAACCCTCACCCCTCCCAGCGAGAGTCATGATTCAGGATTCAGGATTCTGGAATATGCAACTACCATATCTACTCCACCTACGTACAGCCGTCCCCGTCTCGCCGCGCATGCCGATTGTCCTGCAGGGCTATGTATACCCAAATATCCCACCGCCAAAAAAGCAAATTCCTCGTAAAAAATTGCGGTTGCGGTTGCGGGCGATCTAGGGAGCGAGTGCAGGAGTCCGTCAATCGGCCCATTCACGTCACTGGAACTGGAACGGAAGGGTCGGGGTAGGCGGGTGGGCGGGGGGGGCGATATTAGTGCTTACTTTTTGTTGTGACTTGGGGAAATGGGTGAATGGGCGGACCACGTTTTTGGGAAGGGATGAAGGTGGAGGAGGATGGAGGGGAGGGAGGAGATCTGGGGACCGTATGGGACCGGCAATAATCGCCGTATGTATGGGCGGGCTATAGACGGACGGAGGGGGGCCGGTAGTTGCCTGTGTAATTGGACCAGACTGGAACCCTGTGCGGGGGTTCGTGTGGAGATATGTTTGTGTGTTCCGGTACGTCGGGTACGGCGGGAGCATCACGGGCGTTGGCGAATCCATGTAGGAAGGAAGGAAGGAGGGGAGGGGCGCAGAGGGGAAGGAAGAGGCGAGCAATATGTAGAGCGTGACTGGGACTGGCGGGGATGCATGGAGAGTCTTGGGTATCTAGTGGCTGATCCACTCACTCCCTCGCACTCATCCCATCCCATCCTTCCGTTCCGTGCATTCGAGGCGGCCCCTGCCTTCCTCCCCGACGGAAGGAAAGCGAGCGAAAAACCCGTTTATGCGTCCAGGCAGGGAGGGAAGAGGCGTCTCGATCTCGCAAAAAGCAAGCAATGTGCAAGCAATGCAAGCACAAAGTTAAAAGCAAAGTACATGGAAAGCCAGGCGGGCAGCCGTTACCAACAACTGTGCTTCCTCTCCCCTCCCTCTCAACAACGAGGAACGATGTCGGCACTTGTTCCACGGGGTCCTAAATTTCCAGCGGAGCAGCAAGCAGCCCTATGTTGGCCCCCTACTACACATGCACGCAGCATCCCGCACAGGGACGGAGGGAGGAGAGGGGGTAGCTATCAACGCAGCCACCCTCTATTATCCCTTCTTCCCTTCTTCCCCTCTCTTCCTCTCCCCTCCCTCCCATCGTCCCCCCTCCCCTTCGGCAGTCAGTTCAGTCGGGTCCTGTGCTGCCGTGGACTGAACTGCCGAGTCATAGGCGCGGTTGTCCGCCGCGCCTGGCATCTATCTGGCTGCTGGTGGCTGGTGGCAGGCGGACGACGCTGGAGAGATAGCTGAACGAGAGGTCCGGTACATGCCGGTGCGAGGTGCCGCTCGGTAACAACCAGAAGTAAGCTGTGAGCGCGGCTGCCCGCTTTTCCCCTCGATCCATGCGAGTGAGAGGATCGCCGCATCGGCTCTTTTTTCTTTCTTTTCTTTCTTTTTTCGCGGCGCCGTGGTGTTTTAGAGTACGGCTGCTGCTGCTGCTGGTGGGATGGGTGAGCGAGTTGTTGTCGTGGTAGGGCTCAGTGCATCGTCGGAAAGCCGAAGGGGATGGATAGCCGCAGTACGACTGTGTCGTGCGCGTGTCCGTGGGGAAACATGCGGCGTATATGCCCTGTACGTCTGTAGATTCTTGCCCAAAGGAGATCCGAGCGGCAGGCGTATGGAAGGATGGGTAAGTGGGTAGTCGTATTATCATGCGTCAGCTCTTTGCTTTCATTCATTCTTTCCTTACCGTGCGTACCGCACAATAGATTGCGTTGTGGCTCGACGTCGTACCAAGCTGTATGCAGAGGGCGCATTGATTTTGAGTGCGTCGTCGTCTGTTGCCGCGCCGTCTAGATCTCGCTCCCGCCCTCAATTTTGCGGGTATCTGAGATAGATAAGGTTATTATTAAAAATCCCTTGGTTTTTTCTCCGCCTAGGATGATCTGCGGAATCAAAGCAGGGTGAACGATCATCAGGCAAACCACCCTGGAAAGAAATCCAGGCTGAAAAACGAAAATTTGAGGACCGAGTAAAGAAAGTGCCGCTGCACGAGACAACTGCCAGCTTCGAAACCCCGCCCACAGTGCCAGCCGCGTCGTCATCATGATCGTCTTGCGTTACGTATCCGAAGGAGCACTATTGCAGCGATGGGAGGCCTATGGCTTCATCGTGCTTGTTGTGTTTCCCCCCTCCCAGGCACAGGGTCACTTAGTTTTTTATTTTTTTTGCAGATATCGCCGTTTGCTAAGAACGATGTGCGGAGCCTGGTGGTGCGCCCCGCTCACCCGTCCACGGGTGGAGACACTGGCGATGGATCGAATGACTCGATCCCACCGGCGTCCTCTATGGCGCGATGTTGGTCAGCTTTGATTCGCTCTGCCCCCCCCCGTTGAACGTAACTGCTGATTGCGGTGCGGTGCGGGGCAGTAAGAGCTATAGCAGAGGCAAATATAATAAGCTGTGCTCACCCATCGAACCGTAGGGTATGTGTGTATACGCACCTAGGTATGTACACCATAGCACCATGGTAGGAAGTCCCTTCCCCCTCCCATCCTGGATTCACCCTCAATGTCTGACATGTGGCCAGAGAAAAAAACACACAGCATCGCGGTCACCATCACACACGTATGATTCATGGTATCAACTCGTGCCAAAAGCCTCGCCCCTGGAGGAAACACGTATCGAAGCTTCGTTGGCAATAGTAAGGTTTTTTTTGCTGCTCCTGTGACTCCTCCCTGTGTTCCGAGAGATGGTTGCTTTCTCGGCACAATTTCCTAATAGATACGAACCCCTCCCTATAATAGGTGCTCCGAGGGGGGAATTATGATATGATGGAGGACCAGCCCTCCCTCCCCAGTGTCGAGTCTCCCAGCTCCCGAGCTGTGTCGAGCCTAACAAGACGTGATAGTTTTCGGAGAGACGCAGGCAACCGTCGACAGTTCTTGCCGTCAAACGACCGCTCTCGCTAGCACCCTATCGTGTGATTCGACCATCGTCCAACTGCCGTGGAATCGCGGAAGATGGCATCATGCCCCGACGCATCTACAGTGCCATCCATCGATAGGTACGTGGGGAATCATCAGTTGAGGTTGTAAGTAAAGATAAGCCAGACCCTCAAATTTCGGCCGGCACAGCCCGCTACCCCGGATGGAAATGTGCTCCTGACCGCTGGGGAGTCGTGATACCGAGCCCTTTTTTCTTCGTACTTGTCGGGAGGCTGCAGCGACGAGACGCTCACGTCCAATCACTCGGGTGCTGTGGTACCGGGATGCTGATCGCCCGATCGGGATCCCGATAGACGAGGGCGTGGGATCGGCGATGCCGCCATGACCGAGCGCCGAAGATAGCCGCCGAGCGGCGATCCGAAAAGGCGCAGGACCGCAGGTGCTGCTGCGGAACAACCCGAGCCGCGCTAACGGATCGATCACTAATCAATCGCGACGAGAGTGGCGTGCGGCGGCGTGCGATGTGGAAATGACTACGGGTATCGTTCCAATCAGCAGTGCGTGCGCATAGACACCCGTCCTTTCGCGTCGCGGCTCTTTGAGATGCGCTGTGTGTGGAGCAGCGACCAGTGAAGGAGGACGCAATCGGATGACTCTGCTCGGCATCGCATTGCTCACGGGGGAAGAGGGGCGACGACGCACCTAGCACGCAATTCCGGGCCAAGAGTGTGAGGATGCCACGTGCGCCGGGCGGAGGCCGTAGAGCATGTAGGGTAATTCAGTACTTATTGATCAGTAACTAAGCGACGGCCTGCGAACCGAGCCGCACGCAAGGACGAGCGTGCAACGAGAATCGCCAAACAGCGGTACTCGTCGCGACCGTATGTAATCGGGGAGGGGGAGGGGGGGCTCTTTCGGAGCAGAATCGGCCATCGACTGTCAGCAAGGAAGGTTCGTGCGCGGCGGCGGAGTTGCGCGTTGTGGGGTAAGATAGAGTGAAACCGGTCCCGCAGTTGCGAGCGCGTATATGTAGGGAAGTGGTCGCTGGTGGCTCGTCGGAGATCAGCGGACTTCGGTGGAATCAAAGAAAAAACGCCCGGCTCTGAATTGGTAAGCGGGCTTCGAGCCAGGTCGTTTGACTCCACCCTCTCCCTCCAGAGTTTGTAGCCCAACTCCGGGTCCATTCCAGAGCTCTGCCGCTTCTGCTTCTGCTTCTGCTTCGTTGAATGGTGCCTTGACTTCCTCTGCTTCGTTGAATTGTGCCTTGACTTCCTATACTAGCCCCCCCATCTCCCATCTACAGGTAAGCTTCCAGTCACCTACCTATATCCTCCTTCAAAGTGCTCATTGAAATTCATCCATTCTATCCAGCCAACTCGCACCCCGTCCCCCACTACAGTTCCTATAAACAACGACCTAGTGGGCACGTTGTTTTGCCCGTAACGAGAGACATCCGCCGCCTACCGAAAATTAGCTTGAGCCGCAATCACTCAGCAACCTCAATCGGATCCCCGCCCCCAATAACTGCGTACTCGGCCATTACATATATCCCTCCCCCATCGATTGCGGCATCCGGCTCCTTCTTTCGTGATCGATACCCATACCATAGAACCCGCCTCCCAAGCTCTTCAAATCGGCAGATACAACCATGGGCCTCCTGTAAGGCTGCATCTCCCATCCCATCCCGTTCCCCGCCTATCCCCCGCAATTTAAACTCGGAAACTCACCCGTACTCTTTCCTTTAGGGCTCTCGGGACTCCGCTTGATTGGGAGAATGCGAAGCAGCGTGCCGACCAAGTGCGGACTCTCGGAATCCAGGTACGCACCACCCTTTCCCTCTCCCCGTCCGCGCTCTTCGTGCCATCGTGTTGCGAACCCCCCGAGAGAGAGAAAAAAGAAAAAAAAAGGCGAAATACGAAAAAAATAATTCTCCTATTCTTCCTACGCACGAATGAATATATGTGTGATGTGGCGCCTGACTCGGGGACGGTTTCTTCTGTAATAGCAACTCCTCGAAATATGGAATGCGTATCGTGGAAACGAGCGAGACATTTTGCTGTGGGGTGATGAGGTCTGTGGCATCCCGCCTCCCCCTCCATATATTCGTGTCTCAGCGGCGCAGGAAGCTGACATGCCTCAACCCTGCGTGATCAGATCGAGTACCTCGTAATTGCCTTCGACGAAGAGACAAAAAATGCATGTCTTTCTTTGAGGCAAGCCGAAATCCTCGAGGCCTTGGCTGCCGATGGCAAGCTGAGGGCCGCCGGTGGAGGCGTCCCGGAACTGCAGGATGTTCTACAAGAGTCTGTCCGACCTTGCCATAACGTGCCTTCTGTTGCGATTGTCTGATGGGAGGCTGTGCGACAGAAAACCAGAACCGCTGCCGACTTTCCACCCCGAGTTCGGCCGGTTCATGCTCGAGGCCACTCCCGGCGCGCCTTTCTCGCTGGCGTGGAAGGACCTGCTGAGTGTTGAGCCGAACATGAAACTTCGGTAAGGGACTGCAATCGACACGACCCATCGTGCAGGAGGACATTTGCTCATCGTTCGTTGTGTGGATCAGGAGAACCATCGCAAAGCAGCACATGGCTGCGAACGAAGTGCCAATCACCATTCCGTCCTTCCCCCGCCTCGGTACGAAGGGTGTGTTTACCAACCCGTATTACCCTCCGACCGGGCCCCAGTCCCGCAGCCAGTTCATTCCCGATGAATGCATCAACCCACATATCCGCTTTCCAACATTGGCCGCAAATATCAGGTCTCGGAGGGGCAGCAAGGTGGCCATCAACATGCCCGTGTTCTACGATGACAACACGCCAAAGCCTTTCAACGATCCCACAATAGACTATGATAGACATCTGTACCCGGAGGATGACGACGTGAGGAATGGCGCAGCCAAGGAAGGCCACATCTACATGGACGCAATGGGGTTCGGAATGGGCTGTTGCTGCTTGCAGATCACGCTGCAGGCGAAGAACATCACCGAAGCACGCACCTTGTACGATCAGCTCTGTCCACTCGGGCCCATCATGCTGGCGTTGACGGCGTGTGCCCCTGTCTTCAAGGGCTTCCTTGCCGACGTCGACGTGCGGTGGAATGTTATCTCTGGGGCTGTCGATGACCGCACCGAGGAAGAGCGCGGTATCAAGCCTCTGGAGAACAACCGGTGGAAGATTCCTAAGTCGCGGTACGATTCCGTGTCTGCTTATCTGTCGGAGGACCCCCGCCTGCGCCCCGAATACAACGACCTCGATTTGGTGGTCGACGAAGACATCAAAAAGAGGCTAATAGACAACGGTATACCCCCTCTGCCTCGTATTTATCATGCGATCAGCCTTGCTAAGTCATTCATGAAGGAATGGATGAACGGCTGTCGACACATTTCGCTCACCTGTTCATTCGGGATCCCATTGTCATCTTCCAGGAGACATTGGAGGAGGCTCCAGAGGGGAAAGCAGACCACTTTGAGAACCTCCAGTCCACAAACTGGCAGCACATGCGCTTCAAACCTCCACCACCAGGCGGAAACATTGGCTGGCGTGTTGAGTTCCGAAGCATGGAAATCCAGATGACGGACTTTGAGAATGCTGCATTCTCCATCTTTATCGTCTTGCTGACCAGAGTGATGCTCTCGTATGGCCTGAACTTTTACATTCCTATCTCCAAGGTTAGCTGCACCTCCTGCCAAAGGCGTACGCCGTTGTAAGAATAAGAAGGAAGGGCACATACTGATGGGCCTTTGCAGGTGGATGAGAACATGACAACCGCGCATTACCGGAACGCCGTCCTTGCGAACAAATTCTGGTTCCGCAAGAACCTCTTCCCCCCAGCGCCCATCTCCAACCGCAACTCACCGTCGGGCAGCCGTGCACCCACGCGGCCGGTAACGCCTGTAGCAGTGGAGGATGAATACGGGCTCATGACCATCGACGAGATCATGAACGGCACCGGCGAATTCGTGGGACTGATACCGCTGATCAACTCGTATCTCGACACGGTAAATGTGGATGTCGTCACGCGCTGTGAACTCGCGGGGTACCTGGCGCTGGTGTCGAAGCGTGCCAGTGGGGAGCTGCAGACGGGCGCGACATGGATCAGAGAGTTTGTCAAGGCGCACCCGGAATACAAGAAGGACAGCGTGGTTAATGAGCGCATCAATTACGATCTTATGAAGGCGGTCGAGAAGCTGGGGTGCGACGGATACCTGGAAGGTTTAGGCGAGAAGCTGCTGGGACGTCGGGACGAGTAGGGGGCGGATGGGGGGAGGTAGTAGACACCGGGTGAATGGTGATGATGTGACGGACGTACAACACACTTAGATGATAGATTTTCTTCCTTCTTTTTTCTTTTTTTTCTTTTCGGTTTTGTGAGGACGAGCCTGTTGAGTAACGGTAACCCGAAGGTGCAATTACAAGTGCATAAAAAATGATTTTTGGCCGAGTTCAGTGTTTGCATATGGGTTCTTGACGGAGTTCTGCTGCGAGTGTGTTGCTTTTTCCGCAGCATTCAGAAGGGGGGATACAAGCCATCGACGGGGAAGAGATGTGTTTCCGGTGCTCCAAAAAGCGCTTACCTACTAGTATTGTATGTATCGATTGTCTGCCAAGTATGCGGTCGGAGTTGGACATCACATCAGGTACGCTGCTCCACGAGCCATGACTCGCCATCTCCCTCTCAACCACCGCAGCCCATCGACCGCCCCCCCCCTCCCTCTGTCTCTCGGATCGCCAACCACCGCTTCCAACACTCAGTCCAATAGTTCACCACCAATCTGCCCCATCCCCGGCCCCCGCACACTGGGCACTTTCTCTGCATTGGCTCTGCACTGGTACAGCACGCAAAACCAACCACATCAACACATCAACACATCAAACGCACCCCCCATCCCGCATCGGAACGGGAGAACGCATAATATCTACGAACCTACAGACCTGCAGAGACTGGGGGCGCTCGACGAATCACAACGCTCCGCTCCGATCCTGCGGGGGTATGCGGGATCGTATGCTATCGTATTTACGTGACGGGGCGGGGGAGGGGAGCCTGGGGGGCGGACGGATAGGTTAATTACGTAGGTGGCTGCAGGCACAAGGGAGGGAGGAGGGACGGGGGGCGAGGGAGGGGGAGGGGTAGTATCAGCTGGGCGTTCTGGACCGGTCCGTGCGGCCTGGGGGTGCTTTGCGAAATATGGGGAGATGGGGAGGGGGAAGAGGGCGAACGGGGATGCTCCTGCGGGTTCGAAGCTTGACCAGTATGTATGTAGGTCCCCACCGGCCACCACCGGGGCTACTCTACAAACGAACGAACGAACTGATGAACTGACAGGCAGCGGGTGATGGGTGATGAGAGGTGGTTGGAGGGGGGGGTATAGAGCACCATCTCTATAGCATCTCTACGGATACCCCCCTTCTCTGCACCTTCGCAACGCAGCTGTGCAGCGTGCTGTCCACAATCTCGCCCATGTCCCTGCCGCTTCCGGCCGTTACATACTTATTTGCTGGCATCCACCCACCAACCCACCCACCCACACCCACAAGTGACCCACTCCCCCTCCCCGGATCCCAGTCATCTGGTTCGCAAGTCCAGAGTCGTGTCGTGTGTCGTGTGTTGTGTCGTGTTGGCCGCGACTCGCTCGCTCGCTCGCAAGACAGACAGACGGAACGGGACTGGGCTGGCTGCAAAACTGGCTGCGAGCAAAACTAACTACCGTCCAATCTATGTTTGAGCTCCTAGGTCCATGGTCATATGTCGGTAGGCGGGGAGCGGGTTGGGTGAGGGGAAGGGGGACAGAGCTTTTGCACTTTTGTGCTTCCCGACGATGTCCGGAGGGGCTCGACTATCGTGCTCCCGATGCATCGAGGCGTGTGTGGATGGCTACTGGCCGCTGGCATGGCATGGCATGGATTGTTGGATTGATGTCATGTGATGGCTTGGGGGTCCGTGGGTGACTTGTGGTGTGGCAGGTCGCAGGTGGCAGGTGGCAGGTTGCGAGGTTGCGAGGTGTGGCATGCGAGTGATGCCTGGCCGGTCCGTCTTGGGGAAGATCCGCTGCGGACCTGCGGTGGTGAGTGATCATGGATCGAACGAGATGGTGTTCTTGGTTTTTTATACTATTCTGTGTTTGGCCGTTTCCGGTCACGTTGAATCCTGTATGCCCGAAAGTCCTATTCGCTTCTTCCGCGTTGCCATAGAATCGACGGAATGACATTGTGACGTGAGGGATCAATGTGATGGTTCTACAGTGGTACTGCGAACTTGGTATATGGTGACAAAGAAAAGAAAAAGAACAGACAGGTAAAAAAACACCGTGACGAAATCAGTCAGAAGAAGCAATCAACCTTTCAAGCGCCTGATATCCCCAATCCCCAATGCAAGGAACAGAAAACAATCTATCTACTGCTTGTTGATGTCGGCCTCAACACCCCTCACATTGGTCTTTCCCTGGTCGTGCTGGCTCTGGTAGGCACCTATTCGTTACGCATCAGTCCACATCCTTTCACCATCATCACCCGTCGGGTAGGTAGTAAACTCACTCTGAGCCTGAGGATTTCCCGTGATTCCCGCAACGACCGAACCGATAGCGCCAGTGACCCTGTCAGCCGCGCCACCAACATAGTCCTTAATCTGACCGGCGGCCTCGCGTCCCTGGCCCTCATCGTTCTGGCGGCGGCCCTCACGGACCAGCGCATCGTTGCCGAGGGTGTTGCCCATAAACTCCTTGCCCGAGCCAACGAACTGGTCCTTCTTGCCGCCGATGCGGTCCTCGTTGTCGACGGTTACGCCCGACGTGGAGAAGTTGAGAGGGCCGGCTTTGGCGCCTGCGCGAGACGCGTCACGCTCGGCGTCAGCGGCGACGTGCTTATCGGCTGCGGCTTGCTTGTCAATCGGGTTGCCTGGGAATGGGTTAGTTAGGGATATAATTGGATGGATGGGGCAGGATGGACATACCGGTGATCGAGCCGACGACGTTCTGAACCGTAGCGGCGGCAGAGTCGACGTAGGACTTGACGGTAGAAGGCTGCTGGTTGTTGGCGGACATGATTGTAGATGTGTGTGTGGTGGTGGTGTGTTTGGTTGTTTGGTTGTTTGGTATGGAGGTAGTTTGTGTTGTGCGTGTGGATTGTAGATGTGAAGATCTGCTGTGTTGTGTGATGGTAGGAAGAGAACCCGGGGTGGAAAGAAGTCTTTATAGAGATTGACAGCAGAAGCTTGTCTCTCACGATACCAAGTATCTACGGTCTGTAGGTACTTGTTCCTTTGATGTCTCACTTAGTTTGTGGTGACGCATGATGTCATATCATAGTATGACGTAAATACCGGGACGGGCTTTTGAGCTAAGCTTTCCTTGCAGCTCGCCAAAGGGGGGAAAACCCTAGATCAGCACCGGGAAAAACCAAGGCAGTGCCGACTCCAAAAGGGAAAGAGAGTCTGGAAACATCATTGACCCGCTGCAGAGGAAGTTCATCCTCGTCATCTATCTACATCATACTACCGTACAGGCAGGCGCCATGTGATTCCGCACGATCGTGAACGGTGGTAGGTGTTCTCATCACGATTCACAGCCATTCAACACTAGATAATATGAAGGCATCGATCGAACATTCCCGTACAAGGAACTCTCGTGGCCGAATCGGCTGCTCGAGCTTGATCCACATCTGGTGCTGTGCTATGACTAGCTGGATCCAACACATACCTGTATGGGGGCGGCGACAACGGCAACCACTCGTTCCTACCGCAGTCCCGCCTTCAACGGACATGTTCGTTCTCCAGATCTATCGTTTGACCACCTTCCCTTAGTAAACCTCACCACCTCCGCCCCCACGGCCTCCAGAAACCTCCTCGACCTAAGTATTCTACCTAAACAGACGTGTTCTTTCGCACCCCAACAATCTATGCGGTTTTCAAAGGATGTCCATTGGGATAGAGGGGATGTATCAAGACATCGACGAGGGCAAAGCGGTTTCCATTGAGGATGACTCGGTGGCAGAGCTTTCTTGGCGCATTACCGACGCCCACCAATCCACAAACATACATACCCCATAAAGCGATAGGTACCCGGAGGAGATGGAGTGTGTGTGCCTATTGTCCCGAGATGAAGAAACCTTAGGTATGTGTGTACGTCTCGAAGCTGGAGGAGCTGGAGGAGCTGAAGGCTGAAGCGGAGATCCCAAACGCGGGACGGAAGGAAGGAAGAGAAGAGAAAACCGCTCCACGTTGAGCGGTTGTTGTTGCCCCTTCGTTCGCTCAAGGCAAACCTTGGTGGTCTCGAGATCGATGTGAAGGATTTGGGCAGGTTGTTTGGGCGGCACCGCCTTGAGGCCGAGATGGCAGACATCATCACTCTTTTTGCTGCGGCGTGACCGTGAGTTGAGATGTTTATTATCTTTACATTTTGTAGATGGAATGGCGGGGTTTAACTCCATGTAACGGTGGTTTCTCGAGTCGAGGGGCGATTAGGGGCTTCTGTTTAATCATCATTGCATTCGACCTTTTGGATCATCGTAGTTACATAACCTGTTCCACTCCCCACTGCCCTGACCGCTGGCCGCGAGCTCGATGTAGGTTCCCCAACGCTCTCCACCCAGCTCATGATTAGGTGGTTTGCCTACACTTCACGTGGGGAACATTCCTCAATTGACATCGACGCATTCATGTATCATTATTTACACCACCACCACCACTCATCTCTGCACAATAGATAGAACTTTTGAGCAAACCCAAACGCCAACAGGAAATATGCAAAATATGACTGCAGCATCACTCCTTCGCAACAATCATCGCCTCCCTCTGCGGTATCCTCCGCGAATCCTTCTTCTTCGAGTGACGCCGCCTGTTCTCCTCTCTGCGCTTGATCGATGCCAGCTCCTCCTTCTTGATCTCACCAGCCTTCTTGATCGGCTGTGGCACGTGGCGGTGGCGAGATATCCGTTTGATCTCCGGCATGTGCTTGTATCGTTCCTTGAGCGCGGCGTCGTACTCCAGCTTGGTACGTTCCTTGGCTGACCGGACGTGCGAGCGCTCAGAGGCCTGGGCGCGCCACAGACGGACGTTGCCGTCGTCGGAGCCGGAGAGGACGTAGCGGGTGTCGGTAGTGAAAGCGACGGAGAAGACACGCTGCATGCGTTTGGTGTGGTAGATGTCGCTGTAGTGTTCAAGTTAGCACCCAAACAATTGGTCGGTGGATGGGAGGTTTTCCTACCGAGAATGTCCTTCCCTCGCCTTGTAGATCCTCACAGTGCGATCGTAACTTCCCGTCACCAGCTCCTCACCCGTGGGCGAATAGTCCACATCCATGACCGCAGCGACGTGGTCCTTGAGGATATTCAATGCGCGGTCCATCTTGCGCATATCGAATATATAAACGTTGTGGTCTTCGTTTGCTGCCGCAAAATTGAACGCCTCCATAGGGTTCCAGCAGATCTGGTTGGTCCTCAAGGCTGTGGTAATCTTTGATAGCGGCGAGTTGGTGCGGAGGTCGTACAGGATCAACGTTCGGTCACCGCCGGCCGAGGCTAGCACAGACGTCTCGCTCTGGTTGAACTTGACAGTCGTGATGGTGTCGGCGCCCCACTGCAGCGTAGTAATCGGCTTCTGTCGGCTCCAATCCCAAATGTCGACGGTAGACGAGGCGGTAGCGAAATTCCGATCGGTGCGATGATGCGAGACAGCATTAAACGCACCGGTACCAAAGAACGTCGCCACCGGCGTATTATTCCCAGTACCATTCTGCTCAGGATCCCACAGCTTGACCGTACGATCGCTCGCACACGACAGGAGCCTGCTGTCGCCTCCCACAGATGTAAAACACAGTCCTTTAACGATCCCCTCATGCGCATGCACAGCCATAACTTCCTTCCGATCCACCAGATCCCAGATCTTGACCTCACCATCGCCGGAACCAGAAGCGACCCGGTCCAGCCGCCGCAGGTCTTTCGCAAAGCTGTAGACACCATCGATGTGGCCGCTGCCCAACTGCGCGATGAAGGGCTTTGCAAACATGCGCTCCATCTTCGTCGCCGTTAGGGCGCGCGTATATTCACGCGCCTTCTCGAACGGGTGCAGTTCGGGATTCAGGTTGCGTGGCTGCACCACCGCCGTGGTGCCGGTGGGGTTGTAGGTTTCGGACGAGCGGGAGAGGGCTTTGATTTTCTACCATGCTGTTAGCAACGACGTAACTACGGTAGAGGATGGCGAGAAGAAAGGCGGGGAGAGCTTGCCATGGTGTGCGGTTGTTGGAGGCGGGATTGAAATGTTGAGTGCGGGAAACTTTTGATTGAAATTATTCAGTGTGGTGTAACCACGCTAAAGAATTTAAAGCCTAGTTCAACTCGGGCTTGATTTTGAGCCGAGTGATATCGCATGCCAAGCTCGTGATAGTTCTTCGTGGTGCCCGAAACTGTCACTTCCATGTGTATTGGTAGAGTAGGAGAAGTCGTTAATTCACCGGAATCTCTTGGATGAAAAGTTTCTCTGTCATGATATCACCGTGATCTAGAAGTCATGGCAGGTTTATTCACTTCCTCTCTCCACTGCTAGAGACACTTGTGACCACAGCGTTGCATCACTTATCCCTCCGTTACCGCGTGAGGTTTGGCCCATCGTTTTCCAGCTCGTCCCCCTACAAAAAAGAGCGGGGATGTGTGTTTAGGAGGGGGATATCTGCTCATCCCTCATCACAACGTCGAACCCAATGGAATGTCAATGCATACATTGAAGTATTGACTCGGCATAATCAGCATCACTACCATTTTTCGGTAATAATATGAGTTCCCTCACAGGACTCATTCACTCTCACTTATTTTACCCTGTAGTTGTTGAGAGGTTCCACCGTTAGTTAAGCTAACCATAACTCTGACTTCTCGTGGAGTGCCAAAACCACTCGTTTCCCCGCGGTTCGAAGTTGGAAGCTACACACATATAGTAGCTACTAGTAGTCCACTATTGAATAGAATTTCATAAGCCCTTACAATGTTCCGCAATTTAGCAAGCTTCTGAACTCCGAGATGAAAGAATCCACACTGATCCTCCTTCAATGCTTCGCGTGACAGTCCATGAAGATGTCAACCCTAAGCCCTGTACGGCAGGGCGTCAATGTTAGTGCCCTTCTCCCCGCATGTGTGTAACGTAATGGAAGCTGCTTGATCTCCATCACCCAACGCGTTCTTTTCCCTTCCCAGGCTTCAACCTCTTCAGCACATTACAAATCATCGTTCGCCTATTCAGTAACGCTTCCCCTCCATGACCTGTCGGCAGCTTTGACTTTCCGTGCTTCTGCTAAACTGTTCCTTGCTTGATAGTCACTGTCGTCACCTCGCCTCCACCCAACGTCTTCCAAAGTGTCGAAAAGAAAGGCTTCGAACGATACTCTCGTTCGCCCGGAGAAGCTCGCAACTATGGTAGACTACCGTCAGGATGATGGGGTTGATGGAATATCGAGCTTATGGATTTAGGATACCACAAAGATGCAGATCGATTCGCCGGCCGAAGCTCCGAGCTCTACCATCGATGAGGGACTCTACAGTCGTCAGCTGTACTTATCTCACTCGACGTCGTGAATGGAGCTCCTACTGATCAATCACTAGATACGTGCTTGGCCATGAGGCGATGAAACGCATGAGTCAGTCGGATATTCTGATCGTTGGACTCAAGGGACTCGGTGTCGAGATCGGTAATGACGCATACCAGGCCATGCTACGTGGGGGAGGGGCTGCTAACTTGCCACAGCAAAAAACATCTGTCTTGCCGGTGTCAAATCCATCTCCCTTTACGATCCGGGCGCCGTCGACATCGCCGACTTGTCGGCACAGTTCTTCCTTCGCGAGGCCGATGTGGGGAAGCGACGAGACGAGGTTTCCGCCCCCCGGTTGGCCGAGCTCAACAACTACACCCCAGTAGAAGTCGCCCCGTCAGATGTCCTTGGCCAAGATCTGTCGCAGCTGTCGCAATACAAGGCAGTTGTCTTGACCGACTATCCTTTGTCCGAGCAGCTCCGGATCAACGAATTTTGTCACCAAAACAAGATCGCCTTTGTATCCACAACCACCCATGGTCTCTTCGGAAACATTTTCTGCGATTTCGGTGCCGAGTTTGCGGTCGTTGATCCGACTGGTGAGACCCCGGTGAGCGGAATCTTGGCGGGGATCGACGAGACAGGATTGGTCACTGCTCTGGATGAGAGTCGACACGGATTGGAGGACGACGATTATGTCACCTTCAGTGAGGTTCAAGGGATGGACAACATCAACGGTGCAGAGTTTAAGGTGGAAGTCAAGGGTATGGCATGCTTCCTGCGACACAGTGACTCTCACTAATCGCGTCTTGCAGGACCGTACACCTTTTCCATCGGCGATGTCTCGAGCTACGGAATGTACGTGCGCGGAGGCCAGTTCACGCAGGTCAAGAAGCCTAAGATCATCAACTTTAAGTCTCTGGCGGAACAGCTCGCCGCACCAGAGTTCGTCTACTCCGATTACGCCAAGTTCGACAGGCCGATGCAGCTTCACGTTGGTTTCCAGGCGGTTCAGCAGTTCCAGGAGGCACGTGGATCGCTGCCTCGTCCCATGAACAAGGAGGATGCCGCTGAAGTGTTCGGCCTTGCCACCAAGATCGCGGAGACCTACGGGGATGCAAAGCCGGAGTTGGACCAGAAGCTTATCGACGAGCTTTCTTTCCAGGCTATGGGTTACCTGTCTCCGATGTGTGCGTTGTTCGGCGGAATGGCAGCCCAGGAGGTGCTGAAGAGCGTGTCCTGCAAGTTTGGACCAATTGTCCAGTACATGTACTTCGATTCTTTGGAGAGTTTGCCGACTTCTGTCACTCGGTCCGAGGAGACTTGCAAGCCGTTGGGTACTCGTTACGATGGCCAGATTGCTGTGTTTGGAAAGGAGTTCCAGGACAAAATCGCCAACATGAAGCAATTCTTGGTTGGAGCTGGTGCTATCGGTTGCGAGATGCTCAAGAACTGGGCACTGATCGGTCTGGGCACTGGTCCCAAGGGCAAGATCTCGGTCACCGACATGGACACCATCGAGAAGAGCAACTTGAACCGACAGTTCCTTTTCAGGCCGGCTGATGTTGGAAAGCTGAAGAGCGAGTGCGCCGCGACCGCCGTGCAGGCGATGAATCCGGATCTGCAGGGCAGGATTGAGACCATGAGGGATCGTGTGGGTCAGGACACGGAGAATGTCTTCAACGAGGACTTCTGGCAAGAGCTCGACGGAGTTACAAATGCGTTGGACAATGTTGAAGCGCGAACCTACGTCGATCGCCGCTGCGTTTTCTTCATGAAGCCACTTCTCGAGAGCGGTACCCTCGGGACCAAGGGAAACACGCAAGTGGTGCTGCCTAGGATAACCGAGAGTTACTCGAGCTCCCAGGATCCTCCGGAGCAGTCCTTCCCTATGTGCACTCTGAGAAGTTTCCCAAACAGGATCGAGCACACCATCGCTTGGGCTCGTGACGTGTTTGAGAACTACTTCGTCCAGTCGGCAGAGAATGTGAACCTGTACCTCTCGCAGCCTAACTTCCTCGAGTCCACCCTCAAGCAGTCCGGCGACCAGAAGCGAATCTTGCAGACCATCAAGGACTACCTCGTCTCTTATAAACCCATCACATTCGAGGAGTGCATTGTTTGGGCTCGCAAAGAATTCGAGGAACAGTACAATAACAACATCCAGCAGCTTCTGTTCACTTTCCCGAAAGATTCCGTGACTTCGTCGGGAACCCCGTTCTGGAGCGGACCCAAGAGGGCACCTAACCCCTTGACGTTTGACGTTTCCAACCCGGAGCACATGCTTTTCGTTAAGGCTGCGGCTAATTTGCACGCTTTCAATTATGGTATTAAGGGCACCAACATTGACGATTCCACTTACCGAAAGGTTCTCGACAACATGATCATTCCTGAGTTCACGCCGAGCTCCAGCGTGAGGATCCAGGCGAATGACAGCGAGCCGGATCCAAATGCCAACCAAGGGTCCAGCTTCGACGACCAGACCGAGCTGAACAACCTCGTTGACAGCTTGCCCCCACCAAACACCCTAGCCGGCTATAGACTCACCAAGGTAGAGTTCGAGAAGGACGACGATACCAACCACCACATGGACTTCATCACTGCCGCGTCCAACTTGAGGGCCCTTAACTACAACATCCCTATTGCCGATAAGCACAAGACCAAGGGAATTGCTGGCAAGATCATTCCCGCCATTGGTAAGTCGTGAGATTTTGGATCCTTGGATACAATAGGAACTGATAAATGTTACAGCCACGACCACTTCGTTGGTCACTGGTCTCGTCTGTCTCGAGCTCTACAAGCTCATCGACGGCAAGAACAAGCTTGATGACTACAAGAACGGTTTCATCAATCTTGCTCTGCCGTTCCTGGCTTTTAGTGAACCCATTGCCAGTCCCAAGGGCAAGTACGTCGGAAAGAACGGAGATGTCGAACTGGACAAGCTGTGGGACAGATTCCAGTACGACCAGGACATCACTCTCCGGGAGTTCTTGAACGACATGGAGTCAAAGGGTCTGGAGGTGACCATGTTGAGCTCTGGCGTTAGCTTGCTCTACGCGAGCTTCTTCCCCAAAAAGAAGAGGGAAGAGCGCTACGGATTGAAGTGAGTTTATTACCCGCTGTAGATACGAGGGACATTTTGCTGACGATATAATTAGGATGAGCAAGCTCGTCGAGTTTGTCTCGAAGGTTCCGGTGCCGGAGCACACCAAGAACCTGATCTTTGAGGTGTGTGTGGACGACCAGTCGGGTGAAGACGTGGAGGTTCCTTTTGTCTGCATCAAGTTGAGGTAGAGTTAGGGGTGTTTTGCAGAATGCGTTGGAACGTGAATTCATGCTTGTTTGTAATTCTTATGAGCTGTTGTTCTGGGTGGGACTCCCTACGTTAGAGAAGATTTCTCCCCCCAATAAGAACAAAGCCGAGTGATACCTTGCTTGAGTATAACCTTGATGGTGGCGATTCGCCACAAATGACGTGCACCCCTGCTCCAATCAGCCACGCCACGGGGCGCGTCCCTGTCGCTGTGGTTGTTCCAGCACGCTCACCTCGTTAACAAACACCTACAACCACTTCACCAAACACGACCATTACCACATCATGGCTTCCTCCAGTGCCTCCAACTCGATGAACGCCTCGAAACGTCTCCTAAAAGAAATCAAAGACTATGCGAAATCGCCGAATCCGGTGTTGGCATCGCTCGGCCCCATCGACGACGATGACCTCCTACACTGGAGCGCCGTGCTCCTCGGCGCGCCCGAGACCATCTACGAGGGCTGTCGCTGGACAATCGACATCCAGATCCCGGAGCAGTACCCGCACAAGCCGCCGTTAATGGTGTTCAAAACTCCGTGCTGCCATCCGAACATCCACCTTAAGGTCAGTTTTTTTTTTACCGTAGATGTAGATGTGTGCGCCCCCACTGCAGGAGCGAGCGCGAGCTGATCATGATGATGATGATGGGGATGTAGACGGGAGAGATCTGCCTCGATCTCCTGCGAGGCACCGCGTGGTCCCCCGCGTACACCATCAGCACCACGCTCACGGCCATAAGCCACCTGCTCACACAGCCGGAACCGAATAGTCCGCTGAACGTGGATGTCGCGGCGGTGCTTAGGGTAGGCGATACCGTCGGTTACGAGAGTCTGGTCAGGGTTTGGGGCGTGCTGTTTGCGGGGAAGCCGCCGACTACGGGATGGTAGTTACTACAACTACAACTACAGTGCGGCATAGTTGGAGGGGAGGGGAGTTTTGTTTGTTTGTTTGTAAGTTTTTTTGGCTTGGTTTGGTTTGGTTTGGTCTGATTTTGATTTTGCGTGCGTTGTAATGTCGAGTTTACTCCGAGTTATATATGGGCTTTGCGGGGGTTTCGTTACTGGCGATGTTTTTTTCTTGCATACAGAAAGCTCAATCGATACTGGATTTGATGTTGCGATTCAGCATACATGCAAGTGCAGTGCATATCACGCTACTAGGCATAGCACAGGGAGGGTGAGATCTTTCAAGCCTTCCATAAATCTATCCTCTCTTGTCCGGCATATCATCAATCAGATCGTTCCGGACGTCCTTATGGCTCCAGTCGGTCTCGTTCCTCATGCACAGCCTTATTTGTGCCTCCGAGGGTGTCGACGACACTAGCCGCGCCTTACTGCCCTGCTTCATGATTCCCCATAGGTGCATTCTCGATGGAACAGGATGTGTGAGTGTGCAGCGGAGGAATACCTACGATTGTGTTTACAAGTATAAGGTATGTACGTTGACCTGAACTTACCCCACGAATAGCAGAGCCGCCCGCTGCGGAAAGCACTCTAGTAGAAGTACTGTATGATCATACCCAGCCATGCCCATGGAAAGCACGACAATCAATGGGTTCTGTAACCTGCCCATAACCAGTACCGTATCCTTCCTACCGGTAATCACACCATTCCTATCCGTTTCTTCCAAGATATGTATTTTAAGTTGCAGTTGGCAGAACTTTGGTTCCTTCCCAAGCGGTTCCGAAAACATTATGTACTTACTCGATCTTCAGGTTTTATTGATGTGTAGTACCTATTATAAGGAGTCATTCATCTTGTATGCCCGGCGGATCCCACCCGTTCGACAGAATTGTTTGGTGAGTGTCAAGACTCGGAATCTTGGAGCCCCAAACCAAAGGATCTCGAAACCAGTGTGTAATAGTGGGTGGCTGAATGATTGCACATCATGCCACCAACGGGCCTCCCTTGATAAGTGACGGAGAATGACGCTTGAGAAATCTATACTAGTATACAATGGCAATAGCAATGGCCTTTGCCTGGAGAAAACAAAGCCGTGTCGAAGAAACATTATGTATGATACGAACCACCATCCCCCCAAGCTTATGAAGCACCACCACCGCCACAACCTCCACCACCTCCTCCACCTCCACCATCTCCTCCACCTCCTCCACCTCCACTACCAAGATCACTACGCATCCATTAGCCTCACGTTCCTCCTTCCCCTTCCTTTCCGTTCCAGTGCAGGTAAGTACTCACGCCAACCCAGTCATATCCGGCCACAGCACAGTATGCTCCTTCTTCCCATTCTTCCCTTTCCCGTTCCTCCCGTTCCTCCCTCCGTTCTTCCTGTAGTTCCTGATCGCCTTCTTCTCCTCCTTCATCTCCTTCCTGCGCCGCGCCATCGCCTTCTTCTCGTCCTTGAGCGCTTTCTCGCGCCGCGCTAGCGCCTTCTTCTCCGCTTTCAGCGCTGCCTTGTTCGCTGTGCGGGATTTGCTGCCGAAACACATGGTGATTGGGTGTGTAGGTGGGTTGTGGGTTGTGGGTTGTGGGGTGTGGGGAGTCGGGAGTGCGGAGTCGGGAGTGGAGGTATCTATGGCAGGAGAGCGGGTTGGGACTTGGGGCCGCCGTATTTATCTCCTCCGTGAGGTTGGCCGTGCGTGAGACATCTGCTACTGTAATTACATACTCTATATTGTAGGCCAGACATGGATGCGCATCGTGTACCATACGACGCAAGGCTGAATGCGCAGTTCTAGCTAACCAACTGCCGTATCTACGTAACTACACAACACGCGTACAGTGGAAACAGAAGACTTCTGGACCCTGGAGTAACGAGTAACAAAGCAAATAGGTACACACATACTGCACGCTGCGGATCTACAACCGTGATCTACCTTCTTTATATTGATCGTGGCTGAAGCCTGAGATCCGGACTCCGGAGTCGGAGATATACAATTGGTATGTAGAGGCTTATTTCGATGGTCGTACGTACATACATGCTGGAGCTCGCATGGCCATGGATTCCGCCTTGCCCTTGCACTCGCGTGGGCTGCTAGGTAGAAAGTAAGCGGCGATCTGGTCCGGTGGTTTAAGAAGTCGGGATGTTGTTTAGCCGAGTCTGCTGATTAACCAGCAAACGAGAAGAAGGAGGAGGAGGAGGCGGAGGAGGAGAGTATGTATAGAGACGATGAACCGTGGTTATTCGAGTACCTGTGTAGTGTATTCGTGAAAAAGTGCCCTCCAATGTCGAACTTGGGTGTGTGATATGGTTCCTCGAACCCGAGTCTGAATAGGCATTCCCCAGGCCTTCACGTGGCCTACTGGCGATGAGTGACCGCCGGTGCACCGCAGGGCCGCAGCTCCCTTACTCAACCACCTTCGGGCATGCCCGGACTCCAGATTCGCTTCGACAGCAGGTTCCTGGGAACGCATGGGGCCGATTGCATACCCAGTGCGTTTACAGTACCGATGGGCACTGCAAGGAGGGTGGGCGAGACGAGGCGGGGGAGGATGCGTGCGTGCGGCGTGCGAATGTAAATTCAACAATGGTGAACCCGAACACTGGATCATCATTCGCCTTTCCCCCTCGTTTTATCTCCACCGGTTCAGAACCCGCTTTGCTTGAAATTCTGAGCCATGGTCATGTGGTTGCATGGCGGTATTATCAGTATTGTCACCCGCCTGCAGGATTAACTTACATTCGACTCACAATTTGATTCCCAGTTCCTTCTCGAGCCATGGGAATGATTGGTATTTCGTACAGTATGAAATCCTAAGGTTATGGCCGGTATTCCATGGGAATGAACGGCCAATAGGTACTCAATGGAGGATTCCGTTTGGTTCGTTTTCGTCGGAAAGTGGCGGCAGGAAGCTCGGGCTCCGAGGATGCAGGCTCGGGTTTCGATGGGAATCCTTCTTCTTTGTCGTTCCGAGCGATTGTTTACTAGTGGAGTATTAGTTGGGCTGTGGCTTTTCTTTTCTTCTCGAGATGTAGATGGGGTTTACCTATACGGCTTGACAGTGAAGCTCGACCGCTTTGGCCTGGCCAGAGACGATGGAGAGGGCTTTGAAAGCTGGATGGAACCGTTCCACCAGGAAGCTCTTGAGTATTGACACCGTGCACAAGACGGTCCAAAAGCCTCAGGTTGGACCATGGTCGTCGTGGAGCCCAGTTGACTTCGGATCAACTGTGGATTTCGCTCAAGATTCAATCGAGGAGGTTGGTAGTGATGATCGGTAGGTATCGACGTGGTCCGGGGAAAGAGTAGACTGGAGTGATCCACAAGGTACCCATTCAGTGTATTTCCAAGCTCTTTAGGTGCCTGGCGAGCTCAAGGCTACATATGAGCTGGAACATGGCGGTTTCTCCCAATTCTCATCCCCAACTAGTAGTGGAGTAACATTGAAGGAGATATCTAGTTAGCCTAAGCAACACTTCTACATGAAGACTGGACAATCGTATGTAACTATATCCAACCATCCAACCTCCAGAATTCCCGTTAGCTGGAATACCAACACTCCAGTACCTGTCTCCAGCTTTGGCCCCAACTGGTGGAAACACCGCTACTCACTAGAGTATACAGGCAGTACCTGAATGGTTCGCCATCTCGACCTCTTCTGCACGGCAATTCCATCCGCCTCCTCCTCCTAGCCTGGTGTCCACGCCATCCGTTTCCCCGGACGCCACACGCCCTCCGGCTAGAGTACCGCCATGAACTATGTACCTACTCTAGCCGTTGCATGAAGTGGTTGTCGTGTGGATGATGCGTAACGGACATTGGGTTCCGATCAGCTCGCGGGGGTGCCGAGATGGATCGCCACCGAAACTGTAGGCACCCCATCAGATGTTTTTCCTTCGGTACTCTGCTCGGCCGCCTGAATTGCCTCGGGATCGCCTGTCCGGTCCTCTGGGTTGGTCGAGAGACACACTTCCCCGCGCCTCGGCGAAACTTGATGCTGATGCAAGGTCCCAGACAATTCAAGCGACGCAGATCTTAGTATGTATCATAGAGTAGAGTACATGAAGGTTGGGTTGGAACTGGGAGCTAAAGTTGGGGAGCTACTACGGTAGTCACTACTCTAGTACATAGAGTAACGTAGTTCCAGCCCGTTGGACGTTGGATGCCGAAATGCTTCTCCAGTGCAGTGGCTTGGCTTGGCTTGAGGATCGAGGCCTTGATGGAGCGGGGCTTGTCAACACCAAATCTTCATGTTGGTCTGCGGAATGAAGATATCGATGCACAGAACGTGTTTGGGAAGTTGGGAGGAAGTCCGAGTCCGAAACAATGAACATGTCATGTTATATTCCCGTCGCCTGATTCTGAATCGTTTCCAGAAAGCGGCCATGATTAGTCTCGCGTTGCACGTTCACTGCCATCCGCATGCCACCATGATAGGTATGTAGTCCCCGGTAACCGTTCATCTGCAACGGCACTCAGCATCGGTCCCACCATTCCCACCACCCTCACGATCCGTCCTACACCCCCCGGAGTCGCCGGATTACAGAGTATTTATCTAAGCCCAGGGTGATAGATATTCCGCTGGCCCGCATACAATTCGGCTGAACGGGGGGATTCCGGTAGCTGCGGGAGGTGGCGCGCTAAACTAGGCGAATGCGGGGTCTGGGGAAGGCGCGGAGAGGAAGGAGGCAAACCTATTGTTTTTGCGCTTCAAGCCGCCTCCTCCTCCAGCTTGCGAGGCTTCTTTCGACTCGACTAACTACGAGTAGTAGATCTGGGGATAGAGAGGAAACTGCGGATATGGGAGGGGGAACCGATGGGAGTAAACGGTGTACGGTACACAGCTGCCTGCAACTGGGCGGTTCGCGCACTGTCGCCAGCCACCATTCCGACTGCAGTAACGGTCCCACGAACTTCGCCGACACCGAGAAACGGAAAAACATTTTGACAGGTCCCCCGCCTAAGCGTGGGGCGATTATCTGCAGCGAGGCCACGATAGCCTCGGAACGGTGTACGCATCGAGCGTAACGCGGATCCATCGTGCGCCTGCCAGCGAGTGGATACCGTCGGATTCCCTAACATCGTGCATACCTATCATGCCCCCCATTCCACAGTGCTCTGCCCCCCGCCATTCCACAGTGCTCTGCCCCCCGCCATTCCACAGTGGAACCAACTCGGGATTAAGCATGGGCGGTTTCACACGCTCTGTGTTCTGGCCGGCAGCTGCCCTTGAAGTTGTATGTACATACACATGCGGGGTGCGCCGGCTGTGCCGGACGTCCGGAGTAGAGTTCCCCAAAACGGCTGGCGGGCGTGAAGATCCCATATTGCGGGCGAGACAATATAAAGGTCAACAGTGAGCCTGTTTTTTTTCTCTTTCTTTCTGCCAGTCATTCAACAACGTATCTGGAAACTATGGCTGCCCTCAATGCGAGCCCAGCGACGACAGTCGAGAAGCCGACTGCTGAGATGAAAGAGCATTTCGATGTCCCCGAAGACCCCGATGCGGGACTCTCGGATGAGGAGCGGGAGGCTATTGTGTGTATATTCCGAGGATTCGTGGATGACTAGGTGCTAACTTCTGCATGTAGGATCGTGCCCTCGTGCGAAAACTCGACTGGAAGCTTATCCCGTGGCTCTGTATGTCTTACCTGTGGATGGATGAACGAATGGAAGGGCCAATGAGTGCTGACTGCTGGATCCATAGGTCTGCTATACCTCGTATCCTTCCTCGACCGCACGAACATCGGAAACGCAAAGATTGAAGGCCTGATCGAGGACCTGGGCATGACGAATACTCAGTACAATGCGTGTCTCACCATCTTCTTCGTCAGCTACTCGGTATTCGAGCCACTGTCGAACATCCTCCTGAAGTGGATGAAGCCGAGAATTTACATCCCCGTGATCATGTTGGCTTGGGGACTTTGCATGACTTGTATGCTTCTCACTTCCCGCATTGTATCGCAAAAGTACATGGCTGACAGTTCGCAGTTATGGGTCTCTGCCACAACTACAACGGCCTGATGGCGGCCCGCTGGTTCCTGGGTTTGACCGAAGCCGGTCTCTTCCCCGGTGTAAACTACTACCTTAGTTGTTGGTTCAAGCGCAGAGAATTCGGAATTCGCGCCGCCATCTTCTTTTCCGCTGCGGCCGTCAGCGGTAGTTTCGGTGGACTCCTCGCCGCCGCCATCTCACGCATGGACGGCATCTCCGGTCTGCACGGGTGGCAATGGATCTTCATCCTCGAGGGTATTGCCACTTTCGTCATCGGCATCGCCTCCTTCTGGATGGTCCACGACTTCCCCGACGACGCCAAGTTCCTCACCCCCCTCGAGCGTGCCCGCGTGCTGCGGCGTCTCGCCGAGGACGGCCAGGCCTCGTCCTCGCACGAGGACATCAAGTCCGTATACGTCTGGCAGAGTCTGAAGGACTGGAAGACCTGGGTGGGCGCACTGATCTACATGGGAGTCGCCGGCTCTCTCTACGCCTTCTCCCTGTTCCTCCCGACCATTATCAAAGAGCTCGGCTATAGCAGCACCACCGCGCAGCTCCTCAGTGTGCCGCCATACGCGCTCGCCTGCGTGCTCACCATCCTCGTAGGATGGTTCGCCGATCGGGCCGGCCAGCGCGGGCTCTTCAACATCTTCATCTCGCTGCTCGGGGTCCTCGGCTTCGCGATCCTCCTCGGCTCGAACTCGCCCACGCTCAGCTACATCGCCACGTTCCTCGCCGCGCTCGGTATCTACCCGTGCATCTCCAACACCATCACCTGGGTCTCCAACAACGTCGAGGGCGTGTACAAGCGCGGCACCACCATCGGCATCGTCATCGGCTGGGGAAACCTCAACGGCATCATGGGCAGCAACGTCTACCGCGCAAAGGACGCCCCGCATTACAGGCTCGGCCATGCTGTCGTCCTCGGATACCTCACTATCGGATTGTTTGGTGGGTCGGTCCTCAACTACTTCCTGCTCCGTAGGGAGAATGAGAAGCGCCGTACTGGCGAGCGCGATGTCTGGATCGAGGGCCTCTCGCGCAAGGAGATTGAGGGGTTGGGTGATAAACGGTTGGTTCCCCTACACTGCTTCTTTATTATTCTATCCACCTTGCTAATAATATACCTTCACAGACCCGACTTTTTGTACACCTTGTAGTACCTACCTGCCCTTCGGTGATGGATGTACCTAGGCGTGCTGGACGGGGACGACGATGTTGATGACGTGACGATGTGGGATACCTATTTCTGTTCAATTTTGTACCTAGGAGTTTTCAATTTTTTGCTGTATATATCACTTGTATGAATCTATGATGATAGAATCTACCAAACACACCCCGTAATCCTGTTCGTGCAGTGTGCGTACGAGTAGTTGTAGTCGAGTGAGAGCATAGAATCTCGAGTGAAAAAGCACCTACACCACAGGTCCACAGCAGCTCTAAAAGTTCCGGCAGAGTATTTACCCAGGTACCTGCCACCGAGCGAAACTCCTCGAAAGCCTGCTGTACCAGAGCACCGTACCAGAGCAGAGTAGGTACTGCAGTATAGAGTACCTAGTATGTATGGTAAACGACGATACCTACCCTCAAGCACGACGATCGGAAGTAATCATTAGGTAGAGTGGCGGAGAGTGAGTGGACCAAAGCCATCCCATTGAGTGTTTACTCGCTTTCTCGCTCGCTTGCTTGCTTGCTTGTCTGTTTGCTTGCTTGCTTGCTTGCTTGCTTGTCTGCTTGTCTGCTTGTCTGCTTGTCTGCTTGTCTGCTTGTCTGCTTGTCTGCTTGTCTGCTTGTCTGCTTGTCTGCTTGTCTGCTTGTCTGAACGTCTAACGGTCTGAACGTCTATCTAACGGTCTGAACGTCTATCTAACGGTCTGAACGTCTAACCGTCTGAACAAATACGAACCCACAACCTCCCCGCAAGTACATGACCCTACTATGTGTCTAGGAGAGCATCGAAATAGGCATGATTGTGCTGTGGTGCTGCGTGCTGCTGTGGTGGGCATTGGTAACGTCTTCACAAACTCAGAGTGCCAACTTCCAAGCAAGCTCTTTCACTCACTCGAAATGTCACACTCTCGTTCGACTGGCTGGGTGTAACTATTGGACAAAAACGGTGGTATGTATTTGACAGATTTCCGATGTATTCACTGTTCAGCATCAACGCCGTAAACCCATCTGCATGCGGGAATGGATTTGGCAAGAAAAGGTTGCCGACTGGTGACTGGTGAGGATTCATGATTGTAGGGACTTGGGATGTCAGACAAGTAAGGTTCATTCCATCGAGTAGCACTCGCGGCTCATGTTGCCAGCTCACGCTGCTCAGCTGCTCAGATCAGCTGCAACAGCGTGCAAGACGGGACCTTGCATATCATCGCGGAACATGCAGGACAAGTACAAGTAAAATTCCCATTGTACACAGGTAGGTACTGAGTAAGTACACACTTCAATCCCAACAGTCAACCTCTCCTGGGGTATCCCCCCCCCACCTCCCACTCCCATCCCTTCAAAGCATACTCCCTCCCCCCCTCCCTCCCCCCTCCCCTCTCCCCCTTCACTCACGAAACAGGCGCCCCCTTCGCCAGCTCCCTCTCGATCGCGCCAGCCAGACTCTCCGGCTTCGTGACGCTCGCCCAGCGCTCGACGACCTTCCCGTCCCGTCCGATCAGGAACTTCTCGTAGTTCCACTTTACGCGCTTCATGCCCAGCATCCCCGGCTTCTCGTTCTTGATGTGCTCCCACAGTGGGTCCGCCGCCTCCCCGTTCACGTCCACTTTCTTCATCATGGTGAATTTTACGCCGTAGTTGGTTTGGCAGAACTGTTGGGGTGTCAGCGCGGAATTAGCCTGGGTGTTGGAGATGCGTGCAGATTGGTGAGGTGGGGGTGCGGATGGGGATGGAGATGGGGGGATGCAGGGTGGGGAAAGGACGGTGGTTATGGGGTACTCACGTTCTGAATATCCTCATCAGTGCCCGGCTCCTGTCCGCCGAACTGGTTACACGGGAAACCGAGGATCTCGAGACCCTTGTCATGGTACTTCTGGTTAAGCTCCTCGAGGCCCTTGTACTGCGGGGTGAAGCCGCACCTAATTCCCATCATTAGCATCCCACGATTGCCTATTGGAGGGTGGGGAGTGGGGAGTGGGGAGGACGCACTTGCTGGCGACGTTGACGATCAGGACCACCTTACCCTTCAGCTGCGACATGGGCAGCGGCTCGCCCAGCTGCTTGGTGGCGGTGAAATCGTAGATTGTGCTGGCGGACGACATGGCTCGGGCTTGTTGTAGTGTTCGTGGTTTGAAGATTGTGGGGATGGTGGTGGTGGATGCTAGTATTGCCGCGGTGGTTCGTAAGGTGGTGGTGTTGTTTGTGGTGCGGCGAATGAGGAGGAGGGGGAGGGACATGGCGTGGTTTTATAGCTTCAGGCTTCAGCTGCTTGTTCTTGTTCTTCTTCTTCTTTCGTTCTGCGTGGTGACCGGGGCGGCGAGGCGAGGCGAGGCGAGGGCAGCGTCCGAGTCCGACACATGTGTCAGTGAGGCGGTCGGTCGGTCGGGACGGCCCACATGACGTCGTTGTGTTCCACTCGAGGAGCCAGAGGGATTGACGGGATTTACCGCGCGGACCTCTCACCGCGAATTGAAGGAAGGGACCCCCCCACCCCCCACCCCTGGAACATCATAGCCGAGTCGAGGCAAGGACACGGAGAAAGGATCCAGGCTCCAGCAGCAACAAGCGACGGAGGAAAGAACACATCTAGAAGTCCCCCAGCTGCGGAATGACAAATAACGCTTCCGCATATCAGATCAGCACCGGTAGGTAGCTACTATATCGCGGGTGCTTCCCTGAAGGCCGCAGAACCGGTACCGTGCAAGGGGTCTGTCTGTATGTGCGGTGTATATAGGTAGAAACATTCTCCGAGCCATAGGTCCAGAGTTAGGAACGGAACTCCGCTGTCGATTCCGCGGCCTTCTAGAGACGACCAGGCGACCAGTGGGGTGCATACCAACCTACGGGCTCACATGTCAACCCTGGAAAGGAGGGGAAGGGAAACAACCGAATGCCTACGGTTCTGGAATGGAACTGACAAAACGTGGAAATCTAGAATCGCGGGATTCGGAGCGAGGGTGGTCCGGTCCGATGGAAGCGAGAGCGGGCTGGACGCCGTGTGTATTGTACATAACTAGTGGAGTGGAGTGGAGTGATGGCGAGGACGGGGTAGGTACGGTATTTGGAAGGGCCCAGATGGATGAAGCGGCATTGTTGGAGGGGGAAGTGGGTGGACGGGGGGTATGTACTTGGGCACTTATATAAGTACGACTGCTCTCCCCATAAGAAAACAGAACAGAAGGATTCTATCTCCAGCTTGATGTAGAATGGAGTATCTACGTATCACAGGTAGTGGTGTCGATTGTCAGTATGCTATGAGCTTACGGGTGGTGGTGATTCGTGGGCTTCATATGAAAGCTAGGAATGGGATGGGGCTGATGAATCATGAATACCGACCCGCCTACGGTATGGCCAGAGCTGGCAGACTCGGGACGTGCATATTGAGACGATCACACGCCATCACGGCATCACACAAGTCGCAAGATGCAGTACAAAGCATGTACAGTAGGCAAGCGCCAATGCCAATCCATCATGTAGATACACTATATAGCACCCTCCGAGATCCAGCGCGCCATCCGCCAACTCCCTCCCCCACAGTGAGTACCAGTATATACCACACGTAAAGAGGTGCATCCGTCCGTCCATCCCCTCAAGTTCAGCACACGCAGTCATTTTGAACGTGAAAACAAGCCCGAAAACAAGAACAAAAGCAATTACAGCGCACCACACCAGCAGTATTATCTCATGAGTAGTCACTTAAAAGGCAGAGCAAACCAACGGGAAGAAAAAAAACAGAGACCCTAGTATTGAGCAGCAGAAACATAACCATCCTCCCCCTACTAACAAGAAAGCAAGCACATCAAGACGTAGAGGCAAAGGGAAGAAGAGCTAATTCGCTCAAGTCTACTCTCCATTCTTACCGGCGGTCTGGGCCAGCTGCTTCTGAGCAACCAACGCACCCATCTTGTGGTGATATCCCGGCGCAGGGTTGAACTTGCGGACCGTGCGGATCTCGTCGGCCGAGTATCCGGGGATCCTGATGTTCCAGTTGCGTTCCAGAATGATCTGGATGTCCTTGATGTCGAGCGTGTCCGAGCCACGGAGCTTAGCCAGCTTGCAGGCGGTCGTGGAGATCGTATCGATAAACTCGTCAACGAGCTCCAGGATCGACTGGTTGTCCACTGGGTTAGCAGATGTGGAAAGGAAAGGTGGGGGAGGTGCTTGCTTACCTCTTCAACATCGGGGTCGAGTTTCTCCTCCGGGTCGATCTGCTTGACGAGTTCCTCGAGCTTGCGCTTGCTCAACAGACCCATACCACCTTCATCGAATTCGAATGCGGGCTGCTTGATGATGGCTGGGGTGCCGAGGACCGAGTTGGCCGGGGTGTTGGCACCACCGGTAAGGGACGGCCGGCCCGCGGGGATCGACACCGGAACCGGCTGAGGAATCGCGAGATTCTGGGGGATCGGCATGCGCTGGGGTTGAGCGTTTTCACGCTGGGCAGCAGCTTGAGGAGTTGGGGGCATCTGGTTAGGAGGGATGAGACGTTGTTGTTGCTGCTGTTGCTGTTGCTGTGGATGGGGTTGCTGCTGTTGCTGTGGATGGGGTTGCTGTCCCGGTTGCTGTGGGAGCTGTGGGGCTTGGCCCTGTGCCGGCGCACCAGTTGCGGTTTGCGGTCTAGCGGTCTGCTGCGATTGCGCAGAACCAGGTCTCGGCGCGGGCGAGTTTGGACCCGCCGCCATGGGTGTTCCAGCATTCGTCGGGGCAGGAGATCGTCCCATCACTTGGGCCTGGGCTTGCTGCTGCTGCTGCTGAGCCTGTTGTTGAATCATGTTCTGAGGTACCCTGGGAACTTGCTGCTGCGGGTTCTGGGCCTGTTGCTGTTGCTGGGGATTCTGTAGCTGCATGTTTGACTGGTTTGGTGACATTGCAGCTTGGTGTTGAATCGCGGCTTGCTGCCTTGCCTGATTCATCGATGTCACGTGACTGTTGACATTTGCAGGGGACCCTACATGCGTCTGGTCGACCGGCGTGGAAACCCTCTGGACAGGAGTGCCCTGCGGCTGTTGCTGCTGAGTCATTTGCTGTGGTTGCTGTTGGGGCTGTTGAGGCTGCTGCATCTGTGGAGGAGCGGGAGGTAGCGGCTGCTGTTGCATCGGCGTGCCTTGTGGTGGCTGCTGTGGTGGACGTGCTTGCATGTTTTGCGGTTGTGGTTGCTGTTGGTGAACGACACCAGCAGGCGCCATGCCGGGCTGTTGGGGGTGATGGGTCTGCTGCGGCTGCATGGGTCGAGGCTGTTGCGTTTGCATCTGTTGCTGCTGCTGCTGCTGCTGCGGGCCACCGCCGGGATGGATTGGTGCTCCACCCGGGAGCTGTGGCTGCTGTGGCTGCTGACCCTGTTGCAGTTGCTGCTGCTGTTTCTGCGCTTGCATCTGCTTCTGGGAATGGTAAAAGTTTCCAAGTATCTCCTTGCATTGCGCAAAGTTCGCCTGGGCCTCTTGCAGCTTCTTGCGGATTTCTGCCTCAGCCTCTGCCGTGTGTCCTCCCCTCTCCAGCGCTGCAAGTTGCTCTTGAACCTGCGCTTTGGCAGCAGCTAGCTTATGTCCGAGTCCGGTGAGCTTGGTACCGATGTCGGCCTTCCACTGTTCGGCCGCCTGTGGGGTCAGCCCCGCTGGAGGGATCCATCGCGACGCCGCCGTAGGTGCCATTATGTTGTTCGCCGAGCCAGTTGGAGCGGCTGGGGTGGGTACAGCAGCACCGACACCAGGGACACCCGCGACAGCACCCGAGGGAACGACGCCACCACCACCACCACCACCCATCGTCGCAGCCGCGGCCGCCGCGGCCGCCGCCTGCTGCATTTGAAGCTGCTGCTGCTGCTGTCGCTGCGCGACCTGTCCGCGTAGGTGAGTCAATATCTTATCGATCTTCGCCTGAGCGACCTGTCCTTCCGGCGAGCTGATCCCCTTATTCTCGACGATCTGCCGTAAACTCTCGATTCCGCCGAGATATTTGCGCTTAGTTTCGGCGGGCCATCCGGGGAACGCCATGATGGTGTCGGTGATCTCCTGCTGCACGAGCGGCCGGCGCGTGGGCGGGACGGACGCCATCGTCGTCTCGTCGATCTTGAGGTGCTTGGGCGCCGGTGAGCTTTCGGGATTTTGGTCTGTGGGTTTCCGCTTGTTGCCGTTGGTCGACATCAAAATGTGATCGGCCGACTGCTGCTGCTGCTCTACGATGCGTGCGTGCAAAGCTTTATACGATAAAATGGGTTCGCTTTCCCCGCCTTCTTCCGAGAGAGGCGCCGCGTTGAGTCACTCGCGTAGGTTTCCGGTGTGTGCGCTGCGACGGGAAGTTGAGAGGAGGGTGGGTTCGCGGTATGAGTCGAGTGCGATAAGAGTGTTATTATACGAGCGCGAGAAGAGTGAGTGGGGAATTCAGTCGGAAAGCGGCAATTTTGGATGTCTCCGGACGTGGTGGACAGAGGTTGCTCAGCTCGACGTTGTTGTTGTTGTTGTTGTAGTAGTAGTATGTAGTAGTAGTGGAGAGGTGAAGTGAAGTGCGCCGTTGACCTTTGGGTTCGGCAATGCGCGACCGATGCGACAACACAAAAAATGAATCAATACGGAATTCTCTAAAAGCTATATGGCCAAAGACAGATATAAAAAAGACTCCGCACGGTTTGTGGCAGCGATTTTACATCGTGTTGTGGTCTCGATGAATGGCGGCTCTTAGTAGGGACATTCCCAGCGAACACAGGTTGAATGTGGACACCGAACACCTACAAAGCACCAGTAGAGCTACATCCTAATCCAACAACCGCTTATTCCAGGAAGCCGCATAAACATCCTTCAATCCTTCAATTCTTCACAAAAACCTACATCACATACCTCCGCGCCAATGGATCCATTCTCATCTGAAGGAGGTAACTTGTTTGCCCCTAAAGTTCTGTCTTGTTGCGGTGTCAGGTTGCCCCACTAACACGCACCCACCCACCACCGGCTAGAGCTCCTAAACATCCACAATGCCTTCCACCAAGGCCAATACTCGTCGGTAGTATCGCAAAGCACATCGAGCCTGTCGCCCGAAAACCAGCTCCGTGCAAAAGTCTACATCCTGCGTGCGCGCATCGCCAACGGCGAGGCAGCGGACGTGATCGGCGAGCTTGGAGGCGCCGACGAGCCCGACCTCAAAGCTGTCAAGGCTTTTGCCGAGTACACAACTGGAAACACCGAGTCGGCGGTTGCCGAGATCGATGCGCTTGTTGCCGCGTCTTCGGATAATAGGACGGTGCAGGTGCTGGGAGCTACGGTGTTGCATTTGGAGGGGAGGAGTGATGATGCTCTCGGCTTGTTGAGCAAGCATGAGGGCAACTTGGAAGCGTAAGTCCGAACCGTGGGGAGCGACGATATGGCACCGCTGACGGACTTGCGGGCTCATAGTTTGGCTCTGACAGTACAGATCCGTTTGGCCCTGAACCGGACAGATTTGGCTGTGAAGGAGGTACAGTCGGCCAAGAAGTGGGCGCAGGACAGCTTGCTTGTTAATCTGGCCGAGTCGTGGGTTGGGCTGCGAATCGTAAGCTTCTTGGGTCGCGAAGTTGAAGGTATCGTACTGACGATGTATGCGTAGGGTGGTGACAAGTACCAACAGTCGTACTACGTTTACGAAGAACTCGCACAGGCACCGATCTCCTCGTCGCCGCAGACGTTGGTCGGTCAGGCAGTGGCCGAGCTACACCTGGGCCGCCTGGAGGAGGCAGAAGTCGCTCTTCAACAGGCCCTCGAGAAGAACCCGAACCACACGGAAGCTCTCGCCAACTCGATCGTGCTCTCGGTCCTCGCAGGCAAAGACTTTGCGGACTATCTCAAGTATGCGCATATATTCCCTCCACGGGCGGGGATGCGGGGCAGCATCCCGAGAGGCTGGACCGGATAAGGCTGACTGCTTCTGCTTCACACTAGGACCCTACAGACTGCTGCGCCCTCTCACATCTTCCTGACCGATCTCGAGCAAAAGAGCGAATTGTTCGACAGGGCGGCCGCGAAATATACCGCCAGGGTGGGTGCATAATCATGTCACTTTAGATGTTTGGGCCAGGCGGAGTAGGTGAATCGAATGCATACCTACATATTCGCAGATAGAGGGAAATACTTAATCCATGCTCGATCTGCTTACTTCAACGCATCTGAACGCGTCGATGACTATTCCCCATACCCATGAGATATCGATCTGGCGGTGAGACGTGAGGGAATTTGAGTATGACTATGCGCCACAATATTAGCCGCGACTTCTGTAACAACGTGCAAGCCCTGCCGTCACATCGCAAGGGAAGTTGATGGATGACGATTCGCACGGACCCAAGCCCACGCATCGAAATGTTCCTGGCCCTGCCTTGTTTCACAGGTTATTGAGTCTTGAGGGATTAGGATTCCGGGCTGGCCGGGACTGGTTGACGTCAATCCTCGCCGCCTAGTGCGGCGGGCGCCGTTGGAACGGGCTTGACCCGATGTGACGGTGCTAACCAAACCAGCCACACCGCGTAATTCGCGCCTCCGCACTGCACATACAGAGTGGTTGCCGTGGCAAGATTGCGGACCGTCGGGCGTGCGAGGAATCGACGTCAGTCGGTCCTGACCGCGTAGATGGCCAACCCAAAGTGGACGGAAACGTGGGTCTTCTTGTGGTGACCTGGTCTCCAAATGCAGTGGCTACTTTTGGGCCAGTCGGCTGCCCGCGATGAAGCGTACTCTACTCTTCGGTAGTGTGCACTAACCACTCTGCGGCCGGATCGTTATCACGGGGATGAGAGACCACCCAGGAAGATAAAGGCCCTGAGTGAGGATCGATGAAGCTCGCCAAGCACGGGGCCTTATGTCAGCGCCAGGGGTAAAAAGAGTTTTCTGCTGGCCAGTCAGAGTGGCCGCCATCATAGTTATCGGCTCTCTTCCAGATCGAGCGGGATTTTGACATGACCTGCGGGCAATCCGCTTCGGCCTGTCTGTCTGGCTGGCTGGCTGGCTGCTGGCTGGCTGCTGGCTTTCGATGCGCGGCCAGCTTCAATTCCAATCGCATACATATCATACATGGAGCACTAGCAGCTGGTAGTAAGCCGATTCAGAAATGTCCCCATAAGGCAAGGACTACCCTAATCAATCAAATCACCCATGGCCACCTTATCAGGTCTCTACTCTAACCTCCGCCCCGCTTCACCTTCCCTCCTAGAAGACACACAGCAGCAAGCAGCAGCAGCTGTGAGTGCTCACCGTTTGTGCCTAGACAAGCCGAGAGATCTCGCCGGCGACGGTGATCCGGTGGCACACGGCGGCCAACCGATATGTCTTAGCTTGCGTCTCGTCACTGGTGCTGCCCCTCCATCCATCCATCCCGGCCGCCGCTTTAAAAAAGACACTTCCCATAACGATGCCAGTGCGTTTAAAGAGAAGCCACCAAGCCCTCCTCCCCTCACCACCTCTCCTTCCCCCCCGCTTCCTTCCTTTCCATTCCAGCTCCTTCAGTATCCGTCTCTCTGGCTTTCTGGCTTGCTTGCTCTCAGCTTCGAATCCCTCTTAGCGCGGAATTCGCCCCTCCTCCCTCCACCCTCCATCTACAGTACCCCATTCTCTCTCAGGTACCTTGATTGAAGCTCTCCTCGCTGCGTTCTGTATCCCTCTCTCCTCTGCATCTCCTTGCCACCTGGCGTCGATAGAGACTCCACGTTGCTACACACACAATGGCTCCTCACGTCCTCAGCTCCGACCCTGCCGGAGCCGCCCCCGAGCTAGAGAGGGCGAAGCCGAACCTTGGAGGTGCCACACCTCAGGACCTCCGGATACCGATCAAGAGCAGCGAGAGCAGCGATGACCTTGCCGGCTTGTCGAAGCGTGACATTATCATCTTCTCCGGTACTATCCCTCTAGCCAAACTCCCCCCTCCTAAGATCTCCTCTTTCTGGGGCATGGTGCTGACCGATAAAAGATTTCGATGGCACAATCTTCATGCAGGACACCGGACACATTCTCTTCGACGCTCACGGATGCGGAGCCGATCGTCGAGAAGAGCTGGACGAGCAGATCCGCATGGGCGTGAGGTCGTTCCGTGACGTCTCGGAGGAGATGTGGGGTAGTCTCAACGTTCCGTTCGAGAACGGCTTCGAGGTGATGAAGGAAGCTCTCAAGATTGACCCGCACTTCCTCGAGTTCCACGACTTCTGCATCAAGAATAACATCCCCTTCAACGTTATCTCGGCCGGACTTAAGCCCATCTTGAGACGTGTGCTGGACGAGTTCCTGGGAAAGAAGCAGGTATGTCGGAGCTTGTGTTGCATTTGCCCGTTGATTTTTCCGGCTGACAGGTGCATTGCTAGTCTAAACATATCGATATCATTGCCAACGACGCAATCATCCCCGAGGACGGTAAATCGTGGAAGCCCATCTGGCGCCACGAGACGCCACTCGGTCACGACAAGGCCGCTTCGATTCAGGAGTACCGCACCATCGCCTCGTCCGAGAGCGAAGACGGCTCCGTGCCCCTCGTTGTATTTGTCGGAGACGGTGTTTCGGATCTTGCCGCCGCACGTGAGGCCGATGTCCTGTTTGCTAGGAGAGGTCTCAGGCTCGAAGAGTACTGCAGGACTTGCAAGATCCCGCACATCTCTTTCGACACGTTCAGGGACATTCAGACGGAGATCATCAGGATCATGAAGGAGGACACAAAGAAGACTGCCGGTGCCGGAAAACCCACGCACTACAATCCTCGGGCAAACTTCTGGAGGAAGGCCGTCAAGAAGAAGAACGTATGCTAACTCCCCACTTCCGTCCTTTACGAGTAATGTGCAGGACTGATGTGTATCACTCATGCAGATTCCCCGTTTCGTCAAGAACTCTACACAACAGGACAAGATGCACCTCTGGCCCGAGACATTTACGGTCACGGCCGAGCAGCAGCAGCAGCAGGGCGAAAGCTCGGGTTTTGCAGACCAACAGTCGTAACCGGTAGTGTTCGAATTGTGCAGCAGGGAAGGAGGAAGATAGATGGAGTTGGAGCTTGCCGCTTTGATAGAGTAGAAGGGGTGTTGTTTCTTTTTTTCCTTTTGCTCTTCCCACTTCCCAACACTATCATCCCTCTACCTCCCCCCACGCTTTTGTTCCCCTTTTGGGCATTTTTTTTTATCGATACCTCTTATAGGGTCTTATCTACCTATCCTGTCTGTCTTGTCTTCCGGCCGTGTTGTGTTGTGGTTAATGATGTTGCATGTAAGAATTGTGGTATTCATTGCGGCGTACTGGCGAGGTTTCTGTTTGTTTGTTATTTTTTTCTCCCGTTTATTGATTGATTACGTCAAGTCGCAAGTTGCAGAGCATGCGGGGCAGCGTGTTAAAACTACATCTGTTTTTCATTTCTAGAATGCAACACAATGCGATGCTCGCTCACGAGATTCTGTGTATCTTTTTACTTTTTGTTTGGATGTGATGTGATGATGGCCAAACGCAAACTGCCGTGTCGCCGCCGTCCCCGCCGCCGCTCGTGCCGGATGCGCATGTGGAGGAGGAGGAGGGTGTGAGAGTGTGGTGGGATGGTCGGAGCAGTTCCGTCCGCACTGCTGATGATCGGCGGGTGTTTCGGTTCTAGGCTTCTGGATCTGGATGCGGTCGTGAGGGGGGGTGTTCCGGTGCATGTAATCACATGGTATCACTCGAGTGTTGGGATGGTAATGGAGAATCTGGACTGTAGTAAAGAAACTCCCCCCGCATCTAAAGCTTTCATTCCTTTTTTTCTATCACCGATAGAACACGATATCTATGACTTATCCAACCTGACCGCAGCATTGTTCTCGATGAATCCCAGATCGACCTTATGGCCAAGGAGCTCACGAATATTGCTAACCTTGTATCTGATCATTGTCGGACGCTCAAGCGACAATCCCCATCCGTAGACGCGCAGGTCCTTGGGCAGTCCCATGCTCTCGAGCATTTCGGGGCGGAACATGCCCGAGTTCCCGATCTCGACCCACTTTCCGAGGCCCTTGTGCTCGCCAAAGATCTCCATTGACGGCTCCGTGTACGGGTTGTACGCCGGCTTGAACCGCAGGTCGTCGATCCCCATCTTCCGGAAGAACTCCTTCATGAACCCGATCAGCCCGCCGAGGGTGAGCCCGTAGTCGGCGATCACGCCCTCGACTTGGTGGAACTCTGCGAGGTGTGTCGCGTCCACCGTCTCGTTGCGGAAGACTCGGTCGATAGAGAAGTACCGTGCCGGCCCGGGGTTCTGTGCCAGCTTGTGCAGCATCGCGACGGAGGTGGCGGTCGTGTGCGTGCGCAGCACGAGGCGGAGCGCTTCCTCGGCCCGCCAGGGGTAGCGGTACCCCGCTGAGCCGTATTTGCCCTGCTCGTGCACTTCGCGCACGTTGTTCCAGTACTCGGTGTCCTCCGGGAGATCGGCAACCGCCGGGTCCGAGATGTAGAAGGTGTCTTGCAGGTCGCGCGCGGGGTGCTGCTGCGGCACGAACAGCGTGTCGAAGTTCCAGAAGCCGGATTCCACAAAGCTGTGGTCATTGCGTCAGCAGTCCGCCCCACCACCGCCACAGCGTCAGATGCGTGTGGCATAGGTATACGTACCGGTCGGTCGACATCTCGGTGAATCCCATCTCGAAGAAGATATTCCTGAACTCGTGGCGGACCTTATTGAGGGGGTGTAGGGCACCGCTGTTCTGCTTCGCGCCGAGCGCGGCAAAGTTGTACGCCTTGAACGTCTTCTCCTTCCAAGCACCTCCGGCCACCATCTCCGCGGTCAGATCCGTCTCCTCGCGCACTATCTGCAGCGCGAACTTGGCCCCCTTGTTGATCAGGAAGCTGATCCGCTTGTTCATCACGACAAGCTTGCGCTTCTTCAGGTCCGCGAGAATCTTAACGTCCGGATACGTCTGCGTCTCCGCGATCACGTTCAGCTGCTCGCGCGTCACGTCTTTGATCGAGTCGGCCTGTACACACACATTGTCATCAGCCTTTCCCGTACCATACCCATAAATCGTTTCATCTCAACTCAATAGGGAGTGGCAGACCTTCTTGAGCAATTTATCGCCATCCTTCTTGATCCAGCCCTCCTTGAACGCCTTTCCCTGTCCCACCTTTGCGCTCGCCGCACCGACAACTTTCTATCTGCCCTTCAGCACCCATCCATGCCTTCTTCGCACACCTCAATCCACCAGTAACAACGGGAGACCCACCGCCAGCTCCGAAATCTTCATCCCATCGACAGCGTTACACACCGCCTCGTACACCTTGGCCTCGTGGGACCCGCGCGCCGCAATATCCGCGCCCTCGCCCGTCAGCACCGCCACCTCCCGCTCCAGCGTTTCGTACACCACCATCTCCCGGCTCAGGAGGGAGTCTAGCGCGCCCTTGAGCGCCGCCGGCGGGATCGTCGCGAACGCGGAGGTCGAGGCTAGCGGGAGCGTGGCCGCAGAGTCGAGCGCGGAAAGAACGGTTGTTACGAGGTCGGCTGTCGCCGTGGCCGCGGATGGAGCGGGTTCGGGTGCCATCGTGTGTTTCTGTGTGGGGTGAGCGTGGCGGGTGGTGAGGGGGACGAGGTGGGGTGCTGTATTGGTGGGATCTGGATGCCCCTCCAATTGCGACTAACTAGCATCGCTGGATTGCGGGGGAGGGGCGTGAGTCAATGTGCCGGGTAAGACTGGCACATGTGGAGTCACTCGAGATAACCGATAGGTACCTGTGGGAAAGATTTCCATCAACTGGGGAATTCTGCTGCGGAGATGGAGTTTTAATCCGTAGCAATATACCATACTAGTAGTATGAACTTCCGAGTTTTGGCCCACGACTGCGCTGCCGTCGTAGCCGCGGAGATATCACTCGCGCAGCGAACCCGAACCTGAGCTCTCTCTCTCTCTCTCTCTCTCGAGTCAACAGGGCTGACGAAACCCGTTCTCCCAAAGCCTGCAGCCTGAAACCTCACGCGACACATGAGCCGATAAGTTTGTACTGACATCTCCGAAAAAAACACCCGTGCTGCAGTGGGTCCTGGGAGTACGTAGGGTAGGTAGGGTACGTACCTGGTACCGTAGATCACGCCTTTGGAAGGCTGTTTTCATGTCGCTAAGATTACGTCTGCTCACTGCTCTGCTCACTGCTTGCTCAGGCTCAGGCTCAGACTCGGGCTCGGCTGGGATCATCCATGATCAGGGCTACGAATACCTATGGGAAATAAGGAGTGCCTCAACATTTGGACTGACCATTCCAAGCTGCAATCGTAGCCTACATCTTACCAACTCCTTTTCCAAAAAAAATATTTTTGGGTTTTGGGTTTTTAGATCAGAGCCTATCAACTCCGTCGTCGTCGTCCTCGAGCGACCGCCGACCGCTGACTAAAGAGTGCGACGGTCGAGTGATCCTCCATGCACCACCTTCGATTCGTTTCCAAGTACTCTGTTTGATCGTTCATCAACTGCATGCGCCACCTCCCAAGCGCCACCTTCCAAGCCCCAGCCCCACCCATCCCTAACCGCCCGAGTGACATCCCATGCGCATCCTCACATCCTCACATCCTCACAACCCCCCGTCGTGACGCCGTCCGAAGGTTCAGCTGCCTACAGTGCGTGCTCCACTCTACTCTAGTTAGTCATATGTATACACTGCATCCCCGGCGCCGTCGTCGGCGGCATGTGTACTGTACATACACACAGTGCAGCGTGTGCGGCGTGCGCCTGCAGACCCTAAGCAGCAGCAGCAGCAGCAGCAGCATATCTACACACACACACATCGATACATAGAGTAGCATGGAGTAGCATATGCCACGCTACCAACCACCTTGACCACCGAGCACCTTGCTCATGTGCGCAGCACCATCACTAGCGGCCAGCCAGCCAGCCCAGCCAGCGCGTTCAAATGGAGGTCCATACTTTGTACTCTACACATGTACGATATGTAAAGTACTCGTACATAAAGTATCTGTGCAAATTACCTCCGCTGCGTCATCCCACTCTAGCCTCCTGCCCCTGCTCCTCACTCATGCTCCCCATGCTCCCCATGCTCCTCATGCTCCTCATGCTCCTCACGCTCATGCTTTTGCTCGCTCATGCTCATGCTCATGCTCAAACCATCAGCGCAAACCATCAGCGCAAACCATCAGCGCAAACCATCAGCGCAAACCATCAGCGATTTAGCACATGCAAGCAAGCAAGCAAGTACCACATCCGGAGCACGTCCGGCTACATCCCATCCCACCGCCCAGACTCCCATCCCACTACCCAGAGATACCACCGCATGCGGTTTCTTCCGTAGTTAACGTTGTTGCCCCGGCTGTTGTTATCTCTCTCTCTACAACTACCTGACGGAAAGCCGCATCACCGCCGCCACGAAACAAGAGCTGTGGCACACAATACCCACACAATACTCAGCCTTCAAGTATAGGTATGATTAAGTATTTCACCGCCGCCTGGCCTGGAATAGATAGCATGTAGTGGTAAAAGTATGATAAAAAGTTAATAAATCGCTCAGATTCTATACACATTTCCTCCCCTCCCGCAACCGCAGCCGTAGCAAAGGCACAGGCAAAAGGCACAGGCAAAAGGCACAGGCAAAGGGCACAGGCAAAGTTAAGGCAAAGTTAAGGCAAAGGTAAAGGTAAAGCGCAAAGGTAAGGCAAAGGCATGGTAACACACGCACACACTGACGATGTATATGAAGATGTCAAAAAATCAATTTAGAGGATGCGCACTGGTGCCGCGCACTGGTTACGCACCTCTGGGGGTCAAGAGTAAACAGGACGGGACGGACGGGACAAAGTCAAGTGAAAAAACCAAACGAATAAAGCGCAAGCAAAACCCATCCAGAAAATAAAGACCCCATATCGCTAGCAAAGGGAAGAAAAGTAAAAAAAAAGAGAAAACAGACAAAAGCGCGGGAAGGACCAAACAATAGATCCAGGGCCTACGCGCTCCCAAAATGCGCATAAACTGGTGCAAAAAATATACATGTACTGCCGAACACCTCTAAATGTGACGGGAAAAAAAGAGAAAACCAAACATGCCCTCGTCGCCATATTAATTGGCTCGTCTCAGGTCCAGTTGTCGCCGCGAGGGAACAAGTGGATGATGTAGGGTGCGCCGGAATTCAAGAAGCAGACGGAAAAAAAGTGGACGAGCTGCGACAAGCGATGACGACAGGTGAGTAGGAGAGAGTCGAAAGCTATCATCCAACAGATGCGATGATCGCCAACGCTAGACTTTTCCGACAAAGGTCCTCTCCGAATTCAGCTTCATCGCATTCCGGTCGTGAGACTCTTTCCTGCAGTTCTCCAGCCCGGTGCACTTGTGGTCCTCCAACAGCCGATGCTTGCCGCAGAAGTGGCCGTCGCAGAATGTGCAGTCTCCGACTATCCGTTGTGCGGCATTTGAACATTCCTTAAATGAACATGTCTTCTTCTTGGGCGCACCGCCTCGTAACCGCAGGACCAAGTGTAGAGTGGACTCCTTCTGGATGTTGTAATCCGAGAGCTGAATGATGCGATCACAGTCAGTAAGTGCTTCGGCAATCACGGTGGCGCAATGGGGGTGGAAGGAAAGCGGGTTCACCGCGAGGACAACTGACGGTTCGGCCATCTTCAAGCTGCTTTCCGGCAAAGATCAGGCGCTGCTGATCCGGCGGGATGCCCTCCTTGTCTTGGATCTTGCTCTTCACATTGTCGATGGTATCCGATGACTCAACCTCGAGCGTGATGGCTGTAGCAGTGGTCAGCAGGGCGGTAAACACGAAGCCAGGGCGACAAGATGGACGTACTCTTGCCGGTAAGCGTCTTGACGAAAATCTGCATGATGAGGATTGATAGATAGGACGTGTGTTGTGATGGATTTGGACGACTGTAGAATGGAGTTGAAGAGCTGTAGAGCAGGAGCTTCGCGCGGGTTGGGGGGGCGGCGAGAGTTTCCGGTGAGGTGTTGGGAGCTTGACGCGAGGAGGAGGAGAGACGACGAAGGCTGATGGAGAGGACGAGGACGAGGACGAGGAGTCTGTCTTAAGAGCAAAGAAGGAGGACGATCGTATACTAGGGGAAAGAAGAGAGCAGTAGAAGATCAGCGGGCGAGCCAGCGCTTTTGAAGGGAGGCAGCTCTCCGGGGGGTTCAAATTCAGTGCCTCCCCCCCTCCCCCCACCCCTGTCAACCGTCGCCTGTCGGCATGGGACCTGACCTGAAATCGAACCGTGGCCCAAGTCGACCTGGACCAGGCTGGATGCGTGAAAAATGCTGACCCACGGAGTTTCACGCAGTGGCGGAATTCTGGTCATCTACTAGTCGCACTGCCGTGTGCAGCGAACGCCGAGCTGTACGAGTCTTCACTCTAGCTGTACGACCATTCCTTTCATCTTTCTTCTTCTTCTTCTTCTTCGTCTTCTCCTCCTTCTTCTGCTTCTTCTGCTTCTGCATCTTTCTCTCGTCCGTTCTCCGTTGCTCGGGTCTCCAGGATGCAAGCGGGGAAACTTCCCGGAGTCTGTCGTCAGAAGGCGAAGACAAGCGGGCAGTGTTTTCTCCGCCACCACAACATGCTCCGCACATCCGTTCCACGCCACACTCCCGCCCAGCCTTTGGCGGCGGCATGCTCTTCCTCTTCGACTTGATCGCAGCTTATTGCAGGAAGCATACAATATGTCATTTGTCCCCTTGGTTTCAAAACGTTCTTTTTCTGATCAGCTCATAGGATTGGCGGTACCTAGTACGTATGGCCTGCGGGTGATGAGTGGATGCCGTTGATGGCCTCGCTCCCGGCGATTTAGTAGAGAAAGCCGGTAGAACTACCGGTAATATCAACGCACAGCACTGGTTAGGTCAACGGCCTGGGTGTCATGATCTCGATGTAGGACAACAATCGCGTTCTTATGGAATTGCCGTGGTCGTTCGGGAACGAGGAACCTCGACAATCAGTGGATTACGGCAATGGGGATTCTTAGTCCCTGGTCGTTCATGTCGGAGGGGGTTGGAGGGTCGTGGGAAGGACGGGGGTGGGGCGAGTGATATCCAAGTTGAATCGCTGTCAAAGCCCTTGTTCGTAGTGCTGGATGACGCAGCGGCAGAACCCGGAGAGGTCGAAGTCTAGCTTCACGCATCTTAGAATCCCCTCTGCTATACGGTAGCTATGTCGTGGGCTGTTTTGTGTTGTTTTTTCAAGATCCAGAGCAGTCGACGAGAGAAGGGGGAAAAAGGAAACAAAGCTGTAGATGCCATGCCGAATCGCTTCCCCATGCTTATGTAGGCAGTTGCATGATGAACGTATGTGTATCCGCCACCGCGAAGGAGAGTCGAGACTACTTCTGCTTCTGCTCTTGTCGTTGATTGCTTGCTTTGTCGTTGATTGCTTGCTTTGTTAGGCGCGGGGTCAGAGCTAGAGAGAGACCAGCAGTAGGGTACAGATAGCGCGCCGGGTCCTTAACATCATCAGGTGCCAGCGGCCTGACTTGGTGTTCCTAACCAGCAGCTCGCTCCCACCCCAACTCTGCCCGATTGCAACCCCATCGTTATCGAACGCCTTCAAACCAAACCACCTCTTCCACCCCCCATTCCCCCACTCTCCTCTCCTCCCCGCCTCGCCTCACACCAGACTGGCCGGCGCTCCGGGTAAGTGGGGGTGCTCCTTCTCCCTCTTCTCATCTCGGCGAAACAATTGGACCCGATTAACTGCTAGCTGGGTGCGAAATTCGGCAGCAAAGTGTTGGGTGCGGAGTGGGAGGGAGGAAGGAATGCAGTGGTTGGGTCCACGTACGAGAGCATCCTGGCTGCACTTGCGATAGAGAACGCGGACAGCTTGCATTCGGCAAGAAAAAAGTCTAGCCTAGTCAATAAGCAAAGAATGGGACAGACAGGACGGACCCTCCGCCATCCATTCATCCTTCCACTCATCCATCCAGCACGCTCCTCTCACGATTGTGTCTACTCCACCTACTCTACTCTAGAGCACGCACTCGGTGGGTAACGGAGCGATCACCACGGTGACACAACAACCGTGGGCTTTTGGGGGCCAGCGAGTGAGCGAGCGGCTAGTTGTGCGTTAGGAGCATCGGCGGGTGGGAAACGAAACGGAACGTACCTTCGGGGGTTTCACACCTGGGCTGATATGACTGACGGGAATCCCAGACGGTCATAGTTGTTTCTATAACTGTGGATTGGCCTCGCCAGATACTGAGAAAAGAATCACTTCGGCGCCAGCATTTGTCTTACTCGTTTCCAATCGAGACAATACCTACGATATCCAGAGTATGATAGGCACGAGTGGCCTCGGCACATAAAGCTCTCGAATTCCTCGACTTGTGCCCTCCAACACCACTCAGTCTTCTATACCTAATCTACTACCCGGGCCCCCTCAATGGTACCTCCTTATCACCACCATGAGTGGAAATAGTTCCTCTCACTTGCCGCTCTTTCTCCTACCTCGCTTGGATAGGATATTCCGATCCATAAAGGAGCACTCGCTTTATCTAGCAAAGAGGATCAATTAAAGCGCAACGGAAAGGCGCACAAGACGACGACGGCAGTCTGTACTCATGTCGAAAAAATAAACTGCTCTATAAATACGAGGATACTCTCAGGAAATAGTGAGTACCAACAACAGTAAACAGAACCATCCACTTAACCGGGTATATCACGGAGCAAATTCAACATGTGCAATTCTTCCGCGCAGTAGATAATAAGCCTCCAATCATTTCGCCCCCGGGCTGTCGACCTTCCAGATATCGTCTTCGCTGGGTGATCCATTTTCTTGTGCGTTCGCGCGATCGCAATCCCTCTTTGCGCATCGTCACGGTCCACCATGTTGCGCCCCTCACGGGATGCCGGGAGCACCCTCAAAAGGTCAAGAACGAATAACGTAGTATCCAGAATATCCGATTCGATTGTGTTGCAGAAGATGCCACCGAGGGCTGCGATGGTGAGGTTGCACGGAGCGTGAGTGTGGAGTGGGAAGGAAGGAAGGAAGAGTGCTGTAGTTGTCGTTGTCGTTGTCGCAGCTGTTGTGGGTAGGGGAATCTTATGGGAGGATGTGGCACTGCAAATCAGCACTCAATCAGCACATAGGTTCAAGTTGATAACGGTTTTCGAGTCTGGTGGATCGATAACTCCCCGAGCTTGAGAGCAGTGGGGCAGAGACGGCGTGTCAGCTTGCACCGGATAATGGCTATGGGAAGGAGGGGAAGGAGGGGCAGGCAGGAGGACGCGGAGGAGGACGCGGACGCGGAGGAGGAGGATGAGGAGGAGGGGAGGGGAGGGGGAGCGTGGATAATGGTGAGGGGAGGGGGATCGGTCAGTCGCGTCACTTGCTTTGCTCGAGTCTTACACAGGTGCCGTATGACGTCCATATATGTGTGCGTTCCGTTACGTAGGAGCGCAGAGGGGGAAGGATTCAGATGAAAAGTGATCAACCCCGCAGTGTGCAGGGCTCCAGGCCCGTCGATTTTCTGTCCCTTATCCCCACGAGGCAGGGACGCCGAGTCAGTCGTGGACCCTCTCTCTGCCTCTGTGGGGTCCGGGTCCTATCCTCCCTCCCCGGTTGGTACATGCACAGTTTTGTTTAGTACGGGTGTGGAATTGGAGTTGCTCATGCACAGTGGAACCCGTGAGTTCACAGAACGGTTTATCTAACGCTATCTTATCAGATCATGACCGATCTGATCTGATCTGATCTGGGCGATGGCATGTCTTGGCCGGTGGGCTTCGCGTTAGCCTTGCGTGCGTAGCAACAACAAGCAACTGGACGGGAACAAACCAAACTTTATCCCACGCAGCAATCCACAACTTGCAACTCGCAGCTCCACCCGCAATCCAACGTCACCGATGGATCGCTCACGCTCCCGCTCGCGATCCTACTCCCGCACGCGTCGCTCAGCTAGCTATCGCTCGCCCACGCCGCGCGGAAGATCCGTCACGCGCAGTCGCTCGCGCACACCAAACCGTGACAGGTCCAGGTCGGCCACGCCGCGCTCGAAGTCGAGGTCTGTCTCGCGGAGACGCTCCAGGAGTAGGAGCGCTAGTAGGGGAAGGAGCGTCACCCGAAGCGCCAGTCCGGGGGGATTCCAGAGCTCGAAGGTATGTGCCAGCTAGAGGTACTATGGACGCGAGTGGTCGAGTTGCGGATTTAACATGTGTCAATTGCGGATAGATCGTGATCGAAAAGCTCACCAAGAACGTCACCGAAGACCACATCAGCGAGATCTTTGGCGCCTATGGCGATATCAAGGTGGTGGATATGCCCATGAACCGCCAATGTACGTGATCCGATTGCTCCCCTTCTGCGTGCCCAATTGCGGAATACCGCTAACATGGCGCCGATGATTGCTCAGTCAACCACAATCGCGGGCTCTGCTATCTGCTCTACAACTCGCCTGCCTCCGCCCATGCTGCCATTGCGCACATGCACGAAGGCCAGCTGGACGGTGCAGTCATCAACGTCTCGATCGTTCTCCCGCGTCGTCCGCCGCAGGGTGCCGCGCCATCTGGACCTAGTGGAGGACCCCCGCCACGAGGAGGAGGAGGTCGTCGTCGGGGAGGAGGAGGAGACAGTGGAGAGCCTCGCTACCGTTCACCGCCGGCGCCCCGTCGTGCTGCTCCCGGGGCTGCTGCGCTAGGCGGTAGGGCATTCGGTACCGGTGCTTCTTTCCGAGGAACTGGAGGGGATAGTTACCGCCCACGCTCGAGGTCTCGCTCCCGTTCAAGGTCCCCAAGCTACTCCAGATCTTCCCGCTCCAGGAGTCCTTCGAGATCTAGAAGTCGGTCACCTTACCGACGTCGTCCTGCCGCGGGTAGGCGTACCGGAGGAGGAGGAGGAGTAGGGGGCGGAGGAGGCGGAGGAGGAGGAGGAAACTACTCACCACCTCCTATGAATACCGGTAGAGCTCGAGGAGGACGCGACGGTGGTGGAAGAGGACCGGGTGGTGGTGGTGGGAGGGATGGTGGTGGTGGTGGCTCAAGCCGGTACCGCAGGAGTCCCAGCTACAGCAGCTACAGTTCTCGCAGCGCGAGCGGATCTAAAAGTCCTCCACCTCGGAGAAGCGGTGGTGGTGGCGGCGGTAGAAGGACTCGTTCCAGAAGCTACAGTCCTCGGGGTGACAGGGTCGCAGGAGGAGGGGGCGGCGGCCGCGGCGGCGGAAGGAGACGATGATTGATATCATATGCTGATGGGTTGTGAAACCTGGCATGGGAGTCTGCTGTTGTATGCTCATTGCTGTGAATTCGTTTCCATTTTTTGTCTTTCGTTGGTTTCCCCTTTGTACTGGCCTCTAATCTGCGGAGAATAAAAGTGCCTGTATTCTATGTATCTCACCGTCCTTAACCCTTAGACTTCTCTGCTGTGTTTGTATGATACCGTACTTTTATCCCTACGCTGTGTACCGTACTGAGTTCAAATGTGATGATTTCTACACTTCCTAGAGCAAACCTCTAGATAGTTAGCCAGGCCAAGACTCGCTACCACCTGCATTAGCGCCAGTGCGGGCACATCAAAAATTTCCAGCCAGCCAACACCACCAAAAAAAAAGTTCAGTTCAATTGACCATCAATCTCCACCTTTACATCAGCATCCACGATGGCACGCAACGCCCCGAAACCCAAGCCGGGCGCCGCCAAAGCCGCCCCCGCCGGACCAGCCAGTCGGAAATCCCGCGGCGGCGCGCAAAAGCGCGCACTCAATGCCTTCGCGATCGCCTCGGCGGCCGACAACTACGAGCAGCAGTCGAGAGCGCAGTCGAAGAAGCGGGCTGCACGGAGCGCGGACGACGACGATGACGGCGATGAGAGCGAGGGGAGTGTGGATGGAGGCGAGGACTCGGACGGTAATGAGTGGCGCCTGGGCGAGGTCGATGAGGACGACGACTCCGATATCGACTCCGACGACGCTATGGGCGAGAGCGACGAGGAGAGGTTTGAGGACTTTGCGTTCCGTGGGAGTACTGGTGATGGGAAGAAGGGCAAGGGGAAGGTCAGGAGGAAGGGCGTTGTGGATCTGAGTGAGGAGGAGGAGGACGGCAGTGATGAGGATGAGGATATGGAGGGCGAGGGGTATATCGACCTCAGCGAAATGCTGGACCGGGTTTCAGAGGACGAGGATGGAGATGAGGAGTCGGAGGAGGACAAGGACGACAAGAAGGCGAAGAAAGGGAGGAAACGAGCGGCGCCGGAGTCGGATGATGAAGTTGGGGACTTTGGCGCTGGGTCGAGTGAGGGGGAATCTGACGACGATTCGTTTACGAAGTTTTCCGACGAGGAAGACGACGAGGAGGAAGACGAACTTGCACTCGAAGCGCTCGAATCTGCCATCACCGCACTGCCCAGTTCCAATGACCGCCCCGCTAAGCGTCTACGAATCCAGGATGCGAACGAGGGGAAGACGCCGGGAGAATACAACCTCTCGATTGGCTCGGACTCCAAGAAGCTTACGATCCACGATCTCATGTCGTCGGTGGCTGATCCGACGCTGAAGAAGTCACTGAAGCTACTCGCTGCCGATGATAAAGGAAAGAGCGACAAGAAAGGTGTCCCCGGCAAACTATCGGCGCCGCTGGCGAAGAGAATGCAGGATAAGATCGATCGTGCCGCGGCGTATGGCCAAACGAAGGAGACGCTGAAGCGGTGGGTGGACACCGTTAAGCACAACCGCGAAGCGGAGCATTTACATTTTCCTTTGGCGAATGCGCCCAATGCGGCAGTGCCCGCATCCAAGAAGCTGATCGCCATGACGGCCGCCAACTCCAAGCCGTTGAACGCGTTTGAAGCCTCCATCTCGGGAATCTTGAAGGAGTCGAATATGGACTCTGAGAAGAAGATCCAGGAGTTTGAGCAGCTGGCTACACAAAAGTTGTCGATTGAGGATGTGCAGCGACGCACAGCGGAGCTGAGGAAGGCTCGTGAGCTGATGTACCGTGAGGAGCTCAAGGCTAAGCGGATAAAGAAGATCAAGTCGAAGTCTTACCACCGCATCAAGAAGAAGGAGCGGATGCGACAAGATGAGGCGATTCAGTCTGCGCTTGCGGAGGAACGCGACGGCGAGCCCGACTCGGACGAGGAGATGGAGCGCGAGAGGAGGCGTGCAGAGGAGCGCATGAGTCTGAAGCACAAGAAGAGTAAATGGGCTAAGGGCGTCAAGGACAGTGGACGTGGTGCTTGGGACGACGATGCAAGAACTGGCGCTATGGAGATGGCGAAGCGCTCCGAGGACCTGCGGAGGAAGATAGCTGGAAAGGAGATTGGGAGCGATGGTGAGGAGAGTTCGGACGACGATAGCGATGATGAATTCGACGAGGAAGGCGTGGAGGATAGACTTAAGGCTCTTAAGGAGCTGGAGAAGATTGGGGAAGCCGGCAAAGGTGGAAAGGGTTCCAACTTGATGGCTATGAAATTTATGCAGAGAGCTGAGGCGGCGAAGAGAAAAGAGAACGATGCTATGATTCAGAGTCTCAAAGAGGACTGGGACGACGAAAAGGATAGCGACTCTGACGACGAGAACGACGCTGCACCGACTGGACGGATGGTCTTCAAGCCTGGAAAACCAGAAGTGCAGACTGTCTCCAAGAAGCAGGACAGAAATGAATTCGAAGCACCGCCCACCTCTGACGATGAGGACGACGACGAAGACGAGATCGAGCTTACGAACAATGCTTCATCGAAGACAATCAAGAAGCAGAATCCCTTCTCGGCACCGAGCGGCCCAACTAGGCACAAGGACAGGAATCTACCATTCACGACCGACTCTGTGGGTGAACAAGAGGAGGTCAACCCGTGGCTACCTGTGGATTCGAGCAAAACCTTTGTCAAGCCTAAGGCCAAAGCATTGGGTGTTGGAAAGCAGGATTCCAAAGGTGCGAAAGTCAACCACAAGCTCTCAAAGGATCGGAGAGTAGCACTTGATGCTGCCCAGCAGGCTGTGGACGGCGATACGCGCGTAACGATTGATACGAATCTGACGCTCAAGATTGCCCGTGTCCAAAACTCGGATGATGAGGCCGAGCAGGACGAGGAGGGCCAGATCCAGCTTATTCCTACTAAAGGCAAGAAGTCGGAGAGCCAGCGGGAGTTGGTCAAGATGGCGTTCGCCGGCGACAATGTGGTCCAGGAGTTCAAGCGGGAGAAGCAGCAGATCGCGGAAGAGGACGACGACAAAGTCATCGATCAGACACTACCTGGATGGGGCGCATGGACTGGTACTGGTCTTTCTAAGCAGCAGCGTGGTCAGAACAACCGACGGAAGAAGGTACTGCAGACCATCAAGGGTATCAGCAAAGACAGCCGGAAGGACTCCAGGATGGAGAAAGTCATCATCAGCGAGAGGAGAGACAAGAAGGTATGTTGTCGTCATTATTTGACACCGCTGATGTGTATGCTGATATTCCGTGTGATAGGCTGCCAAGTTCCAAACCCCGACCCTTCCGCACCCGTTCGAGACGAAGGGTCAGTACGAGCGGAGTCTCCGAGTCCCTATTGGACCCGAGTGGACCACCAAGTCGACATTTCAGAATGCAACCATGCCCAGGGTCATGGTCAAGACTGGACGCGTGGTGGAGCCTATCTCAGCGCCGTTCAAGTAAGGGCGTGGAATGCGGAATACCACTGTTACTTGCATGTGTACATATGTTTTTTGGGCTGTTGAATGTTTGCCTTGCCTCTGCCAAAAGTTCTGAGTCTTATTTCGGTTGGGTGTCATGGATATAGCATCATGGTATGTGTTTATTGTGTTGTGTTGTTTGTATTTAGGGGGTCGGGAACGGAGACTGGTAATGTGGGAATGAATGTGTGCAATCCAAGCAAGCTGCAGTACCACCTCCACTGCCGCCGTGCAATCTCTGGTGCAGACACCCATCTGTGCAATCCTCTTCGTTTCCGGGAGGATATGTGCGTCCGCCTCCAGGAATATATACCGGGTGAAAATATAGAGTGCTTGCCTACTCTACCCTATTCTGCCTACTCTGCCGTACTCATAGTTACATAATATGTACATACTGACCGGAGCTACCGTCAGCCCTACAGCAATGAACGAACCATGGCACCTGGGCGTCTGATAACTATCGTCGGCCTTTAAGAAGAGGCCTCGCAATTCCACCTGCCCATAAAATCTTCCGTGTTGGCTGCAGCTGAGTCACGGATCGTCTTTGCTCTTGGCCTGCGGGGGTTCATTTTGGGTTTCCGTTCCACGCGCATCGCCAAGACCCACGCCGATCCCGATATCCTCCCTAGCAAAACACAAGCACGGGTAAAATGTGTTCTTCCACCAGGGTGTGTCTTGTCGACTCCTAACAACCACCTCAACCTTTACCAACGACCAACCCACCACCTCGCCAAAAAAAGCTAAAGACCGGACCGACCTTCGTTCTCTCACTCGTTATAGCGATCTCCTTCTTCACAACCGTCCGATAATCACGACACGGCCGGCACCGAGCTGGCTCGCATTCGGGACACACTCGCTACCTCTACTACAGCTCAGCCTCTAGACATCGGTGAATATTGTTGTGGCATAGCACCCCCTGATCGGCGGGTGGTAATTTGTCTGTTCGGCCCTTTTTCTTTCTCCGAAGATTGAGTTTGTGCGAGCTTAAATTGCTGTCATAATCTTACTGGGAACAAGAATACTGAGAGCTGAACCTCGCGAGTATCTAGAGTAAGAACACCGGCAACCACCACACACAGACAGCTACGATGGCGGCACGATCACTCCGGCGTTCGAATCCGATAACGCTCTTTCTGGCGCTGATACTTTTCCTTGGGTTTCTCATCTTTCTGCTGAGCCCTGGGAGCGGCAGCGCCAGCAGCAGCTCGCCACCAAAAGTACAGAAGCCAGGTCTCCGCCGTCCAGTCACCCACTACAAGATGAACAACGTCAACACCACCAAAGACCCCGTTGGCAACCGGGAGCGCGTTCTGATCCTCACACCACTAGCGAGGTTCTACCCCGAGTACTGGGCGAACTTGCTGAAGCTTTCCTTCCCGCGGGAGCTGGTGGAGCTGGGCTTCATCGTGCCAAAGACGCGGGAGGGGAATGCAGCGCTGAAGCAGCTTGAGGATGCCGTACGGAAGGTGCAGTCGGGACCGAAGAAGGGACGCTTCCACGGCGTCACCATCATGCGTCAGGACTTCGACACCCCCACTCCGCAGAACGAGAAAGACCGGCACGCGCTGGCAGCGCAGAAACTTCGCCGCGCAGCGATGGCCCGTGCCCGCAACTCCCTCGTCTTCACCACCATCGGCACCGAGACTTCGTGGGTCCTCTGGCTGGACTCCGACATCGTCGAGACACCCGCCACGCTGATCCAGGACCTCGCCGCCCACGACAAGGCCGTCATCGTCCCCAACTGCTTCCAACGCTACGTCGAGAACGGCGCCCCCGCCATCCGTCCCTACGACTTCAACTCCTGGCACGATTCCCCCAAGGCCCTCGAGATGGCCGCGAAGATGGGCAACGACGATGTCATCTTCGAGGGATACAGGGAGATGGCGACGTACCGGACGCTGATGGCATACGAGCGCGTCGAGGGTGCTGATCCTAATGCTGAGACGCCGCTGGAGGGTGTGGGCGGAACCGCCCTTCTGGTTAAGGCTGAGGTCCACAGAGATGGCGCCATGTTCCCCCCGTTCGCCTTTTATAATCTCATCGAGACCGAAGGGTTCGCGAAGATGGCGCGAAGACTGGGTTATCAGCCGTATGGATTGCCGAATTACTTGGTATTCTTCCCCCCTGCACATCCCCTCCTAGACCTATACATTCATCACGCAGTCAACTGACATTTGTTTTTTAAGGTATACCACTACAACGAGTAGTCCATCTTATCCATCAAGGTGGAAGGAAGGAGTGACGCTCGACTGGTTTGGGCTGGTTTGGGCGGCGGACGGGGGGCGTGGGGGGGCTATTTTGAAAACTCTTTTTTTTATATGGACATGCAATGCTAGTAACGCTATTCTGCTCTGCTGTAACTGCTCGTGATTTTGGAGGTGGAGGGAGAGGTGGAGTTGTGTGATTGATACATATTATTTTTTACTTTTACGTTTTCTTTTTGTGTTCAGTCTAGCGGAGGGAAAGGGGGAATAGATAGTTATGGATTGGAATCCATCAAGTGCGGACTGCGGAGGGCGTGATTCTGGCGGTGGTATGCTACGTGGATATGATACATAGGTTAGGTAGGCTGGGGACAGTCTGAATAGACACTGCGGGATGCATTACGTTGCGTTGCGGATCACTTCGTTCTTTGTACATATGCTATGTAAGAGACGCGCGGACGCCGAAGCGTCTTGATGAGCCTAGAACAGACAGACCGTCTGGCCAGAGTTAAGAGTTGACTTCTGATGGACAGAATTCAAGAGGATGAGAGTTAACGGTGGGAGGGGGGATGTGGGATCATTAAATATCACTCACGTAATGCACGCGGACGTCTACTACATAACTGCCTTTGGTTCCCAACCTCTGTGTAGGTTGGAAGAACCTATTGTTCGGTGGGTATAAAAGCATGGGATATCACTTACCCACCGACCTTTTTCTCCATCCACCTGCTGCTGGCTGGCTGGCTGGAAAGTGCTAGACAGCGTTCGAAACGACGTCCGAAGCCAGAGTTTACCACTGCTAACATCGGCGCCGGCGAACACCGGGAACCATGGAACTTGCCAGGCGGTAGTGGAAACTGAGTTACGCGGCCATCACGAGGCAACTCCTCTTCTCGTAGCCATAGCTATAGCTATTCCCGTCCATAAGCCGGCTTGGAGTGTGATATCAATATCAATATCAACAACAATAACCCATCCTCACCCACCCCCTCGCCCTCGCCCTCGCCCTCTGCTTTTACAGCTACTGGCCGGAAGTGACCAGGTGATACTCGAGCTCTTTCAATACCTACTTCAGCCATAGATACCTACCTAAGGTACCGTAGTCTTTGCAACCAGCTCCACTGTCGTCAGCTGCGGTCACCATTTGATATGGTTCCAAGACCCGGAATGGTGTCCGGGATGGTGGAGCCACCATTAGCCGCGCTATTCACCATCCAACGTCCGATATCCATCCCCCATAACCCAGATTGGTGATAATAGAGCTCTTGTAATCCTTCCTTCAGCCACAGATACCGTAGTCTTTGCAGCCAGCTCCACCGTCGTCACCTCCAGCCAACACAAAATTAGATATAGCTTTGAGAATGATATCCAAAATAATAGAGCCACCATTAACCGCGGTATCCACCATCCAATGTCCAATGTCCATCCCCCATAACCTAGAGCCACTGTTAGCCGCGCTATTCACAATACGATGTCCATCTCCCATAGCCCAGATCCCAATGCGCAACGCATAAGCTCCACTGCCGCCCGCCTCACTCCGAGGGGCCTGCAGCCTAACCGGCACCCCACACCCCAGGGTAACTACGTGAGGCGTCCCATGGTCTTAGTTGCGTACACTGCGAGCATAATCATTCGCATCGTGAACCTCTGGCATCCGCTCTCCCGTCTTCGACTATCTTCAACCATCCTACGCAATCTTCCAGACGAGGTTGTCCAGACAGCAGCAAAGGGTTCCGATGGTAACCACGAGGAGGAGGAGACGGTGATGGATATAAACCCCATCCGCCATCCCCAGTTCCTCCAATACCCCCAGCCTGCAACCATCAACATCACCACGATCTTCGTCCCTGTTCTACACCAGCCGAAGACCTCCAGTAATGAAACCTTACCAACTCGCGGCCCTGGCCGCCGCCTTCTTCAGCGAGCTCTGTTTGTGCCCCTCTTCCCACTGCTGTGCTGTGTTGTAGAGCAGCAGCAGCAGCAGCAGCAGTATCTAACACCCTATAGCCTCTTCCGCTCCCGCTCCCGCTCCCAAGCCGCAACACAACTATGTGTCCAAGTACCCTCAGCACCCGATCAACATGGGCTACGGCGACAACTACCCGAAGTACTGGCAAAACGAGCGGTACAATCCCGCGGAGTACCCACCTTTGGTGGTCCCACGGGTGCCGTTCTACCCCGCGCCGTACAGCCAGGCCTGGAAGCCGACGGATGCGTCCGCGCCGGGCGCACAGGAGGTCGAGGTGAAGATGCTGCAGCCGTATACCCCGCCGTATACCCCGCCGCACGGCTTTCCGACCACCAAGACTCCCGCGAAGGAGGCTATCCAGGCGTATAGCCAGCCCCGCGGAGCACGGAAAGCTGTCGGCAGCGGCGCTGCCGACCCGGCGGTGAAGAAGAATATGGGCTTTGGATCGGGCAACGAGGGCGCGTCCTACACCAAGATTGTTAACAACCCTGGCCAACCGAAGAAGTCGCGCGAGGAGGGCGTCATGGCAAACGGCCAGCCCGATTGGCAGAAGTTCTCGTACGGCGTCGTTAGTGATAGTATGGATCATCGCCCGGATTCCGGCGCCGCGGTTGAGGCGGACAGGCCTGCCGAGAGGAAGACGAATGCTATGGGGAAGGTGCAGAAGCTCATCGGTGGGAATGGCGGCGGGACCTGGCACGAACACCTGGCGAAGAGGGATACCGACTCCATCGCGGCCTGGCCAGAGCATATCCAGGCTAAGGCCGAGAAGATGATGAAGTCGGCGGCGGTTATGCAGGACCGTGGGCAGAGCTTGATGGAGGGCGACCAGGCGCTCCACAGGCAGAAGTCGAAGACCGAAGCTCCGAAGGAGGTGAAGGAGGAGAAAGAGGAGGAGGAGGAGGAGAAGAAGGGGATGAAGATCCCTGAGGACCTGATGGATATGGATGCGTCCAGAAAGAAGGTCGTTCCTGGATCCGGTGCGAAGGGAAGGAACAGCGGACCGAAGGAGGAGAAGCCTCAGCAGAAGCCTCAGCAGAAGTCTCAGCCTGCGTCGAAGGGGTCCCAGCCTGCATCGAAGGGGTCGTCCCAGCCTGCATCGAAGGGGTCGTCCCAGCCTGCATCGAAGGGTTCGTCCCAGCGCAAGAATGAGGAGGAAGATCCCATGATGAAGAATGAGCTTCCCCCAAAGTCCAACCAGATGAAGAAGCCCAAGGCACCCAAGTCGCAGAGGCCCGCAGCCACCCCGGCGAAGTCCACCCCGGGGAAGTCCAAGCCCGCTCGTGGGGGAAAGGCAAAGAAGCAGCCCCAGTCGAACTCGCCCTCCCAGAGCAACGGAAAGAAGCAGCCTGCCGCTGGAAAGAAGCCCAAGAAGATCGATAGTCTCATCAAGCGCGACGCCATTCCCGAACCCGAGCCGGAGGCCCGGAAGGGTGTCCATAGCGACGATAAAAAGACAACCCCTCCCAAGTCCAGCAAGGAGGAGGAGAAAGAATCCAAGCCCAAGGGCAACGCCGCTTCCCGGGCCCAGGAGAAGAAAGGCGGAGGAAAGCGTCCCAATATCAGCCAGGCACGCCCCAAGAACCCCAAGAACAAGAACGTCGCTTTCGAGGAAACCATCCGCCAGCACTTCGAGGATGACTACGTCGACGAGGTGATCCAGGAGATGTGCGTAGCGAACGACGACGAGTCTACCGGAAGCCTTCAGAAGCGTCAGAACCGCCGTGTCCTGCCCTGCGGACCTCCCGTCACCATCCGCCGTATTCTCGGTGCGGGTGAGGCCCTTCCCACCCCCGTCAATCAGGCCTCTTACGTTGCTCCCGCTTATAATCCTGCCTCCTATGTCGCTGCTACCCCCACTCCCATCGCTGTCGCCTCTGTTGCTGTCGCCCCCGTTGCCGCCGCCGCCGAGTACGCCGAAGTTGATGCCGCCATTCAGCTTTCCAACGGCCAAGTGCAAGTCAAGGCTCCCTGGGCCGTGGTCACTTCCATCGTCAACGTCGAGGTCCCAGTCCCACAGTACATCACACTTCCTGCCGCCACGCATTACGTGACCGTTCCCGGTCCCACCCTGACCGTCGACCGGGAGGTTCCCGTCGCCGTCGCCGGCCCGACCGAAGTCGTCTCGGTCGACCACCTCGTCGAAAGGCCCGTTACGCGCACCGTCGTTCAGAACGTTCCCTACGCCGTCACGCAGACGCAGAAGGTGACGCTCCCCGCCGTGACAAAGACCCAGATGATCACTAAGGAGATCGCCTACCCCGTCACCCGCACCCAGACCCAGGTCCAGCTCGAGACCGTCTTCCCAGAGGTCCATGCTATCCCCCGCGAGAAGGAGATCGTCAAGGAGATAGAGGTCGTCGAGGTCGTCCAGGTCCCCGCCACCGTCGAGGTCGTCAACCATGTTCCCGTCACTAAGACCATACTTGTCTGCCCGGGCTGCGACCAGTCTGAGGGAGCCTGCGGATGTGGTACATTCCCCTCTGGCCCCACCCCCGGCGCCAACAACAATGGAGGAAACGGCGGAAACAATGGAAACGGTGGAAACGGCAACATGGACAAGGCCAACCTAGCCATGGACATGGCGATGAGCATGTCGCACGGCAACATCAACGGCATGGACATCAACACGCACGGCAACATCAACGGGATGGACATCAAGGACATCAGGAACGACGGCGGCAATGGCATGGACATGTCTTATATCAGCTCCGCACACGGACTTGAGAGCGTGGCGCGCACTGCGGAGGATATGGAGGCGTTTGTGAGGAAGGCGCTGCCTCATGAGTTTATGGCTGCGCAGTAGAGCGGTGGTAGGTAGTGCTCGTGGCGTCAGTTGTGTCTTGTTTTTCTTTCATATATATTGTAAAAGCGGTCGGTTTCAGTTATCCATAGTAAAAGTAGAAGTAGTGTTAATTGATAGTCAATAGTAGTTAATGGACTGGATGTTTCCTTAGGTTCGTTATCACTGCAATGAGTTACTGTCATAGTAGTAGGGCGACGGCACCCGGCGGCCGAGTTTCGGAACGTTGCAGCCATCTCCAAGCCAAAAATGGGTATAAAGAATGTCATCATCGATGGAGAGTCCTTGCCTGAACTTACATAAGCAGACATGAGGTTGAGATAAACTCACAAAAAAGGGAAATACATCAAAATCCCTCGGCAGCACCGGCCATCAAACGGTGATATCCGCACCTTGCTAATCTGTGTTTCTTGCATTCTACCGAATCTACGACCACAAACACCGTAAGTGTCGGATAACTACCGGTACCCTAAGTTCTTCCCTATGTCCGCGATGACGATGGTGGTGTGGTGAGTCTGCATGCCGCATTTAGTAATCCGGGCCCCACCCTTGCTCATGGTGTACCAGGCTCCTGGAGAGATCGATCTGATTCGGCCAATCCCTAGGGCGCATGCTAGACCCTGTGCACAGATTGGATCGTATCGCGCGCGCGGGGTTAGCGGAGCGGGGACCATGTTGGTTGGGCGCACCAAACAAACCATCCGTCCCCACGAGGAAGCAAGTTGGAGAGGCTAGATAGATTAGAGGGAACGGCAGGTGAGGGGGTCCGCCGGATGGCCATTGCGAAGATGCTGAGCTGCCATTCTATAGGTACGCCTACAGGGCTATGAGCACGATGCTGGATTTATAAACCCCTCCTTCCCTTCTATCGTCTGCTTCGTTCCTTATTTTCCCGGTCCTGTATCATCTCATCGGCTTCCCCATTCCCCCTCGACTACCCCTCCCGCCGGAAACCCCACCTCCCATCACAACCAACAAGACATCATCAAGCATGGCTCCCATCGAAGAACCCCGCAAGCGTGTGGTCGACTCTGACAAAGGTTTCTGTCCCTTCCCTCTCACAGAAACCCCCACTAACGGCCTTAGTCTGGACCACACTCCTCACAAACAACAAGTACCTCCCGGGGCTGCTAACGCTCGAGCACTCACTCCGCGCTGTTGGCTCCGCGTACCCGCTCCTAGTCCTATACACCGACACGCTGGAGGCCAGCGGGCACGAAGCGCTCGCGCGGCGCGGCATCCCCACGCAGCGGATCGAATACCTGCTCCCTCTCGCCTCGAAGGACTACAGCAACGACACGCGCTTTTACGACTGCTGGTCGAAGCTGCAGCCGTTCGGGTTCACCGAGTACTCGCGCGTAGCCCAACTGGACAGCGACATGCTAGTGCTCCAGAACATGGACGAGCTAATGGACATCCCGCTCGACACCTCACCTGGGAGCACACGCCTATTCGCCGCCGCGCATGCGTGCGTGTGCAATCCGCTCAAGCACCCGCACTATCCCAAAGACTGGGTGCCCGAGAACTGCGCGTACACATCGCAGCATGCGACGCCGGACCTGGCAGCACAGACCGGGGCAGACCCGAATTTCGGCTTGGGCAGCCTCAACGGCGGCCTGCAGGTCGTCGTGCCGTGTATGGATACGTACCGCACCATCATCTCGGCGATCTCGGAGCCGGAAAAGACGTCGGGCTACGATTTTGCGGATCAGAGCTTGCTGGGCGATGCGTTTGCGGGAAGATGGGCCCCGCTAAGCTATAGGTACAACGCGCTCAAGACGTTGAGGTGGTGTCATAAGGAGATTTGGAGGGATGACGAGGTTAAGAATGTTCACTACATTCTAGCCCCGAAGCCCTGGGAGAATAGGGAGAGTGACGATGAGACCCATAAGTGGTGGTGGAGGGCTAATGAGCAGAGGGTGTTGGAGGAGAAGGCAAAGGGCATTGCAGACGGGTGGTAGATGCGAACGAGATACCTAATATACCTTACGAACCAAGTTTGCTTGGGGGTTGTGCGAGTGATAAGTAGAGTAATGACCGCGTCTCATGCAATAAATCATTGGTCTGCCGTCCGAGTGTGCCGAAACCTAGGGTAATGGCAACGGAGAGAAAGAAGGAGAATAAACATGGTGAGATGGGACCAATAGAAACCGACAGTGATACATAGATGAGAGACGGGAGGCACAGGACCCAGAGTATCAATGTGTCGACTTCATTTTCTGACATAACAATCCTGCAAGGTCGGGGCGTCGATTCGAACTGGTAGATCTCAAGAGACGCTCAATCTAGAGGGCGTTGGCTTTTGTATCTGGTACCTTTTTGCTTGCTGTTGACGTTCGGCGTTTTGGGGCTGGTGATTGTGGTACGGGCTTCGGGAAATATAGGGTGTCCACGGTGACGACGAACCGATTTATTGGGTGAGAGAGAGATTCATTCACAAACTCAATATTCGATTCAATGTTGGTATGTAACATCACCCTCCGAAGCCGAGGACCAATTCTGCCGAGTGGTTGTAGAGTTGTAACTTGGAACATCTGCTGTCTCAGGAAGTGGGTGGTGTGGCAGTGCCTGCTTCCGCGGCTTGGCCATGGGCCATGCGAGCTTTCCGCGCCACACCGATCTAACCACCAGCAACTTGCAAGCTTACCAGACCTTCCTAACTCCATCATCGTCGTAATCTCCCTCCACCTCACCCCTCAAATCCTTCCACCTCATCACCGCTCCACCACTACACCCAACAACCGCGACACTTCTACAAACACCACCACCACCACGACATTCACGCGTGCGCCTTATACCAACCAACCACCCACATCCCGCGCCCCCCTCACGACCACCAAAATGGATTCAGCAACCGACCTCTTCACGTCATACGAGTCAGACTTCAAGCTGTTATTCACGGACATCTCGCAGCGCCTTCACGACCTGCCAACACTCACGGGCGAGTCCCGCAAGGCTTCCATCCGTTCCACAGAGCGCAGCATTGACGAGGCCGACGAGATAATCGGGCAGATGTCGCTCGAGATCAACAACATCCCGTCAGCGTCTAAGACGAAGCCGCGGGGGCGGCTGCGGAACTACACCTCCGACCTCGATTCTGCGCGCGGGCAGCTCGTGAAGCTCGCGCAGAGCGCTGATCGCGATGCACTATTGGGCGTCAGGGGCGCGCAGATGGGCGCCAGCGATCAGACGATGCAGCAGAGACAGCAGTTGCTGGGTGGGACGCAGAGTCTGGAACGTAGTTCCGCCAGGCTTCGGGATAGTGAACGCATTGCGATTGAGACGGAGCAGATTGGTGCGGGCATACTTGGCGATCTGAGTACCCAGCGCGAGTCCATCGTGAGGACGCATGATACCTTGAATGATAGTGAGAGGTATCTCGACCGGAGTATTAAGACGCTGAGGGGAATGGCGAGAAGGTATGTGCCGTTTTGATTGTGGAGAGAGGAGGGGGTTTTCTCTAGCGGGGCTTTGCTTATGCGTGCCATTTGTTTGTTTAGGATGGCGACCAACCGCATGATCACGATTGCCATCATCACGGTGCTGGTACTGCTGATCTTCGCGGTCATCTTTTCGAAGTTTCATTGAGTGAATGAGTGAAGAGTGAAGATTGGAGGCGGCAGATGGTGATGCAGGTTTGGGTTGGAGTCTCTCGTGCGTGCGTGTGTGGAACAAGCATAATGCTGCTTTTTTGTTTTGTTTCCGGTATTTTGCTTTTGATTGTCGGTCCGGACTCCGGAGTGGAGGTGGAAGTTTGTGAATAGTCTCAATCTCGATTAGAATTCACTCGTTCGAGATCACGTTACGTATCATGGGAATTGATCGTTGCGTTCGATTTGTCAGTATGAGGCGGCGGTGGATTTTGCGAGCTGATCCCCGGATGATGCTATTGCCGATACCAACCCACATGGTTGTCTGCCCTGTAGGAATCGGGATTTCGCTTTCCGCTGGCTGGGCAAAGTACCGGTGGCGACTGTGTTCATCCGCCTTATTCGTTTTTGTCACCGCTTCACGAACGCAGAATAGTCGAAAATCGTTACGCTCGACTATTGGTACTATGTACAAGGACGTATATTCCCCAACTGCTGTGACGGGGAAGGAGGCATGGAAGTATCATGAAGTTCAGTGGATAGGGTGGGACAAATGATGCAGACGCCCAGCACTTGGATCCATTTTGTTTATTCCACATGCTTTTCCCCCCATACACAAAGCCCGCCAGAAACAAAACACCCGAAAAGACAAGAAAGAAAGCCCACAAACACCGCTTATGCCACAATGTCCTTCTTGAGGGTACCCAAGAAAGCGTGCTTCTCGTCCTTGGTCTGGAAGCCTCCGTGACCGAACTTGGAGGAAGTGTCGATCCACTTGAGCTCGACCTTCTCGAGAGACTTACGGGAAGTGTGGGGGAAGAGGGACTTCCTCAGAGTCATGACACGCTTCTTGACTCCAGGAATGGATCCCTTAACCATGACCCAGTCGTTCTTGATCTCACCATACCGGGGGAAGCCACCCATAGGAGTCTAAAATCAATGTCAGCGGTCAACTCAATAATTCAAGCGGCAGATTGCACATACGATGGCCTTCTTTGTGGTGTCGAACTCGGTGGTGGCCGAGGACTCGTCGTCACCCTTTCCGATACGGTAGATCTTGTGGTTGACCGAAGTACGGTGGTGGTATCCGTCCTGACCGGCACGGGCAACAGTCCACTGCACGTGGTTAGGATGCCAGGCTCCAATACAGGCGACCTTGCGGAGACCCTTGTGGGTCTTGCGAGGAAGCTTCTTGGTACCCCAACGGGCGGTGACACCCTCGTATCCATTACCCTTGGTGACGGCGATGACGTCGATGACCTCGTTCTGCTCGAAGATGGTGTCGATGGAGATCGACTTCTCGAACAGGTCGCGGGCGTAGTCGACCTTGGCCTCGATGGATCCACCGTTGACCTGGATCTCCATCATGTGGGCCTTCTTCTGCTTGAGGGGAGTCTTGCGGATCTGGGTGTGGACCAAGATGCGGACGACAGTGCAGTACTTCTTGATGCGGGCAAGCTCGTGGGCGATGTCCTTTCCTCCGTCGGCGTGCTTCTTGGTGTACTTGGTGAACGCCTTCTTCTTCGACTTGTACCAGTTCTTGTAGAACCGGCGGCGGACCTCATCGGACAGATGCTCGGCCCAGACGGTGGTGAGCGAACGCAGACCACGGGGGGTCTCGACGTAACCAACAACGCCGATGCAGACAACCTGTAAACACTCTCAGCCATCCCGTCCAAAACCATTGTGTATGCAGGGTAGAACATACCGGAGGAGTCTCGATGATTGTGACAGCCTCGACGATCTCCTTCTTGTGCATCTTGGCACCAGGACGCTCGAGTTCACGAACGGTGGTGGTCATACCAGCCTTGTAACCAAGGGTGGCAGTGAGGTGCACGGGCTTCTTGGGGTCATCCTTGGGGAAGGACTAGATAGAGCGCATCGTCAGATTGAGTCCGGTTGAAGATTATCGAATTTGCTGCGTACCTTGGCCTTGCCTCTGTGTCTGGCAGCACGCTTGCGGGGCAAGAATGCCAGCGAACCGTGTCGGGGAGCTTCCTGTCGGAGATATCAGTTTGCTGAATTCGAGATTGATCGCGCAACGCTGGTGGGACATACGAATTTCCTCTAGAGACCGAATTTCACGTCAGCATTTCGTTCGAACTTTCTTTCCTATCCAATTTGGCGGGGAGACATACGTGAGACATCTTTGAACCGTGAGTCCGCTCGTGAGGTCGTCCAAAGGATGCGGGTTGTTGGGCTGTTGGTTAGTGGGTTGAAGTCGCTGGTGCGGGTTGTGGCTTCTGTGAGTATGGAATTTGCTTGCGTTCTCCGGAAAAGAGCAGTCACTAAAAGTGCACAGTGTGGGTGCGCCAAGGATGTGGGTTGTGCGCTCGCTAAAGGATTGTGTTGATGGCTGGTGGGCTGGGGCTGAATGTGGCAGTGGTGGCTGGACTGGTGCAGGGTGCTGGGTGTGGCAGTGGTGGCTGGACTGACGAGTGCGTGCGAGGCCGTGTCAGTTAGCCCCGACATTCGGCAGCTACATAGACCTATTAGTTAGGATCTTCGAGTACTGTTCCATAAGACAACATCATACTCACCTTATCTATGCTGCACCGCAGTACGGTACCTGGTGCCCGACCCCCCAAACCCCACCAGAAATACAGTTCTCGTACTAGGTATACAGTTACGGCAATCAATCAATCCAGCCAGCGCCACTACTCCCTCGCGGAACTATGATATTCAAATACACAAGACACAAGACACAATAAGCCATTCGCTCATCGCACACATCATATTCTACATCACATCCCAAACGGTTGGCTATCATCAATGTTCGCAACCAGGCAATCACCACAGCTCACGAACTGGCCGACTATGGCTTGTTTCTCCTCCGCCGTTCGGTCGGTGCGAACCATCTTCTGGGCAGGACCTTCCTCCAGCACAGGACTGGTCATAGGAATCTTAACCATAGGATGGAAATAAAGGGACTCGATGATCTTGAAATTGTACGGTGGTCAGTCCGATATGAATCCGAGTATTACACTACTAAGTAGTATTTGTGTACAGCCTTACCAGACATGCCCACCTGCCCCCAGTCCGTTTTGCGCTGCCCACGACGACAAAGGCAATCACTCGTTCTTCACGGATGATTCAACCAGCTAGAAGGCTACCCACTGCAGCGAAGTTCTACAACTTGGGCGAGCTGTTCTTCACACGGAGAGTAGTGTGTAGGTGCCTTCTTCTACGCTCGAGCTGGTCATACCGATTTTGTGGGTTGGAATAGAATATTATTCGAAGCGCCTTCTTCCATCCATCGTCACTCGCCATGGAACGCTTCTGAAACGCGCAACGGAGTTTACCCGCTGGACGCGCGTGCAATCATCATAGCTCCGCCTAAATAGCTAGAGAAGCTCTCACGATCCCAAAGTCCGTTTCTACTACCTGGTAACATACCTATCTCCGGTTCTGTCCTCGTAGTAGTTATCTGTCATACAAAGTGTACCACCGTATTTCTGCCCCATCCGGACATCTCCTCTGCAATAATAGACACTCCACCGATTGGATACCCATGTGCTGGGGCGGGGTGCAGTTTACGTGCAGTTTGCATGACGATATCATCAAAGATCCTCGTCGACTTTACCCTAGCAGATTGCTGGTAGATGTACCTACTCTAGTCTATGTACATAGCTGCACGACTAACTCGCTCGACTCTCCCCAACGATCTCTGCGCTCCCACCAGGCAGACATACGCGACGTGATATCGCACTGTCCGTCTCGATGGCCGCGAGAAATGTAGAAGAGTAGATCCAGGTATCGAGGCGGAGGTGTTCCGGTTAATGGACGTTGGTGCCGGACGGGAAGATTGTACGCCTGACCGTCCCAGATGGCACGTGTAAGACTGAGACACGGTGATCGAGCTGCCCCGCTCTCTTGAAAGTCTGTAGCCTGGATAATACCACGCAATAGAGCTCCGCGTGCCTATAAGATTCCCGCCTCCGCCACATGGCTCGAGACCTGAGAAAGCCATCGCTATCCATCTACTCCGTCTGCCTCCACTAGCCTTGACACTCCTCTGTCACGTCGAATCCAGAGCTCACTAGCTTCTCAAGCCACCTGTCGTCATCCCGCTATCTACACTTTCCCATCCCACCACCACACCCTCACACAAGCATGCCCAGTACGGAAACCGCAAGCCCACCGACTTCGAAGCTCCACATGAACAGCAAAGCGAGTGCTGCCGAGCGCGAGCCGGCCACGAACGGAACCACAGCGACAGCAAGCCGCGAGGCAGAGTTGGATTTCACGCTGCACCCCAACTGGAGTGCTGAGAAGGAGAAGGTAGCCGTCCAGAGCGCGTGCACCGTGTTCTGGAGCTCCTGGCTAACAATGATGGCGACGACAGATCCTACTCGGCCCATACGACTACCTCATTTCCTACCCCGGCAAAGATATCCGCAAGCAGCTCATAGCCGCGTTCAACGTCTGGCTACAGGTTCCCGAAGATGTGCTGGAGGTGATAGGAAACGTTGTGGGAATGCTGCACACCGCATCACTGCTGTGAGCTTCCCATCGTCGCCGTGTCTGCGGCCTTGTACTGATGAAACCTCCATCCAGCGTGGACGACGTAGAAGACAACTCGATCCTCCGCCGCGGCGTGCCTGTAGCCCACAGCATCTTCGGGGTCGCCCAGACCATCAACACCGCGAACTACGTGTACTTCCAGGCGCTTGCGGAGCTGGCAAAACTCAAGAACCCGGAATGTTTGACCATCTACACTGGTTCGTGCGCCTTCGCTTTCTGGAGATCTGATGGGAGGTGCTGACGGAGGGGATAGAGGAGCTCCTGAACCTCCATCGCGGCCAGGGTATGGAGTTGTTCTGGCGCGACAACCTCCGCTGCCCGACGACACAGGACTATCTCGAGATGGTCAGCAACAGTTCGTCACCTTACCTTTTTCCATCTTCGCACATGACTGACCCCTCGCAGAAACCGGCGGTCTCTTCCGTCTCGCCATAAAGTTGATGCAAGCCTGTTCGCCCACCTCCTCCGACTACGTCTCGCTCGTCGACTGCATCGGCCTAATCTTCCAGATCCGTGACGACTACATCAACCTGAAGTCGTCACAGTACCACAACAACAAGGGATTCTGCGAAGATCTCACGGAGGGGAAATTCTCATTCCCCATCATCCACGCGATCCACAAGGATCCGAGCAATATGCAGCTCCTGAATATTTTGAAGCAGAGGACCGAGAGCGAGGACATTAAGAAATATGCGGTTGCGTATATGGATGAGAAGACAGGCAGCTTTGAGTACACGAGAGACGTCCTGCAGGCTTTGCATGTTAGGGCGACCGAGCTGCTGGACGGACATGGTGGGAATCATTATTTGGATCGCATTCTGGAGAAGTTGGTTGTGAAGAAGGGGGAGTGATTGGAGGTCTACCCATACTATAGCTACGGGGTCGCTTATTCGTGGGATGATGGAATTGGATTGTACATATTCGGAGAGCTTGAGGAGTGATGATGATACTACCTATACTATACATGTACCTATTTATTTACGAGGAAACACATGTAGATTTCTGCCATGAATACAATGTGTGCTTTCCGGGATCTTCTGCTTCACAAGGCTGCAGTACTGCGTCAAATTTCTCGGCATCCGGAACATTACGTGTGTGCAGGGACTAGCGAGTGATCCCCGGTGAAGGCCAAGTGTCCTTCCACGCGGCGCGGCTCCCAGCGAGAGCTTACCATGTCGAGTACGTATCCAGAGAGAAGACACGCCGCCCGTCCTCCGGAGTTATCCCACAATCTCCCAATCGCCCACACAATACCGACACGATGATTTTCCGCTCCCTCACCAGCAGTCTGCTATGTCTCTCCCTCAGCATCTCGTTCGTCACAGCCGAATCGCTCACCGGTTTGAGATTACTGGTCGTCCTTGAAGATGCGGAGCTGAAGCCGCTGTACTCGAAGTTTTTGGGCGATCTTGAGGGTTCGTTCGCAATCGCAGTGGGCAGGATGGCGGAAGAAATGCTGACGGATTGAATTGTCTAGGCAGAGGCTATAAGGTCGACATCCAGTCGCCAAAGAACGAGGCGCTGTCGCTGTTTACGCACGGCCAGAGAGCTTACGACCATGCCATCCTGTTCCCGCCGAAAGCGAAAGGTCTCTAGACCTCCTCCTCCTTCCTGCCCCAGGCATTGACATGACTGACGTATCCCACTAGGCTACGGCCCCTCTCTCACCCCGCAAAAACTCGTCGACTTCGTGCACAAAGACGGCAACATCCTTCTTTTGACGTCGCCCTCCGGAACACCCGAGCAAGCGCGCGAGCTCGCGCGAGAACTCGACATCGACCTTCCGCCGCGAGACTTCCTCGCGGTGGACCACAGCAGCTACGACGTCGTCTCGGCCACAGAGTCGGGGAAGCACGACGTGATCCTGATCCCGCGGCCGGGCGTGTCAGATTCGACACAGAACTACTTCGCAGGCAGCTCGGGGGAGGGGGAAGGGGAGGTGATCGCTTTCCGTGGAACCGGGCACGGCTTGGGGAATCGCCCATTGTTGTTCCCCGTCCTGTCGGCGGGGAGAGCGGCGTATACCTATGACACTAAGGAGGACTTTGCGTACGCTGAGGAGCCGTGGACCGCTGGCAGGCAGATGCAGTATGTAACTGCCATGCAGGCGAGGAATAATGCGCGCGTGGTGGTCGCCGGCAGCACGGAGATGTTCTCCGATAAGTTCTTCGACATGATGGTTAAGGCGCCGAAGGCGGAGACGGAGGTGCACACCGCGAATAGGAAGTTTGCCGAACAGATCACTAGCTGGGTCTTCATGGAGACTGGCGTCGTCAGGGTCAATGCCGTCAGACATTACTTGACCAACACCACAGACGCGCAGGTCAACCCTAATGTCTACCGCGTCAAGAACGATATCGTACGTCCCCCCCTCCCGAAAACCCGAGCACTGTCCAGCCATACTGATCCCCCTCCGCAGACCTTCGAAATCGAGCTCTCCGAGTGGTCGTCCACCCAGTGGAAGCCATTCACCGTGCCGAGCTCCGACCACCTCCAGCTGGAGTTCACCATGCTAGACCCATACTACCGGCTGCCGCTGCTCGCCTCCCCCTCGTCGTCGACGCCCACCTCGTCAGTCTACGCGACCTCCTTCAAGGCGCCCGACCAGCACGGCATCTTCGCCTTCAAGGTGAACTACAAGCGCCCCTTCGTCACCTACATCGACGAGAAGTACACGGTGACGCTCCGCCACTTCGCACACAACGAGTACACGCGCTCCTGGGACATCAGTGGTGCGTGGGTATGGATTGCGGGTATTGCTGCGACTATTGGTGGCTTCACCGTGTTCTGTGCGCTCTGGCTGTATTCGGCGCCTACGGAGAGGGGGGTGAAGAAGACGCAGTAGTTGTTAGACAAGGGTTTATGAGCTTCAACTTTGTTTTCTCGTTATAAATCAAAACGGCTGGTTTTTCTTTTGTGTATGATATCTTGCAATGGAGGGGGATTCTCCAGCGGGAGAGCCAGTGCAGTGCGATTAAACACGGCCTAAACCAGTTATCCACGCGGAGTGACGCCTATGATTCATTCCCGATCGTCCCGCTCCCGTACTTCCCCAAGCAAATGTTGGTTGGGCATCTGTTCCGTCGGGGGACTTGTATCTATACATGGCTATCGTACATCTAGTGTCTGCTCTCCATCCTACCACCCACACACCGCTCTGACCCTCTTCTCATGCCCGACCAACGCCTTACACGCCCTAAGCCTCGTGACAACCCCCGCCTCAGCCCCATCCCACCTGACTCCCAGGACAAGATGTGTATACGCGAACACGGCGGCATCGACCAACCCCGGCGCTTGCGCCCCGAAGAACCACTCATCACCGCCTAGTATCTCCTCGAGCGCCGCCCACGCCGCGTCGGCGTCGGCATACACCTCGTCGGCCGTCAGCACGCCGCTACGAGTGCGCGCTAGCTCTGCGGCGGCAGAGGAACGCATGCGCCGAGAGAGTAGTGCGTTAACGAGGGGGACGGCGGTATGGCAGTAGAGTGACTGGGCGAGCGGGAAGTGGAGTGGTGAGAGGTGGAGTGCGTAGAGCTACGGCATAGTTAGCCACACACACACAGACAGCAGCAGAGAAGGAGGAGGAGGAAGAGAAGCAGGAGAAGAACGTACCCACGCATCCCTGACCCTCGAGTCTACGAGCTCCATCACGGCGGCAACCTCTGGCGCTTGCAGGTCGCAGCCGGACTGGGGCCCCGCCCACGAGAGGAGCTGCCGTGCGGGGAGTGCCTTCCCCACCGCGCCCGCAGAGCCTCCAGCACTGGCGGCTGGGAGGAGGAACGGTAGCTGCCCGGATGGCGACGCGTGGTTGCTTGAGGGGACGTTGGTGTATTCCACACCGCAAAATTTTAGGTACGCCTGGAGGTATAGTCAGCGCCCGGTGCTCGGGGAGGGGGGGGGGGGAGGGGGGAAGGGGGGGTAGTACCTGCCACTTGAGACAGCTCGGATTGAAGCTTGGCGCGTCTCGTCCTTCGGAGTCTGGGGCGGCAAAAACGTAGAGGCGCGGTAGGGGCGACGAGGTCAGATCCGGCGAGCGGGCGGGTAGTGCCGCTGGCGGGTACGTGAGCAGCGGGAAGGCATCGAAGAGGCGCCGGAGCACGGGCGGGATCGGGAGGAGCGATGGGCTGCTGCTGCTGCTTGTGCTTGTGCTTGTGCGGGGAGCTGATGGGGTGGGAGCTGGTGGGGTGGACATGGTTATCGTACACACCGGGGAACGAGGGTTGGATATGGTGGGATGTGCATCGTGGTGGAGACGGGGTCATGTGATGTGGGGTAGTGTTAGTGCGATTGAGTTTGAACTTGGACTGCGAGTGATGGGCTATGTGTAGTGCTCTACATATGCGTTCTTGGCGCCTTCCACTCCCCCCACTCACTCAACGTCTTCATTTATAACTGGCCCGGTAGACTACTGCTTGAGCCAATGCTCATTCAAGTACCCTATCTACACCACCATAGCCGGCAGCGGCACTTCCTCTCCGTTCCGATACTAGCTGATACCTAGGTATATCCCGTGGACCGGAACGGCAAGAAACCACGAGTTCGAGAAACAGCAGATCCCTATTGCAGAACAAGGGGATGGGGGCGGCACAGGAATAGTGTCACGTTTTCCAGCCCTATCGTACTCCGGACCGAGACATGATGAGACGTTTCTTAATATACACCCGTCCACCCGTGCACCCGTGCACCCGTCCACGCACCCAGCGCATCCTTTCCTCGCCCCGTCAGTCCCGTCAGTCCCGTGTGCCATGTCTCCGTCTGTCTATGTTACAATGATTTGATTCGCGGTCAAGTATGTATGTATGTCTTTCCTCGCCGCTGTCACCTCCGTGCATCTGAATACCTAGGTACGTCACGGGAACAGAAGATGAATTTATTTCCCCATTCCCGCACCGCCACCCTGCATCATGGCCTGGTTCTGCTCCGCAAAGCGCTGGCCGAGGCGCTCGCTGGTCTTGAGGAACTTGTCGACGCAGCGGTTGACACACGTCTCCTCCTTCGTCGATACCGCCTTCGACGTGAAGTCGTTGATGCAGTCGTCGAAACATCTGTGCTTGTTAGGATGGATGTCCATGTGGATGTCACAGCAGCGCGGGGTATATGCTATGGCTGCGAGGTACGGAGGGAGGGAGGGACGGTGAGGCACACCTTTGCACGAGGTTCGAGTACATCTGCATAGAACGAAGGTCAGCACACATCCGATAGATAGCTAAGCGGTGAACATCCGCCGCGCGTGCGGTCTGCCGACTTACCGTCATGAAATCCTTCATCTGTCGTCTCTCGACGAGCTGCTGGAACTCGCGCTGTTCGTTGGCATTGAGGCTTGTGGTGTGTCAGTAGTGGGTGGCAATAGCGACGACGACTACGACGACGACTACTACGACAGCGGGGTAGAGCGGATAGATAGGTGACGAGGTGAAGCTTACGATTCCATTGCAGCTAATGGCACGGGTTGAGAATTTCTAAGTAGAGGTGACGAATGCGCGGACGCGGCCCGAGAGGAGTATACGACGTTCCGGTTCGGATCGGAGGGGGCGGATGGCGAGAGTTGCGAGTTACGAGTTGCGAGTGGTGGTGGTGGTGGGTTGGTAGTGGTGACGATGATTACAAGTTTGTTTTCGGCACGCTAGGCAGAGGCACACCAGCCGAAACGAGCGGCGGGCGAAGGAGCTGGTGTTGCGACGGTTACCCTGCCGCAGAGGATTCCAGGGTCCTCCTGGCCTGGCCTACTCCGGCGAGCGGAGCGAAGGGGCGTTCAAGTCTTCGCTTGGTCGCGTTTATAGTCGAAGTCATAAAAATAGCAACGCCAGGCTCCAGCTGCACGGGTGTGGGTGGGAGCGGTGGATTCAAATTTCGAAGCTGTGGGGAGTTTTGTCCTCGTGGGGTTCTGCAGCTGGAGCGGACTGAGATCATGCTCCAGCCTCCGCCTCTACGATAACGAAGAGGTTGTTAGGAAGAAAATTTATATTGACCGTGATCGCGGATCGCTTTCTGACGTCTCTGGTGGAAGATCTTTCCTTGGTTTCTTCCGTTCGACAAATGCGACCCAAACGGTCCATGCACTATAAACACCTGTTGGACAGGAATCAATATCGCGTATCCATGTCGACCTATAGAGCGCCGAGTAGCGTATGACCTGCAGAATGTCATGATGTTGGGAGGGGATAGTTATTGCTCTAAAAAAAAGGTGGTGGTGGAGGAGGTGGTGGTGGCGGTGGTGGTGGCATGTACCCTAGTGGAGGTGGTGGAGGTGGTGGGGGTGAACAAGGCCCTGACGCGTTCGGAGCTCCCACTCTAGCCCTGCACCCGCCAGCCAACCAGCCATCCAGCCAGCCAGCCCAGCCAGCCCAGCCAGCCCAGCCACTCGCCTTGTTCGTCGTCGGTTCGATTCGCTCTTGGTCCTTTAGCTCTTTCCAGACGGATCGAAGGAGACGGACCGACCCAGATATAGAGAATTGGCACCTATCTCGAGTACCGACTGTAGGTACCCAGGCAAGCAGGTCAGCACGAACTGATTACGAGCAGGTACCGATATCAGCTCTTTTATAACCAGATTCGAAGCCTACCGACTTCCTGTTCCTCTCCCCCCGTGCAAGTGCTCTAGGGGAGTCCCCTCCGACACCCTGCCTTGGAGCAGGAGTCACATTCGCATACAGTCCCAGTGCGGAATCCGAGTTCAGCATAGTGAGGGCCCAAAGGATCGGATCTGGATTGAATCGTCCACGCGCCCATCGATATGTGTCTCCGCTCTGTCTCAGGTCGAGAGGCGGGGGAACAACGTGCTCCGGTGCCTGCCAGCCTGCGAGCAGCGACACTGCCAGACTAAGACTGCCAGACTGCCAGTCGCCAGACCGCCAACCTGCCAGACCGCCAACCTACATACCGTACCGCTGTGTGCGCACAACGAAACCAGAAACACACTTTGGACGGTCTTGGATAGGGTGCTCGCAGTCTTACTGGCCGTGACAGTCCGTCGGCACCGCCGCGAAGGCAAAGTCGGCTTATGTAGAGTCCGCAGAGTGCGCAGCGTACGGTGGGGTGTGGGGCTACTGAACCTACGGAGCCCAGCTATCTACTGTACTCTGAGTCTAACACCTATAACTCAGCAGTAACTACTGTATTCTGAGTCGACTGCATCATGTCTATGCATACTCTGAGTCTACTATACCTGTCTACTGTATGCTGAGCAGCGGTTCTCACGGATACCGTCCGACAGCTCATAAAGCACTCTGCGGAGTATGGCCGAATCTCTCGTCCCCGAGAGGATATCGTCGTCGTGGTCATGTCTTACGGTCTTTCTGGATCTCGAAGTCAAAGAGGCCATGAATATGATATGTACGTACTTACATACGTGAGCTAGCACGAAGTATTTTGGTCGTTCGGCTTCTTCGGTCTCACGGCCATACCGTAGACTCTTCGGTCTCACGTTACCCTATAGACCCGCCAGGTCCCTGAGTAAGAACGGAAACGTGTCTACCGTAGTCGTCCAGAAGGCTTACCTGTGCACCTCCATACCTATCTCTGACGCGCTCGTCTTTCGCCCCGTATTCTATATCTCCCTGTCTCTCTGTTCCCTTTTCGTTCCCGTTTCTATTCTCGTTCCATCCGGATTGTCCGTCTCGGTACCTACTTCTGCATACTCTGCTATACCGTACTCCTCAGCACTGTGTGAATGGTTATTCTTCATTCACTGGAGAGGGACACAGAGACAGACACAACCACAACCCACAAAACACGCCCAAACTCACACATTCCAGCTTCTTCCTCCTCTCCTTCCTCCCCGCTGCCTGCAGCCCACGGTCCCCCTGTAGGCCAGACTCTCCCTCCCCCTCTCCCCCTGGTCTCGCTATTCGCCCGTCCACTCCGGCCTCGCCATTCGATAGAACGGACAACCTCCCCCATAAACTCGCCTCGCCTTGCCCTCCACCCCCCCCCCCCCCCCCACCAACACTGAGCACCTACTGCTGCCGCCTACCTACCACCACCATCTACCATACAAACCTCCATACCGCTTCCACCCCCCCCAAACCAACTACTACCTTCTACCTGCTCTCGGCCACCCAACTGCATCCCCGGAGCAACACAATAATCAAAATAATATCGCCCTTGCTTTTGGCTTCCGCCCTCTCTCTCAACTACACCTCTGCCAAATTACCACCGTCCACCACCCACCCCCGTCGCCACTGCATAACTCGGCCACAACTCAACCCAACCCAACCTTCGCATCTCCACCAGCCAAACGAAACTGTGCGCGCTCTCCACGGTCATATTGCTGTATTCGGTCCGTTGCCTCCTCCATATTATCCTCCTCCCCCGTACCCCTCATCCACTATCCCCCTCCCCCCCCACACACAACCCCCGGTGCTCCTGCAAATTCTAGTCGGGAGCGCTGTTCCTTGTTTCCTCCCAGTGCAGGATCACGAACCGGTTCCATCTGCATCATCTCGCCTGCGCCGTTGCCATCTTATACGCCTGCCGTTCGCTACCTACCTAGCTATTTTGACGCACCACAACCACCCCCCTCCCCTCCCCCCCCCAAGAACTCAACTTATTCTCCCGTGCCTTTCAATAGTACAGCTCCATTATTTAACGCGCCCGCTTCGCTATCCCTATCATCCTACGCTTTCTCCTCCGAACGTGCGCTTACGCGGTATCCCGTCAACAAACGAAATACACGGCCCCAGCTCGTCTTCGCAACGAATCTCACGCATACGGGCGCAACGGGGGACTACGTAGTCGCCCGCTGCTCTGAAAGGGGGATATGACTATAGCGGACGTTCCTGGACCCTCTGCCGCCGCCGCTGCTAATGCTGCCGCTGCCGCGAATGCCGGTATTCCGCCAAACTCGCCTCCTACAAAGGCGTCCCTGGCGAACTGGTGGGAACGCTTCAAGAAGAAGACGAGAGATGATGAAAAGGGTACGGCCATCCTCGTGCGTTGTCGCCCACTCGCGACAACCCCTCGATGAAATCGCGGTGTTTCGTTAGGTGTTTCGGTGTCGCTAATGCCCTTCTAGAGCCCCGGGGCATCTTTGGCGTTCCATTGAATCAGAGCATACACTACGCAAACGTCGCGATCTCATTGACCGCGCCCAACGGAAAGCAGTTCATCTACGGTTATGTGCCCATCGTGGTGGCCAAGTGTGGTGTGTTTCTGAAAGAAAAAGGTAGCGCCTTCCTCTCGTGATCCTCCGCGACTGCCCCCTTGTTGCCCAACGAACCCGACCGCTGACGGTACTTTGCTGCCCCCCATAGCCACCGATGTCGAAGGCATCTTCCGATTGAGCGGATCGGCAAAGCGGATCAAGGATCTCCAAACCACTTTTGATTCTCCCGACAAGTACGGAAAGGGTCTGGATTGGACTGGTTACACGGTGCACGATGCGGCGAACGTTCTGCGGAGATACCTCAACTGCTTACCGGAACCTATCATCCCGCTGGACTTCTACAACAGATTCCGGGACCCTTTGACGGTGCCGCCGCAGAAGTTTGATCACGATGAGGCCATCAGGGTCTATCAGAGTCTCATCTCCGAGCTGCCTCCTCTCAACCGGCAGCTTCTGCTGTATATCCTGGATCTACTGGCCGTGTTTGCGTCAAAGGCCGATCAGAACCGAATGACGGCAGAGAATCTTGCTGCCATATTTCAGCCTGGATTGATATCTCATCCCAGTCATGAGATGGCGCCTCAGGCATATAAGCTGTCGCAGGATGTGCTGGTCTTTCTGATTAACAATCAGGACCATTTCTTGCTTGGTATGCGGGGCAGAGACGAAATCGACCCGGCAGCCGAAATGGCCAACCCCACAACGCCCGTAATGCCCGTAACACCCGTAACGCCCACATCCCTCCGACACTCCAAGACGGTAGTCGATAGAACACCCTCAAACGCGAGCGCGGGTGCAGACGATGTCCGAAAGTATGGAGGTCTGAGAAGGAACGCGTCCGTCAGTTCCAGAAAATCAGGTGGTGGCGGCGGTGGCGGCGGTAGCGGCGGCGGTGGTGGTGGTGGCCAGGTGGCAAAATCCGGTGGTGTAAGTCGAAGCAACACCCTGCCATCCAGAAGGTCCCCTCGCCCTCGCCCTACGGCGGGTTTCCGGCCTACGGATGGTTCCGTTTCTCCAAAGCCAACTGAATCAATAGGAACCGCGAGTACGGCGACAGCAGCAGGCAGACATGCGCGATCGCCGTCTCCCGGACGCATGAGGGAGGAAGTGAGCCCGGTGGAAGCACGAAGACCGGAGAGTCTTGGATTGCTGTCGCCAAGGGAGCCCAGGTCCCGACAAGTTTCGGGGCAGTGGTCGCGTCACGGCTCGCCAGTAACGACACCCACCAAGGATCGTGGTTTCTCCAACCTTTTTGCACTTTCACCGGATAATGATAGACCTCGGGGGAAGCTGCGGAAAAAGCGGAACCCCACGGAAGATAAGAACCCATCGGCGGAATCCTCATCGACATCACTGCCTCTTGCTGCGCCTGTTGCGCCCCTTGTCAGTCCAAGGGTATTGGAACAGCCGGCAGAAATAATCTCCGCCGCGCCTCGAAAATCAATCTCGCGGTCCACGCAGCCGTCGTCAGCGCCGATCCCAAACAATGCTCAAGGTTTCTCGAGCGCAACGTCGACCTCCACGCTAATGCCCACCATGTCCCCTACGCCCTCGGCAACGTCCAGCGTGACTAGCCAGGATAGCAATCTCTCGTGTTCCGACGCGACTAACGCGTCGTCTCCCGACAAGAAGAAAAGATCAAGATGGCGGTGGTCAGCGTCAAAGGTTGAAATGTGGAACCCGGGAAGTCCTACATTCGGAGGTTCGAACGCTAGCATAGCCGAACGGATGAGACGTACTTCACGAAGTCCCGATCGCACCGACCGCATGGATCGTACAGATCGTACAGATCGCAAGGTTAGTAGCGAAGGCAGTGGCGATGACGGGTCCAACAAAGGGGGTCGGCTTGGGTGGTTGAAGAAGCGGACCGGGAAACGCTCGGATCAGGATGATAGGGACATCCCGATTCATGTCCAGGTCCAAACGCTCCCACCACCACAATACCCACACCCTGCGTCACCTCAGGTGCAACCGCCGACGCCATCTTCACTGGGAAAACCGACGTCTCCCATCGTAGAGGCCGAGAATGAATTCGAAGAGGCTCGCCCAACAGGACCAATTCAGTCACCTGATGCCGAGCATCGGACACCTACGCAGCCGACAGGAGATGGGGAGATCCATAGGTCCACCGCAGTTTCACATCACACCAGCAGTTCAACGCCGAAAATGCTTGCCTCTAGCCCCGGTGAATCGCCTGGCACTTCTCCTGACTCCGACGTCACACCGAAAGCCACAGCAGGACATTCCCCGCATACGGACTATGGTCCACCGCTAGCATCACCACAACTAAAACCATCAGATCAACTTCCTCCTCTTCCCGTCATGCCACATCAGTCGAACGGCCACGGGGTATCAACTACCGCGGATAATCCAGCACCAATGCGGTAGCGAACAGTGCAGAGCATCTCGTGAATATACTTGTTATAATTTTCTTGATACCAGGGCTTTGGGGGGAGGGTGGTGGTAGTCGAATGTGTGTCTGAATTTTGCTTGCTGCATGGGTGGTTTGTGTGCCGGCGTTCTTTGCGACGATACCTGCGTACGTACATTTACGGAGTCAGTCGTTGGTGGGGGACTGGTAGGATGGCGGGGGTTGGGGGGGGCTTGTGTTGTTGAGGTGTACGGTTTCATGGGATGTGGGATTTGTCTCGATATTTTTTTCCGGAACAATATGGGAGTTTGTGTTTTGTCTGGGTTTGTTGGGATCCGCTTTCTTCTTTCTTCTTCTTTGCTTTTCCTTTTTTCTTCTTCTCTGTCGGGCTTATTCTCGGGGAATGCTTTTTCATCGATCGAGAGCAAGAGCAAGTGGATTCTTATACTCTATGTTTGTCTGTGTGGGCGTGTGTGGGCGTGTGTCTCTATGTGTGTGTGTGCGTGTGGGAATGAACGTGTCTCTTTTTGTTATCTACCAATCTGCTGAGTGGGAACTGTTTTTTTCTCTTTCATTTCTTTGTTTCTCTTCTCTAATGAATATGACGAGTACCTGGGTTGTATCTTATGATTGATGATGGTCTACGATGGGAATCAAAAAGGAATGGCGTTTTCGTTTATTAGGTCATTAGGTAGGGGATTCCTTGATCTGGAGGTGCAGTGTGATATCGTGTGATATCGTGTGATTAGCTGAGAAAGTAACAGGCTGGGGGAGTAACAGTCTGGATGGGAGGACCGGTCAAGTCAGCTGAATTCGACCGAGATCTGTGAGCGTATCTGGCTGGGGGTAGAGGTTAGTGGGGTAGAGGTGAGTGGGTGGATTCTTATCATAGGTAACTGCATCGGAGGCGGTGTGTACCACGGGGCGTGCAGTTACAGACTTACAGTCAATACTCTCCTCTACTCTACGATGATAGGTAGCAGGAAGACAGACTGGACTGGACTGGTAGTCTGTCACTACATACATGCCGTTCTGGAACCAGCGACGGTATTCGAGAAGCTGCGATTAGATGGGTAGCGTAGACAACTTGCCGTGGCCTGTGGGGAATTCCAGTCTGTTGCTGTTGAGACACTGCGATGCTCTTACAGGTTGGTACAGGTACAGGTACGGTATCAGTAGCAGGAGCAGGTGGGTTCATGGATTATCACTCACACTGCATACCTTCATCAACGCCGAACGCTACTAGGTAATAGAGCCATGCTTCCCCTTAAGTCGTTGGACAGCAGCGTGGATACGGAGTGAGTGTGTGTGTGTATATTGCCATGATCTATCCAGGCCGGACGCAATCAATTCTCAAACAAACAAACAATAAACAAAAGGCAAAGCCTCCCCACTGCGACGTCGCCACAGGTTCGTGGGGATTCCGCGCAGCGGACGATAGCAACGGAGCTGCATGGGCGGCTATTTTCGATTCCGCACATATACCGTAGTTGTTACAAGGGTCCACAACCCCCCTCGCCTTGCCGTCGCCACCCCATCCTGCCGCCATGTCCCGCGTACAGCCCGTAGCGACCGTCGCGCTGACAGCGCACACGGCTTGCGCACAGCGGCTCGCTATGCACCTTTCCTTGCACAACATCCGGGTGATAACCGCGAGCACAGCAAGCACATCATCATCTGCGCTCGCCGACATGGCCAGCGGCGTACCGATCCAGACGCTCAGCTCGACAGTCGACCTCCTCAACACGGCGGACGTGGTCCTCTCGCTGGCCGAGGACCCGCTGCACGCCGCGAACGAGATCGTCTACTCCGCTACGTACGCGGCGAATCGTGGCGTGTTCTATGTTGACCTTTCGCCGACGACGCCCGAGGTGGCGAGGAGGATTGCGGATGTTTTTGGAGGCGTGGCACTGGCCGGCGTGCCGAGGTATTTGGATGGTGCGGTGGTGGAAGAGGTGGGGGGGGGGGGAGGAGGGGGCGTGGAAGGTCTGGGTTAGTGGGCCTGGCGCGGAGGCGTTGAATGCGCATGTGGCTAGGGCGCTGAATGTTAGGGCTGTGGGTGACGGGGTGGGCATGGCGAGTGCGGTCAGGGAGGCGATGGAGGTGGCGAGAGAGGGGATACGCCGTGGGTTGGAGGGGGCGGAGAAGGAGGGGGATGCGGTGCGCAGGGTGGTGGTTGAGGAGTTGCGTATGATGGTCGCTGCAGAGGAGCGGATCGATATGGAGGATTTTATTATGGAGTAGACGTACATGAGAGCAATGGCGGGTTTGTTGGTGACCTCCACTCGCTCGGATCCGAGTGATGCCGTGTGGGTGGGTGCGTGGGCATCGTGACGTTTCTGTTCCAACGAGTGAAGCCTTCCGCCTATTGTTAAACTGCCCCGACAACAACAAAACATTCTTGGGGACCAAATTGGCTTAGTAAGGAGTGAAGGCCGTTGTAGTCGTAGGAGCGGAGGAACAATAGGGGGATGTGAATTGCGGTGGGGAGGGAGCAGGACGGTGGGACCAGCTAGGTCCGAACTTTGGTCCATGGTTATACTCTTTGAGGTGACACGACCTTCCTCTTCTCCCTCCGATCATCCATCCTCAATAACATCCTCGATCATTGTTCCTTCTTCTCACCTCGCTACATATCATCAACTTATCTATCCTATCATCTTCTTATATCCCTCTCAGCCACGACGATGCCAGAGCTGTCCCTCCAGAATCCACCCCCCGCCCTGACCGGCCCTGTGGTCCAAGTATGGGCACACCGTCGCAGCCCATCCGGGCTTTCCGCCGAAGAAGCTGACCAAAACCGGCACTTCCAACCCCCCGGGTTCCGGCCAGACATGCACCCATCGGATCTCTTCGATCTCCGCTACAACCGGGGCTGCATCCCGGGCCACAACACGTATCCTGGGTTCCGTTTTGTGGGCAAGCTCGATCCGAACCAGATGCTCCTTTTTGTCGCCGGCGATACTAATCCCGAGGGCGACCGCACCGGCTCCGCCGTCGTCTTCAACAGCATCTTCCGCGAGCCCCCGACCAAGTTCTCGTCTCCGGACATTACCAAGGCGGATCATGACGTGCTTGTGCAGCGGGCAGTGCTCCGCGCCGCCACCAAGGCGCTAGGTATGGTCCGCTGGGGCGGAGAGGGCTTCCACAGCGTCGTCATAGCCACTGATAACGAGTACATCGTCAAGAGCATCTACGAGCGGATGCCGGTGTGGCAGACGGACGGCTTCAAAGACGAGAACGGCGTCAATATCGAGAACAAGCACTTTTGGAAAAGGCTGCTGCGCGGAATGAGGAAACAGGAGGAGCTCGGTGTTCAGGTCCAGTATTGGTTGATTCCAAAGGAGTGGAACGAAGCGGTCCTGTATGCCGGGAGGGCAATCGTGAGTACTCACTCTTCTATATCTCATGCCGCTCTTGAAGTTGTACTAACTAGCCCCGTTCCGGTACGAATAGAATGCAGAACTTGACTCCGAGTGGGCGAGTTCGCCCGTTAATACAACTGAGCCGGAACGCGTGATAGTGACGGAATCCGAGACGGAGCCGGAATCCGAGGCAGAGCTCGTGGAAGCCGAGACAGAGCCGGAATCCGAGGCAGAGCTCGTGGAAGCCGAGACAGGGCCGGAATCTGAGGCAGAGCTCATGGAGCTCGAGCCAGAGCCCATGGCCGTTGAGCTCGCAGATTTGCCCATCGCCGAGGAATCCGCCGATATTTGGGTTGTTATGTGATGGAGCGCTATTATGCTAGGTACGCACGGTTGGTCAATGGGGACTTGTGACGGGATGGAGGATTGTGAGAGGAGTCGGAGTGGGAAAGAATGGGTGTCTGCATGTGTGATGGGACCGAATTTGTGCCGCTATTGTCTGTGTATTTGATTGTCTCTGGAGTCTGTTGATGTCACCATTCTTGGTGTCTTTATTTCTGAAGGGCTGTGTAGGCATAGGTTGCCGATGTCCAACAAATGTATAATGTATGATTCATCGTGCCTTTTCTCGTGTACGGGATATAATATGTTTGCCTTGTCGTGAGTAATTGTTACATGCTTTCGTCTGGTGCACTCGCGCCACTTCCTCGTCAGAGCTCCAAGTCCTCGCTGGCAGGGCAGTAACGATTTTTTGCTCCCAGTGGCACACATGGGATGTCACTCGGTAACCGAGTGGGATGCCGTGAATATAACTTATCTAGCGCCTCATGGGATGTGTATTAGGGGCCATGATCTACTCTATGTAGATATGTAGGACTTTCGTCCGATGCACCCGTGACCAGCACCACTTCCCTGCTATATAGAGCTCCACGTCCTCGCTGCCTTGCCAATAGTTCTGTTCATGAGGGATGCACTGCGATTTCGCTGTAGCTGATCGATCCCACCGAACCAAATCTACCGAACGTACACAACATCCGCTTCCCTGAAAGTTGTTTTACCAATTGAGACCGTGAGGCATCGTTGCGGGGCAGAATGACGATCGGATGCGGGTGGCCGCGGCCGTGGATAGACGTTTGTATGTACATCTTACCTATTCCCCCCGTGATTTACTAGCAACATCGCATGGCATTTTCTTGGGCAATCGATCTGAGGACCGTAGATATAATGTAGTGGCCATAGTATGCACCCGGGCGAGTGTGCTCTTCCGCCGAGTAACTTGCACAGTTGCATTTCTACGGCTGGCTGCTCGAAGTCGTAACGGATGATTCCCACGTCTCACGGCACCGCTTATGTGCGAGCACAAAAGTCAGACCAGACCAGCGCCGCGGGATCGTATTCAAGTTTCAAACATCGGACGGAATGTCGCTTGTCACTCTTGAGTGGAGGCTACAAAAATCGGTACTCCGTGAGGCATCACTGCTGTTAGAATATCGTTCCAAAAGCGAACTACAAACGCTCTCCGGCCTTCAACCTTTTCTAACCTTCTAGTCGGTGGTATCGTACACTCGCAGCTTTACTTTCCGCCTAGGTACCTAGCTCTGCCCACCTCCACAGGCTTCCGAGGCGTATCGAACCCAGTCCTGTACCTCGGCTACCCCGGCGTGATGTAAGGTAGAGAGATTTACGGAGGAAGTCGATACCGTGGAGCTTATGGAATACATCTGGGCCGAATATGTGCGAACCCTCACTGAGTGACTGAGCTTGGATTTCGGGCCCAGAGGAGTGCGACTAGACCGCAAGTCCCGTCGGTACCAGAAAGAAATGTAGCTCGTGGCCAAGGCGAGCTTGCCATTCACATACCTAGTTGATGCCAACTGACGTCCAGCCCATCCAATGGTGTTCCACCGTATATAGAAAAATCGTTCGTCGGGCGTCGCGAGCTTCTGGAAGAAATGGCGGATGTATAGTAGTTTTCCATTCCTTGGTCGAACCCGAGTCTTGAGATTCCGTGCTGCACTACCAGGGCAGCGGAAGCTGGCAGGATTTTGCGGCCAGTGCATGGATACCTCGGTAGGCTCCGTCGTCGGCTCGCCGCTCCCCACGTCTTTTTCGTCGATTCCGATTTCGCCGGATGGTGAGTCTCGACTCCAGCTCGATAGCGTAAACGAGTCAGCCGTGCGGTGTTTGTATTGGGGTGAAAAGATAATGGTTTGTCTAGCCCGCGGGTCAACAATGAACTTGTCCATATTCGCAAAAATCTCCTTCACAGAGGATCACTCACCAACGAAAATCATCACCACGAAAAACATGGATGAAACCACTTCGACTATTTCTAACGTCGAGTCTTTTCATGGGTGCATCGGTTGCTGTTCCTGTCATAATTCGTAGGTGTATGTAGAGCAATCATAGGTAATCAACAACGATGCTGATTTGGAGATGCCTTGAGGTTGAACTTTGAAATTCTCATTTACCGTCCCAAGTTGTAGTGGCGTGCATATATGAGCGACGCGGTATGATCATCCCCCAGCTTACCCTTCGTCCAGGTTCTTCGGATTCCCTTCGGATTCCTTCGGTACGGGCGATCTTCTATACGGATATAAATCGGATACCATAGGCGGCCCTCATTCCGTTGCCATAGGTAGGACGAATTCAGGCACGCAGTTCGCCTCTATTTTGAGTTAGCCCTCTAGAATACCAAGTGTCAGTTCTGTCGATGGTGTGTGGAATGTCAAGAAATGAGAGTAGCGAGATTCGAGAATGTGGCGGGAGGGAATTTGGCGGCGCAGACAAGTGGGGAGGAGCAGCCAATTGCATTGGAAGACCGAGACCGTAAGAGAGAGCCAGGGGTGAGTGAGTATCACCAGCAGACTCGATGGTGGTCTTAGTCAGAAGTGCACAGAGCTGGCGGCTGGAGGGGGTGTAATGGATGCGGTCTCTGCGGTGTCAATGCGACAAGACTTTCTCCTATCTCCCGGAACCTAGACAGCTGTCGTTGACGCTGACATCTGACGTTGACTCCATATTGGGTTAGATCGCCGGTGTCAACGGACCGAGTGACAGTTCAATGCGTGACATCCGTGTTGTTGCACCTCCATCCTGCCCGAAAGATGGATTCATGGCAGGCTGTACCTGAGTTGGCCCTCGCAGCCTTTCTGTCTTTCTGCTGTCATGTTGTTCTGTGGTATCCAAATATAGACAGCAGCCTTCCGTGACGACAGTGATGAATTATGTTTTCGCTGGATGGCGAAGGTGTCGAGCCATATGTTGAGATATTTATTTCACTTCCGATCCTCAAGAAGAGGGTGGCTCTGATGGTCACGGAACACAAATTCCTCCAACCGCTTTGACCGGATCTATAACTGCTTGCTTCATCCTCATCATCGATGCCTCGTATCGTACATCCGATCACTCGTCTTTCCTCGATGCTAGACTTCTGTGTCATGCAAAACATCGTGGAGATGGAGGGGAGGTGACCGGAGAGGAAGACGAGAGCTTCTGATACTCTTCTCTTCGTTTCTCCCTTTGTTTACTTCGACCGAGTACCTTTGTAGAGAGCGGGAGCAGCGGGATGCCACGGCGGGTTACCACGATGCTGTTTCGGGGATCAGGGAGGACTATAAACAAGGAAGCGGGGTGTGTATTCATGCAGTTGTGAGTCTCATGGGCCAGATGTTGAAATGACGAAACGATCAAAACAAACCATCCGTGAATCAGCCATGACGTCTCTCTGTAGCTTTGCGTTTATTTTCATCGTTCGTGTAGTCTGAATTCAGCGAACCCGGCCTTACCGTAGGCCAAATCGACGGATCCAAGCCTGCCTTCAGTATATAAACACCCGGGAATTCCCCCCTCCTCCTTCGTCCTTCTCATCCACCATCCTTCTTCCTTTCGACCCGACACAATCTCTCCTCCCTCACATCAACTCATCAAGCACAAATTAGTTCGTCTCCTACACTCCATATAAATCTTTCTCATAACTAACTTGCGTTGCATCCATCAGTCATGCATTTCATCAACATTCTCGCCGTCTTCCTCTCAGCCACCGTCCTCAAGGCCGGCGCCGCTCCCGTCATCGAAGACACGGCCGCCCTCGAGGCCGCTTTCGCCGCGCCCAACGCCAACATCACCGAGCTCCTCTGTATCCACGGCCACACCGTCCTTGCCGGTGTCCCTCTCCCGACCAGCGCCTACGACAAAGTCTTCTCTGCTGGCAGCGTCGAGTGCAAGACCTCGTGGACGTCTCCGACCTACACCGAAATCGTCGCCGCGTAGGAGGAGCTCTTGAAGGGGGGACACCTGCTACCAGGGCAACATCAGCAGATCCATGTGCACGCAGCTCACCAAGTACAAGGGCGGCCAGATCGGTCTCTGCGACCAGTACCTCGCGTCCGTCGATTGCGAGTTTGTCCACTGGTCCGTCTTGCAGATCCGCGAGCTCTGCGGAATTCTCGAGCTCGGAAATAGGGCGGGTGGAAAGTGGAAGTTCAATCAATACATTACTACGATTGTGTACTGATGGCTGGATGGGGTGACGGTGATAGGAGATTCGTAAATTTAGTGTTCGCTTTCTCCAGGAACATATGAATAGTAGCGGGCTCGAAATGGAAACATGATTATTTGTTGGTTTCAATAGTAGATGCACCCAAAAAGTGAGTGTGACAACGTGAATATCCGAATGGTGATGAGCAAAAACATCCTCGTCTCCCACCAAGTACTATTACCGTGTCTTGCAAACCTGCCACAATCAATCTCCGTCTCTTCCTACCTTGATATCCGTAAGCAGAGACACTTGGACTCGCGGATAGGAAACATGCCTGGGTCCAAATGCACACCGACCTCCGACGGTATGTATGCACCAAGACCCTCGAAGCACATGAAGCACTCGAAGTACATAAAGCACTCGAAGCCCACGCGATCCGTCGTAATTCCTGCCAAATCTCCGCACGGCACCGAGTTACATACCTACATAGAGTAGAGCAGAGGATAGTAGAGCACTATCGTCATGCTTCTTCTATTCCCGTTCCTGCTCGTAGGTATGTATAATTGCAACCATACCTACAATTGCAGCCTCCAATCCTCCAATACAGACACCACACCACATCACAAATTACAATGTTCCAGCCATGGCCCTTGAGCTCTATTGAAGCCTTGAAGATATGCATAGCTTGGAATCGCAGATGTCACAGGTGTCCGTCGAGCCTTCCGCGCTTAAGGTCACTGAAATAGACACCACCGCTACGAATAGGACTGCCTGCACACCTCCCGCGCAGCAATCGAGATTATATGGCTGGATCTCCAGAGTCCAGATGGTATCTGTAAACGCAGGGGGGAATTGCAGTACTAGTGTATCCAAAAGCAGAGACGGAATCTAGCCAGCCTTCACGGATAGAGTTGAGCAGCAGCAGTAGTAATAGCAATAGCAATAGCAGTAGTAGTAGGTAGGGTTTTATACTCCATTCAAGGAGAGAGAGGATGTACGGTTCGTGCAATGGGCATGGCGGATCACTCGGTGCTTGGCATCCTCGGAAAGGGTTCATCCGATCCCCCCGGGCCGTCGAGCACCGGCATACTTTGCTAGGCTAGTTCCGCCGCCGCTTCCTTCCACTTGTTTACTAGGCCAACAGACGGAGTTATCTCCGAGCGGGAGGTGGTGGAGGCGTACCTACGCTGGGGAGCCCGGGGCTGCTAGTACTGCCGATTCCTTGCATGACGTCCCGTGAGCGCTGTGCTGTGGTGGGGTAGGTAACGGGGAGTCATAGGTAATTAGGTGGGGCACCATAACCCCCCCGCACTTTGGCCAATCAGGACCGAGATTCGATAGTGCTTGGAATGAACCACTCATATGCACTATCCCCACGTCTACCGCCCGAAGTCTGACGGAGTTGATGAGACGGAGAGGCCTCGGTCTCCCGCTCGTGGTTTCAACTTTCCCATCTACCGGTAGGCGGTAGCATACCCGTACTTAGCTCGGGAAGAGACCACTGTCCCCTCCACCCTGGCCGCCCGCCCTCGGGAGTTTGACCTCACTCCTCGCTCCCTTTGTCTAAACTCGCTCCCGCTCCCGCTCCTGCCCAAGTTCCCGCTGAAGAATCCGAAACATCCTTCGGCAGCCCAAGCACTAGCTACCGGTAACTACTCTAACGGGCCTAAAGTATGCACCTACTCCACCTGCATATAACTCTACCTCCTACTTGGACTTCTTGGGTGCAACGAGTCATACCTAGCCTCATAGGTATGCCAACTACGTGGCGACCTGACCTGGGGATCCCGCACCACCCACAACGACGTTTACCACTGGAAAAGGGTTTGCGCGGCTGCAAAACTTAATCAGGTATTCGTCGGGCCCGCGACGACGAGACGTCAACGTACTCTACTCCGGCTACGTACGGTGTAGGAATGTGAAACACACAATGCAAATCACGAGTCCGAGCCCGATGTCGGGCTCGCGATCAAAGTTGAAAGAAATGCCAGCATCCGAGTCCGACAGCGATGCCCCGCCTGTCAGTGTCAGTGTCAGTGTCAGTGTCAGTGTCAGTGTCAGTGTCAGTGTCAATGCCGCGACTCGCGAGAAGCTTGAGCTTGCTGGTCCCGCTCTCCTCGGCTCAAGCGTCGCGATGCGATACGGCAGTGGCGCTTATTACCCTAGATCGTGAGTCATGAAGCGAGATACTAGCAGGGTCACCGGCGATCAAATGGCAGCGGCATCCGTCGACTCCAGGGATAGTTAGGGCCCAAGGGATCGACACGCCAACAGCCCCCCGCCGTTCTAAGGATCCGGTGCAGCGGCCTAGAGGTATGGGGACTATACATAGCACCTCTGGCCTCCGGGCACACGGCCAGTCACAGAACTCAGTGCTCAGTGCTCACAGTGCCACGGCCCATCACCACTACCAGCAGCACCAGCAGCACCGCCACCAGCACCACCACCAGCAGCGCCACCAGCAGCACCACCACCAGCACCAGCACCAGCACCTTGATGGATCATGGCCGAGCTGCATTGAACCCCCCACTCCCCTCCCTCCCGTGTTGACCACGGCGAAACAACACTTGAAGTCGCAAGCCTCGAACTTGAGGAGCTCCAGCTCGTGGGGGAACGGCAGTTTTGTAGGTAGAATACGGTTCTTTCGTGTTTGGCTGCAGGCTGTGCTGCAAAAACCATTCCTTGCTTGATCTCGGTCGTCGCACCGCACCGCACGGAGTCGGTATGTAACCCGTACTCTACATATGACATATGAGGGAATTGCTGGTATGTGTGGTTGTGGCACCCCCCCTCTCCCCCCCCCCCCCCCCCCTCCCCCCCCCTCGCCCGCGATATGTAAAAGCGGAATGTTGGCGGGAGGAGACAGCAATCGTTACGGTAGTCTAGTCAATCGGACGATCAGACAGCCGAACAGAACAGTCAGACCGTCAGACGTGAAAGCGAGCTGTCGTCAGTCAATCGGACGTTAGATAGTCGAACAGTCATAGAGTAGAGTCCGTGAAAGCGAGCAGTCATACTTGCCTGCCTGCCTGTCTGCCTGCCTGCCTGGCCCCCGCGCGGCGCCTGCATCGGGCTGGAAATGCCTATATAGACACCGGCACTCTACTCTACATACTATACATACGACGCAAAGATCAGCCAGTTGTGTACCGGTACTCTACTGGACGGGCGGTCTCGGGCCGGAGCTGGGGTGGGATAGGACGATACGGTAGGCACATACTAGACTCCAACGGGCGGGGCATTCTGCACATCACATCACAGCTCAATTCTTGCCAGCTCCCATGAAAAGTGATGAGTTCAGCCATTGACGATTGCTGCTGCCTGGTTTCTTCCGCCGCCGTGTGACGGAACAGCGGAACTGGAAAGTGAGAAGTGGAAAGTGGAAAGTGGAAAGTGAAATGACTCAGAGCACATGCCAGCCTGCCAACCTGCAGCACGAAAACAGCAGCTGTATGTGGCTGGGGATTATTGGTATTCGGTGGTGATACATAGTGGTGGTGGTGATAGTATTGGTGGTGATAGTATCGGTGGTGGTGGTGCTCGGTGCTGGTAGCTACCCATGCACTGCGCAATCGTGGTGTGGGGTAGTTGTCCAGTGTCCACCACACATGAACCAATCAGCTCGAACAGTCGCACAGGAAGGATTGCTGTCGACGTGTCAATCAAGATCAAGATCCAACAAAGGGTCCTGCTCTCTCAACCGTTTCTCCTTCTTTGCTGAGGATGGAATTCGGCGGAGGAGGAGGGGGGGTGACGCTTCAGCATTGCTGCGGGTTAGTGCTAGTTATCCACAGTCGATTGGTCCAGGTCCCCTGTCGGAAGGCGGCGGTCCCAGTGTCCCACACCACACCCTCCGTGCGATTGCAACGCGATTGCAACCCAGTCAAGTCAAAAAGGCGGCCGTCCCCACCCCCCCACCATCCTCTCTTCCCTTTCATCAAAACTCCTCTTCACAGCAAGCTTACTCCATACATCTCGCTCAACATTTACCATACTCATACGACAAAAATCTGCTTGTACACATCGTCAGTGGATCTTAGCTGGATATTCGTACTCCCGGCCCGAAAAACAAAACTCAGGAACTAGCCTCGCTTGTTCCCGTCAAAATTCTAACTACTCGCTTACCGAACTCTATCGGACGACAGCCAATCACCAAGTCATGAGTGATCGTGGCGGTAGGGGCCGTGGCGACCGTGGCGGTGGTCGAGGCGGTGGTCGAGGCGACAGAGGTGGCCGTGGCGGCGGAGGTGACCGTGGCGGTTACGGAGGCGGCGACCGTGGTGGCGGCCGTGGCGGTGGTTTCGGCGGCTTCGACCGTGGCGGCCGCGGTGGTGGCGGACGCGGTGGAGGACGCGGTGGTGGTGGTGGAGGCGGTGCTGGTAACACTGGCATCCACAAGAGGTACGTAACATGCCTATCCGCACTCCTTGCAACGCTTTTCGTGTTTTTGTTGTTCATGCTGACTGACCGGTGATCTCTCCTTGCAGAGGTGTCGCCCTCAACATCAACCCCAACCAGAAGTCCACCGAGGATGCTCTGGTTAAGCAGATGTCCAGTATGAAGCTGTCGGCCGTCACGGCTGACACAACCCCTTTGCCACGTCGCCCAGGGTACGGAACCGTCGGTCGTCAGACATGGGTTCGAGCGAACTTCTTTCCGGTTGACCTGCCGGAAGACGCCGTATTTATGTACGACGTCAAAATCGAGCCCGAGGTCAAGAACAGGAGGAAGCGGAGAAGGCTCTACGACATCCTCGAGAACCACCCGGGCTTCAAGGAGTTCTCCAAGCACACGGCGACGGATTATGGCAAGATCATCGTTTCCATGAAGCCGCTGAACCCGAAAGCCCCAGCCACCAAGGATGGAGAGAAGGAGGACCGAATCGAGGTCAACATCATCTATACCGACAACGACGCCTCGCCCCCGCCCGCTGAGGGCAAAAACGAGTATAAGTTCCTCATAAATCGTTCCGCGTACATCGAGCCGTCGGATTTCCAGGACTATGTCAACGGAAGGAACCCCCACTACAGCCCCGAACAGCCCATTCAGGCCATGAACATCATCCTGGCCAAGTTCCCATCGAAATCCATCAGCATGGTCCCGGTCGGACGGAACAAGTTCTTCGTCTTGAGTGACGACCAACAGCTGAAGTTCGATCTTGGGGCCGGACTCATCGCGTTGAAGGGCTTCTACACGTCCATCCGTCCGTCCGTCGGAAACGTGTTGTGTAACTTGAATGTCTGCACGACAGCGTTCTACGAGTACGTATCCATCTCGGGAAGGGGGGTTCCCCTTACTTTATGCTGATGTTTGGTGTAGACCGATCAATGTGGCGCAGTCAATCATAAAGGCTTCGTACATGAGAGACGCCGCCCGCGTCCACCCCGGTGCCATCAAGAAGTTGCGGGTCCACTTTCGTCACGTGCGCGTCGAGTATAACTATCTCAAGGACAAGAAGACGGGGAAACACTTTGCCAGGCAACGATCGATCAATGGCATCTCGTTCCAGACCCCGCGTGAGATCGAGTTTGACGAGGACGACCCCATCCGTGGTACCAAGAAGAAGACGAACGTCGAGAAGTTTTTCCTAGAGAGTAAGCATGCAATCTTGTGCTTTTACGTTCGACGTTGTCTCTAACCTTTTTTCTACAGAGCACGGCGTGAATCTCAGGTACCCCATGCTGCCAGCCATTAATGTGGGCTCTGCCCAGCCCGTGTGGATCCCCCCGGAGGTCGCCACTATCGTGCCTGGGCAATATTTCAATGGGAAGCTGCCAGATGACCTGACCGGTCAGATGATCCGATTTGCTTGCAAACAACCCAAGGAGAATGCCGAGGCGATCGAGAACGTGGGGCTACCCCGTCTCGGTCTAAAGGGCCAGAATTCTCACATGGTATGACTTCTTTTTTTTGGCTTTTGTCGTTATCGCCGTTCGGAATGCTGACCTAGCCTGTGCCCATAGGACCCCTTCAAGATGTCCGTTTCTCCGGAAATGATGGTTGTTGCTGCTCGGATTCTGCCCGCCCCGCCCATCACGTACGGGAGTGGGAGCATGCAGCCTAAAGACGCTTCGTGGAACCTGATGAAGAAGCGGTTCCGGGAAGCGGCGCCGATGGCTAACTGGAGTTACCTGATCATCGAGGACAATTTCCCGATCCCCGTCGATGCGGTCGTCAACATCATGAAGACCTTTGAGAAGACTTGCAAGGAGTACGGCATGGCAGCCAACCCCCCGACCCTCAAATTCGCAGATGGCAGTTATCCCCTCAAGGTGCGCCTGCCTCGCGAACGGGGGCCGATCGACTTGGAGATAGCCATGAAACCGGCGTTCAAGAAACTCCAGGAGAACAACATTCAGATCACCTACGTCTTTTTGCCCGGTCAAGAAAAGGGCGTTTACGCTGCGGTGAAGTACTGCGGTGACGTCAAGGCAGGTGTCGGTACGGTTTGCTCTCAGTGGAACAAGGTGAACAAGGACAGGGGTCAGGATCAGTACCTGGCCAACGTGGCCTTGAAGTTCAACATGAAGATGGGCGGAACCAACCACACGCTGGCGCCGGCGCAACTTGGTGACCTGAAGGGCGGCAAGACGATGATCGTAAGTTTTCCAGTGGGGGAACACATTCCCATCGCTCACATGCTTACGATGATATGTTAGGTTGGATGCGATGTGACCCATCCATCTCCTGGCAGCTTGAAGGGCACGCCTTCGATTGCCGGTGTCGTCGCCAGTTGGGATCCCCAGTTCTCCCAGTACCCCGCTTCCCTGCGTTTGCAGAAGAGTAAGCAAGAGGTTTGTGCCCCCTGCAAGTATGGTGGGTGTTTCCGGTATTAACCAACACCGACAGATGATCGCCGAGATGAAGGAAATGATCTTGGAGCGGCTCAAGTTGTGGTACTCCAAGAACGATAAGCAGTTCCCGGAAAAGATCATCGTCTACCGTGACGGAGTCTCCGAGGGTATGTTGAATCCATGAAGACGGCGACGCAAAATGCTGACTTTGGGTCGTAGGCCAGTTCCACCAGGTGATCCAAAAAGAATTGCCACAGATCCGGGAAGCCTGCCAGTCAGTTCCGCTCAAGGGTTATAATCCCAAGATCACCATCATCATCGTCGGAAAGCGCCATCATACCCGCTTCTACCCCACGGACGACAATGCTGCCGATGGCAGAACGGGAAATCCTGCGCCTGGAACCTGCGTGGATCGTGGTGTGACGGCAGTGTACGATTTCGACTTCTACCTGCAGGCACATGCGGGTATCAAGGGAACCGCTCGACCCGCGCACTACTACGTGATCCACGATGAGAACAAGTTCTCGGCTGATGGACTTCAGACCTTGGTGACTATATGTCCTTTCCCCCTTCCGTTGACATGTTACTGACTCTTGCTCGACAGACTCACAACCTCTGCTACCTTTTCGGACGAGCAACCAAGAGTGTCAGCATCTGTCCACCAGCATACTACGCCGATTTGGTTTGCGAGCGTGGCCGCTGCTACATTCACGGCCTGCTCACGGGCGGTGACGATGGCGCAAGCTCCATCTCCGGCCAGAGCGACTCGCAGATCGAGGCTGCGACCTTGGCCAAGGCTCGCAGTCTTTGGGGCAACGGTGTTCACCCAGTTCTCAACCAGACTATGTTCTACCTCTAGTTTGTTGGGTCCTGGATGTTGGGTTTTGAGATTGGTTTTCTTGTGTTTTTTTGCGTTTTGGTCTGAGTGGTCTCCTTCTTTGTCTTGGATGTTTGTTTCTTGGGATTGATGATCATTCGTGGCCTGGTTTTGGTTTTTTGGTTTCCGTTTTTCTCGTTTGTGTCTTTCTTTGCTTTTTGTACGGCTGTGGAGGGGGAGCTGCTCATCTCAACTATGCGCAGAGGCTTCTTCGGGGGACGGATGGAAAATATAACGGTTTTGACCCCGTCGGGACGTTGCGCACCATTCAACTGGTCGTAATGGTTCTGCGGGGGGTTTTCCACTTGTTTTGTTGTGCATGGACGTGGGCGTGATGTGATGTAATCCCTTGGATCGTCGATACCAAAGCGCCGGTGGGGGAGGTGGGGGAGACGAAGGAACGTCAAGAGGCACTGGCAACAGCACTCGCCATCAGCCTGACCTCACCACGCACCTACCAACCCATCCTAATCCTCCAGAGTCCACTTCTAAGTACCTACTTCAGTTGTCAAGCAAGGCCGTATGCGACAACAAATCGATGCTATCTCACTCGTCTTCTTCGGTCTTCATTCTTCCACGGTTCCACCCCATCCCGCCAACATACGTAACCTTTTGTCTTCCATGCCAGTGCCACAACCACCAACAGACAGAATCAAAAACGTTGGTTTCTGCACTGTCTAGGGCTCACCGAGATTTGGGGCGTCACCTTCGAGAATATGCACCACTACTATCACAGGAAACGTTCGCTTTTCCCAACTGATGACTGGCGTCATTACTGGGCTCTGAAATATCACTTGGCTCGGGCGATCTCATGGAATGAATTAAGGGCGCCACAACTTGGATAGCTAAGTAGCGATGATTCGTATGTATGTATGATACAAAGATCACATTTCCATCGCTCACTCACACCTGCTTACTATGATCCCACTGATCCGCATCTTCATGGACCTCCGGGCTCCTAATATCCTTCCTCAGCTCCCTCTTCCTCTCCCTATCCGTACCGAACCTCTCATCCCTATCCTTGACCAGCTTCTTAAACCCCTCCGTCTCGTTCAGCAAACTCTGCATAAGCATCGGTCTCCCCAGCGGCAGCGTATCTCCCCGATCCACCTGCCACAGATGCCACGTCTTTCCATACAGCCCGACCACCTCCCTCATCTCCTGCGTCTCCGCCTTTTCCCAGAGCATTTCCGGCATCAAGCTCCCCTTCGGTCTCGGCATGATCAACATACCAGACTTAACCTCGAACACATGCGAGTGCCACAGCTTCCTCTCCTCGCTGTCGAGCGTCGCATACAGCTCGGGCGTGATCATGTACTCGACGCCGATCAGCCGCGCGTTGGGTAAAGGTGAGTCGTAGATTATGCACTGGCGAACGTCCGATGATACGTGCGCGCAGTAGTGTTGTGCCTCGACGGCCCGTGAGGGGTCCGAAGCGTACACGTGGAACGCGTTGAGGAAGGCGCAGATGTTGCTGGTTGGCAAGAATTCTTGCACGAGCGAGGCGCCTGTTTCAAGGATCTTTTGCTCGGTGGTCACAGGGCCCCGGCCGGCGGTGGACGGGTTCGTCTGCGTGTCGAATGCCCCCGGGATGGGTGTGTGGTCGCACATGCTGGGTGGTGGTGGTGGTTGTGATGGTGGTAATGGGCGGTAGTTGTGTGCTTGTGGTAATGGGTGGTGGTTGTGTGCTTGTGGAAGGCGAGGGCTGTGAGTTGAGCTGCGGTTGGAGTTGGAGTGCGGGCCGGACGGGGTCGTTTCTTATACGAGTGCTTGGTGATCGTTGACGTCACGGTGATGAGGGTGCATACGGGCACGGGTCGATCACATCACATCACATCGCATCACACACCCCGCCCGCTGGATTGTTTTTGCGGAGAGGGAGGGAGTATGGCAACCATTTCCACAGAGAAGTAGAGAATTGGAAAAGAGAGAGAGAGATCTTCCTGTTTTATTTCGCATGCAGCCTACCTACATTCTAGACTATGGCGAACCAACGAACTCCTTTCCCTGCCCGCCCTGGCCAGTCGAGGTGAAAGCCCCGGTACCGAACAGTCCGATGCGGCGCCCCACTTCCCCTGCCCATCCGTCTCGGGCCGACACAAGCAAAATAGAGAATTGGAAATTTGCGAGGGTTGCGGAATGGACGGCCGAGTGATATGTGCCAGAACCAGAACTACGATATATACGGTGATATTGAAAGACCCAAAAACGGGTGAAGGTTGAAAAACGTGATCAAAGAAAAGAAAAACCTGAGGGCAATGATGATAGTAGGTACAAGGTGATGATCCGATAAGGACCAGAGACCGACGACAGGAAGAAAGAAATAGTGACAACAGAGACAGATAATCGTTGAATGACCGACCGTAATGGGTTTAGATCGGTTCCACCAGGTCCCTACAAGGTCGACGACCTTCGGCGCTCACCGATAGCACGAAGACACCAAGCCGCCTCTGTCTCTGCGCCTCGAATTAAGTAGGAATCCCAGTGAATTGCCGCTCCAGAATGTACCTTCGGCTCGTGCTCGTGCTCATACTCCTGCTCGTGCTCGAACAGCGCAGTGAACGATCCATCAAACCTCAGGACTTGACGCATGCAGAAGTGGATATCTCCGAGTCGAGTCAGTAGATAGCAAAGTTTCCTACTAGACCGACCGACCGACCGGCCTAGCACGAAGTTTAGCTCTAGATCAACGACAGACTTTCCCACCCAAAATTGGGGTGCTAGATGGTGAGGGTGAGGTCAACCTTCTTCCTGACAAAGTGAGTTAACTATAGCGAGAAGAAGCATGGTCTTGCCACATTTCATTCGCAAGAGGACAAGTCCTTGTGCGTTCACAGACGGGCAAGGAAGTGGTTTTTTCGGTCCACGGCTTCGAGCAGTTCACACCCGGCACCAATTTACGGTAAAACGCTTGCTGAGGAGGCCGAGGTCGATCTCACGGTAATTTTCTCCTCAGGCCAACCCGAGCATCTGTTCTATCACGCTGATTGATCTTATGCAAAATCTCGCCGCTTGACCGAGTGGGTATTGTAATTTGTGGCCGGATTTTGGAACATATTCAACAGAAATACAACCAACCAACACAGCTTATACCCCCTCCACCTGCATCCAACTCTCCCTCTCCAACACCTCATCCTCCTCCTCCATCTCATCCTCCTCCCACATTCCACCCTCCTCCATCTCCTCCTCCTCATCCTCCACCTCATCCTCCACCTCATCCTCCACCTCATCCTCCACCTCCACCTCGGCCTCCACCTCCATCTCGACCTGGTCCTCATCCTCGTCCTCCTCCTCCTCCACCACCTCATTCACCCCCTCCTTCAACCTAACCACGATCTCAAACTTCTCCTCCCACCCGCCCAGACAAAGCTTCAGCACCTCCATCGCCAGCAGCCTGACCATTTCGGGATCCGCCCCCTCCCGCACCTTCAACCGCGGCAACATCCCCTTCCCCTCATCCATCCCCTCACCCATCCCCCAATCCTTACCCTCCCCTTTCCCCATCCCTCCATCCTCCCCCTTCTCCTTCGCCCCACTTCCCACACCCCCCACACCCCCCTCCCCCCGCCGCTCCGACTCAGCCACCGACTCCCTCCGAGCACCAACAGCAGCCAGAAGCCGTGCGCTCTCGCGCGCAATAAACAGCGCGAGCCACAGCTGCGCCAGCGCAATGAGCAGGAGGACCATCATGGGCATCAACGACGCGGCAGCTACGTCTGCGGCTGTGGCTGTGGTCGTTGGCATGGGTGGTGGTGTGGGTGGTGGTGTGGCTGATGGTGTGGTGGCCGCGCTCGAGCCCGAGCCCGAGAGGATGGTGAAGGGGTGGGGGATGGTGAACGGGAAGGGGAGCGGGAGGGGGAAGTGGAGTGGGATGGGGAGTGGGAGGGGGAAGGGGGAATGGAGGTTGAACATTTTTGCTTTGCTGCTAGCGGGATTGGTGCTGAATATGTGGTGGTGGTGGTGGTGGTGGAGAGGTGGGTGGTACTTTGCTGGCCGGGAGGGAGGGGGATGGGGGGGGTTATATGCCCCCCCAAGGTGGACAAAGAAAGTTAAGACTTGCCAAACTACGCCGAAGGTTAACTCTTTCTGCCCCTGAGATGTACGATATTCTGCGGGCCTGGGCACTGGACTGGGCACTGGATTGGGCACTGGACTGGAATTGGGTTCGGTATACGTGTCTGTTGGTGCGAGTGACAGTTATGTGACAGACTACCTACCGTAGGTATTGAAGCACCGGGGGTGAGCTCGGGCAACTTCTGGATGACCAATTGAGTTGGCTAGAAACGGCAAAGAAAGAAAAGCAGCCTGTGTTCTTCAGGTGGAGATCCTTGAGTACCTCCGTGAGGTTGTATAACGGACACAAGTGGATAAGGTCTATGATGGAGGTGTGTAGACCAACCGACCAACCGACCATAAAAAGTAGCAACATCTCAACGTTGGACCAACCAAATCGGGTCTGGCCCCCCGAGGCCCACAGTTCCTACCTACACACTTATATAAAGACAGTGTATGATAGTAGATACGGAAGTAAAACAAAGTGTAAAATACAAAAGGACACGTTATGATAGTTGTGAGAGTTGTGAGAGTTGTGAGCTTGTGATAACGAGCTTGACTAGGTAATCTCTTAGTGCCGTGGCCGCAGCCAAACCTACTATGATGGATAGCCACGGTCGCCCACCGTCACCGGTGCTTCTACAGTGTCGTCGTCGTCGTTGGCGGCGGCGGCGGCGGCGTTGAGTCGTGGTGTGGTGTGAAGGGCATGCAGGGCAGTCCGGCCGCGAGTCATGAGGTCGCACTCGGTGCAGATACACGGAGGTAGGGATCATCCGAGGATCGGCCGTGCCTGATCAATGAATGAACAAAAAACGATCGGCAATGCCTAGTCACGGCTTGTCTCAAGCGGGTGGAGGAACTGATGATCGCCAGACACTATACTTCGTAGGCAGTCGAGAGGCGTAGGCACTGGGTTCTCCAGTCTTCCCTTGTCACCCCCGGTCCGGTACCAGACAGTACGGTTGTCTAGCAGCAGAAAGCCAGTGGTACTGGTCAGTACTCTGCATTACCTATCAGTACAGCAGAGGAAAATGTGAGCGGGGCGTGCCCTTGCTGATTAGGACTGTTCGCGCCCTGCACCTAATCAGGTCATGAATACGCCCGCCATAGGTGAGAGTGGTGGTGGGGTGGGGTAGATTAGTGATATGATAAGCTACGATCTGATAGTAAATTCCAGCGTCAATAGCAACGACGACCGAGTGATCTAGCGGAATTGGCTGTGAGCGTCAAACAAACACACTAAAATTAGGGCAACGGCTAGTGGCCAACCTCATCCATAAAACCCGCGAGAATTTCCGCCAGAACACTTCTTCTCCTTTCCACATCACACACAACCTTAGTTCAAAAAATCTCCTGCTGCCTTCTTTGAGAAAACATCAGAACCATTCTCACGACTTAGGTTTGTCTTCTCTGCTCCATCTCTCCAACGTTTCCACAAAACTGACCAGCTCTTCTCCCTCCAGCATTCCCACACCAAGATGGACGAAGACCAGATATCCGCTGCTCGCATGGAGGTCGCACAAGAAGAGTAGCTAGGTTTCCCAGTCAAGCACCATTTCCCAGTCAGTCACCGCCTGATTCCTTCGACCAGACGATGTCTAGTACCTCCACTCAGGCCGCTGTGCCTCGCTGTGCCTCGCTGTGCCTCGCTGTGCCTCGCTGTGCCTCGCTGTGCCTCGCTGTGCCTCGCTGTGCCTCGCTGTGCCTCGCTGTGCCTCGCTGTGCCTCGCTGTGCCTCGCTGTGCCTCGCTGTGCCTCGCTGTGCCTCGCTGTGCCTCGCTGTGCCTCGCTGTGCCTCGCTGTGCCTCCGTGCGCCCCAGGTCCCGACCTGCTGCACGCACTGCACCCCCACGGTGCTGGAGCCGATACATCCACTGCCTTCGGTCAAGCTCAGCCAAGTTCATACGGCCAGACTACATCCACTGCCTTCGGTCAAGCTCAGGCTGGTTTATCCGCTCGTGCTTAGGCCACCGCAAAAGCTCAGGCAGCTGCAAAGACTATTCTCCGCTCCAGCTCAGTCTGCTTCCTCTGCGCGGGCTCAGCATACTTCGCGTGTGATCACGTCGGCTCCATTCAGTCGCTTTGTGAGCGCCACCCCGACTGCACCGATGTTTGCTGCCGCTCCGGCTCAGTCTAGTTCCTTTGGTCAGGCTGCTTCCATCGGCCAGGCTACGTCGGCTGCCTTCAGTCAGGCGCAGCCTACCTCCTCCGGTCAGACTCAGTCTGGCCCCTCCACTCAGGTCGCTGTGCCTCCGTGCGGCTGCCCCGGCAGTCGCCATGGCGTATGCCCAGGTCCCGACCTGGAGTACGCACCGCACCCCCACGGTGCTGGAGGCGATGCTCGCCAACCCCCGTGGTCCGCCATCGGGGTACCATCGAGTCACTTTTTGGAAGGCCTTGAATATGGGTGCAAACCCGTTTTCAGCGACGGTGCCCTTTTGGTACGGCCACGGGCCAGTGACGATGCTGGATGTCGAGATTGACGAGAGGAGGATGAAGGCGGGGTGCTGAGCGTGAGGGATGGCCTGGGGGCGGGGGGTGGCGGGAGGTGCTTTTTTCCCGTGGGTCTTTTTTTTTCTTCTTCCGGGTGGGTTTTCCTCGTGATTTTTTTGTTGTTTTGCCTGATTTTTTCGGGCTTTTTTGTTGTTCTCATGTTGTATGGCTTTTTTTTTTTTTGTTGGCCGGCTTTTTGTATTAATTTTAAAAGTTCTTTTTTCCATATTTGGGGTGTGTTTTTTGGGGTGTTTTGGGGATGTTTTGGGGTTCTTTTTCTTCTCTTCTCTGCGGAGTATGTACTATAGTGTAGACAGTGGGGCAGTGGGCGGTGGGCAGAAAGAGAGAGATCTTCCTGTTTTATTTCGCATGCGGCCTACCTATCTAGACTATGGCGAACCCACGAACCCACGAACTCCGTTTCCTGCCCGCCCTGGCCAGTCGAGCTGAAAGCCCCGGTACCGATCAGTCCGATGCGGTGCCCCACTTCCCCTGCCCATCCGCCTCGTGCCGACACAAGCAAAAAGTAGATTGGTAGTAAAGACCGGTATGAGCCTACATGCCCGCTCTTCCTGCTGCTCCCTCGCCTCTCCCCCGTTTTCCGCTTCCACTCCACGCCACTATCACCGCGTATCCTCATCTCCTACTTCCTCGCACCGGCCGCAAACGCAGTACCCTGCTGGGCACTCGGGCAGTGGGCAGAGAGAGAGAGAGAGAGATCTTCCTGTTTTATTTCGCATGCAGCCTAATTAGACCATGGCGAACCAAGGCAGTGGGCAGTGGGCGGTGGGCGGTGGGCACAGTGTCCGAGCACGGGCGTCGGGTGCTCTTTCATGACTGACTGACTGATATGTGCTGATTTTAGCAGCAGCTGCCAGCGACGGACTCGTGGCGAGGCGAGACTCGAGTCCGTCCAGTGCGTAAACTAACGTGTCTTCGCTTCTGGATAGGATCCGGGGCATAGGTAGAGTAGAAGGTATTGTATGAGGTAGGTATATGGATAACCTCATGGTAAAGAAGTGTCGAGCTGTGCTATTGGATCTCACAATTGACTAGGTACGCCCACAGAATCACCACACGGAGAACGGAGAGAACCCCCCCGGCACTAAAGGTTTCCGAGCCCCACGGGGCCCCAGTCGGGCCCCAGGCTTTTTGGACTTGGGACTGTGCCCGACTAGTCCGGCCAAATCTTTGCCCCAGACGGGACGGCGTCGCCGGGCCCTAATAGTCTTCCGTCCGGACGGACTATTCCTAGGCCTGCCCCCGCCCCTTCACCCTCCGAGAAAAAGTACCACTGACACCTGTCAAGATGCTCCCTACGTACGGTATGGTCTTGGAAATGCCGGTCATCGGATCTTGAGGTCGATCTGACTGCCTACCTAGGTACTCGCCAGTGCTTAACGGTACCATACACAAGTAAGTACTCACCCACTTGAAATTTGATACTCGAAAGCGATTCGGCAGCGCCGTGACCGTCAAGGAGGTACCGGTAGTAAGCAACCAAGGGTACTCACAAGTTACCGGTACCCAACGGTATCGATTGGCAGGAAGCGGTTCCGCTACCGCCAACCACGGCGCCAATCACGGCACCAATTACTACTAGCCGAGTGGACTCGGTACCGGCTATGGTGCTAGTAGTCAGTTAGTACCGCACTGGTGACTGCCCCGGAAAATTCTGCCCGTCATAACTACTACCCGTAGGTAGCTTGTATCTACTGCTCGGTACATGTCTGTCACATGGCTAGTACATGGCTGGTACATGGCTGGTACATACATGGCGCGATATCACAGCTATTCTGGTTGGGTGTCTGCCCTACTACATATATGTACCGGTATGTATACCTAGCATCTGTTTTGCCAAGTTATGCAAAACATAAAAGCTCCGGATCGTTAAGTACGTCTTGTGGGAAGCTAGCTGAGCGATCATATCACGACATCTATGCGTGAGCAGTCACGGAATCATGGTGGAAGATGGAAGACGAAATGCATTGCTTTCGAGCTGAGCCATTTCCGCATCCGGGCACCTTCTGCCTACACCTACAGCGCTAACTAGAGGGCATGGGGGGGGGGCTTAGGGGGGCGGAAGATCCGAAATTCGAATCTCTCGGCCCGACATCACACATCTTTGATGGGATTATGTATGTACCAACCAAATCTCCCGGGCACGTGCAATCTCGCAGCGATCCCAAGCCGCTGCCTTTCCGCCCCTCCGACACCATCACGTCTACATACTAGCATAATTGTCTAGGTATTCTCCCCTACGGCCATAGGGCGAGCACCCCCGGTTTCACCAAACGACCACGCGGTACATAGCTTGTACAAACACATGTCCGCACACCGCTAGTCGCGGGTCGGTGCGTCTCCCTACCGTCAATCCAGGCCTTTAAGCTCTCCCAGCCTCCCAGGGGTATGTACCGCTCAGCCACAGTAGGCACATGGTACTGGTAGTGCGCCACTGAACATCACTAACTCGCAGCGGAGTCAAACGAGGTGATTTAGAGCACGATTTGCGGCCTGCGGCGTGCGGCGTGCGGGCGGGCCCCGGCGGGTGATGATACTCGTGAGGATCGCATGTGTGTACGGAGGAGGAGGAGGAGGAGGCCGGGCTGACTGGGTCAGTTTGTTTGCTCTCAAAGCGCCAAAGGCTTGTGTATGGAATGGCATTGATTTCAGATCGATGGGGCAAAGGCGTTTATCACGAAACCTGAGGAAATAATCGTTGTTTCGACGCCGGTTTAATTATAAACCCGGTCATCAGTTATCACTCTCACGTCGACCGCGGTGCGGTGGTGGTGGTGGTGGTCGCTAAGTTGGTGTTACCTACGGAAGATCTTAGATGAGTACTAGTAGTCAGATCAGCGCATGTGTCTGCTAACTAGTAGGGAATCTACCTACCTTGTTAGCTGCAGCCTTGGGCATTCCATTTCGTTCCAACATCGTCATTCCGAGCGGTGAGGAGAAGTATTTAGGGGGAGGAGGAGGAGGAGGAGGAGGAGGAGGAGGAGGAGGAGGAGGAGGCAGCAGTCTGCTACAAGAAACGGAAACAAATCTCTATAGTACCTACGGTAGGCAAGTAGTGGAACTGTTGGACGCGCAGTCTATCTCTCTTTAATACCGGCAAAACGGTTATTCGTGTTGGTGAGGCGTAAGGCAGCTACCGTACTACTAGTAGTAGTAGTACATAGGACGCGGCGCCTTTGCGAGGCTGATGCTGGCGCCGGTCATTCTTCAGCCCTATCTATCTGTGGCTTAAAGCCGCGGAAGCCTGAGGGTGAGATGGATTCCTGGTACCCACGAACGCAGCCCCAAAGTACCATACATTAGGTAGATTAGGTACCTATTCGAATCTCACACGAGGCTTTCGACTGACATCCATCATCGCACATGGCAATAGAGTACCCAGGTAATCCCTTCTTCCCTCCCGGAGGTTCCGAGCTCACCGATTCGTAGGGCGCGGCGCCGCGCGGGGCCTTCTCGTGAGCGGGAAGACACACACAGAACACGGCGCCGGGCATGGATAGACACGGCGTGACGGTGAGCGTGAGCGTTTATTCTGGCGCGCGCGCAGCGACTCTGGGGTGTCTGTGTGATGCGCCATGAACAAAAACTCTCCGACGAAAAATGGAAGCAGAACAGAACACTGGAGCCACGATACTCTGCATCCAACTAGAAATCTGCAAGTCAGCCAGCCAGCTGCAGCCTGTCAATCAGTCAATCATCAATCGAGCCGAGCCGTGCGAAACGGGGATTATTGTTGATATTATTTATTTTTTCGCCGTGGAGGGAGTTGGGGCGGTCTTAACCAAGTATGGTAGTACGATGTGCACCGTAGGGCATTCTCCCACATCAACTCCCTCCCCTCCCCCCCCACCCCAACCCAAACCTCAACCTCAACCCTACCCAAGGAACACTGATAGGAGCGACAACCACCATCATGTACCGAAGCTTGAACGGTTCATCCTGCGTTTGGCCTAAAAATTGCTAGCAGTTGCCGTTGGGTCCAAATTCATGTCCGTTTACTTGCCGAAGATGTGAGACAGCTAATAACCTCGTCGCAGTCGAGAATCGTATAGGTAGGGCTCTATCCAGGAGGTCACTATTCTTGCCCTCCGGCCAGACAAAGAGAATCCTCCTGCTCAGCACGGGACACCGCGTCGCGCGCGTCCCCCTCTCCCTCTGGGTTTGCCCCTCTCATCACGGCCCCTCATGGCCATTGCAAGGGAAACCCTTATCCCCCCGTGTACTCGCCAATTCCACTCCTGCCCTACTTTTCTGGTACATATTTCCTACCTGTGTCCGTGGGCGGGGCATCGAGCCTTGGGGCATCCGAGCTGCTGCCGCCGCTGCCCCGCGCTTCCCCCCACCGACGAAACGGCATCACTCCTTCACGGAACGGGGAAAGAACTTTGAAGCGTTGATGTCGAACATCTCGCGCGGTAAAACTACTCGAAACGACGGAGGATCGCGAGTGAGACACGATGCTGTCAGATCTCAACCAGTGGGATTCGCGGTAGAAAAACAAAAATGCGGGCTCTCACACACACGCACAAACTGTAGACTGAACTGCAGCCTGGGCTTACCGACAGCACGGTCCACAGAGCACGGCTGCAGCACGGCTCTGGGGGATCGAAGCGCACCCAAACCAGTGGTACGTAGGGCATCATCCATCCATCCCCATCCCATCGGTCCACCCACAGCCCACTACACTACCCGCAACCCACAACCCGCAACCCAGCCCCCCTCCCGGATCGGAATGGGCGGGCGGTATCTACTCTAGCCTCACAGACGAATGAACAACGCATCAATCAAAGAAGTCTGTTCGTGGTACACGGAAATATTAGTTGGATATATGATGGCACCGGGCAGCCACCCCCATCTGTACCCAAGTTCGTTCGTTCTTTCCCCCGTCGTCGTCAGCAATCAGCACCACACATTCTCACGCAGCAAAACAGGCCGGCCATGGGCGAATTCGAAGCTTACTGCCAGCTCTGTGGAGGTCCTCTATACAATCCTCATGCAACACCACTCAACGATGGAAAAGCTTCGGAGATATCAATGGAGGAAGCCACAACTGGCGAGCGTCGAATGCTTCCTCATGAAGGCTCGGTCAGTATTCTCTCATTTGCATGCCGTCGTCGTCGTCATTGTCTAACATATATACGTAGTGGCTTAACTCTGCACGAGTCTTGGGGTATCTCAACAATGAGATCCGCAGCATGAAAAAGGGCAGGTCCTTCTGGCACGAGACGGGAAGAAGATAGTATGCTCCATCACCTGCTCTCTCTCTCTCTCATCACATCTGACAATCTTTCTCGCAGCTCTTTCGTCTCATCCGTAGGAACCGGAGGCGTCTGCAGCGATCTCGAGGTATCCGGCCTGGAGCGGGGAATAATGCTGTACAGCGGGCGGGTAGCAGTGCACGACAGCTGCTACCATCTGCTACGGCACGCCATAGAGCACGTACAGCACCTCTGGTGCGTGCGTGGTCTGGTAGAGCTCGACGTCCTCGTCGGCTGCATGATCAGCCTGTCGGACGACGTGTACGGCATGGCATTGCACACGACTCTCGATCTGGGTGGCGCCGAGATGTTCCGTGGCATCCACGGGTGGGAGGGGAATTGCACTTCCGAGGCCTGGTACCTGACCGACTACTTGGTCGAGTGCGAGGGAGTGTCGGAATATGTCGAGAACCCGCCGAGGGCGGATGGGTGGCCGGGGGAGTTGGAGAAGACGATGGCTATGCGGCGGTGGAGACATCGGCAGTGGAGGTGTTTCGGCTTCGGAACCGGGACGGCGCCGGATGCGATGGAAATTGATGTGGACGATAAACCGCCACCACACCAACCACTGCTGGAGGCCCTACCGACAGAACTACTCGTGCAGATACTCTGCTTCCTCCCGCAAAAGGACGTCAAAAGTCTCTGCTTCGCATCGAAAACGGTGGCAGCTATATCATTACCACAAGAATACTGGAAATCCCGCTTCGTGGTCGACGCACCTTACCTATGGGAACTACATGCACGCATGCCGATGTTGGAGTGGATGCGACCAGCGCCGGATTGGCGACGAATGTACCAAGATCTGATCGCGGGGAACAAAACACAGCTTGCCTTTCGCGGGCTACGGAATCGAGAACGCGTATGGCGAGCGGCGATAGAGGTTGCCGAGGAGTGCTGGATCGGCGAACTGTGTGAGCGGGAAGAGAGAGGAAGCTACATTCGGCCTGCGACAACCTATCACAGCGGACCCGATGCACCACGGTGGGATGACGGCGGGTAATTAATGGAACGACGCCGATACTACTCTGGCATGGCGAGTCACGAATCACGAAGAGATATTACCAACAACAAAGTGACTTTGCTACATACCTACCACGTACCTACCTAATGTGTCCGTACCGCCGGTAGCTCCCAAATCATCACGGGCAACCTAACCCCTCGGTCACTACCGTACCGTCTCTGCATATTTCCCAAAGTCGCGCCTCTCACAAAGCCCCACCGCGCCTGCAGGCTGCCGCCGCCTCGAGGAAAAAAAACAAGCGACACCATCACCATCCCTCACCGCCCGCTCCCGTCCCCAGTCCACCACCGACCCCGTTCCCCTGTCACGCCGGATCCACATCGGTCCGGTCCAGTGGAGATTCCAGTGCACCGTGTGCTCCCTCCCAAACAGATCCTTGATCGAGCCCGCAACCGCCGCCCCGAACACGGTTGAGTTCGCGACGGAAACGGTGGGATTTTCGGTCGCTGGCTGGTACGCTGAACCGCGGGAGCCGAATCGCAGTGCACTCGAAGCATCGAGGGATACGTTCGCCCGCCGCCGCCCGCTGCAGCCTGGGAGGGAGATGGGATGGTGGAGATGGGTGGTGGAATAGTAGGGTGGAATAATGGGGTGGAATACTGGGATGGTGGAATAATGGGATGGTGGAATAATGGGATGGTGAGGAGGGCGGGATGTATCAAATGGAACAGCGGCTACTCTATCATATGTACAAGCTCTATGGTGACTCGCATGTGCAATGAATCCCTGTAGAGCATCACCGGGCGAGACCAGGGAAGACGGAGCCGGGAGAACCCACGCCTCCCGACTATATACCTACCAAGTTTTTAGTGTTGGCGATCACTAGTTACTCCGGGACGAGGCACGGCGGATCAACCACCACCGCCGCCATAGCACATGATAATCCCCACCTCCGTATATCTACACCGAGTGCGCTTCCATGACTCGCAGCCGGATTGCCCTTCATATGATACTACGACTCGACGCTGCCACCGCCGGCGCCGACGACGACGACACAGTTGAAGCAGCGGCGGCGACCGTGGCTACTGTATAGTAGGTTTGTCTGTGGCCCCGGCACCAATAGGATAGTCAAGCTCGCTATCACAACTATCACAACGTGTCCTTTTGTATTGTAAACTCTGTTTTACTTTCGTATCATACCTTTCTTTACATACACTGTCTTTGCATACTGTGGGCCTCGGGGGGAGGGGGGGGGGGGGGGGGGGGGGGCAGACCTGATTTGGTCGGCCCCATCGTTGAGATTTTGCTACTTTTTATGGTCGGTTGGTCGGTTGGTCTACACACCACCATCATAGACCTTATCACGACAAGTAGTCATTATTGTCCGTTATCCAACATCGCGGAGGTACTCGAGGATATCCACCTGAAGATCACAGGTGGCTTTGCTTTCTCTTGCCGTTCCGATTGTAGTGAGCATCTTGATACCTAGGTGTCAGTGAAACTTTTCCTTGGAGGGAGAAGGGGGAAGGGGGTACTCTCCGTCCTCCGTGTGGTGATTCTAATTTCTGTGGGCATATCTATTTAATTGTGGGATCAACTGGCACAACTCGACACTTCTTTACCATGAGGATATCCATATACCTACCTCATACAGTACGTTCTACTCAACCTATGCCCCGGGATCCTATCCAGAAGCGAAGACTCGTTTACTCCACACACTGAACGCACTCGAGCCTCGCGAGTCATCACGAGTTCGCCGCTGCTAAAATCAGCACACATCAGTCAGTCACTCACGAGTGAGCATCTGACGCCCGTGCCCGGACACTGCCCACCATCCACTGCCTACCGCCCACTGCCCACTCTCTACATAATATCGTACATACTCCCCAGAGAAGAGAAGAAAAAGAACCCCAAAACACCCCAAAAAACATACACCAAATATGGAAAAAAGAACTTTTGGAATTGATACAAAAAGCCGGCCAACAAAAAAAAAAGCCCGGCAAAAATCAGGCAAACAACACGCAAACAACAAAAAAGCCTGGCAAAACACAGGCAACAAAACAAGAAAACAAGAAACAAAACAGGGTAAAACCACCCGGAAAAATAGAAAAAAAAAGAAACCCGCAGGAAATAAGTATTCTGCTGTAGGACGTTGGCTGAGCCTGACCGAAGGCAGTAGAAGTATTCTGGCCGTAGGAAGTTAGCTGAGCCTGACCGAAGGCAGTGGATGTATCAGCTCCAGCACCGTGAGAGTGCAGTGCGTGCAGCAGGTCAGGATCTGCGCATACGCCATGGTGACTGCCGGGGCAGCGTACAGAGGTACAGCGGCCTGAGTGGAGGTACTAGACATCGTCTAGTCGAAGGAATCAGGCGGTGCCTGACTAGGAAGCGCCATCGGCGACGGGAGAACTCTTGGGGGTGGTAACTACAGCCACGGCAGCATTACTGTCTGCGTCTGCAATTATATCGATATAGCCGGCTGAGGAGAGGGTATCAGGGGTGGTAAGGATATCCGTGTCGGTGACGATATTGGTGGCTGCGGCATGGGTATCGGTGGTGGCATGGGTATCCGTGGCAGGAACTTCACGATCATCTCCATCATCTGCGACCAGGACGAAAGTCCTGTCCCTTTCTGCGTTGATGTCTTTCCCTTTGTGGTCCGGGTTTGCGGCGGCTTGGGCTTCTGCCCGTGCCCGTATCCGGCGAAACTCCTCTTGAGCGGCCGCCATGCGAGCAGCGGATATCTGGTCTTCGTCCATCTTGGTGTGGGAATGCTGGAGGGAGAAGAGCTGGTCAGTTTGTGGAAACGCTGGAGAGATCGAGCAGAGAAGACAAACCTGAGTGGTGGGAATGGTTCTAATTTTTTGCAAAGGCAGGAGATTTGTTGAACCAAGGTTGTGTGTGATTTGGAAAGGAGAAGAAGTGTTCTGGCGGAAATTCTTGCGGGTTTTATGGGTGAGTTTGGTCACTAGCCGTTGCCCTAATTTTGGTTGGTTTGTTTGACGCTCACAGCCAATTCCGCTAGATCACTCGGTCGTCGTTGCTATTGACGCTGGAATCTACTATCAGATCATAGCCTATCATATCACCAATCTACCCCGCCCCACCACCAATCTACCGCCTAGATTGACACTATCGGTGGCAAAAAAGCCATCAGATAATCAATTTTACGTGGTGATCGCAGTAACTACGCCGTAGCAAACATGATTGCCACCTACTAGTAGGCCGAGGGAAGCCACGCTCAGCAGCCAAACCGAGACCAAGAGGCACATTTACACGGCTGCAACCCGACCGCCCTCGACCGAGATAAAGAAACCGATTCCATATAGACGCATTTGTAATAAGCTTTATCCAGCCGGGCTCGAGATCCAGCGCGATCAATCCATACCCAAGATTTCCTGCGTGCCTACTGGACGAGCGAGTGAGATCGTGTGCCGCAACGGCGAAACGCGAGACATTCCGATTTCCTACTCGCTCTTCACTCCAGACCAAGTCAAGCTGACTGGCTGACAGCCGGCGTGGAAGACGTAAGATTCTGCTCCTTGCATCAAACCTCCAACACGAACGGCGTCAATGGCTAGAGCCGTCAAGCAGAGTATGCTTGCGTTTACACGGCTCGAACCCGACCACCCCCGACCAAAACAAGGAAACCGCTTCTGTACAGACTGTTGTAATAAGCTTGATCTTGCCGGACTCGAGTCCCAACCGCTATCAATACTTTTTTTTGTTTAATCATTGCATTCGAACTTAGTAGATCATGGCAGATTACATATCCTTTTCGACCCCCGCGCAACACCAGTAGGAAAGTCAGAAAGAAGGCGCGGTCAATTCATACCCAAGATCCCCTGCGTGTCTACTCGACGAGCGAGTGAGATCGTGTGTCGAAACAGCGAGACACTGCGACTTCCTACTCGCTGTTTACTCTCAGCAAGTCACGCTGGCCGGCTGAAACACGACTCGGAAGCCGTAAGACTCTACTCCTTGCGTCAATGCCTCCAATACGGATGGCGGCGATAGCCAGAGCCCCAGAGCTGTCAAGCAGAGTATATTTGCTAAAATAGCAGCAAAGGCGCACAGCGCGGCTTCTCTTCTTCTTCTTCTTCTTCTTCTTCTTCTTTACACGGCTCGGACCCAATCACCCCTCGACCATCCCTCGACCATCCCTCGACCGAAACAAAGAAAGCGGTTCTGTACAGACCCACTTGTAATAAGCGTGATCTGGCCGGACTCGAGTCTCAAGCGCGGCCAACTCATACCGAGGATCCTGTGCGTGCCGACTCGACGGGCGAGTGAGATCGTGTGCCGAAACGTGAGACACTGCGACTTCCTACCTAATCGCTCTTTCCTCCTAACCAAGTTCGGCTGTCTGGCTGATAGACGGCTCCTAAGACGTAAGACTCTGCTCCTTGCATCAATACCTCCGACACGGACGGCGTCGATGGTCAGAGCTGCGAAGCTGTCAGGGAGAGTATATATGCGTTTACACGGCTCGAACCCGACCACCGCTTCTGTTCGGACACACTTGATCTAGCCAGACTCGAGTCCGAAGCTCGGTCAATGCATTCGTTCTTTTTTGTTCATTCCAGCTCCGCGGGGTCGAGGCTCGAGAGAAAGCTCCACCACCACGGCCCGATGCTGTGCCGCCACCTACCAACCAATGTTTTTTACAAAGGAAAACCATGATCCCACTCATTACCCACCCCCCCCCCCCCCCCCCCCCCCAAACGCAGTACCCTGCCGGGCACTCCTGTTCGGCTCCAGATGCGTCGCTCCCATCATCCAGCGCTGTCGATTCATTCTTCTTTTTTGTTCAGTCATTGAATGCATGCGACCTATCTAGATCATGGCAATATTATCTACACGTACGCCCCCCCCCCGTTTCCGCGCGGTCGATTCATACTGAGGAGCCCATGCGTGCCGACTCGGCGAGCGAGTGATATTGTGTGTCGAAACGGCGAAACGCGAGACACTGCGACTTTCTACTCGCTGTTTACCCCCAGCCAGGCCAGCGTAGCTGGCTTACTCTACTCCTTGCATAAATACCTCCGACATGAATAACGTTGATGATCATGACTGCCAAGCAGCATATGTTTTCCCAAAGCCAGCGCCTTTGAGCGCGAAGTCACATGAAGCGCCTCGCTAGCTCAATCGGTAGAGCGTAAGACTCTTAATCTTAAGGCTGCGGGTTCGACCCCCGCGTGGGGCTTCATTCTTTTGTCTTTTGTTGCCGTCTGGCCCATCCCAACACATCAATTTTTGCTTCCAGCCTCCAGGCAGCCCCGACGTTCACGCGGAAAGCGATGTGGGATGTGGGAGCACCGTGTTTGCAGCCAATACGGTCCCCAGTCCCTTGCGGAATCCAACTCGCGCCCAAATTCCCAATTCCTCACACCGGCGACGTAAGGAGCCACCAACAACCTCCGACGTGGTAGCTGCCCCACCTCCCCCGCAGCCGCAATCAAGATTTCGTATGCATAAGTTGTGCACGTCCAGCTCGTCTCGACTCTCTCGCCTGTCAAGTCTCGCCTCTCGCTACCTAGCTCGTGCGATTGCATCTTTCTCGCATCTTCCTGGGAGGATGTGCAGGTGCAGGTGCAGGTGCAGTTTGCACTTTGTCGATTCCAGGCTCCATGATACGTACAATACGTAGACAACAAGCAACAGGCAACAGGCAACAGTTGATACGTGATAAGTGATAGGCTGGAATTGAGTTTTGGGTTTTGACGAGCAAACATGCTTCTGCCTCTGCGTCTGTCTGTGCCGCTGTACGTGCTTCTGCCTGTAATTCTGCCTATGTCCGTGCCTCTGTCTGTACCATCCGGGCGACGAGCACCGCCGCTGTGGGTCGACCGGGCGACGATCAAGCGACATGTCAGATGTCAGATGTCAATGAGTGCACGGTTTGCACGGTTTTGCACTCCACTGCGCTGCACTGTAGATACCGCACCGCATAGCATTGAACTGCACTGAACTGCATTGAACTGAACTGCACTACACTGCACAACACTACAATGCACAACACTGCGCACGGAGGTAGAGTAGAGTACCTAGCGGGTAGGTACCGACGTACCGTAGCATCGGCCCGGGACTCGACAGGTATTGCCCAAGTACTGATCGCGACCGGCCTAGACGGTAGAGTAAGTTGCAATATCGTTTCGGCACATATTGTTGTACATATTTTATCATTGCATTCAGCTCAACTTTATCAGATCATGGCAGTTATTAGACCACGGCGAGCACACAAGTATTCCATCCAAGTTCCTGTCCGCGTTTCCACCCAGTCCGCGCCTCTTCAAAGCTTCCGAAGCATCTCGAATCCAATTTCTCCCTCCATATCTCCCTCACTCTCGGGCACCGAGTACCACCCCATGACGCACAAGCACAATCACATCATCGCGCAGTCCATCTCTTCTCTTCTGACTTCATTACCGTTGCTACCATTCCTTTCCTTTTCTAGCATGCCTATCGTATCCTATGCCTATGCCTATGCCTACATATCCCTATGCCTATAAATACAGCCTTCTCGTCTTCCCTCCATTCCTCCACCGCAACCCACCCACCGACCCACCCTCCCATCAACCTCCACCCCCACCAACCCTCAGTTTTTACCATGCCGAGCCGAAACAAAACCCAGGCAGACCCAAAAGAAAAGAAAAGTAACGAAAACGACGTAAGAAACGTAAGAGAAGCGTAAGAAACAGTGAGAAGTTCCCCATCATCACCAATGCGGCATGAAAAAAGACGGCCGAAAAAAAAAGATATAAAACGCCAGAAAAACCCCCTACGCCTACACATACCCCCGGAGCATCGATGTCGAGAGAGATAGAGAGAGAAACGGCGGTACGGTACGGCGGAAACACACCCTAATTAACCCTTCATCTCGGGGAGCAGCATCAGCAATCGCTCATTGAAACCACCAGTAATACTAACCAAATGGACAGGAGCAGAAAAAGGGGAAAGGGCAGGGCAGGGCAGTAAAGACGAAGGAGACGGCCAGGCAAACCCACCATTAATGTGCCCCCATCACTAAATGGTATAAGCGTGAATGTGTAAGGGTAGTTGGTAGCAAGACAACAATTATACAGGCGTTCCTCTAGATTGTTGGGAAACTAAATCAGAATCCGATTCAAAAAGAGCGCAAAAAAACTCCATTCTCCGACCAGCCCGTCCGATGTGCGCCTTTTACCTCAAGTCCACCTCCCCCTCCCTTTTTCCGAATCCCAAATGCCAAACTAATTAATGCCACAGGAATGATGCGTCGCAAGCCTTACAATACGAGTGTTTTTAGGTTGGCCTGAAGGATCATGTCCTGAACACTGGCCATGGTCTTCTTGAGAAGGTTCGTGTCGGTGGCGTTGGTGAGGTGCACGTAGATGTCCTGTGAATATTGCCATTAGACGCATGTTCCGATTCTCACGATGTAGAAAACCCCCACCTTGCCCGAGTTTCGGTTGAGCCTCTTGAAGTTCTCCTGGAAGAACTCGGAAGCCTGCTTGTACGACTTGGGGTCGCCCTGGTAGTCGGGAAAGTACTTCTTGACGGGCGAAATGAGGAGCTTCTGCTTGAACAGATCGATCTTGTTGAGGAACAGGATCATCGATGTTCGGATGAACCACTGCGAGTTGCAAATGCTCTCGAACAGCATCAGGGCCTCCTGCATTTGGTTCTGCAAAATATTGTTCAGCGACTTCCCTCCCCCATTCGGATCAGCAGTCCGAAAAGACTTACTGCGTCCTTATCTTCCACCAAACACTGATCGTATCCACTGATCGCAACCAAGAACAAGAGCGCGGTGACGTTCTCGAAGCAGTGAATCCACTTCTTCCGTTCCGACCTCTGTCCACCCACATCGAACATGCGGTACGTCAGGGTTCCGAGGTCGAAAACCGTCTCGGTGATTCCCGTCGTCTTTAACCGAGATCGCAGGATATCTTGATCGGTCGGGAGGAATTCTTTGGCGAATAACCGGTCCAGACTCTCGAAGAAGCTGGAAAACACACCCCGTCAGAAAAACCCCCAAACCAGCCGGAAAACGTGAGAGGTTATTCTCACTATATCAAGTTGTCATGCAGCGCAAACTCGTTGCCCCTCTTGACGGCTTTCTGCACTCCCAGATCGCTCCAAAGGCTCCGGAAAGCAACGTGGTACTCCTTCGGGAAGGGCTCGCCCCGACTCAATTCCCTCTCCATGATAACCAGGTCGACATAAACCTGCGGGAGTCAAGTCAGCAAAAACTTGAAATTCTAGGTTCTCGCGGACAGTTGACTGCCACACATACCTCGTTCTCTTGTCTCTCCAGAGTGAGGTCGTAGATCTCCATCGCCTCCAGGATGATTTTCAAAGAATCCAGTAGGTTCGAGAAAATGATGACCTGCGCACAATGTCAACAACGATCCTCAACATCATCATCGAAGCTCGCTCGCTCATGGAGCTGTGTGCAGGCTAACCTTGTAATCCTCCCTGCAGGACCAGTAAAGTCAGTACTACTCAATGCGACGAAACGGGAAGTAGGTAGCCTACCTATCATTCTTCGAGAAACCCGACGCATGAATCAGTTTCATCTGTTTCAGGATTGTAGATTTGCCACTCTCTCCAGCGCCTATCATGTCGCAGCCGGCGCCGGTTAGCAAAAGTTCCATTCCGTTGACCGCGGCGCGCCGGTTTCGACTTACCCAACAGCAGCAACTTCACTTCCTTCGACATGCGCTTCTCATCCTGGCGAATGACCCTCTCGATCTCGCGGTGCCGTTTCGTCTCGGCGTCGGTTTCTCCGCCGCCCATGCACATCGTGATGAAGAAGCGAGCCAGCTTGGATAGACTAAAACCTTTGGGCGCAGGCCGGGCTCTGGCGGATTGGGCTTTGACGGCGGCGGCGCGGGGGTTCGCCAGGGCGAAGTTGTTGTTGGTTGTGGTGGTTGTGGTTGGGGTGGTGGTCGTTGGGTTCGCAAGGTGAGAGGTGGTTTGGTGGCAGCGACGAACCCTCGAATGACGACAACGTAAGTGGAGACGGACTAAAGTTAGGCTTGACACATGCAATCAATCTCGCGTCGCGGCTTCGGTTGCGTTTCGTTTCAAAAGAACAAAGAACAAGCAGCAAACAATAATTAAAAAAAGAAGCGGGTTCCAAATATGGGTGTGTATCTGACAGCAGCGGGAAGCACAGATCCCGGGACGGAGATTCGGGTTCGGCGCGGAAAGATGTGCTGGAATGGCTCGGTGGGGTGGCGATTCCGGGGAGACGGGACGGATCAAGGCAGCACTAGAGAGATGAGATGAACGGGCAGCGAACCAGCTAGGAGATGGTGCCTAGATTGCTGTGAATGTGTGGTGGTTTTCCGTCGATATCGATCAATATCGGACAGGGCGTAAACAAATGGGCAAGTGAATAACAACTGAGTCGTTCCGTGTCGACGTCGGCGAGGAGTGGAAGGCGGCAAGCGGACAGTTTGAATGGATGAGCAAGGTGAATGGACGAGCAGGGTGAATGGATCGATGAGTGAACGTCTTGGTCGTAAGCCGGCGCGGAGAGTGTGAAGCTGAGTTAGCGGGTGAGGACTAATGGCGATGATAGTGGTAGTGGTGGATCGTTCGGACGGAGATATCGAAGCGTAAAGAAGCAGTCAGCCAGTCGTCGTCGTCGTCGCATGCATGAACCGCTAACTAGTACGTCGTGATGGTGATGTCGGACGTATGTACGTTGAAGTCGCCGTTGGGGAGTGCTGCGGACTCCGGGGGAGGGAACGGTTAATGATATAGGTGACTGGGGAACGACGGTGCGCCATGTCTGGTCGTTTAGCTCAGCACTTGGAGCAGTTGCCTAGGTAGTCCATGGTTGACTGCTATCGAGGGAGGCCCTGGCCGAGCGAGTCCGCCAGAATGACGAACCCTGTTCCCATCCACTCCAGCGTATCCATCTCACTAGCATACCTACTCTACAGACATGCTAACCAAGTACCCAACTACGGTACTTGCTCTACTCTGCTCGACGCCTCGATGCCTGCCCATCCATCTGCATTTCTGCACCCAGCTACCACTCTAGCTTCATCCGAGGGTCCACCACCGGGGAAGACGAGCAATGCCAGTAAGCCCTCCCCCGGCGAGCGAGCGAATCACGGCCAGCACCGAATTGCTGCATACATCACCGTACCGGTTCGCACGCCTCACACCTCCCGCTCCGGGTCAAGGTGGATGCTGCACTGCTCTGGAATACGGGTGCTGCTGCGGAATACTTACGGGTGCGTCGAGACGTGATCCCCCGAGCAGGAAGGCCTTCTCTCTGTTCTCATGCTTCGTGGACGAGGGGCTAACCCAACAAACCATAGTAACGGGGTACAGTGGATCCTCGCTATCGGAGCGTGCGTGCGTGCAGAGCATGGGAGATGCGTACCTGCAGTCAAGTACTTCCACGCCGAGGAAGGGAATCTCTAGTGATTACCATGCAATCATAAATAATGATAAACCTTCAGACTAGAAGATGCCGTGAGTATGTGCTCCGTGTAGAGTGTCCGAGTGAATACTTACTTACTCACAGACATCCGCTAAGAAATCCCACCTGCTCCCTCGCATCTCGCGGAGCACGCCACTTTGCCCCGACGACCTGCTGTGGAGTACTGTAGATACTTACAAGCTACTTTACGTTCCATGGGTCTCGGTACACATCGTTACAAACATCTGCCTCTCGCCTCAGCACTCTGCACATACGAACAATCTGCCTCTCGCCTCAGCACTCTGCACATACGAACAAACATCTGCCTCTCGCCTCAGCACTCAGCACTCTACGCACTACGCCGTTCCCGGTCTCTCATCCGCACGCAAGCATCTACCTACGGTAGTTACATCACCCACTCGACAAGCCCGACAAGCTCGACACGTGCGGACGGATGGGCACGCAACCCGGTCCAGGGCACCACGAGACGAACAGGTTCGACCAATGTCTCACCACGTTGGGGTTCTTTGGGAGTCTGACTACCACGCGTTTGTCATCTTCGGCTCGGATCCCCCTCTCGTGCGCGCCCCTCTCGTGCGCGCCCCTCGCTCCCCTCGCTCCTACCACAGATCCTCCTCCCTCCCCACCTCCCTCCCAAACGAACGGCGGAGAACTCGCTAGAGCGAACGGGGATGGGGGTTTCGCAATCCTCACGGCCCTACGCCGTCGGCTCTCGCTATTTTTTTTCTTTCTCTCTCTCGCCTCTCACGTCGACCGACGAGACCTCGTGTTCGAGAGAGCGTTCTCACCTACTTCGTGTCGAGTGCCCGAAGTACCCACGAAAAATGGCTAAAAAGCCGGCTGAGCACGGCTCCGTCGTATGCATACATACCTCGTCGAGAACGCCTCCTTCTTTCGTAGTGCACTGCATGAGGAAGGGTCTCGGGGAGGAGGGGAGGGATGGATACATATGAAGACCTGCCTGCCTGCCTTTCTGCAGCTGGCTTGCTTACTCTACTTGCAGTGGTAGGTATGATAGTTACCGAACTTCCGGAACGTTTCAACCGTACTCTAGATACCGTACCGGGATTGAACAGAGTGCCTACCGGCATATGACTTGTGTAGTATAACCGCAGGCAGGTGGTCTCGGATATGGTGCGTGCCACTAACCAGAGCATCTATGCGATGGAGGGATGGATGCGATGCGATGCGATGGTTTTTACGCAGGTGATGGTCCAGAGTGGCAGGTACCAGGCTGGAGTGACGGGTAGTCTGGCGGGTAGGCTGGTAGGCACTCTGGCGGCAGTCTGGCACTCTGGCAGGCAGTCCGGAGTGGCAGGTAACTTATGGCAGGCGACTGGAGTGGCAGGCGACTGGAGTGGCAGGCGACTGGAGTGGCAGGTGACTGGAGTGGCAGGCGACTGGAGTGGCAGGCGACTGGAGTGGCAGGCGACTGGAGTGGCAGGTAGGTACTCCATAGTACCGTACCTAGTCTGGAGAAGGTAGCTACTTGTACTGGTCCCTACAGACGACGACAAGCTCACCATCGCCATCTCGTTCGATTCGTTGACTGGATCCCAACTGGCGAAACTGGCGAAACTGGCGAGCCCATCTACTCGGCAGTCACGGCCGTTCAACCAAGATGGGCTCATCTTCATCCTCATCCGTACGCATGGAAAAAGTCTTGCACTTGTGTACTCTACTCGTGGAAGGGGGGGGGGATGGGGGTGGCGTGAGCGCGAATGGGGACCGCTAACTTCTAAGAGCAACTAACCATAGGTAGTACATGGGTAGGAACGAATACTCTACCTAGATCACGTCAAATGTTTCTGATTTGTAGATGGTGGAGCGCGCTGAGGAAGAAGAAGAACAAGTCGAAGAAGTCGAGGAAGAAGAAAAAGAACAACCCAAAGAAGATGAAGGAAGATGAGGAAGATGGAAAAGAAGATGAAAGGAAGCGAAGATCGCGCCGCCATCGCCACTGTTGTTGGCTTGGGAGGCGATGGCGGGGTTTTATTGGTCCTCCGTCTGAATCGTGCTGCTTTGTGGGGTCCTTCTTTTCTTTTCTTTTGTCTCCGTCTCTCTCTCTCTCTCTCTCTCGTTGCGGAGGGAGGGATGGAGAGAGGGAGGGAGGTCAAAGCGGCCCTTCTTTTGTCGACAACCTGAAGACTTTTTTCTTTCCTTTTTCTTTCCTCTGCCCTTTCTTCTTCCACACTCCCTCAACTCCCTTTTACATATCCCGGTCTGACGTGGACTGGAGGGGAGCGCATCGGTCGGAGCCGAAACTCCATGCGTCCTCTTCTGGAGGGAGGGCCAAGGGCCAAGGGCCAAGTGCCAAGTGCCGAGAAGACCCGAGATTCGGCAAAAAGCAAAGAAAATGAAAGGAAGAGAGATCCTTCAGCCGTGGGTGGGTATGTGGATGTTGTCGAGCCATCTCGAACCGGAGTATGGTAGATGATTATCTACCCATCTCGCCATCTCGCCATCTGGAGGCGTTGGTGGTGACGCTGCGCACTCCCCAGTGGTTGGTAGAGTGCCGTACATACCGGTAGACAAACGTCGTCGTCGTCGAAGCGGGGATGCCGCCGATTCTCCAGAGTCCAGACATCCGTTCTGTGTAAGCGAACGGCGGGAGCACTCAGCACTCAGCAGACGTCTCAGGGCTCAGGATCCCAAATTAAGGCGACTCACCACGGAGGGGGTTTCACGAGCGACGGGGGCTCCAGGTTTCCGATAGTATGTAGAGTACTCTACTTTGTACCGGTAGGCAGGTAGGTGTGCATGTAGGTGGGTGTGCATGTTGCCCAAATCTTGAGACATGAGATGCGGAGACGCATCACCGGACTTCGATACCTACCGGTATCTATACAGCTTGTCCCTGCCTACCCGCCTGCCTTCCTGGATGTCTTCTGGATGCTTTCCTTCCTAAATGCTCAGCGGTCGCGAAGATACCCAGTGTAGGAACTGTAGAGTGGTATGTACCGGTACTCGGGAGCCAGTGCCCACAAAGTTTCAAACCAGACTCTGTCACGCTGTCACGCCGCCACGGAGGGAACCCGCTCGCTCGCTTGCGCTTGCGTTCGTCTAGAGTACTAGTACAAGCCGACTACTACGCCCAGTGTAGCATAGATATCTCGGTATCGTCGCTTGCCGGGGACTGGGCCGCTGGTCGGGTGCGGGTAGATGGTAGAGTGCGGTACGTACGTATGCAGGGCAGGTATCCGCATATTATTCGCAGCTGTTGCGGATTTGCGGATTTGCAGGCTGGAGGATTGGACGGCTGGAGATGCCGAGGCATAGCTGGTTTGCTGGCTGGCTAGCTGTCGAGAATCGTGCGCAATGCATATGTAGATACATCCTATACATATACCTGGGCATATAGTTATAGATACCGGTACATCTAATTGGAAACTGTGGAACACTGCAACGCCGAAATTCACCGCCGACCCGAGGGCCATGGGCCATGAGCCGTGATACAACACTGAGAATATTGACGGTAGCCGACCCCAATACCGTAGGTATGTAGTTACATATGTACCTATCTCTCGGCAAATCCTCCAGCTCCAAGTCGATACGATGCGATATGTACGATACTTCCCCCACGTATGCAAACGAGCATTAACCTAGGTTGGAGGCGAGACCGGAGGTGGAGACGTACGTACGTAACTACGTCCGAGAGTCACGATGCTAATCTACTATATTTTGCCTACTGAGTACTCCACCTATATCTATGCATACAACTACTCCACTGTGGATCCACCGTGACTTCGCGGGGCTTTTTTTCCTGTTCCGTCAGCTATTCAGACGCCCAGACATCCAGACACCCAGACATCCCGCTCCGATCGTGAATGATAATGGAACCGGACGGCTGCTAACTGCTCTAGTAGGTAGATAGGTCGTTGGGTATGTAGGTCGTTGGAGTTTGCTATCGATCGCACGGCCACTCTACTATGTATATCTCATCGGTCGCGGTGCTGGTTGCTAGATACGGTAGTCTACTGCGTGTCTGCGGCGTCGTGCAGAGTTGCTTTTTTCCCGTCCATCTGCCCAGTGTCCAATGTCCAAGCCTTTGCAGTGTGCACTGGGGCGTAGTCTGGGGCGGGGGAACGCTGATGATGATGATGATGATTGGTCACGTCACATATAGTCCGCTCCACTTCATCCCATCTCCCCCTCCAGGTTGGACTTTGGACTCTGAACTCTGGACAGTGGAGACCTGCATCGAAGCTTCGATTCATCGTTCAGCGCCCGCTTTTCTTTTCTTTCGTCATGCAGGCAGTGCATACCGGCACTTGTGGCGAGTCTGCGAGTCGATCTGCGACCAAGCCACGCCGGAGATGGTGGATTCGCCGAGACTGGACTCTGGAGAATTTCGAACATGTCTAACCGCCCCTCCCTGGAGTCCCTGGAGTCCCTGCTGTGCGGTACTGGTACCGTTACCGTGGGGAGTACCCGCTCGAGTGGAACATCTATGTAATTAGATACTTCATATGTACCGGCAATTCGCGGTGAGGAGATCTCAATCTCGGTTCCGACAGACCCGTTAGAGTAGACCGACCCGTAGACCGTTCCACGCACCGCCCCAGTTAGTCATTGGTCAATCGACGGAGCAGCTGCCAACACGTCGAGTGATGCATACACGCAGAGTACCATACTCTATGTACCTGGTGGATCGTGTGGCGTGTGGGTAGGTAGCACAGGGTGGATCCGTGCTTGGACCTCATGCCCTCCTCCTCCTCCACCGCCGCCGCCGCCGCCGGCAGAAAATTTCGTTGGATACTCACCAATGGAGTGCATATACCGGCAACTATGTAGCCACTGGAGCCAAAGTCCAAACAACGGCGATCTACGCAGCCATTCGTCCATCCATTCGTCCATAGGACATACACTTGCTTCTTCACGGCATGTCCTATGCATTGTGTACCTAGCACGCCGGTGTGGCGAGCAAACACCCCAAACACCCCAAACAAGTCAAACAAGCCAAACAAGCCAAACAAGCGTCACCACCACTCAGCAGTGCGCACCCACCGCTGGGCACGCATTTACAGTACAATACATGGTTTTGTAAAACCCCGGAGGTTTCCACTCTCGTAGCTAAATGTGCGTGGCCCCGCGCCACGATATGTATGCATATATACTCTAGTTAGAGCACCGGTGCCGATAGTGGTTACATCTCCGAACGGATTGGATTGGATAGGCACATGGCGTGGCACAGATGGCACATGGGAAGGGCACATGGGAAGGGCACTTGTCGCACGTTGTCGGACGACGCCTGTTCAGAAGGCGTTTCTAAATCCGAATGTGAATCTTGGTGGCCTGATGGCTTACAAGTTGCAAGTTGCAAGCCACCCAGAGCATGTGCACAGCGGGAATTGGGCATTGGGCATTGGGCATCGGGTGGGATTCATCAGGATTCATTCATGGCTACTTTGGCAAGCCCCTTCCAATTATACCTATTTTCTGAGGCAAAGGAAAGTTGCAAGTGCACGCTCGAAGCTCCCCGCTCAACGCTCGACGCCCATGAGTCGTGTGTCTAAGCGCGCCACCCCCCGTCCCCCCACCCCCCTCCCCCCTCCCCCGCGAAATTCGGATGAACCAAACCACGATGATCGTCCGCGACCCAAGTGCAGAGAACTAACTCAGCGGACCCATTCCCAGCTCCCAATTCCGAGCTCCCAATTCGCGCGGTGTTCCAGTGCGTTACATATTCGATGCCATGTGATAGGTAACTACCCAAGTAGGTATACGGAGGTCTGTGCGTTCGCATTGCGCAGAACCCAGTGGTGAGTGGTGAGTGGTGAGTGGGTGGGCGCCGGAACGTGGCGTTTTTTCCGGTGCGAGAGCGCCGCTACTTACATACGGCATGCTGTATCCATGATTCCATTCGCGTCCTTGAAGCAGATATTGGAGTATGTACGGTTGTGGAGCACTCGGTGGATAGTGGATGGTGGAGGGTCGAGGGTGATCAGAAGACCGGCTTCACGAAATCCCCAGAGAAGACGTTCTGTATGTACAAACCGACTGTGTACCCAAGGTAAATCAAGTCATGGATTTCAGATTTCTTCATGGTTGCATTCCGATTTCCAGATTGGGGGGTTACTCAACTCCATGGTACCCAATGTACTTCGGCTGTCGTCTTCATCTGGCCATCAGTCGCTCATCAACTGGGCTGGAGGTCCACCAAGCGCATCACGTTACGCACGTCTGCTTTTACATCACTCGCGCCCAAGGGTGTATCCCAACCAAATCCCATTGTACTTTTATCTAACAACCCGAACCTTTTACCTGATCTCCCAAAACACCCCATGGGTAGGGGTTCTCCATCTATTGCAAAGCCAACTTGGCGAAGGTCGGCAGAACAAAGGACGCCTCGTGGATACGGCTGTTGTAGTACCGGTAGCGCTTGTTCTCCTCCTCGACGGGGAGAGTACGGAGGGGCTTGCTGACGTCGCGGGAGCCGTCCTTGGTGCACACCATGAATCCGATCTGGCCCGAGGGGTAGGTGGGGATGGTGGTGTAGGCGTACTCGGCGACGGGGAAGACCTCGCGGCACGACTTCTTGAGCTCGGTGATGAGCTTGAGGTGGAGCCATTGGTTCTCGGCTGTGGGGAAGCAAGTTAGCTAGGGCGCTGCAACTGCTGGCAATCGAGAAGTGGTGGGGGAATTGAATTGAGGGGGTGTGCTGCGCGCGATGCGTAAAGCAAAATAATAGTATGTAATAATATTGATGAGGTGAGTGAGATAAAAGGTATGGCCGAAATTATGGTGTACGCTGGAGGATGACACTCTCGGTAAGCGGAACGAACAACTCTATGCATGCGTGGGGGGAGAGATCAAGACAAAGGAATATCAACGACATGTGGGGGTAAGGGTATGATGAGGGACCGGAGGAAGTGAAGATGGCATCTGGTCTGATGCCACAATCCGTCCCTTCGTTCCGAGCGGAAAACCGCAAAGCAACGCAACGCAAACACACATCCCCAAGGGAAAAGCAAACGAGAAGTAATAGAAAAGAGGAGAACTGACAACCTTGTGTGGAGATAACACCGCCCTCCTGTATTTACATCCCGCATCAGAACCAGCTCATCACTCGGGGTCGTGGCGGGTAAGGTGAACCTTAAGAGCACCGTGCAATAGCTCGAAGTAAGCCTTCTGGAAAAGGGCCTCGGCAGGTCCCTCGGGGTCAGAGGAATCAGTGATGATCACATCGAACTCGTTCTTGTAGTCCTCGAGGAACTTGAAACCGTCGCCGACGTGGACAGTGGCCTTGGGGCTGTCGAAACCGGCAGCCATGTGGGGAAGGTACTGCTTAGACAGACGGATGACAGCCTAGATCACAGGTCAGTCCTCAGTCCATCCCCAAAACATCCCGGGGTTTTCCGACCTCGTCAATGTCGCAGAGGATAGCCTCCTCAACACACTCGTGCTTGACAACCTCACGGAGGACACCGCCGTCACCACCACCGATGACCAGCACCTTCTTGGGGTTGGGGTGAGAGTTGAGGGCAAGGTGGGTGATCATCTCCTGGTAACTGCAGTTCGTAAGTCCCCACTCCTTCGCCTCGGACGCAGAGTCGAAATATACGCAAACTCATCACGCTCAGTGCACTGGATGACGTTGTCAAGGACGAGAACGTTGCCGTAGTCGGTGCTCTCGAAGATCAAGACCTACACAGCTCATCTCATCAGATCCCACCTCCACAATGATATCCGGGGAGGGGCAAACAAACATCCTGGTACTTGGACTTCTCGTGGTGGAGGACCTTCTTGACCCGCAGAGCCATAGCCTGACCAGGCCACATGTCGGAGATCTCACGGAACCAACCATCTTTACATGTCCCCAATCAGCACCTCAACCTAGTTCGTGGGGCGACGAAAATCGAACCCTGGATGGTGGGGTGAACGATTTCGGTGCTCATTTTGATAGTGCGCGTGTGTATAGAGGGTCTATGATGCGATTGACGACACCATATGTCAGCTTTAAACTCCAGCAATCAAACAACTCGCCGATGCCCGCCGCCCAGCGCTCCCCACCGCTCAATGGCACACATCAAACATCGATTCGGGGGACTAACCGTAGAAGAGATGCTATCGACGGTGCGAATCGGTATGCTTTGGAACGAAGTAGAGAGTGAATGGTGGGTTTGAGAGCGGAGCAGGAAAAGAATGGCTCTGTGAGTCTAGTGGGGCTTCGATTTTTTTTTGTTTGGAGGGGTAATGCCAAGCGCGTACACGTGATTTGGAGAAGCTTTGTGCATCTCACCGTTTCGGTGGCCGGCGTTGGCCGCGGTGTCATCCAGGTACCAGCATGTACGTGGGTGGAGAGGTATTTCCCTCATCTCTCTAGAGAAGATTTCCCTCACTCTACACGTGCGGCATCTAAGATTCGGCGACACCCGCGATGGATCGTTGATTTGTTGGATCTCCGGACTCCGGAGTCCGCAACGGTGGTGGGCTATTTATATCTTCGTAAACGGGCACAATCATTATAACTCACTCGGCGCACGACTCATTGTCGCTGCCGACTCAATCGAGCAGCATTGAGGAGATAGAAACTCAGATCGATATGGGGGTTGCTTGCACAAAAATTAGCATCGGTCTCGAGCCCACAAGGTTCTGGTGAGTACGCGTGCCTCCACAACTGGCCACTTGTGAAGTGCTCTCGACTCTCGACGGTATCAACGGCCTCCCATTACGTTCGAACACATGTTGTCCACCATTGCAATAACTACGAAATCTTCTCTCCACATCTCAACTTCTGGAAATTGACATCTTTCACCAGCTCTTCCCACCACCTCTTCCTGCCATCATCCTCAAACACCTCACCATCCTCCTTATAGTAATACTCATCATCATCCAGCACACGCATATCTCCCTTTTCCCACGGGACAGTTCTGTGCGGTCCCTCAAAGCAGTACGGCATGCGTTCCTCTACCGGCTCCATCCACTCTTCTTCCCCATATTCCTCCTCCTCGTACGTCGTCCCACAACACGTGAACGTTCCACGCGACGGCTCGCCAAAGTGCTTCACCCTGCACATTTCGGCATCCGGCCCGTTGGCATCGAAGGTCACATGGCAATAGATGCAGTGCTCCAGCTTCTTCGCGGCCTACAGTGGGAACACACACTAAGCTTAGCCGTGCGTCCAATGTCCAATGTCCATATGTATTATGCAATGGGAAGGAAAAGTTTGTTTTTCTGCTGGATTCCAAACAACAGAATTGGTGCGAACACTCAGATGTGGAATACGTGTATTCTCGACAAGCGGAACAACTCCGGCAGCAACGAATGGATGGGCCTTCTTTCCAGGAGGGGGGGTGGGGGTAGGAGCGAGCTACCTTCGGGTACGCTATACTCAACAATGTTGCGCGTAGAGTGGTCGCGTCGAGTTTTTCTAGCTGCGATTCGAGCGCCCTGGACGTGGGGTACTTTGTACGCAGGGTTGTGAGCACGTCGTCCTCCTCTGGGGCGGTGTGGAGTTTTTGGCGGAGACGCCATGGCTCGACGGGGAGAGAGGGGAGGCGGGGCGTTTAGGCAGCATTGGAGTGAAGGTTGGTTGCTGGACGCGTCTGAGGGATGCGAAGAGAGTATCGAAGTTGGAGCCTTGACGCCACGTAGCCTCGCAAAAAGGAAGCCTAACTACTAGCACCCTAACCACTAATGGGCAAAAAACAAAAGATGAAAGCCCCACGCGGGGGTCGAACCCGCAGCCTTAAGATTAAGAGTCTTACGCTCTACCGATTGAGCTAGCGAGGCGCTTTCATGTGCGTGGCTGAAATTAACAGAATATATCGACAAGACAGCTGCCTGTGTTTAGTGCTGTGTGTACTATCACACGATCTTCGATAGCTCCCGATCCAATGGGTGTGGTAGAAGACACTTCAGTGGGCCTTATGAGAGGATACTACTGCGACGGATCAGCTATGTGACATGGGGATCTAAGAATTTAACGGGTCACCGTGTAGTGGAGTTGTATAGCGCCAAGGATGGCCGCCTTGCGGAACGAACCGCAGGGTCCGCAGGTCCGCAGCGGTGGAGCGGTGGAGCAGGAAACTGTAGGTACTTCAGTGTTCACTTGGGTAAGTTTACTGCAGATTTACTGGCAAGAATCCTGGATGATTTCGTTGATCGATACCTTATCAAGTAGTACTCCATGGGTTTGCTTTACTGCAGAAGTGGCTTCTAAGTTAGGCAGCATGTTCACATAATCTCACTCGCCGTGATCGCTAGGTGAGACGGGATGGAAATTGCCGATAACTAGATAGCTGAGGGAGGGTGAGACATGCGCAGTGTAAGTTCGAATGGGCTACGCAGAAAGTCAAGCTAGCGGTGAAGCGATGGTGGTCTCAGCCTTCAACTTTTAATCGTTTAAGTAGGTAGGATAGTAGCTCTGAGAATACTGATCGAGGATTATTGCCTGCAACCTGGAACTGCCGGACTGCCGGACTGCCTTATACATAGTATTACAAAATCTATGATTACAAAATCTAGGACACGACACAGGCCGCAAAGAAAAGAAATAAATGCGAACGAAATAGACCATCTAAACTACCTTAGTTCCAGCCTTCCAGTCATCCGCCACAGTGGACGAGGAGGAGTCATAGCCAAGTCTTGCAAGTCTGACTGACATCTCGCCCCATCCCACCACACGAGCCTACCCACCATGAACCTACCCACTCACTCACGCATCCCCAAGATCCACATTCCTCCACCCTTCTTCTAGCCATTCCTTCAAGCCCATCGGCCTCCAGCACCCAGGAACCTCCATCTCCGCCGGCGCAAAATCAAACTCTCCACGCTCGATAGCCAGGAGCATGTCGACCTTGCACGCCTGGCCCCACTCTCCTTTCTCTTCCTTCTCGAAGTGGAGATCGTTGAGGTCTTCCCACATCGTTTCCGTGATTTCAAACTGACGACCTGTCGGGGTAGGTATACCGATCAGTTTTTGCTCGTCGGGAGAAAAAATGGAAGTTCGACGCACCACGGACTTCCTCCGCGATTCTGACAAGTTCCTCCATCGTCAGCCGCTCACCGCAACACCTCCACTGCTCGGGCCACTCCCTCGCCTCCAGGGCGGCGACCACAAACGCAGCCAGATCCCTCGCAGCGACAAAACACGCCCTCGTCTCGCCGGCCGGAATCCACGCTCTGGCCGCGCGGAAATCCAGCAACAGCTCCCCCTCCCCCTTCAGGTGCCCTCGGGGACTACAGATGCCGCTGCCTACCAGTCCCCCAGGCGAGAACCGCTCCATCAACAATCCGCATACGAATACCGTCGAGTCTAGCCGGTGCTTCTCCTCGCGCAGCCGCGCGAGGACGTCGAAGCGGTTGCGGCTCGGGGGGCAGGCTAGCGGGCGGCACTCCAGGAGGCCTTCGAATTCTGCGGGGGCGAAGCGGCGGACACGGGCTGTTAGGCAGGCGTCGATGAGAGCTAGCTGGGCGGAGGTGTTGGTGACGGTGGATATCAGGGTATCCATCCCTTTCAGGGCGGTAGAAAGGGAGTCTGGCAAGGCGTAGTCAACGCGGATGACGGGAAGTTGGTGGATTTCAGGGTGCTCCTGAAGCTGGGAGGGGTTAGATGGAATGAGGGAATGGAGAGAGGATCGTACATTCCGCGAGAGAAGGAGAACATCGTGGCCGCGTAGTAATGCTGCTTGGGCTATGTGTTGGGCTAGTCCTCCGGTTCCCGCTACTGCCACCTTCAAGGCCGGAGTGTGCATAGTTGTAGGTATGCGAGAATGGAATGGGGCTGGATAGGTTCCGATACCACCGGCGAGATAGATTCCCGGGGAGATCTGTTGGATGAAGGCTGGCTGCTGAACGGTCAACCCTTGGGAAAATATGAATCCTCCAGAAATACTATGGATAACCACTACCTGCCACGACACAGTGCCCCCAACAAAAAGCGAAGGGCCGCAAAAGTGGCTGGATTTTGCTGATCACCCGAAAAAACAAAGGAAGGACCAAGAAACAGTGGAAAAAGAACACGATAATAAGAATAAAGAGCAGAGGAGTGTGAGAATGTATATTGAGCCTCCACCTCTGGTAGCCGTGATATGTATATGTAGTCTAGAGGGTGTCTACTACTGCCGCATCGAGCCGGATAAGGTTCTCTAAATTCTCAGGAGAGCCCTGAACAGAATTATACGGGAGGAAAGTATCCAGCCTTGGTGATGCTGGTGATTTTGGTGCAGGTTGCGAACCTGTCGAGGCTGCAATCTGTACTCTCCGGACCCGAACCAGTTCCAACCTGCGAACCTCCTGCAGCGGGAGAACCGGCCGAGAATCACCGACGGATGGTTGCGAACTGCCATTCATGCGGATGCGGTTAGTCTATGCAAACGCCGAACAGTCGGAGATAGTAAGAGGAGAAGAGCCTGCATAGAAAAAAACAGTTGCAGTGTTTCAGCATCGAAGGGAACGACAAATAGGAGCCAGCACAGGCTCCAATTCTTTAAACCCACGGAAACTAGGCCTTATGGTCGGCACATCAGGCTGGGGTTGTCACATCTGACCACCGCTCTTGGCAGCACAGCAGCAGGAATATTCCGCGAGTGGCCCCGAAGGATACCCGAAGGGTGCTTCCGCAATCATCTCGACACCAGGGGAAGGCTGATGGGAGCTCATGGTTCATCCGGAGGACGGTAAATAAGGCAAAGATGACGGTGAAGAAGCCTAAGAAATATCTAATACAAGTGAGGAGGGGAAATGTCAGACACAGACCACATGATCAGACAAGGCATGCAAGGCTGGTCGAGCCACGGAGGGATTGAGCGTGTTCCATGAACATAAAGAATAGCTTCTAGACGAGGAGAACCAAAAACGTAGGATCGGGAGCTTAACAGAATGACCCAAGCGCGGGGACTCACCGAGTTGGTTCTCGAATCTCCACTCCCCACCAGCACCACCGCCACGAGTCTACAGTATTCCTATCGGAAGATTACTACGCTTTCTATTTCAGCAAGGCGGCCGCACAATCCAGCAAGCCACGCAGATTGGCGGAGAGTAACTACCCGCACAAGCCTAGCCGGCCGACCGACGTCCCCCCACCACCAATATTCCGACGTGCAGGCGAGCAAATGAGAACACCGGACACAACCTCTCCACTTCTCTCGTCCGTAGCGCCGATTCCAGAAGATAAAGTTGTTGACGCTTCGCTAGATGGTGGGATGTCAGGTACCTATGACCTACCTACTCAGCCATGCAGGTGCTTCGTATAACGTAAGGCTGGTAACTGAGTGTGGTTACCTCAACGTTTGTGGCGTCTTCTTCTTCAGCTGATATGATCCTCCAGTTGAAGAAAAGATGCATAGGGCACCCGCTCGCATTAGGGTCGCCAATGGAATATGTAGATGTTCGTCCGGGTCCACTTTTGCGGCTAACTGGAGTTACATATCCACCAGCCCGCCGGACGATATCGGCCTTCCGCTTAGTGGAGCCTTGATGCGTACTGATTTCCTATGCTTCTGCTCAGTCTCAAGCTCTCATCTCTTAGAACGTGGGGGCACGAAAACAACCGCTCGACTACCCACCTACCTTGTCACTGACCATTATCTATGGCTTTCGGGCTCGGGACGAGTATACTCCAGGGTAGTCGACATGACTTTACTCGCTAAGTGCGGGTGCATAATTGACATGACGCTTGCGGTTCCGTACTCTACGCTCGCGAGCCCTGCGAACCCATGAATGAGTCAGAGGGGTCAGTCAACTGGAGAAGGTCGGAACGCGAAAACAGGAAACGCTCACAGTGACTCAACACCACGCGTGGAGGCGGCGTACCTACTTTGTTCTAGTCCTGGCACGGCGCGTAACTTGTAGGTATGTAAGGTGTGATTTCTGGAGCATCAGTTTGTCCGATCGGGGGAACACGCGTGGAGGCGTGTGACTCGACGCGTAAACAGGGTCGCGCAATCACGTTACATAGATGCCTGTTAGGTACCCCGGCCGCCGATTGGAGTCAGAAGCCCGCATTAATTGCCGCCGGTGGGAGGACCGGAGGAAGTATTCTGTGATCGTTATCACGCAGACCTTCTGCGAATTGCATGCTTCGTTCCGGGGATGCAGTTGTGCGCGTATTCGGTGCGAGAGGACAACTGTACCCGTAACTAGAGCTTAGTTAATGCGACGGCGATGGATATCAACATACTCCGCTCGCTGTTGGGATTCTTCTGCGAGGACCCAGAATGACCCGCCAGTCGTCATATCGCAACGTCAACCATACCATCCATCCATAACATCCATACAATTGTAGGAACACGAAGCAGGTTGACATCTGCAACGAAATGGCGCTATATACATGTGTAAACCGACCAGTCACCGCCGCCGGTGGCAGCGCACAGCATACCAACATACTTAGACGGAAGATCACGGGGAAAAGACAATAATCGAACCAATGTTTGCTTTCCTCCGCTTGTCGATCACAGATTCACGGTTGACATCCCGCCAGATACCGAGATGGTAAAGACCAGCAAGCGATCCGTACCATTTGAACCGTCGAGTCGCTCGAGTACCTACATACTTCTTACACCCCGCCATTCGCTCTTCAAATCTCACATCCACGGGCAGATCTGATAACTATGCATAGCGGAGCCTAGAACACATCAGAACAGGCATTCACCGTCGCCGTCGTTGGATTGGAACAGCAGCAACTCCTTTGTCACGGATTGACATCTGTTTCCCCTCCCGGGAGACCGATCATTGCGGTGAAAGAAGGGCATGCACACAGCTGCACGGTGCAGCTAGCTGGCTGGCTGGCATGAAAGTGCAAATAGTACGGCTATCAGCTATGAGGTATGAATGTACAAAGCGCAAAAGCACGGCTGTCAGGCTTCAGCTATGTACAAAGCGCAAAAGCACGGCTACGAGCTATTTAGCTCCCTCCCCGCCAGCGAGTAAACCGGAACTCCGAATCTACGTCCTCCAGTTTTTCCGCAAACCTCGGTCACTCGAGAAGAGATCTATCTTACCAGATAGGTACCGGGTAGAGTTTGAGAAGGGCAGGTGGGGTGTATTAGGAAGAGCGGGCTAAATGTATAGCCGGCGGAGCGATTGTAAGTGGGTGGTAGTGGCAAATGATTCACCTTTCAGATTACTGAGGATGCTTGTGATAGCAGACACGAAGACGGCACCGTTATGATATGTAGAAGCTGACTAACTGCTACTAAGCCACCTGTTATTCCAAATATGCTCGATATCCCTCCGCATATGTGTGTCAATCAGATGCCATGGTACGTTATATCGGATGTTTTACTCAACTCCCCATCCACCGAATCTAAGAATGAGTTCGTTCAGGGAGCCCTCAATAGCCGCTTACAAATCTCACGGAAGGGGATGTTTAAGCAGGATATCCATACTCCATAGTTCGTAACCCTTTTTCTGAAGAGAGATGGTCCATACTACCCTTTCGCCGAAAAAAACAAAACAAACTGCCCTTCACGAAAACCCTCGTCAACGCGCGGAAATATCCGCCTACCCCAGACATCAATAGACGGGCTTTCTATACAGAGGAACGGCGGGCTGAGAAAAGAATTAACGTCCCGTACCGCCACAGTATCTCCACATATCCCTTGCATGCCTCTATTCCACGGCCGCGTTCAGCCTTTGCATCACTTTCGTGATACGGGGTGTCGACCAGAATCCAGCTCTCCCCGACGAAGAAAGACCAGCAAATGACCCTTTTCGATGGTCTGTTACTTGAAATACCGTTGATACTGGAGTACAACTGCCTTGACGTCCAGCCAAGGGACTCTGGTCGTTGGTATTTGGTTTGGTAGCACCAGCCTTCACAACGGTGCTCCGATACCCAGTCCACTCTATTCTTCCCGAAGAACCAAGACTCGCAAAAGTCCATAGCCAATGATCCATACGGCAAATCCCGCGGCCATCAGACGACAGGTATCGCAGTTAACAGCGCCTCCACCCGTTGTTTTCCGTCAAAGAAAAAAACACCAGCAGTGGTGACGCTAAGGCGTCATCGACCCGTGCTCCCTCGCCTACCCGCACTGCATGCAACCCTTATCCATGCAGATCAAACCGCCGGTTTGCTCAATCCCCTTGCTGCAGCGCCACCGACGCCCGTGATTCGCGGGTGAGCTCCCTGCAAACCACCCGAGTGATGATCCATGAACCCTGGCCCCACGATGCAGTCACCACCGTTGCGGGACGCCGCATAGTGCAGGTTTAGTCTGCTGCGCTGCCGGTTTTTCTTTCTTCTGGGCGAGACATCGGAGGGAAATGGTAAGTGAAGCAAACTCGGTCGACTGTGGTGGAGATAGCGGGCGAGGAACAGTCTCGCCTCTGGGATCAGGATGGGTGGAGAAGGAAGATGAGAACGAAGGTATATATCCACTGCTTGTCCTGATTTGCGGTCTTCACCGTCCTCCTCCCTTCCCATGTAAAGCTGCCCTTATCGATCGAGCTAGTAGCCAACCTCCCTTATCGGTGTCGTCGTGTACCAAACGTCCTCATCGTCGATACCACCGTATCTCTCGCACAGAAATCCTCCCAAACCTGCTCCGGGTACTGCTTTGCTCGCCAATGTCTGGAAATCGATACTCGGCCGACCTCCTGACCGAAGAAAACGACCATCTGATCAACGAACTCCTTTCGACCAGTGCCGTATCTCCAGCCATCGCCGCAATGTCGTACCTCGCGAACGGCGGTCGTCCGCGTTCTCCCGCCCTCGGACAGTGGCTCAATAATCCGCCATCACACGCAGTCCAGCCTTCGTCCACGACCGCCTTCACCTCGATGATGCACCACCAACCCAGCATCTCCGAGGCCGTCCGCGCCGACTACCAGCGGCACCATCTCCTTGCCCGCCACCAGCGGGAACACCAACAACAGCAGATCTTCCAACTCGCGCAGCAGCAGCAGCACGAGCAACAGATGCAGGCGCAACACGCGCAATCGCAGTCGCAGCAATCCCAGCAGCCGCGTCAAAGCCAGCGGCAACCCTCCCTCGTCATCGCCCAAGCCCCTCCACACGAGGACGCCTCCACCGGCACTTCTCCCAACGCTGTAACCTTCCAGACCGAGTACCTGGTCGAGATCGGCCTCCCGCAGTGGCCGCTCGTAAACCTGATCTACTACCCGAACGGCAGCGTACACGTCCTGTGCGGCAACGAGGGCAAAGGGATGTTCACGGCGACGCGGGCGTCGCTCCGCCCCGTGACCCCCGAGGTCCGCTGCAAAGTCACCACGCAATCGCAGGTAACACAGATCCTGCGGCGCGGCCCGCGCGGCGAGGAAGAGATCGAGTACTCGTCGTGCGGCGGATACGGCGCGCTTCTCGTCGAGGACCCGTGCCACGGCACCGTCAGCGCCGAGGACATGGAGGGGGCAAACACGATCCGGCGGGACGCCTGTGGGTCCGTCGACACCACCACCCCCACCATCACCACCAGAACGATCGTCATGCCCTTCGACGCGGCCATCCCCCCCGCCACAGAGGCCGCGGACCGCGACCTCTCGGAGCTCCGCATGCGTATGCGCGAGGCGAGGAACTCCTGCATGACCTCTATCGACACCGACCGCGCCAACCCCGACTATAACCTAAACCTTGCGCAGGAGCCGGCGCCGCGGCGCCGCACTACCACCCCCGCCGCCGCCAAACGCGCCCAGGCCCAGAGCCAGAGCCAGAGAGCGGTCTTCCAGATCAAGACGAAGCTCCCCGGACAGTCCCCGGCTGCCGCCGCCGCCCCAGCTGCTACCGCAGCAGGTGCTAAGAGGAAGTCGCCGCCGAAAAGGAAACTCATCCCGAGGAATACTAAGAAGTTGCGCTCGGCGAGTGCCGAAGCTGAGGCCGAGGCGGGGGTGAAGACGGTGCTATCCGTGTCCACTGCTGACGACGAGACGGAGGAGGACGAGAGGGTAAAGGAGGTCGAGTAGCGTGTCTGGATGGATGGCGCGAGAGGTGTCTGTGATGGAAGATGGAAAAAGCTGCTTTTGGTTCGCGGGTGGGGGGCGTTTGTTTGCTTGTTTGTCTGTTTGTCTCTCTGTCTGCTTGTTTGTCGTCCGTCTATGAGCTTGAGGTCGGTTCGGGGTTCGGAGTGTTTTGCTATGGGTCTGTTTTTTCAATTTTCTGTTATATTACTATCTGCCTGTACGTTGCTTGCAGAGAGAGGTTTACGGTACGAGTTTATTTGAGCTGGAGGATCAGGGGTATTGCCTTGAGCTTCCGTGATAGGTACTGAATCGAACACATCCCCGCGAATGAAACTTCTTTTCAACGAGACTATGTAGGTAGCAACAAGCTCATGGATAAAAGGTGGGTTGAAGTGAATGTACTGCTGTACCGGTGCCCTTCTTAAATTTTCAGAAAACATCTCCAGTTCTGACCGCAGGTATGAAACCTTACGGTTTGCTTCCGTACCGTACCGTATCACATGGAGAATCTTCACAACTCCCTACAGCACCGCCCCAGAGTGTCCAGAGTGTCCTGTAAATATCATTACATTGAACATCAACAAACTCCTACTACCGAGCAGCTCAAAGCCCCATTTAGCTCCTGCTGGCGGCAAGTATGTAGAGTACTGGTACTCGCACAATGTCACTATCACTGTCACTATCACTGTCTCGTGCACTCGTGCGCGTGTTGGCGCTTCTCCCTAGTCGTAACTCGTAAGCGCCTTTGCCGCTTATGCCGGACCGAAGGGGAGTGATATCATGATATGACCCATGGAGATCCCTTGAACTTCCTCTGTGTTTGGCTTTTAGTCTTACTCTATGCACTCTACTCTGGCGATAGTGATAGTCATAGTGATACACGGAGCCCCCGAATCCCGATACACCATACAGATCGTTAATGATGGTGGCCACTGGCTGCGGACCTGTGGTGTTGATGAGTTTAGACGCAGCGATCTATACTACCTAGGTCCTGGGTGCTCCAAATTCCAATAGAGCGGCGTGTCAGGGAGTCGGAGTCGGGGACGGGTTGTGCCACCAACTTCCAAGTGGCTGATGAACGGAGCGGCGTGCTCACTGCTGGCTGTAGCTTTGTATGGCGAGATGTAGCTCTTTTTCGCAATGCTACTCTATGTAACTATGACGCCAGTTATATCGATCACTAATCAAACGGAATCCTTCTCCACTCCTCCCCCTCCTCCCCCTCTTGGCCGCCATAGCACTCCCCCCACGTAGACTGGTCATGTCCAACTACCTACTTCTCATTCATCGGCAGAAAATAACTCAGTATGTCCACATTTAGCGCCCACTCCAACATGTATATCCTACTGTAGAATCTAGATTCCATATATAAACACCAGAATGAATAGAAATCCGTCACGTCTATTTAAAGCCAACAAAACCGGCACATCCCCCCCAAAAACCAACAGAAAGACATCAAAAACAACCGAGGTATAAGCTAAAACTCCCAGTGTAACTCCCAAGCGCGACTGCGATGCGATGCGGTCAAAAAAAACAATTTACAAAACGAATCCCCAATCAAATCTGAAACACCTCCTTGATCCAATGCTCAGCGACGACTTTGCCCTCATTGTACGACTCCGTTTGCCTCCTGACGACGATGGCGGCATGCGCGAACGGGATGTTGTGGATCCACACCGGAAACTTTTTGATGTTGAGGCTGTCCAGATTATGGATCATTCGGAACTGCAGCGGGTGTAATGCCAGCGTGGGAAACTCCGTGTGCCGATCGCGATGCTTCTCGGGGATGTCGTGCGATCGCTCGGACGAAGACATCACGACGCTGTTCGTGATTCCGACCATGCTATCCGTAAGGAGCTCCTCCGACTCTGAACCATCCGAGTCGTCGCCCTGCTCTTTCGATCCCGGCGGCAAGTGCTGCGGTGGAAGCTCGTGGTGCATGTCTTCTATCGCATGATCCGTCGCTTCCTGGATCTCCTCCGCCAGCAGTGGGAATGACTGGTACCCGTGCCACTCCTTCTGGTTGCCGTGCAGCCGGATACGACGCTTGCTCAACACTCCCTGGAGAACAGAGTTGGCCAGGAAGATCGAAATTCCGATGGGCACAATAACGATGTAAACGAGCATCATCGGCAGCTTCGCAACTTTCTTCCCGCTCCGAGCAATACGGCTGCTCATGGACAGGTCCTCGGTCCGAGGAGTCGCCAGTTGCACGGGATCCTCCGGGTCGAGAATGACTGGTGCGTATTTGGGAAGGTATTTAACGGTCACGGCCGACAGGTCGGCGAATGGATCATGCCGCGAGATGGCGGATGTGTACCAGCTGGTAGTCCTATCGTTGGTAACGTTGGCGTAGAGCGCCTTGTTGGCAAACATCGCGAGACCTTTGTAGAACACAGAATTCTTATCCGCCAACACGGAGAGCAGCGGGCGATCTGTGCCACGAAACTTATCGATCATAAACAGCTGGCGGCCTGACTCCGAGAGCGTGCGGGCGGCGAGTACATTCCTGTCTCGAGATCAGCAAGCATTCCGTGACTAGCGCAGGCGGCAGGAGAGACCGACCATATGTGATTGTGCCAGCCCAGCAACGGTATCCGCACGCCCAGGTAAGGAGACGCAAACGTCGTGAAGTTCACCGGCTGGATCTTCTGGAAGCAGCCCTTGGAGTAGAGCAGACCGATTGCGTATCTCAACACCAGCCCACCTATCATCATCATCACCACCCCTGTCAGTCCATCACATTCACACCTCCAGCCAACACACCGCCGCCGAGTCACCATACGCACCCAGCGAGTACCCCACAACAGAGATCTTCCTGATCTCCACCCCTTCGCTCGCGGACTGCTCCAGCAAATCTTCTATCTCCTTCGCCACGCGCTCGCCGCCGGTCTCGATCCCGTCGTACGTATGGTGTCCCGCGTTATTCTTGCACACCAGAATCTGAAGGACAGACTCGTCGTGGCATGCCCGTAATGTGTCGGACAGGAATTGTAGATGTCCCGGATTTCCCCAAAGGCTGGTTACGCAACCGTTAGCTACCCCCCCTCCACATGTCCTCGGCTTCGGCTTTCGCGGGCGGACTCGACTCACCCATGGACAAAGACGCAGAGATGGTCTCCTTTTTGGGCCGCGGGCGCTGCGGGGGAGGCCAGAGCAGCTGCTTCCGACGTCGAGCTCATGGATAGGTATGTTGCTGGGAGCTTGGATCACAGGAACGTCGCGTGTGTGCGAAGCGAGAAATAACAGATCGGCAGGCAGCCGATAGGGTGGAAAGGATGATTTTCGGAAGATAGGTAGGCGAAGATGGTACAGTGCACGACAGGTGGTGGGAAGACGGATTGCAAAAAGGAGGAGCTGTTTAGTAGTCGTGTGAGCCTGCGGGTTGCAGCGGGCAGTGCTGGAGGGGATGCACGGAGATAAGAAGTAACAGTATATGTAGTAAGCTTGTCGGCAGTGCTGAGCTCGGGGACAGTGTCCAAGTTGCAGTCAAAGAGCGACGGCAGCTAAGACACGGCGGGCCAGGCCAGGCCAGGGCGCCGAGGATATCCGAGTAACCACCTATTGTATCAAGGAAGAAAATAGAAAAGCCCGCGGAACCCCAGTGCCACGGCCCGTCTCGTGTTGGGTATGGAAGAATCCCCGACGTCATCAGTCCACGACTCGACGGGGCGTCAGGGTGCAGGCGTGACAACACCCAACCCTGGAGACCGATATCCATGTAACGTGATCCTGTGGGAGGTATGGGACCTGCATGCGGATAATAGCGCAGTAGCAATGGAACCAGAGAATTGCAATCGGATGAAACTTCACAGGTTGATCTGAGGAGAAACCAGGAGAACCGAGAGCATAAGGGCTCTACCTACTCCAACTATCGGCACGTGTGATAGGGAAGCGGATGCTGATGAGCAGCTAGGGATAGTCAACGTCTGAAGCGCGGTGATTATCGAGACTAGGTAGGTACCCATCTATCTAGAGTAGGTATCCATGTAGAGTAGATGCCTTCTACATAACTTACGATAGGTACCTATCTGCCTGCAGAATCATACCTCCCCGCAGACATGGTTCCATCTTCCTCGGTATGTATGTGTTTTGGACTGGAGGATTTTGTACCTCCTGAAATTTGGGGTGGCGGCCAAAGGATCCTGACCTGTCCAAGACTCCAAGTGTTCCCGCGCGAGGAATGACTCGGTTCCGGACCGAGTCTTTAATCACACCGAACAGCAGAACCGCACTCCAGAAGAAGAGCTCGAAATTGCAGAAACGAACACGGTTTGCTATATACGAGAGGAAACTCAGGGAAACGAGTGATGTCTAGAGTATTGATATCCCTTCGAAGAGCTCTAGCACTACTATAGCACAAGGTAGTACCTGGTTACGACCTCTCATTTGTCTCCCTCTCACTCACGGTATCTACAACCGCTTCTCCTTACACCTCAACTTCCCACAATCACCCACGACTTTGACAATCTCCTCCCACCAGCGGACCCTTCGTTTGCCGTTCACCCCGAGCTCGTCGTAGTCTCCGTAGTCATCCACCACCTCCTCATCCTCGACCGTCCACGGCACAACCGTATGTCTACCCCCAAAACAGTACGGTTCCACATGCGCTGGTTCCACCCATTCACCCCAATCATCCATCTCGAATCTCACCCCGCAGCACGTAAACACTCGCACGTCAACTTCTATCTGATCCTCAGGTTCCTCACACTCGCCAAAGTGCCTTACGTTGCAGTCGTACGCCCCGGATCGGCTGCTGTCGAAGGTCTCGTGGCAGTAAATACAGTGTTACAATTGCTCTGCGGTCTATGGTAGGAAGCTTAGCTGTGTATCCATCTAACCAGCAGTGGTTGGGGAGGTGGAAACCTCGGGGTATGCAGCACTCAGCAGAAACCCGCGTAGCACGGACGCGTCAAGCTTTGAGAGCTCTGAGGAGAGCGCGGAAGAGGTGGGATATTTTGTGCGAAGAGTGCTGACAAGATCTTTCGCACCCTCTTCCGCGTGGGCTTTTTTGGCCGGCACATTGGAGGGGGAGGGAGGGGAGGCGGGACGTTTGGGTGGCATTGTTGAGGGTCCGGATGGCGAAGCCAGGGGCGTGATGAGAACAACATGTAGATATTTGGCCGATTTATAGAGGATCTGTACGGCGCACGGGCCCGCAGTGCGAAGCCTCAATGGATCGAGTAGCAGCTCCAGCCGCAGGAAAGTCAAACTTGTGCTTCTTGCATTCACGGCATCTGCTTTATCCTCATATTGTGTCAACCACTGCCAAGAATATGAAAGCGCCTCGCTAGCTCAATCGGTAGAGCGTAAGACTCTTAATCTTAAGGCTGCGGGTTCGACCCCCGCGTGGGGCTTTCATCTTTTTTGTTTCCAGTTTCTGCACTGGTGTTTTCGGTGGGAACATGGGAGGACTTTTGGACTGGATGAGAGCTCTCTCAACTCAAGCTCCTGATTGATGCTGGATATGTGGTCCCAAAGAGCCCTATCGACATCAACTTTTTCGTTCAGTATCCCCCACACCTCCCAATTTAGACCGAGAGGCTGTCGATGAGAAGTACGGTACCTGTGAAGTTTCCGTCCTTCGTATCCATCACCACGAGCAACCATATTTACCTATGCTACGACTTGAATAGCATTCTCGCTCTCACGGCACTCTACATATCTCCAGGACCACTCTACACCCAAAAACCATGACCGAAGCCCGAGCTAGGTATTACAATTCACTTTCACTTTATCGGCCACTCTGCCCACAAATCACCCACCTAGAGATCTACCGACTATCCCGTCTCCCTCAGGTATTCACATTGTATGCACCAGCTACTCTCTTCCGTATGGTCTACTCACCTAACGAGTTCCTATTTAATAGGCCCCCCTACCCCCCGCACACCCGGATATCATCATAGGTATTCAGACGTTATAGCTCCTCCACAGGCATACGGAATCTGGACAGATGTAATAGGCGGTCACCACGATGGTGTTCATTGTTTGGGAGGATTGTAGTACTATATATATCAAGGCAGTGGTGATAAATCCACCATCAACACCTAGATACTCTCGAGAGTCGATGACAGGCACGACCGAAGAGGCCAACAAAACGAAAAGTATGAAGACCGGGGAATATCGCCGTTTTATAGCTGGCCGTATCGACACTATGCAGAAGCGAGGAAGAGGCAGAGGCACGATCCTGCCCTGACCAGCCGGCGATTTCCTCGCATTCCCTCCATTCCCTCCTTCCCCTCCATTTCTCTGGCGGGATACGGTAGTGTTGATTCTTGAAGACGGACGGAAGCTTCATATTTCCCGTGGACAGTGTCGAGCGGGGAAAAGAACTACATAAGCGGCAGAGGATCGCTCCGTCCCGGCCCTGAAGGCTGATCTCGATCGACGTGTGCTTTCAGGCAGGTCGGGCAAGTCAGGTGGAAGGAATGGCTTGCATTCCTCCGCACCGTTGTTTGTCGGGCAGGTAGACTTTCTCCCCCCCCCCCACTCCGGGCACTGTTCACTACATTTGTCACGCTGGATTATAATAGGTAGCCTTTGCGAGAACAAAGAATATCAAATTTTCTTGTGTAGGTATGTGCCAGATGACCATGCTGACCTTGCGGAGTATCCGGTCGACATCCACGCCGATCCGACACGCGAGTGACATCAGTGGAACCCTGAAGCGTCACTCGCGGCAGTCTTCTGCTGGATGGGGTAAGCTGGTGTTTCAACTGGAGGTGAACCAGCGGATTGCGGGAATATTTATGGGGGGAACCAAGGACTATCCATGATATGATATGATATGACGACGGCCCATCGGTTCCGCATCTTCGCATTCCCTCTAGATCTCCCACATTCCCGTCGGTATGTATGTGCCTTGCATACCTACTATACATACATTAAACACGCAGACGCGGAAAAGGCGTCGGCAAGGCGGTACGGTATGCAAGGGCCTAGCTTTTCCGTCATCTCGACTCGCAATCCGCCCGTCTGCATTCCTTCCATTCTGTTGACTTGGGGTTGGGGCTTGGGGGGAGAGAGATGCGGTGGGAATCGGGTATATCCTTTATAAAGGTATCGTCCTTTTGTCAGAAGTTGATGTCTGGGTGCCATCCAGCCAGCCCTCCAACGGTATTTATTCCCACCAGGTCGGTCGATCCAGCCACTTTACGCTCTTTCAACAATATATCCACCGGACCTCGATAATTGCCTACGTACCAGATCCCACCACTCTAATACCATGCGTCCTTCCCTCCTGACCATCTTCAGCACCGCAGTCCTCACGCTCGCGGCGGCGTCTCCCGCACCCTCTGGCGGCAAAGGTATATTCTCGCCGACCGTCTTCTCACCGACGAAAGCAGGAGCACTCCTTGCCAGCCTTCGAACGGCCGACAGCGGCTCCGACGACGACGACAACGACGACGACGCCTCGAAGGGGCGACTAAACCTCAGCCACCAGCCGGACAAATACCCGCACGGCATGTACGACTGCGAGACGTCGTGGGCGTCGCCGACGCTCAGCGAGATCAAGGGCGCCGTAAAGAAAATCCGGCAGTTCTGGACGTGCGAGCAGAGTAATCCCGGCGGGTCGAAGTGTGAGCTCCTCTCTACGTTTAATGGCGGATCGATCGCTATCTGTGGGAAGCTGGGTCGCGCGATTAGTTGTTGGGATGTGGCTAGGGCCATAGAACAGTTGATGAAGTTTTGTAAGGATGAGGAGATGGGAAGAGCGGGCGGCACTTGGTATTTCGATGATAGGTTGAAGACGATTTTGTATTAGGCAGGGCAGGCCTGGCTGTATGAGGACTGGGACTGGAACTGTGGTGGCCGCTTGCTACGGGTGTGCTAGATGTACTGTACTATTGCTGGATGTTCTGTTCCTTCTTCTGTTCTCTCTGTACCTCACCTTCCGCTCTACTTCCACTTCTATTCTTCCCTTTCACCTCTTCCCTTCTCCACCAGGCCCTTCTTCCACTCCGTCCTCTTCTTCCACCCACTTTTCACTTTCCACCATCCACCATCCACCACCCACTTCCCTCTTTACCCTCTTGAGTCTTCACTTCTTTTCCCTTACCTTCTTTAATTTACTTTACTTTATTTACTGCCACGACCGTTTGTTTGTTTGTATTGGTATCACCAGTCTACTGGCTGGACTGAATATAAATGGCCCTGTTCCTCAGCACCCTCCGACGCTTGCGAGCACTTCTACCAGGAAGGATCGAATCCAGACGTATGTATCGAGAGGTAGGCAGTCCCAGATCTGCAGAAGCTGCTTGGGGGCGTGTTTGCCTTTCCGCCATCAGTGCTGGGAATCTCGGATGGTCCGGAATCCGGATACTTGCTCATCATTCGATATTTGAAACGAAGCATGGAAGTGGCGGTGATCCACCATTGCATTGCATTAGCTGGACTGGGCTCGATGCAGTTCCCACGAGAACACATCATTCACACCAGCACGCTGGAAACAACAGGTGAAACTTGACTCTTGAGGCTAGTTAGGGCGTGCATTCGTGCGCATACTAGGTACTACGGTACTCTACTTACCTACATAGTTGATGGAAGCTCGGTACCGGTGGGTGTACCTAGACTGTACTATGGTGAGAAGATGTTGCGGATATATGTATGAGACTGAATTGTTGAGACGAGTGCCCATGTGGCACGCACCGTGGCTACCTACCGACTTCGAGACTTGAGTAGTACATAGGATCTGCAGTGATAAATTCGCCTTGGAAGTTTGTGGTTACATTCAACAGTCTAAATACCGTGTGGCAGTGGCCATTCACCCACGAAACCGCACGTCACACTCACGGTGATCAGTCCAAGCATTCAATTCAACATTCCCTCCTCGCAATCAACATGAACACCCGGTATCCCCCACGTGATATCGCACTCCGCACACCCCATCCCGCTAGTACGCCTCAACACCATACCACACCGTAGCCGCGCTGATAAAGCCAATGACGCCGAACCCGACAAACGAGACGACAGTGGGCAGGATCGGGACGGCGAACGCAACAATAAACGTTCCGATCCAGTTGACGACCAGACCCGCGCTCTGCGCGCCATCCACAGCCCTGTAGCTAACAGTCTTACTGGCGACCATCCACGGGAGCGGGCCGAGTCCGATCGAGAAGCTCGAGACGAACATGAAGCAGGCGATGGCGCTAAGCATTGCGACGCCATACGCGATGCCGGCGGCGAGGAGCCACGAGAACGTCGCCATTCCCAGCATAGAGGCGATCAGCAGGAATTTGTGCGAGACCTTGTCGAAGAACATGGATGCGACAGAGGTGATGACAAGGTTGGCGGCTGAGATCACGACGTTGATGTAGCCGGCGGCGTCGGGAAGGAGCGTCTTCAGGACCGATACGCCGTGGAAGATGACGGCGTTGATACCCAGCAGCTGTTGCGCGAACATGAGACCGCACACGATGAGTGCACCTTTGCGGTGCTCTTTCCTCGTGACGAATTCCCAAGTTGTCACCTTGGAGGTGTTCTCGGCCACGGCGCCAGTCAGAGGTTCCTCCTCTGTTTCCCTGTCAGCCGTCTGATACGCGAATTAAGAGCTGCAAGGGAAGTCATGCCGCGGATTTCATCCTCAATCATCCCCGAGTTCGCCGAGCCCCGAAGCCTGGCAAGACTGTTTCTCGCCGCATTACGGTTTCCGATCGAGACCAGGTACTTTGGCGATTCCGGGACTCCAAGGAGAAGAACTCCCTGAAGAATTCCAATCCCAGCCCCAACAACGAGGATCAAACGCCAGTACTGAGGCTTGCTCAGGAACAGTCCCAGAATCTGCGTCGTGAGGATACCGATGTTGATCGAGATTTGAGTGAACGCCCCACTGAGGGATATTAGTCTTTTTCTTACTCCAACTCAAGGGCTCTGGCGTCCTTACAATTTACCCTTCGCATCGGGCGGCGCAATCTCGTTGACATAAAGCGGCACGACAACCGCAGCAGCTCCACTGCTGAGTCCACTAATGAACCGCCCCAGCGCCAACACGGGCACGTTGGGGGCCAGAGCCTTCATCATACCGGCAACGATGAATCCAATCGAGTTGAGAACCAGTGTCGCCCGGCGACCATAGCGGTTTCCCATCGGCTGAGACGCGAGGGCTCCAAATAGACCGCCCACAGCGAAAATCGACGTGACGAGGCCTGCAAAACAATCAGCTATCGTCCGAACTCGCTAGGTTTGTGATTCAATGCGTACCAAACTCCCAGGACGCCATGGGAATGCATGGTGGGAGGCCGTCGACAGGTGTCGCCGTGTTGATGGATGGGCAGCTCATTGCGTCGCGGGGCTCGTTTAGCTCGGCCTGCACACACACGCTCAGTCAGACAGGCCCGCCGGTAAGTTTGACGCTGGAAGAGCTGCGTACCATGTTGTAGCCGAACTGGAACGTCCCCAAAGAGATGATCGCGACCGTGTATAGGAGATACGGTTCGATAGCCATGGTCGCGACGTTATCTCTGCCTTCACGGGAAGCTCGAGAGGTAGGATAAGGTGGAGATAGTTAGCTAGGAAGAGCTGGCTGTAGCTACGAGCTGATTCGGATCCACGAAAGCTTGAGGGAACGGGTGTATTATTTGAGGATAATCTGTGGTTGAGGATCAGTTCAACGAGAGCATGTTGTTATGAAAGAGGGTGTTTCAGAGGTTGATCGTCATCCGTCCGGCGTCGTCATGTTACTCCAGAGTCCACGCAACGGACCCTTGTGCAACGGGTGTCACCCAGGAGCTCAGCCGCCCGAGGTCGGATCCGATAAGGCGGCGGAAGCCATACATAGCGGGCGGAGGACAGGGCCGGAAATCCCACCCGATCAACAAGGCCATTTCTCGTCCGCCGCGGCCATTCTGCACGCCAACTCCACGCTTTACGTGAAGAGACAGCGAGCCAGCTCGCTGCGGGACTTTTACCGGTGCACGCTCGCTGAGCGCGGCAAAGGTAGGTACTCTACTACTATATAGGTACGATACCTAGAGTGTAGTAGAGTGGGTTCCCGGGAACACTGTCTATGGCAAAGTAAGCAAGATGCACATACTTACCGTAGATATATTTACAAAATCCTGAGGACTCGGCACAGGGTACTAAAGCAGCGGATCCACTGCACGTGAGATGTGGCCTCGTACTACTGAAGAGTTGAGCCGAAGATACCGTATCATCGCCAGCTGCGGACTGGAGTCACTGGCGAACTGTCATAACTGAGTATCGGTATCAAAGAGATCGCCTCTCCCCCCGCATCTCCGTCATGCTCATGGCACTTGACAACTCGTCACGCTCATGGCACTTGAAATCCCCCATCGAATGATGCCGCGTGTATGTCGTCTGTGGAGCCATGCAAGCGGGCCGGCCGGCAGTTCCTCTCCAGGCGGACCTTCAAACTGCACCTCCACCAACAACAACAACACCACCACCACCATTACCACCACCACCACCACCACCACCACTAACTCCCACCACCAGCCAGCCAGCTCGGTCGCCTTGCGAACAATCTCCAAGACCGCCCCCTTTCCCGTCACCGCCACCTGCAGCCAAGTTGCTTTCAAAGCAAGATTCAAAAACCCTCCGCAGAAAAAAAGCACTCCATAGCACTCCATAGCACCCATAGCTCTCCATACGATCCGCTCCCCTTTCCCCTTTCCCCGCCTTCCTCGGCGCTTCCCCCCGAAAAACTAACTGCGGCCAGCCGGTATTCATCCGGACCCCATCCCCCACCCCCATCTGACCCCAGCGCTACCCGATAGCTCGGCGGAGAGGCGTCTTATCCGGCCGCTAATCGGCCATGCAAGGCGAAAAAAAGCGGAGAAGCAGGAATCGAGACAAAGCCCGGCCCACTCTAACTACTAGCCCACCATGCAAGCTCCTGCTGACCTGCACCAATCCGTCGGGAACTTGGACGAGAACACCACTCGCCAACCTGATCCTCCAAAAACACCACTGCCACCGCCATCGCACACTCCGCTTCCTTCTTCATACGCGACCCTCAATCCCCCTGCGACCGCCACCGCGACCACCGTCCAGCCGTCCTTAAAGCGCCGGCGCGGCGACGATTCTGTTGGCGCTGCAGCGACCGCCGAAGACACCCCCGGAGACCGCGAAAAAATGCCATTGCCACCGTACAGAAGCAAGGTCCGTGTGCTCGAGAAGTACCACATCATCGGCTTCATCTCGTCGGGAACCTATGGAAGGGTGTACAAAGCCCGCAGCCGCACGCCTGGAAACAAGAAGGAGTTCGCGATTAAGAAGCAAGAGAACACGTCTCCTACTGCAGCTTCCGGATCACTGACGGACGTCTCCCAGGTTCAAACCCGACAAGGAAGGAGAAGTCATACAGTACACCGGAATATCGCAGTCGGCATGTCGAGAGATGGCTGTATGCTTGCCACCCTTCCCCCTTTTTCATACGATCGCGGATTGCGGGTTTTAACAGCGCGTTCAATTCAAGCTCTGTTCCGAATTGAGCCACGAGAACATAATCCACCTCCACGAAATCATTCTCGAGGACAAGTGCATCTACATGGTCTTTGAATTTGCCGAACACGATCTGCTCAAGATTATACATTTTCACTCGCAGAATCCCGATCGCCGTCCCATTCCCGAGGCCACTGTCAAGTCGGTGCTATGGCAACTGTTAAACGGCGCTTCCTACCTTCATCAGAACTGGGTTCTACATCGGGATCTGAAACCTGCGAACATCATGGTTACATCTGCCGGCGAGGTGAAGATTGGCGATCTCGGCCTCGCTCGTCTGTTCTACAAGCCGCTGCAGTCACTCTACACAGGTGACAAGGTGGTCGTGACAATATGGTATCGCGCCCCAGAGCTCTTGCTGGGAAGTAAACACTACACCACCGCGATTGACATGTGGGCGATCGGGTGCATCTTCGCCGAGCTGCTCTCGCTGCGACCAATCTTCAAGGGCGAGGAAGCGAAGATGGAGAAGAAGAGCACGGTTCCGTTTCAGCGCAATCAGATGCAGAAGATCATTGAGATATTGGGAACGCCGACGAAGGAGCGTTGGCCGGACGTGGCTCAAAATCCAGAATACCACCAGCTCACTTCTTTCAAGCAGTATGATAATAACCTCAAGGCGTGGTATCAGTCCATCAACCAGACGAATCAGCAGGGCTTCAATCTCCTATCCGGTCTTTTGCACTATGATCCGACGCAGCGCCTTTCCGCACAGCAAGCACTGGAACACCCGTACTTCCAGGAAGGCGCGAAGTTGTCGTTGAAGTGAGTATTCGCTTTTGAGTTCACTCCCCGAAATTTGCATGAAGGACGTGGTGGAAGGATCTGACAACCAAGCAGCGCATTTGAGGGTCAAACCTTCGAGTACCCGAACCGCCGCGTCACCCAGGAAGATAATGACATATCGTTGCCCGGAACGAAGAGGAGTGGGTTACTGGATGATTCGATTGCTGGGAATAGGGCGAAGAGGCTGAAGGAGGGTTAGATTTTAGTGCTTTTCGGAAATTGGGGGCGTGAAGGCGTTCAGCTACATACCGATTTTAATCTCGTCCTTTCTCGCCGGTTGCGGGGTCCGTCTGGGGACCCTGCGGACCGGATACCTGGTGGAGGAGGCATTGAGGGGGCATATCTCTATTGTGAGAGATCCTATTGGGTTCTGTCTGATTGTTGTGGGGATTTGATACTATGTTCTGGGAGTTCTGGCGCACTTTTTCTTCTTTCGGTGCGGTGATGGTTGCGAAACTTTATCAGGAGATGATGGTATCTCTTGTTCAGTTGATTTTTGCGGTATTTAATTGTCATTTGTCTGCGCACCTTCATGGCTTCTAGTTATGCTATTGAAAGCATCCGAACATACGTTCTGCGTTGGTGTCGATCACCACGAATAAGAGCTCTCAATGTCGAGAGGTTTCCTCCCCGGCTCGGATACTCCTAATTGGGAGGTTGCTGTAAATGGCTAAATCGAGTGCTCGCGTATGTACTGGAGCCTCCTGTCGTAAGCAGCCGCGCCGTCCACATAGCACGAGGTAGCCCAACTTTACCACCACGAACCCTCACTTCTTCGAATCATCAACACTACATCATTCAATCTCTCAATATGGCTGACCTTCCTATAGGTTCGTCCTGTTGCTCTCGAAGCTTCTGACTTTGCTAACGTATATGTTGTAGTTCTCGACGGAGGAACCGGTTTGTACGGCGCTCCCCACACCATCATCCCCGCTTGAGCTCCGGCAGCTCCATTCCATTGAGCTCATCACTGACAACAACCTGAATCACACAGCCTCAAAGTTGGATATGCTGGACAGAACTTCCCCGAACACCAATACCCTTCCATCGTCGGACGTCCGATACTGCGTGCGGAGGAGAGATCAGGGGATGTGGTGGGTTGCTCGAGTCCAAGCTGCTGTTGAGAGGCATGCTGATAGTGTGGCCTTGTCGACATAGGTCATCAAAGACATTATGGTTGGAGATGAAGCTTCCGCTCTCCGCTCGATGCTGCAAATCACCTACCCCGTCAGTCCTTCCGTCCCACACGCAGCAGGAGCGACCGACTGACGATATCCTCGCCCCAGATGGACAACGGCATCATCAAGCGCTGGGACGACATGCAGCACGTTTGGGACTACACCTTCTCGGAGAAGCTCCAGATCGATCCCACCGGGCGCAAGATCCTGCTCACGGAACCGCCGATGAACCCGCTGTCCAACCGGGAGAAGATGTGCGAGGTCATGTTTGAACGCTACAACTTTGGCGGTGTCTACGTTGCCATCCAGGCAGTTCTCGCACTCTACGCCCAGGGGTTGTCTTCGGGTGTCGTTGTCGATTCGGGAGACGGAGTCACGCATATCGTTCCTGTCTATGAGAGCGTGGTGCTGAACCATCTTACTCGCCGCCTCAACGTTGCGGGACGCGATGTCACTCGTCAGCTGATTGCACTTCTCCTGCGGCGCGGATATGCCCTCAACCGTACGGCAGACTTCGAGACCGCTCGTGCGATCAAGGAGAAGCTGTGCTACGTCTCCTACGACCTGGAGCTCGACCACAAGCTTTCGGAGGAGACGACTGTCCTGGTGGAGAGTTATACCCTTCCCGATGGCCGCACCATCCGTGTTGGAAGCGAGCGTTTCGAAGCACCAGAGTGCATGTTCCAGCCGCACTTGGTCGACGTCGAGCAGTCTGGTATCGCCGAGATGTTGTTCGAGACCATCCAGTCCGCCGACGTCGACATCAGGACCAGTCTTTATAGAGCTGTCGTGTTGTCCGGCGGAAGCAGCATGTATCCCGGCCTGCCGAGCAGACTCGAGAAGGAGCTCAAGCAGCTCTGGCTGACGCGTGTCCTGCACGGGGATCCTACCCGGTTGAACGTGGGTTTCCGTGCTCTGTGGGGATGCGGTTGACACGGAGATGCTGATATGGTGAAAACAGAAATTCAAGGTCAGGATCGAGGATCCCCCCAGACGGCGCCACATGGTCTTCCTGGGAGGTGCCGTGCTGGCCAACATCATGGCCGACAAGGAGGACATGTGGATCTCCAAAGCAGAGTGGGACGAGCAGGGCACGCGGGCTCTGACAAAGCTGGGACCGCGATAGAGGGTATCCCGAGAGGAGTGGATAGCGCGCTTCCTTTGTATATCTTGCGTACTAGCATTGCGTGTGTTGTTGTTGTTTGGGTTCTTTGGGGGTCGAAAAGAGAGGTAGTGATATCATTATTCACGTTCAACTGGTATAGGCACTTGACCAGCTCACTTCTTCGTGGGGGTTGGGGAAGTGGTCGCATTTTTGTTTCCCACCGCGTTTGTTTCATCCGCTATCTATCTGACGAACTGCCGTGCACATACGCCATGTGCGGGCCCTTTTGCGTCGTCACGCAGAATTCTTCATATCTACGCCCGCACCCGTGATGCCAGTGGCAAGGCATACCTAGATTATCCTCATCCTTGAAAGCGACATGCATGAATGACCCTTTCGTTTCCCCGCAGGCACTCTATCTACCCACTCTACTTGTGGAATCTGTGAGGAGAAGGGAAAAAAAGAAAATGTGTAGATTTTTGATGAACTTTTGCAGAAATCGTATCTCCGTTTCCCACCAGATGGCAGAGCGCAGAGGATCTTGGAGCGGATCTCGGGGCTGATTCAGGGGAGCCTACGTACCACGCACCTAAGCGATCTAGAAAGAGGTGACCTTAGATCAGCGAGGCGGGCTAAGCCACAATGGGACCTCATCCCTCGGCGAGCATCTCGAAAGCAGAGCTTCCCCACGAATGAACACCACCAACGTGCCATACTTCCGAACGCCGCCGCACACCTTGAGTTAAAGCCTGCCTGCCGCCTTCAACCTTACCTTACCTTAGGTACCGCATGGATGCTCGCGCAGTCATCCCATCTCCTTGCCACCACCAGCGACGACGACGACCACACCTTCGAGAGACTCCCTCACACACACACATATCCACCCGGCCAGAGCTACCTCCGCACCACCGCCGCCGACGACGACGACGACTACAAAGCCGAAATGCCTCTCAGCGACTCCGCGCGCCCGCTGGCGATTGCTCGGCCGTCGGATGGGCACTCAGCAGAGCCGCTGCTGGAGGAGCGCGGGCGAGGCGGGAGCTACGAGGGCTACGATGTGGAGCGGGCGAGGCGGCGGCACGAGATGCGCAGTAGGAGCCCGGCGGCGGCGAAGGAGCTCGCCACCAGGAAGAAGTATTTGCTGGCCGCTGTGTTCCTCGTGCTGTCGCTCGTGAGCTTCGTGGTCCAGACGGAGGCTACCGCGTATATTCAGAGTCATTTGGGATGGAGGAAACCGTATTTGATGCTGTGAGTACTGTACTGTTGAGCTAGGGGAGGGTGGAGGGAGGAGGGCTGATCTCGGGACAGGTACTTCACGCACTGCTCGTTGTCGGTGCTGTGGCCGTTCCAAGTGCTGATTTTGAAAGCTCGCAAGCCACATATACCATGGGCGCCGTTTCTCAAAGCGCATTTCCACAGCGTGCGTACAACAGCGCAAATGATCATGGCGGGAACACCGCACCTATCACCGTCGCAAGCCAAGCGTGATCCGACGGTGTTCATGCTCCGGCGCGTCGTCTTCATCACCGCGGCGCTCACGGTCGGCGGCTCCACCTGGTACGTCGCAGTGAATATGACGACGCCGAGCGATCTCACGGCGATCTACAACTGCTCGGCGTTCTTCGCGTACGTGTTCAGCATATTCATGCTGAAGGAGCGGATGCGCGTCGACAAGATCTCGTCGGTGGTGGTGGCGTGCGTGGGCGTGCTCATTGTGGCGTATGGAGACAGCGGCACCGCTGAGAAGGGACAGGAGGAGGCCGCGGCGAACAGGACCCTCGGCAATCTGATCATAGGCGTCGGGAGCGTCATGTATGGGTTCTACGAAGTGCTGTACAAGAAGGTGGCGTGTCCGCCCGAGGGCGTGAGCTCCTCGCGCACCATCGTCTTTGCAAACGCCGTGGGAACCGGGCTGGGCCTCACGACACTGGTATGATTCCCATCCTCCTGTGATTATTAGGCTGATGATGAACGACCAGGTTGTCCTCTGGATCCCGATCCCGTTCTTCCACGTTATGGGCTGGGAGACGTTCGAGCTGCCGCACGGCCAAGCGGCTTTGCTAGTGGCCGTCTCGGTCTTTTCGAACGCGGTGTTCTCGGGCTCCTTTCTGGTCCTCATCTCGCTCACCAGCCCCGTCCTGTCCAGCGTCGCAGCGCTGCTCACCATCTTCCTGGTGGCGGTGGTGGACCAAATGTTGCCCTCGGGGAAACCCCTCAGTGGCGCTGCGATCGTTGGCGGATTGACTATCTGCGCCGCGTTCTTTCTGCTCGCGTGGAGTATGTGGAGAGAGATGGCAGAGGATGCAAATGCGGTTGCGAGAGGGAAGGAGGATGATGAGGATTGGAGCGAGAGTGAGACGGAGAGGGATGAGGCTTGAGGTTTGAGCTATCTTTTACACTGTCGGGAAATATATATAGAGGTGGACGGGATGGGACGGAATGCGATGCGTTAGGTTGGGATGGGATGGTGTTGGGATTTGCTACTTATTTATTTATTTTCGTTCTTTCTTTCTCTGTCGATTACATATTTGGTTATGGTGTGGTCTGGTCTGGATTATTGGCTTCTTAGGCCTGGGTCTGAGTTCGAGTTCGGTGAGAGTGTTTTGTTCGTTGAGAGTGTTTTGTTCATTGTAATTCGGGGTGTTCTTTTTTTTCTTCTTGTGTGTTTTGGGAATCTTGGAATTTGGGTCCTGAGTGGTTTAGATGTGGATGTGGGGAAACTCCTGGGTCTATCTAAAGCGGTGGCATACTATGATACTACGGGCCAGCAATGGTTATATGAGCGTTCTGACACATATTTCGTCGTAATGAATAATGGTGGTGGTAGTGGGCGATGGCAAGTCATCGTGTAGCACTCACTGATAGATATCATTTTAGTCGTGATCCGTGAACCCTACTGAGAATTTTGTAGATTAGATGTACACAACTCTACAGCCAGTGGTATATTAAAGGTTCATTCTCCCTCGCTACTCAAGATTCACTTTCAGCCACCAAGGACACAGCTTCTATGCCTATTGTCAATATCCATTCACCGGAACTCGGCTCTGATACTCCACTACCTATACCTACTGCCATTTGGTCCTTGAATTATTTCTGTCATCGGTATAGTGCCTGTGGTCAAGAAAGGCAGTGATCATTTCGCTCTACATCCGGGAAGTTTAATTGTTCTATGTACATGGCAACAGCCGGCCCCACAAAAAAAAACAGCAGTGAAATCCAGACGACTCTCAAACCTGCAACTTCACCACCCGGCTGACTACCTAGAATACACCCGTGCCTCGTATCCCTCACTGCCAAATGAGTACATATCCCTCCCGGTAAGACTACCTACCCAGGTCAGGCAGGCTCCCAGTCAGCAGTGAAAAGCGAATTCATTTCACAAGAACAAGCATCATACCTCCTCCCCCCCCCCTCCCCCCAACGCCGATCCTGTCTACGCCCCGGCACCACCCCCAGCGTAACCCACAGTCTCTCATGTTTTAGCAACCTCCTGGCCGCCTTCTCGCCATGATGGTATCCATGTACGACCTCCAGCGCCAACGACCTCTGGCTCTTCTCCGGCTCGAGTAGCTGTTTATTGAGCAGCTCGAGCACTTGCCGGTGCCATATTTGGTCCTGATAACTGCTGGGTCTCTGATGCGGGGAGCGGAGCTTGGTCTCCAGTCGGGATCGCGCCGCTTTGAGGGCTGCAATACTGAACGGGTCTGAGTCCGCGTCTGGGTCCGGAGGATCTGGATCGTGGCTGGTGATCAACGGCTCACTGGCGAATTCGTCCGTCGGTGGCGGCGAATGTGGTGGCGGCGGTGGACTCGCCGGTGGTAACGCTTCCAGCTCTGCCGCGTTTTCTTTTTCTTTTTCTTCCTAAGCCCGTTCCTGGGCCCGCCGGATCCTCCGTGCCGTCCACCTAGACGTTCCACCCCTCGGACCGATCACTGCCGGCGGTGGTTGACTATCCATACAAGTATCCTGGGACAGGCTATTGTTATTGAACGGGACAGCTGTCTCCTGCAAAGAGCTATCATCGGATGATGGAGGAGCGTGGACGTCGTCTACTGGAAGAGATACAGGAGGAGGTAATCTCTTTCTTTCCCGGTGCTGGACGTGAGATAGAACGTTCACGCGCTGCTGGTGGGATTTGCTTCGGCGGCCCATATTGAATGATATGAGGTAGTTGGTAGTTGGTAGGAGGTAGTTGGGCAGCTGGGTTCCGCGGTTGGGAAGTGAGAGGTTTTGGGAAATTTGGGGATTCCGATATCCGGATGAGTACATGTGAGTGAAGATCAGTGGCCATCTCGTGAGAGTTAGGTGCACTCAAGTAGGTATGATTTCCATACAAGACCCGGTGTTTCTTCTTGTAAAAGGTGAAACATCAACATCGGACTAGGAATCTTAATCTATAGAGAGGTACATACATTGCCCGTGCCTTTTCCACTCCACGGATTTCACATCTGCTGCCGGCTGTAGAATCGAAAAACGTATGGCCTTTCTTGACCACATGCACCATATCCAGTCCATTCAGTCCACTCAGCTGCTGCTCGGACTCTCCCACCTACCTACGTAAAGGGTACGTAGCGCAGAGTGATCACAAAATCCACTTCCTACCTACTCCGAGGCAGCTGACGGAGAGGCAACCCCGCGGAAGCAGAAACAATGACGAAATACCCACGTTGAACACCGGCGGCATACGGCATCACTCGCCACATCTTCGTCTAGCACGGCACACGCCAAAAACCAGAGCCAGTTTGTAGAGTACCTGCTTTCCCTTCTGCCGTATCTGCAGTTCTGCGATCGAGAGGCCATGCGGATCTCCGGGCGGTGTACTCGTGGTGGTTGCCTTGGTCCGGACCGGCCAGTTTCGGTCTGGAGTGGGTTATAGCAAGTGTGGCTGGTGGTACCTATTAGATGAATCTTTGGGTCGATATAGATCTAGATTGGCGACTGGTCACCCGTTTAGTAGTCCTGTTCGGGAGTGTCTCATCGCGTGGTCGTGCCTGAAGGATGAGATGCAACTAGGAGCACCGCTCATGGTATCCCGCATGTTTTACTGGGTCAATCAATGAGATTTGGTTCACAATTCATGGATCATTGATGTCTGGCGGTTATTTAGCTTTTGGTAAAAGTACAAATGAATTCAAGATGAGAGCTCATCCATCCACGATCCGCGACCACATATATGCAGCCATTCTCTCTCGTGCACACATCAATCCTTTTTTACATTATCCTCGCATGGGATATTTCTCTCCAGGCATTACGTCAACGAAGCATTTACCGCAGGCCTAACAGCATGCTAGCACCGTTCTGGCCATCCCTTCCGCCACCGGGAAGATAGACGACGTTAGGGTTTGCGCCCAGCGTCTGCGCGATCTCCCTCGCGGCCTCGATCCTTCGGATCTGGATCAGCCCGTCACCGGCCTTGTCGACAGCCCTAGAGATAGTCTCGGCGGACTCGGCCTCACCCTCAGCGCGGATGACGTTCGCCTGACGCTCCTGCTCGGCGCGCTCGACGATGAACCTGGCACGCTCGGCGTCCTGCTGCGCGATCTGCTTCTGCTCGACGGCACGGGTGAATTCGCGCCCGAACGTCATGTGTGTGATCGAGACGTCCTCCAATGCAATGTTGAATTCCTTGGCGCGCTTGAGGAGTTCGCTGCGGATGCGGTTCGATACTTGCTCACGCTGTGTGATCAGCTCGGCCGCGTCGAATTGCGCGACGATCGCCTTGAGAACTTCATTGCCGATGGAGGGGAGGACACGCTCGTCGTAGTCTTGGCCGAGGTTCTAATGGTGAGGTCAGTGGTGGGGGTGGTGGGGGTGGTGGGGGACGGGAATACCTGGTAGATCTTGGGGAGGGCCTGGACGTCGGGACGGTGGAGGACACGGAGGGTCAAGGAAACCATCTGGAGATCTTTGGAGCCAGTGGTGGTCGAGATGTTCCGGGGTTTCGTGCGGACATCGTAGATGATGGCCTTCTGCAACCATGGGACGAGGAGATGGGTACCCTCGTTGATGACCTGGAGGTTACGGCATGTGAATCAGCATGCAGCCCCTCACAGTAATGATCGCCCGCGGGGAGAATTGCATACAGTCTCTTTCACACCACTCAAACGGTCGAAAATGACGGCCCGGTTGCCTCCCTTGACGTCGTAGAGCGAAGCCTGGAGAAGCGAAAAGCCGATGGCGGCCGGAACGGCCATCTTCGAGATGAAGCCCAGAGTTTTTCCGCTAGCCATGATTGGTGGTGGAGGAGGTGGTTGATGGGGGAGAGGTTTGTCGTGGGGCAAAGCTGTCTGTCTGATGTTCCTAGTGGGCTGCAACCGTGGGGAATGTCGTCGTCGATTCCAAAATGTGCCAAGCCGATTGGATGAGTAAGACGGTGGGTGATCCCGGCTGCCGACGGCGACGAATAGAAGCCCGTTCTTTTCCGCTCACCCTCTGCTCTTAAACTGGTCGAAACCTTGCTCGTCGCAACATCCAAGCATCACCACAACTCTCACTACCTCAACACCTCGATCTTTAGTGATCGTGCGACGGTTCATACCGACAACTCTCACTTCCCGCAACTTCTCTCTCGCAAACCAATCGACACAATGGGCGGTGGCGGCGGCGGTCCCGGAAAAGTTCCCGGCGTGTTGGTCCACCCTTCCCCGCCAAAGGCCACAGGCCAAACATCGCACATCTCAAAGCATCAAGTCGCTGACGGAGGTTCACCATAAACAGTTACATCGGATGGTGGGGTAATTTCGGCTCCCTTCCTCAGAAGGGTGTGACGACATATGTGCTCTCTGGCAACCGTCAGAAGCCCCTCGCCGGCGCTATGCACAACGCCGTCTTCAACTCGTTCAGACGCTTCAAGGGTGCCGTCCTCTACGTTGTGCCGCCGTTCGTGGCCTACTACTACCTGATGGACTGGGCCGAGAAGAGGTTTGTAGCCCCACACAGCCGGAGGTGCGGGAATTATATGCTGATGCGCGCGGGGCCAATAGGAACCACTTCCTGAACAGCAAGGAGGGCCGTGCTCTCTACGCCGACGCGGAGAGCGACGATTAGACTGTTGCTGCTGCTGTCTTGATCTTGAAAGCTTTCGTTTAGAACCGGTTATGCGGGTGCTGCCATTGTTTTTTCGGGCGGGGAATGGAATGATTGCTGGTGCCATTGTACAATACCACATTCATTACATGGGATGCGAATACATAGTATCAAGTCTGCATTTTGTGGCCATCGTGAATGGGTAGATGCCGGTGAGGATCGGGTTTGAGATATGAAGTGGTTCGAGTAGAGGATACTAGTAGAATGGCCTTGTGTGACAGCGGAAGAACAGCCAAACATCCTCATAAACAAGTTTCAGGTGCCGTAGATGCTCGACGCCGAATTGCTGGCTGGCTGGCCGTCACGGAGCCCTCCGTCACTGATGCTCACCCCGGCCGAATCGCCCCCGACCTTTTGTGCCGCGATCTCCCAACACCGTCAACCGAAAAAAAAAGCTAACCCGCCCGCCCGCTTGGCCGCCCCTCCAACGCTCGCACACATCCCACCCCACCCCACGCTACCCGTACTTCCTTCCGCGATCATCGTCACATTCCCTTACAATTGCCTCCACCTCCCCAACCATGGTCCTCATCCACAGGGTGCTGCCCACCAGTTCTCTACGCCACCTCTCCACCGCCACCGGCTGTGCCAAGTCATTCCCGAAATCGTTGCCACCCTTCGTTGTTGCGGCAGCAACCCAAATCCCGCATTCGCTTCCGCTGACTAACGCATCCTTGCCGCTGCTGCATCCCTCCTTCGGCGCATCCGCATCAGCAGCGCACCTGACCACCACCCACAGCAGCAGCAGCCGCAGCAGCATCTTCACTCCTTCCCTCCTCCTCCCCCCCAAACCCACCACCACCACCTTCGCTCTCGTAGCGGACGACGAAATGCTCCCCGCCTTCCGCCGCTTGGGTCTCGCCAGCTTCACCAGCTCCGTCGCTGCCGCCGCCGCCACCCCGCGCACCACCACGCTCCTCGCACGCACCTACAGCAGCAGCTCCCGCAGCCCTGCCGATGGCAGCAGCTCCCGCGCCGTGCCCCCGGCCGTAGCATCGTCCGGCAGCGGCACCACCCCGCGCACCTCAACAAAACGCCTCCTCTCCGGCGGCGGGATTCCCTTCGTTCCGTCGACGGACCACCTCCACCCAGCCGGTAGGCCTTCCCCCCCCTCCCATCCGCACACAAACTAACCCCCCCTGGGGCTGTAGACATCGCGCTCTCCACCTTCTTCGCCGAGCACCGCCCGATCAGCATTGCGCCCACCTCCACGCCTCCGACCGCGATGACGCCTCCGCCGCAGCACATACGCGTAATATCGAAGCACGACCCGTCGTCGCCGTGGGAGTTTGGAATCCCGTTCCAGCCACCTGGCCCCCCCGAAGAGATGCTCGCAATCTCTGTCAAGAGACAGAGAAAGCTCAAGATGAAGAAACACAAATATAAGAAGCTGATGAAAAAGACGAGGAACGCGAGGAGGAGGATCGAAAGGCAGAAGAACTAGACGGGGCGGGTCGGGACTTGGATGGGGATAGGGAGGGGGAGGGGGTGGTGGTGGTGTATATACCGGCAAAGGCGATACGATATGATCGATAGACAGGGCGGGGCGGGGACAGAGGAGGTTGTTTTTGTGATTCAGGGAGAGAGAGGGGGGGGGGGGGGGGTTCGTGATGAAATTCGTTCGCGGATATATTTTCCCCCTGTGGATTTTCTGGTTTCTTGTTTTCTTTCCTTTTGCTTCCATTCATTCTTGTCTTTTTAGGTATTTCGATATGATTTTACCCTTTTTTCATTGTTTTCATCATGAGGTTCCGAAGGTCTACCTGTGTTCGTTTGCTCGATTGCTCGTCCTCGATTTCAAAGCTGTCTGTCTGTTCGCCAGACAGACACCGCATGGAGATACCATACCATACTTCTGCCCTGTATCTACAAACTAGATCGTGGAGTAGTTGTGGGGCGGACAGCTGTTATCATATCACGCTATCGCAGCATGATTCGTGGCATAACTGCGCTGATGCATATAGACATGTAGTGGTTATGCCAGGGCACTCGCGTTATGCAAGATAAGGTGATCCCACTCGTCACCACCTCCCCCTTATCACCAACGTCACCACCTCCCATGGCTGGAGCATCATGAATCACGGGTCGCCTTTTGAATTACCAACAAAGAAAAAAATACACCCTAATAGCCAAACCAGACCAAGTCCCAAACGGAAAAGAAGAAAAAAAGTTCATGAATCAAAAGAAAAATCTGGATATAAAAATCTAGATGATGTGCTCGAAAGCGCGGTTAACAGGGGAGCGCAGAGGCTTAACGTCCTTCCAGAAATTGATGGTGGCCAGAGCACGCTTGGAGATACCCGCGGGGGTGAACTCGAACTTCTCGTATACCTCCTTGTAGGGACCGGACGCACCGAAGCGGTTGAGTCCGAAGGTCCTGAGTTGAATCGTTAGTATGGGATGTTAATATATGGGGGGGATGCTTACTCGTGAGCGTAACGTTCCCATCCGAGGGTGGACAGAGCCTCCACGGAGAGAGTGGGGATGTTGTCAGGGAGAACGGAAAGCTTGTACTCCTTGGACTGGGCATCGAAGACCTCGCAGCAGGGCATGGAAACGACACGAGCGGTGATGTTGTGCTTCTCCTTAAGCTCCGTAGCGGCATCAACGGCGATACCGACCTCGGAACCGGTGGAAACGAGGGTGATGTCGGCACCGGGCTTCTCCTCGAGGACGTATCCTCCCTTGATACCGTTCTCGATGGTGGAACCAACCAGCTGGGGAAGGTTCTGGCGGGAAAGAGCGATGATGGAAGGAGTGTGCTTGGAGGTGAGAGCGACGTAGTAACAGGCGGACACCTCGTTACCGTCGGCAGGACGCCAGACCATGCAGTTAGGGGTGGCACGGAAGTGGGCGAGCGTCTCAATAGGCTGGTGAGTGGGTCCGTCCTCACCGAGACCGATCGAGTCGTGGGTGGCAACCCAGATGACGGGGACCTGGGACAGAGCACTCAATCGGACGGCTCCGGCAGCGTAGGAAACGAAGTTGAGGAAAGTACCACCGAATGGTACGATACCACCGTAGGCAGCGAGACCATTCATGATGGCACCCATGGCGTGCTCACGGACACCGTACCGAATGTAACGACCACCGTATGTGCCGAGACCGGTGCTCTCGGGCTGGAAGTCTTCGGCGATCTTGGCGCGAGTCAAGTTGGAACCGGTAAGATCGGCAGAACCACCGACAAGCTCGGGGAGGACCGAGTAGAGGTTGCCGAGGACGGTCTCGGACAGCTTACGCGAGGCAATCGCCGGGTCGGAGGTCTTGTAGACGGGGAGGGCCTTCTCCCAGCCCTCGGGAAGGAGACCAGCGAGTCTTCGCTCAAGCTCAGCAGCCTCAGTAGGGAACTCCTTCTTGTAGGCGGCGAAGAGCTTGTTCCACTCCTCCTCGGCGGCGGCACCGGCGGCAGCAGTCTTTCCGTAGAGGTCGTACACCTCCTGGGGCACAGCGAAGGACTCCTCGGGGTTGAAGCCGAACTTCGCCTTGACACTCTTGGCATCGTCGGCCTTGAGGGGGTTTCCGTGAACACCACCGGTTCCCTGCAGCTTGGAGCCGTAACCGATGGTGGTAGTGAGCTTGATGACGGTAGGCTTGTCGGTGACGGCCTTGGCCTCAGCGATAGCCTTCTCCATGGCCTCGAGGTCCTCATCACCCTTCTCGACGTGGAGGCAGTGCCAGCCGTAGGCGTCGAATCGCTTCATGACATCCTCAGTGAAGGCGCAGTTGGTGTCACCATCCTAGATGGACTGTCAGTCATGTCCCTTTTTTCCCAACTGTACATGAGCAATACGTACGATGGAGATGTGGTTATCGTCGTAGATGGCGATCAGCTTGCCGAGCTGCAAGTGACCGGCCTGGGAAGCGGCCTCAGAGGCAACACCTTCCATAGCACATCCATCGCCGAAGAAGCAGTAGGTGTAGTTGTCGAACAGCGTGTAACCGGGCTTATTGAAGCGAGCAGCGACGTGCGCCTCGGCCATGGCGAGACCGACAGCGTTGGCGAAACCCTGACCCAGAGGACCAGTGGTTACTTCAACACCGGGAGTGTCGTGCTGCGTATTGTTTAGCGAAAAATATACCACATGCTCTATCATAGGAAACCACATACCGCCTCGGGGTGACCAGGAGTCTTGGATCCGAGTTGCTGTATGCGAGATCAATAAAGTGCATTCAAGAACGATGTTTACCATTGCACTTACGCGGAAGTTCCTCAGGTCATCGATGGAGAGATCGTATCCGAACAAGTGCAAGACAGCATACTGCAGCATGCATCCGTGACCGTTCCTATGGGATCGGCACGTCAGAGCTTTTTCCTCACGTAGCGCGTTGCATTGCATTGCGTTACGCGGCAACGGCTGCCGATAACACCGATAAACCCCGCAGTCGGCGGGGTAAGTGGGGCCAACCGGTGGATGGAATGACTGCAGCAGTCGCCGGCGCAAACCCGCATCCACCCAAGCCGGTCTCCGAAATATCGTTCACCGCAACGCAAGGAGTTTTCGGAGGCAAGAAAACGGACTGGACTACTTACGAGAGGACAAATCTGTCGCGGTTGGCCCAGCTAGGGTTCTTGGGGTTGAACTTCATGAACCTATGGCGATTCACAGCGTGGTCAGCAAGCCCGAACTACAGATTGATACCGCCAGAAGGAGGTAGGAGTGAAATCGGGGTTTCGTACTTGTGGAAGAGAACGTGGGAAATGGGGGCCATTCCCATAGGCGCACCGGGGTGGCCAGAGTTCGCCTTCGATGTAGCATCGACCTGTAGAGATGGACGTCAGCGATGCTGGTTCTCCTTCGAGGATGAAGACTCAATTGCAAGCCGCAGGACAGGACAAAGACTGTGGCTTGCAATGGCGCCATCTAGGAGAATTGAAGGGCAGAACATACGGCGAGCACCCGGATGGAGTTGATGGCGAGCTGGTCCACGTTTCCGTAAGTCATGATGGAATGAATGTCTTCTGCGGAATCGAAGGGGTGATGTTCAAGTGAAAGAGACGGCACAGAGAAGGTGGGGGGTCTTGAAGGCTTTAAGAGGTCGAGGTGCCGTTCGGTCGTCTTGGTAAGGGAACAAGTTAGAGAAGAGTGTCCAGGGCGGGCAAGGAGGAGGGGCTGACGGCTTGCTAGGATGCGGGACTAATAGAAAACCCCCGCCGGGCGAACACCAAAAGCTTACGAAACGGAACGACCACCACCAACAGCAACTCTGCCATCTGCCATGAGGTTCCAGCAATGTTCTTAGGCCCGGATGATGGTATAAGCCCCCTCCCCACCCTCGTTTTCGGGCGTGGCATAAGTACATATCCACTCGCATCGTGCTTCCTCCGCCTGTGTACCTGTGGAGAGCATCCGCATGTCGTATTTTACCGGATTACGGTCTCAGGAGGGAGGGTCGGACTCCTCACGGCCGCACGCACGCAGGTGCTCGCGATACCTGGTCACGATGCTCGCGTTTGACACTCGTCCGTAACGACTACATACACGCTTCAGAGCTGTTTCTCGGGTCAATTGCCCTTGAATGAGCCTCCTCCTCTAGTCGTCGTTGGTTTTGATAGTGTCAGAAAGACTATATGATCGATAGGTGCTCTCATTTAACCAGATGGGCGTGTTCTGGAGTAGATATCAGCCAGCTCTTTTCCTCTCCGGATCTATGTGTAGAGTAGCAAGTAAGTGCTCTATACCGGTATAGTTACCTGGGAATGAAGTGCTAGAGTCCAGGGCTATGGAACTCTGAGGAATCCACTGCGAGCGTTCTGGCGCGGGATGATTTTAGTTGGGCTGCATATCCTTCTTTACCCCTCCCCCTCCCCCCCACCAGTTACGGCTCAGGCTAAAATCGAATTCAACGCTCCGCTTCTCAACACCGACGTCGCCGTTCGTGCTGGGGGAACTGGAACTGATCTCCACGGAGTTTATCCACCCACCAGATACGGGCGTCGATTAATGCGAACTCTACCGCGATGCGAGGGAATAAGGCCGAAGTGGAGACCCCGCTCTCTATCGTCATGTTCGACCTAGGATGGGCCTGTCGTGCGTGGGACGTACAGTCGAAGAACGGCCGAAAGAAGAGATTCTATCTAATCGATCGCATCTGATCGTTTAGCCTCACTGTGGCTTGTAACTGTTACCATGTGACGTTGCATTCATGGTAGATCACTCGCTATTCTTTGCTCGGTAGAGGATGTCAATTGTGACACGGACTCACAAGCAATCGGGATTTGACACCTAAAAATCGTACTATAGGGTAGGCTATGGAATCCGAATGTTTTTTGAAGTCATTAGTTAGTACCTAGTATACCGAACGCCTGAAAGAGGATGTCGATTGAGACCAGGACTCACAAGTAATCGCAGTAAACATTCGGAAGTTGTGCTCTGGGGTAGGCAGGTCTTAGAATTCGAATATTTTTGAAGTCATCTAGTACAGAAGTCATCTAGTACACCGAGTGAACCACGAATTCAAGGACTCGGACGATAATGCCATGGCCGGGGTTCGTGGCAGTCCAAAAAATAAGGTCGGTATTCTGGTCCGAAATCCGTTTTTGAGCTCCCTTCCATTTTACCCATGAGAGAACCGGCCGAAACAACACAGAGGACCAAAACAACACAGTGGGCCAAAACAGCAAGGAAGGCGCACGGATAATCCTCCTGCTTAGTCGTGGTCCCTGCTCGTGGTGCCGTCGAGTAGAGCAACCATGCGAGACACGATCAACTTTCCAATAGCGTATGTCTTGGCGCGACACGCGCTAAGTCCCCGGTCCCGTCACGTCCTCCTTTGCGTGCGTCTGCTTCTCCGCAACCCACCCTCAACGAAACCTACACGCCAAACGAAGCCGCCAGCGATCACCATGCCCGTCCTTCCCGACAGTACAGTCTACAAGGCCACCTATAGTGGCACGCCTGTGTGAGTCTTCCTCTCGCGTTCTGGCATTCAGCCGGCGACTGGTCCCCCGTCGGGTTGTGCGCGACGTGTAAAGGCCAAGCCAGGCTTTTTTTTCGCGCCGTGGTTCCTCATCGCCTACGAGCTCATTCACCACCTACTGGGCTGGTTGGCTGGCTTGAACTTTCGGAATAATTTTACTGACCTTGTTACTCTGCGATGGTAGTTACGAATTGTATGTTCTCGAGAAACCTGCCTTGTGCCGCCCCCCCACCTGTAGCTTGAAGCTTATGTCACTGTCCTGCTAGCATCGCAAATGGTATTGCGTGTATGCGAAGACGTTCCGACTCATGGATAAATGCAACCCAAATCCTGAAGGTCCGTTACCCCTCGGATTATTCCTGGGCTGCTGGAGTAGCATGCTGAAGCTGGATTTCAGGTAGCCGACTTCGATAAGCCTCAGCGAACCCGTATATTGGAACGTGAAGTACAGCGCGGGGTTCACGAAAAGGTTCAAGGTGGTTACGGAAAATACCAAGGTCCGTCCATAAGCTTGTCGAACTTTAGACGCAGAACTCGGAAACTGAGCAGACAATTTTGACAGGAACCTGGGTACCCCTCGACCGTGCCAGAGCAATTGCGGCCCAGTACAATGTGGAGGAGCTTCTCTCGCCGATATTCAACTTCCGACCTTCTACCGAGTCACCGCCATTAGCTCCTAAGCACATCACTGCTGCGTCGACGAAACCGAGGATAGCCAGAGGAGGTGGAGGCCGTGCGGGAAATAAGGGTGCTACCAAGAAGGTGGCGAGTATGTTGAGCCTCTTCAATGATCCATTTGTCCAATGGGCTGATTTTTTTTTACAGAGCCAACACCTCCAATTATTGCTCCACCGCCTCCGCCGCCTCCGCCACCACCCGCTCCCCCATCTGTAGATAGTTACGATGCAGACGATGCGGATGACGATATCGTGAGCGACATTGACCCTTTGGATCACCATGACGCAGCCTCAATCGTGTCGTCGACTGGATCCGAGATATCCGAAATGGATCATCCTTCTCAGCATTCGGCCGGTATGACTCTCAAGAGGAAGCGCGGTCAGATGGAGTTCGACATGATGTCGCAGCAGCGTATATCGTACAGTGACGAGCTATTCGAGTATTTCATGGCCAAAGATGTCGATGTGCCTGCGTTTCTGCTCGCGCCGCCGCCGGACTTCGACGTCAATGAGGTCATCGATAATGAGGGACACACGGCCATCCATTGGGCTGCAGCCATGGGTGACCTGAAAGTCATTGAGCACCTCTGCAAGGCGGATGCGAACATATATGCGCTAAATAAGCGCGGAGAAACACCGCTTATGCGCGCCGTCATGTTTACTAACAACTACGACCGGAGATCCTTCCCTCGACTTGTTGAGACCCTTCGCGAAACCATATTCCTGATCGATAAGTATGGTTCCACCGTTTTCCACCACATTGCTGCCACCACCTCCTCGCGTAACAAGTTACTGGCCGCTCGATACTACAACGAGGTGCTCCTCCAGAAGCTGTCGGAGGCCCACACGATCGACGATATCGCCCACTTCTTGGATATGCAGGACATGAGTGGTGACACAGCACTGACTATCTCCGCGCGAAACGTTGCAAAGAAATGCGTGCGCACACTGCTGGGCTACAATGCATCTCCGGATATTCTCAACCGCGCTGGAGAGACTGCCGATCACCTCATCATCACTGCCGAGGAAATGCGCAAAAATGGGGACTACCTGCGGGCGTCCAGCTCCTCCCCATTCCAGCCTAATGACCACGGCATGCACAATCATCATCATCCATATCTTCTTCAGCAGCCGTCCAGTCAAACCGCAGCAGCTGCTGCAGCAGTTGGTTATGCCCACGCTAGTTACGTTCCGCAACCGCACACTTCCGAGGCCGCCATCGCAGCCACAAAGAAGGTGATCCCATTGATGGCAGAAATGTTGGAGGGCCTCGCCACGGCATTCGACAAGGAGCTTCAAGACAAGGAAGAGGATCACAGCCAAGCACAGCGGCTTCTCGACTCGTCGACTCGGGAAATTGACGCCTGCCGCCAAGTCTCCGAAGGCGTTCTCACCACTTTCGGCGGCGCAGATGCAATGAACTCCCATATCGACCAACTCAAATCAGAGGCCGAATCACTCGCCGCCGAACTCCACTGTACGCTCGAACGAACACAGTTCTATGAGCTCACCGCTGCCGTCCGCCACGAGGAGTCGGCACTTCCCACCCCACCCACCTCCACCACAGAGGACTCAGTCCCAGACGATAAGGAGCTCATGGAGCGTCTCCACCTCGCGCGGGAACTGGCCTCCGCCCAGAACGAACGCGAGGACCTGATGGACACCATCGTCAAGGCCTTTGCGCGCAGCGGTGCAGGCGGCAAGATGGCCGACTACCGCCGGTTGATCGCATTAAGCTGTTCTCTGCTCCCCGACGACGTCGAGAAACTTTTGCCAGAGATCCTGAAAGATTTGGAGGCGGGTGGGGACGGGAGCCAGGGGATGGGCGGGCTGGTTGATGGGCTGGTTTAATCGCGAGTGATTGGGCCAACCATGAGTGTACTTGTAGTTTGCAGGAGGATGTACGATGGAGTTTGTTGGCGTTTGTTTATTGGAACGTCTTTTATCTATTTTATTTTCCTTCTTTTCCTACATCTTTTCACCAATCTTTTCCTACTATTTCCTTCTTCTTCGTGGCACGCTCCAATCAATACAGTATGCAATTCCGTCGTTCCCAATAGCGTAGAATACAAGTTAAACACAAAAAACAACAAAAAAAAAGCAGACACACATCGACATCCATTCGATCACCTCCACTCCACTCGCACTCTCATTTTTGCCAGCCATGAAACCGAATCAAGGAAACACATCTAACATCACATTAGGGGGACATGGCCTAGGTAGAAGAAACAGAGGGAGAAAAGAAAAGGAGCGCAGTTTACTGAGCCCATCTATCCGACGTGAAATAACATTTTGTCTGCGCAACTACTCGTGCACCTCCTCAACCATGGCCTTCCGTGGAATGACGGCTACAGAAGGGGCTGAGATGCCGGGCGCTGCGGGGGGCACGGCTTTGCCTCCTTTGGGCTTCTTGACCTGTGGGATCTCATCAGCATCTGGGAGCTCCTGGGGTACGGGAAGGGGGGAGGGGGGAGAACATACCTTATGCCAGGCCCACATCGGGCGGAAAGAATCGAAGAACCCGACGTCCTCAAACAGATTCGGATACAGCCAGAGGCCAGGCGGGGCAACGACCATGGTGATGACAAAGAGGATGAGCCTGAACATGCTCATGACAAGGAACAGACCGATGAGGCCGAGCATTCCCATGCTGAGGTACCAGACGCCGAGGCGGAGCATCGGCGGCCACAGCGGGAACAGCACCACGCCGAAGAGCCCCAGCACGAGCCCGACGGCGATGAACGTCATGGCCCACGTCCTGGGCTCGTAGAAGAACGCGTAGTACAGGTCGTCGCGGATCTCCTGCTGCGGCTCCACCTTGACCGTCCATTGCCCTTTTACGCGCTTCGGGTTTTTGGGACCTTCTTCTTCGATCTTGGTGACGCGCAGCGCGAGCAGCGAGCGTGGGAGCAGCGAGAACGCTTCCGCCGCTGTCTGCGGAGAGCTGACTTTGGGGAGCTTGGGATTTTTGGCGCAGGCTTTGGCGTACTCGGGGGATTGCAGGGCGCGGATGGCGCGCTTGACTGTGAGCCGCGTTAGCTGGTAGTAACCTAGGGGGAGATGGGGGGAAAGTTACCTTTGAAGAGGTCTTTACGCTGGCCCTGGAGGATGCAGGTGCGGATCTTGAGCTGCGGAGAGCCTTTGAGGAAATCGGCGACTGCTATGGCCTCGGGGGATGGCGTGGGGACGGTGGGGGCTCCTGGAGGTCCGGACATGGCTGCTGTTGCTACCGCTGCGTGCAGGTTCCGTCCTGAGGTATGGTGGTTGGTTAGGGGGAGGGAGGGTGAGGTGAGGTCGTGTTAAAGTTGGGATGCGAAGGTGTGAGATGCCCTGCTTGCTTGCTGCGCTGCTGCTAGGTGTTGGTGCTAAAAAGGACACAGTCGCGAGAGGGTTGTCTTATCTGATCGATCAGCTGGAGACAGAGTGAGCATTTGTGAGTGGTGTCTTTTGGAATGGTTCACGACGATACGCTGAAGACTTCTAATTACTCCAACTCACAACTCGCACTTCAACAAACCATCCCCTCCATCCCTTTCCTTCCCTCCTCTTCTTTTCATCGACCGCATTCCCTTTCGCCCCATCGCCAGGAATCGACACCACCTGCATTGAGCACCGGAACAAGCCGTACCTTGAGTTTCGCCAAGCCCCGAAGCGAACCATGAAGCGAAGCTCAACGTCGCGTCACCTCTCCCCAAAACCAATCATCGCGGCCCCGACCAGCGACTCCGCACGAAGTTCGACGTCTCCCGCCTCGCGTCCAAGCAGAATGGTCAAACTCAAGATCGGAGCAGCCGCCTTACAAGCCTTCCATCTAGCTCAGCAGGAGCAGCAGCAGGAGGTAAATCCAAGATCCCCCGCTGCATCCGCGACGCCATCGCAACAGCAGCAACCACGACCACCGCCTCCCATTGAAACCCCTACGCGTCCTCCGAAATCCTCGAAACAGAAATCCTCGGTGGTGAAATCCTCTAAGAAAGGCCGACCATCCTCCAAGACCACTGCTTCGGAAGCGGGCACCCCGGCGCCGCCGCGCACAAAGAAGGCGAAAACCGCCGCCGAACCTCCCCAAACACCGTCTTATGCCGCGCCGCCGCAATCCACCCCGTTGCCAAGTGTTATACCGAAGATCAAGATCAAGGGATACACTCCTGCGGTAGCGACACTGCCGCCTCCGCCCCCACCGCCGCCGTCCGCCGTCGCTCGTCCACCAAAGCCGAAATTGAAACTCACCTCGTCATCCGTTGCAGCCGCGCAAGCCGCCGCCGGGGCGCCGTTTCCCAATGTTCCCTTCGCCAATGGCCCCGCGCGCACCCCCACCATCAAACTGAAGCACACACCGAAACCCACCACGTCCCGCAAGCGCCGTCACGACCCCGGCAACGGCTACGACTCTGAGGCCTCCGACCGCGAGGAAGACCCGGCCATCGAAGAGAATTTTATCCTCCGCATGCAACCAGGCCCGGACTGCGACTATCTTCGCGAGGTCATTGAGCGTAAGGAGCTCAACGTCACTTCGGATGTGTGGATGAAGTTTAAGGAGCCACGGAAGGCGGTGGTGTGCGTACGTGGCCACCTGTATGCCGCCGCGCTGGTCGACCTCCCGTGCGTCATCGAGGCGAACAAAACCCTCGACAAGAAGAACATTTTCAAGGTTGCCGACATCTGCCAGATGCTGCTGGTCACCCAGCGGCTCACGCACGAAGAGGAGATCTGGAGTGTCAAGCTCAACCACGGCGAGCAGCAGTACCCGCACGGCCTCACCCCGCCAATGCAGTACGCGCGGAAACGACGGTTCAGGAAGCGGATCAGCAACCGCACGATCGAGGCGGTCGAGGCCGAAGTGGACCGACTCCTTAAGGACGACGAGGTCGCTGAAAACTCCAAGTTCCACCTCGTTGACGCGGCGGAGCTGGATCGCGAGGGTTCTCCGGAGTCAGAGGCCGGCGATGACTACGCATTGCTAGGAGAAGAGGAGTATGACGACGAGCAGGACGCAGAGGGCGAGGCCGACGTCGAATATCTCTACGCGCCGCAGGATGGCGACGACGTCGAGATGGACGAGCAGTCCCTCGTCAACGACCTGGAGTCTGCGCTGTTCGATGCGGGCGATGACGATGCGGCCGCCGGCAACGAGAGCGAAACCAGCGATGAGGACGAGGAGGAGGAGGTGGTCCCGCCGGAGCCCGAGCTCTCGGACGAGGCAAAGGAGGCGCTGCAGCAGAGGGAGAAGCTCAAGGAGGAGATCCAGGACCTTGAGGAAATGATCGCGAGCAAGGCTACGGAGTACGAGAAGATGGGCAACGCCATGCTCAAGGCGCGCGTCGGAAAGGTCATTCTCGGATTCCAGAACCAGTTGGATATCAAGAGGGAGATGCTGGCGCAGTTGAACGCGTGAAATAGATTCATTGGTTAGTGGGGATCAATCACAATTGAGAATGGAGAACGCGTTCGAGATTTTTCATTAGTGACTTGATTTTAATTGTTTGCTTGCTTGTTTGTTTGTACAGTATAGGTCGCTGTTTTTGTGTTTTTTTATGTGGGCTGCAGGTGTTCATGGGCGTCTGTTTCTCTGTTTGCTTTGATTTTATTTGCTTGATTTTGGGGTGTTTGCGTTGTTTTTCTTTCCTTCTTTATGGTTTATTTCATTTTTGGAAGTGGGAGGGATATCAATGGGGGGGGGGGGGGTATGTAGGGGGATCCTGTTTCAGCGATGCCCTCTTCATAGATTGTCAAACTTAGCTGGCGGGGGATAAACCGTCGATCGTCACTCAATGTTTCGCAATCAAGGCGATGCGATCAACCACATGGTGTTACTCGTTTGCTAAGCCTTCCATTGAGGCTTGTGACTCCCACCGAAATAGAGTATAGCGGTAGGGACGGCCGAGGGTGCTGGTCTTCCCATCGATACATAGCACCTCCGGATTCGGGAAGCTCGGGGGGTATCTACAGGCGTGCCGTATGTGCATGGCGGGCGAGACGGGAAGATCGGACGAATCTGCGGGACTACTCTGAAGTCAAGAAACAGCCAGTATGCCGCACAGGCCGGTACTATTCCGCAGGGAGACAGGAAGAAGGATCTAGGTATGCCGGAGTTGGCTGTTGGTCTTCAAGAAGAATTGTGTTTTTATTTCATCGTTAATTACATGCAACCTATCTGCTTATAACTACATAGACTATGGTAATGCCCGCAAGGCTATATCCCGAGCTGGGCTGGTATCTGAGGAGAAGTTAGAATACTGGTGGCGTGAAGTTTGGAGGGTGAGTGATTGGGTGTGAACATCTGGCCAAGTGGGTACCTACACCGCCACAAGTTAGATCATCACAAACTCGTTTTATGCATGATAATTCGGACAGTCCCAAGAGTTTTCCGACTGGAAGTAACCACAAAGCAAATGCTGACCACCCAACACAAGTATCGTATATCCCCAGCTGATACATGAGCACCTAAGACGAGCAACTACACTGAGTAGACCTGCTATCATCCGGCACTTCACCACACCACCTCTGGGCGTCGTCCACCCCCTCCCAGGTATCATCAAACGGCCTCATTACCAGCTTCATCACATCCTTCAGCACCTGCCGATCACCCTTTTTCTCAACCCTCTGAATGATTTCATCCAGCACCCAGTTCTTTGGGACGAACTTGGGGTTGAGCTTCTTCTGGGCGGGAATGCGGTCAGAGTCTTCTACTCCCTCCTCTGCAAGCCGTGCAGCGTAGCTGCGCAGAAACTCAAGTATCGCCTGGTCGGCTCCATCTTGGTCAGCGATCGAGTTGTAGTGGAATGACTTGGCGAGTTGGCTATTATCCTCCTCGCTGGCCGAATCGATTCCGCGCACCGGCACCTCCGCAAGTCTTCGGAAGACGTGGTGGAAGTCCAGCTCAAACTTTTGCATCAGGTCCAGACACGGAGAGAACATGGTGTCCATGTCCGTTTCCTTACAAGTCTTGAAGCCCATTCGCTGCGCCATCAGGGTTTTGTACTCGGTGAGGAACACAGTCTTGTACTCGTTTCCAATATCCTCGAGGATTGCCTCTGCGCGGCTGACGAGCTCGTCGACAGCGGCCTCTTTAACGCCCTCGGCGATGAATACTGGATCGTCGATGTCCGGCACAGCGAGTAGCTCCGCGAGATCTTCACCCAGTCGTGTCAGGTTCCACCAGATTATCGTGGGTTGGTTCCTGAAGCTGTAGCGGAGCATGTGATCGTCGTGGTTGGGCGTGTAGCTGGGATCGAAAGCATCCATGAAAGCGAACGGGCCGAAGTCCAGCGACAGGCCGAGGACAGATGTGTTGTCGGTATTCAACACGCCATTCATGAAGCCATAGACCTGCCACATCGCCACGGTCTTTGCGTTCCTCCTCACGATCTCGCGGTACATGTTTTCGTATCGATTCCGGCCCTGCTCATCCACGCCCTCCTGCTTTGGCATCCGCAACACCTCGTCGCGCACATAATCCGACAGTACCCTCAACCGCACCCTATCCCCTCGGAACCGGAAAAGGTCAAACGTGCCGATCCTGATCCAGCTCTGCGCCATCCTCGTGACAATCGCGCACGGCTCCATGCGTTCCCTCGCCACCTGCTCACCAGGCAGAAGTGTCAACGCCAGTGCCCGTGTCGACGGAATCCCGATCGAGTTCAAGTACTCGCTCACAACAAACTCCCTGATCGAGCTCCGGAGCACCGCTCTTCCATCCGCGAAGCGCGAGTACGGGGTTTGTCCCGCGCCCTTGAGCTGCACTTCGTATCTTTCACCCGTCTCGGGATTCGTCCCCTCGAACAGCGAAATCGCGCGCCCGTCGCCCAGCTGTCCCGCCCACTGGCCGAATTGCCATCCGCCGTAGCATTGCGCCCAGGGGTATATGCCGTTCTCGTCCGCGCCATCTTCGTATGTGCCGTTGCCGGCGACGAGATGTACAAATTCGGGGTTTTCGGCTTCCGAAAGGGAGAGGCCGAGGGATTGGAAGGCGGCGGGAGAAACGGCGAGAAGCTCGGGGGTCTTGGTGCACGAGGTTGGCCGGACGTAGGTGTATAGTGCTTCCCTGACCAGGCGAGGTCCGAGCTTGCTTGCGGGTGCGGCGGCGGAGGCGGCGGGCGTCGGGAAGGCCGCGTCGGGTGGGAGGCGTGATGTGAAGGCTGCGGACTTCGGGAGATCTTTGAGTGATACGCCGGGAGACATTGCGAGTGTTCTGTGGAGACGCGTGAGGGTCTTCGATAGTCTGCGGAGTGTGGGGTTGCTGATTAACGACAGTAGCATTACGGAAGAGGAGGAGAAGGAGGAGGGCGAGAAGATGGGAGATTACAGATTCATATAGTCTATGAACACCTCTCTTCACTCCTTTGGTTTCGGTCTACGGCTTTGATGTTTCGTGATGGTGTCGTCAACCCCTCCCCCGAGCCTGGAAGTTGACGCTTAATAATTCTCGTTGACGTCAACCAGCCGTCGTTAAGAGCTGCAGGTGCGCGACTCGCCGCCCCGCCATGCAACCAACAGATGTCCCCACCACCGCCACCGCCCACACCACCCCCGCCAAAAGCCCTCCCGCCCGCCAAATACCCTCCCCTCCAGCCCAGCTACATCCTCCGTGGCCACGCGCAGCCAATCCACTCCCTCACCTTCCTCTGCAACAACACTCACCTTCTCAGCGCCGATGCCGCCGGAATTTGCATCCTCTGGACACTGTCCACGCGCCGGCCGCTCGCGGTCTGGGCCAGCCACACCGCATCGATCCTCTCCGTCGCGGAGTGGACTCCCGTGTCTCCTAGCGGCTCCACGGACCAGCGAATCATCACACATGGCCGCGACCATAAACTGCGCGTATGGAAGTTTCCCCGGCCATCCGACGATGTAGCCAGCGCCCTCCCCATTGACAACGGCGGCTCCATCACCGGTCGCGCACCATGGTTAGTCTCGGCCCTCTCGGTGAACGCCCTCAATTTCTGCGGTTTCGCCCACTGCCCCGTCCGCGATGAAGACCCCGACACAGAAGGCTACACTCCAACCCTGATAGCCGTTCCCAGTCCCCTCGAGAGCGCGGCGGTGGATATCTTCTCCCTGCCGTCTACGACCCGCGTTCACGCACGCATTCAGGCGAGCACGCAGACGGGCATGGCCATGGCCCTCTCCCTCCACTGGGTGGCAGAGGTGCTGACCCTCATCGCCGGCTACGAAAGCGGTCACGTTGTTGTCTTCTCGCATCAAGAGGGCGTATGGAACGAAACATACATCTCACAGGCGCATACGCAGCCAGTACTTGGCCTATCCGTTGCGCCACAGGGGGAATGGATTCTTACCACTGCAGCGGATGCACTACTTGTCCGGCATGCATTGGGGCAAGAGGGAGCGGGAAAGAAGGTGGACACGAAGCACGCTGGACAGCAAGCCGTTGCTGTCAGAAGCGATGGCAAGATCTTTGCTACTGCGGGCTGGGACGGACGGTTCCGCGTGTTCTCGGCGAAGACCATGAAGGAGCTTGCGGTGTTGAAGTGGCATACGGTTGGGTGCTACGCTGTTGCTTTCGCCGAGATTCTTGCGGACAAAGAGGGAGATGGGCAGGCGGGGACGGAAGTCGCGAGACCACTGAGCGTGGATGAGGCGAGAGTGGGACGCGAGAGTGGAAAGCATTGGATCGCGGGAGGCGCGAAGGATGGGAAGGTCAGTCTGTGGGAGGTCTACTAGGCCGAGGCCGAGTCGCGGATGGTCTCGAATCCAGACATATCTACCCCAGGTTCTCACCATTAACTATGCGCACTCCACTACCGGTAAGCGAAGCGATTGTCGAAAATCTGTGATCTCGGCGGTCCGAGGGGTACATACCTATGTACTCAGGGATAGGGCGACTTGGCTATGGAACCAGATCCAGAGTCACCAGGGGTGTATGATATGATTCTATAGGTTCATGAACTTTGAGAAGGAGGGAGTGTTGGGTTTCAACCGCATGCAATTGGGGGTACATAGATCTTGGAATTCGGGAGTTCGGGGAGCTGTTTTTAGCCAATAAGTTTGTGGTCACTGGTGCATCACTGTATATGCCATAGCTATCCAAGTTATCCAATAGCGGAGGAGAGAATAGTCGGTAAATAAGACACAAAACCAGTTCTTCGTGATATGGGATGTCGTGAAGCTGAAGGGAGAGGAGATTGTGACCACCACGCCGCACGGTATCCATCTGTAAGGCTGTCAAGTACTCTATGTACATACCTAGGTACATGCCTAGAATATCTGGACCCGAAGGCTCGAAATTTTGCTGTTCTCAGGGCCCAACGAAGGATATTCGTGCTTTACGGGGTATCCAGATTCCAGCCTTCCAAATAGTTAACATACAGACCATTGTTAGTCTGGACAGTGGTAGAAAATAGCTAGGATGAATCCTCGGTAACTCAGTTCGCAGCCCTATCCTGTAGTGCTCCGTAATCCACTGACCCGAGAAAGGCAATATGAAACCCAACTGCGTCTTAGGCAGATTCCGAACTACATTAGGGGATTACTGGTTAGGTGGGAGCGGCGTGCTACTGGCGTGGACTTGGTGATAGGCTCTGTTTTTGGCTGCTACCTAAAGTCCGGCCTCTCTCCCATGCTCACTGCTGGCTCGGCCATCGAGTTCACGATCAACTCCCCGCACCCCCCACTCAGGCAAACTTCGATTTGCCTCCAGAATCCGCAGTCCGGACTCCGGAAACTCCAAGGGGGAGAAGTTTCGCCCCGACGTTTGATAACCCATGGTACATGTGTAACTTCCACCATCATCACCACCGGCCATCACAACGAGGAGCAGATAGCAGATGGATTGCCCCGCCGGTTTAAGCTTATCGAGATCCTGGTGGGCAAGTGCAGAATGGATTACATATATATGTAGAAGCGGTGATGCTGCGCACACCGAGTGAACTACACATGGCTCGTGTCAATGTTTCGGAAACGTATTCCATTACATCCCCACGCCCAACTCCGTATGGATAAGAAGGTGAGTTTAAAGTTATCCCTGCTGTCTCCACCCTGTACATAAACCGCAGGGCTCTGCAGGTTTCGAGATCCTCACATGGGGTGAGGGTGAGGGTGGGAGTGGATAATCTAGCCCTCAACTTCGCTGATTCATCGTGAAAAGCACATGTGTAGGTAGGCGGGAGTCGGTGGACGCTCCGTGTGAGAAACGATACTGTTGTGAACCATAGCGGGGCGATAAGGGGGAACGGAGAAGGAATTGGGAGGTTGGATTACTTCAAACCGTCAGGAAACGGGGGCATGGTCACGATGGTTGTTCTGTCCTGTCCTGTCCTGTCGCCGGCGGTGGCGGTGGAGCTCATGGATGCCGAACATACATTCCGAAGAACGCTGCTGCATCATGGGCCTCGATCTGAACTACCTATCCATACGATTTGGCTCGATGTATCGTGAGGGATCTGGTATATAAACCATTCTTCTTACGCCCTGGTTGACGATTATCCACAGAAGCACAACACCAATCATCAGGCAGCTTTCCTCCTCTACTCTCATCTTTTTTCCCTTTCAATTCCAGCTATTGATTAGCTTCTCTTCTCTCCCACTCTTCTAATCAATAAAACGTTGATCGTTGGCTTTCTTCCTGTAATCTACAATTAAAGGTACCTACCATCCCACATCTATCGAGTGACTTTCGTATGACTGCCCGGCTTCACAGTTGATTGTAAAATGCACGCCTCCACCACCACCCTCCTCTCCCTGACCGCCCTCCTTCTCCTCACCCTATCCTCCTCCCTTTCCGCCCACGGCGTAATCGTTGCTGCCACTGGCGACTTAGGCGGCTCAGGAACAGCCCTAGCCGTCGACGCCGCCACTCCCCGCGACGGGACCCGCCGCCGGCCGTTCCAGCAGGACACCACACGCTTCCCGGACGCGGCGGACTCCGACTCGCCCTCGGCCGGCGCCTCAGGGTGCGGCGAGACGCTCCAAAACGGCGACATCGACATCGCCGCCTCGATGCAAGCGGTGATTTCGTAGAAAGGTGGGCTGCCGCAGGTATCACCGGGCGGACAAGTGGCGATGACGCTGCACCAAGTGAACGCGGACGGCGCGGGGCCGTACGCTTGCATGGTCGATCCCACCGCCACCGGAGAAAGCTTTGAACCCATGCTGGTCTCGCAGAATGTCCCCGGCGAGAACGGCCGCGAACGCGGCGGCCAGGCGAGTGATTTTGCGCTGGTCGCGCAGATGCCAGAGGGAATGGTGTGCACTGGTACGGCGGGTGTGATGACGGGTGTCTGTATGGTCCGCTGCCAGAATCCGGCTAGGGCAGGCCCGTTTGGTGGATGCGTGCCCGTGCAGATGGTTGCTGCGGCGGGTGTGGGTGCTGTGGATCCTCCGGCGGCGGCCGGGGCTGCCCCACCTGCGGCTGCGGCTGCGGTTGTGGCCCCGCCGCTTGCCACTGCTGCGACTGCTGCCGGTGTCGTTGCTCCTCCCGCACTCGAGGCACCGGGGAGCCTCGTAGCACCTGGCGCATCTCTCGCCCCCGCCGACGAAGCGCCTGCCACGAAAGCCCCCACTGCCGGTGGTGTCCTCTCCCGTTTTCGCACCGGCCAACGGATCTAAACGGCACTCTCTGGACTGTAGTAAGAATAGCCGTGTGAAGGGCAGTAGCTAGTCAAGAATATCTGCCCGTGTGAGTTGAGAATCTCTGCAGTTATGTGTTGAGCCTGCTGGCGAGTTTTTGTGGAGGATTGGTGGTTGGTGATCATGTTTTTTGTTTTGGTTGAATGGATGGATGGATCCCTACAGAGAATAGGAGCGGTGACCATTTTTTTTGTGATCCTCTTGTGATGACATCCCCTATTAAGGTGAGAATGTTTTTGTTCTTCATTGATCTTATAGGTAGCCTATCTAAAATATAGTCATACACACATTCCCTGGGCTGTAGAAAGACGACATTATTTGCTCGTTGAATCATCAATCGCATGGGGCCTATGTAGATCATGGCAACATGTAGAAAGGCGATGTAACCCCATGCCTTCCACCGTGACCAAGCAGATACAGTTCCTGATATTGCAGGGTGCTCGATGTAACAAAGTGGTGTGCACACTTCATCCTCTTCACGAGGGTTATCTGTAGAAGAAAAACATGGCTGAAACGATAGTTGCAGCTCGATCAATCAAACAGCCCTCTCGGCTACACCAGCTGTCAGCACTCTTCCATATTTATAGAACTCAAGACTTACCGGTGGAGCACTCTGTTGCGTTGGTCCTACGCCCTCCTCATCCTCCTCCTGCTCTTCCTCCTCATCATCATCAATAGTCGGCCTAGTTCTCGGCGCCAGCCTGGCAACCTGCGTATCCCATCCGAGGCTGACGCTCCCAAGCTCGTTATCAAGATTGTTGGATAATATGTCGTCATCGTCGTCGTCGTCCTCGGAGAAGTTGAGGAATAGTGGGACTTCGGCCGCGACACCGGCCCCGGGGGTGACAGGCTCAGGCTTGATCATCGAAGGAGGCGTTGAGGCCTGGTAGTTTGTTGAATTCTCGGGAGGGACACTGTCGTTAGTGTGGATGCTATGGTGGATATTGCTGTGAGAGGGCGTTTCTTGGGGTTGAGTGGTGTGTTCGCTTTGTGGTTGCTGCTGTTGACTCTGTTGCTGCTGCTGTTGACTCTGTTGCTGCTGCTGTTGACTTTGTTGCTGCTGGCTCTGCTGCCGTTCATGTTCCCATTGCTCCTCCTGCGTCGGCGGTCGCTGTCGCTCCCTCTGTACAGCTACAATCCTCCCCATCGCCGCAAAATTCTGGCTGGATCTCACATCTGCCGCCGTCATGAGCGTAAACAACACCTCCATCCCATCTCTCACATATGCGATCTGCATTGGTCTCCCAGGCTTATCATACCACGCTTCAACCGCCACCTCTAGTGAGGCCGCATGAGCCGTAATGGCCTTGAAATCCTTCAAACTAACCGCGATATGCAACCCATCCGCCACCACAAACTCCTCAAAATCCGCTGTGTCTAGCGCAACACTCGTCTGCAGCGGCTGCTTGAGGATTTCCTTCCCATCGATCAACTTCTCCGTGAAGCTAGTGAACGCAGCCCGGCCAGTCGATATCGACGAGGAAATATCCAGCTGCTCCGCGCGCGGCCCGAAATGCTCCATGTACTCCTTCAGCAGGGCAGCAGAGATCCTCCAGCGCTGGGGCGCCGACGCGCGATCAAAGATCGCATGCTGGATGTCGACCTCCTCGAACGTGAGTTTGTACATCTTCAGCGCGCCGTGGTGGCACCACATCCTGACGGCCAGCCGCGCCGGGTCCAGGCACAGGCGCACTTCGCATTTCGAGATGTTCGTGCCCTTGTCTTTGGCCTCTCGGAGGCGGAATACGGCTAGGAGCGCTTTGGCTTGGAGCCGGAAGGTGAAGCGGTCGCCGGCCGCGGCGTCGCGCCGCGTGTTCGGTGGCGGGATGTACGTGTACTCGGTGAAGAAGCGGTCTGCGCTGAGGTGGAAGGCGGCGTAGGCGGATTTGGTGGAGTTTAGCGCGGAGACACAGAGTTGGTGGCGGCGTGCCTCGAGGGAGATTTGGTCGCTGAATTTTGACAGGCAGGAGAGCGTTTCGTGAAGGTGCTGGGTGGATTGTGGGGAGAGCGTGAAGGAGAGAGTCGTCATCGCGGTGGTGGTGGTGGATTGGTTGTAGGGTGTGAGGGAGACGTGTTTAGTAGGTACGCGTCTTGAGTGCACGTGAGAGAGTTCCCAGTTCACGCTCTACGCTGGCAACAGGGTCATCGTAGGAAAATGCTCAATAATGTGTGAAAAACACAAGACTTGAACAAAATCTATCGACATGGCAAGCAAACACATCTAGCCATTGTAGTGCACTCCATTACTACAGATAATAGCCCACATAGCACAACCAACCAGCCATTACGGAGCATTCCACCACTGGAGGCCACCATTCATCAACAATGCCAAAAAAGGCAACAAGTCCCTCTATCGAGCCAAACACCTACTTACGCAGATCCTTACTGTCCTTCAGGATACCGCTCATGTGCACATTGCTAACCTTGCCCCTCCGGTTAACAGCACGCTTCCTCTTCTGCTGCTTCTTGACCTCCACTTTGAGGGTACTCGGATCGACGCTTGCAGGCTTCAATCCCATACCCTCAAGCTCACCCACCAACTCTGCCGCCGGCGGAATCTTTATCCCATGCCACAAATCCCTAAACTCATCGTCGACCTCACATGTGAGCGTCTTATCGTTGCCCCATACCATACGCGGCTGATTCTCCTTCTTCGTCCTGACAACAAGGATATCACCACTCTTCTCAAGGACATCAACAGCATCAATAGCACCCGCCCACCCCTCCTTCAACTCCTTCACCGCCAGTCCCTGCGCCGTCGTCTGCCGTTGCAGAAACGCCAACAGATCGGTCTTGCTCCGTATATTGTGCAACGGCCGGAACTCGAACGTATCTGCATCGGCATCGTAGTGAATCCTCGGATTCGAGTTTTCGCGCAACACCTGGAATACCTCGGAGGTGAGCGGAAGTGACAGGTACGAGGCGACGTCCTCAGGCCGTAGCGGTCGCTCCTTCTCCTTGAGGTATGTCTGCGCATGCACAACTTGCGTCATCAAGTGCTGCCCAGCGAGGGAGTTGATGGATGGCTGTTGGTACACCTGTGCGCTTGCGGCAACGACGGGGGTGTTGGTATTGGGACGCTTCCGCTTTGCGGCCGGAGGTGGCGGCTGTGTGGGTTCTGCGGGAGCTTGCTGGGCTTTTTGGACGGGCTTGGGCCGCGAGGGAAAAAGGTTCGCCGCCGAGGACATCGACGACTTGAAGTCCGCCGCTGAGCGTTGGAGCGACATGGTGACGGTGTATGGATGGTGACCGGTGGGTGAAGGGCGGGAAGCTTGCGCGTTAAGGTGCTGAGCCGACGCGCGGTGGCAGTGTTGCTATGCTTTTCGGCGTGAAGAACGGTGGAAGAGGTACGTGAATAGGGAAGTGTGAGGGATGTCGTGGTGGCGGATGAAGAGCGTTGGTGGTATGGTAGCGACGGTAGTGGGTGATGGTGTTTGGAGTTCGTTGAGTCTGACCGGGAGAGCTCCAGTGGTGTGCTGCACGTAAAGTACGTAGAGTGTGTAGGGCTGTGATACTCGCTTATCCAACAATGCTGTGCCAGTGGTTGTGACATGGCTGATGTGGCTGGTGCGGCTGGGCGTGGTTGCGGCAGGGCGTGACGTGTAAGTGCAGATGGGCGTAAGGTGCCCCTATTTTCTGTCGTCCACGGGAGAATTCTGTAGATGGTAGAATACAATACATCATGGCACCAACAATAGCAACACCTAGGCGATTGCGGCGAGCGAAAGGTAAGAAGGGTCCGGGAAATGTGAATACTGATAGAGAACTAATTCAATTCAATGCAGCACCTACCATAAATGCTACACAGCGGGGGGCAATCCTTACAATGCGCTACATGACGAACTTGTCCGTCCGGCAAATAGCACAGCATGTCAAAGTCTCGAAGACCGCAGTGCAAAACATTTGCAATCGTGCCGAGAAGATAGCAAGGACGAACAGACAAAAGAATACCACAAGTCCCCTCGATACCAGCAATTCCCTCGATATCGGCAACTCCCTCGATATCGGCAACCCCCACGAGGCCAACAACAACACCCCCAGTGACATGCAGAACTCGCAAGAGGTGGAGGTTGTTGCATGTGGAGAGCTGTCATTAGCAGAGTTGCTTGCTGCATCGGCACCGGGCAAGTCGACAGGCCGTCCCCCAGCCCTTACGGAGGAGGAAAAGGATTGTCTGGTTGCAACTGTCGAGCGGGACTTTGAGACTCGGAAGATGACACTTGTAGAGCTACAATGTGAAGCACGTCTAGAATACGTCAGTAAACAGACCATCCTCACGGCTCTCAATGAACGTGGTTTGAAGTCTACCGGGAACGGCTGGGTGTGAATCCAGATTTGATCTTGATGGAGGATAATGCTGCTAGCCATCACTGTTGGTATACGGACGTCGAGTGGGAGAAGGAAGGTTAGCAGCTTTTCTCTTAGAACCGGTATTCACTTCTTGTGTTTTCCTTAATTATTGTATTCTTCTACTTCTCAGCTTCACTATAAGTCTTATTAAGGCTCCGCTCATCTCGCCATTATCTCATTATCTGGATATGCCAAGCACGTAGCGCGACATAATGCTTTTAGCATTATCTCGTATTATGTCGTTTCGGTGGTTTCGGCGCCCAGACTTCTGAAGCAACGCCACATCTACTGCTGGTGAACCATTATGTAACAGGGTCCTAGAGCCTCAAATGCGATGGAAAAATTTTCCACTAGGAATCTCGCGGATTTACTCAGTCATTCCTGCTCGGTGACTGGAATCATTCCTGTTCATTGACTAGAGCCATTCCTCCCATTACTAGAGTCATTCTTTCAATGACTCTATAGTAACTGTATGAGTTGATTGACTCTGGCAATGCTTCCCGAATGACGCGTGTAATAAAAACCATTGCTTCCATAGTCTTCAGCTTCCAGAAGTTGCAAATTCTTCCGAAGAATCAAGTTTTCTGCCGATGCAGGAGTTTTTGCTGTTCTAGTTGTTGAAATATCTATACTCTCGTTGATTTTCGCGTCATGGTGGTGGTGATGGTAGTGGTTGAGGTTGTCGATGGAGACTCCCCCTTTTTTTTGTGTGGCGCAGCCCTACTTGACATAATAGCGAGATAATGGGTTGAGATGAACACTTGCCACCTCAAATTATTAGTGAAATAATGGTCTTCAACTTTGTGTGGTAGCAGGATGAGATAATGGTGAGATGAACGGAGCCTACGTTCGGACAATTATTGATGGAGATCAAGAGATGTTTGTGCTGGGAGTGGGTCACCCGTTGGCGAGTCCCTGGCGCCGGAGTCTCTGATCACCTACATGAAATATCACACGGTGCCAAAATGTGGCTGACAGCGATCCGCGTTTTAGTGCTGTCCACAACATTGTTGGACCCTCGTTCAACTCAGGCTTCAAAGTTCAGTGTTCATTCAACTTCACCCAGCACTGTTCACAACTCACGAGCCAAGGTACCCAGGACCTCAGATTGGATCACTGCAATATCAATTCAACCCAAACTTTTACGAGCCCTACTACCACTTCTTGGCATGGGTGTACTCTGAGGAACAAGGGGAGCAACATCTACAGTAGGAAGTAAGTTCTATGGAATCTGTGCATAGATGATTGTTGATAGACCGTAAACACGCGCTTTGGTTGGATTCATAATGTAAGCAAGGGCGTCACTAATGTAACCTCGCAGCAAAATATACGTTTATTATCAAGGCCATAACGTTACCGTAAATTTTGTCCCCCTCTTCTTTATTCTAAACAGTAAGGAATTATTTATACAGTATCACAAGCCGACTCGACCATTAACTCGTAAAGCATTCGGCCAGCCAACTAGTCCGTCTTACTCCTCTTCCCTCTACCACCATCACCACTACTCTTCCTTTTCTTGCCCTCCTTTGCCCAGTACTCATCCTTCTCTCTCTTTTCCCTCGCCGCCTTCTTCTCAAGCCCGGCCTCGACCTTCTTCTTGTGCTTAACGTTGGCAATGGCCTTCTTCTCCTTCCGCTTCGCCACCTTCTCCTTATCCAGCGTCAACACCTTCTGGAGCAGATCCCTGGCACGGCTCTCCTCTTTAGTGGGCAGAACCGCACGCTTCGCCAGATAGCCCTTCTTCTGCTGCGGCTTCATTGCCATGATCTGACTCTTGAACGGCAGCTCCTTCTGGACGGCCTTTGGCACGCGCAGAGGGTTGAAGCGACGAGTTTCACGCGCAATCGGTTTGTAGGTGGAGTTGGCGTTGATGGGCGCCGTGAGACCCTGTTCTGCTCGCACTTGTCCGGTGACGCGCATACCGCGCCACTCCTTGCCTTCACTGGACTCGAGGAGGTTGGTGACGGGGTTGTAGAAGGCACGCGGCTTGACGGGGTACCAGGCGCGCAGGAAGACGATGTCGCTCATGAGGACCTTGTCTTCGAAGGTGGCACGGTAGTGGCCTTCGGCGGCGGACAGCGCGCGCTTAATTTGACCCCTGATGCCGGAAACGGTGCGGATGGCAGCGCCCTCGAATTTGGCAATTTCAAGAGAGGAGTTGAACATGTCCTTGATGAATGCAGTGTTCTTGAAGATCTTGTAGGGTACACCGGTGAGTTTGAGCTTCTTGACGATGTCGGTGCTCTGGTCGACGTTGAGGACGACTCCTGTAGCTGCCACGCGGAAACCGGGCGTCTTGCCATGCAGAGACTGCACAGCGCAGAAACCAGTGTTGGGGGCGATCAGAGGACCATAGAAGGTACCGAAGCAGTGCATGTGCTCGGGAGTGTACTTGAGCATTCGGTTTCGTGTACGCGAGTCGGAGGTGGAGTAGATGGGTATACTTTGGAATCGTCTCCAGCCGAGAGAGAAAATGAGAGGATCGTTGGTCTTGAGGATCTTCTTATGCCAGCGATGTCTCTTTATTCTGACTTGTAGGAATCCGAAACGATCTTCTGTGGGCGTAAGACCTCCAACGATGATCGGATACTTGGGGTCAAAATGTGTAACGAATTCACACGGCATATCAGAAAGGATTACACGGCAATAGGATCCGGCCTTGTATCCTTCAATCTTCATACGTGTGATCTCATCCATCTCCTCGAATTCGGAGGCGTTGACAGCCAGCTGTTTGGTGAATGCAGCCTTTTGCGCGTCGTACCAGTCGTCCTCGCCGAATTGTTGGTCATCGCCGTCGCGCATACCGGCTTTGTCGTTGTTCACTCCCTCTCGGTCCTCTTCCTCAAACCGGAGACGCAGCTCTTCCTTTTTACGGGCGTTGCGAGCTCGTTCGGCCTCCAGAGAATCCTCCTCATTACCCTCCTCATCATCATCACCCTCATTACCATCATCCTCATCACCGTCATCCTCATCGCCGTCACCCTCTCCATGTACTTCTCCTGTCTCGAGATCCTCGAACGCTCCATCACCCTCATCATTGTCGTCCTTAAAGCCTCCAAATTCTTCATCATCATCGTCATCACCATTTTCCTTGTCGTCAACAAGATTGGCAGTGATGAATCGCCGGCGTAGACTATCAAGAGCGTCGACCTCACTCCACTTTTGCTCGAGCTTGTCAAGGTCATAGTGAGGTAGTGTCCGGTCTGCGATCTTCTTAGCCGCGTTGGCTTCCTCGTCCTCATCCTGATCCTCTATCTTCTTGAAGAAGTTATCATCATCGTCGTCGTCGTTAGCTTCTTCTTTGATTTCTGTTGGGATAATTTTATCGCCCTTCCACTTAGAAATAGCCTCGACAGGAGATATGCTTTCATCGTAGAGGACTCTGCACAGGTCCTGTATTCGGCCGAATCCACCTCGTGATTCCTGCCACAAGGCCCGTGCATTATCTGAGAGGTTTTGCTTCCAACGGGGCGCCTCGCCATCGTCGGACTCGTCCTCGATATCGCCATCGTCCAACTCGATATCCGAGCGGTCAGACACAGAGCCCAGGTCAGAATCACTGTCTGCGAACTCCAACTCGGCCTCTCCAGCAGCCGCATCTTCGTCGTTACGGAACGCACGACCAGCCTTCCTTCGCACCGTCGTCTCATCCTCATCGTCCTCCTCTTCGTCGTCGGATGCAAACTCCTCGTTCTCTTCCTCCTCGTCGTTGTCATCCAACATTTCTTCGTCGTCGGCGTCTTTGCTGTCCGGCATTCGTGCAGTTCGCCGGTGCTTTCTTCCAACATTTCCCACTTCTGGTTCCTCTTCCTCCGCCTCCTCTTCGGTGACATTCTGCAGCATCTCACCGTTCGAGAAGATCTGCACTCCCTTCGCTCCGAAACCCGGCTTCTTGCCCTTCTGAAGGCTGACGACCAGGCGCTCTCCCATTCCCTGTTCTTCGCCCTCCATGAAGTTCTGTGACGGAACGTTGATGTACACGGCATCCTTATCCACCAACACACCACCGACATCACTCATAGGCGCATACAATAGCTTCTGTTTCTCACCCAGTCGCCTCCGGCCCTTTCCTTCTGCCTGCGTCCGGTATGGTGTAGGACATGGGTCCGGGAGCGACTCAACACTCTGAACATTGAGATCGCCGACACCAGGAACATGAACTCTTCCGCCCTCAGCGGGAAAATTAAGACCACGAACATAGCCGTATAGCGCCACCGTGCGATCACACTTCTCATCCTCTTCCATTTTCACCGGATCTGTCAGATCTACCATCCGATCCGCCAGCATGTAGTAGTGCGAGTTTCTCCAGATGATCGGACGGGGGTTTTTCATGACCGAAATGAAACGGGACAAGTTGTGGATCTCGCGATCAGGGTAGCGGCCGTTGATGACACCGGAGAGGTAGAAAAGCTTCGCGCCGTTGTAAAGCTCAGACCAGAATCTGTGCTTTAATCGCTTCTTCGTCGCGCGCAACATCGACGGGCTCTTGAACAGATCCAGATGCGTCAGGATTCCGAAGATGTTGCTAGGCATACCGTGCGGCGCCAGGATGTTCAGGAACTCCATAGTCTCCATCTCAAATCCGAAATTTCCATCGATGAGGAGAAGAACGTAGTCGGCGATCTTGGCAACATCGATCATGGAGGCGAGGGAGTTGTCGCACTCGAGGAAAGTAAGGCGCCGCCGCTTTCCGGTGACAACAGTGATCGGTCCTTGTATCGTCGTGAGGGTGTGTTTGCTGTAGCGCTTGACGAGGGACTTGATCAGGGTGGTTTTCCCGACTCCGGGTGGACCGACGACCGAGACGATAACTGGTGGCGCCTCCTCGGGGAGACGGTCCACCATGGGAACATGGAGTCGCTTTTCTTTAACCTGGCGTGCAAATTACATTAGCTTCCTCCGCTGCTACGAATAGTTCAAGAATGAGAAGTACATCGTGAGATCTTGTCGCCTGCTTCTGAAGTTTTCCGGGATTTGCGAACGAAAAAGCCTTTGGGTTAACACCTTGCCACGAAGAATGTTAGCTAGGTAAGACTTCCCGTGGAATAAGTGAAGCTGTCCGTACCAGTATGCTTCTTCTTCTCTTTCACTGGGCGATGGGCCCTGTTGGATTGGTCCATGACTGTGGTACTCTCGGCGGCAGAGAGAACGTCGAGTTGAAGTTATGTCTGCGAGAAGCGTACCGAGTGAGACACGGCTCTGAACAACTTTTTTTGCGTTCGACGCTCTCCCCGCGACGACAGGGATTGTTGGCGCCGAAAATTACCCTGCACTCAATCCGAACCCCACGCGGCAACGGCCACCAACGACCAAGCACGAAAAAGTATCCTGACGACTCTCCCCCGGAACCACAATCACACATCAGCTATGCCGCCGAGGATACGGCTCCTTGCAACCACCACCGCCCCGTTGGGAGCGCTAGCCTACTCCGCATCACGGGGAGTCCGCTGCTATGCCGGCAAAGCGAAGAAGCCTGCTGCGAGCAGCGATGCCGAGAAGCCCACCGCCGTTGACGATGATGCGATTGACCTCAATAAAGTAGCTCGCGACGAGTTCAACGAGTGGATGAGCGGTCCTGGACGGAACTTCAAGAAGCCGCTATACAACGAGATGAACTACATCACATCGTACGACCGCAAGACGTGGCAGCGACTGGGTACCGACAAGGACAAGCTCAACGTCCCGTTCCCGCTCAACCATGCCTTCCGCAGTCATCCGGTGCTCAGTGAGGAACTGAAGGAGGAGATCTATAGTCGGGTTATGGAGGGTGGCAACAGCGTTCGTGCTGTCAGCGCTGGACTGGGTGTGAGCCTAGAGCGTGTCGCAGCGGTGGCGAGACTGAAGGCAGTCGAGAAGGAGTGGATCAAGGAGGTGAGCGGCCGTTTCCCGGCGTGTCTTCTTACACCCGGCTCACCATCCTCTGCGCATAGGGAAAACCTATCGCTACATACCTCACCAAGGCCCTCCACACCATGCTCCCCGTGACGCAGCTCTCGCCCAAGGGTCAGACCCAGACCTTCCACGAGGGTCTACAGGACATGCAATCCCACCAATTTTCGCACAGACAAGCCTTCGTTCCCGTCTCGGAGTCGCGAATATTCACCCGCGCCGACGCAGGAAAGGAGTTCGGCCTGCCTCCGACCGAAGAATCCGTCCCCCACCCGGATCTGATCGTTCTTCAGCGCGAGAAGTTCGCTGGTCTCGACAACACCGCGCGTGTGGATATGCAGCGGGAGAGAGATCGTCAAGCAATGGTCAGACGCGAGGAGAAGGAGCGCAAGGAGAAGGAGCGCAAGGAAAAGAGTGGACAGGTCATCGAGAAGGGGCGCTGGGCTTGGAGGTTGACTACTGCTACCACTGGTAGGGTTGGATTCAGATATGGTGTACCGCACCAGGATCGGAAGAAGGGGCAGGTCAAGATTCCTACACGTGTGTTGTAGATGGGATATATGGGAGGAAATTGTAAAATATACATGGCTGTATCATCAGATAGACAGTGCGGCGTTGCCATCATCTAGCAAAGTTGGTGGAAACCTCCACCCCACATCGGATAGATAAAAATACTACCTTTGAATTCCAAGGCCAACAGAACGCAGCAACCGAGGTCGTTTAGGCTTCGAATACGGCATATACATAATCCTCGTTGTCCCCACACCGCCGGCAAGTTGGAGTAGATACTGTTTTTTGCTCCATCACCCCGCACTCGACCGTGTTACGCCATGACAGGTTAAAGAAGTACACGCCCATTCCTGGATAATGAATTGATTCTCACACGTTCTCACGCCCGTATTCCTGCCCCTTTAGACCGTCGAAAGTGGCTAGTCCGACCGGGCTTCCCTATCCCCCACTATCCTCCAGTGTAGGTAGAAATGGCAAAAAGATATATCGGCGCACCCTACATGTTGCTAATCTTTCGCCCCAGACAACTCGCATCGATTTATTGTCGTATATGGCCTGTCTGTACTACCGGCATAGCGACCTTAACCCCCTATACCTATCCTACTAGCTCCGTGGGAATAGAGGGGAAGCTCTATCGTCTTTTGCCCCCGTTGCGGGGTGATTTCAAGTAAAATGGAACACTTTGATGCGGTCCCATCACGAGTGATCTCGCATGATTTGTACGATAAAACACTAGGCAAAAAGTAAACGTTATTTATCCGTGCAGGGATCAATTAAGGTAATGATAGCATCTAATCTAATCTAAATTTTTCCTGCACGCAACGACCTCCAGCCAAACGTCCATCGCACCCAGTCGGCCATCTACCCAGAAACCGCCAAAAAAAATGCTCTCGGAAAAGCTGCTCGTCGCCACGACGCGAACAGTCGGGGACGGTGTTGACACCCCCTCCATCGCCTACTACAACCTCCACACCGGCGCCGCAATCAGCACAATAAAGCGCTCGCAATCCTCCGCGCGCGGTGTGACAGCGACGAGCACACATATCTTCGCCCAGCAAAATGACAAGGCGGTGGTCAACGTCTACTCGTCCAGCACCGGTACGCTCCAGAGCGCAATTCCGTTTCCGGGGCCGATCACGATCCTCTCGGCTTCGCCATGCGGGATGTTTCTGGCTGCCGGCAATGCCGGCGGCAGGGTCTACGTGTGGGAGCTCGCGACCGCAAGGGTGGTGGCGCCGCCGACGGTGCATTTGCAGAAGATTTCGGCGCTGGCGTGGGGGAGGGGTGGTCACCTTGTTGTGGGCTCGGAGGACGCGACGGTTTCTGTGTGGAGTCTACCTGTGTTGTTGAACACCCTCAGTGATGCGCCGAGACCACCGGAGAGGGTGTTGAATAGGCATATTCACGCGGTGACCGCGGTCGCGGTGGGAGGTGCGACCAGTGGTGGGCCGTCGGAGCTGCTGGTTACCGCCGGGAGGGATAGAACGATTATCACATGGGAGCTCCACACTGGACAGCATCTGCGCACGTATATGGTTTCTGGCATCCCGCTGTGTGTGACGCTGGATCCTGCCGAGCGAGCGATGTATGTCGGGTTCGAAGAGGGCGGGATCCAGTGCGTTGAGTTCCACAGTGCAACAGCGGGTAGTGGGAAGGAGATGACTATCGAGGAGTACGCGGATGTGCCGGTTACTGTCGTGAGCGAGGTTTGGGGAACTGACGACAGCGCTGACGGGCGGTCAGTGCTGAGTTTGGCGGTGAACTATGAGGGCAATATGGTGGTGAGCGGGAACCAGAGGGGCGAGGTGGGAGTGTGGGATGTTTCCACGGGATGCTTGTTGAAGAACTTGTGTCAGATGAAAGGTGAGAAATCAACCATGACCAGCATTGAAGATGTTTGCTAACGGAAACCCACAGCTCCTGTAACCTCTCTCCAAATGACACGTCCCAAAGGCTTCCTCATCACGTCTGACAGCGACACCACCTCGATGACCGTGGTCCCCACACCTAGATACGAGGTCATCCTCGCCGCCACCGCTCCCTCCAACTACGACCAACGAACATACTCCGTTTCCGTAACACTACCTTCCTACGTCCCAGAGACCTCCACATCCTCACTATCAACATCCACACCTTTCGGTTTCCGCCCAAAAACAAGCACGTTTGGACCCGACAGCGACATGGAACAGATTCTCCACGGTGCGCGGGAGATGAAAGCGCTCAAGCCGGCACTAGCGGGGGACGATAAGATTGCTGCACTTGAGAGCGAGCTGGCTGGATTGTATGAGAGCTATGAAAGGCTGGCGGAAGTACATCGAAAGACGTGGAATGGGATGGTCGGTATGGTGCTGAAGGATGAAAAATAAAAGGTATTTGGGTTGGGTATTCTTTGTTTCCATAGGGCGCACAGTAGGATATCATTGCATGTAATGGCCTGTCAAAATGGCGACTCTTAGTTTACTATCCAAAAGTTTGGCCTCACGTCGGGACTCGCGGCAAATCTAGAGCCTTGTCCTTATCGCTCTCATCCAAGGGCAGGCCACTCATTTTCTACACTGGTGGCAAAATTCGCGGATGACTCCAGCAGCTACTAGCTGGCGGTTACGGCGATCTATAAAAAGCATTAGAAGGTAATGTACAATACATTCCAGCAAGGCAGCCAGCTTCCCGTAGAAATAGTAAGGGAGCTGCCAGGCTCCTGCTGTATCATGTATGTATTGTACTCTATTTGGAATTTGGCTTCCGGCGATGACGATAATCGACGGGGGCGGGCGCTAAGTGTGTGCAAACATCACATAGATACTGAACGTGTGAGCAGGTTCACTTTACTTCTTCCAATTACTTGGTTCCGTGGGCGCGAATGGCTAGAATCACGGACGGGCAGTACATCATCCCAGTCCGGGGCCGTGGGGTATTTCTTCGTCTGGATGGTTCTCGCATGAGACAGGAAGAAACAGCAGGAAACTTGAAAGGTATCCAAGGTTGGTGGTCCCAAGGCGAACAGGCTGGGGTGGTTGAAACTGAGAGAAGAATTTGAAGGCTTTTAGCTAAACAGGCTGACTCTGGTGAGAAGTCATGGACAATCCTAAGCAGCCAGGAAGGAATATGCAAAAGGACAGTGGAAGGTAGCAGTGACACGGAACAGGCAATAAGACGCATAATATCAACAAGGGTAGCTGTGGCTGAGTACGAGTGAAGTCTGATGACTCAACGGCAATGGAGACAAAAATGTATGTACGGCTTTCTATTCGTCCTACGCAACATCACTTCAGCCTCACCTGATGGACAACCCCCACGGGCAAAACGGTTGAACCCAACCAATCCTTTGGACGGCTTCGGCAGTGCCAAATCACATTCCTTGTACCAATCCCGCTGCTGTTCCCGCGAACATTCCAGGCAACAGGAATGCGGACTCGCAGGGACAGAGTCTGGGAAGCAAACCTGAGGCGAAAGACTGCCTGGCTACAGGGTCTCGGCGCATGAATGCGCACTCCCGCAGGCAATCGCGCGTTAATCGGCCGAGATTTAGATAGCGGACTTCAATACTACGATACGTCTGATGAAAGCGGGGTATGAAGGACCTGGGAACCTATTGGTGCGTACGAAGAGAGAGGACGAGACTAACAAGAAAGCACATACTTGAGTATAAAGGCCATGTCGCGCCACTCTGTCACACAAACCACACCCCATATAGTACCCTGTCCTGCCTACTCCACTCTGCTCTACTCTGCTCTCCCTGACTCTGCTACACCTACTCTACGCCTCAGCCACAACTGCTCATACATTATCCCACCGACCTTTCTAACTTCTACTATCATCTATAACTGCATCGTGTATCGTGTATCGTAGCAATGGTTATCAAACCAAAGCGCAACAATGCTCAGCACCAGCCGCTCACCACGGTTCTGAGAAACATCATCCGCGAGTATCCTGCAGGAGGCGGCGTACTTCGAGAGCTCTGCCAGAAGTATAGGCTTCCTTTCCCGCCGGAACAAATCTCGAGATTGCTGATGATAGATGTGCCCCGAATCAGTGCGGACGACAGCGGTGCGACTATGATCGAGTTTGTGCTTGATACCTCCACATATCCGACCGAGCCTCTGTTACATGCGGGGCTTGCTGAATATCAAGGCCCAGCTCTGTTTGCCTACAACAACCGAACATTCTCCGAGAGGGACTTCCGCTCCCTCAGCAAGATTGGCGATTCGGAGAAGATGAACGACGTGAGCAGCACGGGGAAATTCGGCAGAGGTTTCAATAGCGTCTACAACTTTACCGACAACCCTTCAATACTGAGTGGGAGCTCGCTGTTGATTCTGGATCCCCACGAGGCTTGGTCGAGAGATGTGGGGGAGCCTGGGGGGCCGCTCTACGACTTTGTGGAGGATTGCCAGGAACAAGAGATGGTGAATCAGCTTGCTGCATTCGGGCATCTTCTTCCTGACCACAGATCTTCCTTCGATGGCACGTTGATCCGTCTGCCGCTCAGGACGATGGAGCAGGCCAAGCAAAGTAGGATTTTGCTTGACAAGGACCGGAGGCCTACCGAGATCGACGATATTAAAAGCATTTTCAAATCCTTCGCTGTTGAGATGGCCGAATCTTTGTTGTTCTTACGCCATATTTCTTCGATCATCCTTCGGATCGATGATGAGATATTTGCGAAAGCGGTGGCACGGAAGTTCAACAGTGAAGGGGAGATCACGGACGCCTTTTCTATCGATACACCGTATCAGTCCGTACTTGTGCGAAGAGACGAACCACGCGCCGAAATTAATTTCGTGACGGAGATAGCCTTCCAGCTTCAAGGCAAGGAGCAAATTTCGAAGTTTGCTGTCACTCACCTCATGAGACATGAGACTGGAGAGTCTGAGCTCGGGAAGTGGGCTCGGAGTTATAAACTGTTCCCATGGACCGCTATTGCAACACCTATTTTGGAGGTAAGCTGTTGAAGAACCTCAAATTTTGTGACTATCTAACTGCAAACAGGTTGCTGGTTCAAAATTCTCCGGAAGGCTTTTCTCCACGCTGCCGCTCCCGGTGCGCGTGGATCATCATGCCCACATTCATGCGATGTTTTCGATTACCCCCGACCGCGCCTCCATTCACAAAGACGAGGATTCAACCGCCTCCGAAAACAGCGAAACAAAGATGGGAGCACAATGGAACAGATGGATCTTCCAAGAACTGGTTGTCCATGCCTGGGTTGGCAACCTGCAGTACGTCCATGATCTGACCCTAAGGAAGCGATGTGCGTTTAGCGGATGGTCACTGTGGCCGGTGGGATCTCAGGATCACGGAGACCATAGCACCCATATTTCCGCAATCCTGGGCTTGGTCTTCGAGAAAATTGTGATCGACGGAAGAAAACTGCTGCCTACGATAAGCCACTCAACTGCATGCGCTTCCGAAGTCCTCTTTGCGGAGGAATTAGAGGAGCAGCTGAAGAATGCTCTGCGGAACGCACATGTTGTCGTCATCCACCCGCCTACCGATAAGAGGACTGAAATATCCCGGAAACTCGCGCCGACGATGGATCGTGTCTCACCTCGCACAGTGCGTGCTGCCTTGACCGCTCTTCGTGGTACATTACACACCCTTAACGCAACTTCTCGTTCAATCTTGCTGGACTATATCCTCACGGATCGGGATTACGAAGACATTGGGAAATGTGAGGCTCCCCTAATTCCGCTGGTAGACGGTTCATATGGTAGCTTTCAGAAATCGTCGATGAAATACCGGTTCAGCAGAGAATCAGAGTTAAGCCTGTTCACAGAATGCAAAGCTTTCTCCATTGTCAATTCAAAGCTATCTGAGGGCACATACAATCATTTTATGAAATACATGGGTTCTTTTCAGAGGTTTACCACTATTTCGCCTTGGAATATATTGGGCGCACACTGGTATCTCGTCACATATGTCTTCTCAGCCGAGAGATCTAATAAACAGCAATCAAACGACATTATTACTCGGCCGGAATTGATGGAATGGATCGAGCGCTTCTGGAGGTGGGCCATTTCAAAGGATCAAGAGAACCTACTATCAGTGATGGGGGACCTCTGGCTTATTCCACTTTCTGGAGGGCGCCTCCGAAAGCTCTCGGAGATCCAGCCAGCGCTTGATATATCTGGCAGCAGCCAAGTTTCTCAGTTATTCAAAGAAATCGTTTCTGCCGGTACAGACTACCCGATCTATTCGGAATCACTCTCCCAGAAGATTTCGGACTTCTTTCGACGTTCGAAAAGGATTTATTGCTGTGAGAATTTCGAGGAACTTGTCACTTGGTTGGGAATGTATCCAAGTTTTCTCGAAACTGCAAGCAAACAGCAGAGATCTCAGCTCGTGCTCCAGTTGGGTGTCATGTCGCCTGTAATGAAATACCAGAACATTACACCGGGCGAGAAGGAATGCCTCCAAGGCATAGTTCAAATTCTCCGCAAGCTACCTCTCTACCATGAAGCATTTGTCAGACGGCCAGAGCGGTAAATCAACCCTTCCCAAGCGATTGTATAAATATTTACCTTTTGGTTTTCAAAGGGCTAACTTTAGCGCGGTTAACTAGCCCATGGATAGACCTCGATGACATAGATTCAAAGTATGTGGCAGTGTCTTGTACGGACGGGCTTCCAGCTCTCCAAGTTTCGAACACGATTTTCGTTGACAGAGATGAACCCGGTGTCAAAAATATTCTCATCGCCTTCGACTTAGCAGCTACGCCGTCACGCAGAATGCTTTTGGAAAAGTATGTGCTTGCAGACATGCGCCAGGCTAGCTTTGAAAGGAAAAGCGCCTTGTCGAAATACGTCCTTCGGCCACAATGTTTCGGGGATTTGGCTATAAAAGCACGAGAAGATTTGGCTGGAACTAAGTTTGTCCCAGTGTGCGGGAAGGAAATATTCGCTACTCCAAAGGAGACGGTCGATACGGACATGCCGGTATCGAAATTATATTTTGAAGACGAGGGCGTCTTTCCTGACGCGACCTATTTGGCTAAGCACCGACAGAGTTTGGAGCAGCTTGGTATGATTACACGCATTACCGACAAGGTCCTCCTCGAAAGAATCGAGATGTACAGCGAAGGCAGGAGGGAGATCGACGAGATATCGGGCAAAGTTCAACATTTGCTCAATTTGGCAGCAAGTCCCCCTAAGCTAGAAGCTAAACACTGCCAAATGAGATGGATCCCAGCATCTAAGGAGGGCATCAAGAAATTGTACAACGCTATGGAGTGCCGGGATTACAATCAAAAAGAACTGATCGAATATTCAATGCCACTGACGGAGCTTGAATTCTCGAGGACTTGGCACAAGAGATTAGGGTGGGACGTTCGGCCCGATTGCCGATATATTCTTAAGCAACTCGATGAGGCCGTTGCCCGGCAGGACACTTCCGCTATTTTATCTCTGCTGAAATCTAAGTGGCTATCCGGGATACAGGAGCTAGATACTAGGGCGTGGATTCCAGGAGCCTCCGGTGGATATTACCGACGTTCGGATGTCTTCTTCAAGTCTGCGAGCTTTCATCCGTACATCGATAACGTCAATCTGCAGGTTGGAGAATATCTCAACCTTAACGCAGATCCCATTTTTCAAACACAACAGGTGCCTTCGTTTGAAAAGGTATGGGATGTGTCTCTACTACTGGTCAGGATTATCATACTAAAACTCCCTATATAGCTCCGAGAAGTACAAGTTACCATAGTAGCTAAGGGCAGAATGGCCGGGGAAGACTTGAAGGTGTTTGTGGCACTCTTGGAGCAAGTTGCCCCCTACTTTAACGACTCCGACGACGCCTCTTGGATGGCTCCGGACACCAATGGCACGCCGCGTGCGCTGTCAGAATTGACGGCTGGAGCTCAGCCCGGGGATGCAGGCGCGATGAATCTTCATTTACTGCATCCATCAATTCCTCCAACGATCGTTGAGGCACTTAGGATTCCTACCATTCAACAGCGATTCCTCCATGAAAGGGTTGGCCCCGAGTTCGTACAGGATTACGAACAGTCAGAGGATCTTACGGTTGTCATCTCAGACACACTCAAGCGCTATTCGAGCCGACGCACCTTCAATGAATATCTAGCCAACGCAGAGGATTCGGGAGGAGCAAGCGATATTTGCTGGATACTGGACCAGACAGAGTATCATGAGCGGACGAAGCTCATCACCAAAGAACTGGAGGAGTGTCATGGACCTTCTCTCCTGTGCTTCAACAATGGCGGTAAGCGTTTTTCTACCGCTCATCACCGGCAATGAATCAATCAAGCTGATATTATATTTCCTATAGTATTCCGTGAGAAGGACTTTCAGGCGATTGTCAAGATCGGAGTTGGTTCTAGGGGTGATGAACCATCGAAGATTGGCAGGTTTGGTCGTGGTTCGCTGACTATGGTAATCCTTACGAAGCTGTAGCGTGCTTCATAACTGACCAGCCATAGTATCACTACACCCAAACACCGATGATCCTTTCTGGAGATTATTTTGTTATATTCGAGTGAGCTTCTCCCTGTGAACACTACATCATGCGGAACTAATCTATTGAGTAGCCCTGAGCAATTGCGCCTGCCAGAAAACCCTGCAACCAGGAAACGTCTGAGAGGAATGCGAATAGCTATCAAGCAGGTCCGCCAGCTGTGTATGCGTCTAATCCTGAAATTATATCAGAGCACTCCACTTACATATCTCCAGGGCCTGACCAACTTCGGCCGTTCGTCGGCCAATTTGGATTTGCAGCCGAAAGCGATTCCTTTGATGGCACCTTATTTCGATTTCCCATCATGAAGTCACGGGAAAAGAGCAAAATATATTCGAGCCGTGATCCCACCACGATTCGAACCGTCGAAATGGCTCTCACAGAGTACTACAAGGACGCGGTCACGGCACTTGTCTTCCTCAAAAACATCAAATCAATACGATTCCAAATTCAGGACGGCAAGGCTAGCAACAAGTTACAGTGGGAAGTCATAACTGAGCGGCCGCCCGGACACATGATCGGAATCTCCACATTCAAGATAAAGCACAAAATTCTCCAACAGGCTGATTTCAAAACAACAGAGACCGAATGGATGGTTGCTCGTTCGATGCTGGAACCGCACGAGATTCCTGCAGATGTACGAGTGACCTGTGAACGGCACAAGCTGGAAGCGCGATGTGGCATTGCAGCCCGAATCGTCCCGTCACAGCTATCAGACCCTGGACGTCTATTCTTAGGTGCACCGACAGACCATAAGCTTGGACTGCCGGTCCATGTCTCTGCAGTCTGTTATCCTATTCCTGTGATACATGACCTCTGCTGACTGAGCGTGAATCAGGACTTGGCGATCCAAAGTGACAGACACGCGTGGCTCGAAAGCGATGGCCACGACTGGAATCGATGGCTTATGGAGTCTCAAGTCGCTCCTCTGTACGCGACTCTGTTGGCCGAAATAGCAAAGCTCCCGAAATGTCCAGTTTACGAATTTTGGCCGGAGTATCCCCAGGAGAGCGCCAAGTCTAACGGACCCGCTATCGAACTGAGTAACGTGCTGAAGGCTTCGTTTTGGACAACAATTCTCAACCCCGATTGCGAATACAAGATTTTCCCAGTTCACAAGAGTGATGTGGCTGGGGCGTGGGAACTCACAACAGCCAACCATGCCTGTTTCAACCTGCTGTCCAACTCGGAAATGCCTAAAATACTTGCCGGGTTACTTCACCGAATGCCCCTCCGTGGCTGGAAACTGGTCCGACCTACCGGAAAGGCACTCAGTGGTTTGAAGCGCGTACACAAAACCAGCGAATCGACTACTCTCCGCACATTATCACCCATATTTGTGGCGGAACTCTTCAAGAATGAGGAGAATTGCGAGATGCTCTGGGAGGAGTGGGGGAGATCTCATAATTCAGACATAGCGGTCATCAGCAATCTTTTCAAATTCATTTTGACCGATGAAATCCCCCCGGAAATTCTCCTTGGATGCACCATCTTGCCACTTGCGGATAAGAGTCGGGGACTCTTTAGGAGCAAGGGCGATGCCGATTTCATGATACCTGTCTCCAATGACACATTGAGCGAAGCGCTGGAGGGCTTGGTGCCCCAATTGATCGTCCATCCGCAATTAGGAGAATCGATTTTCCACAAGCTGACATCGGGTGGGCTTAATGTTTCTCACTTTTTTCTCAAAGACTTACCGAGGGTTCTTGAGGTTATGGGCGACCAGAGCGCGAAGCGCCGACGAGAATTATTTGTTGAAATCTGGAGAGTCTACAATAACTTGGCACAGCATGACCCGTCGAAAGCAGTGGAGGCATATGGTGCTCTTGTCCGCCTGCCTATTGTCGTCGCCACAAGACCTGGTGATGCCTCGGAGTATGCTTTCATCCGCCTCGACGAGTTTCAACAGAATAGGCACGTTGCGATACTTGAAGATCCACTAGGCCGCAAAAACTGGCCAATGCTCTCTCTCGATCTTCCGAAGGTCAATGAGATTCTTCAATCATTTGCGGATGCGGGGCTTTATCAAGTGAATGCCAGGACCTTTCCAGAATCCGGACTTGGTTATGAAAGCTTAGAAACTTGCGCGGGCCTGTACCGGTTACTCCTATGCATCGAGACACTTGCAGCCAGAAGGAGTAGCACAATTGAAGCGTTCATTATGTCTAGATCGCTCGGCAATCCCAACTATTTAAGGGTAAGTTATAGCTCCATTGTGTATGGCAACGTTGCATAGAGCACAACTGATTCGGGGTCCAGAAATTGAGTCAAATACTCCGGTTCGCCGATTGGAACGACTTCGAATCCAAGTTTGAAGCGCGGCGGATTCTGAGACAAATACCACTTTTACCATCAACGGACAGTGAAGAGCAGTATATATCAGCCCTGAGGGCCAGAGTGGCTCCATCCGCGAGTCTCGACCTCAAACATGTACCGTTGGCACAAAACTTCGTCACCAACAGCTGGGCCCAGAGTCATCCTCGTCGTTGGGAATTTCTGCTTGTGCCTCGCTTGGAGCACCACGAATTCCTTGCAGATATTTTGTTGGTGCGCGGGGGCAACCGACTTCCAGGTGGAGTGGAAGGACTGAAAAACTACCTCAAGATCGTTGAATGGATCAATAAAGATTTCCCCGAAGCTATGCAGACGGAACCAGTTGCGCTGGATAGAAATTTGACGTTTCGTCTGGCGAATACATTATTCGATCACGAGAATTACATCTTCAAAGCAGCCTTCTACGACGAAAATGAAATTCTTCTGCCTAACAAGTTCCTGCATCCAGAGCTTCGGGGTTTTAGATGGCACACCATGAAGACCATCAACTCAGCGATATATCGGCAGTGTGCACGGGCTATTGAAGAGCAATCCCGCAATCCCTCCACGGATGGCGTGTTTTTGGTACGGGCCATTAAAGTGTTCGAATTCTTGAGGTTCGAGACCCCGGAAGTGCAAGCTGTGTGTGGAAACGGTCATCATTGGACGAAGATAAAACATATTCAGTTCGTACCTGCTCTCTTTCCCGAACAGGATGGCACCATGCTCAATAAAGAGATGAGGCGCAACGTACCTGACTCACGTGTCATTTCTCTCTCCGACGGAATCGATCCAAGAGATGTCAAAATATGCTGGAGCCAGAAGTGCTTCTTCCTGGATGCGCCAAGCAACTATGTTCTCCAATCACTGCCTAACCAAGGACGCCCCAAGCCACAGGATGTTGTCTCGCACTTGGTATTTCTGGCTCAGGAGCGGAGCGAAATCTCAGAAATTGATATCAAGAGTTTTCTGAGCAGTGCGAAGGCTTGCTATAAATATCTACAGGATTCTGACGAAGGGTTCACTATCCCTGAGGATAAAGAGGTGTGGTACAACTCGGACCAGGAAACGGCACTTCTTAAAAAGGATTTCCAAAATTCGTGGGTATCCAGCAGGGATTTGTGTCTCAATCTGGAGTATGACTCAGCGCCCCTTCAATACGTACGGGAGTCCCTCCAAAACTTCCACAGTCTTCTCAGGACCTCCGGCGTCCGCTCGATTCAACGAATTGGTCCACCACCTGCTAGCCTGCAATCCGCGACGACCTACTCGGACACTCTCGTCTCGGAGTTCCAAAGCTTCCATAAGTCGGGCCGGTTTGTCGACTTGCACATTTTGGTCGACGACCACAAGTTTGGCGTTCACAAGATGGTGTTGTGCGCGGCCTCGGAATACTTTCAGAGGATGTTCGAAAGCCCCATGGCCATGGTCGAGCAAACCGAGAACATGATCGACTGGCGTGGCAACGGGATAAGCGTAGAAACCGTCGAGCGCATGCTCGATTATATATACACCGGGGTTCTGGCCGAATTCCCTCCGGACGATCCTTCTTACACAGTCGAAATCCTCCTTGAGCTCATGAACACCGCCGACGCTTATTTCCTACCAGGGCTCAAGCGCGCGGTTGAAGTCATGCTTTGGGACGAACAGTATCTTCGCCCGGAGACGGCGAGGGCTATTCTGGAGTGTGCACGCGACTGTCGGGCCGATGAACTTCGGCAACTGGCTGAGCAGTACTGCAAAGACAATGCGGATATTATTGCGAGGGTTTGATAGGAGGGTCAGTATATACACACACACGGAAGCACTTGGCGAGCAGGATACTAATGAGATGCAGGTCCGAGTGCTTATTCGTGAGTTACTTGTCGAAAGTATTGTATGTTGGCTGGCAGTTTGATTTCTATTCTTTTCATCTTGGAGTCTTTGTTTGCTTTGAATTCGCATGGGAGGATAGGACTTGTACTGTTGTACATATTTACGTGTTGATCTTGTGGATGGATCGGAAATCGGCGATTGCGGCGGTAGCTGGAAATGATTTCCTAAAATAGAGAGGGGAATTGGACGTGTTTCTTCGCCATGGGACGGCTGGAGATGGATTACTGCAGGAATGTATCTTGACCACTTTCCTGATCACCTACACTACGACTGTGATTGATCTGCGAGACATTCGACATGGACATTGTGGCTGTTCTCGAAAAGCCACTGAAGAACCTTCTCGGAAGGTACGACTAGAACACACATGAATCTTTTGTTCTGGGCCTTAAATTCAGTAGGTACTCTAGGTAGAGAATTCGGGGTTTCCATGGCTAGTAGTAGGTATAGAGCCGAGAAATTCTGATACGGGAGGAAACGTTTAAGCCTCCGTTATAAAAGTTTTGCCCTAGTACTTTACTATCCCATCGATCGTGGTGCTGTGGGGATCCGAATTCGCCTCAGAAATGGCCACCCACCCGGTCTCACTACCACCGCCCACCCGGTCCCACCACCAACACCCCGGATAAGGACTGTGACTAGATAGAATTGTTCATTAGATGCTAATAAAGAGTAGTATCCACAGATTTACAAGCCGGGAAACCCATCTACTCGTCACCGAGTTCACATCCCGTATGTCTCCCTCCTTCCTCAACGCCCCACGCAAACCCCTGATCATTCACCAACATGGCGCTCATACCGCTACGCCTGTCTGCTACCGCGGCAGTAGAGTTCCACTTGGGTATCAGCTTCTTTCCATCAATGGCCAATCGAGCCATAACATGCCCAGCAGTCCTCGCATTCTTGGCCAGGACGGTAGCGTTGGCATTGCCGTAACCATCGCACTCCTGATGGTAGCAGGCATCCTGTTCCACCCCAGTTCCGGTATGCAACCCGCCAACCGGAATGCCCTGCGACATGAAACTAGCATAGTCACTGCCGCCGGTGAACACGGCGGGGGTCACGGTAACGTGCTCCTTCTTCTCTAGGTATTCCGCAAGCAGCGCCTCGATCACCCCGCTGCCTGCGGCACCGGCTAGCCCGTGCGTGCTGCCGTCGCCGTCGAAGACGCCGAAATAGCCGCGGCTTACTGCGGGAGTTAGCGGCCGCTCGTATGTGCTAGTCAGAAAAAATATGATTTACCCATATCGAAGTTGAGATATGCTCGGATGTTTTGCAGATCCCTTGCCGGTAGGGCGGCAACGTAATGTTTGGATCCGAGAAGACCTTATTTCCATCAGCTTGTCAACTACCGCGGTATGAAAACTTGCCGTGACCGTAGGTAGGTACATACCATTTTCTTCGGCCCCCCACCAGCAGAACCGTAGCTTGAGGTTGGGTCGGTACTGCTGCGTCGATGCAAGTAGCTCCATTATCAAAGATGTTCCGGATCCGTCGTCGTTAACACCCGGTCCCGCTTGGACGGAATCCAGATGTGCTCCGAGCTAGTTACGAGTAGTATATGGTGAGCGTCACGACCGACTAGCAACCTGGACCGAAAGGTCCTACATACCACTATCACGCTGGATGGATCGCCACCCTTTGTCTCGGCGATGACATTCCACGTCGTCCGGTTCTCGATCGTCTGGAGGTGCCGGAAGTTGACCTGGATGGTTTCCCCGGCTTCGATGCGAGCACGCCACGCTTCGCCGTCCGCCTTATTGATGAATCCTGCCGAGCGGTAGCCGACAGGATCCGGAGCACTCGGGGTTCCCGCCGTTGGCTTGGTGGGAAGATCGTGATAGACGATGACGGCGACAGCACCCGCCGCAACCGCAGCTCTGACCCTTCCTCCCAGCGTGGTGCCATCGGGACAGCGGAACCGCTGCGTCAACACGATCTTGTCCTTGACATCGCGGCCGTCGAAGCCAGCCGCGGAACACCCCTCGAGGCCATCAGGAGCGAGCACCAACTCTGCCGTCACTCCCCCAGGCACCGTCGAAGGACTGTACGTCAGGCCGAAAACATACACATCCTCGCCGCCCACCGCGCTCAGCTGGATGTCATCGACGATGGCAAACAACGCCTGAAAAGCCTGCTCGTGGAAATCCACCGTCCGTCCGAACTTCGCCAGCCGCTCGAGGACAAAATCCACGCTGGCTCGGTATCCGGGCAGGCCGAAGGCTCGATTGCCACCGTTGTTTTCGGCAATCCTGGCCAGACGCGCGAGGTTGTCCATCAACGCCGATTGCTGGATATCTGCGACGACGGCATGGGGAGATATCGCCTTCTGAGGTGCTGCTGCTGCGAGCGCAACAGAGAGGAGCGGGAGGACCGTGAGGATACGCATCGTAGGTACTTAGGTAGTGGTTAGCACGACGAAAACCAGTCGCCAGTACGAGGGGTTATATGTCGGTTCACTCCCCAATCCTCCACGATGCCAGTACCCTACAATCGAAGCAACATACCTAAGTACGGAGCTAGAAGTCACACACACGACGATACGATAGGCAATTTCCAGCTCAACATTGCGGAAGTTGCTCTAGATGGGGAAGGTCAAGTGTAGATGCTCGAGCGGTGGTGGGGAAACATGTCGCGATGTGGACAGTATATGGAGTGTAACTATCGGGGCGCTTCGCTCGTGACACATCCAATGCATTGGCCCATACGTTTCTTTCTAGTGCGGACAAATCTGCGGCGGCGGCGACCAGTAACTGAACTGCTAGAGGGCGGTGACGGCCGCACTGCTGCCAAGCAACACTCATCTACTCTACTCTAACTAATGTCCCTTGCAAGTGGAGAATGCTCTAATGTAGTATCACCGTTGGCCGATAAGGCGGGGTGACCCGGGATATGTATGTAGATATGCTGAAAAGGAGATGAAGGCAGCTTCTCTGTGAGGAACGCCGTTGAACAGTCCAAGAATCTCGCAGCGATGTCGAACTATATCATACTTGCCGTCATGCAAGCAATCACCCGCGACTAGTTAGTTAGACCTGGCCGACGGCGGCGCCGGATCCCGCAGCACGCCTGGTAGCTTGGCACGGAGCTTTCCCGGTCTACAATTCGTACATATGGAGATTCAAGAAGCTGGAAGCCCAAAAGTCATTTCTATCTTCGGCACAATACAAACTTTCATTGTTTAATCATCATTCTAATTTCAACCGCCAATACGAACCAACTTTCGGGTGGAACAGCCCGAGTGATTTTCTGTGACGCTCAACCGATCCACCCTTGTCTGGGCCTTCTGCTGACCTACTTACCCCCTACCCCCGCAATAACTCATCTGTCTCTGTCTCTCCCAGTTCAAAACACATTGTACTAGACCATCAATTCACACACTTTTCCTGAAACCCATTCGTTCTAACCCATGCCTCCCCTCTCATTACCCACAGAACTCTTGGTAGAGATTATCAAACACTTGCCGGGCCCAGGCGATGCACACAAGAGTCCCTTGGCCACAGTTCGACTGGTCGGCCGATTCTTTGCCGACATCGCTCGCCCATATCTCTACCAAAACTTCATCGCTATCAAAAGTGACGGAACTCTACGCATCCGCAAGTACCTACGGATGTTGCACCGATGTCCCGAGCTTGCGCCGTACACCACCTCCGCGATTCTGCACTGATCTGTCCAGAACTGGATGAATCCTACTTGGGAAGGACCCCCGGACGACAGGGATGATATAAAGTGTAACCTTTTCAAAGAGGAAGCCCAGATCTGGGATATGGTGGCGCGGGGTCTTGATCTTCCGGAGGATCACCCCTTCAGGCCGGACAGCCACGCACGGACCCAGCGGGCTTGGGTTTTCGAACAAGTCTGCCCATTGCTACTCGTCTACAAACTCAAAAAGCTCGGGCATCTTACAATCCACACGTTCCATAGCGGCATTGTATTCACTGACCCGTCGAACGCTTGGGATTTTCTGCCCACGCCGTTTCCCTCGCTGAAGAGCCTCTCATGGATCCACGATGACGGTCATGACTGGGCTTGGAAGGAGCCAGTACAGATCGGGATGTTACTTCCCATCATGAGGACTTCGCCGAAGCTGCAACGCATTTACGGAGTTGAACTCGAAGGTCTGCTATCGCTGGCAGGGCAACAAGAAGGCTAGAATGGCATCGTGTTGTTGCCGTTGTCGTCGCGCGGCATATATACTAGCCACAAGTTCGGACGCAACATCACATCGCTCGACCTCGAGGATTGCGACGTCATGGGGGACTGGTTCGAATGGCTATTCGTCAACGTCACTCCGCAGATCCGCAACTTCAGGTACGCAAAGCCCAACCGTGATCGTCCCAATGATATAACCCCAGCACAACGCCGAAACAAACGGACTGGTTGTAGGCTGTGCGCTGGCCTGTCCGGATGTTTCTACTCCAATGTCGTCAGCGTGCTCATGAGACACATATATTGCGTTGCGAGCATTTGGACGCAGTCACTCATCACTATCCCATACGCCGGTAATAAGAAACCACTCCCGATAAGCCGGTAGCATTCTCCGCCAGGTAACCCCCCGTATCACTCGCATTCGTCGCGAACGTCCCTCCCGGGTCTAACTACCTCACACGTCAACAATGGAAAAGCCAGCAGAAAACACTGTGGGCACAGGTCCGGAAGTAGACAAAGAGGGGCAAGGATCGATTCAAGATCCGAGACCTCTTCGCAGACAAGCGGTGCAGCCAGGCCATCCTCGACTTCCTTTCCTCCACCGCTGTGAGCAGGCGGATCCCAGAGGCTGATGATGAAGATGCAGCAAGTGAGGTTTTCGAGTGGGAGCTGAGGGAGCTGAGTGAGCGGGAAGAGAGGGAGGTGCTGCGGCGGCTCGAGGAGGAGGAGGAGGCTTCCGAGGGGGCCACGAGGTGGATTAGGGACTCGCGGAGGGGGAGGGGTACTGACGAGCCCAGGGAGCGGACGGTGTCTTTTCCTAGTGTTATTTCTTCTGGGACAGGCCGGGGCGGAGGGCAGAGAAAACCACATCGAGTCGCTTGGTGAAAGTCGAGTCGGACAGTGGCGTGGAAACGGGGGGTGTTCGGGTAGACATTGCCATGATCTAGACAGGTCGCATGCAATCAATGAATAAACGAGAAAAAAACCTCACACGTCAACACATCGCATGAGTCCGCCGTAGGAACCACAGTCCATGTCGTCGAATCTTAGGGGCGCATACATATCGATCCTTTGCACGGCCTGGCGTGCCGGCGGATATCAATGGCGATTCCCCAGAGGTTGCTGTTTTCGAGGTAAAGTTCTGGGAATAGCTTGTCGGAACGTCCCAGTTCTCGGTTTGTGGTAGAGGTGCATAGTCCGATGGTGAGAGACCGACAGCCGGGTACGAGAAGTGTAAAACCGGATTCAATTGAAGAAAGGAAGTCTATGAACTTTTGGGAATATCTTTAGTTTTGAACAACAGAGAGGCTAGCAATCAGAACAGAAAAGCAGCAACAGAGTACATTTCAACGTTCAACGATCCGGTTGGTTGCTGCTTAACGATGTGAAGGCAGAATCGAAAGTCATGTAATCATAGTCCACTGGCTTGCCGTCATCCCGGGCCGACGTTGATGTTCGGGTTCGGAGGTCTAGAGGTTGGCGCTAGTTATTTAGCAGGTGCTTGTTCCTGATCCACAAAGTTCCCATAGCAGGGATCATGAGGGGGCAGAAACTGAGCCGCCTGCGCATGTACGCGGGATCCCATCGTCATCAGTCGCACTAGTCAAACAAACTCAACTTCAACGATACCCCACGGTGAGAGCTTTAGAGAACGCAATTGACGCAGACACCCCCGTGAAAGAAGCAGGTACTAACTATAGTTTAGAGCGAGTTCCCACTGCACACCCTTACTCACCTCCACCATGTCCCTCCCCGCCGTGAAAGCCATCCTCATCGACATCGAGGGCACCGTGTGCTCCATCAGCTTCGTCAAGGACATTCTCTTCCCGTACGCGCTCGACGCCACGCGCTCATTCCTCGTCCAGAACTGGTCCGAGCCCTGGTTCCAGCCCTACCTCCTCGCCTTCCCCGAGCCCTCGCGCGACACCCCCGAAAACCTCGAGGAATTCATCCGCTATGCCACTTCTGCGGACCTCAAAATCCCCTCGCTCAAGGGCTTCCAAGGACTCCTGTGGAAGGACGGCTACACGAGCGGCGCGATCAAGGCTCCCATCTACGACGATGTACTCCCGGCGCTCCGCCGCTGGAGGGACGAGGGGAAGAAGGTGCTTGTCTACTCCTCGGGCTCGGTGCCCGCGCAGAAGCTGCTGTTTCAGCATACCGATACGGAGATGGCGGATATGACGCCGCTGTTCGATGGTTACTACGATACTGTCAATGCTGGGTTGAAGCAGAAGGCGACCAGCTACAGGAAGATCATCGAGCAGGAGGGGATCGACGCCGACGGCTGGTTGTTCTTGAGCGATAATGTTGGCGAGGTGGAGGCGGCAAAGGAGGCGGGGATGGATGCGATTGTGCTCGTGAGGCCGGGGAATAGCCCACTGGATCAGGATGTCGGGAAGAAGCACACTGTTGTGGAGACCTTCTCGGCGATCTCGGTTTAGAGATTGATCTTTGAGATGATTGGGAAGTGTATTGAGCGGGAGATGTGATGTGGCTAAAATACGATGGTGATTTGGACGAGGAGTGAGGAGAAGGGGAGGAGAGGGACTATGACAGAGAGCAGGCAAGTGCAGAATTTGTGTCCTCGTGAATTCAAAGGACTCAACAACTTCCTCTGCATAATGTAAAGACGAATGCCTACATGAACACTTGAGATACCAGCATGCAAACAGGAAATTGTCCAATTCATGTTACCTCCACAACAACCTAAACTCATCCGACAAAGATGAATCCTCCATCGCACTGTCCGCAAACCGATCAAAGTCCCTTCCAGCACCACACAGTACGCAATTACAACCACAACAGTGAGCCACTCTTATGCCAATGTGCCAGAATAGTCGTCAGGACTTCGGCGGGGATTGAAGCCAGGAGGTCCCAAATGTAGGTGGCGGATGGGTGGATGGAACTATTCTGATATCAGTACATCATCGAGTGATTGAAATGAGTGCGGGTATGAGGAATTTAGGAGTAGAGCAGCGGATTGCTGGATGGACTGTGCTGATATCAGAATATCATGGGGTGATTGAAAGGAGTGCGAGTATGAGAGATGTAGGAGCAGGAGTAGGGTGCGTTTGCATCGTGCTGATGGTGGTTTTTGGGCGAAACTTGTTTCAGGCGGACTGCTGAGTCGAGGCCCTTTCGGTTAAGGCTGCGCGGCCCAAGGGATTGTACTCGTGTGCGGAGGGCCAGTCGAAGTCGCCGAACAAGGACGAGCAAGCGTAGCTACATCGACACACCTCGCAATGCATCGACGACGACTCGAGCAGCAACGGCTCGAGCAGCAGTGCCGCAGTCACCGCACACGGAGGGACAGTCATCCCTGCTCATGGCTGCATTTGATGTTGAGATGCTGAGATCGCAGCAGTGTCCATCCAGTGCTGTCGATCTGAAACTGCCGTACTCATCTGATATCACTAACTCTGTCTTAGTCATAAATTTGCCCGCTCGCTCCCCATCCTTCCTCTTAAATCACATCCTCCTTCCATCCTTCTTCCTTTTCCTTCTTCTCTCCTTCTCCATCCTCCTCTCTTCTCTCTCGCACGCCCGAACTGTACTTGCTCCTCGTTTTTGACCCATCACAGTTCTCTTCTCCTTTTTGACAACCCAACTCTCGATCCATCAGACACTCTCCGTCAAGATGCAGTTCCTCGATTTGACTTTCGTCTCTGCTTTGCTCCTCGCTGCTGTCTCCGGATCTCCTCATACACTCATGTACAACTTGCACGGCACAGAGAGCTACAACCTTCATCCCATCACCCGCCGTAACCCTGAGGCCCGCCCCCAAGGAGTCTACGAGTTGATCTCTCCCCCGGGCAGTTCTCCTGCAGGATGCAATCCTACCTTCGGCTTCAGATTCGGTTTCATCCCCCAGCCCGCTACTTCCGCCTTCCCGCCGGTCCACCCCATCGTCACCGTCTGCGATGATCCCAACAAGCTCTCGATGAACCTTCGTGGCGGCATCCTCACGGATAAGCAAGGCAGGATCGGCTCAATCGTTGCGAACCGGCAGTTTCAGTTTGATGGGCCCCCCGCCCAGGCTGGTGCCATCTACACTGCCGGATGGAGCATCTGCCCCAATCAGGGCGTCCTGGCTCTGGGTCCTAGCATGGACTTTTATCGTTGCAAGAGTGGCGACTGTGAGCTATACCCCGCCCCCTCTTTCCTGTTGAATCTCCGTGATGATTTTGCTGCTTTCCTGATGACGACGATACTGATTCTTTTCTACTTCTATACAGTCTACAACATTTACGACCAGTCCATTGGTGGGCAGTGTGAGAGGATTTGGTTGACCATTACGAAAGTGGTTCAGTGTTGATTGGAGATCGGGTTGGGTTGTATTATTGTCTGTTTACGTTACCCTTGTCTTGTTTAAATGATGCGGATTGAATGTACGATACTACTGCGTTGAGACGGAGGTTGGATCACTTGTAATTTTATGCGTGGCTTTTTTGCTACTAGGAAGGCTGAGATGGAATAGCAATGACGAATGGTGTTTGATGATTACATACTTCCACTTGATTCTGTTCTTCATCAATCGGGTAACGGTGATGGGATGGTTTGCATTCTCGTTGCTGCCCGTACACACGTAGTCCCACTGTCTTTACAGACCTATTCCATCATCGTGCTTTATCTCATAGTCTGGCAAGGCTGTACGCTCCATACGATTGATGACCCCCGCTCAAAGTAAAATCCCATGTGAGACACAGGCACTACCTACTCATATCAAGACGACTGACCCGAATGCTCCGTGACAATCCTCTGGGTTACAGCCGACGAGGCCAGTCCTGAAGGCTGAACCTCGGAGAACGAATTCCACCGACTAGGGAATCAACGACAAGCCATTGAGGCTCACTTACATCCCGCAGCCCGCATCCCCCAGTCCGCAGAATCGAACGTTCTCTTCAAGTGCCATTCACTCTCACACGTCTAATAAAATTCCTCAGAGGTAGAGGAATCACGACCAACTACTTTGTTATCACTCGGTAGTATCACATCACGTGACACGCCCTATTCTGCCGGCTGTGGAGGCGGCAATCCAATTATCTACTATGTACCAAACGCCTGCTACCGTCCCGGCTTCGCACAAATAAACATTACAACTTGTACTCTACGCTGCGAGGAAAAAGGCTGATTTATATACAAGCAGAAGCCTGGATTACCAGTGCAAATGAATTACGAGCCGCACTTTGTGCTAATATACCTAGCCAGTTTGCAGAGATGGCAACCATCGGTCCGGTCCGATCCGGCCCGTCTTGACCACCGTCATCCATCCGGATTCCGGACCCTGAAGATCCAGTCCGGACTATTGTTAATCCTGGCCCCGCTTACGGTAGTCGTGCGCGGGAAAGCTAGGTATCGCGCCTTGGGCTAAGGAGTAGAGAGACGGGGCTAGTCAGTTAGGGAGGCGGCCGGAAGGCGACGGGAAATGTAGCCTTGACTAAGACGACTACGAGTTTGCGACCCAGCCTTCGGCCTTTGGGTAATGATGTCCTGGGCCGGGCCATTTCGTCGCTCGGAGCTCCCCGTCCCTAAAAACGTGTAGTCCGGAGTCCGGGCGGACTTTTGATAACCCCATCATACGGTACAAGATACACAGAGTTGTCTGCGACGGCGGGGCGCTAAAGAGTCCTCTTTATAGTACACGATCTTTTCTCCATCTGAAGCCCTTCCATCCACTAGGTATCTACTACGATCCCATCTAACAACTCGTGCCCAGTGTGGCAGTAGGTACCCGGAACAGGTGATGTGACTACCACGATCAATGAGGTCGAATGGAATGACGATTAGATAACCAAAAACAAAAACAAAAACCATGTCCAGTACCGTACCATGTTGGCTGATCACACTAGGTCCTCATCCGTGTCACTCGACCGCGGAACGCCGTCGGCGTATATTCTAATGAAAAAACGAAAAGCAAAAAAGACGGAGGGCTCACTTGAATCTTGAGCCAGACGTGTAATCAACCATGGCCGACCAAGGCCGAGTGCTGTGAGGATTAAACGAACAAAAAGGAACGGTTCTCCAGCCTCCAGGTGAAGATTCGCAGCCATCCAGATTATATGTATATCTGCCATACATACGGCCTCTCGATGTTGGCGCCTGGCTGACATGTACCTACATACATCGCTTGGGCACGTACATACAGTATACATACTCTCCAGCCTCCTGCAGGCTGCAGACCAGACATGCAGCCTTTTTCACATCACCTCTAACGAGACACGAGACACGGCAACCGATTCCTATAGTAGGTATGAAAGATACCGCATGTCAGCTGTGGATGGCATTCGCATAGGTTGGTCGATATGTATCTACGGTACCTTACCTTACTCACCGCCGGCGAGCCTGGAGGAATCCCACGATAGGTTTAAGGTACATACACATCTCCCATAATTCGTAGGTACCTACTCTAGATACACACCGGTACTTACTCAGCCATCTACTACCACTGGTATTTGGATACTAGCCAGCATCCATCCATCCTTCAAAGTTCAGGCTTCCACCCATCCCTCTCCCACAGTCCCACTCCCCCTCCTTTTCCTCAGCCCCGCGCCGCACATGCCATACCTACAGACTCTAGAGTACTCTACATAACTACCTACACCACGAAATCTACTATACACGACGGCTAATAATAACAACTTAACCAGTTAGCTTAGCGCACGCCGCAGTGCTCTGGATCCTGCACAGAGCAACGCGCAGGCGTCATGTGCACCCCCTGCATCTCTCGCAGACTCACAGGCTCCCAGCATCGAATCGGACTGTCGGCGACGCTGCGGGGTTGGGTTGGCTGGGTTGGCACTTGGCTCTGGGCTGGCGATTGGACGTGCGCACGCCGCTGGATCGCGAGCCGGCACGAAAACGAGGAGATTCGAGAGAGAGGGAGACTTTGCTCCAGGTAGATATATCCTTCCTCCCTGAGTCCCTGTGAAGTCGGGATTCGGGACTCGGGACAAAGTCAGCACGGAAAGCGGGCTCAGGGAAGGAACTGAGGAGCAGTGCCCACTCCCTTGGATGTGTACCTACGTGAGTTATGCGGAGAAGGTCTCTCCCTCGGCGTGCATGCTGTACGCGCAGCGCCCGTGCCACTATACAGCAGGTACTCGATCACTGCGGTATAGTACCAGTAGGTATGAAATACTCCTCTTCATGAAGATACCGACACTATTAACTACCTAGAGTGGATAGTACACGGCCTTCACCCTGCACCAAACTCGAGAGTGGATGCAATAAAGAAAAGGAAAAAAAAGAAAAAAGAAAAGAAAAAAGAAAAGAAAAAAGGCAAATACGTTCATCTCAGAGACGTGACGAATAGCAGAGCGCTGAGGAAAAAGCTGCGAGTCGATCAGGGTAACGGATGAAAGTGAGTGGTGTGGTGGGTTATGCAACTGCACGATTTAATCGAGGATTCGTCTCGCCGCCCCCCCTCCCCAAATATCATGTCCCGCGTCTTTCGCTAGTTGATTAATTCGATTTGATCCTCCACGTTACATCGATTCGATAATTACCCACGACTTCCTGGTTGACTTTTGTACTCTACACACTCGCTCGACTCCAGTCCTGGTCCTGTTTCGTCTCACCTTTCTTTTCCACTTCTGCGATCCGTTTCCCCCTCCTACATCCCCTTATACCAGCGCGAAACTGGCAGAGCTCTCGATAATTACATCCCGAGAAAAGAAGGAAAAAAAAGAAAGAAAGAAGGACAGAAAGAAAGAAGGACAGAAAGAACGAAAAACGAAGAAGAAAAAAAGCGCTCCCCGAGCAGATATTCAACCTGGCGGTCGCTCCCAGAAAGGACGTCGTAATCGTCGTCGCGAGCGATGACAATGATGCCCACAGCATACGGACACCAATACACATCCGCCCGCCGTCACGATCCACGTCCCCCGTCCGCTCCATGCTGTCCTCCGCCTCCGACAGCTCGGTGTTCGTAGCGCCGCAGCACCCGGTCCCGGCCATGCGCGCCGCCTTCGAGGAGTCGGTCCTCGAGTCGGATGAGGCGCGTCACAGTCGCCGTCACAGCCGTCGACGACCGAGACACCACCGGCTGCAGAAGCTCATGGCGCAGATCGCGTTCGGTCTCTACCTGCTGCACGACTCGCTGGCGAAATCCGACTCAGCCGTGGTCCGGATCCTGCAGGGGCACATCAACGAGATGGACGAGTTCCTCTCCTCGACCACAGCGAGCTTCGAGGTGGGCAGCAGGGACATCACCGCCAGGACGCAGTACCTCCAGGTGCCCATGGACGAGACGGGCCAGATCTCGAGTGCGTTCGACGAGATGCTGCGGTCACGGGACTTCCGCGCCGAGACGGCGACGCGGAATGAGAAGGTCGACGTGGCCGTGCAGCGCACGTCGCGGGCGCTGCAAGCTTCGCTGCGAGACGTCAAGGAGGCGCTCTCGGCTGTCGACGAGCTGGCGAAATACCTGCTCAGCATTAAGGACGGCTGGCGCAAGGCCAATCTCGTGCGCGTGTATTCGGCCATGCGACACAACGCCGCCATGTGGTTCCGCTGCTGCATCGGATTACAGATGAAGGCGGCGAGGCTCGGCGAGAAGATCAATCAGTTGCGAGGGCTGGTGCAGGAGATTGAGCAGCGCACGGGCGCCGCGTCGAGGAAATACGGAAAGGTGAGAATCTTGCCGCCGACGACAGGGTTAGGGCTCGTGTCCGATCGAGCTTACCCCACCGGCCAGTGACTGAGGTCAACGGCTACCTCGACACGTGGTGCGATGTGTTCTGACGTTTGGTGTAGCAACCCGTGCCGAATGCCCTCCGATTCGATAAACCACTTCCCGACCCTCCACGGCAGAATCCCGGGATCCCCACCATCGATATCCAGATCCCGTACCGAACCAGTTCGAGACCGAACCGACGACTGTCAAAACACCGCTCGAAATCCTCACCGCACGTTTCCACTCCTCCACTGAAGCAGGGCGAGCCGCGGCGGTCGATGGACGCGGCACCGGCACAAGGACCGAAACGGAGCATTTCGATGCGGTTCAAGCAGAGCATAATGCGCTCAAAGAGCATGGTGGAGCTCAAACGGGACAAGGGCAAGCAGCGTGAAACGCTCCCCGCAACCGACGTCCCCGTCCCTGTCAACATCCCCACCCTCACCCCCGCCAACGGAGGCACCCCCGGCATAAAGCGGCAGAAATCCCGGCTATTACGCGTCGTTCCGCAACACTTCTCGTGGGCGAAAAGTCCGCTGTCGTCGCCAAGGAAGGAGCGTGCTTCGGTTTCGGTGAGTACGCATGATGGCTGACTGCACATGCTCGTTCATTCGGATCTTGTTGACGGCCTAGAACAATAGCAAGAATACGCACCCTCCCCTTTCTCGCGGATGAGGGCTTGGACCGTGCCCACGCCGCTGCCGCCGCCACCGCCGCTCCCGCCGCAATCGCCTAGGAGGAAGTCGGGCGTTGCAGCGGGCTCGCTGCTGCAGCGGATCAGCACCATGGTGCTCAGGCGGAATCGACCGCCGAATATCGGTTCAAATCCGACTCCGCCGCTGCCACCGGCGAGGGTACAGACCGGGCCGTTCTGATGGGGGGTATGGGGTGGCTTTTTTTTTGGTTTTGGTTTTTTTTGGCATCGTCGGAGCGGGTTGAGCGTGGCGTACTTGAGAAATACCTATTGATGAGTTATGATGTATGACGATATGAAGGATAGCAGTGGGGAGGAATAACTGGGGAGGAATAACTGGGGAAGAATGGGCAACATTGGGGTCGCGGGCGGCTGATTTCCGGTTCTAGTGATTTCCTGTGGACACGTCCTCACCTAGAGAAATGTCACTCTGTCTACCGTATGTACCAGGTGCAAATTGCAATACCGGGGTTCCAAGCGGAGATGAGGGATGGGCGGGATAATATGAACGAACGTTGAATACGGCGTGCTTAGGTGGGTTCCTGCCTAGATGTAAATACGAGCGCCCATTGGCCAGGCTCAACGACACATTATATAACGGCATCTCCACTATCATCATCTCCACCATCTCCGTCAGCTCCACCAATAAGCAGCAGATCTGCGGGATGTCATCTCCTTCAGATCTCGACGGCTACACAGCTCCAGCTCCATCCGTATGTAACTGTTGCTGTGTCTCTCTTCGGACGCGGAAACGGTTGGCTGAGCACAGTCAATCCATATTGCGCCGGAACAGACGCCACTGTATTAGGTACTTAGTATAATAGCATACAAGTTACCTCGCCCGAGTGACCGAGTGACCGAGTAACCGAGTGACCGAGTGACCGAGTGACCGAGTCTTCGACTTTGTTCCAAGTTCTGCCGTTCATTCCCCTGTCTATAGGTACTAGAATGTATCCATTCGACCAGCCAGAAAATACAGGCTCGCTGTCGTTGCAAAGATCAACGGCTAGTTATGCTAGCAGCTGAAGATCTTCTCCTTCTCCTTCCCCTTCCCGTGCCTAGAGCGCACAAACAATTTTGAAGTGCACACACACATACATACACATATAGTACAGCTCACGTAAGTCTTCCTTCCCTTCAATGATCTGTGGGAACTTGTAGTGGAAGCCGTGTCATTTTTTCTCACTCCAGCCTCCGCAGTCTCCGCAGCCTCGTCAGCTTCTTCAGCCTCCCCCTAGCCCAGCCTCCGATCCAACCTCACCATCATCCAGTAGAGTGCAGCCTCACCATCTTCTGGTAGAGTAAAGCCCTTATTTGTCTAGACTGATCACTGGACTGTCGAAGGAGTAGTATCTAAGTAGATACTGGATTGATGGATCCCTTTCCGCCCACAGTCGGTGACTGATATCCGTGGCAGTACCAGGTAGCTAGTAGGTAGTATAGTAGAGGTACCTAGTAAGCTGGTATCGCGTCTAGGTATTCGTCTGGTTGTTTCCCCGCCAAGTCATCTATAACCCGAAGTTTGAGGAATGCTGTGTTCTATCATCTAGGTATGTAAGGCCACCCTCCAGGCTCCAGGCTCCAGGCTCCAGGCTCCAGTACTAGGCAGCAAACATGGAGCATGTACGACACTGGACCACCGGCCTGAGCACCCAAGGGCCAATACTCACCGGGCAGCACCACCAGGCAGCCAGCCAGGCTCCAGCTGTCAGATCGGCGGTTGAACACGATTCACAATTTCACAGTGTAACTTGAACTTAGGAACGAGCACCTGTGGTGAAGTACACCCACCCACCGAGAAGGCATAGATTATGTGTACATGTCCTCAAACTCCAAGACGATGAGATGGGAGCCGCGGGTATACCTATCATATCTCCACAACCTCGTGGAGAACCGCCGGATACTCTCTGATCACGAATAGTATGCCCAGTGCCATCGCGGATGCGCAGTTGTCACAGATCAAAACCGGAAATCCCTAGGAGTTAGGACTTCAAATCTCAAGGAGAAACACAAAATGTACAATACCTAGGCACATACCGGACTCTGCGTCGACGGTCGTCACCTTCACCTTCACATATTCGCACTCGTTATCCAGTCAATCCACTTCCACCTATCAATGGGCGGTGCGGGGTGCAGAGGTATGATCGTACGGACGTGAGGTAGAGAGATAATTGACTAGGTACTTGGTTGAGAAACAAAAGCGCGGTCCGCAGACAACATAGGTAGACGGTTTATTATACAGCGGGAAGACAAGAAACGCAGTACCTACTATAGTATACTGGACGACACCTGTCTTCTAATTTCGCCTCGAGTATTTTCTTCCCATATTGCGTATCCCCGTTGCGTATCCCCGTTGCGTATCTCCGTGGCGAATGGCCATTCCGAATAGCAATTGCGTGTATGGTGTCCCGCATTACGCGTCCGGGCTTTTGGGTTCGCTAGGCTGTGACGATGTGGCTTTCTTCACCACCTCCACCTCCACCTTCACCTGCACCGCAATCCCACCAATCCACCGCCAATCAATGGCAATCCACCGCAACACAACCCACCGGCAATTCAATCTTGTGGCCTAGATAGATGCGAAGTATAGTTTCAACTTTCAACTTTCAGCCCGAGCGTTGGAACTTGGGACGACCGTGCAGACAGCCGTTGTTTGGATGTTGACGATGACGATGGCTCCGATGTCTCCGATGGCTGGCTCCGATAGCTCCGAGGCAGTAACCATCTGGGGTGTGCTAGGTATAACTGCTGAACTACCCGCGCCGCCGTTGACGTCGCGGGATTGACGTTCTGCTCTGCGCTGGAGTAGTGGGTTGGGTTGGTTGAGGGCGTGTATCGCCGTATCGGGCGTATGCGGCGGCGGTTGTGGCGGTGTTCTTTAAAAATGAAAGCTGCCTGCACAATACGGCGACCTGGCAGCGTAGCCGTCACGAAGGAGATATCTCAGAACAACGCACGTCGCGCGGTGATAAACTCCCCACAAAAATGAATGATTGATCAACATCGTATCGCAATCAAATCAAATCTCGTATCGGCAGCCTAACAATACCTAGTACAAGGTTTTCAGTAATATACACAGAGCCCACAGCCCACATCGAATGAAACGCCCAACTTCAGATATCCGCTCGCGCGTATGTTGTTCATCATGCTCTCGATCTGCCTTGTCCTGTCCTCCTTGAGATCGTGCTCAATATTTCCTCCGTCCACGCCTCCGTCCACGCCTCCGTCCACACCGCCTCCCTGTGCAGCCTCAAAGAATACCGCCACGACCGCCGCCCACACACACACACGCGCGATACACGCCCGACACACACCCTCGCCCACCACTCCAGGGAAAATTCATCGTTAACCGTCACCGCATCGCAATCAAATCAAATCAAATCTCGTAGAAATCCGCAGCCTAACAGTAAAGTACAAATGTTCCCAGTAATATACACAGCCCATGCCACACCCAAATGAAACGCCCAACTCGCCCAAGTTCCGATATCCATCCGCTCACGCATAGCTCATCATGCTCTCGATCTGCCCTGTTCCCTTGAGATCGTGCTCAAAATCCTGCGTCACCTCGAGGACCCGCGTAAGGTGCTTCATCGACAGGGCCTCCTCCATCGAGCTGGACAGCGCCTGCGCGGTCCGGACGACGTTCTTGATCTGGCGGCCGTTGAGTTTGTGCCGCGCGAGGCCGTCCAGCTCCGCCTCCGTGACGATTTTGCGCAGTTGGATATCCGCATTCTTCTTCTTCTTATCCGCCGTTTCGGCATCGGTGACACCGTTGACCATCACGCCGTTCTTCTCGCTATCCGCCACTCCATTGACCTCCTTCTGTTGGTCGGCCTCATCTTCGTTTCCGTCATCGGCGGCAAGTGTGAGCTCCTCGCGAGAAACCATGTCCAGAAAGGTACCCCAGATGATGCGCTTCGCTTTGCGATCAAGGTCATTATACTTGAGTGCGATGTGGATGCGCGACTGGAAAGCCTCATCGAACGTCTCAACCCTGTTGGTGGTCAGGAACATGATGCCCTGGAAGTACTCGAGCAGTCGCAAGAAGATGCTGACGAGGGCATTCCGTTGAAGCTCGTGCACGCTGCGGCCTGTGCAGTCAATTTTTTGTTAGCCACAAAAAAAATCCCGAGTGCTCGTAACCCGCCCGGAATGAACGAGTAAAAAAAACGTACGCTCCAAGAACACATCCGCTTCATCCAACAGAAGCACCGCTCCCCAGCCGTAGCAGATGTCCAGGATCCTCGAAAGCTGATGCTCCAGTTCGCGCGAGTCGGTTCCGAGCTCGCCAGCAGACACCATGTACAGCGGTTTCCGAAGATACTCCGAGATACCCTCGGCGGTCAACGTCTTGCCGACACCGGGTCGTCCGTGCAGAACAGCGACCAGTCCCTGCCCCTTGCCCCGGATGATGTCGTCGATTCCCGGGCGCTTCTTTTCCGTCTTTCCCTTTCCGGTGTGGTTCTCGACCAGTGCGCGAACGATCGACTTCTGGCTTTCGGGAAGTACGAGGCTGTCGAAAGCCCCGGTGTTGAAGATGATCTCGTGGATCGAGTCGATCGCGAATTCGACCCACATCTTGTCGCCAAAGGAAAAGCCCAGAACGGTCGGCGAGCACATCAACAGCTGCTCCTCCGACATCTTCTCGGGCGTGAGCGGGGACCTTGTCGGCATCTTGGGAGTCCCGACGGCACCACCCCGCAGCCGTGCGATCTTATCGGCAAGCCTGGATGGCACAATCCCGTAGGCGCCCCCACCGGGAACGAGCCCCTCGCTACTACTATTTGGCGCCGTCAAGTCCAGAACACCCATGTCGTCCAGATCGTCCTCGGGATCCCCTCCCCCATATCTCCCAGCACCGGGCTTGACCGGATTCGAGTTGTAGTTGGGATTCATGCGTTTGAAAGTGAGGGCATCGACCATGATGCGTGACTGGACCGTGACGCGCACCAGACTGTTCTTCTTCTTGAAGAAGGCAAGGCCCTTGTAATACTTGTACTGCATGCCCGTCAGGGTGCCGAATTTGCGTCCGCGTGCCACCAACTTCTGCTTGAGCGAGTCCACGTCCGGATGGTAACCGAAAGGGTAGATGGGGAGGCTGTCGATGCGACAGGTACCCAAAAACTCGGGAATCTCGACTATGGCCTTACATTCACCAAAATTCCTGCCATCGTAATCGACGTAGTGACATTCCATGCTGAGGCATTTGCCTCTGGCGGGGCTACACTTTTCCGAAACCCAGTCGAGTTTGAGGCACATGGCCTCGGTGCTGCCGCCGCACTTTGTGTAGCAGAGAGTGTTTGGCAGGAAGAATGCCCACAGCAGGTCGAAGGTGATCTCACCGTGCTCGAGCAGGGGGTCGAGGCGCTGCTTAACCGAAGCGTAATCGGCATCGATGTAATTATTCAGCAGAGTCAGGTGCTCGATCCTGGCCCTATTCTGGGATTCCGCGGGCAGCGCCTCCTCATCCTCCAAGACCTTTTTAATATCCTTGTGGTAATTGAAGAGCAAGCTTGGGTCAATCTGGAAAATGTCAGCAGGGGGAGGGGGAGGATGGCTGGGAGAATGGAAGGGCATTGCGTAAACCATGCGATATCCAGTCGTGGGGGAGAGGGGGATGGACGCACAGAAGGCTTCTCCTCGTGGAGGCTGACGCGCTCGACATCCTTCAGGATCTCACGCAGAACCGCAGTAATTTCCGGACTCTTGATGTCGATGACTGTATTCTGGAATTTGTTCTGCCAGTCTGAAGGCGGAGAATTCGGCGAACTCGGGTCAGCCCCCCTGTCCGATACGAGGGGTGGGGTGCGCACACGCAATCAATCAATCAATCAAACCAATCAATGAACCACTCACCGAAGCGACGTCGCACTATGAAGACAAACTCCTCCCACTTGTCATCCTTATCGTCCGAATTCCTCGAGCTCTCGGCGAGGTAAAAGTCGTGGATTGCCTTGTTGTACAGGTGATCGAGCCTCTTGAATTCCAGCTTGCTCGCGCGAACCCTTGGCGGCTGAGTGCCGGTTGCGGGGCCATTGCCGTTGACGACGGGCATTGCATCTGCGGACCGTGTATGGTTGCCATTGACGATGTTGGTGTCGCAGTCATCCATCCGCAACAGGCCCAGCCCCTTCCGCTTGGTCCGTGTGGGGCGGTCGTCACTGTCGGCGCCGGAAACGTTTCGCTTACTGGATCCGTTTGTTGATCCGTTTGTTGATCCGTTTGTTGATCCGTTTGTGGATCCGTTTGTGGGCGCGGTGCCGTTGTTGTAGTTGCTGTCGTTGTTTCCTGCACTGCGGACCAGACTGTCCGACTCGGCGGTCACGGGACGCTGATCGCGACGATGCATCCCCTCCTGGCGGCCATCGAAGTCATCCGAATCAGAGGCCGCAGATGCGTCACTGGCGCCATCGGACTGGGTTGTTCCTGCAGCGACGTGCGCGTTTGCACCCGCAGCTGCGAACATGTGCTTGCGCCCCGCATCCTGTCCGTCGACGAAAGCGGCACGTGCATGCTTCTGCTGGTTCTTGATCTGCTTCTGCTGAGGCTGTTGATGCTGCTGCTGAATTCCAACCGCATCTGCGAGCTCTCGCTCGAATTGCAGCTGGAGGTTTTTCTGGAGGCGAGAGTACTTGTGGTATACCTGCATGGCGGCGGCGTTTGCCGCGTCCTCGACATCCGCCTCGGCCATTTTTGGGTGCGAGTAGTCTGTAGCGCCCAACGACGAGCTCACGACACCATTGGAAACCGCAGGCGATGAAGCGTCCGGCATCGCTGTGCAAGCGGGAGGGGTGAGAGAGTGTGTTGACTGTCGATTCGCGATTACTCTGTCCGTCCTTGCTGAACCGGTGAGACTCTCGTGCGGTTGGGTGGACTCCTCTCTCCCTAACTCTGTCGATTGGTGGGGGAGGGGGGGGGGGGGGGGGGGGGTCGATGTGGGTGCTGGCTTGGGAGGAGTAGATTGATGGGTTTGTTTGGGTTTCTGTGCTCGACGAGGGGGGAGACGAGACGAGACGGGGCCGATATATAGAAGGGATGTGCAACGTTCAAGGCCCACGCATGCAAGTGATGCCGATGGACCGAAGGGGGTTGGGGGGTTGGGGGGGGGGGGGGGGTGAGAGAGTGTGAGCGATGTAGAGCAGGTAGGGCGTGTATTGCGGGTCGGCTGAATTTGTGGATTGTGGCGAGGAGGGTATTTTTATGGGAGGGAGGGGGTGGGGTGGATTTGCTCGATTTGTGGATTTGCGGATGTCTTGATTTGTGGATGCGTGGATGTGAGGTTAGATGAGCCGTGTTAATTGTGTTGCGCGCGATAGTGTGGTGCCTCGATGATGGCGAGGTTGCTGTTTTAGGCAAGCAATGGAATGGATGGGTGCGTGTGGGACTTGCGCTGGGAGGGCCCTAGGTTAAATATAAATAATATATTATTCTATGGGGCGGCGGCGGCGGCGGCGGAGGAAAGTCCTGGCTCCATCGAGCAATCCGCCCATCCGTCCATCGAGGCTGTCGGTGCGATGCAGGCAGCTTCCATTCCATTCGAGAAGAGCTCTGCACTGCACTGCGGGGCCGTGGGCACTGGAGGCAAGCGGCGGCTCGTGAGTCGATCGATGCGAGGCGGGAAGGCGGACGGGAAGGGAGAGATGAGAGCGGAGCAATCGGAGCGAAGACGTCGCAGCGGAGGCCAGATGCATTGGAAGTGGCATCGAACGTGCACTACACCGACACCCGTGCATGTGAGTAAGAGACCAGATACTCACAGAGGGTACACATCTCGGACGCCACAGCGCCACAGCTGTCGTGCACGATGCCATCCAGAGTAGAGCACCGTATGCTGGCATGTGGAAGGCAGGTGGCAGTCAGGCAGGTGGCAGTCAGGCAGGTGGCAGTCAGGCAGGTGGCAGTCAGGCAGGTGGCAGTAAGGCAGGTGGCAGTCAGGCAGGCAATGGATACTCTACCTACGGCGCGACTGCCTCCACCCCCAGCGGCGTTCTCGTCTGCGTCTACTTGCAATTGCGGACCAGTCCGCTCGCTCGTCTGTGTCTACTTGCAATTGCGGACCAGTTCGCTCGCTCGCTCTCCCTCTCGCAGCCCCCCCCCCCCCCCCCCCCCCCGGAACCATGTGCCCGACGCACGGCGTTCCATGGCCCGGAGGTGTCGACATCCCGCGCCATCATTGAATTGTGGCCCCATAGCCAAGCAAGATGTAGTCAACGGTGCCCTAGAGACTACTAGCACAGTGTCCCTGCCTGGCCCCGCCATGGTACGCTTGTCGAACGCATCCAGATTCCAGGCGGCCGGAATCCCCCCAGGCCAGAGCGAGCCTGGCCTGGCCTGGCCTGGCCGGCCATGGAGCCCCATGTCCGCAGTTCGCATCATTCGAAGCACTCGCAGCACGGCAGTCGTGAGGGTCAGCGTACATCAGCCAGGTAGTCACGCTTACCGTCGAGGTGGAGCGGTGAAGCGACATCGGCAGTGTCGTTTCGAGCCCACGGATCTTTTACCTTCGTCATTGGTGAGCGGTGTTGCAGCAATCGAGCCCAGCAGCGGTCTTTGCATCGAGCTGCCGCGCAGATGATGTAAGTGCTACATATATGGCAGGGTCCAAGGATCAGCGACGATTCAACGGCAGAGCGATAACTGACTTGCTACTGCTATGATGGGCTGTCCAGGCGATCACGGGTTGCATCGTGTTTGCCCATCCGTCAGTCATGCAGTGGTTGCCCTTCCCCCTTCCCCCTTCCCCCTTCCCCTCACCCCACCTCCCCAGCCCCTCCCAACCACAACCCCACGACGACTCCCAACATCCTCGCGACTCTGTCCATACCCCGCATCGTCCGGAGCGACAATCACGTCCAACAATGCGAACGGAAACTGCCAGTCACCCTCCACCAATGCGAACGGAAACTGCCAGTCACCGTCCACCGAAGCGAGGCGAACGGAGCCAAACAGAACAACCGAATGCCAGTCACGGTCCAACAGAGCCAACAGAACCGAACCGAACAACCGACTTCCACTCACGGACCACCGAGGCGAAACTCAACAGCCGACTGCCAGTCACGGTCCAACGATGCAAACAGAGCAACGACTGCCAGTCCCGCGTCGCCATCCACTGCGCCCCTCGCGTCCAACCGCAGCATTCGCATTGAAAAGCAACCGCCGTTCGACTCACCTCCGCTCCGCTAGGCACCCATGGGCCACTCATAGGTGTCGGCGCACTTGAGTCTGCGCTTGACGACGCCGACGTCTGCGGTCGGGAACCAAACATCGACCAGAACGATAGCTTCACACGACCATACCGACGCTCACCCCGCCCCACTACATGTCGTCATCATCATCGTCGTCATCATCATCATAATCCGTCGTCGTCGTCTCGTGCCGCCTACTTCCGTTCGCTCTCGCCGTTCCTTCCCCCTCAACCCCGCCTCACCCCCCCCCCAAACCCCGCTTCCACGCTCACGTATCTACACGTCCCATACAGAAAGCTGCCGAACATCTCATTCAGAACCGTCAAAGCACAATTGAATTGGTGTCGTCGGCCCCCGGAGACCCCGTACCCTACGTCAGTACGCCGGTGCTCCGTGGAGTGAGCCTCACCCCGCCCCGCCGAGACTGCGATGTTGTATACCTAGTAGTATTGGTCATTCGCGCGCCAAGTGCGCAAGGCCCGAGGTATGTAGGTATCGATCTGCTGGTACGGAGTAAGCGGGGGCAATCGATTGAATGGAATGTGATCGTGGTGGTGGTGTGCGCTGTCACGTCTTCTTCCGGCTCGGGAAGGCCGCAGAAGAAGAAGAAGAAGAAAAGAAAAAAAACGCCCCCATCATGCTGCCATGGCCGCCGAAGTGAAGCGAAGGGTCTTTGCCGTCCATCGCTGTCGCTGTCGCCGGTCGGGCCCGCGAATAGTTGCGGTTCCAAAGCTTCAGTGGGTACTGGGGTGGCATTGGCTACCAGTAATCTCTCTCTCTCTCTCTCTCTCTCTTGAAAGAAAGAAAGAATGGAAAAAAGAAGTTGCACTTTTTTTTTGTGGTCGCACGATTGGCTCGATCGTGCGAAGGCGTGCGGTGCGGCACCCTGCAACTGCACTGCACGCCCGTCCGCCGCCTGCCCGCCCGCCACGGACCGGCTCGTCGTCGCTGTCCGGCTGCAAGCGGGATACGGGATACGGGATACGGGATGCAAGACGCGGACGGCCCACGGGGACGCGTCGTTGCGTGCTCCAATCGTGCGTGCCACTGGTCAATGCCGAGCTCCTCCAATGCCTCGCCCCTGAGCTCCTCCACTCCACCTCCGCCGCCGCCGCCGCCGCCTCCTCCACCACCGCCTCATCCGCCTCCACGTACAGTAGAATGCCCTCTCCAAAACGGAGATTGCCGCACATTAGGGCGCCTCACATATATGCGGCCGTCGGCCGTTGCTATGTATACTACGTATACTAGTGGTTGCTATAGTTAGTAGGCAGTGGGCACAGCGGCGTCGGCGGAACACCGCAACGGTATTCTGGATCATCTGTGGCGCTACCTTATGTACATCCTGGACTCTCGGAGGCGGACAGCTCGGTGATCGTTAGAAGGTGCCTAGCACAGGTACAGGTATCTACACAGGTACCTACATACGACCTCTAGAGCTCAGAGGACTCACGAGGGGGCTCGGTAGAAGGTCGTCGGACGCTTTGTGGATGCCTCGGACGACCGTTAGGTCCATGGAGATATGTAGATGCGGTATGATTCGGAATACAGATCAATACGAGCGGAACTAGAGTAGGATTCTTGTCCGTCTCCTTGACGGCCCCTGACGTACCGAGACCACGCAACGAAAGCCGCGATACCTACTTACTCTACCGACATCCAGCGACCGGCCGACAGCCGTGCCGTCTTCCGCACGACACGAATCACGATACGGAATATCGTAGCGATCGGATGCCGCCGTTGCTGTCGTATTCACACAAGGCGGTGGGGGGAGGGGGGGAGTGTGGTGTGTGGTGTGTGGTGTGGCAACAGATTCAGATCCGGGATGCTGCATTTAGAGTGCTCTCCATCCATCCTCCATCCTCCTCCT